CTTATCTTAGTCCTTATTTTTATAAGAGACTACGATAGCTCTTATCTTAGCTAGCGCCCTATTAATCTCTATAGCCTCCGGTCTCTATTAGGCTATATCTCTAGTAGTACTTCTTACTTTAGCGGATTTAGTAGGTATAGGATATATCTCTATAGTAGGGATCGATAGGGATAAACTATTATTAGATAGTCTAACACTAGACTAGAGGGGCTCTTAGTAGAGCTTAGGCCCCTAGCTATAGTAGTTAGAGACTACAGTAATAGCCTCACCCTATATAGGACACTCTCGGTCGAAGGCGAAGTAGTTCGCCTTCCTTTTATATTTAATATATATAGCGTATTTTACCTAGCAGCGGTCGTAGGCGTATATATAATCCTAAGTATTATAGCCTTATATATAGTTATAGTAGGCCTTATACTTATAGTTACGGGCGATATAGCTATAATCCTAGTAGCGGAAGCACTACTATAGGCGATAGCTACTATCGAAATACCGGTAGTTATATAGTTCGCTATATAGGGATAGACCCTAGCGAATTATATAGTTTATAGCTTTAGTACTATTAAATTTAACTAATAAGGTAGCGTACTATAGCTTCGTTTCTTCTATCTTCCTTCTCGGTATTAGCTAGCCGACCCTTACGATCTCTATATCTACTAATAGACAGCCTATATTAGCCGCCCGGATTGTTACTTTCGCCTTAGTATCTTTATATAGGTCAAAGCTTATATAGCGTACGCTATTTATAGTTACTACGTAGGTAGTTTACCGGATATATATATTAGCGCTAAAGACCTTATACTAGCGCTCGTTCTATAAAGTCCTAACGTCCTCGAGCCTATTAACCTATACTAGGATATCCCCGCTAGGGAGTACTCTACTAGATAATATAAGGGAGTGATCGGCTACGCCGGTCTCCTAGATAGACCGGTTAGCGTAGCTAATAACTTTAGTAGCTCCCTAGTATCGTAGGGGGTTAACTGCCTACGGGTCGGTCGAGCGAACGATAATCTAGAGGTCTTCGCGGAGTAGCGGTACTACGGCCGGGTAGCTACTATCGTTACTAAGGTCATTACTAGGGATTATCCCGTTAGTCTTCGCCCTCGCTAACTATCCAGAGATAAGCGAGGACTGCTAGCTGCTAGTTACGTAGGCTATAATAGTATTACGATAGCCGGTCGTACAGCTAGGGGTAAGGGGCAGAGGGCTACTAGTACTAGGCCTAGCTATCTACGTAGCTTATACGGTGACTATATATTGTAGTTTATTAATTATATCGGTATATTTCCGATTAATATCGTTTAATAAGGCGCGTATACGCTAAAGTTCTGCTAGTACATCGTCGTCGCGTATCTTCGAAGTTAGGGAGATTACGACGTCGAGATATATAGCGAATCGCTCTAGTAATAGTAGGCCGCCGTCGCTATAGAGCGCTTTCTACTGCTAAGTTATCCTTAATAGCTTTCCTATATAGGCGCGTAGCTCAAGGCCGTTACTGTCGGGTAGTTAAGGCCATAAGATTTTTGACCCCTTTTTACCCTTTCCGCCTACCATAGTTAACTACAGGACGGAAACTGGCTAAAAATAGGATCAATCGATTCGTCTTGGTCTAATAAGCAATTTGATAGGCACTGCGACGGGCGCAGCACACTGGTTCAATAGTTCGCGTTTTGCCAAAGAGTTTTTTTTTCTTAGTAGAATATATCTCTTTATTCCTAAAATAGAAATATTGATACTATTTATATTTACCCCTATATAATATATTTTCTTATAATAATATATTATATAATATATCTAGAGATAACTTAGTATTATATAATATAGTTAGGAGATATATAATATATCCCCTAAGATTATTAGTACTTATTAAAAAACAACCTAGATATAGAGATATTACTCTATATCTATAGCTATTTACGTATAAATAGCCCTATTTCTTTTATTATTATATATATTTATAAGACTATAAAGTATACCCTTAGACCTAATAGTTACTATTAACTATATATAGACTTGGGTCGAGTCTCAAGCAAGTAGGGGAGGATGTAATCCTAGGTACACTTTTACCTTATACTTTAGGCCACTTTCGGGCTATTTCTACTATATTTTACCATATTCGTGTCTATATAGACACATTCATTCACTATAGTAAATAAACATGCTCTTACACTCTCGTGATCTCATAATTGACCAGCTGATCTCTAGTATACTATAGTATATCAACACTATACATACCACAAGAGATTAGTATACAGAATACTAGGTTGGGATATCTAGAGTGACTAACCACAAGTATCTAAACCCTACTACCTCTGCTTCCTAAGCCACCTTTACCACCTAGCTCTCTCTACCACCACCACCACACACTATAGTGCGCTACATGTATATCATAGGATAGTTGTTAATTTGTCAACTACAATGACGCATTGGGTGGCCAAAATTATTAAGAATAAAGGGTGGTATACTAAATATTAGGCAGCTGAATAGAATTTGTGAGGTTTTACTAGTGTGGCAGAGAAATAGGGCAGAAAAATAAGGGTACTAGGGTTTAGATACTAATGGGCCGCCACTGTAGATTGATGTTAATCCTAAAGTGTTAGTTATTTTTTAGGTAATTTGATAACGTTATGCTAGAAATATAGTCTAGTGTGGCGATGGTAGTAGAAGAGGATATGCCATATAAACGCGGGTGTCAATGGACTTTTGACCTATGAGTGTAATAAGATATGAAATTGCAGGGTTTTGCATTTGGTATGTGTTTTGGAGTGCGCGGACGTAAGCGGGAAACACGTTCAAATCCCCCCTTACTCTCTTTCTGGGTTTGGGTTGCGACCAATAGGGGATGAGCAACCGATTCTGACTACTCACGATACGGGTAGGTTGCGACACGGCCATTGATGGGGTCTGAAATGGTCTTTTGTCCTCCAGGAGTGGGGACGGCGTCCTCACAAGGGTTGTCATCTTGTTTTGCTGTACCTGTAGATACCAGTACTGTTTGTCTAGATATATCGTACAGTGGTGCCTCGATCAATGATCATTATACCAATCCCGCCGAGTGGACTCCAGACTTGTAGGCATTAAGGGCAATTGATAGGCGGAGGATCGACTCGACGATCGAAATCCACCCGGTCATCAATCACCGAACCCCTCTCATGTGCCAGATCCCAGGTGACTCAAGGTCAATGGCCAATGGTATGGACCCAAATGGCAAAGGAAAACAAGGCTCCGCCCGGAAAAGGACCTGGCGTGAAAGCGTGGGTGAAAGAGAGGACAGCACCCGGGGCGGGGGGTTTGCCTCGGCCAGAGTCGGAAGTCAGTCACCTGCCCAGCGGAGATAAGAGGAGCGAAGACTATGTATGTGTGACCGGGCCAGGACCAATGCTCTTCGGAATTATGGGAGTGCTCTCCCACTGTACGAGGTGATATGGCATGATTCCGATCGTGCCCATGATCATGATCTTGCATCGTCCTGCTTCTGTCCTCTCCTCCAGACCATGACTCTGTTCCCTGGAGATCGACAGGATCACGCTACACGCGCGGGCGGATCATTAGGAGGGGGTGGCACGTCCGTCCACCAAGTGGGCCCCCTCATTGGTGGAGTGGCGATCTGACATCCTATTAGTCCTCGATGAGTCAGTCCTAATGGGTGATTGTCCGCATGGGATGTTGTCATGCGCCCCCATCCCCGAGGGGCCCAATGGGCGCCACCAGGCTGCAGTGGCTAGGGCCCTGTTTGCCGATCTGTGGGTGTCATCTTCGTCACTAGAAAGGAGGGCTTGAGGGTGGTGATGATAAGCGGAGGAGGCGGACGAGAGGAGAAGGGAAGGTAATTGGGTCCCAATCCAATCCAATGGGATGTAACCCGGTGAATTGTGGTCGCGATTCAACTGCGCGGAAGAGAGTAAGTATATAATATAATAGATATCATAGGAGAAGGAGTTAGCGGGGGAGTTGGGCTGGGATGATCACGAGTCGGACGTACGGGGTGGTGTATTGAGGGTGTACATGTACTGTATTGAGAGTGTATCGAAGTAAGGCCAGCGGTACGGAGGCGCAGATGACTGACTGCCTTACGCGCCGCCCCGCAGTTGGTCACCTTCACAGCCCCCCCGGGGGTTATCTTGTTGGTTCACTGCATTTAGTTCGCTAGAGTGATCGCATTGACTAGACTGATTGGTGGGTCGCGCTCCCAATGACCTATTGACCCATTGACCCATTGACCTCGCCAATTGACTCATACCCTACACCGGATATGGCTATATCTGGGTATGGATATATGGAGGACCGCCCAGATACCAGCAGACACCAGGGTGATCTGGTATTCTTACCAGATCATTACCCTATCACACCGTAGGTTTATTATGGGAAATCGGGTCAGATAAGACCATCGGCCACACACTAGTCCGTCAGTATTCTTCCTCTGTACGGAGAAACTCCTGTAATCGTAACTAAACCCTGGTATGACCCTGTTCCTCCTCGGATTCTGCCTAACCAGATTCCATCTCATCTCTCCATGGTTGAGCCCCCTCATGACCGTGGCCCAGTCGCTTCCCCCCCTCCCTCCGCTCCTGCATTTCCATCCTCCCTCTTAAATACTCCTCTCCCCCACCAACCTGTCGGCCTCGCCTTTCGCCCCCTTTTTGCCTTGTGTGCTGACCCGTGTTGACTCATTGTCGGCCATTGGCACTTAACCCCGGTATCGCCACTGCTGCCTGACAAATCACCTGGGTGTTGGACATTCATTTCCATTGACTTCCACCCTCGTCATTTGAGCACATCAAAAACGCTGGATTCAAACTTGCCTCTCTCGCGCTCCCCGTTTTCCTTCCTCCTTTCCTCTTCCCTTTCCCATTCTTTCACCTCCCACTCTCGCCACCTACCGCAATCTTCCCTCCCCGTGCCATTATCTGACCAGAGATCTCTCTCTGGACAATTGCGACACCAAGAACACCAAGAAACGAAGAGACAATTCCCCTCCCCTTCATAGTTCCCTTATCGGAATGTTCACCTCCTCTGGTGTACAGCCGCCGCTACAGTCGCAACCACCGCAGCAGCCAGGCAAACACCCTTCCTCCACATCCACCATGAGTCGTCTTCCCGTTTCTAGCCTCATGTCACCCCCCGAGACGAAGCCGCTGGAGAGCTTTCACCCCTCCTCCCCCTTTGCAAAGCCCGACCCGTCGTCCCTCGGGGGGATGGTGAAACTACCCCCCATCTCAGCTGATCGCAAGCGAACACAGTCCGAGATGGATTTGCCCTCGCCACCGGTGACCCCCTACACCGGCATCAAGAAGCGACGATCTCACACGGCAGACCAGATTGAACACGATGTCGAGGCCCATGCCTCCCGGGACCCTGTGCTCTTCCCTCGCCATGACTCCGTGGCCCGGGAGGAGCCCCTGTTTGGTCCCATCCCCCCTCCCGCCGCAGAGGCTCTCGTGGAGCAGCATATCAACTCGCACATGGCCCGGTTTGAGAACAAGCGGAACAAACCTACCCGTGATGAATATCTTCTGGCGCTGTCGTGTGTGCCCGTTGTCTCGACCCAGTACAATCGCAACCCGGCCGCTTGGGCCCGGGAGGAACGGGAAACGCTCGAGCGCCAGCTGGTCTTGATGAATCGCTACCGACCGTCGGGAGAGCTGGAGGCCAAGCTGAAGAAGATCGCCCCAGCCCCCATCAAGAAAGTAGGAGGAGGGACCCTGCGCGTTCCCCGGACCCGCGTCAAGCGTACCCCCAAATCTACCCCCAAGCAGCAGACCCTGGATACATTCGACTCTTCCCCTCCCTCTGCTTCTAAACCCCGTGCCTTGGGCACCAATCGGGATGATACCGAATTCCATAGCCTGCCCGACTACTCACCTCCACTCGAGACGGTGGGCAGTAACACGAAGGCCCTCAAGGCAGACTGGAAGGGGCAGATGCTGGATTTGAGCAATGACCCGGACCGACGCCTGCTCAGTCCCGCCGAGCTCAATCTGGCCTCGACTCTCCGGCTGTCCTGTGCGACCTACCTGTGCAGCAAGCGCCGAATCTTTGAAGCTCGGGTACGCGCCCTCGGCGTGGGCAAAGAGTTCCGCAAGACCGATGCTCAACAGGCCTGCAAGATTGACGTCAACAAAGCTAGCAAGCTCTGGACCGCCTACGACCGAGTGGGATGGTTCAAGCCGGAGTATTTCCATCAATATCTGAGATAATCTCATCACCCCCTTTCCCTTTCCATCCGGGAAGAGGAAATGATTGATCTGTCGCTTCGTACGGATCGCAGCTACCTCCCCCAACATCAATTGGCTTGACAGCATCGTCCACCATACAAACGAGACCCTCTCCCGCCCTCCTTTCCCCACCCCCCTTCTCTCTTCTTACGTGCTCTCATGGCTGGTCTTCTCCTACCATGGCACCGGTTGAGACTGACGTGTACATGCGAGACATACTCCTGTCACACCTTGTGATTTTGTGCCTGTTCTCACACCACCAGAGACATGGCCATGATGCGGGTAACTAACCGTCTTGGCCTTGTTGGACCAAGCCATTTGAATGTTAATCCTCCCTGACTCCAGTCCTGCTGCTCGCTTCTTCGACACAACTCCCAGGTATCCGGACTTCTGGTCCCTCTCACATCGTGGCTTCTATTCGGTTTTTATGATCACTTTTTCATGTCCGCTATGCATGACGACACATTCCTTTCCAGATATCATCTCAGTACAGGACACTGTTCTTCTTTTCGCTAGTCTTCTCTCTCCGCATAGTATGTTGCTTTTGGACACGATGCATCGCTTTTCCATGCGATTTTCTATTTTAACGGCTTTGGCGTTCAGGATTGCTGCTTTTCCCTATCTAGAATGGCAGGCTTGGGTCAACTCGCGGTGCTTCATTTCGTTTCGTTTCGTTTCTTTTTTTTCTTGATTTCTCTGTTGACTTTCTCTCTTTTCACCTTGTGTGCTTTGTTCTCATCCCCTGGTAAAGCTTTTACGAGAAGAGCATGGGGGATGGCTCGACATGATACCCTGACCAGATCCGATTCTTGAATGACATATCCACTGTGAATGATTTTTGTTCTTTGCTCTTGATCGCAATTGTATCTTCCAACTTGGTTCCACTTGGTTGACTCCCAAGGCCATCTCTTAATGTAATCTTAGTCGGACGACCTGTTACAGATCTCATGGATGATGGCCCCTGCCATCATTTGCAGAGTGTGGCCAGGCCGCCAGGCCTATGGTTCGCCTGAAGTGTGGGGCGCCCAACGCCAGTCCAGTGATCTTACTCCGCCCGGCGCCACCTTTTTCTGACGTCTCCCGCACTGCGACTTATCCTCCATCCCTCCATCCCTCCATCTCTGCCTTCCCTATCTTACCTACGCGCGATACCCGTCGCCATGTCGCAGGCCGAGGTTCCCCGTGCCGAGTCCATCGACGAGCAAGAGCGCGCTCATGCCGATGGCGACAAGAAGCCTAAGTCTCGAAGACCCGCTAGTCCGCATCCCCCTTTGCCCGAGCCTCGAACCTGATCCCCCCGACTGACCCCATGCGTTGTTAGACACCGCATTTCGGCAACAGCGATTGAAAGCATGGCAGTGAGCCTGCCCTTTGATTCCGGATGATCCGATCCCCTCCTCTTCCCCCCCGGGACTGACCGCTACCTCCCGCTTAGACCGATCTTGACCCCCAAAAGTGTGCTTCCTTTGTTCTTCATCGTCGGCGTCCTCTTTGCTCCTATCGGCGGTGTCCTTCTCTGGGCGAGCTCGCAGGTACGGTTATGACTTGCGACTGACTCTCCTCGCACATCTGACACCCCCTGGTTTCGCCTAGGTCCAAGAGCTTGTCATCGACTACACCGATTGTGCCACCAGCGCGCCGGAAAATACCAAAGCAGATATCTCATCCCGGGTGTCCGCAACATTCAAAGCATCGACAGCGTCTAGCAAATATTTATGGCAACGGTCCAATACTACTGACAATCAAACCGTCTGCTCTCTCTACTTTACGATTCCCGAGTCAATGGGCCCGCCGGTCTTCCTGTATTACCGCCTGACCAATTTCTACCAGAACCATCGTCGCTATGTCCAGTCACTGGATTTGGATCAGTTGAAGGGCACGGCGGTGCCTAACGGTACGATTTCGGGCAGCGTGTGTGACCCTTTGGCGACTGACGATGCTACCGGGAAGGCTTACTACCCCTGTGGCCTGATCGCCAACTCCATGTTCAATGACTCGATCGGCAATCCGATCCGAACAGCTAGCACCTCGACTAACTACACGATGACCACGAAGGGAATTGCTTGGGATAGTGATAAGGCGCTGATTAAGCAGACGAAGTACAAGCCCTGGGAAGTTGTCCCCCCACCGAACTGGAGTGAATACAACGGTACCTACGAGAAAACCGGCATCCCCAATCTTCACGAAAGAGAGGATTTCATGGTCTGGATGCGCACGGCGGGGTTGCCATCCTTTAGCAAACTCGCTCGCAGGAATGATGATACCGCCATGCCACAGGGGGATTATCAACTGGACATTCTCGATCGTATGTTACTTGATGGAACCCCTACTTGTTACTTCCTCCATCCAAATGAAAGGGTTATTGACCATGGACTATTAGGATTTCCGGTCGCCGAATACGATGGCACCAAGTCGATTCTACTCTCGACTCGAACCGTCATTGGTGGCAAGAATCCCTTCATGGGAATTGCTTATGTGGTGGTTGGTGGTGTTTGTGTGCTTTTGGGAGCTTTGTTCACTGTGGCCTATTTGGTCCGCCCGAGGTATGATCTAATCAATGCTGAACCTGGTCCTGAAACCCCCCAAGGACTGTTACAAAGACTAATCTCTTGTAGAAAACTGGGTGATCACACCTATCTAACATGGGATTCAACCAACCAGCCAAGCACTGCAACAGCCTCTGGGCGGGATGATCGACTGCGACCCAATGCACCTTAGGCCTTAGGTTCACCTACCCCAAAATTTCTTGTTGTTTTCCTTGGGCGGTTCCTTTCAACTTCCCCCGAACCCCTTTTTTTCTTCTTCTTCTTTTATGTTGATCTTTTCTTTTTCTTCTGGTTTTAATACTCCATGGGCCGGTAGCTATACTGTGTATAAACAGACCGTCCTGGATCGGGTGTTTGGCAAGGAGTTTCTATGTATCTAACATTTGTCACAACAACGAGCATTCTTTACTTCTTTCTCTCACCCTTGGATGACCTCATCCCCACTGCCGCGGAATTGGCCAGCCTTGTTGGATGCCAATGAAGTGCACGTTTTCTCTGCTCCGCCTGTTTTGCAGCTGCCGATCCCTCGGGACATCAACGCCCCCCCTTGCGTGGGACATGCATTCCGTTCATGACGCAGCATTCTCCGGACTCAGAGCATCCAACCGGGTCCATTGAGACTGGGTCATATACTGGATGGGTTCGCGGACAGGGAATAATTCTCCACGGGTTGTGACGGAGGAATCGCGACATCAGGGCACTCAACACCAGCAACATCATGGTCTGTCACTCTTTGGCTCCGTTCGTGGTTTTAGTCGCAGCCCTCTTCCTCCGGCAGGTGCAATGCAGTCCTGTGGTATTTGAAAAGCGCGGCATCTGCGCCGCCGAGGATCCAGACACAACTTTCTTGAGCGCCATTGAACATGTCAAAACCGACGAGACCCAACCAACTGATGCTGGGTCGGAAGCCCGCAAGGGCCCCATTGAGATCGAAACCTGGTTCCATATCATCACCAGCAGTGCGGAGCGAGACCAGGTTTCCGATGACATGATTGCCTCTCAGGTCCGCTTCACTATTCCCTCCGTACTCCCCCCAATGCACCAAACTGCCAAATGCTAAGTTGTGCATTTAGTTTTCTATCCTACAATATGCTTACGAGAATGCGGCCATTCGATATCGACTACGAGGTGTCACACGCCACGTTAATGATGCTTGGGCTCGCAATGCAGATGATCTGGGCATGAAGGCTGCCCTCCGGAAAGGAACCTACCAGACCTTGAATGTATACTTCCAAACCGATCTTCAAGCCTCCCCAGGGCAAGCAGGACGTGAAGGCCGCCCTGAAATTCCTCGTACAAACGACCTCTCGTCCAGCGTGCTGGGGTTTTGCACACTTCCCGACCCAAGTGTGAATGCCAGCAGCCCCCGCGCCGACTATATCAAGGATGGCTGCAATGTGCTCGCCAATACGATGCCCGGGGGCTCATTAGATCTTTACAATCGAGGAGGGACTGCAATTCACGAGATTGGACACTGGAACGGTCTCCTGCACACCTTTCAAGGAGAGTCTTGTTCTGCGGACAACCCCGGGGACTATATTGCCGACACGCCCCAGCAGTCCAGCCCTACAGACGGATGCCCTGCCCGAAGAGACTCATGCCCGCATTCCCCGGGGCTGGACCCCATCCACGATTTCATGGACTACTCCTCTGACGTCTGCTACGAGAGTTTCACGCCGGGCCAGAACGAACGCATGCGAAACATGTGGGTGTCGATGCGTGCCGGGAAATAGATGCCGGGAGTCTCACTGTAGCTTGGCTTAGCCATCTTCTATACAGAAAATAGATCAGAGGCTACCTGAAGGTGATGATAGCTGTGTACAATCTTACTCTCTAGTGTCATGGGCACTGGCTGGTATGATATGATTGGCCTACCGACGAGTTGTAGACCCAACGGAACATTACTATGGTTTGGCGATGGGTTACATCAAAGGGAAATAAATCACATTTGAAGAATTGTTTCATAAGCCAGAACTGCAAAGATTGGTTTGTCTTTGATAACGGCAGGTGTCCTCGTAGTTAGTCCCAATCCTACCGATACTGAACCACAAAAGCAAACAATTATGAAGACAAACAGGTCTGAGCCTGAAGAAAAGAACCGAGTACATAATTGCCCCTGCCCAGTAAAAATGGACTAAAAGGCCATTCATCTCCACCATCCGCCCGTTGACACAATTAGCGCTTCCGCTTGATACCGCGGTCATCCTCGTCCATCCTGTTCTCCTTGTCCTGGCGCTTTGCTTTCTTCTCCAGCTCGTCCCAATCCTCACCACTCTCCTCGTCGCCACTGAACTCTTCCTCGCTCCCGTCAGCGCTAGCATCTTCATCATACTCGCTGTCTTCCTCAGAGCTCTCATCAGCAGCCAGCTCCGAGCCGGACGGTTCGAATGCCGACTCTTCCTCCTCCTCAGAGCCCTCCGAGTCCGACTCAGCGGCCAGGAAAGACCAACCGCCGTCGGCGAAGAAGCCGTATGGATCACTCACGACCGTCTTCATGATCGTGGTCCAGTTCAGGTTCAGCGGACCCTCAGTGAAGGCGATATCAACGGAGTCTAGCCAGTCCTTGACGCCCTCTAGTGCCTCCATAGGGATTGTGTTGACATGAACGGGAGCGCGGTGGAAGTCCTTAAACACGAAGACAAGATCGAAGTTTTTGAGACCAAACTGTTGAGATGTTAGCAACTCCGCACGACATACATCCGCTTCGGAAGGAAAGGAGCTTTGGTCATACCTGCACTCTCTCCAAATGGGCAATCTCAATCTCATTGAGCGTTATGACCATGAAGGGCGGCTCAGTGAGCTGCACGAGAGCGTCCGTAGTGGGCTGAATCAAGACATTGGAACGATTGGGGACACCAGTAAATCCAATCTCTCGGAAGGGAATGTCGACATCCACCCCTTCATCCTTTCCAGCATCGGCAATCTTCTCGGCAAACGCCTTGAACTCACGGTCGAGCGCGGCTCTCCGCCGTCTTTCTTCCTGCTCAGCCTCAAACTCTTCTTCATCACCATACCGGTGCTTGCGCCGACGATTGCCAGTTTCATCGAACTGCATCTCGGTGGCCTCGCGGTAGAACTGCACATCCCGAGTCTTTCTCTTTCCAATAATGATGGGTGTCTTCAGGTGGACATGAATGAGAACGATCAGCTCATGCGCGCAAGGCTGGAAGAAGAGATGCTTGACGTTGCTGAACAGCACGTCGACATGCTCGCTTCGGAAAGGTGACAAGTAGCGAAGACCATTCTGGTGAATTTCCACTTCGCCAGGTACACGCTTGCCATCCAAGGGAGGTCGCAGATACACGTCGGGCAATTTCACCGGACGTCGGTCTAAGCCTTTGTGTTAGCATCCAAGACAGGACAGAACTTCCATTGGCAGTTGACGGTGACATACTTCTGATTTCAACGAGCTTGTCCTGCTCAACCACATCCTCCAATTCCTTCTTTTCCTGCTCCCGCCTCAAGGCGGTCTTGCGAAGTTCAGTGATATCCTGCGCGACTTGCGCAAGTCTATCGTTATTCTTGGACCGCAGGGTCAGATTGCGAACGAAGTGGGCGGACGGATCTTCAAATGGCTGATCGTCCTTGCGGCCCACTCCCTGGCCGGGGGAAAGGAAGTTGATCCGCAGATAAGCATATTCGCCTTCATCACTCTTGCTCGCGTTTTTGATTGTGTTAATGTGGAAAGGCACGGGCCTGCCCATGATGGGGACGATGACAGTCGCGGCTTTGTGATCAACGTAGACCGTCAAATCCTTGACTTTGAGAGGTAGCTGATTATCGCGCTTGTAGGACTCAAAGCGCTTGAATTTCTTCTGGGCCACACCATTGTCGTCTCCAGTGGTGCCCGTGAACCTGTCCAGGCCCTCCTTTGTCTTCTTTCCAGCAAGCTCTTTCTGGTGCTCACGGCGACGAGCTTCGGCACCCTCGTTGATCTGGGTTGGTCGCTCGGCACGCAATTTGGTCCGCGTGACATTTCGGCTTGCAATGGCACTGGATTTCGACTCTTTTTTCTCCTTCACAGGCTTCTCAGGCTCTTCTTCATCTCCGAAGTAGAATGAGACAGAATCCATGTCAATACCGGCATCTTTGGTGAAAATGTGAGGGCTGCTCTCTCCAACACGAACAGTGTCGGTGATCACCATGGAGTAAACATCACTTCCCTTAGACTTTGAGTCCGTATCCTTCACATCCGTCAGGCCGATGGTGATCGCCAGCGTCATGCCATTCTTGAGAACGCGGTTGTTCTTGGCGTTGAGGATCATGTTCGTATCCCGCAATTCAATACCAATGCCCGCACCGACGTTCTTGGTCAGGTGGTTCTCCAGTTCGGGCTTTTTGATCGGACAAGGCCGAGTGCCTTGTTGTACAGATCTTTAGCCACCACCCCGTCACGGATCTCTTTCATAACCACATCGTGGAGATTCAGCAGGAACGCGTAGTTTGCTTCCTGAGACTTGCTGGGATCCACCAGATACGTCCGTCCGATGAGTGAATTGTACGTTTTGTAGCGGATACCAAAGCTGGACAAGATGATGCCCGGCTTCAGGTTGCTGCTGTCGGAAGTAGCAGTCAACTTCAGATCGTAGGCCCCTCCACTCTGCACCACCGGTCCGTAAGCCCAGTCAATCTGGTCGGCGTCAAACTCAGAAGGCAGGCGCGCAAGCTTGTTGAAAAATTTGGAATCGTCCATTTTAGCATCCACCTTCGCCGCGAGAGCCTTGTGAGTGATCGGCTTCTCTTCGTCAAGCAGTCGGGACATCTCGTCCACGAAGTACTCCGACATCAAACCACTGCAAGCCCTGGATGCATTGCGAATAGAAACCTGCATACACCGTCAGCGATTATTCTCTGTCAGTCCAACATGGAAGCAAAAATCACCAGCTCCTCCGGGTCCTTGATCGCAAAGGCGGTGGAAAGCGCCGGGGTGATGTCCACCTCCTCCACCTCCTTCGAGATGTCTGAGAACGCGCGTTTCCAATCGTCGGCGAACGGTCCGGTGGTTGTATCTTTGGGTAGGGTGCCGACTTTCTTCTGTGATTGAGGTAGTTAGTCAACTATGAAATCTTCTCACTTTGACGATCCAGGCCTGTAGAAAGAGCTTACCCCAGCGCCCTTGATAACATCAAGGCACTTTTCGAAAGCTTTGGTTTTCGACTCTGGATCCTTGGTCGTCACAAGAAGCTCAACTGGGATCTTCCCACCCTTTAAAGGCTCGAGAAGTTCAGCTATTTTCCCAATTTATTAGTCCCATGCCACGCAGTATAGCAGAATCGGATCGGAACGCACCCTTCTTGGCTGTTGTGACCACGTAAATCGCTTCGGTCGTCAGGACTAAGAGAGTCGCGGGGAACTCGTAGCCGAGAAGCCAGAACTAAAGATGACAACCCGTTAGCATTCAGCGGCGGATCTGACGTATTGGCAGCCGGGAAACAGATAGGAAACCGATGACATACGTGCATGGCGTTGTTCTTTTGGAATGAGCTCTCGTCGCTCTTGGTCTTGCCCATGAGAATGACAATCGAGCCGGCGCCGCCAAACAGGGCGTTAGACGAGCGCTTGTCGGCCTTCCATGACGCATAGAAGTTTGATAGGTGGTTGAAGAAGGTGTTCTTGTCAATCGCAATCTTCTCAGCCATCTTGACAGCCTGGGGCAAGCAAGGCTTGCTTGCAACAGCGAGAGACCGGGCGCGAAAAAGGGTGTTGGAAGCTAACAAGGGAATCAAGGTCGCATGCGATAGAGAACTCGAATCGAAAGTGAGATGAAGGAAAGATAAGGCGGAGTGTTGATGTGGTGATGCCAGGAAGGCTGACCCTTGGAGAAGGAGAGGGAGAGGAGGACGCGAAAAGCGCGTTTGGAGTTCCCAGCGGCTTCCCGTGCCCAGTTTTGCCTTTTGCGGCTTAGCGGGGGTTGCGGCCGCGGAAGTGGGGATCTTCAGTCTGGCACTTGCAGTCTTGCAGCCTCCGCGCTTTTGTTCTCACCCATTACTTTTCCTCCGGCACAGGAGAGCCCCCCTCACCCCGTAAATTTATGTGGTCGTCACTATGTGCTATACGGAATTTGACGTGGCCACTTGCTTTGACAGCCTCCTGTGATTCCTCGACTTGGTGACGCGCCTCCGTCGACAGAGACAAACAATAGCGATACAGCATGCTGCGAGGGCTTGACTCGGAACAACCAGATCTGTCATGAACCCCATTTTCCTTGAGCCCCATCTCGGCGACCCAGGGGTTTCTCGAAGGAAATCGCGCAATGATGCTGCTACTGGAGCATCGGCTGCGGGCGTCCGCGCCCTCAGTGCGCAGATGGTGGCTTTCTATTTCCGGGCCCCGATCAAGGCCTTCTTTCGCACTCGCGTTGAGTATGTAGCCTCTTGATCGACCTGTTGTTGTCCTTGTGTTAATCGGTATTAGTTATATGGTACATCCGTTCCACTCCTCGTCCCGATGCTTCTTCCACTAATCCTTGCCCCTCGGCCGGTCTTTCCAACAGGCCTTCGCAAGAGCTGTGAACCCTCGCGTTGCCGAAGGCAAATGGTCTCTCCATACCACCACACCTGGCCTATTGCTTCATGCAGTCCGGACATATGGTTGGCGATTCATTCCAAACCAGGTCTTGCCGCCTTTGATGGCCAATGCGGGGTGAGCCATGAAGAACCGATCCCCTGAGTGGAGACGTATCTGACCGGGGTTTCTCTCTCTCTCTCTTTCTATATTACAGTGTCGGTGCCGTTCTATATACATCCTACCTTCAAGTCCTTGGAGCCCTCCATGAACCCGTTTCGCAGGGCGTCAAGCGAGTGTGGCCTCCGGCTCCTCCGTCGGCCACCTTCACCGCAGGGTTTGCGGCCGGCACCATCCAATCGATCGTGGCCGCCCCCTTAGATGCCCTACAGGTTCGCTTTCAGACAAACGACATGCTAGATGGCCAATATCGCAGTATGTGGCATTATGGGCACCATAAACTGAAGCAGATCGGCCTACGGGGAGTCTTCGCCGGGTGGAGTCTCTCCTTCCTGCGAGACTCGATGGGCTATGCCGTTTTCTTCTCTGCTTTTGAATACATCAAGTCGCAGTCGTACTACTCCTTCACCACTTGGTACTATGGGGCGCTACGTGCCGAAACGGTGGACATGCTGCCTTCTCCTGGGGCCAGCGACCGGGGAGTGCCTCTCATCAAGCCACACTATGCCTTGGAGCCCTGCTTTCTCATGATGGCGGGCGTGGTGGCATCTGTGGCCCAGCAGACTATTCAACACCCGCTCAGCCGAGTCCAAGACCTCCACCTGGGTCGCTTGGAGTATCTCGACCACCAGGCGAGTCTGGATCCCTCGCGGAAGCAGATGCTGCGGCTGTACTACCACGCCTACCAGGAGACCTGGAAACGGTGCCGACGCAAGGCTGCGCGGGCCGGGGGTGGCGGGCGTGGCTCTTCCGTGGGTTTGGCGGCAGTGCGCTTCGCCAAGTGCCCAGCACCAGTGCGGGTCTGGTGATCTTCGAGCTGGTGCGTCGACGCTACGCGAGTCTGGCGGATGCGGTGCACATCCAGAAGGATGGATACGATATCCTCCTCACCTAGTATTTTACAAAGTGCATCTTGTCTCTCTCTTCTTCCTCTTCTTCTTGTCCCCTAGTTTGTTCTTACTGTCGATTTCTTGTCCACTTGCTTTTCTTTCGTTGGAGCCCATGGAAGCATTGCATCTTGCATCTTGTACATCGTACCCTCTCTTACATAGATTTGGTTCCCCACTTCGCCGCAGCAGATGATACCCTTCCCCCCATTGAAGATCATACAACGAGCAGAATTCTAGAAAGAGTCATCCCGAAGGGTCATGCAGACCGCACGGGCGCGGCAAAGGCGCCGCAGGTACCCTGCGGAGGCTTTTGGGCTTGAGCGTACCACCGCAGCAGCAGCTATGCAAGGGTCTGATCAGGTATCGTGCATCGGTGGATGTCCTTGTGCCGCCGGGAATGAAGTAGTGTATGGTTTCGACCTCTGTGCGGGAGCTCGACAGGATATGTAGGTTGGTGTACTTTAGGACAGCGTACGTGCGGGTGGACGTCCCCGCAGTATGGCGCCGCATTCGATCGATCTCCATACATAATTTCGTTCTTAGCGAATGAAGAATACAGCCAAAGTTGCCCGCTGGTAAATGCTCTGCTGTTCTTTTTTGTTCCTCGCGACAGGGCTTGCCCCCATCCTCCGGAGTGGATTAGGGGGTCATTATTTTCTGCGATATGCTAGCCCCCGGTGTGATTCCCAGAGCCCCTTTGGCCTAACCCCCTACACGATGTGTATTCAGCGATCGATATCCCTTTTACGTCTTATGTCTATGTGAGTCGGAGTCGGGCATGGTCGCCATGCCTCCACCAGCGTTGGGCGGGCCTTTTGGGGGCTCCACTGTGGATCACTTCCCGCATTTGACACTACGACGCCTTTTACGTAGACGGACCCCGTATTTCGAGACCCCTGGTGGACGGAACTGAGCTGAATCCGGGCTCAGCCTTGGTCTCTTCTTTTCTCTCCGGAACGATATCGGAAACACCCGCACTTCACCTTGCATCGATCAGCTTTCGCTCTCTCCTGGACCCTGTTGGGCTACTCGGCGCATCCGACATATCTCCCCCCTTAGCCTACTACTACTTGCGAGGGCTACCATCTGCGGGGGACCCGACCACCGGCATCCCTCTTGCTTCTTGCTTCTTGCTTCTTGCGTCTTGCGTGGACCTTCTGTTGAGTCGTGTAATCGGCGTTGATTCACCTCCTCCGCCTGACCCTCCTCCTCCTCCGCCCCCTCCACATCTCCGTTCCCACTGGCCGTGGAACGGCCGTCATCTGCGTCGATCGCGCGGCGTGACTGGCAACGAACTGCCTATTGTGACCGCTTCAACCTGCGTGGCGCCGCTAGTAAGACTGTTCCAAGGGGAAGGAACTGGCTAGTCCGCCTGCCCGGTCAGATTCCCTGAGGATCGACGGTTGGTTGGGCCTAGGAACAGAGCAGAGCGCAGAGAGCCGGGCTGGAATATCAGTCCGCCCACCGCCAACATTCCTTCGTCAACCTCCCCACGCGCCATTCCCCTCCGCACCCTCTCCGATTCCCCGACCCTGTTCGCACTGGAATCCGCCAGCGAGAAGGGCAGCCGTCGGTCTTCCCATTCGTCGACTCGCTCGCGCGAGTCAGACTTCTCCGTCTGGTCAGACACCGGCGACCTTGCCGAACAGCTCGCCGAGGCCGAGGATCCGCTCCAGATCCGCCTCCACAGGTCGCTCAACCGGGAGCTCCTGGGGGGAGGTCGAAGGAAGCCCTCCAAGCGGGTCCACTACCCGCCTGATCTCGACCACCACGACCCGATCGACGCTGAGAAGGAGCAGATCCAGATCCCTAACCCCCTTCCGCGACGAATCTCGAGAGCCGAGCGCCTCTTAGTCGCCATCATGTCCCCTCGAAACGGGCAGAATGCCCAACTCCATGGCTTGGTGGGCAAGCCCTTGCTGTAAGTCGTTCAGGCCACCGTCTCATCCCGATCGGGTGGTTTAGAGAGCACTTTGGGCTGACGACCGGATCCTCCCCCTGCCGTAGGTACTTTACGAGTGTCTTTGTATCACTAGGCGTCTTCCTCTTTGGCTATGACCAAGGTGTCATGTCCGGCATTATCACGTCGGTTTCCTCCCCTCTCCCCCCTGCCTAAAAGCTGTCGACTCGAGCCCTTCCCCGCAGGCGACAGTCATGGAGATTCCACTAACCAATAAGCAGAGGATGGTACTTTCGTGATTACTTCAATCAGCCCTCTCGGGCCACCATCGGAACCGTGGTGGCCATTCTGGAAATCGGTGCGTTCATTTCCTCCCTCCTGGTCGGCCGTATTGGCGACGTGATCGGCCGTCGGCGGACGATTCTCTATGGCTCGATGGTGTTCTTCATCGGAGGCGCTTTGCAGACCTTCGCAGCCAGCATGCCCATGATGATGGTGGGGCGAATCATCGCCGGTCTTGGTGTTGGTGCCTTGTCCACCATTGTACCAGTCTATCAATCGGAAATTTCGGTAAACAACAAAACACTTTGAAACGCTGGGACCTGGCCACTGACATATTGTGTATAGCCTCCCCATAACCGTGGCAAATTGGCCTGTATTGAATTCACCGGCAATATTGCCGGATATGCCACCAGTGTCTGGGTGGACTATTTTTGCAGTTTCATCGAATCAGATATCTCGTGGCGCCTGCCCTTGCTATGCCAGTGCGTCATGGGTGCCTTGCTGGGTGTTGGAAGCTTGATTATCTGCGAATCTCCCCGGTAAGCAGGCGGCTGGCAGCGATCCGCGTCCCCCCTTCTCACCTGTCCTAACGACATTCTCCGTAGGTGGCTTCTCGATAACGATCACGACGAGGAAGGTATGGTGGTCATCGCAAACCTTTACGGCGAGGGTGATATCCATTGCGAGGAGGCACGCCAAGAGTATCGAGAGATTAAGATGAACGTCCTCCTGCAACGACAGGAGGGGGAACGGTCCTACTCAGATATGTTTAGGCGCTATTGGAAGCGAGTTCTGATTGCCATGTCCGCACAAGCATTGGCCCAGCTGAACGGGATCAACGTGATCTCCTACTATGCCCCGCTGGTCTTTGAATCCGCCGGCTGGGCGGGCCGGGACGCCATTCTCATGACGGGCATCAACGGCATTTCATACCTTCTCTCGACCGTTCCGCCATGGTATCTGGTGGATGGCTGGGGCCGACGGCCGATTCTTCTCTCCGGCGCAGTGGCCATGCTCATCTCCCTCTCTCTGATTTCCTACTTTATTCACATTGAGATTAAGGCGACCCCGACGCTGACCGTCGTTTTCGTGATGATCTATAATGCCGCCTTCGGGGCGTCCTGGGGTCCCATTCCCTGGCTCTACCCACCCGAGATTCTGCCTCTGAGCATTCGCGCCAAGGGTGCCAGTCTCAGCACGGCTAGCAATTGGGCCTTCAACTGGCTTGTTGGTGAATTGACCCCCATCTTGCAGGGTGCGATCGGGTGGCGACTCTATCTCGTGCATGCGTTTTTCTGCGCCTGCAGCTTTGTGGTTGGTAAGGGCTTCCCCTCCCTCCTTTACGAGATCCCCGGCATGTTCGTTCCTGACACCCCGATCTACAGTGTACTTCTTATATCCCGAGACCAGCGGGGTTCGCCTGGAAGACATGAATGTCTTATTCGGCGATGCCTCCACCGCGATGCCCACCCCGGCCACCGTTGGCGAGCGGGGATCATTGATGGGTCCGGGGTCGCCCGTGCCCTCGCTGGACATTCGCCGGCCGTATGGCCAGTTTGGCACCGACAGTGCTATTCCCGGGCTGGACATCGACCCCCCCTCCCTGGGTCATGACGGGCCGAGTAAATCGGGGCCATCGAATGCCCAGTCTGGCAGTCACCGGGGTGAGGGGATTGGCGGTTGGATCTCCAACATGGTCAACCGCCATCGGAGAGGCAGCACGGGAACTCACCCGAGCCAGTATAGACGCCTGGAACAAGGAGATGATGGGGATGAGCATTAGGAACGGATCGCGTATCGCGTATCGCCGCGAGCATCGATCATAAGATGGCGTTTTTTTGGGGGAGGTTGGCGGGGTTTCGTTGATTTCTCCTTTCCTTTTTGCTTCAGAGACCCCCCTGCCATTTCTCAACCACCCCTTACCCTTCTCGGTTGTCCATTGGGGGCCTATCTTCCTTGTAACCCTCCTTACTGATCCTTTATATATCTGTTGATTCCATCCCTGTTGCATACTTTCATCTACCTACGTGGCTCTGTTTCTCCGGCATGACGGTTGTATAGAGAGGCAACTGAGAAGAAACCTTGCATGGGGAGGCTCATATGGATCCTCCTGGCTCTGGATGGCTGTCGTTCTGGCGTGTCTCGTTGGCCGGGTGTTCTGTGTCTTTCTAAAATATTGGAGTGAAGCTCTCTGCATATACTGGACTGAATCGATTCAATTGACGGTGTCAAATGTACCACATCTGGGACATGGCTGTAGCGCGACATTATGGGACTGGGTGGAACGACCGTGGGCAGTCCGTGTGTGCCTTGGACTACTCACGGCCCCCAACTGTCCAAGGCTTGCGAGAATAAACCACCAACGTGACGAAACGACTCCACATGATTTCAGAACAGGAGCGAGCAGTCTGACTGTATGCTGTATGCTGTATGCAGCCAAACAATGTGGTTGGCAGCCACGTTCGCCCGAAAACGGCCGCCCCGGGCTTGCAGGGGGCTAAAACGGAAGTGGACTCTTGTTTATCCTTCCGGCCTTCTGGCCAGCTTGCCCTCTTCCTCAGCCGCCTCGTTTCTTTTGTCCTTCCCTTAACCCTCCCTTTCCTACCGTTTCTTTTATTATTATTCTTCGTCAGCGACCTAGCTGTTTGATCACTGCGACCTTTGGGGTCGCTATGATTCGCTGAGGCCTTGCTGCTCCTTCTTTCCTCCTTACGAATCGGCCACCCTGGTATCAACCGACCACCGATCACCGACCACCAACTGACCCATCCCATCCTAATAATCACCCTCCTTTGATTCAATTTGACTTGGCACCATGGTCAACATGGACACCGCCACCAGCACCGGCGCCCAGCACGACGCCGATCTGCGCCGCAGAAATGTTCCTGACACCGGAAGAGCCTCCGCGCCCACCTCCAGGCTCGATCACGATGTGAAAAAGACCAAGTCGGGCCAGGTATGAAATAACAAGGTGTGATAGCTGTGGGTGGTGCTAAAAAGACGTTCTGTGAACCCTAGTCCCCCTCTTTTCTGCACGTTCTCGCTGGCTGGGAACCGATTATTGCCCCGATCCTCCTGACAGCCCTTGCTTTGTTCACTCGACTGTATCGCATCGGCCGTTCTAATATTGTTACCTGGGATGAAGCTCAGTATGACCAGCCACCCCGCCCGGCGCGCAGGGCCCAACCCAATGGCAATGGCTGACAGAGTGCCTAGTTTCGGAAAGTTCGGCTCCCATTACCTGAAACGCGAGTTCTACTTCGATGTCCACCCCCCCTGGGAAAGATGCTGGTGGGTCTCTCGGGCTACCTCGCTGGCTACAATGGGTCCTTCGAATTTAAGTCCGGGGAGAAGTATCCGGAGGATGTGGACTACACCTTCATGCGAGCCTTCAATGCGATGTTTGGGGTCGTGTGTGTTCCTCTCGCCTACTATACCGCCCGCGAGTTGAACTTCCGCCGGGCCACGGTCTGGTTGATCAGCTTGATGGTCCTGTGCGAAAACTCCTATGCAACGATTTCCCGCTTCATTCTTCTAGATTCCATGCTTCTTTGCTTCACCTTCAGCACGACGATGTGCTGGGCCCGATTCCACCGTCTGCAGCATGCCAGCTTTTCGCCGGAGTGGTGGCTCTGGCTGTGCCTGACGGGATTCAATATCGGCTGCGTCTGCAGCGTGAAGTGGGTCGGCTTCTTCTGCACCGCGATCGTGGGTCTCTATACTGCCGAGGACCTCTGGAATAAATTCGGCGACGTGAAGATGCCGCCGGTGAGTCTCTTCGTGATGATTGATAGACCAGAGATGTAGCTGATCCGCGTGTTTCTAGACTCTGCTCGCAAAGCATCTCGTTGCTCGCGTGGGGGGCTTGATTGTCATCCCCATCTTGGTATACATGTTCTCCTTCTACCTGCACTTCACTGTCCTGTCCAACAGTGGTCCTGGGGATGCGCAGATGAGCTCTCTTTTCCAGGCGAACCTGCGTGGGACCGAAGTCGGTCGGGACAGCCCCCTGGAGATTGCACATGGGTCCCGAGTCACCATTAAGAACATGGGTTATGGCGGTGGTCTGCTTCACTCCCACGTTCAAACATACCCGGAGGGATCGAATCAGCAACAGGTCACCTGCTACCACCATAAGGATGCCAACAATGACTGGTTCATCTATCCGAACCGACTGGAGCCGGAGTATGATGCCGAGGGCGACCTGAAGTTCATCGCCGATGGTGATACCATCCGTCTCATCCACGGCCAGACCGGCCGTAACCTGCATTCTCACGCTATTCCCGCCCCGGTTTCCAAGTCCCACCACGAGGTTTCTTGCTACGGCAACATCACCATCGGAGATGACAAGGACCACTGGAAGATCGAAGTGGTAAACGATGCTGCCTCTAGAGATCGCTCTAAAATTCGGACCCTGACGACTGCATTCCGTTTGAGCCACCCATCGTTGGGCTGCTACCTGCGGGCTGGTAACGTCAACCTGCCCCAGTGGGGGTTCAAGCAGATCGAAACTACCTGTGTCAAGGAGAACAAGCCGGGTGACGTGTACACTCACTGGAATGTTGAGTCGCACTCCAATGAACGCTGTAAGCCTATCACATTTTCCCACGTGATCTGATATGAATGGGCGGCGTTTGTGACTGACCATGTTTGACACAGTGCCTCCTGGGGACCCGGGTTCCTATAAGTCGCCATTCCTCAAGGACTTCATCCACTTGAACGTTGCCATGATGACATCCAACAATGCCCTGGTCCCTGATCCGGATAAGCAGGACGACTTGGCCTCGAAGTTCTGGCAGTGGCCGATCCTGAATGTCGGTCTACGCATGTGCTCCTGGGATGATAGTGTGGTGAAGTACTACCTTCTCGGCAACCCGATCGTCTATTGGGGTAGCACTGGTGGTCTGGTTGGTTTCGGTCTTCTGTTCATCTGGTACCTCCTGCGCTGGCAGCGAGGATACAAGGAGCTGAGCCAGCAGGAAATTGACCATATTCACTACTCCGGCCTGTACCCGGCCATTGGTTGGGTCCTGCATTATCTTCCGTTCATTATTATGGCTCGTGTGACCTATGTCCACCACTACTACCCAGCACTCTACTATGCCATCCTCACCTTTGGTTTCTGCGTTGATTGGGTCACCCGCAGAATCAACGCCCGAGTCGCCGCCGTGGTGTATGCCATTCTCTATGCTATCGTTATCGGGCTGTTCATCCACTTCCGGGCCATTGTATTTGGAATGGAAGGTGATAACCAGCAGTGGGCCCACCTGCGCTGGCTGCCCGGATGGAAGATCGCGAACTAATGAGAGAGACGGTGAGAGGAGGGATCCCAAAAGAAAAGATGATGCTTTCTTTTTTAATCAATGTTTGGCGTGGGAATGTGAGCTCCCTTGTTTCATTTGATATTTGTTATAATGTGAAGCCCCGGTGAGCATGGGAGCTGAAAAGAGGAGCTAGACCGTTCATAATGGCGCTAATTTTGCTTATTTTGATGGATTATGCATTTGTAAAGATGAGTCTGGTTGATCGTCTTCACTGCATCGTGTGTCATATGTACTTTCTTGCAATCAGTGAAGCTTTGTAGCGCGTTGTAGTGGCAATTCGGCATCAAGCCCGCATTAAAATTGTCCGTCGCTTCCTCTCTTGATAGGCAGCCAGGGAGTCGAAGAATCCAGCTCTAGCAACAATTCCCGGTCCAACCACTGCCTTTGCGCATCGCATCATCCATCCCTAAAGTGACTGTTCTTGGAACGCCCGTGTGTGCACTTCCAGAGGCGCCAAAGCCCTTGACACCGCTGCGTCGGTCATTAAGATCATATCTGCCTGCTTCAATATTTCGGTAAATACGCTCGGCAACTTCCAAAAATGCCCGTTCCACACCATCTCCTGACTTGGCGCTGGTCTCAACGTAGCGCACAACATTGTTCAAGCGGCACCATTCCTCGGCTTCCTCCTGAGTGACCTGTCTTTGGTTGGAGCCCGATTCCTGCCCAGCCAAGTCTGTCTTATTTCCAACCAAGATGACCACAATGCCCTCCTCTGCGATCTGGCGTAGATCTTGCAGCCACTGCGTACAGGATACGAAGGTCGATCGCCGGGAGATATCGAAGACAAGAAGGGCCCCTGAAGCGCCTCGGAAATATGAGCGAGTGATGGACTTGTATGTTTCTTGACCGGCAGTGTCCCATAGAGAAAGCTTCATCCGTTTCTGGCTGGGGGGCTCCTGTGGCTTCCGCGGTGGAGTTGGGAGACCACCTGGGGCAGTCGGCGATTCCTCCGAAGCCGTCTCGCCGGGAGCACCGGACGGGCTGCGTGGAAGCTCATCTAGCCCTAGCTCCAGCGACGCAGGCGGCCCAACCGGCACAATCCTCGATCCAAACTCAACCCCGATGGTGACATCGTGAGTAGGGGAGAAACGACCTTCGCAAAGGCGGATGGTGAGCTATCCTGCTTTGTTAGCATATGATCGAGGTGGGGTCGCGTCAACCAACACGGCACTCACGCTGGACTTGCCGGTGCCCGAGTCACCGATGCAGACAAGCTTAGCAATATAATCCCATGGCTGTGACATGGAGAGAGTCGGTCCGACGTGGATGCGGCAACCTGTCGTGCGCGCAGCTCAGGAGATAGTTATCGGGGGCTGAGTCAGCTATCGCGGCCTGACCTGCCCGGATGACGCTTTCATCACCTGAATGACCTTCACCTTTTATCTCCCGCGCTGCTCGTCCTGCCCGGCTTGCAAGATCGGGAAAGCTTCAGACCAGGGTATCCGATTCCTCTGTTTCTTGCATCTTACAGCCTCGCACTCTGGAAATCCTTCATCTATCAGTCCTTTCATTTCCAGCGGATTTCCCGATAGTGGGCCATGTTCTCGGAATGTATGTATCGCCATGCCCTGTTTGATGCCTTGCTGACTGCGGTCCCCTTCGTCCCCACCAGATGCCTCACGCTTCCTCGCTCAGTCACAGTCGCGAGTAGCATCTCGGCCGGACGAGCTTCAAAGAACCGGTCGTGCCCCCCCAGCCAGCGCCAAGGGAGCTCACGATACCCATCCTCGCGCTCCTTCTTAAGAAGCGGTGACCCATATCGACCGGGTGCATCCCAGGTCTCCAACTTCCCATTTGCCTCGCGAGCCTCGGCTCAACCGGCTCCCTTGTTCTATAGTGCCACCGATGAATTCAGGGAAGAAGACGACGAGACCGAGCGGGAGCGCGAGATTGCGGATTTCTATGCCTTGCAACGATCACGGCGACAATTTGGCGATAGCAACCTAAAGGACTCCTCAGAGAACGACGAGGATTCAAACCACTCAGTGGAGTTTGATGAGGGGCATTCTCGATATGACGAGCGTCCCGGTAATGGAAAAGGGATCAAGAGCTCCTGGCGCGGGGAGAAGAGCATCCCTGCTCCCCGCCGCTCTCGGATCGAGACGGTGGCGGAAGTGACGGAGCAAGAGCATGGGTCTTATGCCAGCCCAAGCAGCAGTAAAGCCAGGGGCAATCTAGTCGATATTGGGCTAGAAGATTCCTTTCGAGCCGACCCAGACAATGCCAACCGGGCACCGTCTGAGATCGCTGGCGACAAGCCGCCCATCCAACGCTTCCGGGAACAACCTACCCTCAAAGAAGATTCCTTTGGGTTCAACATTACCGACAATTCTGCAGACCAGACCAAACCATTATTCGCCTCTGAAGTCCCACGGCGGCCCAGCTCCACGGGTTCCTTCCCAGCGTCGATTTCGCCTCTTACATCTGAGACGACCATGCACGATGCGTTCTGGGGTCAGCTCTTTTTGATCGCCCTGGCAGGACTATTCGCTACTGCGTTTCTAGTCTACCTGCATACTTCTGCTCCGTCCTCTGGAGACAAGTCACAATGGGGCGACACCATTTATTTCACCGTCCATGGATCCTACTTTCTACTAGGGGTCTATACTCTCGTATCGGTTCTCGTGTCCCTTCTTTGGCTGGCCTTGCTTCGATCCTATGTGCGACCTTTGGTCTATGTCATCATCGTTGCGGTACCCATCATCTTATTCTCCTTTTCTTTGTATCCTTTCATCTCGAGCTTCAAAGGCGCGTGGAATGGGACCAGCTTGCAAGACCGAGTGATGCGCTGGGGCTCTATCGTTCCCTTCGTGATGGCCACCCTATGGATCTACAACGTTATGCGAGGCCGTAGATCGATCGGAAAGGCGATCGGTGTCCTCGAGTTTGCGTGTCGCATTCTGGCTGCAAACCCAGAACTGCTTGCGCTCGGCCTGGTCATCCTTGCCTGCGTCGTTTGCTGGACGTGGATCTGGATGCTGATGTTCACTCGCGTGTTCCTCGGTGGCCACCTATCGGGATCGAGATCATTTATTATTGATCTCAGCAGCTGGTGGCTAGGCGTCTACTTCGTGCTAATTTATCTGTGGTCGATCGGGGTGATCGCGGGAATTCAGCGTGCCGTCACCGCTGCCACAGTCAGCCAATGGTACTTCCATCGTCTGGCAAGTCCAGCGCCCACGTCTAGACAGATTGTCCAGGCCGCTATCGTTCATGCTACCACTACCTTGGTTGGCACCATCAGCCTCTCGCGCCTGCTTGGGCTGCTGATTCGGCTTCCCTTACTTTTTCTCCCCAGCCGACTGTCCTCACTGCTCAGTCTTTTTGCCTACTCTCTTATTCCCACCCCCATTGCGTATCTGACAAACCCCCTCTCCCTGACCTACGCCGCAATTCACTCGCAGCCGCTGGCGGCTTCTGCGCGAGGCTTGAGCCACATGACCCTCCTCGCCCCATCGGCAGCTTCAACATCTCTCCATCCTCGCGCCTACTCCCGCTCACCAGGAGCATCAACATCTCTCCTTTCCTACCGGCTTTCGAAATTGATTCTCCATGCTGCACGCTTTATGATGTCTCTAGCCCTTGGTTTCGGCGGCTGGGTCACAACAGCCCGAAACCTAAACACGAGTGGTACCATTCGAGGCAGTTTGTATGCCTATGTGGTCGGCCTAATCGCAGGAACGATTGGCTGGAGCATATTGGGTGCGATGGAGAGCGTAGTTGCAGACATTGTGGATGCGGCTGTTATTTGCTGGGCCAGTGAGGTTGGTGTTTATGGCCGGGAAGCTCGATATTGCCGTGAGGCTGGGTGGTTATTTGGTGATTCAAACTCTGACTTCCGGCACGAGTATGGGGAGGCCTAGTCACTTTTGATGATTATGATCTCCTTTTCATTCACGATTTCTTTTTGTGTATAGTTGAGCGGACATGACATTGCGTTTTGAGATTCTAAATTTTATTACCTCTAGATTAAAATCCTTATGCTATCTAGTCCTACCTATCTGTCGTCTTGAAATGCATCTTGACTGTTGCTGATAAATTGTTTATAAAGATATGTCAACACGAGGATCCACATACCCATATTCCGAAGGTCAAAAAGAGGAAGTACTGGCGGAGAGGGGGGCAGTCGGGCCAGACTTCCGCGCTATGAGGGTAGTAAATGGAATTCGGTACTGGTTGATCTGAGCTGTATTGACTGTGATATATTCAAACATCTCACAAATAGCTATAATTGAAAAGAAATATCCAGGGCTCATGGTATCATGGGGGAATAATCACTCAAATTGCACACCCTGGGATGCTGAACGACTTAGGCATGCGCTCCGTAAGGAAGAAAGGGGAAGAGGAAGGTGGGGGGAAACGGCCACAGAGGAAGAAAAGACAGCAAAATAAGAACGTAAACAACCGGGAATCTCGCTGGGCAAAACAACAATCAAAGATCAAGGCGGCCATTCCACTCCACGCCTTCCTGCGCGCACCATTCCTGCAAGAGAGACCAGCCAAATCGGACCACTTCAATGGGCCGGGTGACCGCACCGAGGGGAAGAAAGTACTCCCCAGAATACTCCCCTGGTTTCAGAGAGGCCCTGCCACGCTCGGCATAATGATGAGAGCGTCGGGACCAGGTGGTGGGAAAGTCACGGCTCAGGACATCCTCCGAGAGACTACGAGTGCCGTCCAGCCACAACTTCTGCGACTCCTTATAGAACTCGGGAAGGCGGGTTTTCAGCTCCAAAAACTCCTTCCGGCTCTTCTTGTTCTCGTCTGCCAGAACAGTGTTGCCATCGCTGCCGGGGGTCGGCACTGGTGTGTGTTCCCCAGGCAGCGGGGTCAAGGCGAGACGGTCCAGGTCCAGTGCATGGATGGTATCGTAGGAGACGGCGCCCAGGAGCTGGCAAAGGCTATGCAAGACCGGGTACGAGACACTATTCTTCGTGACGACTCGCCAGTACGCGATGATAGAGCGCCAGGTCGACGAGTCTCCGCCTTGCCGGGAAAGGACCTTCGATTGATCATCCGCAACAAAGGCAAGGACGAAGCACAGGATGGCCTCAATAGCAGTCACAACAGCCAGTTTCTCGTCCGTAGCAGATGCTCCGCTGTTATATCGGTCGGCGGTATGCTTCAGTTCTCGACCAATGTTGCCGAATTTCTGGAAGTCTTCCCGCCAGGCTTTTCGCTCATGGTCTCGTCGCTCGTGGTTGCGGGGACGGATATCAGACTGAGAGGGAGAGCCTTTTGTGCCTGGGTCGACCGAGAGACGTTTGTTCGCAGGATTGACAGGTGTTTGGCCATCGCCGTCCGTAAGATCAATTCGACGCACTCCGGACCCTTTGGATTCTTTCACAGGGGTCAATGAGGTCGGCTTGACTTTGTCATGTGTAGGTGGATGCGGCTTGTCAACAGAGGGTTTTGGTTCCTTCACACGGCTACCGCCACCACTGGGGTCAGGGGTTGTTTCATCTGTCTCATGTTTCATCTTGACCTTGACCTGGTCAGAAGACGCATTTCCACGAGTCGGCCCAACATCTCTCTTTTTTTCGATATGGGGGGCGTCTTCTAGATCTGTGTCCTGACCAGGCGGCGAATCCGCGCGATGTGCTTTCCTTTTACCGGAAAATTTAAGCAGGCCTTCAACCCGCTTTCGGTTGCCCTTCCCGTACCGCAATCTCACAATGAGGGTTAGCCTGGAGGAATTGGCACCCTTGGGTAAAGCGCCCGCGCGGCAGCTTTGTAAACTAGAATTGCTGCCACTATTTATGAAATTGGGGGTTCGGGAGTGACTTGTCTGGTCTCGCTTGGGCTTCGCGGCTGCATTGTCGCGTTTCGGAGACCTTGGGGCGGGTGAAGTCTCCTTGAGTTGTGCCAGTTCCTTCTCAATCTCCGGTGGGAGAGTCGGAGATAGTAACCGTGGGAGTCTAGACCCCGAGCTCAGGTCTGGACCAGGCGAAGGGGGAAGAGTTGGGGAGAGTAGAATAGGGAGCGACTTGGCTGCTGTGGATTCCCTGCGCGAATGCTTCTCCGGTGACAATCGCGCTTTCTTGGGGGAAGGCATGTTTGATTCCTTGGTCGCGTGAGAATTCACGGGTTCGGGATCCGCCGTTGATGGCCGTTTCTTGGCCGTCTTGGTCGGAGAAAATTGTGAGGATGGTTTCGGGGTATTGGAAAGATGCGATTCGGTTTTATCCTTCTTCTTGACAGGGTCCGGTTTAGGCGCTCGTGGTGTTTCGTCGCGCCTGTCTGAGTAGGAAGGGTTCCGGTTCCTCTGATCGTGAATCGCGGGAGACGGGGTAGCACCGGTGTTTTTCTGGTTCTTGTAGTCGCTCAGGCTGATCTTCTTCTTCGTCCCGGTCTCTTTGGGGTTCTCGGTGGTTGTCCTCGGGCCCGTGGATCGGTCGAGCATCATGCGACCCGACTCGTCGGACCAATCGCCCACCGCTACCAGCAACGAATCCGTGTCGTGGTGCGTCAGGAAAGTCATATACTGAAGTTCCTGCTCGTCTGAACGGAACGGACGATCATCTCCCACTGCCCAATTGGTTGAGGAGCGGGACCCTAGGCGGAACGGCGCATTCGTTGGGAGGGTGAGGAGATAGGGATGGAGTGGAAGCACGTCGTCAGAAAGGCGCTTCAATCGGTGATCCAAGGCGTCCAGATCTGAAGTAGCGGGCTGGCTCGCGAGTGAGGAGAGTGTTATATCCGCGGAGGAGGGCTGATCGTTCACCGACATCGCAGTCCGCGGAGTATGCGACTTGAGCCGTGAACCATGGATCAGGATGCGCGCGCACTGACCGAAATAAAACGAAGGCGCCGGAGTGAAGCAGGTTGTTCGAGCGGTGGTGGTCTCAGGGAGTATGCGCCAGGCGTGGAAAGAGGAATCGGATGCGGGTCAAAACACATCGAGGCGAGGGTGAGAGAGCGCGAGCGACGGCGGATCAGCAAGCGGCGGCAGGAGGGCCTCTTAAGGCGTCATAGAGCGTATGGTCCCCGAGGTGAGTCGTTCAGTATCAACGAGAGAAGGGGACCAGCCGGTTTGGAAGGGCCCCCGGGCGAGCTTGGGAGGAGGTGGATAGGTCAGGAACGAAAGGTAGTTGAATGGAAGACGATGGGGAATCCGTCCGGGCTGTTTGTCTGTTTCGGGGTCGCCCGCCTCGCCGCTTTTGGGTCTGCGATCGACGCGCTTTGATTACATCATCTCCTGGCTGTCCACAGGTGGACTTTGTATGCTATCCTGTTTTCCAGGAAAGATACGCCCTTTCATATGGAACTACAGCCAAAAAAGCTCAGCTAGCATCTCCGCATGAACAAATGTGGACCTCTACGAACTGCCGGATGCAAAGAAAGGCTTTGGCCACAAGCAGCCTCCGCGTGGCTACAAAACAACCCCCTACGATTGTCGCGCTGCAGAGCCTAAGCTCGAACACTCTATATTCCATATTCGCATTGATAGTGGCCTCTGATATATATAGAAATATATCCACTCGGCGATTATGAGCGATCATCAGGGGCATATTTCTCCCGCCAAAAGGCCCGGTAGTGCTTCTGCTGGCCCAGATCCGAGATCTCCTGCACCTCCTGCGGGGTCAGCTTAAAGGTCAGGACACGCAAGTAACTGGCCAGGCGCACTTCCTTGCTGCTCGTGGTAATGGACACCACCCCCTGGTCCAAGATCCAGCGCAACAGGATTTCTGCCGGGTTGACGGCATACTTGGTGGCCAGGGCCGACAGCAGCGGGTCCAATGGGCCACCGGCAGCACGAGTGATCGGGGCCAGACCACCGTAGCTGGCGGTCTTGATCCCTTTGCTGTCATGGAAGGGTACCAGGTTCCCGTGCTGGAGGTACGGGTGATACTCGATCTGGTTCACAGCCGGGATGACCTGGGCGGTTTTGAGAATCGTCTCCAGGTGGCTCTGCAAGAAATTGGACACTCCAATTGACCGGGCTTTGCCAGAGGCCTTGACCTGTTCCATGGCAGCCCAGGCTGCTTGCAGCTCCTCCTCAGTTTGGGCAAAGAACGGCTGGTGGATCAAAAACCTTGGAGTCACGTCGTCAGTCTGGCGCAAGGCGAAGGTAGTTGGAGTTCCGACATGGGGAGAGCCAAACCCGAATGCGACTTTTTGGGGCAGGGGGAGCGCTTCTTACAAGTCGACATAGTCCAACTGGAGCTTCTTGAGGCTGGCGTCAATGGCGGCAGGGATGTCGGCGATGCTCTGGTTCACCTTGGTGGTCACGAATAGCTTCTCTCGCGGGACTCCACATTCCTGGATGGCCTGGCCCAGTTCCTCCTCGGTGCGGTAGACTTCGGCCCCGTCGAGGTGGTAATATCCCAGCTTCACGGCATTCTTGGCAGAGTCGACCAGGTCGCGATTGATGCCGGTGTCGGTGGTCTTCCTGAACCACATGGAGCCCGTGCCGTACCCGAGCTGTGCCTTGTTAGTGATATCGGAATATAGTCGACAGTAGTGAACACGATATGACACGACTTGTAGCAAATGTGACAGTCAACGCAGTACTCACCACGGGGCATGAGGCACCGTCATTGAGTTCTGTAGACGGGATCGCGTGTGTGGTAGCCATGGTCGTGCAGGTTGAGAGATTGCGGGACGTGGGGGGAACGTCCTTTTAAGTCATAGCGTGTGCGCGACTGGAGCGGTTCATTCCCGCAAAGCAGACCCATTTGTCCTGTTTGCGAATAGTGCAAAACACCAAGATCCGGACAGTCATTCACACGAGATTAACTTAGAGGATCCTGGGACTCCCGAAGGGGCTTGCTGAACTGCCGAACTCCAGGGCCCAGGCGCGCCGCGATTAATAATTGACATGATGTCATTTGCGCGCCTTCACGCGAGTTGATCAGTCCAGTCAATCGAAGTGCATCGCAGATACTCCAACCCAGCTTCTCCATGAACTCTATCTCAGCTCGTGCGCTTCGTGCTTGTGCCGGACATCGATTCATGCCCCCGCGAACTCAGCCGTCTCTAATCCGGAACCGACTGCGCCAAATGGCTTCCCACACCTCCACCATCACCACAGCAGCCGGGACAGCGTCCCTGGCAGATCTGCCCAAATCAAATGTATTCACCTCCAAACTGCCGGCCGACCCGGCATTTGAGACTCCCGAGGCCTCGCACAAGGCCCCTCGGGAAGCGCTGGGACCCCGCATGGTGAAGGGCGCGCTATTCACGTATGTTCGGCCGGAGCAGGTCGAGGAGCCGGAGCTGCTCGGAGTGAGTCCGAAGGCGATGGCAGACTTGGGCCTCCAGCCCGGTGAGGAGCAAACCCCTGCCTTCCAGGCGTTGGTGGCGGGCAATGAATTCGCGTGGACGGAGGAGAAGGGAGGCATTTACCCGTGGGCGCAATGCTATGGTGGTAGGTGATCCAGTGATGCAGCTATCCCAGACTCCTGTGGATGGACGAAGCTGACCACCGAAAATTGCAGGATGGCAATTGTAAGAATCGTTCCTTCTCTTCATTCTCAACATGCGGATGCAACTAACGGTGGGCAGTGGTTCGTGGGCGGGGCAGTTGGGAGATGGTGTAAGTCGATCTTCCCAGTAATTTCCCACGGGAGCAACGAAAGCGGATGGCTGACGGATGGACAGCGGGCGATCAGTCTCTTTGAGACCACGAATCCGCAGACCAAGACCCGATATGAGTTGCAGCTGAAAGGGGCCGGAAAGACGCCCTATTCGCGGTTTGCGGATGGGAAGGCGGTCCTTCGATCCAGCATCCGGGAATACATCGTCTCTGAAGGTATGCTTGGACTCCTCCAACCTGGATGTAGCTGCCGCGACTGATAAACCATGATCAGCTCTCAATGCCCTGGGCGTTCCCACTACCCGTGCGCTGTCTCTCACCCTGCTGCCAAAGTCCAAGGTGCTGCGAGAGCGCATAGAGCCCGGCGCGATTGTGGCGCGATTTGCCGAAAGTTGGCTGCGGATTGGCACATTCGACCTTCTTCGAGTGCGCGGAGAGCGAGATCTGATCCGCCAGCTCTCCACATATATCGCCGAAGACGTCTTCGGCGGATGGGAAACCCCTGCCCGCCGCGGTATCCGTGGGCGAGGGGCAGACGGCGGCTGAGATAGACGAGCCCGCAAGAGGCGTGGGCCGGGACGAGGTGCAGACCCAGGAAGGGGTGGACGAGAACCGGTTCGCGCGACTGTACCGCGAGATCGCGCGGCGCAATGCAAAGACTGTGGCGGCATGGCAGGCGTATGGATTTATGAACGGCGTGCTCAACACCGACAACACGTCGATCTATGGGCTGTCGCTGGATTATGGCCCCTTTGCATTTATGGACAACTTTGACCCGATGTACACGCCGAACCACGACGACCACATGCTGCGCTACTCCTACAAGAACCAGCCCAGCATCATTTGGTGGAACCTGGTCCGACTCGGCGAGTCTCTGGGGGAGCTATTCGGCGCCGGAAACAAAGTGGACGACGAGAGCTTCATCAAGGATGGAGTAAGCGACGAGATGGAGGCGGAGCTGATCAAGCGCGCGGAGAACGTGATTGATCGGACGGGCGATGAGTTTAAGGCGGTCTTCCTGAATGAGTACAAGCGTCTGATGTGCCAGCGCCTGGGGCTGAAGACGCAGAAGGAGTCTGATTTTCAGGAGCTCTTCTCCGAGATGTTGAACACGCTTGAAGCGCTAGAGCTAGACTTCAATCACTTCTTCCGGCGGCTGTCCAGCCTGCCGCTCTCGGAACTGGAGACAGAGGAGAAACGGACTGCTGCGGCGTCGATCTTCTTCCACGCTGATGGATTCGGTGGCATTGGCTACACTGAGGATTCGGCCCGAGCGCGAATTGCCAAATGGCTGGATAACTGGCGAGCCCGTGTTCTGGAGGACTGGGGAAGTGATGGTGACAGCGAGAGACAAGCTGCCATGAAGGCTGTCAACCCTAACGTGAGACTCGTTCACCTTGCTGGTTTATTATTTCCAAAACGTCATCGGTTGACTAACTCCGCTACAGTTTGTCCCCCGAGGCTGGATCCTGGACGAAGTTATTGAGAAAGTGGAACGTAAGGGAGACCGTGAGATCCTGGGACGAGTGATGCAGATGTGCCTGAACCCATTCAATGAGGAATGGGGACTGAATAAGGCGGAAGAAGAACGATTCTGTGGCGACGTGCCCAAGTACAAGAGAGCCATGATGTGTAGCTGCAGCTCATGAAGGGGATACCTTGCGTAGCCATTTGAACTCAATTCCAAAAAAAAATTCCTGTAACTATTGTAAAATTGAATATCATATCGTACCTGGCGTACCACCCTGGCAGATTGTGGGCTACTAGCGGTTATTTAGACGGCGAGGGCTTTGGTGGGCGGCAGGAAGAGGAGGAGGAGGTGCAATCTAAGTACTCTGTGCAGGGTGTGTATGAGGATGGGTCTTGACCTGGGCCCTTATGGTTTCATACGTACCGGAGTAGCTACAAGCTACAAGCTACAAGCAGTTATGGAGAATGGCAGACATGCATTTTCCCCATGCACCTAAGTATCTCCTGTAACGCGCCCAAAGACATGAAAATTCCATGCATAACCATTTATTTTGCAAGACCAAATCGCCCACTGCACATGTTCACCTTCCACGCGAGAGAGCCCGGTAGACACGGAAAGCAAAGATCAAGACCAAAGATGCTGATCAGGTAAAGGCATGAGGCAGAAATGAGGCCCAGAATGCAAAGAAAAAAAAGACCCATGGTCGTGATTCAAGCCGTGAGTGATAATACAAAGTCAAAAGAACCCGGGGGAAATAGACATCTCAAATCGTGGCGCATGCAAAAAGGGAAAAAAAAAGGAAGTCATCATTTTGTTCCGGTACCCCTAAATCCCATGGAGGACAGGACGAAAGAAAAGACGTTGCACGTTCCAGCAAAAGATTTTTTTAGTTGGGGCAAGCAGCCTGCACGTGGCCGGGCTGCTTGCACTTGTAGCAAACACGCTCGCCGCGGGCCTCGGTGGTGCAGTCACGGGAGACGTGGCCGACTTCGCCGCCTATCAGATGATGACAGGTTAGCTTAGGGGCTCAACCTCGTCTTCGGACAATAGGTCATATTGGACGAAGAGGGAAGTATCTGTCCGAAGCAGGATCAGACCAATGGGATATACTGACAGTTGTAGCACTTCTGACCCTGGGTGCAATCACGGGCCATGTGGCCGAAGCCACCGCAGGAGTAGCAGGTCTGGGGACGGCCAGAGCCGTAGGAGGAGAAGCCGCCGCCGCCGCTGCTGCCGCCGTAGTTACCACCCTGGGAGCAGTTGCGGGCAATGTGGCCGACCTGGCCGCACTTGTAGCATTCTTGACCACCACCAGCACCGCCAGCGCCGCCACCGTAGCTGGCACCGCCGCCCTGGGGGCACTCGCGAGACAGGTGGCCGGTCTGGCCGCAGCGGTAGCAGGTGCGCTCCTTGGGAGGCTCGGGGCACTCGCGGTCTTCGGAGAGTGGTTAGTTGGGCTTCAGCCTCTTCACCGGGTAGGATGAAGAAATCGTCGGCGTTACTTACTGACGTGGCCCTCACCACCGCAGTTGTAGCTGTTCAGACCAAGTTAGTGGGCAGCTCGATCTCGAGATGGTGCGGGCACGATCGGCCACTTACCAGGTAGGGGTACCCTTCTTGGGGCAGTCCTTGGCCTAACCATCAGATTGTGTAAGTTTCGAGTCAATTCTCATCAAGACCGTCCAATGAGGCAAGAGCTCTCAAAGAACCCCAGGTCCCAGGTATCCAAGCGAAAAGGGACATGGCTTTACCTGGTGGGAGGCGTCACCGCCTACGGAGAGAAAAAAAGTCAGTCAAAAAAAAAGAAAAAAAAGCGCCCCGCGCCCAGAGGAAATTATAGCAGAGGCAAAAGACATAGAATGCCACAGTGCAACACTAGGGGGAAACAGCGGCAGCAGAGGCAACTCCCGCGAGCTCAAGAGGCGACCGGTAGGCCATCAAGGGAGCCGCGAGCGCACAGTGTGCGTGTCATAGGCGAGTGGAGGCAGGACAGGGCATCGAGGGACGAACGCACAGTTGTAACAGGCACGAGAGCGAGGATCCATTTTGGCTATTTGGATGGAATCGTCGGAATGGACGAAAGGAGAGCACGAAAGAATGGGAGAAGGGGGAGAAGAGGGAGAGGGTGTCGATGGGTTGCGGGTGAGAAGTTGAGGAAATTTGTAGTGCGGGGAGGGCGGGAAGTTTTCTCCTCAGGCTCTGAAGATTTGCCAGATTCTCCGGTTGGAAAAGCCTTCCCGCCGCGACTTCCTACTCGCTTCCAGCACCAACCACCCTCTCTTGAGACCTCAGAGACTTCTTGAGACCCTTTGAGACCGCGAGAAACAGGGCCAGATATGCACGCAGGTCCTTGGGGCATGTTTCATTCTTCAATCTGCTCTTCTCATCATACAGCCAAAAGACCAACATCTCTCCATGCTGGAACAATACATCATTCATTGCGCCAAGGAACATCCCCCATCCATCTGATATGAACCCAAGCTAGGGTGCATACAGACGATTTCAAGATCCAAAAAGCCCCTGCCAATTGTCTGCCTGCCGCGGAACTTGTTCCGGTTTCCTGGGCCAACTGGGGCGCATCGGGATTGGGCAGCCCAAGCTGCATGTCAATTGACCCCGGTCAGTAGCTCCTCTGGTGTTTGTTGCACAAGGTCCATCATGGAGGCTTGAAGAAGGAAAGCAACTGTTCTTAGAGACCCTTCATGGAGCCCATATGGTCATCACGACCGGTCATGCCCGCCCGGTAACCACCATGATTCTCAGTAGAACAAGCCCCGACAGGGGGTCCAGAATGGGACTCGAACAGGACCGGCACCAAGAGTGTTAAGATCGCACTTTGGCGATTCCAGAAAATGGGGCGGTGCCACTTTTATACCCGGGGGGGGGGTCACGAGGTCCGCCAGGGTCCCCAGCTCGCGAGGGGTGCAAGTACCTTGTGCTACAAGCTCGCGCGACCGGGTCCCTGGACCTGCGTTAGCGCCCCCATCAAGCCAGGGTGCCGTGAGATGCCGTGGTGCGTACCCATTGGCGCCGCTAGGTGGCTTCGCCAGTCTTTGAACTCGCGCGACGGGATTGCCAACATCGTCGTCCAGAAACCAATAGGCTCCCACCAGGAAACCCCAGAGTCCCCAGTAAAACTTCTCGACTACACCAAAGGGCTTTCCAAGAGAGCTACGTGAAGTCGTAACATTCCAGTAGCTGTGTACCCACTGTCTTCTCGCGGAGCAAAAGCACGCGCTCTTCATCAAATCCAACGCATCCGTGTATGAGAGACAGATCCCTGGGCGCACCGGTAGCAAGGCCGGAGTCGCTCACTCCCCGTCGGAGACCTCGAGGCGCGACCCCCAACCCCGAGTCTTCTTGGCTTTTGTTCTCCGGACTGACCTGGATGCTATTCTCCTCTCGCAGTGGCCGGCGGCTGCCGAGAGAGCGCACCGCGGTTTCAAGTTCCCAGATGCGAATCTCATCACCGCGAGAACTCACAGAAACCGCCTTCCCTCGGTTGGTCACTTGGACGGCAGACACCGAAGACGTATGACCCCAAAGGCGCTGACCGCCGCGAACGAAGAGGCTGCGAGAGTCCGACACCACTAGGTACATGGTCAAGGTGTTGTCCGCATGCGAAGTCAGCAGATATGGATGGGAGTAGGACATAGATGTTGGCGGCTGCTGATGCGCAATTGACGGCGTCGCCGGGGCTGCGGAACTTGGGCCTTCAATGTCTTCAATCCCAATAGAATGCCGGCGTATACGTGAGGACGACCAGCCTCGCAATGGAACAATCCCGTATTGTGAATCGACCGTACTGGCAAGCCGAGATTCCAGTTGTTGGCCGTCTTTGCTGAATCGCAACTCTTGGATACCCAAGGACCACCCACAGCCAATACGAAAGAAACTATACACAATTGTGGCGACAATTTCAAGACTTGATGGGCGGAGAGAAAGGGTCATAGGCGCCACCATGTTGGCTGCATTGAGGGATGCTAGTTTCCGCGGGTACTTGGCCTCGCCAGCATTTTCAGACTCCTGAGATAGAGCCCGCAGATTATATAACGACAAACTCTTGTATTGGGAGACCATCAAGAGGTATGGCGAAGATAAAGCCATGGCAGTGATGGCTCCATCCTTGAAACCGACGTGAGCGGATTGAAGCCCTAGTCGGGATGTTTGAATATCGAAAATATAGCGGTTGAAACGGCCATCATCGAAACCCACCACGATTTCTTGTTCATTATCTAGCTGGCTCACCGCCAAGGCGGTTGGTCGAACAGTAGCCATCTTTGGTTGATTTGAGAGTGGAATCTCTGCCAGACAGCTGGTTGGATCTTTTGCACCCCATGCCCGAAGCCCATGCGACGTGTCAGCCGTGAAGACAACACCAGCACAAAGCTCTACCAGGACTGGAGGGGATGGAGGCTGAGGCAACTCGACTTCGGTCACTCGACAGACTCCTGTGGACCAATTGTGCCGAAGACGGTATTGTCCTTTCCAATTTGTGGCCTTCCCTTCCTCGGCCAAGTGACTGTGATCGAGCCATGTCGAGACTTTTGGCGTGTAATCTGTTTTGGGGGGCGGTGCTGAGCGAGTCACATTGGCTAAGCGACGGGCTCGAGGGCGAACCCACTGCGAGTAGTACTGCCTTTTCCAGAGTTCGGAGTCTCCTCCAAGAGCGTGGAACCGACGGGATAGTCTGGGTAACTAAGTTAGTGTCAAGTGCGAGATGAGAGTCTTAAATATTGGCTGCATACCTCTGGCACACATTCAATGAAGAGATCGGTAGGAATGACAAGATATGAAGCAGAAGCTCATCGCTTAATGAAGACAGCGGGTCGAGCGGGGAGATCACAGCATCACGACCCCTTTTCGTAGGGGGCAGACCAGAGTCCGCATCTTCTCTCTGGCGCTTGGACATCCCAGCTGGAAAAGCCCCAGATCACATTAAGCGACCATGAGTTCCGAAGATTGTGAGATGGCAAGAATACACAGAAGCTCGCACCGCTACGTCAAAGGCCCCTTATCGGTTGCTGATAAGCAGTTGCCGAAAGGGCGGTCTGTAAGACGGTGTATGTACTGCCCGTCGACGCGTGGTGATCCCCGGAGCTTCGCGTTTCACGGAGAGTTTACCCACCCCTCACAAGTCCTCGATGGAGATCCTGAAGGACCTGCATACCTCTATTACAGAGGTATGTAAGGCTTCGTTTGATGATGCGTACAAAAAACTTGAGTCGCGACAAGCGACTCACGAGGCGCAAGTGAAAACAGCCGAAAGGAAGGCATCGATTGCCATCGAGGCCCAGCAAGCCGCGGAGCAAAGGGTTCAAGAACTTCAACTTGAATGTTCCGCACTTCGGGATGAGCTGGGCACCTACAAGAATGGTCCAAGTGACCTCGAACTCCCGGCCGAAATTACCAATTTGGAAAGGGAGTTTGCACCGAAGAACATATGGAGGACCGATCTACTAGATGCGGACCAGTTGCGGGAGATCCTTGAAGACAAATACACTACCCTCTACACCGATATGCAAGCATTCATCCGAAGTTGGAGCAGCCTCAAATCAAAGTTACTCCAGCACAAGAAGAAACTGCGGCTCTGGGACAAACAACTGGCCCGAGAGTCGTTCACTATCCTGCTTGATCAAAGACTAGTCACGTTCCAGAGAGTCCAGAGCACCAATGCCATGGCTACAGGGAACAATCGGAAGTCATCCATCCCGGGGACCAGGATGCGAACACAGTCAGCTTCGGAAAACTCTGAAGGCCCAAGCAATGTGCCCAGTATTATCGCGTCTACCCCGAATATCGAAAGTCGAGCAGAATCAAGCCCTAAGATTACGACGGAAGAAAATAGCCAGCAAACAGATGCCGACGAACCAGGGGTGGCTGATATCCGGCGTGGCCCTGCTACCGCTGGTGGTCTGCCATCCTCAGAGTCAACTTCAGACGTACTCCATTCTCTCCCCAATCTACAAACAAGAAAGAGAAAGCGCGTCCTTCCCTCTTCCCAAGGACAACCAAAAGAAGGTGCCGCCGAACGACCAGTACTTGTGAAGGCCGAAATAAGGTCATCAAGCCCAATACACCAGTCGGCTTATGGCCTCGGGCAGCATTTTCCTAGCACTCAAGACCTGGATGAGATTGGTGGTGCTGTGCCAACACCCACTAAACGGCATGCCCACCGAGAAGTACATTGGGAAGATGAAGATGAAGACGAAGAGGAGGAGTCAGTTTCCGGCACTCAGCAAGCTATTGCAGATCAAGTTTCGCAACATCAAACTGTGCTGCAACCAGTTGATGGCAATGTCCGAACAGCCAGACCCTGGGGGAAAGGGCCTGATATGAAAAGGCAGAAAGTCGGAGACCTACACGCTTTATCTATGGCAGAGGATGGGGACTCTGGCGATGGACATAATCGTACTCAAAAACACAACTCAAAAAGCACCCCGGCTAATCGAAAAGGGACGCCAAAATCCAAAGCGGATGGGAAAGCCGCTTCGGATCGCCTGCAAGGTCTTCTAGAAGGATCCCTCCCCTCCAAATCACCACTTGGTTCCCCTAAAAAGGTTCTGACGTCCAGTATTCAAAACGGAGGCGGAAGTTCTAACCCGCGAAGGAATGGGAGAACGATCAAGGCTACACCTCCCGGACCACATGCAGAGCAACCCGACAAACAAGCGTCACAAACAGGCCCGGAGGTGCAGCCCGAAGAAGAGCCTTACCGATCCCGCCCTCTGCATCGTCTAAACCTAGACCATTTCAAAATCAATCCGGCCAGAAATCAAGGCCTTGACTATGCCTACGACACGGTTGTCCGCAAGAAGGATGACCGCAAATGCATGTCCGGCTGCACACGCCCCGGCTGCTGTGGGGATCGATTCCGCGCAATGGCTCGCATGGGAATACAAGGCGCAAACGCCTCCGCTGAGTCGAAGGAAGAAGATCAGCAGATTCTGGAAGAGTATGTGGGCGAGGATCGGCATCTTCTTCACGGGCTGAGTGATAAAAATCGCGAAAATCTTTTGGTGGAAGCTCGAGCCCGAGTCCTTGCCGATCAGTATGGACGGCATCGACATACTCATCAGCGAGCCCGGAGTCCCCCTGGATTCTGGCGAACTGACATGCCGTCCACCCAGGAAATAGAGACGGACCGAGAAGCTGCTAGGAGAATGGAGCGAGAGAAGGTCGAGGAGCGATACCGAGAGGCAATGCGACCCGGGGGACTTTGGACCTGGGCCGACGAGTGATCTGACTTGTATGTTAAGCAAATATGAGCACAGTCTAGTACTGTAAAAGAAGAATATGTGGGCAAATATCCCTATTTCTTGGAATTAAAATCACAATAGCAATGATGGCGAGTGGTGGACACTGGACGGAGTACTCCGTAACCCAGGTAGTTTATGCTGTCAAGCTGCAAGCATCAACCTCGGCCCCGATGCCTTGGCAGCGCCTCGTGACCTCCTGGACGCCAGCCTCCCGCTCCCCGGACTGCGCGATTCTCCGCATCGAACGGTCGCATCGTGCAGGGCCATGGAGACCGTGCGGAACATCCAGAATCCCATCCCTCCGGTGATGCTGCAGCCATCTAAGTGGCTGTCGCTCTATGAGGACTTCGTGACCAAGAACTCCAGCTCGGTTGGTTCGGTCGAGTCTGCCCTGAGGTCGTTGACCTATATCATCCCAGGTGAGATTGGTTTCGGGTCATTGTTAAATGGACGAGTGGATTCACTGACATCCCTTTTTTTCGCCATGCAGGAAGATATCGTGAATCAGAAATACCTTCAGAATGCGGTTAGTTGGAGAAACAAAACCACCCACTGCCGGAAGAGAGCGGAGGATGTGAATTTAACCGACTCATGCAGTGCATTCCGGAGTGCAGCTTCTATCGCTGTACCATGACTCCCTCGTATCTCGAGTGATGTCTCGACTGCCCTCGACAGTCCCGCGACCCCCGCCTACCCCCCATGCCCGATACACCAAATACTGGACGTCGCGGTCCTCGCTGTACCAGCGAGTCGCTGTCGCGCTGCAGATGCTCCAGTACACAGAACTTCTGTGGGAGATGGCAGCACGGCGGCGCGGCCAGAAGACTCGGTGGCGCGTCGTTGTCTTTCTTGAATTTGCCAAGGCAATCTGCCGCCTGCTCCTGATGCGGCTGACCAACTCGAGGCCGTTGGTCAATCCTCCGCTGCCAGAGCGAGAGGTGGACCCCAGGTTGACACAGGAGGAGGAACAGAGTGACTGGAATGGCATGGAAACTCCCACGAGCGAACGCTCCTCGGACCTTAGCTGGACGATGCCTCGCACGGGGCTCTCCCTGCCATCTCTCCCGGATGTGAACGACGTGTCGAACTATCTCATCTCAAAAGTTCTCACTGCGGACGATATCAAGCCCCCCAAAACATTACTGCATCGTGTCACCGGGCAGGGACAGCTGGCAGAGGTTTTGTACATCCTGCGACCAGTTGTATATGCACTGGCACTGCAGAGATGGAGCGGGGACCGACGCAGCTGGCGGCCGTGGCTGATTGGATTCGGCATGGAGTATGGTTGCCGGCAGCTTGCTAAGCGTGATTTCCGCGAGAGAGTCGCAGGGGGCCTTCGGGGACTGACTGGACTCGAGCGAGAGGAACTGAGGAAGCGTGGATGGTCCATGGGCTGGTGGCTGTTGCGAGGCGCATTCTACGAGAACATCACCAAGTACGTATCCCATCAGCAACGAAATACCTCTTTTGACCAAATGTTAACAATGCACAGATCATGGCTGCAGAGTGTGACCAGCAAGATGGAGGGTATGCCGCTCCTGAACTTGGTGAGCAGTGTGGTGGAGGACTACGAATACTTGTGGGACAACTACTATTTCTCCACCGCCACTATGTGATTCTCGTGCACAGATGACTCTTCTCCTTCTCCCCATGATACCCAGAATTTTACGCAACTTGATTTCGAGACGACACTCGTGGGATTGGATGCGTTTCCTTTGTTCAGACTGGATTTCCTTGGATATGTCTTGATAGGGTATCTTCAATGTCATATTAGCTTCATTACGTTTTAATACCATGCCCCAAACCGGTCCGTCATATAATCTCTGCTTGTCTTTGTCCAAACCAATCCCGCAAACCGTCCTTGCTGGAGCCTTTCCCGGGTCCTGATGCCAGGAGAAAATCACTGAGCATGCCGCTCGCTTCGTCGTCGTCCGCCGGCCAGTCGACTCGGGCTCCGCCCTTCAGTTCAAGCATCTCCTTTGCAGTGCCCCAGCTGAAGCGACATTCGTGCCCCCAGCCAAAAATAGGTTCCATATTCCGTCGGAGCCAGCCGACGCACTTGGAATCTGAAGGATAGCCACTTCCCCAACCCTCGGGGGCCGTGCTGCCATCATCGTTCTGTTGAGCCCGAAGAACAGCCTCATACAGGACCTCCAACGCGACATCACGCGTCACCTTGGCGGCAACACTAGCAGCACTCACACACGGATATAACGAGTCCGCCTTCTTGGCCACTGTGATCTTAATCGAAGGAAAGATCCGCTCGAGCTTCGCCTGGTAGGTAGCCGGGTTGCCGATCGTGTCGATATAGATCTCCTGTACGTTCACAGCGCGGTCTTCCAGCACGCCACGAATAATCTCGATCGTCGCGTCCATCGCTTGTGCATTGAGGTTGTAGACGGCGGTGCCAGGCTTCATCATGCCGGAGGAGATATCACGGGCGGAAAGGAGCTTGATGGCATAACCGCAAGACTCGTATAGATTTTCGCCAGAGGTATTGAGCAGGCGCATCAAGTTGGCGCGCACGGCGGGCGTGAGGACTTTGCTGTCGTCGAAGCTGTGCTCTTGCGCCAGCAGGGAGTGGTGGAGATCGAGGGGCAGATAAAACGCGCCGTAGACCATGGGGCCCAGTACGGGGCCACGGCCAGCCTCGTCGACGCCGAGGACACACGGTGTAGGCTCTGCCGTCTGTTGCGCTGTGAGGGACTTGTCGTGGGGAGTAATTGCGGACGGGCAGGGCGTGTAGTAGGCGTAAGATTCCCCCGCGAGTAGACGCGCAGTGTCTATACTCGGAGGAATAAAGGACATGGCATCTTGGAAGCTATCCACAGATTCCTTTCCCATCGTGAATGTGAATTGACAGAGGGAGCTGGGGAGGGAGGCGGAGAGTGAGAGTTGTACGGCCAGCGTTGAAGAGCATCCCGAAAGTATGCCGACGCGTCGACCGTTCGGGCTTAGCGGCGGGCGCGCGTTCTACCCAAATTCCGTCGCATCATTCCCCTTCCCCTCCACCTGCGCTGCTTTGAACGCAAACTCTCCTGCAATTTGTTGTTCTTCTGGAACTCGCGCATCTTCAGATTCAAGTCTGATCAGCTAGCTTCTTTCCAATATGGCGCGTGGTTCCACGAAGCCCCGCGACCTCGACTTCTCCAATGTGGGAACCGCCGGACGGTGAGTCGCTTTATGTTGATGTCGGCGCTTTCATGGAAGGACCGCAGTATGCTGACCCAGATAATGCGCTTAGACGGACAGGTCTCACCATGAAGGAACGGCAACGCGACGAGCATGGAATGGAAGAAGTGGACGGTCTGTTCTCGTCTCCTGAGAAATCGCCCGCGATACTAGACGAGTTCGACCATCCGGACGACGATGATTCAGCCAGCTCTGAGATGTCCATTGAAGATGGTGAGATTTTCCCGGAGGGCGCGCTTTGCCTGTCGCCAATCGGTTGCTGACATACTCGATCTACTTGACCAGGCAACGCGCCGGGGCCTATGGACTTTCTTGGTTCGTCAAACGGAGCGCGCAATACGTTTCTGCCCCCGCCGTCTCGATCACCTGCGAAGGCTCCTCGGAGATCTCCTGTTCTGCGATCTTCTCCAGAAGCTAGGGAAGACCTCGTGTCATCTAGTCCTTCTGATGGCAGACGGCTGTCTTCCGCACGAGGGGGCTCGCGTCAAGACCCAGCTCCCTTAACTAGTCGCTCTGTGAATGCAGGCGCGCCCAACAAGAAACCCAATGTACGGCATAATCCGAAAACACAGTTGGCAACAACCGAAGCAGCCGACTTCTCTGATGGCGAGGGCGACGAAAATGCGGAGTCCTTCGCTCAAATTCAAGACGATTTCGGCGACAGCTTGGATGATGGCGATGAGACTGTGATGCCGCCGGATGAAGAGCCAACAGAAACCATCGGACAAGATCTAAATGGCACAGCAGACGAAGCGTCCCCTGCAGCTGAGGACTCGCCCCACACGAAGAAGACACAACGGTCGAAGAAAGGGCCTGCCGCCAAAACGGCGAAGGCAACCAACACTGACGCTAAGCCACCCGGGCGACGAGGACGGCCTCCAAAGGCCCAGCGCGCCGCAGATGAGCCCTCGGAGGCTAGACCAGCCAAGAAGCAGAAGACCGCAACCGGCGAGTCATCTCGGGCTCCTCGCGAGCCATTGGACCCCGAACTGGACCGTGTGGTCGAGAACTATGCCCAGCGTTCCGGTCCATTGAAAGGTCGCAGTCTATATATTCTCAAACGCGAGGATCCCAGCAGCACCGATACCACCCACACCCGCTCAGGGCGAGTGTCTGTGCGGCCTCTTGCATATTGGCGCAACGAGCGATGTGTGTTTGGTGATGGGGAGGCGGCTGAGGGACAGCGTTACCCGCTCTCAACGATCAAAGAAGTCATACGCACCGAGGAGCTCGAGCCAGAAAAGCAGAAGAAGGGCAAGCGTGGCCGCAAGGGCAAGTCCAAGAAGCGAAAGAATGAGTCCTCGGATGAGGAGGAGGAAGATGAAGATGCCGATGGTTGGGAGAAGGAAGGTGTTCTTCATGGTTATGTCCCCAAATGGGACCCTGTAGCGCAGGCCAGCACCTCAGAGGAGGAAGTGCTAGGTAAGATGTCAATGTCTTGTCACTTTAACATGGGGTATTCTGTGGCTGACAATGTCGCGCAGACATCGCGTATGCACCTTCTGGGTTCGAGACAAGAGAAGTCAAAGGCGCGACATTCCGCTTCGCGAAGCTGCTCAGTTCTTCATTCATTGGGTCCGGTGTTGTCGAACTTCCGCCAGAGGGTATCAAGAAGCCCAAGAACTCGAAGAAGATGCACATGGTCTTCTACGTCTGCTACGGCCGAGTGCAAGTCGACATTTCCGGCGTTCAATTCAGCGCTGGCAAGGGATCCGTGTTCCAGATTCCACGAGGTGAGTTGAACTAAATGGTTTCTTGCATCATGCACCATCCACTGACCCGGCTTTTTCGGCAGGCAACTACTATAGCTTCCAGAACTCGCACAATAAAGATGCCCGGCTGTTCTTCACGCAGGGTTGTATCCCAGGCGAAGGGGAGACTGAAACACCAGCGCCATCTGGGAGCGCAATGCATGAGAGCGAATTTGAAGGTGACAGCGGACCATCCAACCCCCCGGCCGCAAAGACCCGAGGTCGTCCCAAGGGCAAACAGAAGGCCAAATGAATGCTTTGACGTTTGTCCCTTCTGCCACGTCCAGCCGCAGCTGGCCAATGTACTACGATACCTTTTTCTGTCCGTCTTTCTTTCTAGCGAGTTTGTATGCTTTACCAGGAATCCCCGGAGGCCGGCGTTGTCAGTCTTAAAGTCTTAATATTTTTGAGTTAATTGGCGCGGGAAAGGGAGACGTGGTGGCCCGGAACCAGACTTATCATCCCATCTACAAGAAATTCCGTTCATCGCGATACTGCATTCCTGATCATGAATCATGAATCATGCATTATGTATTGTGCATCGTGCATCATGCATCATGCATGATAGCTGATATAGACAAAAGAAGACAATGTCCTTGACCATCAAATCTCCTCCATCAACTCATCCAACTCATCATCCAGACCCAGCGGAGGGAAATCACCCACCTCCACCTTATCAGGCTTCACAAAAGCGCCGCACTTCTCCAGGCATTCAAAGTAACGGTGGCCACCCACACTGCCATCATTTTTCCCCGTTGGCTCATCCAGCTCGATGCCAACCCAAATAGGCTGTAGCTCGGCGGGGAGGTCACCATTCTGCTCGAGCTCGCGGCCAGGGCCAGTGATAGGGATCGTCGGCACAGGGCCGACGAAGCGAATAGTCCCGCGGCGAATATGTGGCGGGGACGAGGGGAGAATAATAGCCCGCTTGTCGACCGCAATACCTGCAAGATGCACGATTAGACCAGATCAGTCCAGCTCAGTGCGGGGGTTTGTTGTATGGAGGCGGCATCACGCAGGTCTTACCTCGACTGGCCAGCTCACTACGGTCTTTCTCGGCCTGCTTGCGCAGGGCTTCTTCGGGGGAGAGCGCGTTGGGGTCGAAGCGACCCAGCTTCTGGTTCCTCTTCCAGGCCAGGACCGAGTCGGAGAGAGTCTCGTAGGTCTCTGTGGTCATTTCGTACTTGTCGACCGAGGAGAGGTCGGTGAAGTTGGGGCGCATAGCTTGCGGGCGGGAGTCGTGGACCTGGTTATACAGTTAGTCTGTCTTGAGCATAAATTCTATTGCTAAAGGCTCTCTGCATGCTGGCATTCTCTGGACTGGCTCGTTCATGTATCCGTACGCAGTATGATTCAGCCCGATTGGAGCAAACTCATGTGCGCCTCGACGGGTCCAACATGGGCGGACGATTCCATATGCAAGGCAGGTGGAGAGAGCAGTCGTACTATCATCACTGATGCCCACACAACCAGCACCAGCACCAGCACCAGCGCAAAAAGAAGACAGGCGAGAAGAAGGCAAGACATCTCGTCTCAACAGCAACAGCAGTGGCAACACACAAATCAAGAACAAAAAGAAAAAGAAAAAGAATGAAACAGAAACCAACCTCAATCTCAGTACCCTTCACAAGCCCATAGTCCCCGATAAGCCGCTGATCATTGTCCGCCCACTGATCCGGTCGCCCAGGAACCTTCACACGGAGGCGCTGGCTACCCGGCGGAACACCGGTCATAGTCTCGAGCTTGCTCTTGACCTGCTCGACCGTCCAAGTGGGGGTGATGCGGCGCTCATTGAGGAACCTTGGCTCCCCATCAGTTGTACGGGACGCAGCTGTCGACGTGATAATGACGGAGATATCCGTCGGGGTAGGCTGGAAAGCCATGTTGAGGGCAGATGCTGAGACAATAGCGAACGCTCAGGGGTGTTTAAAGAGTTAGGAAAGGCCTGACGCGATTGTCAGCGCCGGGGATCACGAGTTTTGCGGGGGGAAAACAAGCAATAGAAAGCACAGAGCTCGAACGGGGCTCTGCGGGCAAGAAAAGAGGTCCAGAGCAAAGAGGCTATACATAGAAAAGCTGGACACCATCTCGCATTTGACGTTGGCATATCACACTCTCAGTATGGCCCCGAGCGGCTTGCTCTCAACACAATTCCCCGGCCTCGCAGAGCTAACACCGTGCACTCCCAAGACCACAGATCCATCTCAATAGACAGCTGGAGACTTACCGCAGCAAAACGAAGCGAGTGATGGGCTCCTGAACAGACGGAGGACAATCCAAAATAGGTGCGCTTAGTCATCGAGCGCGTGCCAGGAATCAGCTGGATAAGCTTAATGACCTTAATTGTACCCCCTTGCGGCCGGGTCGGACAGGAGGTTCGTCCCTGCTCCAGCTCATCCTGGGGGGTTTCCAGGAGGCATAGGCGATGTCTACAGCTACTTGGAGATCTGGAGATCTCTTGCGATCTGGGGTCAGGCCGGTGCTACATGGTGGGGTGGGAGAGGGGCCGGGACCGGGTTTCTAGCTCTAGCAGAGGCGGATATTTGATACAGCAGAGAGTGGTTATGTGATAGACATGAATGCCAGACTGCATGGTAGCTTTTGCACATGAAGCATGTACAAGTACATTGGCATTGACCGGATCCTTAAGTACTTCGTACAGTGAGTTCACTTATACTTCGAAAATACCCCGCGGGACACGAAAAATGTCCGAGCCACGTGATCGGCGCCTCGCTTGGCTTGGCTCCCGCCATGACCGCGTTGGAGTTGGTGAGCCTCGGAGCGAACAGACCGCCAGACCACCCCCTGTGGACTCCTGTGGACTGCAGCCAGCACGATGGCAGACCAAGCTGAGGTATACGAGGAGCAGAACGTGCACGAGGTGTACCAGCAGATTGCGGGGCACTTCTCGGCCACGCGCTACAAGGTATGGTTTTTGATAGCCGATCCGGGAGGCAGCGCGGCAACTAATGAAGCTATTGTGCACGCCAGCCGTGGCCGATTGTGGAACAGTTTCTCCAGGGCCTGCCCGCCGGGTCTGTCGGGCTCGATGTGGGCTGTGGCAATGGCAAGAATCTCCAGGTGAACCGTGATGTGTTCATAGTAGCATCCGATCGGTATGTACTGGTACTTTCCTACTTCCGGCTCTTTTCCTCTCAGCACTGCAAGGGAAATCGTAAGGTCGTAGATGTGTTTCTCTCTTATCTCTTTTTTTGGTTTATGAATCTCTGATTTTACACTGGCATTCCCTCATCTCTTGTCTGGCTCGCTCTCCGTCTCTCACTCACTCTCACACACACACACTCTCTCTCTCTCAACGCATACTCGCCCATCAAAGGACCCCGGACTATCTCGCTAACCTAGGCCACAGATCCGAAAACCTGGCCAAGATAGCAGTCCAGCATCAGCCCCATACAACCGTGGTGGCCGATATCCTCCATCTCCCGCATCGGGATGCATCCTTCGACTTTGCGGTCTGCATTGCCGTCGTGCACCACATGTCGACCCCGGCGCGTCGGGTCCAGGCCATCGCCGAAATTCTGCGGACCCTAAAGCGCGGATTTGCCGCGCAGCCCGGCGGTCGTACCCTGATCTATGCGTGGGCGCTCGAGCAGAAAAACAGCCGGCGTGGCTGGGACAAGGGCGACTCGCAAGATCTCATGGTGCCGTGGGTGCGCCGAGCCAAGCCCGGATCGGGCGATCAGGACCAAACGTACCACCGGTACTACCATCTGTATGAGAGCGGGGAACTGGAGCGCGACATCGAGCAGGCCGGGGGAGTGGTATTGGAGTCAGGGTATGAGAAAGATAATTGGTGGGCGATTGCAACGCCCAAGACCGGTCCATGATGGGGTAGGAAAACCCCTCCGAGAGCCAGCCCATGAAGAAAGTTCCGTCACCATCAACACGAACGCGGACAGTCGTCGATGTGATTTTGATAGTGGATTGGTGGAAGGGTCGCCCAATGGTTGCGCCAAAGGCCCGAGATGGTGGCCTCGCCCTCCTGTTCTTCCAACACAACCGACACCACAGGAGGATCCTCTCCCTCCGTTCTCTCCAAAGAAAAGAAAAAAGAAACAAGAAAAAAAGAAAGGAAAAACACACAACAGAAGGTGGACGCGGGTAGGCACGAAAATTCTCTATACAATTCACAACTTCCCAACAAATCACGGTATACCTCCAGCCAGCGCTATGCAATTCGTATCAAAGAAGGGGGGGGGAAACACAAACGGAAGAAGCCGTACGGGCGTGATCGTCATCTCATTTAGGGCAGCGTTCGCGGGGGCATTCCCATATGAGGGCCCATGAGACCAGGAGGGGGAATGCCCATGTCGGGGGGTCGTCCCAGGCCATAGAACTCGCGCGGCGGGGGCGGGGCCGGCGGTGCGAACGCGGGGACGCCGGCCGTCAACTCTTCGAGGGAGGGCAGCTGGGTTGGCAGGCCGGGCAGGTGGCCGGGGATGGCCCGCGAGGTGGAGCTCTTTCGTGGCCGAGCCAGAGAGGTGCTGGCGCGACGGGTGCGGGTGGTGGGCGGGTCGATGGCGGTGCTGGAGAGGGAGAAGGGCACCACGCCGGCGCGGCGGGCCATCTCTTGCTCTCCGAGCTGCCAGTGCATGGCCTCTGCGGCACGCCATGGGATTGCCATTTCTTCCGCCACCTTGGACCACATTTCTGCTTTGAACCTGCCGTTGCTGTTAGTTCCGAGAATCTATGGAGGGGGGGAGAACGAGGGACGGGGGTGGTGATTCTGGTCGCGTTCTCCGTCCGAAGGGGATCCCCTTACCGTTCGTATAAGCGGGCCAATTTGTTCTTCTTATCTTCATCCCACTCGCTGCGACGCTCCAGGTAGTTCTGGTAGTGGAGACGACAGCTGATGGCACTGCGACCTGGCAGGCGTTTGCTGATATCCTCCCACTTCATCCCGCTGCCCCGCAGCTCGATGATGAGGGCGTCTTCCTCGGGCGACCACTTGGACTGTTTCTTGGCCGGAGACTCAGCCGGATGCGCCGGTTGCAGCCGCTTGGCTGGCAGGCCCGGGGCGGTCTTGATCAAAGAAGGTGGCACGGCCGGCGGGCCCGTCGTCAAGACCGGGGCCGCCAGGCCTGGAGGCGGAACCGAGAAGCCTGTTCGGGGGGGATAGACTGGGGTCGGATTCCTTGGGGCGGCTTCTTCCTCATCTTGGGGCTTGAGTAGCAGTGAGATATCCACTTTGGCGGGCGGCAAGATAGGCCGATTTTGTAACGCAATCATATGCGCGATGGAAGCCAACGGGTCGTCTCGGGATCAAAGTAGATAGACAGGACTCGCCCCCTCCAGAAAACAAGGTCCAGCTGGATGAAGAGGGTGGGGGGGGGAGGGAAGAGGGGGAAGGGTTTGGGTTTGGTCGAGCAGGGGTTTCGACCCAAGGATGAAGAGGAGCGAGGCGAAAGATGAGGAGGAGAGGGAACCACTGTGATCTCAGCGTCTCTCGTAGATGACGACAGTCAACAATACCCCGTTCGTCGTACTATGACGACGGCGATGGTCGATGGTCGATGGTCGGTGGCTTTGGTCTACTCCGGGTGATCCAGCAGCCGCAAGAAAAGCCAGATGAAAGGCGCCGGGGGTTCTTTCGAGCAGAAACTCAAACAGACTGGCTGGTCTCGTGCAACGAATGGTGAGGTCAGAGCAAGGCGTGAGGGCCTGGCAGAAAGCGCGGTCCAGGGTACCGTGGAAAGCCGAGCAGAGACCAACAATGACCAGTAGAAAAAGAAGGGCGTGGGAGAGGAATGAAAAGGACTGACGCTGTCGAAGTCGAGCGAGAGGTCGAAAGGTTCGGAGGAGAAGAAGTAGAAGGGGAATGGAATAGTCTGGGGACGGACGAGACAAGCCCGGCATACAAGGGCAAGATGAAACCAAACGATCGACGACCAGACCAGCCGTTGGGAATGGATCCAGCAGAGAGTCTGCAGAGTCTTAGACCGCGATGGAGACCATCCACTTGGCCCCGATCCGACGGGAGGTCAATGGGGTTAGATTAGCAGGGGGCAAGAAATAAGAAATAAGAATGTCAACAAATAATGAACCCAACTAAGCGGCCGTCATAGGCGTTAGCTTCGGGACCCGTTCCAGGGTCGGTTCGCGGGCACGAAGAGGACCGAGTCAGATGGGTTCCGCGAGGTTAGGATCCATCGAGGGTGGAGTCGGGTATCGTACGACTAGCATCCTCCACCGAAATTAAATCAGAATCAGAATCAGAATCAGAATCAGAATCAGATCCGAAGGAAAGCAGGAAGCAGAAGGCAGGAAAGCAGCAGGAAATGAGGGACAGGAGCATTCACGTGTATGGAGGACGTATAGTAATTTAACCACCGGAAATTCCCCCAAAAAAAGGAAATAAAAAAAGACAACAGGCAGGACGCTTCCCTGGAAAAGCCCTAAAAGCCCTAGGAAATGGAGGGAATCGCAATATCTCCGGGCCACTCAGCACCGTGGCTTTTAATTAAAGATGCGTGCAAGAGCGGTCAAACCGCCGCCTCCTCCACTGCCCCCCTCCATCTTCATCGCATACTCTCATAACCAGATTCCAGCACGGATCTGCCACCGTGATTGCAGTCCTGTCTGGCTTTACGAGCCCTTCATTTCCCCCCCCCCTCCTCTCTCAACCGGGAGACGGGGCAGCTCCTCTGCTTCACGGAACGAAGAATGACTCTGAAGACCAGGAGATCCTCCATGGAGGACCGAGGATCCCACCTCGCCACGACGTTCGTGGCATCGACACGATCTGAACGACTCGACTGGTCCAGTCGCATCGGCATCCGGCACGGAGGGGCACAGGGCCATGGAAATGGCTCAGCCCAAGAGCCACAGAGCCAAACCCAAGCCAAACCCGATGAACATGGTTCTTCCTGGGCCCCGCATCATCCTGAAATGAGATGAGGGTGCGTAACAGGACACTTTAAAGCCAGCACTGACCAGTCACAACGTTGGTAACGGCGCCAGTCAGACGCTAACCCGCCCTAATGCCATGCCGTTGCGACTAAAACCTACCAGCCCAGCGCCCCCCTCCCCGCTCCTCGTTCCCTGTCCAATCTCCTACCAGAAGAAGGAAGGGGGGGGGGGGGAAAGACCAAGCCGACTCAGCAGGCAAAGTGATGGGAGGAGTGGGGGGGAAACAGGGACCATCCAAAGGAAGACGAGGGATGGAGACTGCGACTGCAGCCTTGGGAAAGAGTAGGGGCCCTCCAACTCAACGGCTGTGCTGGACGCGCTCCACCGACCATCGGGGTTGAAATTACCTGGCCAAAAAGAGGGTCCCCCTGGGAAATCTCAAATGGATTCTGCCGGGAAATGATTCGCATGATGATTACGAGAACCATTCCACACGGCCCCCTCTCGTGCAATCTCACCTATGATACCTTCGCGATGTCTGGTCTATACCTAACCGTCGCTAGCGACCGGCTATCCCGCGACAAGAACGGCCCTCGCGTACTGGTCTCCCCTCCGTATGATTTCATGCCGTGTGGCCCCCGGTTCGCCTTGTCCCACCCGCCTCCTTCGCGCTCGTCTGTCTGCATAGCTTGCAGCCTCACCTCCCACTGCAGCCACTCGGGGATTTTTCTCGTTTCTTAGGGCGGCTTTCCCCTCCTTTGGCGCTTCGTGCTTGGCCCTTCGCCTAGGCCGTTGCGGGTCCTGCAGGACGTGACGCCTCCTAACCGGACAGAGATATGGTACGCCGATTCACGAGGAACTATGGACTACCGGAGGATCCACCCTGACGATGGTGGGCTTTTCTGCTTCTTTTTTGGTCTCGCGTCGCCTCCGTAGTGGATCCTTCCCCTTGGTTTCCGCGAACCCGACCTCGCTCGGACATCCATGTGTCAAATTCCATAGATCCCTCATTTCGGAACTTTTCCACTCTCCCTCGCGCTCTCTTATGTCGCCTCCCGGTCCTCTACTAACCTCCGACTCTCCCAGCTACATATCAACCCCTGTAATCCTCGTTGCACACTTCCACTACCTTGGTCCGAATCACGATGTCGCCCGGCCTGCCGTCCCCCTCCATGGAAGCGCGCCCGGTCTTCCAGAACACCCGTGGCCCCGTTGCGGGATACGCTCGGGGCGGTCACACCGACGAGCGTCGGGCAGGTCCATCGTTCGCAGTTGTTTGCAGGTGACACGGCGTCGCAACTGCGCTGCGTTCTGGATGGGAGGGGGGGCCCAAGTGGAGAGGGGGGCCCAGACCCGTGCGAAATTGGACCCGTTGATCTGTCGGGTCTAGAATCACCGCCTGTCGACCAGGTCTCCTCTGCTTCTCCGCCTCCGCCTCTACCTCTGCCTCTTTGCCTTTGACGTCCCTACCTCAACTCTAGCCGTGAAAGTCCACGGAGCCGCTGTGGTTCATGTCCGACCCCTCGCGTCATGGGCCCAAACGGAACCCCGTTCTCTGGATAGGACGTACTCTTCCACCCCCTGGTATGACCAAGAGAGATAGATTCAATTCCAACCTCCGCACCGTGCACGCCAGCATGCGCCCTCGGCAATCTCCGCTGAGGGCCCCAAAAAGTAAAAACAACTCCATCCAAGGGGGCCCGTGAAGCCATCGCAAGCGACCGAGACTAAGCTAAGGTCTCAGGTGGACGGAGTCGTCGAACGAGCAGAGAGCCAGGGCTGGCTTTCCTTCCGTTTCCTCCATTCCCACAAGGATAGCGAAATTAAACGCACAATATAAACCTGGACAGAAGGAGGCAATGCTACCGAACCGCACTTTGGAAGCGGAGGCGTAGGCGTCGAACGACGGGGCGCGGGAGATTGGGATTCATGGGCCCCCCCGCGGGAAACGCGTGCCCGCTAGATTAAGGGACCGGTGGGGCTGGTTGGTGGCTCGGAGATTCCATGCCTTTCAGGTCTGGTCTTGCGTGTCGTGGTCACAATGGGATTGACATGGACTGGGGCGAACAGTGTACCGAGCAACGAAGCACGGAGGGAAGAGAGGAGCCGGAAAGCCGTATACTTCGGACAGATGGACTGGGAGTTCTGCAGGGAGTCTTCACGACCCGTCCACGGCACAAAGCACCAACTCCATCAGAACACCGTCATCATCCTCGCCCGAGTCATGCGCCTAACCCCTCGCTACATAACCCGTGCGATCACGCCAATGAGAGACCCTCTGGGAGGCCGCAAGCCGCATAACCTGCAGCCGCCGAAAACTGGGCTTATTCTCCGTGATTGGGCTGATGCACGCTGGAGGGGGACGCTGGGCCAGCTGGCACGAGCCCCAAGTGGCAAAGCCACCACCACTCCACTTCTGCAGCCCACCCCTGCAGAGCGAGGGCGACCGTTGAGCAAAGTGGCGGTGGAGAGGGGCGATGCGTGATGCGCGATGCATGATGCGCGATGTGCGATGTGATGCAGGCCGGTTGTTATCGTCCGCTCGAACACGAGTTCTCCCGCGCAATCGCATGGTGCCGAGCAAGCCCGAGCACCGGCGGGGTGTTGATAGGACCCCTTCTGGACGCCTGGACCGAGTCATCAGATTGGGATCGGGGTCATCTCATCTCGTGGATTAAGGATACGGGTGGAAAAATTGGTCATGGATGCTTCGCCGTCAACCGATACGGATCCCGTGATCGTCCCCGTACCGGGGCACTTCCATCAATCACTCACTACACGAGATACACCATTTCTGCGTACCCTACTCTATACATTATGATGAACCGAATGACTGATGTCCATTTCACCACCTAGTGACATGGTGTACTGCTTACCTACTACCACTCCTCCTCCTCCTCTGTGGAGAAGCTGGGTGGCCGATCCGTTCTGTTACCTGAAACGCCCGGCCAGTCTATGCGTCGCGGATCAGCATGCAACCTGTCAATCGTCACTGAGGACCCCCCGGGGTTGACTGCCGGGAATGTATCAACAGCAACTCCTTTCGAGTGGTCTGTGGAGCCTGTTATTTCTGGCAGTGCGCCGAGGATAAACAATACTCAACCACGCACGCCTACTTCATTTAGAATGATCATAACCCCGAACACAAATGGGAGGAACCCCCGACGCGGGGACGATCCCGCTCCACGCGGGTCCTAGAGCTAGCTCGCCCTCGTTCAATACCGTTGGGCACCTACAGTAGCGGTGATGACATATGCGGCAATGGCATGCCGTGATGGTGTTGGTGGGAAGAACAATAAACAATAGGGGAAGCACAAAAAACGGGGCCAACGGCGCCCCCAGCACGCAGGTCTCCATGCTGGACCGAGGCGAGGACGATCCATGACGATCCTGTCTCTCGGGTGTCGCTTCAAGGTATATGGCTGGGGGACGACAACAGGGATGATCCCTCGAGCGGACGTGGACAGGATATCCCAGGAGCGGAAGCCCGCACGGCCACAACGCTCCAGCCCAACCCAACCAACGCACCAGTTTGTCGCAGTGGAGCCAGACAGGGAAGCGCGGGCTACCGCTGGATCATCATTCGACTATGACATAAGTGGTCGGACGCCGAGCCATGCAGCAAAAGCTGGTTAGTGAGGGCGAGAGTGGCCTACGCCTATTCTGGAGGAGACCCATTGCTTGCTAGTTATTGCGCCGTGATCGCCCTAAATATCCGACGCATCCACTGGGGACCCGGTTTTGACCCTGACCACTTCAATTTCATTTCGCGTCTCATTTCACGGCTCGCCGTCAGCAAAGGGATGAAGTAGCGACACCATCAACCAGAAACAAGTAGAACGGAGGACGCAATCCAGGCGATTCAGCTATCCAGCAATGCCGAGGATCCATGGATGTGGAGTGACAAAGTGGACGCCATACCTCTGAAGATCCTACGTCGCAACATCCCGCGCATCAGATTGAAACGATTTCGGAAGGAGATAGGCCACTATGCTCCAAGAGGACTAACGAGGTTCATTCTCACAAGCCCGGGGGGGAGAATGGGAGGGAGACCAAAAAATAATAATAGTAATACGAATAATAATAAAATAATAATAAAAATAATAAAAATAATAAAAATAATAATAGTAATTAGTAATAGTAATAATACACCCGAACGAGGATTCTCGGAAGGGCCGACGAGAACGACGGGGACCGGGCCCCCAATTCGATCAGAGGCATGCAAGTGGCAGAGCTGAGCAAAAGTGGCGCCCAACCGTTTTAATGGGGCAGTGCGCGCGCAACGGTGGATCTGCGGTAGACGGTATAACGGTCGACGGTAGATGGTAGACGCGAGGAACGCACCTGTCAAGGAGGACAATAGTACAGCAGGACAATAGTACGGACCAGAACCACAGCGAGGACGGCAGAGTATATGGTATGGATCGACCGGATCGGCAGGATAGGGCCGGGTGGCTGCGAAGCGAGGCAAACCACTGTTTGAGTCGGGAGAAGCTCGACTCGTTTCCCTGGTGGACTCCATATAGCTCGGTCGATGGGATGACTCCGAAGAGGGACTACGCCGGAGAAGGACTAGCGAGAGGTCGCGTATAGTTCCTTGGGCGCGAGACCAGTTTCCCACTGGGATCTATCGCTTCTCCCAGGCTCGCCGAGGGAGCTCGAGTGTGAGCCTTCCCGTTGGACGAGAACCAAACATACTGACAACCAAGCAACGACTAGATGCATGCCGTGCTCACCATGTTGATGCGAATGCTCGTGAACGAGGACATCAGCACGCGGTAAACCACAAACGACTCAACCACCACCACCCACCATGCCAGGAACGCCCAAGTAGCGAGGGAGAACTCTCTGCGGCACAACACCGCGCACTTTTTGCCCTACCGGGAAATAGTGTACATGCATCGCATACAGACATCCATAGGTGTACCTCCTCCTACGGCGGCCCAGTCGCGTTGCAGGCAGATGTCCGTCGTGGAGGGGCCCGCAACGGACATCATTCCTGCGACCCGTGCAGCTTGGACCTCCAGGGTGCAGGACTCGGCCGGATCTCGCACCCCGATCGAACTTCATGCGAGTGGCCCATCAATTCCGGCCGGGTTGCCAGTGTTTTCGTCAGGCGGCGCTCCACTTCGGGGGGTACACCTGAAACACGCCTCTGCCTTGTGGGGAAACGACCTGCCCACTGGCCCCCCTTCAACTCTCCTCTCCTCTCCCTCTCGTCTCCCCCTCCTCGTCCGTGAGCTCGTTCGAGCTTTGGGATGGGCGTTCTACTCGAGGGGCTGGGAGGGGGAAACCCGGGACGACTAGAAGATGGACGGGACGGCACGGGTCTTGGCCCTTGTGGTGGGTGGAGAGGAAGGGGGGGGCAGGATAAGGCAGGGCCGGTAAAGTACCGAGAGTACCTCGAGGCATCCAAGAACCGGTTCATGGTAGGCTGCCGCCAGGGCTGGGTACCTGTGCCTGGGTACGAGGTACTACTGTAAAATGCCAGGGCTAGAGCCACCATTCGCCATCCGCAGAACGCAGTCCGTGGGCTTCTGTCCTGCCTGTGCAGTGCTGGTGCTTGGCTGGTGCTTGGCTAACGCTGCTGGACCGTTTAACAGGCTGGCCGCATGCCCCGTTCGAGTAACGGCACGGTCGATCATCGCAACGACTGACAGTTGACGCCTCACATCCCTTCCCTTCCTCGTCCAAGCTTCGAAGCCAGTCGAGACTCCTTCCGGATCAGACAAGCAGAAATGGTCCGGGCAGAGGCGAAGACGAAACCGAAACCGAATTTCCGGCCTGCGACAGCCGCAAGAGTCTAGACCGTCGTGTTGGCTTCTAGACCATTGCGGAGTCAATTGGATCTTCATTCACGGGAATGGACAAACCACGGTTCGGGATCTAGCAACCGCCCACAGGCTGGAGGCGAGACTGCCAGAGAAGAGGAACCAAATGACAGGCGTGAAGATCCCCTGGATAGGCTGGGTCGTTGGGTCCAGCAATGTTTCATGGTAGCGGGATGGGGTGGATGGGTTTCGTGGACTGTGGACTGTGGACTGTGGGCTGTCTGGTGGATGGGGCCCGTTGGTTCGGAAGAATTCAGGTACCGCCCGAACATGCGTATTGTGTGACAGACGACGGGAACCCAGCCTCTACACAGACACCCTACTCTCACATAGATGGCTTCGACAGAGGCTTGGGGGTTGTCGCTTCAAGAGCTGAAACTGCTCTGGTGACCCTCGAAACCTTTCACGTCGGAGGCTTGTTTCTTTGTCTGCAACCCTGAGCCACGGCGGTTCATAGACTCCCGCGGAGCTTGGCGGTGACTGCTAGATGGACGTGTTCAGCCACGGAATTACCGGTCTGAGTTCCTTTTGACCCTAAGGGGTAGACTTGGCTGTGTACTATACGAGGTACCGTCTATACTATGCTGGGGTTGGCCCGTCCCTCCTCAGCTTTCAGTCTTCGGTTCCTTCTTTCGAGTTGACCACTTCATGGACGATGTCGTCAGAGGCCTGTGTCTTTCTCTGAAGGGCGCGCATAGTCCTTTCAGCTACCACAGAATGGTCATCAAAGAAGACTCAGAAGCGTAGCTCGAGCACACCCAAAGATAGCAATGAAATCTATTTTGCACATTCCCCTGAAAAGCCATGAGTTGCTCTGACATTTGTCTCTTTGGGCCCGCATCCCTGTCGACCATAAACCGCCGATTCCCAGTCATGCAAGGCGGCCAAGTCCTCAAAGAAAACACCAGGCGAACGTGGAGGATGGGCCGTCCTTGGAAAGGAGTTAAACCCCGTGTCGATGCCCTCCCCAGTCAATATTGACAACACTATAACACCATAGTATCTATCGCACTAATCGTGAAGACTCGCCTTTCGAGGAGGTTCTGTGACTGCTCACGCCACAATGGCCCAGGTAGACAGCGCTGCAAAGCATGATATCTACACGCGGGTAGGAAGCGCCATAACCACGTCGACCGATAGAAAGAACCAGGCTCACGAATACAGGGCCCTCTCGATTCCCAATGGGACAGTCAGATGCCCGGCAGACCCGAACGAGGCTTCGAGAACTTGAACGGCGTGGCCTGCTATCGAAACGTGATTGATTCTGCAGATGCTGCTGCATGCCCCGATCTTCATGCACTGGGTCGAAGACTGTGTGCAGTCCCATGTACCCGAGGGATGCGCCTGTCAGAATAGAAGCGGTGCCGACAATATTGATGACGACGACAAGCGATGCAAAGTGTGTCTGCTCCATGCCCTGGTCACGACCTTTTGGGATCATGGTGGGAAAAACCAGGTGAATGTGGACAATGTCTTGGATGATTTCTGGAATCGAATCTCCGAGGACTGGTTTTTATCATCGGGCATGAGCGAGGACGAGATAGATGACCAGCAGGATATTGCCGGGTTCCTCACGGAGCTTCTGAGGCAGCTTAAAGAAGATTGCGACGGGACTTGGTGAGTACTGCCCGGGGGGAGAGTCGCCCTTTCGTGGTTCTGGATTTCGTCACGCTCATCCCTGTTTGATCATATAGTCGCGCCTCCCTGAATGGTCTCTTCATGATTCAAACGACCAATATGGAGAAATGCACCGGCGATGGCGGCTGCACGAAACGAAGTTGCCATGACGATGAAGGGTATTTCCTCCACGCTCGTTTTGCCGACGGCAATCCTGCCGTGACCATGGAGGAGACAATTCGGAAATCCCTCCACGAGTGTGTGACGGACGATGTCTGCACGGAATGCCATCACCACCGAAGCCGGACGCTGCAGCTTCGCCATCCGCCCGAGTTGCTCCTCGTACACCTCAATCGAATCAACCCTGGCGAAGATGAGTCGGGTGGGTACAGGCCCAACAAGATCACCACGGAGATTGACTTCCCAGAAGAGCTCCGGCTCGACGCCGACTGGTTCGATCCTCGGTGGGGTGCTGGCAAACGGTCGGTTGCATACGAACTCTTCTCGGTACTGCTGCACCACGGACAGTGGACCAACAGCGGCCACTATACGGTTGCGGTGAAGGGCAAGGACGGGAATTGGGTCCTTGCCGATGATACGGCGCTGACACGCTTTGATTCGTTCAACGCCGTCAAGGATGCACCGGGGCTCCGACGTCACGCATATATCTTTGCTTATCGCCGGCTTCCTCTGGTCCAACATACCGCCACGGACATCCCGAAACCTGAGCCGGCGCCAGCTAATAAAGCCAGGGCGTCTGAAGCAGAGAAGGGCGGGGATGACGAGGAGGAGAGCGAGGAGGGAGGGAGGGGTGCTGATGACCACGGTGGTCAGAACATGGACTACGATGAGACCGAGATCGAGCTAGAGGAGAAGCAGCGCGGCCAGCTGGAGATAACATTTACGACTAATACTGGAGTGGTGACCTTAAGGGCTCATGTGAAGGGCATTCTCTGGAACGATCTCAGCCTTGACCCAGCCCGAACTGGAACGACGGCTAAGAAGACCCCCACGAAACGGCCAGCAATCTCAGGCGAGCTTCCATCGAAGCCAACCAAGAAGCGGAAACGGCCAGCTCCCAAGGAGCCCGGCGCCCGCAAGTCTGCGCGACAAGCCCGGGCGAGTACTACAGGGGGAGGAGTTGGAAGGAGAAAGAAGTAGGGGAAAATGAGGAGGTGAGATTGGAACTAGCTTGACTATTTTGCTTTGTTTTACCTACGTTTGAGTGTTTTCATATGCGATGTTGGTTGTTCTGGCTGGCAAAACCGGGCGGGGGGTGGACATTGCGCAGCATGCTTGATATGTATATATTCTGTCTGGTACTCCCCATTTTAGATCCAGTGAGCTACGGTTCCATACTACGGTTGTGATCCATGTATTCCACTTGCACCTGATTGAATCAGCCAAGAGATCTTCCAGATAGACTGAACGAGAGATTTTGCTCTAGAAATCCCCCCTCGTTCTGGTGGACGGGGTGACTGGTCCATTTGATAGTCTCCCGCTCGCCATCCTCGGCCACCCGAACAACTTCCAAACCCCATCCTGGAATGGAAACATGGACACCCACAGACTTCAGAATGACCTTCCAGCTTCGGCTGAATTTGTTGACCGGCTGCTAGCTGAGTTGGCTAGCTTCAAATCACACGTCACCAGCAGCACCACCGCCGCACAAGAACCGCCCAGGACGCAAGCCACATACCAGGACAAGCCGCCGCAGAACGTCCTCTCGGGGCTATCAGCTTCCCAACTCACCAGAGTAAAGCCCCTACTGCTCACATTACACTGCCTCTTCCCCAACGATCTGCTTCCCGCCCTCGACATCCTGGACCGCAGGCTCGTGCAGCGGTTGGTGGTGCGCGGGGACCAACCCCATGCCGTGCCATCGGCACCTACCCAGGACCCAGCAGGGGCCCCAGACAAGCAAGATAGACAACCCCATGAAACACACCCCGAAGACATGTTCCTCTATCTGGTAACATCGGCCTCGTCGGCCCCTCCACACCCCAGCGCAGCACCGTCAACAGCAGAGCCATCAGCACACCCCACGCTGGAACCGGAAAAAGTCTACGAAGTCCGCCTCCACGCATGGAACTGCACCTGCCCCAGCTTCGCGCTGTCCGCATTCCGCGACGCAGACTCCGGCCGGGTCTCCACGCCCAGCTCGCCTGCAGAACCCCCATCCGATACTGCAATGCTGCGTGACCGGGATGGATCTGCGGCCTACCCATTTGGTGGGACGCTCACCTGTCAGTCAGACAGGGAATCACCGCCAGCATGCAAGCACATTCTGGCCTGTGTGTTGTTTGCACGGTGTCCGGGGTTGTTTCGGGGTGGAGGGGACGGACGGGTTGGGTCGATGGAAGAGTTGGCTGGGTGGTGTGCGGGATGGGGCGGATGAGTCCGACGGCGACGGCGACAGCGACAGCGACAGCGACATCGATATCAACATCGGCATCGGCATCAAAGCTAGAGCAGAGCAGGGGATGGGCAGGGATGGGGAAAGAGGAGCCTGGTCCTATCCTATCCTATGGGAGGTTTCTACGAGAGAATAGAGTTTTGCTCCGCTGGTTCGAGCAAGAGCAAGAGAAGGCGCAGGCGGTTTGGGATGAACTGTTCTACGACGCCACGACCAACCACCGTCAGCAGCCATGCTGCAAGTCGAATCCACAGTCCACTGGGCTCTGCGAGTGGTACTGTTTGTGATACGCCGCGACGGGCTGAACTAAATAAACGCCAAAGCGGACAGCAGTGGCGGTGAGGATAGATGTTCAACAGTCACCAGGTCATATCTTTGATTATTCCGTACTATACACCGCCAACCAAATGCAGTTCTAAGCGGTCATAACAAATCGGCGGGCATCGTTTTCCCTCCAGGCGGGGAAGGAAGAAGAGAACAGCTTGTCTTTTTTGGGTTTAGCTCTTCTTCTTGCTCTTATCGGAGCTGTCCTGCTCCTCCTTGGGCTCGCCGTTTGACGACCCGTTGGACTTCTTCCCGTCCTTCTCACCCTTGACCGCATTGATCTCAAGTTCCCGCTTCGAGTCACTCTCCTCCTGCTGCTGTCGGTTCTGGATCTTGTTCTCGATCAAGTCGTGGAACGCCGTGATGGCACGGATCAGACTGCTGATATAGATGGCCATCAGCTGGTCGTTCGTCTTGACACTCATCGCCCGAGCCAATTCGCTGTTCTCGAGCGGTTGCTCCTGGCCACTGATCCGTTGCGAGGCCGACGGGGTAGACAGGTTGGGGAGGAGGTTGAAGACGTCCTGGAGGTTGCCCAGGATGGCGTGGTTGACGGGGAGTTCGTGGTCGAGGACCTTCTGGAGATATTGGCCGATATCACGCAGCCGGAGGTGCAGTCCTTGCAATGATTGCAGCTGTGATGTGATGCGGGTGGAAAGCGTGCCGACGGCGACATCCCTGATGTCTCGGAGCAAGTGCTCCACGCCAATTTCCTCCGCTTCCTCGGCCTCGATTATCGACGGTGTGTGTACGAAGGTCTTGGAGGTAGTGGTTCCATCCTACATCAGTAAAAACAGCGCACCCCGGGTTAGCTTTATGATTGGTGTCCAAGAGCGGAGGGCACCGCCTCCGGAATAAACATCAAACACTCACATCCTTAATCTCATCCACGGCAAAGTAGGCATCTGTAGGCACACCGACCTCCTTCGGCTGCACATCGACAATAACCAGTAAGGGGTTGGGAGTGTATTTCTTGAAGAGCTCGTTGATCTCGAGATCGGAAGCGCGAAGCTTGGGGCCGGAGTGATACCAGCCGACCAGCTTCTCACGGGCATTGATCTTCTTGAACATGTCCCTCATAGACTCAACGAAGTTGTGATCCAAGAACCAGACTGACGGGTCCTTCTCATCCTCCTCGAACGGAACTAGATGCGGGAAAAAGGTACCGTCAGCTCGTCCGCGGACACCAGCTTGTTGACCATCACAAGAGCCAGCACATACCTGCGAAGCTGTTGGAAACGCGCACATCGTTGCCCGAGTTGTCACCCAACAGTACACCCACAACACGTTTCCGGGTGCCCTTAGCTGTGCGCCCGTAGTGATCGGCGACGGAGAGCAGGACTAACGGGGCAACCGTGACGGAGCGGTTGACGAGGGATAGCGTGTCCGCCGTGGTGGCAGGCATGGCGGCGGTGTGGAGGGCAAAGACTCAGTGGTAGATATGAGCTAGAGAGCAAGACTGGGGAGACGGATGGAAGGTTGGGGTTGATAAATGGAGGGTGGAGAGGGGAGGTGTGGCTTTCAAGCCTGGATGGAGCAGGGCGATGATGCTCGGAGAGCTTCTGGTCGGCGCCACACCTGCGCCATCTCTGTGGCTTGTGTATTAAGTAAGCAGTTCCTGGGTTCCCGGCCATTTTGTGATGTTGAGAGAGCCAAAAATTAGATGAACGCCAGAATCAAGACGAGTAAGCCAATAAAAATAAAAAAGATAAAAATAGAAGTCTACAGTAAATGGATCTGGAGGAATTGATCCTACCCGATCATTCCATATTTTCCCCCCATACTCCGCACAGCGTTGCATACCCGGTTCGTCAGACGCATTGCCGGCGGAGCGCAAGTGCTGCTCCGAACCTCGGGCGCTAAGTTTCCTTCCCTTCCATTTCCCCGTCCGCTTTCCTTAGGCTTTCCCTTCCACCCGTCTGCAACCTGTTCTTCGACTCGCATTCGAGACGCCCTCTCCCCTCCTCATATTCACCATGGCACCTATCATCGACGATGCCGTTTCCGGCCTGAAAGACACCATCGGCAAGCTGGAGGCCCGGGTTGCCGATTTGGAGAACCGCCTGACTGGCGGCGACAAGCCCAAGTCGCTGACGGAGCAGATGCGCATCATCCTGATGGGCCCTCCTGGTGCTGGTATGGTTACCGGCACTGTGAAATTCCAGTGGACGGCTGATTAACGCGTCTTTTCTTCGCAGGCAAGGGTACTCAGGCCCCGAACATCAAGGAAAAGTACTGCGCGTGTCACCTGGTCAGTAACCGCCCTGCATCACCCTCGAGGTGCAAACAGGGAGAGTCCATTGTTTGCTGATAGATTTTTTTTCCTTCCTTAAATAGGCTACTGGAGACATGTTGCGGTCACAGGTCGCGAAGAAGACCGAGCTTGGCAAGGAGGCCAAGAAGATCATGGACCAGGGTGGTCTCGTCAGCGATGAGATCATGGTCAACATGATCAAGAGCGAGCTGGACAACAATGCTGAGTGCAAGAACGGGTAAGGAACCCGACTCCCCTCTCCTTCGCCAGCAGAGATATCCGAATTCTTGGACTAACACTCTACGACCAGCTTCATCCTGGACGGCTTCCCCGCACCCGTTGCTCAGGCCGAGCGCCTGGATGACATGCTTGCCTCCCGCAAGCTTCCGCTCCAGCACGCCATCGAGCTGCAGATTGACGACGCCCTTCTCGTTGCGCGTATCACCGGCCGCCTGGTGCACCCGGCGTCGGGCCGCTCGTACCACAAGATCTTCAACCCGCCCAAGAAGGACATGGTCGATGATGTTACGGGCGAGCCTCTGATCCAGCGCTCTGACGACAACGCCGAGACTCTGACCAAGCGCCTGGCGACCTACCACGCCCAGACCTCGCCCGTCTGCGAGTACTACAAGAAGACCGGCATCTGGCGCGGCGTTGACGCCAGCCAGGAGCCCGGCCAGGTGTGGAAGAGCCTGCTGGGTGTGTTCCACAAGAACTAGGAGGGTCGATTTCGGAAAACAAACCATATGTGTTTAGGGTTTTAAAAGCAGTGCCCCTCCAAAAGTATTGGGGTGGAAACTGGGGAAGCGAACGAGGTATCAGTCGGCGGCTTCCGTGATTCCTCGCCCTGTTCCTGTTCTATTTCTTTATTTTGGGTCTGAGTTGGAGCACGCGGAGCGAAGGGACTGGTGTTGCCGCTCGCATATAGACGCAGAATAAGCGTCTCGGCCATGTATAGTATGTGTACTCTTCTGGTAGCCCATCACGGTCACCAGCAATGACCTTGCAACCCATAGGAACTACATCGTGGACAAAGGAAATAAAAGTAAAAACCTACGTAGTCAGGCATTCTGTCCATTCGGATGGGCAATACCTACAAGAAGCATAGGCATAATACATTTTCAAACTCTGGATATGTACTGTATCTACACCAGGAAATAACCGCCGGTACTACCGTACTATTTTAACCATGCCACCCAAAACCCTCTACAACGGCAAAGGATACTGGGTCGACTCAATCGTAGCCGGATACGTCAATCCGCCCTGGCGACGCACCTCATCCATAACCTCCATGATCGCAATACTCTCCTCCCACGGCATACCCTCACTCTCAAGCTTCCCATCCCTCAGACAACGAGCCACCTCATCAGCCTCCCAGTACATGCCATGACCCTGCGCCGGAAACGAGCACTCGACATCGCGGACCTCGCCAGCCCCCTTCTTGGGAATAACGCGGTAGCGCGTGGGCCGGAAGGGGTACCCGAACACCTGGATCTCGCCCTTGGTGCCCTGGATGCGGATGTTCGGGCCGGCTGTACCCTGCTCGTCTGGGTCACCGGCGACACGGATGTTGGTCATCGCCACGCCTTGTGAGCGCTGCGGGTGCGGGCCGTTGGTTGGGGTACTGGTAGGGAAGGAGAGGAGGATGGTGGTGGATTCGTCGGCGCCGGTGAGGTGGTAGGGGGTCATTTGGGAGGTGACGGTTGGCGATTTCCTCTGATCCTTGGGAAGTGTGTGGTAGAGAGTTTGGAAAACCCAGGTGAGGGAGTAGATGCCCACTACACAGTTAAGACGGAGGCTTAGCTTAGCACGAGTCACCCATCTCGGCCTCGAGGACACCTCGCTTCGTTTTCTGATGACGACGACGACGACAGCAGGGAGCACTTACAGTCCAACAGCGCACCACCGGCCAAATCCGGGTTAACCATACGATGTGCAGTCCCCCACTTCTCCTCAACATCGTCGCCGAAGCTTGTATCGGCAATCGTGCGCAGCACCTCACCAATCTCCCCACTCCGAATGATGTCGCGCACCTGCACGCTCAGCGGGAAATAGCGGGTCCAAACCGCCTCCATGAGGAAGAGGTTCTTCTGGCGAGCTGTCTCACACAAGATGCGCGTCTGGGCCGCGTTGACGGTGAAGGCCTTCTCGCAGAGGACGTGCTTGCCGGCGCCCAGGGCTAGCATGGCATTCTGGAAGTGGTGGGAGTGCGGGGTGGCGACATAGACGACGTCGATGTGAGGGTCTGCGACGAGATCATCGTAGTTGCTGTAGGCGGTACAGGGGCCGGGGATGCCGAGGGCTTCGATGAATTGGGTGGCTTTGTCCTTGGAGGAGGACGAGGCGACGCCGACGACTTGGTGGGCAACGTCGGAGGCGTCGCGGGCTTTGGGATCTTTGAGGAGATCGCGGACAAAGGCTGTTTAGCGGTTAGGGTCCGTTTTCTCCTTCATTTTCTTCGTGGGCAGCTTGATGGTATTGGGCCGGGGTTCAAAACGTACTGGTCGCGATTCCGCCAGTGGCTATATACTTATGGATTAGTTTAAGCTTTGTAGGAAAGGCAAGACGGACGCACCCATAATGCCCCATCGGATCGTGTGCGCCATGATGGAGGAGTAAGAAGCTATAACACGAGGGAGTAGGAGAAGTAGGAATTAGGATGTTGGAAGGAGGTGTTTAACGGTTTCTTATGTATGATGGGACGTTCCCCGGTGGGGGGAAATTCAGCACGGAGATGCGCCGAGCGGGGCAGAAAGCAACGTCCTGATGCTACGCGACTGAATTATGCACATGGTTCTATTTTACACGTTCACGCGGGCTCTGTCTTAATGCGCGCCTTGCCTCCAGGGGAGTCAGTTCCTTCTGCCTTCCGCTTGCCCAGCACTGAATCGGGGGTGCCGGTGCGGGCCTGGGGTGTGGAGCTACGTGGCGCAGGGCCATCCTTGGTCACTTCGGCGTAGCAGCTCGCGTGATAGACGCGACTGCCGACCTTGATGGCGTCCTGCCAGATCCAGTCCTGAACGTCCTCCGACCAGGTCGACTCAAACTTCTCCTGACAGATGGGGCAAGGCGTGTTGCGGAGCGTGGCATCGTTCGGGGCCCGGATCCACGCCTGGGGTGGGCCCTGCTTCGAGGCATTGCCATCGGCTCCAGCTCCCCCGTCACCGGTGGCCTCTGCATCGGCCACCGGTTGGTCGTCATCGACCTCTCGAGACTTGATCCAATCCTATAAACCCCGAGGTCAGCCCCGCGCTAGAGAACAGTAGGAATCGAAGTCGGTGATACATACCCTCTCATCGACGTACCAGCTACGGGTCTGGGCTCGCTTAGCAGCCTCAGACATGCGCTGATTAGTCTTGAAGTGCCAGTCCAGATGCCGTGCTTTTTTCTCTCTCCCCTCCTGAGTAGCAGGGAACCGGCGTCCGCAGGTTCCACAACGGTTTGGCTTGGCTTCGTATAGAGAGACCACAAGGGTGATTCGAGGGCTACAATTCGGGACGCATTAGCATGACCAACATCATCATCATCATCAGAATCGTTATTTACAGCCACAACTTACATTTTCATGGATGCGGAGTTCATGGGAATCGAGGATGAGGCTGACATTGATGACTGTGGTGTGGGAGCAGGAGGCGTCGATCGCATGCCACCAGACATGAGAAACGGAAGCTGGCCCCCTGGGGGTGGCGGCCCCGTGGAAGAACCCATCACCGGGGGAGCCGATGCGGGAGGCAAGATCCCCCGCGACCTGAGCGCGGCAATCAGCGGGTTCTCGGGTTGCGGTGTATTGCTGGCGGGGGGCATCGGGGGCATCTGGGGCATCGTAGGAATGGCGTTCGGGATATGTGGCGGAGGAGTGGGTACTTGGCGGATGGCAGTGGCTTTGATGAGCTCTGCAAGGGTGCCCGAGTTCAAGAGTTGCTGGAGTGGTTGGGATGCGGATTGAGTTGGAGGAGTCGAGACGGGAGCGGGAGGTGCTGGGACGGCAGCAGGCACAATGGGAGCGGCATTTGGGGCCACAGACGCCTGCGGTCTCAAGGCCGAGACTTGATCGCGAACCAGCTTGAGCTGGTCTGGGGTGAGTTGCTGGTTCCTCATGATGGTCTGCAGGTCGAGTAATGCTTTCAGCCGTTGCTGCGAGGTGGGATCAAACGGAGCATTGGCGAAGTCGTTGCGTGCCGTGAGGATGCAGACTTCAAGGTCGCGATTGAGAGCCTCTAACTCCGAAGCTGGACGATTCCCTTGCGGTGGTGTCTGGGATGGTGGGTTAGTGTGAGTCGATCCAGCATCCAGGGACCGTAGGGAAGTGGAATCTCCTACCGATGTGCCATAGCTCTGGCCATTGCTGCTGGGGTGGGGGTTGACCTGTCGAGGCAAGCCCTGCGGTGGTGTTGGACTGTTGACCCAGCCGGTGGGCGTGCCACTGCCGCGGCCCCGGATCAACACGTCCCGGCTGCCTCGAGCTTGTTCTTGCTGCAAGGCTGCAGTGCGCGCCTTGATGAGGGCATTCTCGATGTTGCGGGTGACGTCGGGGGGAAAGACTGGGCGAGTGTCCAGTGAGCCTGGAACCGGCTCCTTCCACGTCTTGAGCATCTCATCCAACTTGCGACGTGTCGCCGAGTCGACCAGCGTATACGCATTCATAAAGGTCTGATACATGTTCCGCCCCAGGAAGAGTGTGTAGGGAGTTCCGACGTTCTTGACGATGGAATCGACTACATACAGCGCAGGCAGCTTCTGCGGAGGTGGAGTCTACAGAGACCATTAGACATTCCGGTCTACGCCACGATGGGGAGGACACCTACTGATCGGATGTGATTCTCCAACACACGGGAGATGGCCATGGCATGCTCGGTGTTCTCCTTGGCTATGACGGTCAGGTTGCTGATCTGGAAGCGGTCGTTGCCCGTGAGATCCTCCAAGGAGCTCTTGTAGTCCTCGGCGACCTCGTCAGAGACCAGTCCAGACATGATGGCGTCGGGGGAGCTGCAGAGCTGCAGAGTCCACCTCGGAAGGGAGGAGAGGGAGGTGGAAGGCTGAAGGCGAAAACGCCGGAGACACCAATGATGGCCCTTGAAGGGTAACCACCTCGGCTGGTTGCCTGTTGCGGGTTCAATATAAGTATAAGTGTCAAGTGTCAAGTATCGAGTATCAAGTATCAAGTGTCAAGTGGCGTCTTGATTTTTTTTCTGCTGTGCTTTCTTCACAGTCCGCCGTCCTGCTTTGTTCTTGCTCTTGCAAGCTCCGCTTCCCCAGTAGATATCGGGTGGTAGCTTCTGATCCTGTACTGCTATCACAGGAGACTTGTGTTTTTTTTTTCTTCTTAGTCCGCGTCCTCGTTCCCAGGCGCACTCTGGATGAACAACACGAGATGGAGAGAAAAGTCGGAACTTGTAAAATGCTTGCTAGCTATCTTTGCGAGACTTGAGACAACAACAACCGCGCCTGTCCTACAATCCAGCAAGACCCTGCAACCCCGTGAACTTGTCTGCCTTCCTTCACGTCAAAAGACCTTTGACGAACCCAAGGGATGGTGCGCCGGAGGGAGAGGCCGTGTCCGGATAATCCAAATGCTGCAAATGCTCAAAGAACAGAAGGAAAGAAAGTGAGTCCACGCTGAAGGGCCGTGAAATGGGGACGAAAGAGGAGAAAGAAGGCGAGGTCGGGCGAGTTGGAGGTTGGAAGTGCAGTGACGAGCCGAAGGGATTGCTGGCCGAAGCCCGCAGTCACCTGACCTCCATGACGCAGACCCGCGCCAGCTTGGGGCATGTCGTGTGCCGCAACTCAACTTCTACAGACTTGTCATCGCCCCTTACCATCATGAAGTTCCTGTTGACTGCTCTGCTGGCTCTCCTACCTTTGGCGCTGGCCGCCAAGTCCCTTAAATCTGTCGTTGTGACTTTCCCCAAGGGCACTCCGTCCGGGGTTATTGACCAGGCCAAGAACTCGCTGGTCGCTGCGGTATGCCTTGCATATCTTAACCGGAACCCTCCAAAATTCACTTACTGACTGATCTCTCAAGGGTGGTGTGATCACTCATGAATACCGTAAGTTCTGCTCTCTCGCCTTCGGCGAACATGCGACAACCGAGGCTGACTGTTTTTGTGTACAGATCTCTTCCCGTATGATCCACCCACTATCGTCCATACTGGGCCACCCCCACAACTAACCATCATTTAGCGGTTTCGCCGCCGAAGCTCCCGTCAATGCTCTTCAAACTCTCTCGACTCAGGACGCCGCCTACAAGCCCATCATCGAAGAGGACAAGATTGTGACGGCAATTGGAGATTGTGTGGGCGAAGAACACTCGTTCTGAGCAAGACGCAGCATGCGCATGACATCTGGGAGAGTTCTGTGACGAATGTCGGTCGGGGGACCGGCAATCCATGACGATGCCAATTAATTGGGGGGGCGCACTTTGACAACGGAATTTCGGCGCATCTGAATCGATCAATGAAGGGCTTTGGCGTTATACGGAATGGAGTCTTATGACTACTGGGTTATGATCGCAGGACAAGGCGACTGATCCCAAGAGACGGGATGGGGGGCTTATCTTTTGGGCGTTTTGGAATTTCCTAGAATCTATGAAAGGGGGACTTGGGTACTTTCTGCTGCTCTATTGTTCTTGATCCTCCAACGTATTGTGTAGGTTACCTTTGCACGACCAGCTATCTCTGACGGAATGGTGGGCTTTCAGGTTCTTATACTCCGTACTCCGTACAACGAGAAAACCCCCGAACGCTGGCAACTTTCACATCAACAGCAACCTACCAAAACAACCGATAATATGACTCTGTCTGCCTAATGAGAGCTCCTACATGTTCAAGTTGTAATCAGTTCTACCAATGTGCTCTCCGACTTCTCTGCTGCAGTTGATTTGAGTAACCCAAGTAATAAGCTAGTACGAAGTACGGGGGTGGACGATCATCCCCCCGCTAGCGACTCGGCCTTCTCGTGGCCCCCCTCGAAAACGCGCGCGCGTGGACCCGCAGCTTCCCAGGCCACCTCTCCCTCCCTCCACTCTCTGTGCCTGTGCGGTCGGGGAATGCTGCATTTGTATATGCTCTGGCATCCATTCCTTTTGTCATTTTACTGAGTCCCGATCACTCGCGATGGCCCAGGAACACACCGTCACCAAGGTTCTGTTGGAATGGATCAACAGCTTCTCCCTGGGCAAAACACTTCGCGTCCCGGATGAATTGACGGACGGCATTATTCTATGGGAGATCCTCCAGGATATTGACCCGCAGTACTTCCTCGACGAGATTCCCGAACGCAATCCGGCCGATCACTGGGTCGCCAAATGGCAGAACTTAAAGCATATCCACAAGCTTCTGCTCAGTTACATTCGGCACCAGAATGATGACACCCTCCCCTCCGGCCTCGACCCGTCGCCCGACCTTGAAGCAGTTGCGGAGAAAGCGTCAACCAAGGAAACGAACAAGTTGCTGAAACTCCTCCTGATCGCCGCCATCAGCTCGCCCAACGCCGGGACTTACGTGCAGACCCTCCAGGAACTCAGCACCCCGACCCAAGAGGGACTCAAGGACATAATTGAGGAGGCCCATAGCGGCCAACATGAACCACTGGACGGAGTCGATGACCTCCCGGAGGAATCGGCGAAGTCCGATCACCCTGTGGATTTGGAGCTGCAGTTCGAGGAGCGCGTCGGGAAGGTGATCGCGGAGAACGATCGTCTGACACACGAGAAGAAGGAGCTTGAGAAGGCATTGGAGGACCTGCATAACCGTCTGGCGCGTTTGCAAGAGAACAATGACACTCTCCAGAACCGCCTGGCTTCAACCGAAGATCGCTTGGTGACCCTGAAGTCGGGAAAGGGTGACCTGGGATTCAATGCGAAGGCGCTGGAGAGCAAGACCCGCCAGCAGGATGACCTGATCGCATCTCAGGAGGCCAAACTGAGTGCGGCCCAGGACGAAATCGACAGTCTCCGCATGAGCGTGGAATCATTGAAGGTCAAGAACCTGCGCTATCAGAAGCTGCAGGATGACTACGATGAGCTGCGCACAGAGCGGGACCAACTGGCGCGGAAGGCCAACGCTGCAGAGAAGTATCGGCAGAAGCTCCAAGCCAGCCAGGACTTTGAGAAGGAAAACCAAACCCTGAAGAACCAGATTAAAGACATCCAGCAACAACTGAAGGAGTCGGATTCACAGCAACGGTGGTCTTCGGAGCGGGATGTCGAGCTGGAGGAGTACCGCAAACTGTTGCCGCGCATCGAACAGGAATGCAATGAAATCCAGAACCTTAAGAAACAGCTCGAGTTCAACAACCACGCACTCACGGAGCGCCTTCAGAGTGCTGATGAGCAGCACGAGAGAGACGACGCTCTGATCAGCGAGCTCCGCGAACGCCTGGGAGAGTTCGATGGCGTGCCTGGCAGCCCGTCACCGGGCTCTGAGACCCCAAAGATGCAAGGCACCTTGAACAAGGACTTTGAGGCAATTGGTATGAGGGAGTCACAGCTGTATGTATCCCCATTATCATACACGCTGGCTCGTTTACTAAATTGAATATAGCAAATCCGAGAACGACGAGTTGAAGCGCGAGATGGATTCGTTAAAGGCACCATCGACCGCTGTACGTGTTTGTTTTTTGGTGGCTTCATATGAAGAGTACTTGTGCTAACACCAACCAGCCCGAAGCGCAATCCGAAATGTTTTCCGAAAGCTTCAATACATCTGTGCAACTTGCCCGTTCTAATTCCACCCAAAGGTACTTTAGTCCCAATTACCGGGAGGAAGAGAGATGATGCTAATACAATCTCTAGCGACGAGTATTGGAAGCTCTACGAGAACTATACCGGGGCATTGAAGAAGATTGCAGAGGTTCAGGATACTCTGGAAATCACCAAGAAAGACTTGTCTGATGCACAAACCCAGAGTAAGTCACGATTTGGGAACTACTACGCAGACCAGGCCAAATCACTAATCACAGTTTAGTCTCTCTCCTCGCTACCGAGAAAGCTGATTTATTCAGCGAGCTTGAAGGGCACAATTCTGCTGAGCTGGCGAAACTCCGTAGCGAATGGCACAACCTTGCCCAGAACGTGCACCACTTGGAAGCCGAGGTGGATGCTAGCCAGACTCTGGTGCGCGAAGTGTGCTCCGAGCGTGAAGAGCTGCGGAAGATGCTCGACACCAAACAGAATGAGATCAGCGCCGAGGATCAGGAGGTTATGAACGAGATGCAGATGCTGCTGGGCGAGTTTGAAATCGTTAACAGCGAGGGTGGCGATGTGCCCCAGAAATCGAGCTTTGAGCTTCTGAAGCAGTGCGCTGGCGTCCTGGAGAAGAATGTCGAACGGCTGGCTCAGCGTGCCGAGGTTAGTTCCAACCATCTACGGGGTCCCTGGATGATTATTTAGTGGACGATTTTGCTAATGACCCTTCTTTGTGCAGTACATCCAACAGCAAAACGAGCTCATCAAGTCGCTCCGCGAGAGCATGAAGAATTATGAAGAGAATCTGGATGAAGGAATCCCTAGAGAACGTGAAGTACGTCCACCAACTACAGTTCCATGCTCAACTTACCGTCAAGTATTTAAGAATGTGCTGACCACCCCTCAGATGGAGCTGCAAAGAACTATCGACGATCAAGCCCGCGAGCTCAGCCTCGTGAGCTCAGCGTGGTACCACCTGCAGAGCCGATGGCAGAACAACAACATGACCGTCTCACGATACCGGCAGGGCGCAAGCATGACAGATCCCCGTGGCTGGCTCGCCAAGCAGCGCAGTGCAGTTGCGGGCCAGTAGGCCTCGAGGCATATGCCATTCGAACATCTGTCTTTTGAGTAGCGCCATTCTGTTCGTTTCTATCCCCGCTAGATCGCCCTTATACCTTCAGATTGTATAATTTCAATGGCATATAGAATGCATGTTTTGTGGCTGTTGATATACCCAGGCGGTCCGTTTCTTTCTTAAGGCTGAGGTTCCCTGTACACCTGTGCTTCAGGTTATCGTCTATGATTGTCGCGTTCTTTGGGTTCATTATGACGGGAGGGGTTCGAGATTGTACGTACGCCTTGATTGTGATGCACAAGAAAGCATTTCGTCGTTTTTGCTGTTGTTTAGTGTCCCGACTTAGATATTCACCCGCACCTATGACCATCAGTGGTATACTCTAAGTATGATCTGAAACACGGCCGACTGAAAAAAAAAATGCTGTTCTAGAAAGCACTGGGAACCACAATTTAATATTTAGTCAGCAGTGTGTTTGCGGTACTATTTTTGAGTAATGTACATAGAGGCGTAGACATGCCTGTTGACGATGAAATCGACAATGATACAATATGGAAGGGTTGGGAAGAAGAGAGAATGTTAGAAAAATGCAAAGCGAACCCCAGGAAGACGGCCCCTTGTTCAGGCCCATTGCCTCGGGTGCTTCAGCACATCCATGATCTCCTTCTCACTGGTTTTATCCTCACCCAAGTCCTCCTCATCAACCGGCATGCTCTCGGTCCTAGTACCCGAGACCGGATCCATATAGGCCCAGCTCGCTGTACGCGGGAGACTCATGAGGATACTCTCGACACGAGCGTTTGGAGTGCGTAAACCGAAGCTAGTGCCACGGTCGTAGACGAGGTTAAACTCGACGTAGCGGCCGCGGCGCAGCTGCTGCCACTGCTTCTGCTCTGGGGTGTACGACATGTCCTTCCGCCTCTCGATGATGGGCACATACGACGGCAGGAAGGAGGTCAGACCGTCCGAGACGAAGGAGAACAAAGTCTCCTGCGGGTTGGACGAGGAGCCGGCAGAGGTCTGGAGGAAGTGGGCGTCCAAGTCGTCAAAGAAGATGCCGCCAACGCCGCGGCATTCGCCGCGGTGAGGGATGTAAAAGTACTTGTCGCACCACGCCTTGAACTTGGGGTAGTAGGTGGCGTCGTGGCGGTCGCAGGCATCCTTAATGGTCTTGTGGAAGTGTTGTACATCTTCAGGGAAGAGGTAAGACGGTGTCAAATCGGTGCCGCCACCGAACCACCAGTTCTTGTCGCCATTGATGGGATCCTTGGGATCGGAAGTCTCAAAGTAGCGGTAGTTGAGGTGCACGGTCGGAGCCATGGGGTTGTGCGGGTGCAGCACGAGTGAGAGGCCTGCGGCGAAGAAGCTCAAGGAGTCGACGTCCGCGCTGACGAAGGACTTGTGGTCGGCGCGCATCTTCTCGATGGCCGGCCGGGGCAATTCGCCGTAGACGACGGAGACATTCACGCCGGCCTTCTCAAAGACATTTCCGTCCTGCAGCACGCACGAAATGCCGCCGCCACCGTTGGGACGTGTCCAGGTATCTTGCTTAAACTGCTTGCCGTCTATCCTTCCCAGCTCCTCAATGATCTTCTGCTGCTGCTCCTTGATGAGCTTTTCCATCCGCAGGCGCATGGGGGAGGACTCTGTGATGGCGTGGGATTTCTTCAGCGCCTCATCCAGCTCAGCAATGGAGGGAGTGTCAAGCTCGGTGATTTCGCCAGTCGCCTATCTGAGTTAGTACATGTAAAATGGGTTCTTTTGAATGCACCCCGCATACCATGGAGTAAATGATCGCGCCGATGAACGGCACGCCAACCGCAAGGCGTAGGTAGGGGCGCCACACGGTGAATTGCTGCTTCTGGCGGGGTGCATTCTCAGTGGCATAGCCGCGGAACGAGCTGCCCGCACTGCGACCAGCTGCGCGACTGCTGTGGGCAGAGTGCTGAGCGAACGACCTCCGCAGAGGCATGAACGAGCGTGAAGCCATTTTCGCGACCGGGATCCGATGCGCGCTCGACGAGGGCGGTATTGAAGTCAACAATTGCACGAGCTGGAGCAGGGTCAGTGCAGCGCCTTCTGGATGTATTCGAGGATTTTAAGTGGGTGTTTGGCTGTCCGCGAGGGCAATCATCGTACTCGTGAACCTCGGTGGTTCGATGGCATCAGGCAATTCGAGATATTGTTTGCACAGTTTGCACAGTTTGCACTGACGCGATGGGATAAGCACCGGATAAGCCCGGCTATCTGGTCGCCATGATTGGTTGATTTTCTCAAAACGTTACTCCGTGAATCCTTTATTTATAGTACGTCTTTGTTTCGCTTCATTGCTTCAGGTTGGAAAGCGTGTGGAAGAAATGAATTGATAAATTTAGTCCGAGAAATTGAATTGAATGCTCCAATGGAGACGTCTTGCCGACGACCGCGCACCCAGCTACTTCTTGAAACAAATGCAGTAATGGAGAATGCAAATGCTATTTTCATCTAAGAGTATGCTGATGCGCTAAGACGACTTTTTAAAGAACAAGAATGGAGGTACGCTGATGACAAAGGAGCAGTAGAATCGAGACAAGCGATTCATAGTGGGTGAGACGCCAACAAGATTGAGGAAAGGAGGTTCGTGTGCGTTCCTTTCTTCATGCTGCAGCAGGTTCACCGTAGTCCTCTGTTTTCTTCATCCGAAGACGGGAAGAAGGATCGGATGAACTCTTCACTGAGAGGATCATAGGGGAAGTATGAGTCTTCGGTGATTTCGCCCGGGCCTGTAAGGGGCCACATAAGATCGGGGGTGGGGAGATTGAAGTAGTTTGTCCAAGCACTTCCTTCTGGTGCTGGACGGTGTACAAAAGGGTTCCTGTCTTCCGGGTGGAGGTTGAAATAATCGTTGAAGGTGGACGGCGCACCATGAAGGTCTGGAGGGTGAGATCGAGGTGGAATATTCTCAGCCGTGGCACGCTCTGCCTGGAACGGTTGGGAGGGTAAATCGTCTGTGTTGTACTTCATGCTGCTTGCCAATTTCCGGAAGCTGGAGTCGCAGAGTTGCCAAGCACGTCGCGAGCCGATACTGCGGTCAGACATGGCATGGAACCAGCGGATTGATTTCTTTGCTAGTGTGACGAATCGATGTTCATCCTCTGGGATGTGAACACTGCTGAAGGACAATTCGAGAAGTATCACGGTCGCTGCCTGCATCAGATAGCGGAGAACACTCCACCAGGGGCAGATTCGAAAGAGCTGGAGGACATCCGGTTCATCTGGAATCAAGCCAAGCAAGCGCGAGGCAGAGTCCAAAGTCATGACAGCCATCATATGGCTGAAGGTTTGCTGAGAGTTCTGCTGGCGTGCATCACGCCGGCAAAGACAGGGGCGCCCAAGGGTAATTAGCGCGCTATAGTAGTGGAATGCGAGGATCAACTTGCAGCGAAGCTGATCAGGGCTGTCGTCAGTCTCGTCTTTGGTAAAATCAAGTACCGTGGGAAGACTTGACTGCCAGGCGTCAATCCGAGCCCGTAGTTCATCGAGCCGTGCTTCGATCTCTGACCATGGAAGCACGACACAGTTGGTCGAGTAAACCTTGTTGACAATTTCCTGCGTAATGATCGTCAAGTCACAGTGAAAAAGATAGCAAAGACCAAAGTTGGATGGCAATATTTTGAGCCATGTCTGGTCCCGCGGCCGGGGTTTCTGGGTATCTTCTTTGCTACCAGCTTGTCGGATCACCGCGCTCGCCATCACATTGTTGATCAAGTCGTCTCTCAGCGCAGGACTGTTCAAAATTTCAATGGCCGTTGGATCTTGTTGCAATTGGTCTTCCTCGAAGGGAAGGGGTAACGGGGTTGCATAGCCTCCGTCAAGGGTGTAGATAGCTCGGCCAGTCATGATGCCCAGCATATGCTCGAAGGAGTACAGACACCACCACACTCTGTAACGAGCCTCCTTGGAAATGTTGGGAGTGATAGCACTATTATTCTTCAAGTTGATACCAAGCGTGATGGCAGAGCGAACCGCGAGAGCCGAAATCCTCCATGCTCTACATGAAAGCCATCAGGCATGTTCCCAACGTGACCAAAGGAGGTTAGTATACGGACCTGTTGATTTGATCGGATGCAAGTAGATAGAATGCCATCAAGCTCTCTACTTGTACTTGCTGAAGGTCCGGGTGACTGAAAAGAACTTCGGAATTCAGGCTGAGGAGTCGAGCTCGGGTCATATACACGAGATGATCATCACAACCCCCTCGCCACGGTGCATTGATGAGGTGAGAATGCGTGGCCGCGATGGCAAAGATGATGTTCAGGATAGCAAGCCACTTATCACCCGGTCGAGGAGCACTGGGCCGGGAGAAGCTGTCGAAGAATGTTTGGTATTGTGCGCGGAAGAGCGGTTTGTTGATTATAGGGAAGAACGGGTGTACCGTATCTAGATAATCGTCGAAGAGACGATCGGCTAGAAGTCGAGGGGGCATATGGTATCGTTCCACTGGTTCGGGCACGGAAATGTCGAGATCGTCGAGGTGGTAGTTCAGCGCATGGAGAGAGAATCCGTCTCGTGTTTCATTCTTATCCTGACTGGGCTCCACGATCCCAGAATAGCCTTGGGCGCGTTGCTCTGCCTCCCTCTGAAGTCGTTGCATCCATGAAATTTCAGAGCTTTTCCCCATGAAACCCGTAGCGCGAGTATGCTCCGTCCGATTGAGGTCCTCTTCCACGCGACCAATTGCCTCTAGCGAACCAATGGACGAATTGGGTGAGCGCTCATCGGCATCCATCTCATTTTGTGGCGTAGACAGAACAGATGAAGTATTGTCAAAGTAGTGGTCTCCTTTCAATCCATGCTTGAATAGAGTGAGCAGCGCATAGCCTGAATCCTGAACGGGAAAGAAGAGACACACCTTGTCCAGCAAGCTTTTGATCCATTCTGCTGTGCGAGGCTCCGTGGTACCGCGCAAGTCATTGACGAAGTTTTCATAGTCTTGAATTTCCGCATTGAGCTTGTCAACATCCCTATTGTGGTGTGATCACCCGATTAGTCCATCGATTGCATTTCTAGTTGCCAGTACGAGGAAGCAGATGTTCGATTCGCCCACTTTTTCATCTTCTCCCTCCATCCGACGGGGTAATAACAGTTGGCCCGCAGCTCGCGGCATTGGCGGCACACCGGGGTATCGCCGCTGCATTTCGTTTTGCGCTGTCTACACGACTCGCAGGCCCGAGGGACCCGGCGATTGTAGCGCGGTGCATTATTCGGTGGCTGCCGGGGTATTGCTACCTTTGCATTTGACGCACTTTGGGCACTCTGCGAGGCTCCTAATGCCGGGGTTGAGTTGGTTGCCCTTGTGGCCCCCCATGCCGAAGCTCTGTCTTGGATGGAGGGCCGATTTGGGGTTGCAGGGGCACTATGCGGCTCTGGCGACCTCGCCGATACTTCATTCTGAGCAAACTCACCCACCCCCGTTAATTGTGATGATTTTTTGGCAGGTTTTTTGCCGGTCATGGGCGCAGATTGTAGATGGCGCTACAAGAAAATTATTCAACTACGAGGGCCGTCGAGCATAGTCGCGATTAATTGCCAGTGCGACGCTTTTGCTTCGGTTTGAGATGCCGCCAATGAACGGCCGGGATTTGTAGATGTGCAAGGTGGGGATTTGAGCCCTAAACAACGACAGCACGTCCCTTTTTCCAGGGACAAAGGGGAGGGATGACTGGTAGAGCTACTCAGAGACCTGGAAACAACCATTCCTGAAATAAAATAGAACGCCGTGAAGATGCTCACAGCATACTTAAATCCATGATAAATTATCGTACTTTGTTCGGCCAGGGGCAAAGTTGGAGTGGCGCTGAGCCGACCCAAGCAGGTGGCTCACCGGGCTTTGCAAGAAGCAAGGGAGGATAGGATGTTAACACTGAATGAATGTCTTGGGCGTAATTCTTGGGAGAAATTCTTCATTACTCATTTTCGGTCTTCTGGAAGATCTTTGCGAGTCGCCCCTTACCCCAACTGACTGGTCCTAGCTCTTGACTGGACTCCACTTCAGCGCCCGGCCCTGTGGGATAGCACGTTGGTCATGACAGCGATTAATCCATCAAGATAGCGAAATATCATTCGATTTTCTGGGGTTGTAGCAATTTTTACTAGGCCTGGCTACTGTTACTGAAATAAAAGATCGGTCGTTGTTGATGGAGCGTCTCGGGGAGTCGTGATGAACGTGTCGAGGCGGAAAGAAAGCCGGCGGTTTGGCACCCGACGGGAGCAGCCGCATCCATGCGTGATTGGTGGGTTGTCCACTCCAAGCGAACAGGAACAAGGAGTCCTGATTGGCGGAACCAGAGATAGAACAACCCTCATTGATCTCGAAAAAATTTCTTTGGATCATCGAGAATCCACAATGGGGGAAAGATCGGTCGGCAGATGAATGAGGGTCCAATTTAGCGATTTTGGGAAGCGGAAATAAGCGAAGTTTGGGTCTACTGAACACTCGCAAAACTTTACTTGTAGTGCCGCGGAGATAGTAAGAACAATCTGTAAAGCATAGAACCATATGAAGGAATATCCCTGCAAAATAGGCGTCAAGGCTACATGAACGCACTGTCCTCCGAACTAGTACTAGGCTGGGAGTCTATCTAATTTACGTTAAGGTCAAAACCTTATCTCGTATCCCCAAACTAGCAACCGGCCTGGCTATTTTCTGGAAACGAAACTCTCTTTTAGCAGGTGGTTTCCGCTAAAAGGAAAGCAAGACAGGTTTGCCAAGAAATGATTTTCTCGGCACCGGAGAGAGAGAGAGCCCATGGATGATTGTAGAGAGAGGAAGGATTCTTACATTTAGGATGTGATCCATCCAATCTTCTGGTTTTATCACTTTCAGAGCCCCGGATCCAGACAAACTTTTCATGCTTTTCATGCCCTCTTTTATGTGGTTCCGGTTGCAATGGTCAATTGGCCGTCTGTCAATGGTTCGAATATTGATACAAGCATGATACAAAGGAGGTCAGCGACAGGGACATTGTGAATTGGTTTAGGAACGATGACAATGATACAGTATGAACCTAGCTTTGACGGTGACTTCTTGCTTGTGGGGAGTAGCTAACGTTGAGAATATTGTGAATATTCTGGAGAGAGTAGAATGTTGTGCTTGATTGGAACAATATGGCCAGGCTTCCCCCACCCCTCACCCCGGCCCCAACCAAAACCGTGGAAGAGTTGTCATGAACAACGTTCCTTTATATCAATAAATGCTCTAGCTCTAGGCCAAGAAAGAGACAGACCTTTGTTGCAAAAGCAGAGAGAATGGTCAAAACTGGAATCTTTTAGCTATTGATGGTTTCAGTGTCGAGATCAAGCTGTCAGAAACCTTCCCTTGCGACAGGAGCAATCCTGGAGCAACAATGCTAACCGGGATGGCGCAGAATCTACCGATTTGGTCTTTTCACAGAATGAAGCTACGTATTCACTGATGAGAGCATAGTATCTATCTGTTGCTCCTTTCCAAGCCCAGGAGATGAATCGGATTGGGCGACGGTGAAGTGTGAGGGTGGTGCAGTATAACCGGGCCTCTCAGATAACGCTAAACCTGTTTAGGCCACGTGCTTGATAACGAACTACATATATCGCCGTCTTGACTCGGTGATCACCAGCGGTTCGACTCCATTTAGGCAAACAATTTCGTGCCAGATTGATATATTCTTCCAAGAAAGACGTTTTCTGAACCCTCTTTTCGCATTTGGCATCGTCCGGCAACCTCGGCACACTGTATTATAGTATGACCCGGCAGAGTCTGAGTCCATCAAGGAGGTATGCTCGACGAACCTTTATCGCCCGGTCATAGACTCCAGTATCTTCGTGAAATCAATACATCTGCCACCTAGTAAGGTGCGTGTCATGGCAAGTACCCAGGGGCAAGTGACCCCATCCACGTGAGCAGTCCGCGTGACTCACCGCCTCGTGTGATGGTATCTTTACGGTAACGTCAGCGGGGGTTGCCTTTTGTCATCGCCAGGCGTCCGTCCCCCCTCTCCTCTTCGCTCATCCATCGATCTCCCTCTCTGATTTCTGTCTCCATCCAAAGGCGGCAGTTTTTACAACCCTCTCTGCTCCTGCACTCTCCCCTGCTCAAGCACCCTCCCGTTCCCCCTCTCTTCTCTCCGCACCCGACCCGCTTTACTTATCAGCTTATCTGCCACCATGCGTTCCAAGTTCAAGGACGAGCACCCCTTCGAGAAGCGGAAGGCGGAGGCTGAGCGCATTCGCCAGAAATATGCTGATCGGATTCCTGTGAGTTCTGACTTGCTATGATAGTGTCTGGCTTCTTGTGGACTGTGTGTCCTCGAGCTGCCAGAGCCTCAGAACTCCTCACCGCTCCTTCCGGTAGCTAACGGGTTCCGTCCATGATAGGTTATCTGCGAGAAGGTTGAGAAGTCGGACATCGCTACCATCGACAAGAAGAAGTACCTCGTCCCGGCCGATCTCACCGTGGGTCAGTTCGTCTATGTGATTCGCAAACGCATCAAGCTCTCCCCGGAGAAGGCGATCTTCATCTTCGTGGATGAGGTGCTGCCGCCCACCGCCGCGCTCATGAGCAGCATTTACGAAGAACACAAGGACGAGGATGGCTTCCTTTACATCACGTATGTCCCCTGTCTCATCTCTACCCGGCCTGTTCGGCGTGAGAGCATGATGAAGATGTGCGAACATCATGCTGATGAGTTGAATTTTAGATACTCTGGCGAGAACACCTTTGGCGACCTTTGACGGCCATACGTCTCTTTTGTTCATTTTACTAGGCCGTAGCTGGCCCGTCTTGAAACTGACGGATACACCATCTCCGATGGTTCTAAGTGGTGTTGGCGGACGAGATTAGTTCGCTTTGGAGATGTCATTCTTTCTGCTTTTCGGTCATGCGGCGTTCGTTCGGTGTTGCGCACATCTTCTGCTTCATCTTTGCTAGGCTGATTCTGCCTGCTGGCTTTTTTCTACATTCATGAAACCAAAGGAAAATCGAAAGCTGGTTTTCTGAGTTCTCTTCCTTGTTTCGAGTAGATTCACGTAGTCCGGCGCTCGGCCTGGCCTGGGTCAATTCCGCTGCTTCCCTTGAACATTCCTGCCTCTCAGAAGCAATGTTGATGCAGAGCCCCGACGTATTCGAGCTTGTCTCCGCCCATATTTACGCGTGGACTAGGGCACCCCGGCCCCCACCGGACTCAGCCGTAATGTTCCGTCCTGCTTTTCGGCCCCAATGCTCACTGGGGAATAATTTGGGGCATCCGGAGCCTGGCCACTTGGCCGCCCATACTTGCTGACAGGCCAGGCATCTCTCGATCAGCTGGATCTCCCCCTAGAACTGAATCTGCGCAAGGCTACAAACGAATTCTCGTCTTGATCTACAATCCACCACAATGGGCCTCTCGAACCTCACCAAAAAGACCCTCACGGTCTCCCGCGGGTTCACCTACACCTACTACGTTCACCCCGCACAGGAGTCTAAGCCAACTCTCATTCTATTCCACGGATGGCCCGATGCCGCGCAGCTGTGGTCAGGCCTCATCAATGACTACCTGCTTCCGCATGGCTACGGCGTCGTTGTGCCAGACTGCCTAGGCTACGGCGAAAGCTCCAAGCCGACGGACCCGTGCTCCTACTCGTGGCGGGATATGGCAGCCGATGCGGTTGAGATCCTCGATGCCGAGCGGCTGACGACCGTGCTATTTGCCGGCCATGACTGGGGCAGCGCCCTAAGCCAGCGGCTGTACAACTTCTATCCCTCGCGTGTATCTGGCATGATCAATGTGAATGTTGCCTACATGCCTCCGACCGGGCAATTTGACCTGGACATTGTGAACGAAATGACCCGCCAACAGTACGGTTATGGTATCCTGGAATACTGGTACTTATTCACGGCGGAGGACGGCATTCAAGCTATGAACCAGAACCTTGAGTCTGTGTATAGCATGGTATTTGGCGATCCTGCGACCTGGCTCGAGACGATGACCGTGCCTGGGGGTGCCCGCAAGTTTGTTTCTGAGGGCCGCACCCAACAGACGCTGCCATTCGCGACGGCTGAGCACAAGGCGGACTTCATGGATCGACTCAGCAAAGATGGTGGATTCGCTGCGCCGAGCTGTTGGTATAAAGCATTTGCATTCTCTGTGCAGAATGAGGCGGATCGGCTGGTGCCCGACGAGAACAAGGTGATTAACGTGCCTTTGCTCTACTGGGGTGGAGAAGGGGATGTTGTAGGCAGGCCTGACAGGCTACAGCCAGTTATTGACGCAGGGCTGCTACCGGATGTAACCAGCATTACCAGGGAAGGCGGCCATTGGGCGCTTCTTGAGAAACCGGCTGTGTTTGGAGAGGATGTTTTGGCTTGGCTGCAAGAGAGATTTAAGTAGGCGGCTAGATTTTTGGGGGCTCCCAGGAGGGTACCAATCAGATATTTATGAACCAGAGGACTAGCAATGCGCACACCTATCTTCTATCCTCTATCCTCTACTCTATAACTATGCAACCACTGTACTCTGTACTTTCGGGCCCGAGCAGCTCCTCCGACGCCGGCTCCCAATCAGGACTAGCGCCCCACCCGAATCGGTCTGATAAAATTTACAGGCACATGCTCCTCGTTCCTGGGGGTCTCTGGTCTCTGGTCGTTTCATTCCATTCTCCCACCCCTCAAACAATATGTCTCCAATCGGCCATGCTGGCGCCGGCGCCGCCTCCAAGGATGTCAAGAAGGAGTCCGCAGTCGCCCGTCTCCTCGGTTCCGGTCAGACGTCCTCCCCCCTCAAGACCATCACACGGCCAATTGCTGACAATACAACTCTTTAGGCTCTGCTGGTATCGCCGAGCTGATGGTCTTCCATCCCGTACGACGGTCCAATTGGTCTTGAAGAGATGCGCTCTAGCACTAACATGGATCCCCCTTTATAGGTTGACACCACGGCGAAGCGGTTGATGAGCAACCAGAGCAGGGTGAGCATGCACTAGATTGCAATTGCGTGCGCGCGGATGACTGCTAACAAAGGCTTTCTATAGATCACCTCCGCGGCTGAATTCAAGAAGGTTGTCTTCAAGGAGTACGCCGATGCCACCGTCGGCCGCAAGTTCACCTCCTTGTTCCCCGGTCTGGGTTACGCCGCTGGCTACAAGGTTCGTAATTCCGGACAATGCAGGCGACAGCCGGGGAAGCATGCAGCCCACTGACTCAAGTCAAACAGGTCCTCCAGCGTATCTACAAGTACGGCGGTCAGCCCTTCGCCCGTGACTACCTCGCCCTGCACTACGGCTCCGACTTCGACAAGACTTTCGGCAAGGGAACTGGCAAGGCCATCATGCACGCAACTGCTGGCAGGTGAGAACGATATACCACGGCTGGGCTCGAGAATACGGAAAGGATTAGAGACTGACTCTGTGCACCAGTTTGATCGGTATCGGAGAGATCGTCCTCCTCCCTCTGGATGTCCTCAAGATTAAGCGTCAGACAAACCCCGAAGCCTTCCGCGGCCGTGGTCTGTTCAAGATCATCTCCGACGAGGGCATGGGTCTGTACCGCGGTGCCGGTTGGACCGCTGCCCGTAACGCCCCCGGCTCCTTCGCTGTAAGCCATCGCATCCCCATTTTTACATCATCACTGGACCCCTTGACTCATACCTCTACTCCGTTTGTTTAGCTCTTCGGTGGCTCTGCTTTCGCCAAGGAATACATTTACTCCCTGACGGACTACAACTCTGCATCCTGGTCGCAGAACTTCGTCGCCTCGGTGTGCGGTGCCAGTGCCTCGCTGATCGTCTCCGCACCCCTGGACGTGATCAAGACCCGCATCCAGAACCGCAACTTCGAGAACCCGGAGTCCGGCTTCCGGATTGTGTCAAACATGCTCAAGCATGAGGGCTTCCCCTCCTTCTTCAAGGGCCTGACCCCCAAGCTGCTAATGACCGGACCCAAGCTGGTCTTCAGCTTCTGGCTAGCACAGACCCTGATCCCTGCCTTTGGCCAGGTTGTATAAACGGGACACATAAAAAGGCCAAGATGCTTGATGAGTTCTTTATAGCCGCGGCGTTCTTCAGCACTCCACCCCACCCCCCCTCTTGTTTGTCTGTTAGTTTTTCTTTCCCAGCGTCTCCCGTGCGGGCCTTCTTTCGTGGCCCTCTTCATTGGACCGCTTGTGTATTTTTTCCCCCTCAATAGATACGGTTTATTTGTGACAGGGTCTAGTTTGCAGTCAAGAAGAAATAAAAACTCCTCCCTCTCTTCCGGGCAATACAATCCACACACCGTATACTCAATGTAGCATTGTATCGAAACCTGACCTACCCATACACGCTTCTGCTCTCAAGGGACGACAGCCTCACCTAAGACAGAGATCCATGTCACGTGACCTAATTGCTTCCTGTCCGTCCAGACCACCGCGCAAAAGACCTCGACCTCCCCTCCACAACCCGAAGCAGCGCCCTTCAAAATGACTACCTACCTCCTGTCCAAGTACGACCACCGCAATCCGCGGCATTCAACCCCAAATACCCCCACAAAATCCACCCCCCAAAAACACCTCAACAGCTCCAATTTATCTCTCATGAACCTTCCCGGCCCTCCTCCCTCCTACATATACCAAACATCAAAATCCGTCCTACCTTCCAGCTAACCCCTCCTTTTCAACTGACAGGATAGGCGACCCCATATTTGCGCTTGGCATGGGCGTCGCAGCGGCCTTCTCGCGCATCCGCCGCGACCAGATCGAGAAGAATCCCGAGAAAGCCTCAGACATCGGATACGGGACCGTCGTGCAGCTGGGCCAGCGGCGATTGCAGCGGTGGTGGAATGGGGATTTTAAAGATCTGTGAAACTGAAAACGGATTGGGATTGATATACCATATACCATGTACCACAGAGGAAGGAGGAAGGAGGAACGAGACCGTTGTTCCTATTCCTACCCTACTTTGTTGTTGGATGGTTGGTTGCTCACCATGGTCGGGTGCACAGAAAACGGGATTTTCTTGGGGTTTGGCGTTTTGTGTTGTTGGATTATGGGCCCTTGATTGATTGCTTCTTTGATACCTGTGACGGCGAGCTTATTGAAGCTCTTGCGAGCTGTGTTTCTATAGGACTACCACGAACTACTAAACGGGTTGACCGAGCCCCTAAACAGGCTTCTGCTTGACGTTGTTCAATCCAGACATGCTGCGATACTATTCATCCTATGGAAGAGAACAAGAGTAAAAAGCGTAATTCTATTGCCTAGGCCTTTGACTGACATAGTTATAGTTATTTACAAAGTGTAGGAAAGGTTGGTGGTCATGGGTAGCAGCGAATATTTTCACACTACAAGCAGGCATGGAGGATGCCAAAGACCTGTCAGAGCAACGAGACATGCTATGCTCGAACAATTGTTAAAGCAGAATACGAGTTACTGGTAAAATTCTACACAAGGGAACCAATTGAAGTAAAGGAAATTTTGAATTAGCTAGGAATAACCCAGCTGAGACAGCCTTGAATCTATGCAATCACGCGCAAAAAGAAAACTCGATATCCCATAAGTTCGTAAAACAAGACGTGAAAGAAAAAAAGAGCCCTAGACCTAGACGGGGGGCAGACACCATGAAATCAGAAAGCAAGAGACCTCGGGGCGAGACATTTAGTCCAGCTCCTCGGGCTTCTCCTCGACCTCGTCAGCGGAGCGGGCACCGCCGGGGGCAGCGCCGGGAGCGCCACCGGGAGCGGCACCGCCATAGGCAGCGGAGATGATGGGGTTGGCAACACTCTCAAGCTCCTTCTGCTGGGACTCGTACTCGTCCTTCTCAGCGGTCTGGTTGTTGTCGAGCCAAGAGATGACCTCGTTGATCTTGTCCTCAACCTTCTTCTTGTCATCCTCGGAGATCTGGAGCTTGCCCTCGGAGAGGGTGTTCTTGAGGGAGTAAGCGTAAGACTCGAGGCCGTTCTTGGCCTGGATACGGCCAGCCTCCTGCTCATCCTCGGCCTTGTACTTCTCGGCCTCGGCAAGCATGCGCTCGATCTCCTCCTTGGACAAGCGGCCCTTGTCGTTGGTGATGGTGATCTTGTTGGTCTTTCCGGTGCCCTTCTCGACAGCAGAGACGTTCATGATACCGTTGGCATCGAGATCGAAGGTGACCTCAATCTGGGGGACACCACGAGGGGCAGGGGGATGCCAGTGAGCTCGAACTTGCCGAGCAGGTTGTTGTCCTTGGTGCGGGCACGCTCACCCTCGAAGACCTGGATCAGCACACCGGGCTGGTTGTCAGAGTAGGTGGAGAAGGTCTCGGACTTCTTGGTGGGGATGGTGGTGTTGCGCTTGATCAGGGGGGTCATGACACCACCAGCGGTCTCAATACCGAGGGACAGAGGGGCCACGTCGAGCAGCAGGATCTCGTTGGTGGACTTGGAGGAAGTGTCACCAGACAGAATGGCGGCCTGGACGGCGGCACCGTAGGCAACGGCCTCATCGGGGTTGATGGACTTGTTGGCGTCCTTGTTGAAGAAGTCGGAAACGAGCTTCTGGATCTTGGGGATACGGGTGGAACCACCGACGAGGACAATCTCGTGGACGGAGGCCTTGTCGATCTTGGCGTCGCGGAGGACACGCTCGACGGGCTCCATGGTGGAGCGGAAGAGGTCCTGGCAGAGCTCCTCGAAACGGGCACGGGTGATGGAGGTGTAGAAGTCAATGCCCTCGAAGAGAGAGTCGATCTCGATGGAGGTCTGGGCAGCGGAAGAGAGGGTACGCTTGGCACGCTCGCAAGCAGTGCGGAGACGGCGGAGAGCACGGGCGTTGGTGGTCAGGTCCTTCTTGTGCTTGCGCTTGAACTCGTTGACGAAGTGGTTGACGAGGCGGTTGTCGAAGTCCTCACCACCCAAGTGGGTGTCACCAGCAGTAGACTTGACCTCGAAGATACCCTCCTCGATGGTGAGCAGAGACACATCGAAGGTACCACCACCCAGATCGAAGATCAGGACGTTGCGCTCACCCTCGACCTTCTTGTCGAGACCATAGGCAATGGCGGCGGCAGTGGGCTCGTTGATGATACGGAGGACGTTCAGACCGGCAATGAGACCGGCGTCCTTGGTGGCCTGACGCTGAGAGTCGTTGAAGTAGGCGGGGACAGTGATGACAGCGTTGTTGACGGTGCCACCGAGGTAAGCCTCAGCGGTCTCACGCATCTTGACGAGGATCATAGCGGAGATCTCCTCGGGGGTGAACTGCTTAGCCTCACCCTTGAACTCGACCTCGATGACGGGCTTGGTGGCCTTCTCGATGACCTTGAAGGGCCAGTGCTTCATATCGGCCTGGACCTCGGCGTCCTGGAAACGACGACCGATGAGACGCTTGGCGTCGAAGACGGTGTTGTGGGGGTTCATGGCGACCTGGTTCTTGGCGGCATCACCGATGAGACGCTCGGTGTCGGTGAAGGCAACGAACGAAGGGGTGGTGCGGTTACCCTGGTCGTTGGCGATGATCTCGATGCGGTCATCACGGAACACACCCACACAGGAGTAGGTGGTACCCAGATCGATACCGACAGCGGGAGCCATTGTGAAGGATGTGTGTGGGGGGTGGGGTCGTTAAAAAAGGAAATTCGTGAGGTAGGTTTCAGGTAGTGTACAGAGGGGGGAGTGGAGGAAGAGAGGATTAAAGGATATGAGAGTGAACTTGGGAGAGGAAAAAAAGAAAGAGGTGGGAGTGTGGGCAGCGAATTCCTGCTATATAGTGAGCGGTGTATTGTTCAGAAGCTTCTAGCAGGGGAGCTTCCATGGGCATCCATCGGGTTCCATCACCTTCGATGCCCCAGCAACAGCCTCTCTGCGCCATTCTGGAGGCTCCCCGTGGCTTCCAGACGGGTGGAGTGGGGGCTAGTGATAGCTACAAGCTACAAGCTGCCCCCTGAATCCTCCCGATTGAGCTCAATTCGTTTTCTTCTACATGCTTGTTGATGCCCTCGTAAGGTTGATATTTTTGGCGGGGCAACAAGTGATGTAATCGATGGTGGGATGACTGTGTCACTTTCCACTGACCGACCGGAGCTGGGCGGTACGCCCCGGTACGGCACATTCCTCTGTGGTGGGCCGGGAGCTCCCCAGGGGCGACGGGAGGGTGTATTAGTATGGTCACGGCTTCGAGTCATCATAATGAATTCATGTACTCCACCCTCACCAAGAAACAAGCCAAGTCGATGAACGGATGACTCCCGCATCTCACGTGCATATTTCTGCCTGAACAGCAAGGCGTTACAGAATTCCCTCATCAGCCAGGCAGCCAGGCAGTCAGGCAGCCAGGCAGTCAGGCAGTCAGGCAGTCAGGCAGTCAGGCACCACCAAGCTTTGCTTAAATTCACTCTACACCAACAGACAAGCCTACCAAGCCCCTAAGCGCCATCAATGAGCCCGGAGATCCCCGATGCACTGCAGGTCTATACACTTGACAAGTATCCAGTCTCTCCCATTGGGAGGTGGAATTCACCCACAGGGAAGAAAACTCCGGTCTTTCACCCACCCCGTGACACATAGAAACCCAGACCGAACGTAAGGCTTAATCTCCATTCTAACTAGAGCGCACAATTTTGCCCGTCTCGTGGCTCGATCTTTATCTGGTGCAGTAGTTTAAGGCAAAACGCCCGCAGGCGCTAACCGTCCCTGGGCGTTCCGTCCTGATAACGCCATCCGCGCCATTCTCGACTGGCCACTAAAGTTTATTTCTATCAAGCACTCCCCAGCTTTTGTGGCTCTTGCCGCGTCAAATGTCACCCATCGCACCTTAGCCTCAACGCTGGCTGCTGTTGCCCACAGATCAAGCATGTCGATTGGCTCGGTGCGAATGCACCGAGGGGACGATCCTCGCCGCTTCGGAATGGCGACCAGACATTGGGGTCGCACGCCATGAAGACGGCGTAAAAGATGCGTAAAACAAAATAGTCAAGGATTTTATAAAATAAATAAGTGAGAGATCGTCCTCGCATGCCCTCTTGCCCAGCCCGCCTTCTCCTTCCCCCCTACCACTCGCTGGAATTCGACCGCAGAGACACAGTCTCTACCAGCTGATTCACAAGATGGCGTTCCTGGGTGCCTTCAAGCGAAGGCGCCAGACAGGCCCAGTGGAAGAGCCAACCATCACGGTCGCCGAGGATCACGTCGAAATGCCGTCTGTCACGAAGGACAAGCTGGACGGCACAGTCGTGGATGAGGAGACCATCAAGGCGCAGGGCGAGACGGCGGCCATTGAGCAAGAGAGTCACGACAACCCCGAAATCGCCGCGCTGCCTCTGCAAGTCCGCCAGCTGATCAATCTGACGGACGATCCCACCCTGCCGACCATTACCTTCCGCTATTTTGTGCTTGCGGTGCTTTTCGTGATTCCCGGCGCGTTTCTGTCTCAGATGAGCCACTTCCGTACCACCCAAGCTCCATACTCCGTCTTCTTCGTCCAGATCGGGTGTCACTACGCCGGCCACTTTTTGGCTCGGACACTTCCAGCCTGGAAGATTGGACTGCCCGGAACACGCTGGGGATTTAGCCTAAACCCGGGGCCCTGGAGTATCAAGGAACATGTGCTGGTCACCGTGACGGCCGCTTCGGGCGCCACGTATAACCTGGGCTATGCTCCGATCGTACTAGCAGAGCTGTGGTATGGAGAGCGAATCAATCCCGCCGTGGCCATTTTCTTCATGCTGTCGATTGTCTGGATTGGGTATGCCTTTGCGGCCCTGGCACGAAACATCCTGCTGCCGGACCCGGAGTACATCTGGCCCCAGGCGCTGATGCAGACGACTCTCTTCGAAACATTCCGGAAGACCGATACCTCGTCGCGCGTCGCACGGCGTCAAATGAAAGTTTTCTTCTTCGCTCTGCTGGGAATGACCCTGTGGCAGTTCCTTCCAGAGTATGTTTTCCCGTTTACTTCGTCGCTGGCCTTCCTGTGCTGGGTGGCGCCGCGGAATCCCGTCGCCAACTTCATTGGATCCGGGTTAGGAGGCATGGGCTTTCTCAATCTCTCGTTGGATTGGTCGAACATCAACTGGAACGGATCGTCCATCATGCTTACTCCGTGGTGGACGCAGGTTCTGCTGTTTTTGGCCTTTGCGTTCAACTGTTGGGTGCTGATCCCCGCCGCGAAGTGGGGAAATCTCGGTACTTTCAAGCATGGGATTATGTCCAATAGCCTCATGCTGGCTAACGGCACCAGCTACCCGACTACCGATGTGCTCACACCGGACTATCACCTGAACCAGACCGCGTACGAGCACTACGGCCCCATGTACATGGGCCTGCAGAACGTGTGGGCCACGTTCTTCGACTACGCCAAGCTTCCAGCAGCAGTGACGTGGATTGCGACGTTTGGCTTCACGCAACTCAGAGCGAATTTGAAGAAAATCCTCGAAGCTCGCAAGGCCGGCAAGTCTTCCAAGGGACAGAGCCAGGGCCAGGGTATCCACTACCAGTACCATGACCGTCTGAACGTGATTCAGAGGCAGTACAAAGAGATTCCACTGTGGTGGTACTGCGTGCTGTTCCTGGCAGGATTCATCATCCTGATTACCAGCGTTGCATGCGGCTATCTCTTCATTCCGATCTGGACCCTGTTTGTGGCCCTGGCCAGTGCCGCTGTCTTTGTCATTCCCTTCGCATGGCTGTATGCCATCTCCAACTACCAGCTCGAGACAGGCTCCTTCAACGAGCTGATGTACGGCTACATGGTACACACGAAGGCTGGCTCCAGCCACCAGCACCCCTGCGGGCCTTCAGTGTACGGCTCCATTGCCGGAGACGCCTGGTACCGCGCACAGTACATGCTGCAGGATCAAAAGATCGGGCATTACATGCACATTCCACCGCGGGAGATATTCTTCTCCCAGATCTTTGGCGTCTGCATGGGTGTTCCCATCAACTACGCTGTCATTCGGTGGATCATGAACACGAAGGGCGACTACATCACCGGCAAGAAGACCGACCCTCTCAACCAGTGGACCGGTCAGAGTCTGCGAACCTCCAACACCATGGGTGTCCAGTACGCCATCCTGGGTCCCAAGCGACTTTTCGCCGAAGCAGAAATGGCACCGCTGCCCTGGTCGTTCCTCGTTGGGGCCGTCATCCCACCCATACTATATGTTCTCCATCGATTCTTCCCACGGCTGCGAATCGATCTGTGGAATGTCAGTATCTTCTTCGGGGGTCTGGCGATGTTCTACGGAAACGTCAGTACCGGCTATACGTCGGCGATCATTGGCGGCTATATCGTGATGTACTGGGCGTACCGCAAACACTTCGAGGTGTGGAAGCGCTACAACTATTTGCTTGCCGCTGCTTTTGATGCAGGGTTCAATCTGAACATGTTGCTCATCTTTTTCTTCTTTGGCGCTGGCAAGCAGATCTCGATGCCGAAGTGGTGGGGTAACACCGGTGATTCGGTGGAACGATGCTTTGCTCTGAATAGCTAGTGATGCGTGTCATGGACTGGAGCCATTGCTAGACTCGAATAATTTCAATCACGGGTATGTAGCATCTGATACTCCCTAGATAACCCCATCCTCCCTGTAATCCACCCCCGTAGCCACGTAGCCACGTACCCGTCGAGCCCAGGCAAACAGGCTGGATGCCTCAGGGCATGAACCGTCACGCGGGCCCCACCGCCTCCCCTCGGCGAATCACATCACGGGGCCTCGACGTCCCTTACTGTTGCAGGTTGTTTTGGTTGGAGAGCTACACCTCTCTTGCAGACTGTCTGTTGACATCCTCCCCTTTCCTCTCTCCGTCTCCTCCCACCCTTTCCCCTTTCTCTCCAATTCCCACCACAGACATTCACCATGGGTGACCACGCCACCATCAACAACCCCTCCGCCACCGACGCCGCCTTCGCGGAGAAGGGCAAGGGCAAGGCCCAGGACCCTGAGATCAGCATGGAGGAGGACAGCTCGTCTGAGAGCGAGAACGAGAACGAGATGGTGAGTTCATCTCTACCCTATTTACCGTTTTGCTGCTCGGAATCTGAGGAATATGGACTTCTTACTGACCTGTCGCGTTCTAGGCCGACAACGGTACGCAACCCGCCTCCCGCCTCCCCCGGTGCAGTTTTCTCTTGCCACCGCTACGGTTTCTTGATTGTGCCGCACGGTGCATTGTGCTGCCATGACCGAATGGGCCAACAATCCCTGATCTGCCAGGCCAAGGATCCAGCGGACTCAATTCATTCATACTGACCGATACCCTTACAGACGATGAGGACGCTGATGACCAGCTCGAGCCTATCTCGCAAGACAACATCATCTCAGGTGGTCGCCGCACCCGCGGCAAGAACATCGATTGGCAGGAAGTGCGCGACAACAACGCGGACGCAATGGAAGACGACGAAGACGACGACGAGGACTACCAGGGCGGTGACAACGACGACCAGATGCACGACTAAACGGGCTTGTCGCCATGACAAACAACAACAAAGCTCTGACGATATATGACTGGCTTTGGAGGATCGGCGCTATGGCTGGATGGGAGGCTCTCTCGGTCGTGCCATCAGGGCATGCTGTCTCTTCTCTTTCTCTTCCTCCTCCTTGGAAGGTTCTGGTTCTGTTTCGAAAACCGGCTTCAGGCGCTGGCTGTACAGCGATTACTATGACTCAATGAAGCTTGCTTGATTATTTTTTCCCCGCTCGAATCAATATATATGTTTTGAGTGATGGGAGTTGCCAATGGCATTGTCTGTCTTGTTAAGCGTCCTTGTAGATGTAGAACTGTACCTGCATTAACGCGGGTTGGGGAATGGTCGCTCCGTCGCTATGCCGGGTTCGCGACACTCCGCGATGGACTGGGTGACGGTATCCACCAAACCGAGGCTCAAATCCACCATCGAGTCGACCCTAACAACTAGATTTAGACAATCTGCCGGCAAATCAATCCATTAAATCCTTCATATCTCCCCCAAGAGGTCAAAAATCCATTTGAACAGCAACCCAGCCATCACGTGCCACGGCTCGGGCTCGGCCGCCATACGCTTTGGCCACCTGTGTTTTTGAGCACCGCAAGCATCGAAGGAACGCCAACCGCGCACTAAAAGACAAGCCAGCGTCTGGTTCCGCGCATCGCGCAATGTTCCCGTCTCGCTGTTGACCGACTCCGATCCACCTTGACTGACGCTCCCCACACAACCCGCGGTTCTGAGAACCAACCCGACAACCCGCCATGGCTTCACGGTATGGTCCCTGCCCTGTCCCGTCCTCTCCTTTCTTGGCAGGATCTGGCAAGAAGCACGACTACCATTGGCACGTCAAACTAACAGATAGCCACGCGCAGATTTCCACGCCAGCGGGACCCCCGCGCCTCCTCGTCGCTGTTTGACTCATACGGCAGCGGAGAGTCTCGCCCAGCCAGCAGGTCGCCTGGTCCGGCAGGCGGATATGGATACGGAGGGTACGCTGGGCCATCGGCCAATGCCTATCCTAATGGCAATGCCGGCGTGAACTTTCGAAGTGCAACACCCGATAAGAAGTATGTTTGGGAATCACAACGCTGCATCGTATCTGATTTTGTTGGGGCCGCGGACGAATCTAATCTCTCTGTGTTTAGGGGCCACTACTCCGACGCGGTGCTGTCCTCGCTCGAATCCCAGAATGACGCTGAGGTGGAGGGTATAACTGCCAAAGTGAAGATGCTGAAGGATGTAAGAATGCTCCCCACAAGTCGTATCCAAAAATGCACCGACCGGACCCAAACAAGGATGAACGAGAACAAGAACAAACAGAACCGTTCGGAACGGCAGACGCTGACACCACATTCCCAGATGACGATAGCCATTGGTGACGAAATCCGCGACACCACATACCTCAACACCCTCGAGAACTCTTTCGAGAGCACGCGCGTGCGGCTCCAAGGGAACATGAAGCGCATGCTCCGCATGGCAGAACGGACTGGCGTCGGATGGAAAGTGTGGCTCGGGTTCTTCGCCGCTGTCTTCTTCCTCTTTTTCTACGTGTGGATCTTCTAATGGGCATGACCACGACCACGACCGCATTTATGCCGTGCCGCCATTTATACGCTGCGGTTATCGGCTACGCATTATTTAATCTGTCCACGGGGAGATCTGACGCTAGCAGACCCGACCGTCCCCTGCTTGCCTTTATATATGCCCAAGGGCAATGCATATGCGCTGGTTAGTACCCGCGTGGGTTGTTGCTGGCTATGGAGTTGGGGAGTTTGTCTTTTTGTTTTTCTGAGAAATGTGGCTGTACCTGGCTCCATCCCTTTTGATTCTTGTTTGTTTACGTACAGCTTTGTTGCTGCTCTGGTATTAGCGTGGGTGCTCGTCTGCGCTGTAGTGGGGGTCATCTCTGGATCTACCAGGACTGCTTGACAAGGCTTTCCTGGCCCACATATCGGTCTAGTGGTACTCGAGGATGTCTAAGTACATATTGATGCGCTCTGTACATAGAGCCGCCGTATCGGTGCCCTGGAGTTGAATAGAATCATGTCTAGCAGGCGTCTTGTTTTCATCCTGGTTTGAGCTGCGAACCTTTTGGCTCACGTGTCTATATTGATCTACAATAGCTGAACTTGGATATAGACGACAAACATGATCCCGTCACCATTCATGTCGGGACTGCACGGTATCCCTGCGTGTCTGGTCATGATTTGCTCTAAGTTGGATTATGGGATGTTTGATAGCATGAGAGCCACTCACCTTCATCACAGCCACACAGCCAAAAAGCCTCATCAGTACGCCATGATGGTATAGTTGGGGACATTTCCCAGCCAAGACGAACAGGGATCAAGGAAGTTCTTCCGGCCAGGGCCGTTCCTTTCCCGCTAGTCACATTGCGGACACAACTCCTCCAGATTGGGGCTCAAGCAAATCGATTGGAACTTGACCCCTGCTCCCGGTAACCGCCGCTTGTGCATGTCGGAAAGAATCCCGCAAAGGATAGAGCGAAGTTGCAGCAGGCGACAGTGCTTCCGTGTCTAATCTCCAATTTCCATGGGTTCGGGAGTTCACGGGGGCGCAGCGGCTCAAAAGTACGATGCTTGATTTGACGGCTGGACAGCAGTTGTTGCGACTCAGTCACCCACTAAAGCAGGCAAATCCGACCGAGCTTCCTCTCCGCTTAACTGATGCTGTTGCCCCATCCTCACAGATGCACAGTGCAGCATGGCTGCGGCGTGGGTTAGCTCCGGGCCGGCGCGTAATCAAACCACTCAGATTTGGACTGCTTGTTGGTGGATTCTGGGCAATCCTGCCTTGCGTTGGCAAATATCTTTCTTCCAGCCTGGCTTATGCGTTCGTAGATCGCGACGCTAGATTTCATAACCCAATCAGTCCATGGAGATTGGTGAGGCGCTGCTCATGCTTCCGCCGGAGGGAGCGCCTGCATAGCCATACGACCCTCGCCATACGACCCTAGTTAGGCTACGTCAGGTCTGTCCCAGCACGACTATGCGCTTCCTGCATGTTTCCTGCGTGTGTGCGCCACGATATATTCAGATTCGTTGGCTATGCTTGCAGCCGGTCTTTTTATTGCGGTCCCAGCGCCTACACCACGTCAGCACCTGCGGCATGCGCAGCGACTTGTAATAAGCCTTGGACTGGCCGGACCTTGTCCTATCTAAGGTATTTGTTACTCAGATAGCTGGGTACCCTTAGTCACGAGCGCTTGGTTATGAGCGGGTTTCTTAGTTTAGTTCGGTAGTTTCCAGCTCATTATCATTCATCTACCTCACAGTTTCTCCGGAAGTTGCCAGCACTCCTGCCGAAGGAAAATAAAACCTGATTGAATCTCTTACTGTCAAGGAGTTCCCAACCTCATCTACTTAGCTACATTCACCAACTACTCCACTCCCCCCCTCCCCAATCGAAACAAAACAACACGGTCAACTGGTGGAAGGCAGCCCTGTGATCTTCGAAATGGTCGGAAGGTAGGCGAAATTGCCCTCGAGAAACTTCATTATATTGACCACCAAAGGATATGTTATGAGTTTGCGGAGCGTGGTTCCTGTCGTTACCAGCGCTGTCGATATGAGCATGTCCGAAAAAGCGAATCGCGGAATACAACCGCCAGGTCAACCCTGCGAGACAGTCGCAACGCCGACGCTTTTGGCAAGTTCGGTATTTGGAGGGGACAGCTCTCCAGCGGCCACAATGTCCGTCCGCTAGGCGCACGCCTGGGTCCGTTTTTCAAAGAGGCTAGAAATCTCATCGATGTCGATGAGAGTACGCTGCAAAATGTGATCCGGTGTCTCTCCAGCGAGGGCGGACTGAGAAGAATCCAGGAGCTGATCCAACGAGACTTTCCATCCTTTTCAGAGTCTATGAAAAGTACTGCCTTTCACGAAGAGATACTTCCGTTCTTGGAGGTCATCACCTCTCCGGACGTCCTCGCGTCTTTGATCTTGGAGCAGGCCGTCGTCACCGTGTATAACTGTATCTATGGACCTGGCGGTCGCCGGGGAGAGCCCTTTTGGGATTTCTCGCGGACGCTGTGGACCTAGAAATCGCTAACGATACGAATTCGGCGTCGGCATATCTTGAAATGTCTCTCCTGGTCTTCTCCCAAGTGGTCGAGTTGAACTCGACCGCCTTCATCCAAGAACCTCTGAAGCCAATCGCCCAGCGGTTTGCAAACCTCCTCACTTCTCTTGATGCCTTGCAAAGCGGATGCCCCCTTCATCAGTCGCATCAGTATCTAGAGCGCCTGGAGCGTCGTCTAGATATTGGACTCTCGCTGCCGAACTTGTCAGGAACTTCGAAAAAACTTCCATCACGTCAGACGACCGTTGCGTTTGTCACACCAAGAGATCCACCGGGTGGCCGCCACGATAATGACCACGCCGACATCTGCAATATCAACATCATGCCCACATTCCAGGAGATCTCGAGCTCACGTTCCGAGTACCTTCCAGTGAAAGATCCCCGACAATGGCACGTCGGTGGACTTGCTGGGCTGCTGGATCGGAATTTCCGACTTCTGAGAGAAGATACGATTGGCCAGCTTCGAGATGTTATACATGCGGAACTCCAGCCGGGTGCTCGCCAAGACACCCGTAAAAGCCAAACGAGAACGCATGTGTACAAGCATGTCACTGTACAGAGCGTGGAAATGCATCGATTCTCCGGGATGCAGTTTCTCGTTAGCTTTTCCCAGCCACCAAATACCCAACGCATCGCAGAGAAGAAGCGAAAGGAGTGGTGGGAGCTTTCGAAACGGCTCCAGCCAAGCGCGCTCATATGTCTCCTTGATCCAAGAGGGTTTGCCACATTTTGCACAGTATCTACTCCCGATCGCCCCAACAGAGGATCCGACCATACCGAGTCGAAAATGCACGGGTCACTTTCAAAAAGCTCGGATGTGGCCTCCATCATTTTGGAGCTGGTAGAGCCCACCGAAAGCAATTGGCAGTACATCCTCGATTGTCAGGCGTCAAGGAAACCCCTATCCATCACGCTTGTGGAGTTTCCTGGAATTCTTTTGCCATCGTTTCAACCCACTTTGCTCGCTCTCCAGCGAATGCAAAAGGTAGCAAATACTCCGATGTCGGAATTCCTTGCGCCTCATGATGTCAATTCACTATCGCTTTTGGTCGATGTACCTCCGCCTATGTATGCAGCCGCTGCAGGATTCGAATTCGATCTGAAGTGCCTCATGAATGATGGCTCCAGCCTCAACGTGCAGCATTCCCAGCCGGTAGAGATGGAGCGGCTTCAAGCGCATTCCACTCTCGACGATGCACAGACCGTGGCGCTAGTTCGCACCCTCCAGCGACGGATCGGGCTGATCCAGGGCCCGCCAGGAACTGGGAAAAGCTTCACCGGAGTCGCGCTGATTAGAGTTCTGCTAGCGAATAAAGCTAAGGTCACGAAGGGGCTGGGGCCCATCATATGCGTGTGCTACACAAACCATGCGCTCGATCAGCTGCTGGAAGACCTATTGGACAACAACATCACTTCCCAAATCATACGCATTGGCTCTCAATCAAAATCGGAGCGCTTGCAACCACTCAATCTCCGAGCAGTCTCACGGGGGGTGGAAAAGACACGACTGGAGAAAACAGACCAATACAATCTGCACAACCAACTTGATGACTGTGAAGACAGGTTCCAAAGCCTCCACCTTAATTCGCTAGGTTCGGATACAAGCCTCAGGTTTTATCTTCAGCGATATCACCGGAACCATTATGATCAGCTCTTTGGCAAGGATGAGGATGGATTCCAGAGGCAGTCTAAACGACCTCCCAGTCATGCCATACGGTCCTGGTTGAGTAGCGGCAAATCAAGCAAGGAAACGCCACGCAGTTTGGAGAGGCTTACACACGTCCATGTCGACACGATGACAGGCAAGGAACGAAGGATTCTATTTGATCATTGGCTTGAAACTCAGAAAACGGACTTGCATGCTCGAGCTCAATCGGTGCTAACTTCGCATCTTGATGCCAAGGTTTCCTGGGATAAGATACGAGATGAGATAGATCTACGCTGTCTTCGGAGTGCAGATATCATCGGGGTGACGACAACAGGATTGGCTCGCAACCTGAATATGTTGCAACGATTACGATCCAAAGTTCTCCTGTGCGAAGAGGCTGGAGAGGTTCTGGAAGCCCACATGCTCACGTCGTTGTTGCCATCGGTTGAACATGTCATACTCATCGGCGATCATCAGCAGCTTCGACCGCAGATCCAGAACTATGCGCTGTCTCGGGAAAGTCAAGCAGGACAACAATACTCACTGGACCGATCATTATTCGAAAGGCTTGTGGAGCCCGATGATGAGGTTGGAGTCCAGATCCCGTTCTGCACACTTGAAACTCAAAGACGGATGTTCCCATCGATATCTCGCCTGGTTCGTGATACTTTGTATCCACGATTACAGGATGCGCCATCTGTCATTGACTACCCAGAAGTTGTTGGGATGCAAAAACGACTTTTCTGGCTGGATCATCGTCATCTTGAAGGCGGTGCTTCTAGCCAGGACCCAATGGCAACCTCTCACTGGAATGACCACGAGATTGAACTGACAGTGGCTCTGGTCAATCACCTTCTTCGTCAGGGTGTCTATCAAAGTGGCGATATAGCCATTCTCACACCCTATCTTGGCCAGCTTCACCGGATGCGTCGAAAACTCGCTGACTCCTTCGTTGTCACTCTGGGAGAAAGAGACCAGGAAGACCTCGACAATGCGGGCTTCATAGGGGACGAGATACAGTCGGAAAAAATGACTCCTTCCAAGTCCACTCTTCTCCAGACTCTGAGAGTCGCAACCGTTGATAATTTCCAAGGCGAGGAGGCAAAGATCGTGGTGATTTCTCTGGTGAGAAGCAACCATCAAAACCGCTGTGGCTTCCTCCGTACGCCCAATCGAATCAACGTCCTTCTGTCGCGTGCTAAACATGGGATGTATATCATTGGGAACTCGGAGACATCGAGAGGCGTTGAGATGTGGGGAAAGGTTCTCAATATCTTGGAAGAAGGCGGGAATATTGGGTCTCATCTGGAATTGCGCTGCCCTCGTCATCCTGAGACCCCAATTGCAGTGAAGGAGCCAGACCAGTTCGTGCAACTCTCACCAGAAGGAGGCTGCAGTCTTCAATGTGGACAGCGTCTTCAGTGCGGGCATCCCTGCAAACAAAAATGCCATTCTGAGATGCTACACAAGGTTGTCTACTGCTCAGAGTCTTGCCATCGCCCGCAAAAGGGTTGCACACATCCCTGCCCAAAGCTGTGCGGGGACATCTGTCCAGAACAGTGCAAAGCTACCGTTTTCGATGCAGATCGGACTCTCCCTTGTGGCCATAACATGGCCTCTCTCCCATGTTGGCAGGCTCAGGACCTTAGCACAGTCAAGTGCCCGACGCTGATCGAAAAGCATGTTCAGCGATGCAATCATTCTGTCACTGTCGCCTGCCATGTCGATGTCAACAGTGAGGAATACCAGTGCACACTTCTATGCCGGGCTATACTCGCATGTGGTCACAACTGCAAGCGACGTTGCTTTGAATGTATCAAACACACTTTCGAGGGCCCCGAAGTTGATCATGGGACGTGCAAACACAAGTGTGGACGGCAATATTCTACCTGTGCTCATACCTGCATTGCCGAATGCCATGGGGAGAATCCGTGCCCTGCATGTACTTCGCCCTGCGACGTACAATGTGGCCATTCTAGATGCCCCCAGGAGTGCTCTCAGCCATGTGCTCCTTGTGCAGTTGCTCAGTGCCTATCTTCCTGCCCACACAGCACATGTTCAATGCCTTGCGCCGCGCCTTGCGATCACATTCCGTGTTCTCTGCGTTGCGAAAAGCTTCTATCCTGTGGTCACCAGTGTCCATCCGTATGCGGTGAAGCCTGTCCCCCTGAGAAGTTCTGTCAAACCTGTGGATCTGAAGAGATCAGAGAGACGTCAGTGGACTTTATCCTAGGGGAGTCCTACGGGGAGATCAATCTGGCAGAAAACCCTTGCATCTTCCCTCAGTGTGGGCACTTCTTAACCATCGAAAGCATGGACGGTCAGATGGAGCTCAAAAAACATTACATTATGAATGAAGTGGAGAGACCTATCGCGATTGCCTCGTCTTCGCAGCCCTTCTCAATCAATGACATCGGAACCTGTGCCATCTGTCGAGGCTCATTGCGAAACCTATCTCGTTACGGAAGACTGGTGAGACGGGCCCTGCTAGACGAGGCGACGAAGAAGTTCATTCTGTATCTGAATCAGCAATATGTGCCGCTCGCTCAAGAGCTGGCCCATGTTCTGTCCCAATTGCATGGCCGCGAGGCAACCGCGGAATCAGCTGCACGCGTGTTTCAAGCCAAGGTTCAACTCCGACTGGAGGGTCCACCTGCGCATCAAGTATGGCTGATGGGTCTCTATGTCAACAAAGGGGACAAGCGACGCTGGAAGGACTTGTTGGTTCTCCGGCACAAGATAAGCGACTATCAAGACAGGGTGAAGGTGGAGGAGCAGCCGTTCAACCAGGTGCGCAACATGGTCGAAGATGCACGTCGACGCAAGAGAACATCCGGTCAATTTGGCTTCGATGAAAATGTGCTGCAAACCAAAGGCCAAATCCAAGCTGCCTCGCTGCTAATCCGTCTGGACACGGCTCTCCTCGGGGACTTTCTCTCCATGAAGAAGACCGTGCGCATCGGTACCGACCAGACCGATTTACAGGTCAACCTGACTGAGAACCGAAAAGAGAGCCAGCGACTTATTGACGGCGCAATCGCTTCGCATCGCATTTTGCAACAGGCAGAAGGCAACCTTTTTCTGGCTCAGCTGTACGCTCTCGAGCGGGAAAACGCGACGGAGCCAACTCACGCAGATACTTTATTGCACGGGGGAACCACGGCTATTGCAGAAGCCCAGAGGCTCTGTGATTCATATCCCACGCAGACACGGGGCCTGAGCGAGGAGATTGAAGGCACGAGGGCTATGCTTCGCGGATCCACTTTCTATGCGCCCGTCAGCAACGAAGAGCGCATGGCTGTTTTGACCGCCATGGCGCGCGAGTTTCGGGGAACAGGGCATTGGTACTACTGCGCAAATGGACACCCGTTCACCATTGGAGAGTGTGGGGGCGCTATGGAATTATCGTCGTGTCCAGAGTGTGGATCCGCCGTGGGAGGTCACGATCATCGAACCACCAGCGGGGTGACACATGCTCTTGATTTAGAGCAGCGCTTGAGGGATCTCCGTATTGACACTTGAGCCATACCCGGAATCGAGCGTGCAGATCCTGAGCATCTGGAGCGGAACAAGCTCATGTGGACTCCTATTCTCATAATATCACAGTCTTGAAGATTCTTGTCCATTCATCAGTAGTGTGAGGAGAGATGTAGTGGTCGCTTGGCCGTTCTATATCAGACTGGGATATACGGCGATGCGTATATATGGCAGCCACGCAGGGAGGGACCTTTTTCTCTGGTCCAGAATGCAATAGACTTGACTTGTTGGAAGGCTGGTCTGGGTAGCAAGGCCAGGGATTCTGCAATTAGAGTGACTGAGGGAGTGGAGCATCATAAATAATCGGAGATTGGTGGATTTACATCCTCTGTAAGCTCAAACAATGAAAACTGAGCCTATCTAGTTGCTATCCTAGGTGAACAACAAAGCACATGTAGTACTCTTTCGGCGCGGTTTTAGGGTGGAATAGAAAGGGTTCTCGAGTAGATATAAGAGCGGCGAGCTTGTCCTCCTTTATGAGGTTGTTGATGGGAGGCATTAACGCCATCCAAGCGAAATCAGCTACCCTACCGACCCTCATAGCACCAGCAAATTACCACCGTGATATATCGTTAGATCATGTAGTAGCAGATGATACAGCACAGCAAAAGCCCATAAGAATCCTATAGCCTAAGCACAGTGATTGCCACTCCTTGCTTTCTTCCCTATAGAAGCCGTGCACGCAAGAAGAGATCCTGAATGGAGAGAAACACACACGCACATGCGCCAAACGTACAACACATGTTTAGAGCCAGCCTAGGCCAAAGTCGATAGAATACACAAGCCCACACCAGCCCGTCCAGAAACGCCAGTCACCCAATGCAAACGCTGGAAAGCGAGCAACCCATGCCCACAAAAGAGAGATAATCAATTGAGGCTATCCCGTGGCCCACCCACACGCCGAGGAAAGTGTCGGCTCAAGCCACTGCGTTGACTGCTCTGGCTCGTCAGCGAGGCCCGCAGGTCATCCTCCTCAAACAGCATACTGCTCGAGTCAAAGGCATCACCACCGCCACTCCAGCGGTTGATGAAGCGGCGCTGGGCTTCGGTCTCGCCCGGACGTTCACGCCGCATCAGCGGCGGTGGCAAGCCCCGACTATTCGGCGTGCTCGTCCGGAAGTTTTCAGCGAAGTGCTCTCGCGTCACATCGACCTCGTTCTCATCGTCATTCTCATGCTCATTCTCAGTCTCATCCGCATCCGACTCCTCCTCCGTATCCGTATGCTGCCACTCGCCCTCCTGCTCCGAGCCCTCCTCAACAGCATCGGGGATCTCATCGTCTAAATCGCGGCTGGGCGCCTCGCTCCCCTCCGGAACCTCCGCATCCAAGTCCGGCGCGTTATCAAAGTCCTCGTCCACGTACAGGCCCGACTCTTCGCCCGATTCCTCGTATCCCTCGGGAATGTCATCATCCAAGTCCCGTTCCATGAACCCTTCCTCATCATCCAGCCCATCCTCCGCCAGCCCCTCCTCGCCCTCTTCCACCAGTCCCTCCTCCGCGTCCGGTATCTCGTCATCCAAATCGCGCTCCATGCCTTCCCCTTCCTCCTCGCCTTCGCCCTGCGTCATCCCCATATCATCATCCATCAGGCCCTCCGTATCGACAGCGCCCATTTCCGCGGCCGCGGCGGCGAGGGCTTCCTCGCGCTCGGCTTCTTCTTCTTTCATGCCGAGCATCGTCTTGGCGCAACCGGCGGGTCGGATCCAAGAGGAGCCGAAAGAGGCAATGTTCTGCTTGCGCGCGCGCAGGGTGCGCTCCTCCATCTGGAGGGCTGCGAGGCTGTTGGCGGGGGAGCGGGAGGGCAGGAAGGCGCGGTGGGTGCTGGGATTCGGGGCATTGCGGCGGGCATGTTGGGTTGAGGCGTCGGGGTTGGATTGCTGGATGAAGCGGGAGGGTTGGGAGGGGCCGAACCAGAGCTCATGCGACTGGTGTATTGTTAGATATTGTTAGAAGGGCCTGGGGTTTGGGATTGGGCATGCGACTTACGTCCTGCGGGGTGATGAAGGGGAGGGAGAGCATGGTTGCGTGGATGCCGGTCGTGGTGATGTTCTTGTCCAGTAAAGCGTTATCTCAGAATTGCAGGTCCCGTGGAAGGGTGGATGGCCACTGGCAGGTATCTTTCTTGAGCGCTAGGCGTGTCGTAATTGAGTTGATTTATGGGGGATGCGGTGATGACGGCAGCAGCGATCGGCTGGGGTTAGCTTCGGTGCACTCGGGTATGTTCAGGTTCCATGAAGTGGAGTAGTTCGCTGTCGGACCTCAACCTTAGGTAGCAAGTTGGCATCACACGAGCGCTGCGACTGGATGATGCGTTCGCGCAACAAGTTTCTTTGAATTGGAGTCTTTTGAGCCAAGTCGGCGGAGCTTGGGCGGACAAAAAAAGGCGCGGGCTCCACAGTGAACCAAAACATTGGCGCAATTGCGGGGAGCTTGTGCATGTAGAAGGGGCTTCATGAGATCCGTCGTTCTCGGAGCGTTGGTGTACGATGGAAAGCTTTGTAAATTTTGGTTGCTAGCACAATTAAGTCCCTTGATTTCATCCATTGTCGACTTTAGGGTATCTTCCGATAATATATATCTGGTTGATACGGGTCTAAGTACACAGACACGGTGGTGGCTTTTTTTGATTTTTTTTTGATTTTTTTTTGATTTTTCTTTTTTTTTGCACATTCTAAGACCCTAGCAGTTGAAACTGTTCGTGTGGAGATAATGAAAATCGTTCGCGATCATTGAAAAGGATTAGTGAGCTGCACAGCCATAAAAGACGCTCCAAGACTTGAGATCCCATCAAAGGTGTATGGCGTGCCCGAACCACATCTTTGTAGTAATCCAACCAGGGTAAGCAGCCGACACTTCGTTCATCTCATGGCCTACAGGCCTGCATTGAGATCTCAGTGCATAACGCTCGCAATACCACTGTGAATTCTGCAATACGAAAAGAGCATTGGATTCTACTATGCCAGTGGTTGGGTCTAGCTGCAGCCAGTGGAGAGGCCCCGTAGACAACATCGAGTGCCACAATTCCGTAGAAGCAGAACCCAATACCCTCCCGTTCGTCCAAGTACGGAGGCTCTGGCAGTCCAGTATTCCGAGAAAACTACCACCCCTGCCGTCAAACAGGAGACATGATCTACAACTGCTAGAATAGTTACGAGCAGCAATTCCAGTCCTCCGCCACGGCCGCAAAGACAGCCCCTGCCCTGCTAGGCAGCATGTCGCACAAAGGCCAATCAGCCTGGGCGCGCATCCATGCTCGAGCTCAAGTTTGAGCCGCCGCACTTGCAGGCCTAACTCCGAGTTCCAAGGCGCGGCGCTGCGCGTCCTGGTCGGCGCGGATACGTGATACCTCATTACACACTTGAACGCAGGGAAAAAAAAGACATGCGACAGAGCCACGGCCAGATCCGATCATCGGCCGCTGCTTCTCCTCACTTACAATACTCCGTACTCCGTACTCCGTACAGAGTGCTGTACCACGTCCTGCCCGGCTCTGCGTAGGGCCCGGCGGACAGACCCGGCAACACCCGACGCCGGCAGTACTCCGCCCCGTCGACCACCCAGCACGCCGGTGAGCCCAAAGCGGACTGGGGTCGTCGGGAAAAGCCGGATTGTCTGGGATCTTCCGAGTTTGGGAGCTAGAATTGTTCCAGCTGGGACACCCCTCGTCTTATGTTCACCTCCCGTCTCATTGGGCCAGGGAACCGGGGGAACATGTGATAATCCACCGGTGGGTGGATCCAGCGGAGTCGAGTCCGTCTGTCGGTTGGAGGGCTATATACCGTCAGGGAGAGGGACTGGCGAGTGGATGGAGTGGAAGCTGTGTTTGGATGTGCATATGTGCGCATATAAAGGGAGGATGCAGGGTCCAAGGTAGACGAGACGAGCACACGATCATCGATGCCAAGGGTGCGCTGGTGGCGACGATGGTAAGGGACCCGCGCAGCGCGTCTGTTCGTAGTGCGGCGTGCTGCATGGCCTGATCTTTTCTCATGAGTCAGAGGCAGTCAACAAGTCAAAAAAAGAACTACCACCCCGTAGCCTAGGCGGAAACGAGGGACGAAATACTCCATTCCATCCCTTGTCCCGGCCGAGACATGCGAGGCGAGCGGAGCGCGGAGAGCAGGTGGATTGGCATGCTCGACTTGGTCACCCGAAACAAGAGCAGAGTACCCCAAGTCCGCACTGCACTCCAGTCGGACTAGGAGACGTGTTTATGTATTCCAATTAGAAAAACCATTGTCGCTTCCCGAGCTTATCAGGCGGCCGCTTCACGTGTCAGCGGAGGCGGAGGACTTTCCTCCGGGAGAATACTCATGTTGAAGTCCCGAGGATGAGGGGTCGTCGACGGAGTTCCCTCGCACGTATGCACTATGCCGCAGTGCAGTATGTACTCCGCTCCGGACTATGACGGAGCATGTCGCCCGGGGTAAACCGTTTCGCACTAGTCAGCGCTAACAGATGTGTATAACTCGTTCAAGCAGAAGCCTCGCTAAGCCAAGCCCTTCACCCTCCCCCAACCTGTTCTTTCCTACCCGGGCGCTACCCAGGCGCGGACTTTTGAACCTGGGCGACGTGAGAGGGGGAAGAAAGAAGATGCAGGGGGGGTTGTTTGATCCGGGGTCGAATGCATGTCATCTATTGGACGGGGGAAGACGGGGAACGAGAGTCGAGCGGGCAGGTAATTTCATCGAAGCCGCGATTAGCAGTTTGGATGACCTCAAGGAATGAGCTGGGGGAAACTGAGGACCGCCGGACGGGGCTAATCCGCGTGCAGGGCGGGCATGCCGGGAGGCGGCTGGGCGACCCCGAAATCGGGGTCGAACGGGGGTGCTGTGAAATGGTCGGGATGATTGGTTGGTTTACTCGTCCGTGACTATTGGGTGTAGGCCGGCGACTAGATTGGGTCGGTTCTCGCCGTGACCGTCGGGAGGGGGTGAGTTGGAAGATCCCGGCCGCTTGGCCGTTGTCGGAATGGGAGGGAGTCGATGGGCGGAGAGGAGTGGTCATTTACAGAGTTACCCGCTGTGTACGGTTTGAGACAGTATTTGAGACGATCGGGGATTGCGCGGGTGCGTGGCTTGGATCAGGTTGCACGGTGCGCAGAGTGGAGCCTGGTTGGTTTAAGGTAGGAAGTATAGACTCCACGGACCACAGGCCTCCCGGGAAAACGGAGGGGCTCGAAACTGAGGACACCATACGGAGAAGACATTCGGTAAGGAGTACTGCTGTATACTGCTCATTTCTTTTTTTTTTGGGATTTCATTCACAGGCCCGCATCCTCTTGGCACCTTTTCAGCCGGTGCCTGCCAAGTCCATAGTTTCTTTTCTGTTTCCTCGTACATGCACCCATGCACATATGTAATCTGCACTCCAAAACTAACCCCCGTACATGATGTACGATGAATGACTGTCCGCAGCTGCAGGTTCCCCGAGCAAACCAGCGGCTCGGAAATTAGGGGCGCTGGCCGGGATTAAGCACTGCATCCTTGCCAGCCGCCCCACCAAACGTCCGGCCACTCGGGTCCGCAACGAGGGGCACGAAGTACGGTATGAAAGGGTATGGAGCGTATTGCAATTTTTATGTAAGCGCGTGAGCCTCTTCCCCGTAGCCAGCTAGGACCATTTTCGAGACGAGAAGCACAGCCGATTCTCGCCTTCCTGTTTGCGTCGGCGGGCCAATGGGGCTGTCGGAATCTCGCTGGGCCCACCTGCCGAACGGGTTTGGGGGGAGCTTCATAGGCGAATCCAAAGGAATCACAGAGTCAATAATCCAATCCAATCCCAGAAAAGAGCCGGTGCTCGACCTGCCCAGGACAACAGTGATCGAGTACCATATAGAGAATACTCGAATGGAGGGTCGGATGGCGCAGGAGAGGAGCCGGGCACGGTGCTAGTGAAAATAAAGGTATTGGTACAATACCATACACTCCATCCGTAATGACTCGGCTCCACCGAGGATCTTGACGTAGCAAAAAGCTAATCGTTATGGCTCGGCGGTTGTAAAGCCTTGTCGCTGATTGGTTCTGCGCCGCTTATCTCTGATGATTTGCCTGCCGTATTCATAATTGATTATCATTACTCGACCCATCGTTGCTGAGCTCCCATGTGGAATGTGCCTCTTCTCTGCCCCTCCCCTGTGCGGACCGCTTTCGGCGATGAGGGGTCCTGGGTCCGGGGGAATGCGTAATGACCGTACGAAAAAAAAAAAAAAGTACTGTAGTATTGGCAGCCCATCGATGGGAATGGATGCATAGGCGAATGATTTCTCCAAGACAAATTCGCGAGAAGAACTAATCCAGACTGGTATTCCCGTCTCTCTCGAACCCAGTCTGGCTAGATACAACGGAAAGGGAGGACGCCATCAGAGGCCATTCGCCACGGGCGCCAACCCCACAGCCGTAATTTTCCCGTTTCTCTTCCATCGGAGCAACAGTCTGCCATCCCCGGACCTGTTGGCCTGCCGTAATCGCTTGCCTTTCATTTTTTTTTTTTATCCCACCCCTCCTTCTCTTCTCTTCTTCCCCTTCTCCCTTCATCTTCACCTCTGCCCCCTTTGCAAGACGCTGGGTTCATACGACGTCTCTCCCTCAACCCGCGCTGCCCCCGGTGACGACATCGTCCGCTATCGACCCGTCCCGCCTCACGTCGGCGGAGATTTCCCAAAAGGACCGACCCCAACTACCTAACCCTGTGTTTATCCATTCTCTGTCGGCCCCCGGCGGAAGAATGGGTCTTACCTTGGAGGATATCTATGGCAAAGATCTAAGTGAAGACCAGGCTCCCCAGGAGTATTCGGAGTACCAGCCCAAGCAAGGCTATGGCTGGGCCAACGCTCTGCCCGAGCGGCAGGGTCTGTATGACCCCGAATACGAGAAGGATGCCTGCGGTGTCGGATTCGCAGCGTAAGTATCTCTCGAATCGACGGACGAGTCCATTGATCACCCTCCGACTGACTGACAACAAATATTTTAGTCATATTAAGGGCAAGGCTAGTCACAAGATCGTGAGCGATGGTAAGTCTTCGAATGCCGAATGGGAATGGAGGCGGGCATTTTTGTGCATTCGCCATCTCTTTTTCCACCAAGGAATCCTGCGCTGACGTCGATGTCCACTTAGCCCGCAATCTGCTGTGCAACATGACCCACCGTGGAGCCGTTGGCTCCGATGCGCGCGACGGTGACGGTGCTGGTGTGATGACCAGTATCCCACACAAATTTTTCATCAAGAATTTCGCTCGTGAGGTCGGCGTGGAGCTGCCTCCGCTGGGTCAATATGCCGTTGGCAACTTGTTCTTCAAGCCCGACGAGGTGGCACTCCAGCAATCGAAAACCAGCTTCGAGGAATTGGCCACCTCCCTGGGCCTGCGGGTCCTGGGCTGGCGTGAAGTGCCCCGCGATTCGACCATTTTGGGCCCGGCCGCCCTGTCGCGCGAGCCCATTGTCCTTCAACCCTTCGTGGTGCTGCAGTCCGCGTACGGTGAGGGTAACAAGCCGGAAATTACTGATGTTGAGAAGTTCGACGAGCGGACCTTCGAGTTGCAGTTGTTCGTGCTGCGCAAGCGTGCGACTCACGTTATTGGATCCGGCAATTGGTTCTACCTCTGCTCGCTGAGCAACCGGAATATTGTTTATAAGGGCCAGCTCTCTCCCGTACAGGTTTACACATACTACCACGATCTCGTCAACGTCGACTACGAGGGCCACTTCGCACTCGTTCACTCTCGATTCTCCACCAACACATTCCCCTCTTGGGACCGCGCGCAGCCTCTCCGATGGGCCGCCCACAATGGTGAAATTAACACATTGCGAGGAAACAAGAATTGGATGCGCGCCCGTGAGGGTGTTCTTCGGTCGGAGGTGTTCGGCGACGAGCTCGACCTGCTCTATCCCATTGTTGAGGAGGGCGGTTCCGACTCCGCTGCTTTCGATAATGTGCTGGAGTTGCTGATGATCAACGGTGTTCTGTCTCTGCCCGAGGCGGTGATGATTATGATTCCCGAGGCCTGGCAGGATAACCCCGCGATGGACCCGTCCAAGGCGGCCTTCTACGAGTGGGCGGCGTGCCAGATGGAGCCCTGGGATGGCCCGGCTCTGTTCACCTTCTCTGACGGCCGTTACTGTGGTGCTAACCTCGACCGTAATGGCCTCCGCCCGTGCCGTTTCTACGTGATGGATGACGACCGCATTGTCTGCGCCTCGGAGGTAGGTGCTATTGATATTGACCCGGAGCGGGTCATCCAGAAGGGTCGTTTGCAACCCGGAAAGATGCTGCTGGTCGACACCGTGGCCGGGCGTATCATCGACGATGCTGAATTGAAGCGGACTGTCGCTGGCCGTCAGGACTTCGCCAGCTGGCTGGATAAAGAGCTCCTCAAGCTGCCCGCTATTAACAAGCTGCTCGTTGAAAAAAACGTGGACCTGTCTTTCAAGATTGATGACAGCACGGTCCAGAATGACCCTCGCCTGCGTGCGTTCGGTTACTCTTTCGAGCAGGTCAGCCTCCTGCTGGGCCCCATGGCTGCGGACTCCAAGGAAGCTCTGGGATCCATGGGTAACGATGCTCCCCTGGCTTGCATTGCTCAACAACCTCGCCTGCTCTACGAGTACTTCCGCCAGCTGTTCGCCCAGGTCACCAACCCGCCCATCGATCCTATCCGTGAAGCTGTTGTCATGTCTCTGGAGTGCTACGTCGGTCCTCAGGGGAACCTGCTCGAGATGGACCCTTCCCAATGCCATCGTCTGCGTCTGTCCTCCCCCATTCTGAGCATCCCCGAGTTTAACGCTCTAAAGAACATTAACAAGGCCCACAACGACTGGTCTGTTTGTACCATTGATATCACCTTCGACAAGAAGAAGGGCACTGCTGGCTATCTCGAGGCGCTGGATGCTATCTGCGAAGCCACCACTGAGGCTATTCAGAATGGTGACAAGGTTATTGTGCTTTCTGACCGTGCCACCGGCGCTGAGCGTGTTCCTGTCTCTGCCTTGCTGGCGACTGGTATGGTTCACCACCATCTGGTTCGCAACAAGTGGCGTTCTCTCGCTGCTGTGGTTGTCGAGACTGCCGAGGCTCGTGAGGTCCACCACCACTGTGTCCTCCTGGGTTACGGTGCCGATGCCATCAACCCTTACCTCGCCCTGGAGTGCATTCTCAAGATGAACCGTGAGAACTTGATCCGCAAGGACCTCCCCGACGACAAGGTCATTGAGAATTACAAGGCGTCTTGCGACGGCGGTATCCTCAAGGTCATGAGTAAGATGGGTATCTCGACACTGCAGTCCTACAAGGGTGCTCAGATTTTCGAGGCTCTCGGCATCGACGACAGCGTCATCGACCGCTGCTTTGCCGGCACTGCCAGCCGCATCCGCGGTATCACCTTCGACCTGATTGCCCAGGATGCCTTCGCCTTCCACGAGCGCGGCTACCCCTCCCGCAACATTGTCGAGATCCCCGGCCTTCCCGAGTCCGGCGAGTACCACTGGCGAGACGGCGGCGAGCCGCACATCAACGACCCAGTCAGCATCGCCAACATGCAAGATGCCGTGCGAACCAAGAATGACAAGTCCTACGAGGCCTACGCCAAGGCTGAGCACGAGCAAATTAAGAACTGTACGCTGCGCGGCATGCTCGAGTTCGACTTTGAGCAGCGCACCCCCATCCCCATCGACCAGGTCGAGCCCTGGACCGAGATCGTGCGCCGCTTCGTGACCGGCGCCATGTCCTACGGCTCCATCTCCATGGAGTCGCACTCCACCCTGGCCATCGCCATGAACCGTCTGGGCGGCAAGTCCAACACCGGCGAGGGCGGCGAGGACTCCGAGCGCAGCAAGCGCCTGGAGAACGGCGACACCATGCGCTCTGCCATCAAGCAGATTGCCTCGGGCCGGTTTGGCGTCACCTCGCACTATCTCGCGGACGCCGACGAGCTCCAGATCAAGATGGCCCAGGGAGCCAAGCCCGGCGAGGGTGGCGAGCTGCCCGGCCACAAGGTTGTCGGTCCCATTGCCCGCACGCGCCACTCCACCCCCGGTGTCGGCCTGATCTCCCCGCCTCCCCACCATGACATTTACTCCATCGAGGATCTGAAGCAGCTCATCTACGACCTGAAGTGCTCGAACCCGCGCGCCCGTGTCTCCGTCAAGCTGGTCTCCGAGGTCGGTGTTGGTATTGTCGCGTCGGGTGTGGCTAAGGCTAAGGCTGACCACATCCTGATTTCGGGTCACGATGGTGGTACTGGTGCCTCGCGCTGGACTGGTATCAAGTATGCTGGTCTCCCTTGGGAACTGGGTCTTGCCGAGACTCACCAGACTCTGGTTCTTAACGATCTCCGTGGTCGCGTTGTTGTCCAGACTGATGGTCAGATTCGTACCGGACGTGATCTGGCTATGGCCTGTCTTCTTGGAGCTGAAGAATTTGGCTTTGCAACCACTCCTTTGATCGCTATGGGGTGCATTATGATGCGCAAGGTGATTAAAACCCTCTTTTTTCTAGGTTTTTTTTTCTTCAAAGGCTTTTCTAACTGTTATTCATAGTGCCACCTGAATACCTGCCCGGTTGGTATCGCGACTCAGGATCCTGAGCTGCGAAAGAAGTTCCAGGGTTCACCCGAGCACGTGATCAACTTCTTCTACTATGTCGCCAACGAGATGCGCGCCATCATGGCCAAGCTTGGTGTTCGATCTGTTAATGAGATGGTTGGTCGTGCGGAGCTGCTCAAGGTCCGCGACGACATCCGCAACTTGAAGCAGGAGCGGATTGATCTCTCGCTGATCCTGACCCCCGCCCACTCCCTGCGCCCCGGAGTTGCTACCTACAACGTTCGCAAGCAGGACCACCGTCTGCACACCCGTCTCGATAACAAGCTGATTTTCGAGTCTGAGCTTGCTTTGGAGAAGGGTCTCCCCTGCCGCATCGAATGTGACGTTGTCAACACTGACCGTGGCCTCGGTGCCACCCTCTCGTACCAGATCAGTCGACGCTACGGCGAGGCCGGTCTGCCCCAGGACACTATCCATGCTAACATCAAGGGTTCTGCTGGTCAGTCCTTCGGTGCCTTCCTGGCCCCTGGTGTTACCCTGGAGCTTGAGGGTGATGCCAACGACTACGTCGGCAAGGGCCTTTCCGGTGGCCGTCTTATTGTCTATCCTCCTCGCGGAGCTGCCTTCAAGGCTGAAGAGAACGTCATCGTTGGTAACACTTGTCTGTACGGTGCTACTCGCGGTACTTGCTACTTCCGTGGTGTTGCGGCTGAGCGTTTCGCTGTCCGCAACTCTGGTGCCACGGCCGTTGTTGAGGGTTGTGGAGACCACGGTTGCGAGTACATGACCGGTGGTCGTGTCCTCATTTTGGGCCCGACTGGCCGTAACTTTGCTGCTGGTATGTCTGGCGGTATTGCTTATGTGCTGGACATGAACGAGGACTTCCACTCTAAGGTCAACATGGAGATGGTCGAGGTCTCTGGCATTGAGGACCCCTCTGAGATCGCCTTTGTTCGTGGCCTCATCGAGGATCACCACCACTACACTGGCTCTGAACTGGCTGCTCGTATTCTTCTTGATTTCACCCGTGCTCTTCCCCACATTCTCAAGGTCCTGCCCACCGACTACAAGCGGGTCATGGAGGAGGAGGCTGCCAAAGCCGCTGCCGCCAAGAAGGCTGAGTTCGCTCTGCCCCAACTTCCCAGCATGCCTGCCGAGAAGCCCAAGGTCCACGCCGACGAGAAGAAAGCCGATCTGCTGGACATTGAGGACAGCATCAGCGACGAGAAGGCCGAGAAGAAGCGCTCCGCGCTGATTCTCGACAAGACTCGCGGTTTCATGAAGTACAGTCGCCGCAGCGAGAAATACCGCAACCCGACTACTCGTACCCGCGACTGGGCCGAACTATCCAACCGTCTCAGCGAGGACGAGCTCAAGTACCAATCTGCTCGTTGCATGGACTGTGGTGTTCCTTTCTGCCAGTCCGACACCGGCTGCCCCATTTCCAACATCATTCCTAAATGGAATGAACTTGTGTTCCAGAACCAATGGCAGGATGCTCTTAACCGTCTGCTCATGACCAACAATTTCCCTGAATTCACTGGCCGTGTCTGCCCTGCTCCTTGTGAGGGTGCCTGTGTTCTGGGCATCAATGAGGACCCCGTCGGTATCAAGTCGATCGAGTGCGCGATCATCGACCGTGGTTTCGAGATGGGTTGGATGGTGCCTTGTCCTCCTAAGATTCGCACCGGCAAGACCGTTGCCATTATTGGATCCGGCCCCGCTGGTATGGCTGCTGCTGATCAGCTTAACCGTGCTGGCCACTCTGTGACCGTGTACGAGCGTGCTGACCGCGTCGGTGGTCTCCTCATGTACGGTATTCCCAACATGAAGCTCGACAAGAAGATCGTCCAGCGCCGTGTTGACCTCATGGCCGCCGAGGGCATTAAGTTCGTTACCAGCACCGCCGTCGGCCCCGATAGCGAGGTAACTCTGCAATCGCTCCGCTCCTCCAACGATGCCGTCATCATCGCTACGGGCGCCACTGTCGCCCGCGACCTGAAGGTTACCGGCCGCGAGTTAGAGGGCGTTCACTTCGCTATGCAATTCCTGCACAAGAACACCAAGTCGCTCCTGGACTCGGGCCTTGCAGATGGCGAGTACATCTCCGCCAAGGACAAGCACGTCGTGGTTATCGGTGGTGGTGACACCGGCAACGACTGCATCGGCACGTCCGTCCGCCACGGCGCCAAGTCTGTTACCAACTTCGAGCTGCTGCCGCAGCCTCCTCCCGAGCGCTCCCGCGACAACCCCTGGCCGCAGTGGCCGCGCATCTACCGCGTGGACTACGGCCACTCGGAGGTGAAGACCCACATGGGCAAGGACCCGCGTGAGTTCTGCGTGATGTCGACCGAGTTTGTGGACGATGGCAGCGGCCGGGTCAAGGGCATCAACACCGTGCGTGTGGACTGGACCAAGAGCGCGACCGGTGGCTGGGACATGAAGACCGTCGAGGGCAGCGAGCAGTTCTTCCCCGCGGACCTGGTGCTCCTGTCAATGGGCTTCCTGGGCCCCGAGGACCGATTGCTGGGCGACGAGATCGAGCGCGACCCCCGCAAGAACGTCAAGACTCCCCCCGGCCACTACTCGACCAACCTTCCTGGCGTCTATGCTGCAGGTGACTGCCGCCGTGGCCAGTCGCTGATTGTCTGGGGTATCAACGAAGGTCGCCAGGCTGCCCGCGAGGTCGACGCTTTCCTTAGCGGCATCAGCTCCCAGCTCCCCGTCACTGGTGGCATCGTTCGCCGCCCGGCTATCGACTCTGTCCCCCAGCCGGCTGAGATGCAAGTCGTCGCTTAAACTAGGGCAGCCCTGGCAGGACTGCACTAGACATGGTTTTGGCCAACAAAAACCCCCAAACCGGGGGCCCAACATTTATGATGCATGACGGCCACGAATGGATGCAGTATCATCACTCCGCTTCGCTTGGACTTCACTTCAGTCCAAGCGAAGCGGAGCCAAAAGATAACGAGAAAAGTTTGCCAAAATGGAATGGCTGGATGGTGTTCGTTTCTAGACGGGTGGGGAGCACTTGTTGGATCTCATTTCGATGGGAGGTTTCTTCCTTTCTGTGCAACACTATTTTCGGAACATTCCTTCTTTCTCCTGTGTATTTCCTTTCTCCTTTTCCCCCTCTTGCCGAACGCGCTCTGCTCATGCTCATGCTGCAGACCATTTTGCTTTCTGGTTATTGTTCTTTGTGTTTTGTATTCGCAGCATTTCTCTATGCAAGGTGTTCAGAGCGTCGGCCATGCGGTTGCGATTTATCTGTTGTACATACCTCTCTTACGCTTACTTTATGCGGTTTCAAGTATTTTCTTTGAACCCTATTTTTGATTCTCTCCTCTTCGTATTCCTTGCAGTAATGTCTCAGAAGAAGACCCGTTGTTTCTCATTTATTTTCACAATCCCGGTGGCATGCACATCAAAGAAACGAATCTGGATACGGTACCTTTGCCCTTTCTTTGCACGAGCGGTAGGGCTTGGGTCTTTATCACCTCGAAAAAAGGAATTGACACACTCTCTTCGGAGCTCGCTTGAACACTATCTTTCGGGAAGGATATAAAAAAGGCAATCTCCCCAAGCCTCAAGTCTATCAACCAGCTTCGAATCGATTAAAGGTAACTCCGTATTCAAGACCTTTCAAAAGCTGTTCCAACATAATCGAAATGCCTGCCTCCCAGCGGACCACCAGCAGAAGGCCCTCCCGCCGGCCCTCCTACGCGCAGTCAACTGCATCATTCGAGGGAAAACGCCGTCGCAGCAATGCCAGCATACAAACGGGCCGTGGAGGTGGTAGTGGTGAGGCTGGTATCATCCGGAGTCGGCCACAGGAAGACACCTCCCGGCATAACAGCATTTCGTCGATCGACAGGTTAAGCGTTGCGCCACGAAGGGAGCCACGGCGGAGCGTTCCTGTTGACCACATAGAGCCACCGCGCAGCAATCCTGTTGAGTTAGCCGGAAATACTCCAGTCGAGGTACCGCGGAGCCATCCTGTCGATATCACGGAGCCACCTCGACGTGATTCTGCTGTGCAATCTGGAGTTAGTCCGTTCGAAGCACCACAGCGAAAGCCTGTGAAGAAGAACGTAAGTCAGCCTGAACCAAATACCTACCAGCCCCTGAATTTGCGAGTCCCGGCCGATGCCAAACCCAAGCCGGACCGGCGTTCTTTCATAGGCCTTGAGTCTCTGCAGGAACGCAAGGGGAAGCTGCCCCTGGGTTACCCAGATGTTCCTGAGAAGAGGTAATTTGGCTGCTTTTCTCATCGTCTTGAAGTTGAGAGGTGCTTGTGGAATGGTATTTGTAGGAGAACTGCAGTTTGCAGGAAAGGCATTTTATTCATTTGGCAATCGTTATGTTTATGGTGGGTCTCTACTTTCTTTGTTTCTTTGATCGGCTTACATACGGGGGCATTGAGGTATGCTGCCATTCTAATCAAACATAATCAAATGAGGTCTCACTCCTAACCTGAAAATGAAAGAAAAATGCTAGAAAAGAAAAAGAAGATTCTTCGCTACGATAATGTCCATGTTGTAGATACAGTAACAACCCTCGTCTAGCCCAGAGAGACTCCGCCAGCCATGTATACCCGTTTTCTACTATAACATGATCGGCTGGAACCGTATCTGACAGCAAGATCTCCCTGATCTCCAGTTTGACAACGGTTTATCGTTAGGTATACAACTCAGCGGGCGGCCCGCCAATGTGGGAGACATCTCAGTATCAGATTATTGATCATTTCAGAGGGGAGAAATCAATAGACTTCTAGAGTATCCAAATATTGTACAAAACCCACGCCAGACAAGAGGTATAATATCTACACTTCAATAACACATCAGACGCACCCGACACAAGCTTCCCAGAAAACAAAAGGTTCGAAGCTCATCATGTCGACGCATTTTGTTTCAACTCCTCCTCCACCTTCATCTCCTTCTCAAGCGCCGCAAAATCGCCCTGGAAGGAATCCTTCGCCGGTTCAAGCCGGACGTCCCAGACATCCTCACTGCTAGGCCCGGTCTTATACTTGATGGCCTTCTTCTGGTTATGCGCGCGGATGGCTTTCCTCCGCAAGTCATCCGACCATCCACGGGTCTTCATGCACAACCAAAAATTATCCCAGTGTTCGCTGCAGGACCGTAGCTCGCCGTAGCGATAGACGTTGACAAATTGGCCTCCAAAAGATTGGCAGAAGAAGGCGTAGTCAAAGGCCGTGCGGCAGGACATACTGTCAGCGTAGAGGGATTCTGGGGCGATGGAGGAGGCGGGTTGTGCTGGGGGTGCGCCGGTGTCGGGATTGGTTGGTGCCGTAATAGAGCCATTGAAGGATTCCGGGCCTCGTTTCTGGCTACCCGAGAGCTCAGCATCTGCTCGTTGTAGCTCGGCTAGTATTTGGCTGAATTCGAGGTCGGCTTGCTCGTCCGGCGTCAATTGCCTTGCTGGAGGTGCAATGGGAGGTGCAGGTTGAGGGATATTGGGGATTGTGGAAGACGCATCCTTAGATGTGTCCTTTTGAGGACTCGAACTCCACCACCAGCCCATTGTTGTGGTTATTTTGAGGGGAAATGGCTGGATCGTAAAGACGGCGACGCCTTGGGGACGCGCTTTTCGAGCGATAATCAGAATGGTCACGTGTCGAAACGATAACGGCTGATAACTGATCGATAAGCGTGGTCGCGCGACGTCATGGACCTCCACCAACCGATTGAAACCCTGATCACCTCCGACCTCCGTTCCCACGTTCCTGACAAATATGCGCGACCAGTGAAATGAGGCCTATATCAGCTCCAAGAGCATTCCGGCTCGGGCTGTCCCCGTCACGACGCTGTACCAGCCGTCTTCCACCATCTGGCTGGGGTTGGAGACCAGCTCTGCTTGAACGAAGCTCACCAGTCAGTGTACGGTCTACATCCTCGATTCAATCGGGGCACATCAAGCTCGACGAGAATGAGGGCATTCTCTACATCAATAGTGAGCTTCAATGTATTGGCACATATGCTGGGTTCTTTTATTCACCAATAATCAGACATCTTCCCCCATCGCCTGCAATGGCTGCTGCGAACTCCTCTCAGTCATTCATTGCCCCTCGAGGGGATCCTGAAACGGATCAACAAACCCGACCTCGCGGCTTCGGATCCCATAGCCATTGCAGAACGTGCCTTGCCAAAGAGCTTGGGTCTGGAAATCAAGGAAGTGGTTCCGCGATACAAAGAGGGAGGCGCATTTGTCAAGTATGCCCGGAAGCCTGACATGAACGATGAAGATATCAGAGCTGCAGTCCAGGAGCATCTGGACAAGCATCCGATAAAACCATGGTACAATCCATTCCAGACTGCAGATATAGACCTGGTACGGGGAAGACCTTGGATCGAGGATTTAGCTCGGATCCCCAGTCAAACCTTAAAAGTCGAATTTCTGCCAAACTCCACAGACGGCACGGCTGTTGTGTTCACACAAGAGGCTTTGTATACCCTCTTCCGCCCCTTTGGCAAGCTGCTGGACATTCAACCTCAACCGCTGGAATCAAAGGTTGAGCCGAGGTATGCCACCTTGCGATTCATCCGGCCCCGATTTGCAGTGATGGCAAGAAACTGCATGCATGGGTATGTTGTGTCTGCGGCAGAGGGAGGTGGCAAAGCTGGCACTCGCTTCAAGATCAACTACGAGCGCAAGATCAAGATGTCTATGATCAGAGATTGGATTGTCAACCATCCCCGCATCGTGATCCCCGCTCTGGCAGCCTTAGTGGCGGCAATCACGGTGATCATATTCGATCCAGTTCGAACATTCTTCATCAAGATGAAAATCAAGTCGTCCCTCCATACTGAAGAGTATCCAGTGGTACAGTGGATTCGTAAACAAGTCAGCAAAGCCAACAGGATCTACTTCGGTGACCGCCGAACGGATCCACGCGGTCTGGCAGCTATCTGGGAAGACCGCCAGAACGACATCTCGCAGCTGCAAGCCTGGTTGACCGAGACTGTGGAAACGTTCATAGTCATATACGGACCGCGTGGTTCGGGAAAGCGAGAGCTGATTCTAGACCAGGCGCTGAAAGGCCACAAATACAAAGTGGTTATCGACTGCAAGCAACTTCAGGATGCTCGGGGCGATACAGCCAAGATCTCTCGAGCCGCAGCTCAAGTTGGCTATCGACCCGTCTTTTCATGGATGAATAGCATTAGCAGTTTCATCGATTTGGCTGCGCAGGGAATGATTGGTACCAAAGCCGGATTCTCTGAGACTTTGGACGCACAGCTCAGCAAGATCTGGCAAAACACGGCGGTTGCTATGAAGCGAGTAGCGTTAGAGGGTCGGCATAAGGACGACAAGGACGCACACATGAGCGACGACGAATATCTAGAGGCTCATCCCGAGAAACGGCCCGTCGTGGTCATCGACAATTTCGTGTATGAGCCGGAGAACTCTATTGTTCTTGACAAGCTCACCGAGTGGGCGGCCGGTTTGACGACGGCGAATGTCGCGCATGTCATCTTCTTGACTACGGATTCGTCCTTCTCGAAGCCTCTTAGCAAAGCTCTTCCGAATCAGGTCTTCCGTACTATTGTGTTAGGCGATTGCTCCCTCGAGGTGGGCCGCCGCTTTGTGTTGAGCCACTTGGATACAGAAGCGAATGACGGTGCTGAGGGTCTCAAGGAAAGCACAAAGCAGAATCTTGCCGGCTTGGATGATTGCATTAAAGTCTTGGGTGGCCGCATTACTGATCTCGAGTTCATGGCACATCGCATTGAGGCGGGGGAAACTCCTCAAGGTTTGCTCATCCCGAATCTCACTCAAAGACAACGCGTTTACTTACTTCCTTTACAGCTGCAGTGGGCCGTATCATCGATCAGTCAGCCTCGGAGATTCTAAAGATCTTCATTCTGGGCACCGACTCTGTGACACCCCAGTGGACTCGCGAACAAGCCTGGCACCTAATCAAAACGCTAGCCCATGCTAAGGATGGCTCTCTCCTCTACACCAAGGTTCTGCTCTCCGACCTATTCAAAGACAACGGTGAAGCAACCCTGCGAGCCTTGGAACAGGCCGAACTGATCTCCATCGGATCTGTCAAGGGATTCCCGCGATGGATCAAGCCCGGCAAGCCCGTGTACCATGCTGCATTCCAGCAGCTGATCGAGAACAAGACCTTGAAGAATCGTCTTGACTTGGTGATCCTTGGACAGCTCATTGGCCAGGAGAATAAGAGTATCAGCAAGTACGAGGAGGAGCTGCAGGTGCTGGGATCTCTACCGAAGCACCCTCGGGAGTTGACGTCCCGGATTGAATGGCTTCTGCGAAAGATCCAGGGCTCACAGACCAAGATCCTCCAGTACGAGAGCGACAGTGCAATCTTGACGAAGTTGCTGTACAGTGAGAAATGAAGCAGTGGGATATGGTGGTTTGTTGGTATATTCAGGGTAGGCTGTTTTTGTACATATCTGTATCTCCAATCATCTAGTCAATTGAGCCTGTTTGTTTATGTCTATTATTCTTTATCAGAGTGAAGTACATCCATCTACACGGTTCAATACTCCGTTGGTTCTATAGTTACGTCGCGCGTCTCAGAGTGGCAAGCGAAAAAGACGGCCGCGTTGATGAGCTAAGCAGCTGGAAGGAGGTCCGGTCCACCTGGCCGAATTTCGGTTCAGCCTCACTTTACACTGAATGTGATTCCCGGAGACTCAAGGATGTGTGGAATAGTGAAATAAATCCATTTGTTTGGCTTCTTCCATTATCACCATCGCTGTATCTTGTGCGGGTACGTATTGGGGCCAACCAGCGCCGTGTCAGCGGAGAGGGAGTCCTCCGCCGCTATTTTCCTATCTCCCTCTGCAGAATCACAAGCATGGCCAACTACGAGATTTCGCCCCAAGGATTGATCCAACTAGCTCGAGACGGGCTGTCTGAGCTGACCTGGACCACCACTTTGGCCGTTTTTGTGTTTTCTTGCATCGTGACCCGCGTCATCTCCGGGCTGCAGAGCCGTCAGGATAGAAGGGACCCTGCAAAGCCTCGAACATCGCGACCGGCGCCGTACTGGTTTCCATGGGTCGGGCATGGCTTTTCTTTTCTCTGGGATCATGTTGGTCTAATTGAATCACTGAGGTAAGTATCCTTTTGCACAGACGCTATCGTCCAACGACTAATGATTATGTAGAGACTCTATGAGCGAGTCCGTGTTTGGCGTCTATCTGCGTGGCGAAACCCATGATACCGTGGTGTCGCCGTCTATGATGAAGACTATTCTCTCTTCGGCGGACGCATCGAGTGTCCCTGCACTCGATCAAGCCCTGCAGAACGTCTTTGGTGATCGCAGTCTCGTGCGCAACTTGCAGTTACCTCGTAACCGGGAGATCAGTGACGATGTCTCCGGGATCATGAATCGGGAGCCATTTATCAGTGATGCCTCAGCTGGGATCGTCAGACTGGTGCAGCGCAACACCCCCGGCTTAGTGACCTTCAGCCGAAGTCCTGTTGACCAATTCACCTGGGAGCGCGAAAGCCATGTATCCATGTCCGAGGAAAACCAATCAACCTGTGAAGCGAACCTCTTTTCGCTTGTGAGAAGCTTTGTGGGCCAGAACATGAGCACGCTGCTCATGGGCGAGACTTTTGTCGAAAATTTTCCTACTTTCCTTAGCGATCTGTGGACGCTGGACAATAACTTTGTCCCACTGTTTATAGGCCTGCGTCGATGGGTGCCTACCACCCCGAATATCTCGGCGGGCTTTCCTGCGCGCAGTCGGCTTCTTCACATCATGTCAGTCTTTTACCGGGCGTTCGGTGCCTGGGATGACGGAATCGATCCTGGTTTCGAGCTCCGCGAGCTCGACGATGTATCCGACCTGGTAAAGCAGCGGATGCGGATCTTCCGCAAGATGGAACTCTCTCCAGGTGCCAGTGCAGCAGGGAACCTATCTCTGTACTGGGACGTGATCGAATATACCACTAAGCTCACATTCTGGACAATTATCCACATCTTGGCCGACAGCGAGCTTCTAAAGGAGATCCGGAAGGAAATATCTTCCTGTGTGAAATCTTCCCGGCCCAGCCTCCAGGAAACCGGCTTCCCCTTCGACGAGCCGCCCAGACTTGGCTTAGACCTCGAAAAAGTGCTGACCGCATGCCCACTCCTCAGGGCATGCTACTACGAAAGCATTCGTGTCCACTCCGCCGGAATCTCCTTCAGGAAACTGGAATCCGACATGACCGTGACCGAGTCAGCGGAAGACGCGGCACAGCCTCGTACCTACAAGTTCCGCAAGGGCGCGAAGGTGATCATGCCCCACGGGGTCTCCTACAATGACCCACAGCGTTTCTCGAACCCTGATCAGTACGACCCTCTCCGATTCATTGTGACGGACCCGGTGTCCGGCACCCAGCAGGCCAGTGCTGCTAGCCTTGGCCCCTTCGCAGACGGATTATATGGCTCTAAAAACAATGCTTTGACTGAACGCGCTATCTTGGCGTTTACCGCGGGCATTGTGTCGATGTGGGACATTACTTCCGCGAATGAGAGTGGACTTGCGGTCCCTAAAAATTGGAAGACGTGGGGAACTTACCAGCCCGCGAGGGACGTGAGGGTGAAGCTGAAATTGAGAGTATAATCAAGCATACCCAAAGCCTTAGAACATTAGCTACCGACTTTAGAAGGGCTCTTGTGATCCAAGGACAATTCTGAACATTTTCTCTAAAGTTCGCAGTAGACGGGTCGATGATCCTGATGGTACAGTGCTGATACGTTTCCCATACCATGAGATAATCCAAGTACACAGTAAATAGTTATTCTTTACCAGAAATTCTTGGAAATGCTACTTAGGGCATCTACAATGACAAGGTCCGCACAATGTCTAGAATTCAAGTTGCTCATTTCGTATGATACAGGTGACACAGGGTATAGTACACGGGGAAAATAAAACAGGAGTGGTGATTGGAAGGTGAGTGGAACTGTGCAATCTCCGCAGTCAAATGGGAGATATCCAGATGGAAGGGAGAGTCATTAATGTATCAAATGGTGGTACACAAGATATGTTATCTTGGAAGTTATCACAGCGTCCTCTCAAAGGCTATGGTCTGTCCACTTAGCCTCGAGACGTATTATTCCATCCAATCCTTGGAGAAGAAGAGGAAGCTGAATGGATATTTTGGAATAGATCAGTTTGCTTGGCAATCGGAGGCACCAGGACACCAGGGCTAACTTGCCAGCTCATCAGTGCCGACGGTGATAGTTTGCGTGACCGGGTTGCAATCCATAGTTCTCCCAAGACATGGCTAGCCCAGGATTTGGCGTCGGATCAAGAGACCCGCGTGCTTTGCCAATTAGCCAGTCAGTCAACGTGACAAATTTAGCGGTTCGGTCCCATCCTTCCGCATCATCAGCATGCTCGATAGTATGCGTCAAGATGCGGCCCTTTTCATCGAAAGAGAAGATGAATAATCCAGTGAATTGCTCTTCCTTGGAGAGTTTGAAGATGGGCTCGTCGCCCCCGAGGAGCACGCTGAGTCCTCTATTTGTCCCATTCTTCGAACTTGAGAGATGGCTCTGCCCCGGCGAGACGCCGGCTCCGGCCCTAGCAGTCTGTGGTGAGCTCAGCTTATCGCTTTGCGCCCCCGACGACGCATTTGTATCATGGAAGGGTCGGCTATCAGTGCGCGGCTCTGTCCGCCATCGCACGACTAGCCGCTCGTCACCGCAGTCATGCTGGTCCTCATGCATGGGGTCGAGGACTGTCCCCGCGCGCACGATCCGCTCGCTCAAGATCTGCAGCTTCACGTTTCCTACGAGCGGGACACTGCTCCAGGCTACAGGGACAGTCCAGAGTGCGGCACGGTATAATGTGCGTCCCTTGACGGTTGGGAGATGTGGATGTGTTGAGGGGAAGAGGTGGAGATTAACGCTCGGCGCAAGGATATCGGGCGGGAGGGTATTGTATAATATTGTTGGGAGGAGAGGCGATAGTGTCCGTAATGCTGTAGTTGGTACAACGTATCGTTAGCGATCCAGGATCCTGTACTACATTCGCAAGTGTTTCGTTTTTACTCACTCTTTCCAAGCTTCAAGACCCGCTCGTCTGGCGGTTTGTGGTCGCTTTTTCCCGGGGCTCCATCCAGCCCATTAAGATCTCTGCGCTCTCTAGTCGGCGAGAAGTGGACTGTTGGGAGTGGCACCGTTGAGGACGCAGGTAGCCACGGGTCGTTAAGGATGCCATGGCGTGGATGGGCAAGGGTTCTCCGCGGCGAGAATGTGACCGAGCGGCCCGCCGCTCTCGATGGCTGCAGCGCCAGGCAAAGGGAACGCGAGTGCGAGGCCAGCTTCGGCATTCTGCCTTGCAGTGAGCAGTCGGGGCCGACAGTGCTGTCATGCCATGGGGGGATGCTGGAGAGGTGGAGATGCAGTTGTCGAGATCTCCGCTTTCCCGGTTTGTCGATAGGATCCGCGGGCCAATCGCAGCGCGTCCGTATACAATGTGTTCGCCGAGACAGTCGGGGGCGATACTGTTCTGTTTGCAACGGTTATAGTTTTGGTGAGTCCTTATAGCGGCGGAGCGCATTGGAATTGAATGCTAGCAGATCAAATCTACGGACAGAAAATAATCATCACAGTGCTTGTTCCTTGGTATCCCAACACCGGTTCCCTGCTCAAGCCAGTTCGTCGTCATCGCCCATGCCCATTACTCGTCGCTCCGCCATGTCGCGAATCTTATCCTCGAGCACGCCGCGTCCAAAGCGCTGTGCAACCTTGGCGGCTGCCTCCATCATCTTGCCATTGCGATCATTCATCATGGTCACCAGCTCCAGTGCCTTCATGCCGCGCTCTTCGCCTTCTCGGCATTCGATGGCCAGCATCTGAAGAAGCGTTTTGTCAATCTCTAACTCCTTGCGCGCCAGCTCAGCGCGTTGGCCAGCCGTTGCATTGGTCGAGGCCAGAAGGTCACGGAATAGCGAGAGGAGAATGTTGCCACGGACGAAAGATTCCTCGAAGCGGGAGCCATCGTTGGCGGCATCTTCAGATTCGCTGGGATCTTTCTGTGGGTTGCTTGAGATAGGGACTTGGAAATCGAATTCGCTGAGCAGCGGCCGAGGGAAGTACGGGTTCTTTTCGCCACCCTTGAGGATGATACAGTGGAACCTCCCTTGCGCAACGGCCACAGGCCAGTAAGTCTCTTCCTTCCGGCCGCCCGCCAGTCGAGAGAGCTGCTTGGTGTCCAGAAGAGGCACCCACCGGGCTTGCCCAGGCGCACGCCAATGCTGCAGCACTGCAAGGACACCGGTTGAGTCATAGACACAAGGATCCTGCAGAAAAAGTCAGCATTTATTCTGTCCCGTCTTGTTCGAAAGACATTGATCAACGTACTCCCGTGTCAGAAAAGAAAACACTCTGTAGCTGAGCCCCTGTGGGAAGGGCAACCACGTCCTCATTCTGGCAGATTTCGTCGCGCTTGACGTTCTCAACAGTGTATTTTAATGTCGCATGCCGACCATCCGCTGCCACGGGTCCGTTTCCGATCGTCATGATATAGTCTCGCCACGCGGCACATGTCACAGCTTGGCTCTTTTGTCGAAACACTCGGAATGGGGTGCCGAAGAGAGTATACACTCGCACGTAGTCCTTCGTTGTCACTGCAACGATATAGGATTCGCTGAGAGCCAGAGCTAGCAATAACAATAAGTACATCCTCAAGGACCAAAAAGGGCTCAACATGTTATGCATACCTCGAACCATCTCTCCCTCGGGTAGTTGAGTTCGCCAGTCCGCTCTGGTGGTCCATGTCTCATGTGGCCTGTAGAAAATACTGGCAGGACCACCATCAGAGGGGTTGTTGGAAAACAGGGTTCCGTTCTCATCTATTCTCTGTTACTAAGGAGATCTAACAACCGGCTTGGCTTTCACTTACTAAGACACGCTTTGTCATATTGATAGGGGTCCGTAAAGTGGAAGTCTCGATGAAGCTCACGATCATAGAACTCCACAGTCACAGTATGGTGCGTCTCTTGGTCGACAGTCCAGACGGCACCAGTCAAGTTCAGGCCTGATCGAGTTAGCAAAGGCAATTCGCAATGAATAGTCGGCGGAACATACACAGATATCTTCTATTACCCGCCCAGGGCGTGCTGCCAGGCTGAAGAGGTGGGTGCGCCTTGGGTTGCAAAGAACCCGAGAATACTCGCTTATTGTCGGGACCATCCAAATCGTCGAGATGGCCATTTGGCCGCTTGCCATACAGGTTGAGCTCCTCGGCATAGCCAGCTCCATCGTCATCATCGACAAAATCCCGCATCTCGTCATCCTCACCCAGAATATCGTCAAGGGAGTCGGGTGTCCCTGCTCGCGCCGCCCTCTGAATTGCCTCTTTGGATCGCTCAGCTAATGTCCGTGGCACATTATTCGAGATCTCAGTCAATGGGCCCGGGAAAATAGGAGCAGCCTGCAGCGGCTTTCGCAGTTGAGATTCGTAGTCCTTGGGAACAAAGTTGTCGTAGATGAACAGCTCTCCATCCGAAGTAGTAAATGAAAGCGAGTTCTTCGTCGGGTGCCAGGCAAGATTGATCACGTTTCCAAAGTCATAACGCTGGAGAATCTTTTGTGTCTTCGTCTCCCAGAGCACAATCTGCCCATCAGCTCCTGCCGATGCCAACATGGTTCCATTGGGAGCCCAGCTCAGCGATGTGATATCCCCACTGTGACCACCAGCAAAGCTCTTCTCCTTCTTCCACTCTGAAATCGAATAGATGGCAATATCCCTTGTGGCCTCTGCCACTGCAAATGCGGTGCCGTCCGGGTGCCAGACAGCTTTCGCTGTCGCTTCCGCATCTGGCTCGAGCTTTCGGATCACTCCATCGAGTTTGCGAACTACCTCTGGCTCTTCCTCGGTTAATGAATAGACATAGAGAATGCCATCTGTGCTGGAAACAGTTACGTAGCGCCCATTTGGATCGAACGTGACGTGCTTTGTTCCCTTGCTTTGTTCCCGAAGGTATTTGACCTGCGTCATGTCCTCGATTTTGACGACCTTCACCGAAAGTTCACTAGAGTCACAACCCATTAGTTTTGCTTTCCTATTTCAGCAAGTAGGACAATGCTCACTCGCTTGATATCGCAGCCCATTCACCGTCCCGAGACACCGCAATGTCTCTCACGGGCAAAGCGCAGCGGACAAGCAGGCCTCCCATTCTCCCCGACGCAATATCGTACTGCCAAACAGTTCCATCCTCGGCGCCCATGAGAAACAATTCGTTCTATACCAATTTATCAGTCTGTTCCTGTTACGATCCACTCAGCTGCATTCCAGCGTACCGTGGCACCAATTGCGAAATGCCCGTCAACACCCTCGTCGACCGTCTTGGGCTCCCCATCCTGGTCGACTGTGTAGATCCGGATGGCCGAGTTCGATCCACCGGTGATAATGCGTCGTCCATCAGGTGTGTATGCTAGTACTGTCGTCCCCGGGGTGTCTAGATCGCAGCAGTCGAGATGTCAGTATGAGGCGTTACAGGTCATTCAACGGAGCGACTCAACGGGCTGGCCGGCCCCGAGGGCGGAGGGGGTCGAAGCTCATTGCGAAAGAAAGCCTGCTACTTGAGCTTCAATAACAGAATAGATATCGTAATCAGGAAATTTGGGGCATGTCCCACCCCTCTTGCGATCTCCGGGAGTTGGTGATCGACTTGTCCGGCGGAGACGCGTCCGCGACGCGCGCGCAAGGGATTTAACCCGATTGGGAAAGGTAGGGCTCAGGGCACGCCGCCTGCTCTCAGCCGGAAACGCCTCTATACCCCATCTTCTACACCTATGGTTTTCTTCATCACCCAAATGGGTTGCATTATTGAGTGCATGTTATTTCTCAACGGTTATTGATTATTGTGAAGTACCGCTGGCCGTGAGAAAATCAAAATCAGTCCCCTCATGCGCTTGGTTCACCGACCGCTCATACAACCCCCGGTACCCTCTCCTCTGCTGCCGTGCTCGGACTGGCCCAGATTCCCTTTCCAGAATCTCCTTTCGTAGCTTGATCCGGGCCTGCAAGGCTTCATCAGAAATTTCAAGATGAAGTCTCCGACTCTCGATATCACAGGTAATCACGTCACCCGTTTCAATCACTCCAAATGGCGACTCGGGGACCGCTGCCTCGGGCGAGATATGAAGGACAATAGTGCCTCCAGCGGTTCCAGACATACGACCATCGGACAGTCGTAGCATATCTTTCACTCCTACAGCAGCCAACTTCTTCGGAATAGGAATAAGGCCCGCTTCAGGCATACCGGGATTGCCGATTGGGCCAATGCCCTTGAGAACCAACACACTGTCTTTGGTGACTGGGAGATCCGGGTCGTCAATTCGGCGGGCAAGATCGGCGGAGTTTTCAAAGACCACTGCTGGCCCGGTGTGCGAAAGTAAAGATCTGTATTTTGACGCCGAGGCCTTTGTCACCGCTCCATTGGGAGCGAGATTGCCGCGAAGAACGGCCAGGGAGGACGAAGGGTAAAGAGGATTCGAAAGTGGCCTGATGATATGCTGGTCAAATGAAAGTTTCTTGGATGGAGCTGCATCCAAAATCTGCCCTAGAGTTTGTCCACTGATGGTTCGAGCAGACAAGTGAAGCAATGGCCGCAATACTTGTAGCAGCGCCAGCATGCCCCCCGCATTATGGAAATCATTCATGTAGTTGTCTCCGCTGGGTTTCAGGTCGATCAATAGCGGAGTCCTCTGTCCGATTTCTTCGAATGTCTGCAAGGTTATTACGCCTTGTAGGTCTGGGTGTCTGTTGGCGATGGCCAATAGGTGGACCACCGCATTGGTAGAACCACCTATAGCTTGCAATACTGTGATGGCATTCAAGAATGACTCTTTCGTCAGAATCTCCTGGGGCTTCCTGAGAGCTTTCGCAACTGCCACAGCATTCGCGCCGGTTTCCTCGGCAATACGTACCCGAGCGGATGAGACAGCCGGTGCAGATGCACCTCGAAGGGGCATCATTCCCAGTGCTGCAGTAATACAAGCCATGGTACTGGCTGTTCCCATGACGCCACACGTACCAATCTATCGCTCAATTTGGTAAGCCCGGGGGCTACATTCACCCAGTCGTCAGGAAGAAAAGGTACATACTGTAGGTGCAAGCTCTTCATTAATAGCAGAAATCTCCTCAACATCGATTTCGCCCGCTCTAAATGCTGCCCAGTTATTGCGGCAATCGGTGCATGCTCCGATTCGCTGGCCACGATGACTGCCAGGTAACATTGGACCAGTGATCAGCGGTAGGATTGGTTTATTGGCCGAGATTCCGCCCATCAGTTGCGCGGGGACAGTCTTGTCACAACCTGTATAGAGTTAGAGGATGAGCATAGAGGCTTGTTCCATTGCTTCCTTTGAGAGAAGAACGATCACTGGAGAAGATCGGCATCTGCTTACCTCCAATCATGATACACGCATCCAATGGCTGTGCCTTGATCATCTCCTCGGTGTCCATACTCATCAGATTCCGCAAGAACATGCTTGTCGGGTGTGAGAAAGATTCATGAACACTGATGGTGGGAAACTCCACCGCCAACCCACCATTGAGATGCACACCACGCTTGGCGGCCTCGATGAGCTGGGGCACGTTGGCATGGCAGGGGTTGAATCCTGAGAACGTGTTGATAATGCCCACTATAGGGCGTGAGAGTGCGTCTTCGGAATATCCCAAAGCCTTTATGAACACTTTGCGAAGGAACAGAGAAAAATGGGCATCTCCATAGGACGTCAGACCCTGCCGAAGCCCCGAGGTGGACGTGATAGGGGTCGAGAGGTCGTAGTCCCGGTTGGGTTCTGTTTCAGCTTCGACCATAGTGCCTTTAATTAAGATGGCACTGCTTGTGTATTCTGGAGTTTACCATTTTTTACCATTTGATTTTGTGTGTAGTCAAGTTGTCGGTGGAGGCTTATATATGCCCATCCGCTGAGTGGATGGTGTCATCGGCCTAACTCCGACCGGATATAATTCCGTGTCGTTTCACCCCACGTTTGTAAATCAGTGCACACCTTCGCCCCTTAGTTTTATGGAGTACATGCCTGTTGATTTTCGGTAGTTTTGAACCTTACTGATTCAGAAGAGGCAGGAGAATCCTTTTTGGGCCCGTTGTTCGTTCGGTATCTTATCCCACCGGAGCCTTGACGGGCCATGTTTTTTTGAACCAAACCCCATAATAGTTCACAAGCTCATTTACAATGCTTAGCCGGATGAATTACAAACGCATATCATGCAATTGGTGTCTTAAAAATGCAAACCGCCAGCCTCTCAGCCTCCTCCTGCCAACAGCAAAGAACCCAATATCTTTCGCTGACCCCAAAGAGGCGCTTATGGAGAAAATAAATTTGAAGTAGGTGACGATTACTCTTCAATAAACAATGATTCTAGTTCGAAAGCCGTCCGGAGAATGAAACTGGCTAGTAAAACCGTCATAAAATAGGATATATATAATAGTACTTAATATTCGAAGGGTCCAATTATCTATATACCCCTGTAGATAATACTTTAATGGTTATCCAAATGCAAACGCAGACCCAACAAGAATATTCTAGGTAGTCAACTGAAAAAAAAGACCTTGCTCAATGCTAACCGTTTATGATTCGTCAATCATATCATGCGAATGCGCCACCACGCTTAAACCTGCCCCGGAAGCCTATTCAAGTCCAACTACAGCTTCGCGGCAGGTTCCAACAGATGCCTCATCTCGGAGTTCGGATACTCCACGTTTTGAGATGCATCGGGTCGCTGTCGATCCCAAGCCCATTTCTCCACCAATTCGGGCGCCAGCTCGCCCTCAAGCATTTGTGTGATGTACTTGCCAAGCACAGGGAAGAACTTGTAGCCATGGAACGAGCCGCAAGTGGCGATGTAGAGTCCCTTGGAGGCAGAGTGAGGAGAAATGATAAAGTCGGAGGTGGTGGTGAAGGCGTCCCTTTTGAGTGTTACTTTGGAAATCCACAATATGTTTGATACAAGGGGTACTTACCAACAAATCCGATGCTTCGTCATCTCCCAATCCGCACTCTCGGGTCCGTACCAGAGATTTCTAGACTCGACAATGTCTTGCTTGAGAGGCCCGGGCACCTTCCACTGGTTGTAGTCGTGCGTGGGTGGAGGGGAAGAAATATAACGACCAGGCAACACCTCTCGGGTATTTGTGAAAATTTTGGATCCCCACCACTTAAGCTCTCCGTCCTTGGTAGGAGGAATGCTACCAATGAAGGGCTTACCTGTTGACAGTTAGCGGCATTCGTGTAAGCATATCGGAAAACGTACCCTCCTCGGGTGTGTAGCCCTGGAAGCCAACAGGCATGCCCTCGAACTTCTTGTACTGCTCTTTCTTGAGCTGTGCCATTCCCGTCGTAATACCAGCAGCCAAAATTCGCTCTCCAGCCCGAAGACCGGCATTGCCGCTCTTCGCAGCGCTCCACTCCAGCAAAGTGGGAGTGAAAGCGCCGGTAGCAACGATAGTATGCGTGGCCGACAAGATCTTTTCGGATTTGGTCTTGACACCAGTGCAAGAACCACGACCATCAAATTCCAGGGTGGCAACCTCAGCCGCCACGTACTTGACGCCCAATTCCAGGCACTTTTTCGTAATTGCTCGAAGAGAATCTCCAGCGGCGGCCCAACCACTAGCCCTGTTCACGAGAACCTCCTTGACACCGGTGTAGTCAGCCTTGTCAAAAAGACCGCCGTAGAGCTTTCGGGCCTCAGCAACAGGGAGGGCAATGATATCGTCGTTGCGGCCAAGCTCCTTGTGGTGGGCGATGACGTTTTGCGCATAGTCACTGCGGCACGTCCAGTAGACACCAGTCTGGTGGAAATAAGGTTGCCAGAGGGGATCGGACTTGAAAATGTCTTGGGCTTCAAGAGCCAGTCTACAGTAGACCTTGTCGTCGTAGTCGGCGCGAACAACCTTGTTCCAATCCCATGATGCAGCCACCCGGGACTCGGCGTCGTATGCATCTCGGTCAACGAGAGTCACTGACGCATTGGGATACTTTTGGATAAGATGATAGGCAGTTGACACGCCAAAGACGCCAGCGCCGATAATAAGGTATGAGGGGTTGCTTGAGGCCATTTTGAAAACGACGCAACCAGTGTCTTTTGCAAAAGCCGATGTCTCTCAGCTGCTGCTCAAAGAGACGTTGTCCCTTTGGAGATTTAGGGGGATAGGGATGATCAACGAACGTACTAGGGGGCTTTCGTTCTTAAATATCAGGGCGAATTGACCGCTTATCTGTCAATTGAGACTTATGACTATCTAACTAACGGTGACTCCGGCCTCGCTTCATCGGGCGGGGGTCCCGCTGAGCCGATCACGTGGGTTATAGTTCGGCAAGCGAGCCGGTCATGCCAGTCGTGATATTTAGATTCTTAATCAGTTTATTTTTACTGCAATTGGTATAGCAAATCAATTATAAGATAGATTTCCCTGTTCCATGGGCTCCTGTGTATGCTGCGCTTTTGTAGTCATCTGTGAAACGTGCGGATCAGAATCTAGCGGTGTTTCCCGCGTTCCCTATATGCAGACTGATCAAGCAGGAGGGGTGAGCTAGAAATAAGGGCGAGCGATAGCTATGATACACTCTGTGGATATACCACGAGAATGGAAAACGAAGCCAAGACTCCGAAGCGACTTTGAACGCCCCAGCATCAGTGATCAAATCATTTGAGAAAGGGTTTCTTTTGTTTTTGATTGCATAGGCAGCTTTGGGGAATACTACTCCATATATGGAAGGGAGAGCAAACAAAAGTCACTTCGATAAGTCGGTGTTGAACGCAAGTAATTCATAATACATACACCGTTGACTCCGAAAATGCAGGAAAAAAAGCCTCTCAAGTCCTCGACAGGAAGACGTGTCGCGGGCGAGAGCTTATGTACACAAATGATCATGTACGGCTACCAAGGAAAAGATATCTGAGGGATGCTGTCCCATTGCCTTCAACTTGATTATCCTATTATAACACCTGCTGCTGCTGGACCATCATTCGCGCAGCCTCGTCTCGCCACGAGGCAGGGTGCGAGCCAGTGGCAAAGACAGTCGAGTTGGAGTGGACGGGCACGCCGGCGGAGGGGGGGTTGTTGCCAGCCTGTTCAAGCATAGCCTTGTACTGTTTCCCTGGTGTTAGAACGAATCTCGGAGAGAGGGAGATGGGATGGAAAGCGGAACTACACGAACCTTGAAGGCAAAGTTCAGGACCAAGGCGACGGCCAGACCAACGCACACAACGAGCGGACCGAACATGTTATCCAGATCCTTTCCACTGCGCTGGCGAATGAGCCGCGCGCGCTTCTCGTACATGTACCATCCCCAGGCGGCGGAGAAGAGGGCGAAGAAAGTGTAGACGATGGCTAAGGCCTGGGCCACCCGGTTGTGCTTGCCGGCGGCATTGTACAGACCCAGGGACAGACTGGACAGCAAGATGCTGATATGCAGCCACTTGATGAAGGTGCGTTGGTTCGCGAGCCACACTTTGCTTTCCACGCGGACAGGGCCCGAGTCCTTGATCCAGATGCCAGGATGGCGCACACCAGGAGGCAGGACGACGACCTCCCGGCCGGTCCAGTTCTCGGGGGAAATACCCAGCGACTGCAAGACCGAGGCAAAACGGGAAGGGGGGCTTGGGGTTCCTCCGCAGGCTCGGCGACAGGCTCGGGCTCACGGTGCGGCTGAGGCTCAATGGCAGAGATGCGTGGCCGCTGATGATTATGGACTTCACTGACGCCAGAGGGCCGGCGCAGGGCGGAGCGGCTGCCCGACTCGCCCCAACGACTGAAGGGAGATGCAGACATAGGCCCACTGGGGCTGCCGGTGCCACCGATGAAACTGCCAACGGCTATGTCCTCCTCAGCGCGCTTAGCCAGTCGCTCTTGTTCCTCGAGGAAGGCAGTCTCCGGGTCGCGGCGAATATCGTTCTCCAGCTCGCCCAGCCAGAAGGGGAAGCTGTTGACGTGATCTTCAAAGAGCTGAGCGACACCGTGAACGAACTTGGAAAAGCGGGGCGCGTCCTTCACCAGGTGAGAGGACATGAGATCATTCACCCACTCGACATCCTGAGCCTTTCCCCGCAGCTTGATCTCAAGCAAGGCGTGCGGGAAACGGGAAATCTCGCCAGTTCGGACGGCATTGAACGGATATGACATGCCGGCATCGTCCAGGTCGGTGCGGTGCCACTCAGAGGGGTCGCGGCAAGGGCGCTCGCTGTCGAGGCTATCCTCGCGGATCATGGCGAGATTGGTATCCAGGGAGATACGGATGCGATTATCACCAGGAATTTGGAACGCAGTGCGAGTGTAGTTAGCCCGGAGCATGGGCTGCAAGTTGTTCTCCTTGATGAAAGACTGCACCTCCTCCACATCCTTCTTGAGGGACTCTGCCTCGGCCGAGCCCTCGCCATTTCTCATGTCTTCCATCCGATGAACCTTCTTGTCCAGGTGGTATTCACCATCCAAGAACGACTTGATGTGCTTCTCCTTGAGCTGCACTTTAACCTCGCGGCTACTGTCGTCTTCCGTGACAATCTTTTTCTCAAGGAAAATGGGAGGCTTGTCCTTCAGCTGCCCGGTCCACCGCAGCCTCAAAGAGCCCGCCTCAGAGGCACGGGCGACCTTTTGGTTATATAAATCAAACTGAGGGTTATCAAAGTAGAGAGAGGTGATGGTAGGGTCGTCGGATAAGCTATCCAGATTCTTCGCGCTGCCGGGATTGTAGATGAGGACAGGCAGGCGACGGAGAATGTAGGTTTTAACCTCTAGAACGTTGTCGACGTGCACCCAGAACTTGTAGGATGAATACACATCGCGCCCGAAACCAGGTTCCGTCTCCTTTGAGTGCACAATGTCCTGACTCAGGGTCTCGCGCACAAACGAGTACATCACCGACAGGCGGTGAACCAGAGGAGAGTAGTCCTCCGAGTTGAAGGGCAGTTGAGACAAACGCACTTGCAGCAGGGGCTTGACGCGGTAGCGGGCTCCACGCTTCCGGTCATGCTTCTTGGCAGCCTTGAGGAAGCCGGTGAAGTTGATACGACTGTACTTCTCCAGTTCGCTGACCTCTTTGGTGATATTGTCGAGCTCCTGCAAAACTTCCGATGCAATTGTCCGCTTCTCTTGGTCCGTGAGAGCTGGGCCTTCCTGCTCCGTGACCGGTGCCAAGGGCCGGAGCTTGGCCTCGCACGCCGCGCTACGCTCTCGGAGCTGCTGCGAGGTCTCTGATTGGAATGCATTCACCTTGTCGAGCTGGACATTGATGAGTTCCTGCACGAATGCCTCTTCGTCCTGCTCAGTCCACTGGCTTTCGTCTGAATCACTGGCGTCTTCGCTGGTGACATCATGCTCGCGCAGAAGCGTCTTCAGCTTGGCGTAGTCGATGTATTTTCCCTTCCAGGGCGGGTACACCGCGTTCCGCAGCGTCTTTCCGAACCGCATGGTGCGTCAGCCGAGGTGGTGGATAGACCAGATGAAAATGAGGGGGCTTGTGGTTGTGTAGCCTGCCCGTGGTATCTGACGTCCACTGGGGGGTGCAGTGCAGGTCAATTGCTAGGATGACAAGGCCTGAGAGGCTAAGGGATCCAGGACTCGAGGTCAATTGGAGCTGAACTGCAACCTTCGGAAAGCAGCAGTTTCCAAACAGCTCGATGGTTTTCTCCTCGACGAGAAAGCGAAAACGTGAGGCGAGTGGATCGCGGGCGTCGAGGCTGGTCGCACGTGCAACGGGCTGTGGCTAGCTTTCTTCTGCCGCCGGACCTCCGCGGCCAATCAGCGCGGCACCGCCTCGATTAACTTGAGACCGTAGCTTCATCTGCTCCGGACTAACCGGCGCGGATTAATAATACTCCGCAGTCCGCTGTATGGTCATTTTGACCCTTTCGGCTGGATTACCGTGCTAAGACCGCGGACGGCCACCGCAGCGCCGGTGTCGCGGTGGATTTCGGCGACTCCTGATGGCCTCTTGACGTGAGTCACAAACTGTTGGTCCATCTAGCACCCTCACAAATGTACTCACAATTGGGATATTTAGTGAAATGCTGTTCTGACTGGAAAAATAAGGTCTTTCTTCTCAGTTGGGAGGATCCTTTCTCATTCTTACAATCTATTCATGCTTTTATTTTACCAATACACCCAGATTTCCTGGGTCAATGGAACCTTAAATGGATCTCGGCCAGCGCCCCACACTCACGAACGAGGAAGTCGATCTAAGGCATTGGCAATTGATATACACTAGCAACTCTCCGTATGAGATAATGAAATGGTCAAATGTCAGAGTGATACCTCGATCAAACATTCTCAAGAGCTGTAAAACCCCTTTCCAATAATTATTTCACACACTCGTGGGTGCATGCAACAGGCGCTGTCCTGAACCAACTTATGTCTTCGGTCTCCGTGGGAATTAGGGTTGCTCATAAGTATACTCCACTTGTAACCTGAGCAGCCCAAAAATCTCTCCTTTCCGACATAATTGCGTTGCATTGCTCTTGAATACATCAAATCTTGTTTGAATGCCTAGTAGTTTCAAGCCAAACCTCGGATCTCCCCGATCACCTTAGTCAGCCTCGGCCCAGCGCCTGAATTCAAAGGAGACTCCGTTTGCATCAGACTGCCAATAGTCCATACATACCTCCATACGCGGCCTTCTGCGGGCGTTCCATATAGTTCGGTGTATGCGCGCCGTCCTCGTCCGATGGCGGAGCCAGCCCACCCCAAGCACACGCCGGGCCTATCCCAGCACCTCCATGGCGTTTTAACCGAGCTGCATCGGCGGCCGTACCCACATGTTCCCAACCCACCAGACTGCAAGAAACGAGCATCGGTGGCCCTGATTCTCCGGATAAAACCGACCTACGACCACTGGCCGAGCTCCAGCACTGGAACAAGTGATCCCTCTTTGTCCATTGAGCAGCGTCTGCAGAGTTTCTTTGCCCAGCCGTGGGTTCAGCATGGGGATCCGGAGGTTTTGTTCATCAAGCGCGCCTCGCGTGTGGGAGATCGGTGGACCGGTCATGTCGCTCTGCCGGGTGGAAAGAGGGACCCGGAAGACGTGGATGATCGAGCAGCGGCGATTAGGGAGGCGTCCGAGGAAATTGGACTGGACCTGACGACGGACGATGTGATCAGCGTGGGCAACCTCCCCGAGCGAGTGGTCACTACTAGCTGGGGATCGATACCGTATGCCTTCATTGTGCTCTCAACCCAATTTTCCTCCCGTATACTAATCTGTTTCACTTCTTAGACTGATGGTTCTTTCCCCGTTTGTCTTCATTACCACTCGAAGCGATTGCGCAACATTGAAACTACAGCCCACCGAGGTGGCATCAACACATTGGATCCCGCTACGAGCTCTGTTATCCCCGTCCCTTCGTACAGTCGAATATGTGGACATGTCGCAGCGGTTTGCTCGGCAGGGCGGGTTCCTGACTCGCCTGGCTGTGCGGTCCCTGATGGGCTGGATGCAGTTCTCGGCCGTTCGACTGCTCCCGTCAGAGACCCAACAGTGCACTTCAGTCCCGGGGTTTGTGCCTGATGACACGAATCAAAAGACCTCATTGATGTCCAGGTTTAAATCTTGGAGTCTGAGCAACCAAGCGGATTCGGGTGATTTGAACCGCCCCCTGTTACTTTGGGGCCTGACGCTTGGTATCTTGGCTGATTTCTTGGACATGCTTCCTCCTCACACCGCCGTCGAGCTATGGAAGTACCCTACATTCACTGCGCCTGATTTACGCTTCATTGTAAGTGTCTTGACCTTCCACCTACGAAAGCGCAATGCGCGTGACGTGAAATTGGGTGCCCGGCCCAACGAAACTGCCGCGGACAGCGAAACCGCCGCCCTGCCCGTCACCCCGAATGCAGACGGCCATGACCACAACAAAGTGGGGATCGGTGGTCTGGGTGTTGGCCGGTACTATGGCCCAGGCGATCGCGCCGTGGATGGGACCTCGTACGCCGTGGGCATCATGTTGCGGGGATATTATCAACGGTTGCGGATGGCAATCTGGCTCTTCCTCGCCTGGCGCGCGGCTCTTGGCTCAGCAGCAGCCATTACAGTTTGGCGATTTCTTCGTCGGCGACTCCAGTAATACGTTTCACATATTACTCTAGCTAAAACTAGAGAGTACATATAGAATGGCGACTCGAATCTTATAGAATGGGGCACCCACGCTAACTACGAGATGAATTGATTACATAACGTAACCCCACATCTTCAACCGGCCTCAAGCTCCGCAAGTAAACAATCCCCTCGCCTCTCATCGGTCGCGCACCAGATTCCAGTTCAGCACTATGGCAGCAACCCAGAAGCTTTATCCCCGAGGGACTGTCAAGCGCATCGTCAAAGCGCACTCCAACCGCAGCGTGAGCAAGAATGCCGACATTCTGGTATGTTCTAGCGTACCCAGCATCTCTCCATGCGACGAATCACGTTGCTAACGGCCGCTTTTGCTTGATCTTTCAGATATTCCTGGACTATATGCTGTTCATGCAGGAGTACGATTTGCATCTTCCCTCCTTAAGCCATTCTGCCCCTGTCGCATCCATTCTACGCCTCGAATTGAGCTCTGCTGTGCGGAACACGCTAACAAACAACCAACCCTTAGATTGATGCGCGAGGCTTCCATCCGATCGCGCAAGTCAGGCGAGAAGAATATATCGGCAAATTCCATTCGCAAGGTCACCGAGGTGCGTAAAATCTCATCTGTTTCGCGATGGGTCTTCGTGTCCACGAAGAAAGCGCTGACACGGATTGATTGCCTTCTCATCCAGAAAACCCTGCGCAAATTCCAAGGATAATCGAGCCCCCTAGGCTTATCCGGGTTGAAGGAGAGATTGGAGTGATACTTGTGGTCGCGTGTTTGGATTGAAGCGGCGTCTTTTGGGTGTGTGGTCTCGGTCTACTAGTATTATGGCGTAATGGCGTGCGGAGTGTATGATACCCCAGATATGGCGAGAAATACCAGGCTCGGTAGTATTTTGAATCCAGTGGTTCATCAGCAGACCGCGTGAACCGGGAGGTGCTGGTCTCTGAGACTTTTGTAGAGCAGCCACTGTAAAGGTACCTCCGGTGGGCTCAAATGCGGGCAGCCCACCGATCAGGAAAGGGTTCGGGCGACTTCCACCCGCATCGATTGCGCGGATCTTCGATCTTCTCCTCTCCAACTCCGCGACCTTCCCCCAACCTCCTCTTTCATCTAAAACCCTCGTGTGGTTGTCTCCCGTGCTCGCACCTTGTACAGCGACCCATCTCTCCGAGTTTAACTTTAGACGCTGTGTCACCCACATTCCACTATGGCTCCCGCCTCCACCACCTCCCAGCAACCCAGCAACAAGGCCAAGAAGCAGACATCTCAAGCTTCCAACACCTTCAAGCCTGATCCTGAGAGCCCCACGTCAGATGTGAATGGGAATGAGCCCACCTACTTGAAAGAACTGCAAAAGTGCGTGTGAGGCGACTGGTTTGTGTCTGACACAAGAAGCTAACCAAACTGGTTTGCGCCTCTAGGAGCCTGCGCAACGCGGCGAAGAAGCTGGTACGTAAGACTTTGGCTGAATCTCATAGCTCGAACGCTGACTAACAACTTATTTCTCATCGGATAGAATGCTACTGCGAAAATCGATGCCATCATCGCCGAGCACAAGGGCAAATCACTTGACGACCTTGTGGAGGAGAAGAAGATCAATGCCGACCAGAAGGCCCAGGCTCTGAAGAAGCCAGCGCTGCAGGCAGCTGTTGCTCAGATCGAGGAACAGATTGGCCACTTCAAGCAGTTTGCGGCCCAATACGAGGCGCGGCTGGAGAGTCAGAAGGCTGACCTGATGAAGGCTCACCAGGAGGAGCTGGAGGCAGTGCGTGGCAATGCTATTGCCGATGCGACGGAGACTTCTTCGCGAATTCTCCGGGAGCAATTGCTCACCCTGAGCAAGTTCCTGTGCGCCGCCGCCAATGTGCGCCGTGCGGGCGATGCCGAGTCTCTTGAAAGCCGTGCTTTTGAGGGTGTGCTATTCCAGGTTTACGGTGGTAACAAGGAGGCAGTCGATTCCATGGTGAAGCTAATTGACGGTGCGGACGAAAAGGTGGTGGGCGTTGAGGGTGACACGCTGGATCTGAGCTGTAAGTTCACTACTTCATTATCCTGCTGTGATCATTCCATTTCCTGTGCTGATGTTTCATTCCGATAGATGGCGATGTGAAAGTGGCGTCCAGCAAGTTTGCGCCTATGGCGGAAGCCTCCAATGTCACCACCGAAGCCGACCCGGTGTCCGACCCAACTCTGGCCAACGCTGGCCTGACCGAGCTTCAGGATACTTCTGTAGGCGCTGAGGTGGCTGCGTCCCAGGCTGCGGCTAGTGCGACACCCCAGGCCGACCAGATTGCGCCACCCTCGCAGACCTTGATTTCCGATGCTGCGAACCAGGTGGCTAATGCGACCTATAACCCGACTTCCATGGACTCGTCGGCCACCACCGACGGCTGGGTGGAGGTTCCTCGTGACCCTGCTGAAACCGACACCGGCCTCCAAGCCACTCCTGCCAATGCTGATTCCGACGTGAGCAACACCACTCCTGTCGCGGAAGGTGCTGGAGCCAAGGGACATAATGGTGGCCGTGGCGGCCGTGGTCCCCGCCGTCCCCGTGGCGGCGAAGGCTCTCGTGGACGAGGCCGAGGTGATCACCGTGGCCGAGGCGACTTCCGGGGTCGCGGCCGCGGAGGCCGTGGCGGTGGTCGAGGCCGCGGCGGATCGAACGGTTCTCCTGCAGCGACGCCCTCGCCCGAAAGCCAAGGCACAGCACAGTGGTAAACCCAGTTCACATCACCTCGATGCTGAGCACATGAACCCAACCTAATAGCCGGCTTCACCTATACCGGACACGCTGTCGCCCTCACTGCCATTCTCTATTGCCGCTGGTCTGGTGTTATGGATCACGAACGCAACGAATTTTCTTTCCTGGAGTGATATCTTCCTCTGCGAAAAGTCATCTCCTAATAATGCTTTGTTTCGAGCGTGCATATTACCCCGATCAGGGTTATCTTTCTCCATGTATTCTATTGTTATTTTCTTGGGTGATTCGATGGTGATGGGCAATGTCGGGCTAGCAGCTTAATTCCGATAGGAAAGCTATGAATACAGTCAACAATATGGCGGGCTATATTGTCATCTTCTCTTAAATTTGTAGATATAGTAAACGTGAAAGCGAGCAGTGTGAAAGGGCGATTTCGGAACGCTGGTCTATCGCCTAGGCTATTACTTTATCACCATCAACTTGTTGGACTCAGACACGCGAAACAAGTACCTCTTTGACTATTAAGTTGATGAGGATTTGGTCAGAAGTAGATTCTCTTGGATACCTATTTTAGCCCAACAGCTAACATGATAGAGAATCCAAGACACCCCTCACGTGCTAACCTCATAAGTCTATACAATCCAGATAAGCTAGGTAGGCTCTTCATTCGAACTGAAACCTGAGTGACTAAAAGTATACTCTGCAGTGGAATTGAACCATTCAAGATCATGGCAATTCAAGCAGAATATTCAGAACACACCCCTGTCAGGCTAGCACGTGCAGGCTCGATGCGGGGCGATGGGTTTCAGCTGGGCGCTTAGGCTGTCGCCCAGCACGTCGTCCGTTGTGTGACATCGTGCATTTGTGAACACCCTATATATCGCTAGATACTTATGAGAACATGGAGCTGGCAGGGCCTACCACGGTCTCTTCCGAGCCGCTACGAGTCCTATCGCTCGGTAGGTAACCTCTGTGCTTTAAAGTGTCACTAACAGGTCTCAGATGGCGGCGGAATCCGCGGGCTCTCGAGTCTCCTCATCTTGGAGAGAATTATGGTGAAGGTCCGCGATGCCCGGCATCTAAGCTATGTTCCGCGACCGTGCGACCATTTTGATCTGATCGGTGGCACAAGTACCGGAGGGTAAGACCTTTTTCAGAAATTTTAGATATTTTCACTGATATAGTCTATAATAGCATCATTGCTATCATGCTTGGCAGATTAGGCATGACAGTCGACGAATGTATACGAGCCTACAGACAAGTTGCCCAGCAGGCCTTCACTCCGAAGCGGACCTCAGTCTTACCCCCATCACCTACCGGTGCTTTCTCCGCCAAAGCACTCGAAGATGCCATGAAAAGTATCGTCCGGGAGTACTGTACGGATATCGAATGCGTGGCGCGCCGGCGCGAAGGCCATGCAACTGCTAAGACATGTCCACATGACGATCTAATATTCCGTGACCAGGAATGCACGAAAACGTAAGTATATAATCACGAAAAAATAGCCACCAGCGGTTATTGACTTGCCCTAGTGTGGTCCTAGCAATCACAAAAGATAATGTCGATGCGCCACCAACGCTCTTCACGACGTACGATCCCCCTCCTGCATTCGAGGCCATCACGCTTTGGCAGGTCGCAAGAGCTACCTCGGCAGCGACAACCTTTTTCAAATCAATCAGCGTTGGTCGAGACGGAATACAGTTCATTGATGCCGGATTCGGGTACAATAATCCATGCGATATCCTGGTGCAGGAAGCCCAGCGAGTATTTCCTGAACGCAGACAAATGCAGATTCTCAGCATCGGAACTGGCCTCGGGGATGTCGTTATGATCAAAGATAAGCGACTGTCGATCATCACCGCGCTCAAAAAAATGGCGAGCTCATCCAAGAAGGTGGCGGCGAGTATGGATCATCGCTACAGCGATGGCGGCAAATATTACCGGTTTAATGTCGATCAGGGTCTTCAAGACATCACATTATCTGACTGGGAGAAGGCTAGTACCATCTCCTCGCACACCAACAACTATCTCGCTGAGAACGAGAGGAAGATCAGCAAGTTTGTGGATGATTTCACTCGTGGTTTCGAGAGGCAAGTGATAGCAGTTACAGATGGGCATAGACAAACACATCGTTAGTATACTACAAAGATTCTCGTCCCACTATATAAAAGTCACTAACACCCCACTAGCTCCCGGACGCGAGCCTGTGCATTTGATTCAATTCCCTCAAAACCATCGCTTTGTGGGCCGTGAAGAAAAGTTGGAGGAGTTAAAGCAAAAAATGTTCACCCAGAAGAACAATCGACGAGTCGCAGTATTTGGGCTAGGAGGCGTTGGCAAGACCCAAGTCGCTCTGCAACTCGCCCACTGGACAAAACAAAACATGCCGACTTACTCTATTTTTTGGATACCGGCTCTCAGTGATGCCAGCTTTGAACACGCATGCACGCAAATTGCGACGAAGTTAGGTGTAGGCAAAATCTCAGATAACGAAAATGCCATGGAATTAGTGCAGCGGCACCTAAGCTCAGAGGCATTCGGACCCTGGCTTCTTATTGTTGATAATGCAGACGACCTGGAGCTGCTTTTCGGCGACGCGGATATGCCAGGTGGTTTGAGCCAGTATCTACCAGACAGCGAAAACGGCATGACACTGCTCACTACTCGCTTCCGAAAGGTAGCAGTGTCATTTGCAGCAAATGACGTCGTCAAGCTTGAACAGATGAGTTCTCAAGAGGCAAACAATTTCTTGGAGGGATCTTTGATCCCCCAAGTCCTTCCTCGCGATCAAGAGGAAGTCACACAGCTGCTAGAAGAGCTGAACTATCTGCCGCTGGCGATCACACAGGCGGCAGCATACATGAATACAGCTGACATCTCGATTTCAAAATACCGCAAACTTTTGCGCAGCCCGCCAGAAGATGTGATCCGGCTCATGAGCAGACGGTTCCATGATAGCACTCGCTACAGAGGCTCACAGAACGCCGTCGCCACCACTTGGCTCATTTCATTCCAACAAATTCAAAAAACAGACAACATTGCCGCCAAGCTGTTAGCATTCATCTCGTGCATCGAGCCCAAAGCAATTCCACAAGACCTCCTGCCTGACTTCGGGTCGGAGGAGGAAACAGTGCACGCCATTGGCATTTTGTGTGGCTATGCGTTTTTAGTCAAAAGAAATGATACACTATTCGATATGCATAGCCTGGTGCACATGGCGACACAGAATTGGGTTCGCGAAGAAGGTTCCACCGAGGAGACTATAGAGATGGCAATCCACCATATAGCTGCAATTCTTCCGGACAATCATCACACGAATCGTGGGGTAAGGCAGGCTTTCCTACCGCATGGTCTTCAAATTCTCCAGAGAAGCAATGGGCGAGATATGGAGGCGAGGCTGCACCTGAACTTCAAAGTTGGATGGTGTTTGAGAGCAGATGGCCGGTTCAAGGAAGCTACCAAGTGTTATGACGAGGCCTACCACTGGGCCAAATTGCATTATATAGCAGAGCACCCTACCCGACTGGCCTCGCAGCATAAGCTTGCTAGAATTTATCGCGACAACGGCCGAATTAGCAAGGCGCTCGAATTGCTAGAGCATGTGTTGACAGTGAAAGAGAGAACCTTGGCTGAAGAGCATCCTAGCCGACTAGACTCGCAGCACGAGCTCGCCGGGGTATATCTCGCTCATGGTCAAATTAGCAAGGCGCTCGAATTGATGGAGCATGTGGTGACAGTGCATGGGAGAACCTTGGCTGAAGAGCATCCTAATCGGCTACTCTCGCAGCATGAGCTCGCCGTGGTATATCTCGCTAATAGTCAAATTAGCAAGGCGCTCGAGTTACTAGAGTATGTGGTGACAGTGAAAGGGAGAACCTTGGCTGAAGAGCATCCTGATCGACTAGTCTCGCAGCATGAGCTCGCTAGGGTATATTTCGCTAACGGCCAAATTAGCAAGGCGCTCGAATTGCTAGAGCATGTTGTCATAGTACAAGGAAGAACTATGGCTGAAGAGCACCCTAGCCGACTAGCCTCGCAGCATGAGCTCGCTGGGGTATATCTCGATACCGGCCAGATTAACAGGCGCTCAAATTGTTAGAGCATGTGGTCACAGTGGAAGGGATAATCTTGGCTGAAGAGCATCCTGATCGACTGGCCTCGCAGTATGAGCTCGCTAGGGTCTATCGCGCCGATGGCCAAAGTAGCAAGGCGATCGAATTGCTAGAGCACGTGGTCACAGTGAAACGGAGATCTGTGGCTGAAGCATCCTGATCGGCTGGCCTCACAGCGTGAGCTCTCATGAATGAAGCGTAGGTAGTAGCAAAGTGAACCCATTGTGCTTGCATAGCCTTTGGGAGAGGGCAACGGATTTCCATTGCGACCTGCAGCTAAGACGAGAGTTCAAAGGTGTGGAGGAGATTGTGGTGTCTTCGATTTCCTCATCGTTTTGCTCGCTTTCTTTTCAAAGGTATGGTTGTATGCGGGTCTGATCTCTCTAAAGCGCGACTGACAGATTTTCTCTCTTCGCAGGGGATGCATTGGATATACCTTTCTGTTGGAGATACTCTTTTCTTCGGATTGGGCCGTGTTGTTGAGATTGCTTTGACTGTGTGGACAATTATCAGGTGCCCACAAGGTATCGTATGCACGTCGATATGTCAAGACTGCTTCTCATTAGTAAAGTCTTGTTTATACAACGGGGCCTGAGACGACAATGAGCTTCCTTCACGGTCACGTGTGTTGCATCTCATTGGTTTCGCAGTGTGGCAAGACAAGTATCGTGCATCCAACATTTAAACAAATATTCCAAGAAAATGAAAGCAGGCCAGCAAATAAACGATTGCAATCTAGACTGGATTTCACCGGCATGTGCGGTTGTCAGTGAGGTGAGAATGTTGACATATCTGGGCGGAGAATGGGCGCTAGTTGTTCCCTTACTCCATACAGTAGTTATGGCCGGGGCAGCGGGCGCGTCGGTACTCCACTATTTACTTTGCTTCGGCAAACCGTTGGGCAAGCTCAACTCCTTCGGATTCTACCTTCTCACCTCTCTATCAATTAAGCCAGCCCAGACCATGGCTATCGCTGGCGCCCAACGAAAACAGGTTCTCAAGGTGTTGATGATCTCGCTCCTACTAGACCTCGTATGTTGGATCTCCCCATCTCACACCCGCGCAGTTCCCGCCAGAAGCATCCACGCTAACAATTAACTCGAGATCTCCTTTACCTTCATCCTGCCCCTCTTTCCTTCTCTACTATCCTTCTACCGCGCGCAAGACCCATCGCCCACCTCCCTCCTCAACCGCATCTTTCACTACCTCAACGCATACAAAAACGCCTTCGCCCGTCCCATCGACTCTCGCTATGACATCGTCCTCCTCGGCGGAGCCCTGGGCTCACTCTTCTCCCTCCTGCAAGCTTTCGTCGCCCCGATAATCGGCCACCTCTCCGACCGCCACGGCCGCCGGCGCGCCCTGTTAACCGCCATGGTCGGGAATATCTGTAGCGTCGCGCTCTGGGTCTCTGCGACGGACTTCCGGACGTTCCTGGCTAGCCGGGTGGTCGGCGGGCTCAGCGAAGCCAATGTACAACTAGCCAACGCCATTGTTGCAGATGTCACGGACGAATCGCATCGTGGCGCGTCGATGGCGCTTGTCGGGGCTTGTTTCAGCATTGCTTTCACGTTCGGCCCGATGCTGGGTGCTGCGCTGAGCTCGGTGGAGATTGTTGTCGCGAACCCGTTCATCGCGGCTGCGCTGGTCTCGCTGGTTCTTATTTTCGCCGAGACGGTCTATCTGTGGGCGTGTTTGCCGGAGACGCATCCGCGGTTTACTACGCTGAAACAAGAGGCCAAAGCTGAGTCTGATGGGATGGAGCAGTCTTCGTCGAAGGGTAGGTCCGTCGCGTCTCGCGGGCACACGAATAACCCGGCCCTCCTCAATGCCCTCCACTTCCTCTTCCTGCTCCCGTTTTCGGGCCTGGAGTTCTCTCTTCCCTTCCTGACGGCCACCCTCTACGCTGGAACTACCACGGCTAGCCCAGCCGCGTTGAACGGCCGTCTCCTCTCCTTGATGGGCCTGATTGCCTCCCTCCTCCAGGGTACAGTAGTCCGGCGTCTACCCCCGCTAGTCACCGTGCGAGTCGGCGTCATCGCCTGCGCGCTGTCATTCTTCTGTCTGGCGCATGTCTCCTCCCCATCAGGTCTCTACGCCGCAGGCGGCTTATTGGCTGTGACGAGCGCCACAGTTGTTACAGGCCTGAACAGTTTAGGCAGCTTCGAGGCCCGGGAGGCCGAGCGTGGGGCTGTGATGGGCCGGCTCCGCGGTTGGGGTCAAGCCGGACGTGCGGCTGGTCCGATCCTGTTTTGTACGTTGTTCTGGTGGGCCGGGCGCGGAACGGCGTATACTGTCGGCGGTTTGGCCATGTCCGTTGTGGCCGTGAGCGTCTTCGGCCTCTTGAAGTCACCTTCGGGGCATGCTAAAATGGAGTAGTTTTGTTATGATTATGGGGAGGCCTCCCTGCTTGGATCGCTGGCCGGGGCTGAGCAGGATTTTGCATTTACAAAGGGCATTGTTTTGGTTTTGTTGGTGGTCTCTGGACAATCTTTTAGGAATCTGCCATTATGCTTTGGGCATTGCATTATCCCTCTAGTACCATTCCGCATCTCTGATAATATCCTGTGTACACTGCCGGGCCAAATTGGTTACCAACCTGTTGAAACATGCTTGGAAGTCTGTCTGAAAAAACGGAGAGTTTGCCAGTATATTTTGACCTAGCCAATGAACTCGCGGAAAGTCTGCGATGGTACCCCTGGTCTTGAATTATACACTAGCCACTCAAGATGCGCTGGTAGATCCTTTGATCGGCAAAGCGTAGTTGAAATTCAACTCGAGACTCAATGGGCTTAAGGAGGGTGGGTGGAGCACCGTACCTGCAGCACGGCCAAGCGCAGGAAACCGAGTTCTGTGACGCTGTAGTGCATCTAGTCCACTTCCTTGACGCAGTCTCGACTGTGCATCTCAAACTATCGCTATACTTCCCCCCATGAGAGTACTCTATACTTCCCCCTGAAACTACGACAAAATGACGAACCGGTGGATCCCCAACCTTCCACGCTGCCGCTGCTGACAAATTGACAGCCGTTGGACCCGCGACGATCTATAAGCACGCTGGAACGTACGAATGTCGCTGAAGGCCCGCGTCCACCCTGTCCCAAGCGGCCTGATCTCTCCCCCCGCTCGTAATCTCCTCCCTCGCTAACCTCGCCAATCTCGCGAACCTCACCATCAAACACCATGACCAACTTCACGATCCAGATCATCTCCGACACCGTCTGTCCTGTAAGTGACCCCCTCCACCGCCGCGACTCTCCCTACCATCCAACTCACACAGCTGTAACCAGTGGTGCTATGTCGGCTACCGGCGCCTCTCGCGCGCCATCATCGCGCACCAGGCCAACAACCCCAGCGACACATTCACTCTGACCTGGAAGGCATTCTACCTCAACCCAGCCTCGCCCGACTTCCCCGGCGCCAACAAGCAAGAGATGTACAGCGCGAAATTCGGGGCCGACCGTACAGCCGCGATCTTCGCACGCCTTGCATCCGCCGGCGAAGGCGAGGGTATCACCTTCCGGTTCGGCGGGAACACGGGCAAGACACGCGACTCGCACCGGCTGCTGTGGTATGCAGGGCAGCAGGAAGAAGCGAAGCGCGAGGCTAATGCAAGTGCGCCGTCAACGGTGATCGGCGGGCTGCAGACGCGGGTTGCGGAGAAATTGTTCCGCGCGTACTTCGAGGACGAGCTGAACATTACGGATCCGAGGGTCTTGCTGGAGGCGGGTGTGGGCGCAGGCCTGGATCGGGATGAGGTGAAGAAGTTGCTGGATTCGGAGGAGGGCGGGGCAGAGGTTGATGCTGAGGCGAAGACGGCGGCCCGGCGACTGGTGACTGGCGTGCCGTTTTTCTCGATTCAGGGCAGGTACTCGGTGGAAGGGGCCGACGAGCCGGAGACGTTCTTGGAGGTGTTTGAGCGGGTGAAAGAGGATGAGAAGGCGTAGTTGGCTTCGTCTGTGCTGGCGACTGGCTGGTCCATCTCATCTGGATTGATTGGAGACTTGATGTATGGAGTATAGTATGATTTAATGTCCGAGGTCCTCGGCTCATAATAATTTGTATGGATTGAACCGTCATCAGCTGTCGCGTTGCTCTTTGATTTTGGAGATTAATGAGAAAATGGTACGGTTTAGCTGCGCCATACAATAGTGTTGCAGTTCTTCGTAACTCGAGATTCTGGATTGATCTGAAGTAGAACCGACACGGCACAAGAGCATACAAAGTTGGGACCAAGAGAGACGACCGGCCTTATTGCAGTAACTGGTCTAAACGATAACGGAATATAGATCAACAGTGAATATAATGTAAAGCATGTGGAAGACCCTCGATGAGAGAGTGGTAGATTGAGAGGGGTTATAGTAAAGTCTGCGTAAAGAGACTAGCGTATTACAATGGGAGAGGCCCCTCAAAGAGAGGACTTGTCGAAAAAACCGGGTTGAACATGTGTATGGTCATTGAAGTAAGCGCCTAAACGTCCAGTAATCGAGCAAAATGTACCAAGTCCCACCACCGTCACAGTCTATCGGCTCAAAATCGACACGCTCCACTACTGGATGCCTGACGACAAAAACATGGGATCTCATGAAGTCATGACGCTCGAGGGGGGGTCATTGGCAGCATAACATCCGCCTCAACGCCAAGCCCATGCAAAAGGAGGCGCGGTGAGAGAATACAAAATGAAAATTGTAAAGGAACAGAAGAAGGAAAATCCAAAGCGCCCCTCCTGCACCGGGCGTCTGGGCAAAGCAACAGCTGCGAAAGAAGCAGTAAGGCAAAACTGGAAGCAAAGCGACGAGAGATTCAGAATGATGATACACGGACGATATGGGGAGAGGCGATTGGTAAGGATATTGTAGAGCACAGCCCCGTCGTAAAACCAATAAGTAAGATATGGAATAGCATGTGCAGCAATGGATATGGATGTTCATGTTGACCTGGCTCTCCAGATCGAACCAGTCGCGGTAATGTTGAAAAAAAATGTCGTCAGAATTCGTAGCATGTCATAAAGTGGTGAGCGATGTGGGAACCATGAGCTCCGAGTAGGAGTTGCGAGATTCAGCGTGACTGATCTACTGCGCACCCACCTGGTGCAACTCGTAGTCGGGCTGATAGTCGAACCAGTCGCTCTCGGGGTTGTATTGATAAGCCTTGAACTCAACGCCATACGGCTTGGGCTCCAACATGTACAGCATACCCATGGGAACGTCCAAATCGGCCACCATATCGCGCTTTAGGCCGCGGAAGTAAGCCAGGAGGACGCGAGCAGTGGAGCGGTGGCTGACCAGGAGAACGTGGTCTGTAGTGCGCTCAACCTCGACGATGACGGTTCGGAGGCGGTTGATGATGTCCAGGTAGCTTTCACCGCCGGGGCCGGGGTAGCGGTAGAAGAGCTTGTCCTTCTTGCGGTGGGCGTACTCCTCGGGATACTGCTCCTGGATTTCCTTGTAGGTCATGCCCTCCATCTGCCCGGAGTGGAGCTCATCGAGCATGCGCATCTGCTTGACATCGTATTCGTCTTCATTGAAATACTCTACAGTTTGGACAGCGCGCTTCATCATTGACGACCACACGCAGAAGTTGCGCGGTCGATCGCGCGGAATGTACGACGGATTGGGAGGGGTGCTGTCTCCAGGCCGAGGTGGGAAGTTGTTCAGCTGATTCTTTTGGTGCTGGTACTGCTCCCACTTTTGCCGTTGGTGGTCGATGAAGCGAGCAAGAGCCTTGGCATATCTCTTGCCATTCTCGCTGAGGCCAGAATCTCCGCCAATACGACCGGCCGCATCATCCAGACTCTCGCCGTGGCGGGTGATCCAGATCTGACGCGGAGAAAGATTGAAGTTGAGAAGGTAGTAGACAACCTGAGATGATAGGAACCCATTGGTCTGGTGCGAGACAATCTTGCGGCCGACGTCGATCATTTGAATATAGGCCATATTGTGACTTTCCTCATATTCACCCAGGGGAACGTAGGACTTCTCGTACAGAGCGACACGCTTCTTGAAGTCTTCCAGGGCGGTCATGGGATCCTGGCCCTTATAGTCGGGTCCAGAGAGCTTCAGGCGCATATTAGCTTCCAGAAGATTCTGATCCACGCAGCTGCTCTCCAGGAACAGGATACCCAGCTCGGGACCCGCTCGGGCGCGAATGTGGTCAACAACAGCCTTGCGACGCTCCATGGTGCTGTTAGTCGCATCGAGAATGCCAACGCTGCCGCCGTCCTCCAGAATGTACTCGAGCAGTTCGTCAAGGGTGTCCAGCGCCACTTGCTCACGAAGCTTGACAGCACGCTGATTCTGAGGGTCGAAAAAGTTTGCTGTTTGATCCATAGGTTCGGGAGAAGCTTCTCGGGCGGCTTCCGAATCCCGGTGGAATTGGCCGGGACCTGCATCGATGGAAGGGATTACAGTGCTTCCATTCTGTGAGATGGAAGATCCAGGCTCTTCTCCGTTCACGAGGATCTTGGCCGGAACGACAGGGGGAGGTAATGGCGCGTGATCCGGTGGCGAAGAGTTCTCTGGTCCTGACGAGTCATTTTGATTCATTGTTCCAACGCTGACACTCAACCGGCGCACCGAGTCGAGGAGATCCTTGTGGACATTGCTCGGACGCTTGTCCAAGGGGCGTCCGAATTTGGCCGGCGAGGGCGACTTCCCTGCGGCTACACGACGACGTTCACCAACGTTGAATATCTCTGTATCATGCTGGAGCCAGTTCAGGTATCGAGCAAGCTTCTTAGTGATGTAACTCTTGCCTCGGGCCGGCAGGCCGACCATGACAATGACCAGCTTAGCGCCGACATCACGCTGGGCAATCCGTCCATCCGGAGAGACTTTGGACTTGGTCAGACCGGGAATATCCAGGGTAGTCGCCCGAACTCGGCTGGGCGTACTGGCTGAGGTGAGACCAGTGCTGCCGGGAGAGAAGTACGTTAGCTAAGGGCCACGGTAAAAAAGCAACCGTAAGACAAGCCATCAAATAATAGAAGATCACACGACAAGAATAATGCAGACGCGGCTGCGCCACCTCAACATGGGTCCAGGCTTGCCTGGCGGTCAAGCACGAGCTTTGTGTCTCTGGGGACATGCTCCAGGCCGCGCTCTCTCAGAGGTGGGCCAGACTTAACCCGAGGCACATCGTAGGATTGCCGATCCAGGGTCACAGCCCATAGGTCCCGAGGGGGAAAATAGAGTGACTCGAAGGCCAGACAAGGTTCTAGGCTCCAGGGGTATGTGTGCAAATTGACGACTCAGAGGCAGGGGAGACTCACATCTGTGGAGACGGGGGTGCGGTAGAAATCGGAGTGTCAGTCAGGGCGCTTCCGACTCCGCCCTTGGGCGCCTGCGATGTTTTGTGGGCATCGGAATGCAGGTCATTGCCTAGCGCTCGCCCGACCACGGATTTCGGAGGAGGCATCAGAGCCCCTTCTTCTCCCGAGCCGACGCTAGTTCCGTTCGAACTGATGCCACTGGACCGGTGGTTCATATTTCTTTGATCGCCCCGGGCTGCAGAATCAGGCGATTTGGCCGACGTCATGATAGCCGACCGTGCAATGGTGGAATGCTGCGCCATCCCCGGCCTAAGGGGATCTTATCTTTCGGGAGGGACAGTATTTGAAGTGTCCGAGCCTGTTTTCGGGTTGGATGTGCTCTTCTCGAGGACTTCGAGGACAGATTGATGAAAGGCCCTGAAAAACAAGGCGGGAGGGGAGGAGGGAGAAGGGCGGGAACAGCGGATGACTCAACTCCGGCCAAAACGTCACTTCGACTGTGTGCTTCACTGCGGTGATCTGGTTGGCGAGCGGTAATACTCGCCTGCGCGCGCCACCTCGATGATAAGCCACTGAATCAATAGCGACACAATGTTTGCGTTCTGCGCGATAAGTCCTTTTTTTAGCCTTTGTGGGTTTTCTTTGACCAAGAGCGACTGTTGATCGAAGCGAAGGTGGTGAAGTGGAAGTCGATGGGAAACGTGATGTTGCTGACACGACCGAGGGAGTCGTAGGATGGACGAGGTATGGCCAGTATTCCAGACCTTTCTACAAGCAACAGGAGGATAGAAAGCGAAGAAGAGTCCACTTCAGGGCATAAAAGAGTCCCTCGGTGAATGAAGTCACTGAACTGATCGCCAGAGCCCACTTGGTGGATCACTGGGGCATAAGTGGCTGCGCGATATGATGTCAAGTTCATCTGACCTTCTATGCGATGGGAATTAAACAAGCTATCGTCCCGAAGAATTAGATTGAACAGCTCTCTATATACACGCCCTTTCGCGGATGTACAAGGAAGGTCTCGCGGATCTATTGGCGATGCATCAACCTTTATCTCCAGCCCAGAATGCTTGGCTCCAGGCAGCCCAGGCCAAATTAGGATGATGGATCGACCGCCGAAGCTCCATCTTCTATCCCTGTGGTCCCTGTGGTAAATCACTAGCCCTGGAAAAACCCCCGGAAATATCCACCGAGGAAGGTTTCCGTCCGCAATCATGGATCTGCCTCTCCGCCTTGCCAAGCAAGCAAGCGGTTGAGGGCAACGCCAATCCCCGGGCCTTTAGGATGGTTGGGCTGAGGGCGGTCCGACATGTGCAGTTCATCAACCGATTTGAGTCCGAACGAGTCCAATGGACGGACAGCCAATTCTTGGGACGCCTTGTACAACCTGCGCCTCACCGCTCGGGCCAGTCCTCCTCCCTTTCCGACATACTCGGCATCCTTGGCGGGTTCTCGGTCCTCAGCACAGCAAATCGGACTCCGACCAACTGTGTGCTTCCGCAGGCTCACGGGGCGATCCCTTCCGCCCGTTCCCTGGGACAGGTGATAATGTAGCCGATGGAGTTATACACCATCCTTGGCGCTTGGCGGTAACGCAGGGGGTGGGCGTGATACACGGTGCGCGGAAGATATGGTCTTGCAGGAGTCAATACGGGGCGAAGTGTCCCACCAAACCCCACAGGAGGCGTTGATTAGTTGCTTAGGTTCAAGGTGAGGCCGATCAAGCACGCGTATGCCGCTATACTCAACGCAGTCAACACAACCACTGCATTTCCACTGGTCCGGAACTTGTGTCGATGAACGCCATCGTCCCCCAGTTCGGAGAAGAACTGTCGGTTTCCCTGGGAGCGGCGGAACAGCCCAATAATGAGGACACCGGTGCCGTAAATGGCAAATAGGGCACCGATACTGTAGAACTCGGCGGTGAAGATCTTGAGGACGACCAGGGCGAAGGAGAACTGGGAGAGGGCGGTTCGGACATATGCACCTTCGAAGGTTCGCTGAGCGGCGCGCACCTCGACAATTTCGTCGGAGGTCAGGACCGCTGAGCGGGCACGGTGCATCCGTAGGTGATAGCGGTCAGCCGCTCGTCGCTTGAATCTGTTAGTGAGAGGGAACATGACAAGGAACTTGATGCACGAAGACTTGAAGCATAGAACACATCACAGTAGCCAACATACCTCAAACATGGTGTCGACGCCCCGTCCAGCAGTGGCAGTGTGTTTTGAAGTTCCTTGAGAAGCCAGCCGATGTGGTCATTGCGACGGGAAAGATGGCGGAAACGCGTGATCACCGCTCACATGACTCGACACACCACCTTTTCCGCGTCAACACTTTGACTGTTTTCGGAGGAGCATCGCTTCTGGCACTTTTACACCTTGGATATTGATTCCCGAGTTTCTGGGCTAGTGTCTACCGTCTACCGGCAGTGCGATTGACCAATACCTTAACCTATTCACTGGCCGCCCAGTTGTGCCAAAAATACCGGCCCCAAATTCCCCACCAATGACGTGGGGGTGTTCCGAATGCTCCAGACGGTCGGCTATCGAAGTTGCCCAACGGAGGAGGCCAGTCGCCGGGGCTTTCCCCAAAAACCCCCACACCACTAGCAATGACAGCCGGCGACTTCTCCGAACAACGTCGGGCCCTTCTCCCCCGAATTTATTTCTTCAACTTTACTAGATTTCCACCCTTCTCCAGGCTAAGTCTGCAACTCGACTGTCTGCGACTGTCGCGCTGTGCTGGTCCAAAATGGCGAAGGTATTCGACGCTGCAGAAGGTACGTTTCCTTTTCTCCGCACGGAACCCCCCGACTAGTCCCTACTCATTTCGTGGGGGTAGGCTGACTCGAACTTGCAGTCGCAAACCACAACACTCGTGAGAGTTGTTGGGTGATTCTATATGGCAAGGTCTATGATGTATGATTGTCAATCTCCCATGATGCAGAGTAGTGAGCTAATTCTGTTGCGCATTTTAGGTTACTGATTTCCTGTCCAATCACCCTGGCGGTGCAAAGATCATTTTGAAGCTTGCAGGCAAAGACGCTACTGAAGAATACGACCCCATACACCCTCCTGGCATTTTAGAGGACGAGCTCAAGCCTGAGGCATGCCTTGGAACTGTGGATGCGACCACATTGCCAAAGCAAGAACCACCAGCAGAGCCGCAGGAGCAGGCGGTAGGGCCCCCACCTATGGAGAACCTCCTCAATCTCGACGAAATCGAACAAGTGGCCACAAAGCAAGTGAGCAAAAAAGCGTGGGCATACTACTATTCTGCGTCAGACGACAAGTTCTCCAAACGCTTTAATAACGAGGTTTACCGATCTATCCTTCTGCGACCAAGGGTCTTTGTTGATTGCACCACGTGTGACCTGGATACATCAGTATTGGGACACAAATTGGGAATACCTATCTATGTCTCGCCCGCTGCCATGGCACGTCTCGGTCATCCTTCCGGCGAGGCTGGAATCGCAGAGGCATGCCGAAGCTTCGGCGCCATGCAAGTCATCTCCAATAATGCTTCCATGACCCCAGAACAGATCGTCAAAGATGCAGCCCCTGATCAGGTTTTCGGCTGGCAGCTCTATGTTCAGATTGACCGAAAGAAGAGCGAGGCGATGCTGACACGCATCAACAAGCTCAAAGCCATCAAGTTCATTGTTCTCACTCTGGATGCCCCCGTTCCGGGTAAGCGCGAAGAAGACGAGCGGAACAGTCTCGCAGGAGCGACGGCACCAATACCAAGCGGTGTGAAGGCCGCTGAGCGCACCGCTGATGATACTCCTGATGTGAATGGAGGATCTGGCGGTGTTGGCCAACAATTGTTTGCTGGTACCGACCCCTCCTTGACATGGCAGGAGACCCTGCCATGGCTGGCCAAGCACACAGATCTACCCATTGTCCTCAAGGGTCTCCAAACACATGAGGACGCATACCTTGCCTCGCTGCATGCTCCGCAGGTCAAGGGAATTATTCTTTCTAACCATGGTGGGCGAGCCCTGGACACCGCCCCGCCAGCAGTGCACACGCTCTTGGAAATCCGTAAATACTGTCCCGAGGTCTTTGATAAGCTCGAGGTTCACGTTGATGGTGGCATCCGCCGTGGCACAGATGTCGTGAAGGCACTCTGCCTAGGAGCCAAGGCAGTTGGCTTGGGACGCCCTGCTCTCTGGGGACTGGCAGCGGGTGGTGTTGATGGTGTCCGTAGGACATTACAGAGTATGTTCAACCTTCATTTGACTTAGTCGTCATGCTAACAATCTTGGAATAGTCCTTGCCGACGAAACCAAGACCTGCATGCGCCTTCTCGGTGTAGAGTCGGTAGATGCCTTGGGTCTTCAACATGTATGCCTCTATGCGCTCACCCTCAATGAACAAAAAGCTAACTGCTTCAGATCAATACCCGCATAGTCGAGCAGCAAATTTACGATGGGCCTTCCGGTCTCGACAATTTACGGCGTGCTTTCCGGGCGAAACTTTAGAAGCAAATGAGGAATTCCTTCAGGCTGTAGATATACCCATCTGTAAAATTTATTCTGCTGTCTCTAGCATCACAAGCATACTTGTCCTTGTCTATATTGCGCGCATCCTGTTTAACAACCTGGTCATTGATTCTATCTACGGGACGATCTAAAAGTGGAGCCTCTGTATTTACCTTGAAGCTCGACAGATCTCGAAGGGCCGAAGAAGGAAACGAGATGGTGGCTTCAAATTTGCGATTCCGATCTTGGACTCGATCTAATTAAAATGCGGAATGAACCTGCTTATGCCAGGATGCTTTGTCATTCTTTGGGTTTGCGTTGCATTGATCTGTGCCCTTGCCGATTCAAACTGATATAGCCAGCTAGGTTTCGCAAGTGACTGGTCGAACTGATCAAGTATGGATGTTAAAGACCCTCCCCTCGGTCTCCATCGTCCCTCCAGAAGAGAGACCAACATGGCACTCAGCATTTTTCAGTCGGTCATACAGAATCCCCGCAGTTTCATTGCTGCCCTGGTCACCAAAGTAAGTTATCTGCTTCTTTCAAATACGAGTGCGATCTGTAAATTGACAGAGGAAGTCCGCTCAACATTCAAGTGAGAGAGCGATAGATCCGGCATCTGACAACCAACTGACATATAAGCTTGCTTGCTTTAACGTAGTACCTGTCGACATAATATGGAGGAATATTGGTGCAACCTGAAGTTTCCAAGCATATATTCATTTTCAATGTTGTGGGGACTACACGACTTAAGTACATGTGAGTATGAATTTCAAATTTAGCTCACGGAATTCATGCTTTCAAGTTCACAGAAAAATATGATATTCGAGATGCTGTCGCAACCTTGAGTTGGATTAGTTGCACGGAGTAATATTTAGTGAATCCCCCGGTTTGATAACGCACAAACGAGCCCAGTGTTTGTAGTCCTACTCTGGGCTGGGTCCTACTGGTTGGAATTGCGCTTTCTGACCGTCGCCTGCACGCTCTCGGGATATATGACCCAAAAGTACGGATTGGACTTCGCTCGAGGTTCCACAAGATCAACCTAAAACGTAAGTATATATTATCGATTTTATGGTCCAGTACTCACATCATAGTTCATGAACAGGGCTGTAACAAACTTCTTGATTTCAAACATGGCGACGTGTTGGCCCAGGCAACCTCGTGTCCCGGCCCCGAACTAGCGCAATCAGACATTGAACGTACCAAGGACCTGAACTGCATCTGACTTACACTCAGCAAACTGGCTTCAAGTTTTCTAATATGTGACGGTTCGCCGTCCAACCAGCGACGAGGACGCCACAGGTCCGCATCATCCCCCCACGTCGGCCGATAGCGATTAGCAATATAGGGACTCATGCCTACGACGGTACCTCCAGGGTAGAAGTTACCACAAATTGTCGCTCCTTCTGCAGGAACCACTCGTTCGAGAGGCATAGCAAATGGAGCGTCAAGCCGGAGTGACTCTTTGATACAAGCATCTAGGAAGGGGAGGTTCTGCAGCTCTTGCCATTGAGGAATCGGAAGGTTGAGCCCCGTGGTAGTGCCTTGCTGATCCCGCAGCTCGGTTCGTACTGTCTCCAGTGCGTCAGGGTGTTCCACTAGGAAACAGACCACAGATCGAAGCATGGAAGCCGTGGAGTCGGCCCCTCCCAGGATATTGGCAAAGGTCCACGTTGACACGAATCGAAGGGGTACATTTTCCTTTTTCTCCTGGGCTTGTAGATAATACCCGAGGAAGTCGCCGTCGGCACAGGGTCCGTCGGCGTTTGCATTGGAGAGCGTGTTATGACTGTTCTGACGCTTGTTCCGACGCTCTGAGATACGCGCCAGAACGTAATCCAGCAGAGGGGCAATGGATTCGCGTTTGATGAAGTTTGCTAGTCGGTTCTTATGCAAGAGCCAATCGATCCCTGGTATCTGCGTCATCTGCTAACAGTTGAGTCTTACCCCATGTGAACGTCCTCTGTGGTGTATAACTTACCGGTCCGATGCTCATGTTTGCCCTCTTGACGTCGTCCATGATACCGTGTAAGTCTCTCCCATGCTGCACGTACCCATATGGGCGGGAGAATGTCATCAAGCCCATGGTATCGTAGGATAAGAATTTCATCCAACTTGTGAGGTCAAAATGTGCTCCCGTGGGCACAAACCGGCGATCAAGCTGGTCAAAGAACATTTGCGTAGCACTATCCATCCTTTGCTCGAAAGAGGATACCGCATACGAGAGCGAATAATACACCGCGATATGTTGCTTCATCTGTCGATTCGCCGCGTCGTCCTCTGCGGTGAAGACGGAGAGGAGGAGGCCGTCAGTGGTCCAGGGTCGGAAGGCGCGGTACATATTGCTCTGCATTGGTCAGATGATTTTTGTATCAGTAAATAGGGAGAGAGACAGCTTGACGGAGATGGGGAGTACATGCCTTGGGAAATCCGCCCCGCAGGTTGAAGATTGTCTGGATGGCCTCCGGGTCACAAATGCACACCAGGTTGGGGCCGAATCGCACGGCGGGACCATATCGTTGGTGAGCGAGAGCTTGGTACAGGTGGAGGAAGCCACGGCGCGCTAGGAAGAAGCGATACAAGTTGGTGAATTGTGCGACGAATGGTCCGGGGATGTGCTGCAGCCGCGAGTATGTACGGTAGAGGTGATAGACCAGGACCGTGGTGATTCCAACAACCAGGATAGGCAGTGCCTGGTGCGTGTCCAGAGATTCCCCCAGCATTTTCAGCGATAATAATGGAATAGTAGGTGGTGGAATGTAGAATATCACTGCTCGTCCACCCTTCTTCTATTTATAGCCGGAGGCACGGCGCTCGACTGAAAGGCAAGAAGTGACAGGGTTGGAAGGCAACAATGTATGGCCTAGAACGAAGGATAATCCCCAGTTCTGCACACCCAGATCTAGATCTATTGATGTGATAGTCCCCGTCTGCATTCCTCCGTGTATATGTTACACAAACCTGGAACCGTTGACTCGGTCGGCACTACTGACCAAACTGCCCTGATGATCGCTCGCCAAGACTACAAAAAGGATGGTATTGGTGCAGAACACGAGAACCTAATTGCTGCGAAGACGTATCAGAGGAGAGAAGAGCTATGCTCCCATCTGCACCTACATATACATGCACACGTGGGGCCAGCTGACCAAACTGACATACGAGACATTTCTATACCATTCCATATATACTGTAGGGTAACTACCGTTGAGGACTGGGGGAGATCAAAGGCAGAATAGGTCATTATAACTAAGACGACAAACCTGCAATACATCGAATCAAAATAAGAGACTCGTTTGCAAAATTGTGTAGTCCAGGTTCAAACTTGCAGAACTAGAACCGACTTGCAGAACTAGAACCGAACCATATCGAGATCTAGTAATCCGCGAGACATGATTGATTGGATCGGAATCGGCCAACAGCAGTACAACTGTGGGCGGCGACGATCAAACTTAAACTGACCAAGGTACGGAAGTCTGTAAGGAGGTGGCAGGTTATCTGAATACAATAATTAAGTTCTCTATGCTCTTGTTGTGCTGCAGACTGCCTTTTCTCCATGGGACTTCAAAGCGAAACAGCGGTGAGTTGGAATCGTGCGTGAAAGCTTTGACCGCCGCAGAGACTGAAGACGCAAACCGGTTCAATGTTAAATAAATGAAAGATCATACGTGCTGCGTCTCCGGGCGTAAGCCCTTCTTTTCATCGGCTTTTCTCCGACGATGCTCTCAGGCCGCATGAAGCGAGGTCTGTCCTGGCTCTCAGACCATGCCTCCGCTGAGCCAACCCATCCAAAGGGCGTACTGGAAATGGACATGGCAGAAAATTGGCTTGTCCGACCTGACGTACTACCTATAATGAAAGACGCAGTGGAATTGAACCTGAAACAGCAGGATCTCTCATATTCCCAAGAGCTCGGTGGGCCTCCAGGGCTTTTGCAGGTGTCCGCATCATTTTTCAATCACTTCTTCTCTCCTCAAGTTGCCATTTTACCCGAGCACCTCGTTACGAGCACAGGGTGCGCATCAATTCTTGAAACCCTGATCTTTTCGATTTGCGATACTGGAGATGGTTTACTACTAGAGACACCCATGTGGGACGGGTTTGCGGTCACGTCAACCCTGAGAAATAACGTCCGGATATGTCCCGTGAGATACACGAGACGGCCGACAAATGCAGCAGAATTTATACAGCACTACAGCGAAGCGATGAAAAATGCAACGTGTCCAATTCGGGGCCTCATTGTTTGCAATCCGCACAATCCTCTTGGTCAGATTTATCCTACCGTATGGTTAGAGGCACTGCTTCAATTCTGCGAAACTCATGATATTCACTTCATCTCGGACGAAATATACGCCCTTTCAAATTTTGGGGCGACTAGATGCAGTCAAGATGTCAGCAACCCCGATGTTGTGATTGGGCTAGAAACGAAGTTCACATCGGTATTGGCAATAGACCTGAAGCGGCTTGAGGTCGATCCCGCTCGTGTCCATATAGCGTACAGTACCAGCAAGGATTTTGGTAGTAGCGGGTTTCGACTGGTTTGTCATTCTCAATAAACATATAGGTGCAAACCTAACTCTGACGCATTCTCAGGGATATCTCATTACACAGTCGAATCCTGGGCTTCGCCGTGCACTAGCGGTCCTGAACAGATTCAAGGTGTCTAATATATCATCGATAGCTGTTGCTGCTCTCTTCTCGAATCTTCAGACGCTTGAAACCGTACTGAACAGTAGCAAATCTCGCCTGCGCATAGCGGCGGAGACGTTGGAAAATTTCCTGTCATTCCATCAGATTGCGTTTTATTCTCCAGTTGCTGGATGCTTCATGTGGGCGCGATTTGGGGGCGAGCTAGCAACAAAGGAAACAGACGCAGAGCTATTGGAAAAATTTGCAGCTGCAGGTGTGGCCGTTGCTGCTGGCTCTAAGTTCAACAGCGGAGAACCGGGCTGGTTCAGACTCACATTTGCTCTACCCTGGAAGGTTCTGATCGAAGGACTACGTCGAATCGAAATTGCAATGGAGGCGAAACGACATTGGATACCTGAGAAAAGCCAATTGTGAAGCCAAAGGCCTTTGGCATAAGTTTGAACGAGGTTACGCATTGTGTATATCCCACTCCACCAGGTCTCTACTTGATTTCGTGTAGACATGGCCTATATCTTTGCAATCATATCTCATTGCTTTTGAATCAATGCACGGGACGTGTTACTTGAAAGTGAGGAGTATTTCCATCCCTAGGACTGCGCGTAGATAGCCATCCACCCGGACAATAATAAAGCGGTTGTCGATTCTAGTCAGAGCCATGATAGGTGTAGGAAGACACAATTGGATTGCTGATACAGGGATTACACAAGCTACAGCTTTTCCCTGGCATCTCAGTCACCTTGACCGCCTCTAATTAGAACGACGGGCCTTGTTAGGGGCTGAGCCTGCCCAGTGTTCAAGTGACGTAAGTGGCCGGCCTCATTGTGGGATACGAATTGATAGCTGATCTCTAGAGGTTGAGTGCAGTCCGGCTGTTGGAAAAGGGGAACCCGCATAGGCTAGTACACTTAGCGGTGGACAAGTCATCATTGTGCAAACAATCCAGCAGGTGCAATGCCACCAACCGGTCCACCTAACCCTAGAAATAGCATTGGCGCTGGCATCTTCGGGTTACCGCCCGGGGACTAGATCCGGAAAAGGTGTAAGAGTGTCCATTCTCGTACTACTAACTGAACGTACTTATGCTGTCCACCTAGCAAACTTTCAGCGGAGACCAGCCTGATCAGTACTAGGCCATCCGTCTCAACCATGTAGGGGGACTCTTTCCCCACTTCACTATCTAAATACACGCGCGAAGGCGGAGTAGCTAAGGAAAAGACAAAATGGCGGGGCCATCCCTAGTCGCCTAGAACGGCCTATTTTAGCGCCATCGCACACCGTTTGTAGAGGTAGTCAACGTTAGTAATTTTGTCTACTATCCTATGTCACGTATACACGTTACATTTTGCAGTTCGTTTATCCATCCATTTAGTAGATCCACGGGTAGACCCGAGTAAGATTTATCAGCGAGCTAGATAAGAGACGGCGGCACCGCTACATGATTCACGCGGCATCAACACGGAATATTGAGATGTCTTTCTAGAGACACAAGATAGCGAGATATAATCCAACTGCCAAGTCAATAACTCACTTCGCCCTGTATCGGAGCTCCTCCTATCAGGCGAATCCTCCTTCCCCGCCACTTATCGCCTCTTATAACAGCCCCATCCTTCTCCACTAATCAGCGGAATACGAGGACAATGTTGCATAACCTCAGAAAATTCGAAACTAATGCAGTCTATGCTGAAAAAAACCTGATTATCATGCCCCCAGGTCACGACTATTCGGGGCACAGCACTGAGGAGCCGATTATATTGATTGAAAGCATCCAAATGTAGTCGAGATTTTGGAAATTTTCCAGGACCTCGTTTACATATTATGCTTTGGGATTATGGTGCAGCTACACTTTGAGGGCACTTCCACGGTAACTATTCCCGCGCAGAACCAGCTCGTATGTCAAGGCCCATGCGGGACATACACTGCAGATGAATAACTAGGACAGGACAGCCAAGTAGTGGGGCATGCAGTTACCGATAGAAGAGAAAGCAATTACATCCCATAAATTAAACATTTGCATGCTAAGCTGTGTCACCCGAGCCCTTGCTGCTCACTTACAGTGGTCATTATAATGACGTCCCGTCAAATTCTTAAGTACTTATTGCGTGGGCCGGACAATCGAAGGCATGCGATCATGAAATGATCCTGACCATGTATTTGCACCTAGCAATATTACAACAACGCCATATCCTGAGAGAACGGCTCCCAGCCAAGGGAAAATTACACAACTTGATTTTCAAACAACTGCGCTTCATGGGGTCATATTCATCTCCTGGCTGGAGGCAGTTAGACATCGCCGTTGTTGGTGGCGGGATAGGAGGAATGTCTGCGGCGACCGGCCTGCGCCGTGCCGGCCATAAGGTTTCGATTTACGAACGTGCCGATTTCCTTGGTCAAGCCGGTGCTTCTATTTCCTGTGCAGCGAACGGTACGCGCTGGCTACACGAGTGGGGCGTAGATGTGGCTAAAGGCGATGGGGTCATCCTTCAAAAGCTCATCAGCCGCGATTGGACGACGGGCAAGATCCTGACAGAGTATGGAATGGATGACTACGAGGAACGATGGGGGTATGTGTACTACATGTTTCAGCGGCAGTGTATGCACACAATGTTGAAGGATTCTGCATTGGGGGAGGGTGAAGGAGTGCCCGCGAAACTCTTCATGAATCACAAGGTAATGTGTAGAGTCACTATAAGCACACCTACTTGCCCCAGGCCCTTCCGCAGCCGATCTAATCTTTCTTATCAGTGTAAAAACATTGATATCAATACCGGTTTGATTGAGTTTGAGAATGGAGAGGTGGCCAACCATGATCTCATTATCGGCGCGGATGGCATCGGATCCGCCGTTCGTGGTATTCTCGATATCTGGCCTGAGAAGCGACCCGCCGGGTCTAGCTGCCTACATGCAAACGTCCTCACTGAAGATGCGGTCGCCGCTGGTCTTACTGACTTCTCTAAAGATAACGCCCTGCAGTTCTGGGGCGGCCATGGGGAGGCCTGGGACAAGATCGTTCTCTCTCCGTGCCGAGGGGGCAAGTTGCTATCGTACTATTGCTTTTTCCCGCGGGAGAAAGGAGACTACGTGAATCATTCTTGGGGGGAAGCTGACAGGCCAGTGGAAGAGCTGCTCGCCCCGTACCCTCAACTCGATACGCAAGTCCGGGGACATTTGGCCCTTGGCAAAGAAATCCAACCATGGCGTCTATGGATGCAGTGAGTTTAGCCTAACACACAATTGGCCTTTAATCAACGAGGCTGATTGTTCACAGTGAACCATATCCATATATTGCAAGAAACATGGTCTGCTTGCTAGGTGATGCAGCTCACCCAGTATGTCACAGTGGAATCATCCGGGTTAGTGGGATCAAATATCAAAACTGACAGACATTCAGATGATGCCTCACCAAAGCCAAGCAGCCTGTATGGCAATCGAAGACGCAGCTGCCTTGGGCATTATTTTTAGCAAGAAATGTTTCACGGGAGATGTGTTTGAGTCACTATCTACCTATGAGTCAGTTCGTCTCCCGAGGGCAACCAAGGTTCAGGCAGCAGCGGCGAGAGCCTCACACAATATCAACGAGCGAATCGGTAAGTTAAAAGCACTCTAGGAACCCCAATGCATGCACATTAACGTCCATGTAGGATTCTCCAGCAACATTCACAATCCAGTTTACGTGGTGAAGAGTGAGCAGGGGAAATTGACAATTGAAGAGATGAATGCGTGAGTCGACAACCCTTTAAAGCGCTCTAGTCTGATTAGCATCAGTTATAATATGCACATGCACATCGACGAAGTAGTCTCCAGACGCACCGGGGAAGCATACACTCACAAGTACACCCGCGGTCTGCCAATAGGGCTAAAGCTAGCAAACGGATATACCGTTGGAGCTGAAGATTGGTCTTATGACTAGAGTATTCCCGATACGAGCTAGACTTAGTATGCTAATACATTTCTTCTGTTGCCTCTCAAACAACTTTCATGAAAGGACGGCCCGCTACGTTTGAAATATGCCTGGTACTTCGATACGCTCATTCCAAAGCCCGTGAAGAACTTTAGAAGACCGATGATATCAAAGATTCAGCCAATATCTAGATCCTTTCCATGAAAAGAGAACTCAACTATCCATCTACCAGGCGTGGATTTGATATGATCGAGCTTAAGGGGTTTTTAAGAGTTGTCACACTAACTTCTCCGATAATTTTCCAATCTCCCAACAGCTTTTCTATAGCACCAGCATCACCGTTTAACCACGCACAACTATTTTCAATAATTTCGTATAGATATCCTACGCTGAAAAGAACGCCGTCGGCGCCAATTTCGTCAACGACCAGCTTCAGCGTTGCTATTAAGAATTGCCCACTCGTAATGACCCATGTTTTTCTTTTGAAATAGACATATACTGTTCGCAGGAATAGGGGTGTATCACCCTTTTCATTGACAATGAGCTTCTTACCATCCTCAGGCCAGTGATAGATGCGCCAAAGTTCAAACGGTATATGCTCTCCGAAGTATCTAACAATAACTCTGAGTTAAGGAAACTGATCAAATACGCCGTTGGTAATCATGCCCAGCGAATAAAGACTGACTCAATTGGCAAATAAAAGAGGGGGTTCAAAGAGGTGTTTTCCCTTCTCATAAACTTCGTCAAAAATAATGTCTGGTGATAGGGAGCCAGGTGGAGGTAGACTGGGATATCAAGCTCTATCAACACGCGCCAGAAAACATCATATTCTGGTTGATCATAAAAGTGATAAGTTTCTCCACAAGGCTCAGACTGCTGAAAGTCATTCAACATTACGCCCTAAACGCCCAATACATTGACAGATTGGCACAGCTCCTGGCCAGATTAGGGAGGGTCATGCATAGCCAGTGCAGCAAAAACCCCAAGCTCAACTGGGTAGCCCTTGACCTTCTCGTGAATCCAATTCTTGCCCTCACTTACGCAGCTTTCGACTTCCACGGGGTCTATGATACCCTTAATTTCGGGTGATATCAATCAGACAACCGTATATCCAATTCCGTGAGCGTCGGATAGGCGTAAGTGCTGATCGTTGATGTTGTAAATCCAGCGCAAATAAAGTTCACGATCAACCGGGTTAATGTACCTGACCGCTAGTGACTTGGATGTGGCCTTCATGCCAGGAAGCTTAAATGCATCCTCCAGAGTAATCTTACCGAATATTGTAACTTCCAGGTATACGCGTATTCCAAAACAAAACAGTTATAGAACTAACTCTTCCCTAATTAGGGGTGTGGTAATTCTGACTCGCCTTCGCGCAATCAAAGGATTGGCTTAGGCGATCTAGATGCAGCTATGACATTCCGAGGTGCTTCACCGACTTTTATAGTGACTTTGTGGTGTTTTCAACCGAGCTTTGCAATGAGCGTACCAAACTTAATGACATCTCACCATCCCGTAGAAACCCGTCAACTTATAGTGGACATTCAGTTACAGCTATACTGTTCCACTGGCTATTATATATCTTAGTAACCCAGTCAGATGTTCTTTACCCGATGATAGCGCGCAAGGCTGTCACTAATAGGTGACGATACAATGGATACCTAGTCAACATTTTTGCTTCAACACAAAGCTTGCTATGCAAGCCTAATCGCCTTTGTGTAACCACGTTTTCGTGTAACCACGTGTTTGTGTAACCACTTATTTGTGTAACCACATGACCTAATCTCGACTCTTGACGTGGCTGGCCGGGGACAGAGCAACTGACCCCTCTTTTGCGACCTATCCAGAATTTAGTCGAACAATCAATTAAAGGCTTTCCTCTACAGGGTGACCATATGCATGAGCAAACATCCATAGTTTGTTTTAATTTAAGTGGAAACGCCGGTGGGGATGTAAATCGGATGTCAACATTCCAAATAGACGGTGTCCTCAAGTGCTTCAAGTGACAATAAAAGTCTCGATTCTAGCCGCACCTAAGCCTCCCTGCAACATAATTGCCTACATCTGAAGCAGTACCTCAGGTCTGTTTACCACACTGTCTCATACTTTGATCGCACCTGGGTGCTTATTTATGAGTAGTATGCAAGCCCAGAGAACAGAGCAAGGCCAATCCCCTGTGGATGTATCTATCGCTACCGAGCCGAATAACATTGAAGCGGTTCCCACGCTACTAAAGGAGATTACACAAGCTTTTGATATCTTAACTACTAGCAAAGAAGGCCGAAAAGACTTACTTGCCAAATGCCGCACCCTGGTTCAAGCCCTGGAGACTCCCCGAGAGACCATGATTTATCACTGTTGGGCACAGGTAAGTGCCACGTTGCCAGTGCTTGGCAGATCTAACTGGATTAACTGCCAGATAGACTGGTGCAATGGCCGGCCTCAATTTCGGTGTGGACTCAGGTTTGTGGACACTCATGGCGCAAAACGGCGACAAGCCACAAAGAGTCGGCGAGTTGGCAGCGAAGCTTGGGGTTGATCATCTACTTCTGAGTGCGTTTCACGTTAACTCATCTGGCCAGTCTAATTAACACCCTACAAGGTCGTCTGATGCGACACCTCAGTGCCATGGGGTATCTCATCGAGATTGGTGTGGACGAGTACAGGTTGACGAATTACACGAGGGCGATGAGCATTCCTGTGATTGGCAATGGCTACCTCGCCATGTAAGCACAAACTCTCAGCCCGAATGCTTTCCATGTAGCTGCTCACCTCCACAGGCTCTCCTGCACAAGTGCAGGTCCCATGAGATTTCACGAGTTCTCCCGAAAGCGAGGTTGGGTGAATCCCACGGATGCCAAAGACACGGCAATGATGTACGCCTACGGAACCAACATGGATACTTTTGCGTGGCAGCAATCTCTGGGTTATGGTACACACTTTAATGACCACCTGAGCGGCTACGCACTTGGCCTTGTGCCTTGGATGGCCCCTAGTTTCTATCCAGTGAAAGAGAGACTGATCGACGGGGCTAATACTGATCCAGAAGCTCCGTTTCTCGTCGATATTGGCGGCAACGTGGGCCATGACTTGGAGCTATTTCACAAATTTTACCCCAGTGTCCCAGGAAAGCTGATCCTTCAAGATTTACCCGTGGTCATAGGCCAAATTCGGAACCTAAATCCGGCTATTCTCCGTATGGAGTACGACTTCCATACGAAACAGCCCGTCGATGGTAAGGCCCCTACGGCACCACAATGTCTTTTTTCTGGAGGCGAAAATACATACTCAAAACCATTAGGCGCCCGAGCATATTATATGCATAATTGTTTGCACGATTGGCCGGACGATGTATGCGAAAGGATTCTTGCGCAAGTCAAAGCTGCCATGAAGACCGGATACAGCAGGCTATTGATTCATGAGCACGTCATACCGGAGACAGGTGCCTACTGGGAAGCCACAGCACTCGACATGGTCATGTTGACACTCCTGTCTGCTCATGAACGCACCCACGCGGCTTGGTATAACCTCATTGAAACGAGGGCAGGCCTTAATATAAATCAGATTTGGAGCGGTGGAAAGGGTTCTCAGAGTCTGATTGAATGTGAACTGCCAATCAATGAAGCAAATTAAGCTTGTCTGGCCTCCCTCTGGCCGTTTAGTTTTTGATGAGTTGGCGGCTTTCTATCAAGTGGGATAATTAGTGTCTGGTTTAATGAAGGTGGAAAATAGGAGTGGGTCGAGTACATTTCAGGGCCAGATCTGAATTCAATGTGGTAACATATGATGCTCCAGATCGGATCAGCTATCTTTTTCACATATTTCATGCATAACTTTGACGTTTGGATTACTAATGGGTAGTAAGAAATTCATCGCTAAAGTTCAATCTAGGCGATTTTTTAATAGGGGAAGATTAGCCTGTCGCCATTACCAAGTATTAGCCCGAGTTTAAGTTAACCCTAGGTGAATTTCGAGTTATTATATTTCGACACATACGTGCAGGCAGCTCAAGCAATATATACTCAAGTAAAAGATCAAGAGACGGAAGATAGCTCGACTATTCAGACGCTCCATTTGCCACTTTCTCGGCATGCTCTATTATATTCTGGGTCTACAAGGCGTTAGCGATTTCAGGGCCATTCAGGGACAAAATTTCCGCACGGTTAAATACTGCTTAAATAGTAGCCCGCTCTATAGTGGTTATTTAATCATCGTAATAATGACAGGATTGCAGCAAGTAAGGTCGATGGATAACCAAGAAGAGAAGAAAAGGCCCGTGACTGGTGTCGTGGAAGATTCAGGAGGTTATTGAGGCACCGCAAGCTCATTTCAGACCCTGATGAAGCTTGGGAGGTGATGGGCTTGAGGTTTTTCACCAATCTCACACTCAAATTGTGCATTCATCTTTCCTTCTAAGACGCTCTTCCTCTCGCAGGCCACACACGCTTTGCACGGTATCACTTCTTCTGCCTTCTCTTCTTCTTAATCTTTCCTTCTAAGACGCTCTTCCTTTCACAGTCCACATACGCTTTGCACGGTATGACTCGTACTGTCGCTTCTTCTTAATCTTTCCTTCTAACACGCTCTTCCTTTCACAGTCCACACACGCTTTGCACGGTATGACTCGTACCGTCGCTTCTTCTTAATCTTTCCTTCTAACACACTCTTCCTTTCACAGTTCACAAACACTTTGAACAGTATGACTTCGACTGGGAAGCACGATTTTACGGGAGACCTGACCCGGTCCGAGTCCAATTTGCGATGGTACAATGCCTACGCGAGTGTCGATCCCAAGATCTACACACAAACGCGCCCTAAAAAGCTCTACGCTTCCAGGGCTGGTCAGTTTTCTCTCCACCGATACCAATCCGGCTTCGACACATATGGGTGCTTCTTGACCTTCAAAGTACGCGATTCGGTCACACCTAAGACGATTGCCTCAATTCCAAACGCATCCCTCGAATTCTCAATGCAAGGCGGATCGGAGAACCCTTATTTCCACCTTTCTCTCAAGCTGAAAGGAGACAAAGAAATTACGAACAACCTCCGAATGGTATGGACAGCATGGGACGGAGAAGGCAATTTGACCGACCGAGTGCCTGCTTTCAATGCGGACACTCGGATTCCGATAACATTGTCGGCAAGACTATCAAGTGTCACGATTTCCAAAACCATACTTGACAATCACATGGCCAATCTGTGTCAGGGTTCGGAGGGTGCCGAAGGATACGTCATCTCTTGGGCATGGACGAAAGGCCCTCATTGCTTCGATCATATGCTTCCGGATAGTGTCCTTCAACGCCTCGATTCCGGACAGAAAAAAAGCGTACACGAGTTCCAGGAACTAGGCCGTATTGGTTGTTCAATAATGGTGACTACCCGTGCTCAAGCACATCTTCTGAAGGATTGGAACGCATTTTCTGCAATGCCGAACCCAACGCCGCCCCCGTACCCTTATTATAACTGCTCCTACATCAAAACCGACGACATTTTTTCGGTTATTGACTATATTCCATCAGTGTCTGATGGAATCATCCAGCTTCACCATCGCAAAAGGCAGTTGGGTTGGCCAAATGCCCCCTCGGGAGACCGCAAGTACGAGTGGGAAATGCAATTGCTGAGTTTCTTTGTCAACGCCCCTCTCACATTCATCAACGAAAGAGAGTATGAGGCTGTGAAGATGATCGGCCTGCTTCGGGAGCGGTACAAGAAGAGGCATACCTACACCAGTTTAACCGGACATACGAACTTGAGCTGATTCCTATGCCCGGATCACACACAAAGCAAGGCGAGCCTTCGGATTATTACTGCGCTGTTCTAGAGGTAAAGGCAGCACACAACGAGGATATCGATTTGGAGCAAATTCTTCCTCTCCCAGAACCTGGAACATCCGTCGAAATCGAGCCTTGTGAGACAATTTCACCGGATATGAGAGGCTCTTTGAAGAGTCGAAAGTGGATAGGAAAGGTCATATCGAGCTCCGTACTTGAGCGCGAGAAGAAGCCCCCGCTCACCTCAATTTGCATTCAAATCAAAAGGGCCCAGGATCGAGATTTCATTGGACGGGTTCTGAGGCTCGAAGCTCATGTTCGATTTGAATACCCACAAGCGGCAATCGTCCCAGCGCGCAAGGCGATCAGATACGCAATGTACGGGAATGATCACCTCCAAATCCCAAGAGAAAACAAGATGAAGCAGCTTTTGTTGGGCAACGAAAATACAAACATCGAGCATTTTATGCCGTCTCAGCCAGAAATCGACCACCAAGTCGAGATCTTTTTACGGTCTCAGAAAACTCTGAATACCCAACAGATTCGGGCGGTCCGCTCTGCCTTCAACTTCGGTACCACTTTTCGAAGTTTCATGGGGCTGATTGAGGCACCACCTGGCACAGGCAAGACGCAGATTTCAGCAGTCATTGCTAAGTTTTGTTTCAAACACAACAAGCCTCTTTTGATTGTGTGCGGATACAACTACGGTTTGGATGTGATTGCAAACCGCATTCGGGAGGTGCTGAACATTAATGACCCTACCGGTATCGGTTTCTACCGACTGGACACTGACTTCGGAGAGACTCCTGAGGTGGAAGGTGACGAGGGAACTGACGCAACTCGTCCAAATCCCAGGTCGTGTCCTGGATTTCAGGAGGCCGAAAAGGAGCTCCGAAAGCGTGGGATTTCCGACCACCTTTACACGGCCTTGACATCAGCAATCAATGCAATGACCGCTCCCGGTAGAGGCTCATCTCTCGGGCGCCAAATCTTGTCGCGCATCAACGAAGCTGTCAGTTCCGGGCGCCTCAGGCAGGCCAAACTAGACAAAGAATCACAGTTGATGCTGGAATTCCTCACATTCCAGGAACTACTGCGTCGAGAGGGAATGACTTCTTTCGAGCCAGCGGACTACGGGAATGCTCTGGCTGAAAAGGTACATGGCCGTGAGCGAGAAGGCGATGAAGACGATCGACAATGTCTCCATCAGATGATTGTGCAAAATTACCAAAAATGGTGGCTCGCTCTGCAGGAGTTCTACTTGAGCCGAGCCAAGGTGGTTCTTTGCACGGCCTCCACCACCGGACGGAAGTCTCTACGGACATTCAAACCCGAGATTGTCCTCATTGAAGAGGCCTCGCAGATCATAGAGACAACATGCCTCATTGCAATCATGAGGAATTACTCAAAGCTGCAAAAGGTCCTTCTGAGTGGCGACAGGCAGCAACTCCCGCCGACTGTGATTTCGGCGGGCAAAAATGAATGCTTTCCCTCGCACAGGATGTCCCTGTTCGAGCGCATGCTTCAAACCGGGGTTCCAACCGTCCAACTGAGTACCCAATATCGGATGGCGCAGAACATCTGCGACTTCGTCAGTACTGAGTATTATCATGGGAGGCTGGAAACCCACCCTTCCTGTGTTGACAGGCTAAAGGCACTACAGTTTGCAAAATTCATGACTGAAACCTTCGTTCAAATTGAACGTGGTACCTCCTACTTTGTGTCAGTCAACAACTCAACTCTCTGGAAACAGAAGAATGGCACTTCTGTGTTTAACCCTGATTACATTCAATTCATCGGTCAGCTTGTCGAAAAGCTTATGTTGAAGAATTTCTTGCAACAAGACATCCTCATCCTTTCCTTTTACAGCGAGGAAAGGAACCTCCTAGACAAGCTGATCCGCCTGAACTTAGGGTACAGAAAAATTCGCATCTCTAGTGTAGATGCTGCCCAAGGATCGGAAAGCCCGTTTCATCGTGTCAACCACTCGGCCAGGGAAGCCGTGGGGAATGGGGTTCATTAACAACCTTCCCCGACAATGTGTGAGCCTTAGCCGCGCACAAGATGGACTCATCGTCGTGGGTCATCAGCTCATGGGTATGATCGACAAGGGAGATGTACAGGCACCTGGAGGCTTGGGGTCTCAGGCTTGGCACAGGCTGGTGAGAAAGCATGAAGCTGACAAGCGCATCATTAACTTCAACTCTCGTGGCCATGCCTGGTTGAAGGAAAAAATCGGTGCCCCCAATGAAAATCAATATGTGGTCGCCCCGCATCGATGAAGTGTCAGAAAACGGAATATGGACGAGAAGGGGAAAGAGGGGAAAGGCGGATCGGACCTATGCCTGTAAGAGCGGGGAATCAAGTTGAATGATCAGAATGGTGAGAAGCATGAAGCTTGGAGCTGTACATAGAGCTACACGAGAGGGAGTGGGGACAGTACTTGGACCAAATTCCCTATTGTTCCAGAGAAAGCGATTTACTGGATAGCAATATCTAGCTTTTTGGCAAGACTAGGACTACTCTTCAGCCACAGATGACTCGTTTTCACAAAGAGTACTGCTCATTTCATCAGCCTCTTCGTATCTCTCCTCCAGCAGCAGGCTTCCAGCAGCAGGGCGACAGGCTCCTCGCGTTTCTTCCCTATTGCCTCATTAGGGAGGCTCGTCCGAGCGTCTTCAAGTAGGATAGAGGCTACTCTATCTAAGGCCTGTAGAGATCGGTAGCACTTCGGTTGGTCTAGAACATATTTATTAGCGATAAAAAGAGCACTAAGGGAATTTGTAGACAATACCAAGACCATTCACATTATCCGGGGTAAGGCCATATAGAACACGGAAACTTTGCCATTCGGTGCTGGTTTCCCTATAGCGCTCAGTGACTACCATAGCATCGGATCGCACATCACCACCGTAGATAATATCCTTGTTTATTCTGCGGATTTTCTGGCGTTCTATGTCTTTGCCAAACGCATCTCGCACCCATGTGGAAACAGCCTCTTGCCGGAGATCCAGATGGCTCTGGCGATGGGATTCGAGTTTCTTGATCTGATCCTGATGGCTCTGGAAAGCGTAAGAGATAGTGTGGCTTAGCTGAAATATAGGGTGAATGATTATTTACTTGTATTACCAAAAATACGTGGCGATCGGGTCCCTATGAACAAGGTCGGGTTTCATGGCTGCAGTGTTTTGGACCCGGCCACGGATCTACCGCGCCCAGCGATCCAACGAGGAGATCGAATTCATGTGGCCCCCTCCGGCCCCCGAGATATAGCGCAGATCTTTACGCCCCCGCGGTCTAGCACAGTAACGCCCTTCAGACCCCTAAGACCGCGCTAGTGTAACATTTCTTAAATATCGCAATGTGCCCGACTACACGGAAACTTACTCAACGGTCTCTATCATCATGATGGCCAGACTCAACAACCTTTGGCAAAGGGTCTCATTTTGTCTAGTGATCCAAGCTAGTACGCTGCCAGCTACGCTAGCTGCACAATGCTACTTCACTGATGGGACAGAGGCAACGAACGAAATGCAACCTTGTTTTCCAGAAAGGGCTAATAGTGCTTGCTGCTCTATCAACAAAACAGGAAATCAAACAAACGATATCTGCACTTCGACGGGACTCTGCTTAGCGCAGGTCAGCCCTTACACGGGGTTTTTCATTCTTAACGCATGTACGGATGAATCGTGGAGCCCTTCTTGCCCTCAACTGAACAAAACGCTTTGTCCTGTTGGTATGAATTTTTCGCAAAGTATGGACTTCAGAGAGCACTCTAATCTGACGACTTCAAGGGACAACCATAAAGGAATCCTCCGGTATTCATGTCTTACCATGTCCCAAAGTTGAAGGTGGTTTGAACCACTGATGCTGCAGCTCCGATGGCAGCGATTGTTGCGATAAAGCCTTCCTACTGGACGTGGGGACCTTGATACTCTCCAATGCGTCTTCTCGCAATGTCTCCTCCTCCACTACCCAGGCGTTGACCACCATTACGGCAACAGCCAGTCCTGGCAGCGTAAGTGGCAAAGGCTCAAAATCAGATCCGAATACCGCCACGATCGGTATTGGAGTGGGGTTAGGTGCTTGTCTTGCAGGGATGATCGGCGCCGTGATCTTTCAAAGACGAGTCTATCAGAAGAGACTACGAGAGCTCGAAGGATTAAAAGCACCCCCTACCTTTAACAACTGCACTCATGAACATCTGCCTGTGCATCCAACGGAGCTGCCAAACAATTCCAGACCTTTGTTGTTCGAGTTAGGGGGAAATAGTCAGTCACCACAATAATGGTTTGATTCAAAGCTCGTGGACTAATGCGAACTTGTGCCTCTTTGGGAATATATTTAATAATACCCATGGATTCTTTTCCGCAATTCTCTCATAGTTGGTCCACTGGCTAGCCGGGTCGCTAGATGGAAGCTGACTCGCATCAGCGTCGGTGGATAACAGCGTCAGGATTTGGGGTCTGTCACCGGCCAGTGCACGCCAACCATCGAAGGGCATAGTGAGTGAGTCAACTCGATCGCCTGGTCGCTAGATGGAAGCTAACTCGCATCAGCATCCTACGATAAGACCGTCAGAATCTGGGATTTGGTCACCGGCCACTGCGCGTTTATTCTCGATAATCAGTCCGCTCACTTTCTCTAATATGATAATGTCACGCCTAATTACCTTCACAAAGATGACTGTCTCTTTTGAATTTATTGAACCTTTATCTAGCCATTCATCATTAATAAGCATGCTATTATTCACAGCTGGCCGGATGGTGTAGTTGGTTATCACGTATCGTTAACACCGATAAGGTCCTGGGATCGAGCCCCAGTCTGGTCATATTTTTTGTATTTTTTGCCTATTTTGCCCCACTCAAAGTTCAGAATTCCTTTCTCTTCTTGGTAGGGACGTCATGAGTGTTTGTCGCGACGAGGCTGCTGTACGACCTATTAAAACGATTCGAGCGTTCCACATTACTCTGGAAAACGCATGAACGATATCGATAAAGTCATTTCTTGATTTCTACCGGATCTTGGAAGTCACGCATGGTTGAGAATAAAGAGCTGTTATGGGATTTGAGAAGAAGTAAAACAGAAGATTGGATCGGAATCAACAGGAATGTAGCTCTGGGCCCTTTTGACTACTGTAGCGTCGAGGTGTTGTATCGCATACTGGCGCCCCACTTGCCACTTACGGGGGAAGTTAGTTTGAGCGATTCCGGGGGACGGAACGTGCCTCCGCTTTCACATGGATTCTGTCCCCTTATTTTATTCAGGATACTTCGTCGGATACCTAGAACCCTATCAGGAGGAATGAATTGGTTATACCCTTCTGTTCTGTAACGAGTCGTACGGCCATTGCAGCGACAGAGGAATAGCGAGGAGAGAGGGTTCACATTAGGTATAAGCTACCAGGATGATAAACGCAATGCATCGCTAAGCATAGCGATTATGAGCAATGGAGTTAAATGGATGGGCGTGGGCACGGACACCTACGAGAGATATATGCTTGCGGCTGACTGATCTTACTGGTTCTACCGCCAGTCTACCGCTGCTTAAGACCCCTGCGGAGATGAAGACGCGATGAGACTCCGCATGTCCCACGGATAGGCGGAGACCCTTGATTATTCACGATTCAATTTTCTCTCTCTAACAAATGATCAAATTCATACTTGTAAGGTGGTATTCCTACAGTATAGTGGTTATTAGGACCCACTTCAATACGCGGAAAAATAAGCGAGGGAAACTGATCCAACGGACTGTACCTTCCGTAATAATAGACTGCCACTTAACTAACACTTAGTGTGCAACTCCTATACGGTCGCCACATACTACAACCTTAAAACGGCCAGCCCCGTCAAGAGACGGGCTGAGATATTTAGTTGGCACAACTCCCCCTCACTAAGCAAGGCCCACCCAAGGAAAGACCTTGAAAGACTGAGTCTGTTCAGCTGCCCAATATTTCTCCATAATCAATCAGCAATGGGCGATGCAGGAGCATTTATACCGATTGGCTGGACTGGCCTCACAGGCTTGGAAACCCACGTCTCCAGAGAGCAAGAATTACGAAGCAGCGGACCCGGAATAGGGGCTCCAGCTCCTGCGCATCTCACGCGAACATTATACCTCCCCCACCATGATGAGAGCACATCGCACTTTCCCGTATTTGACGTCAGTGCCCAGTATACGGAAAGTATCAAGCAGCGTGCGATGGGGACGGCCTCATACGTGGTTGCCTTAGGACGAATGCCTAGACCGCAAGCAACTGACGGTGGCCCTGCAACCGTCGTGTACAATGTCAACCTGGAAGATGCGATGGAAAATAATGCGGAGGGCTTGAACTTGACATCAGTAGCCCCATCTCCATCAGCTCAATCACCTGTTCCGGCAAATGTGTATGTTGATAGCCCTCTCCCTCGCGGTATAACTGGCTAATCGAAGCAAACAGTACCATTGAATCCGCTGAGGACAAAGCCGCCATGTTCACAATGAAGCGGCAAGCGGAGGATGCAGTCGAATCCACAGAAAACACCCCAATACCGGTATCGATATCGTATCCCATTCCACCAACAACCTTCAGAAAGAAAGTCTACGTGTACCCCTACTTCACTTTCCAGATCCCCGGGGAAGTTGACGCATCATTTGAATGGCAAATTCACCCGGTCTCGCATGGACGCTTGCGATATACTCTTGTTCGCGTCCCACAGACGCAATCGACCGTCGGTTCTGCAACTCCTACCGTCCCTTCAGATAGAGATATGCTTGCCATATATCACCATGTCGGGGACACGATCTCATTTCCACTGCCATTCAGTGAGGGTGTTCTTCTACTCTCCTCTGACATGAACCCAGAAACTGAGGCCATCGTGGTTGCGAGTGCTCTTGGGTTTCTCTGGCAGCTTCGTCGGCTTAGCAACCCAGCTGGACCCAACGGCAAGACTTCCAAGAAAGGACCATTCGGATTTATTAAAGGCCTTCTTGACAGAGAATAAGTAAGAAGGGCCTAGCATCGCTGGATTTAGTACCCTAATAGGAAATGAAGGGGGAAAACAGTATAGAGGATGAACGCCATCGAGAAATAACAATACTTCTTCTATACCGCCCCCATATGGACATGTCCTGTCAAAAGATAGAGGGTGGTCGCGATCAGATTAGTACTCAAAGAACATGAATACGAGCATCCTCTCTGCAAGCCCCTTTACCCTGTACCAAGTTTTCGGTACTCTTTTCAGTACTCTTTTCACGCAGTTGGAGAGGGCAGGATATGAGAGGAGATGCGGGGCTAGCAGGGTGATAGACTGAGGGGAAGAACAAGCAGAAATGAGAAGGACACAGAGGACCAAGAAAGTTCCAAACAAAGTGCTGCCTCTTTGCAGGTTTCTCGCATTCCCGAAATTGATCATCTCCCTTCACTCTGCATTTATCTCATACTTAGTCCAGTGTCACGTTGAGTCTAACCAGACCAGGTGCAATATTATTACCAACGCCTGCCCTTGTAGAGATTCTCTTGTGTGTAGGCATTATCGACCACTGAAGTAGGGGCAGTAATTGATGAACAGGTCTGAGTTAGGCCATTGTATATTGTCATTCCCTGAACATCCAATCTCGCGTTTGTGCGATGATGGCAGAGATATCAAAACCTAACCATTCGCGATTTATTGTGTAGGGATACCCGCTGAACTTAGGCATATGTACAAAAACCGCGAAAAGTTAAAGCGGCGATAAGAGGGGACTTTATAGAAACACGCGCGGGGGGCCGCGAAGAGAGACCGGAAATCGGAACGCTAACCCGTAGCGTAACTCAACCCGTCACTGCGGGACACTTGCTGCTCGTGATAACCAACTACACCGCCCGACCGCTAATGGGTAAGGTCTTATGGCTTAGATTTATGGAATTGTAATATTTAAAATTAGTTCGACGCCGAATTCTCCATAGGTTCTCAAGACAAGAGGACAAGGTTTCCAATTAGAGCTCAGCTTTTTCTTTGGTACCCCCAACAATCACTGACACGGAAAGACCGAACTTCCCATCTACGTAACTATTAGTCATGGTAAGGCTGACGAAGAACACTGAAAACGTCTCTGCGCTGTATATATGTATCCGTATTCGCCAGAGAGGGAATTTCTAACCTTACCTCATGATTACCGACAGCCTACGTAAACACTTCAACTAGGTAGGCTCATCCCCACGCTTTCAATAGCCTCAACTACGGACACTTCGACTTTAGTATTATTCAATACTCAGCCATGGCCTCGTCTAATCGGCCAGCGCACCTTCTGAAACAATGGTTCCCGCACACGAGGACCCCATTCATCGCCAATGCACCGATGCTTGGATTCACGGATTGCCACCTGGCAGGTGCAGTCACAAGAGCCGGCGGTTTCGGTATGTCTGCTGCCTTTGGAAAGCTCACCAGAGAAGAACTATTTGATCGGGCTGGTGTCAGCCGGATTACAGCGGCTCGAATGATCAGCAGGTTACACCGGGATGTCGAATAAACTGACGAAACTATAGGATTCATCGGAGGTGGCTTTGATTTTGGACCCAAGTCAACCCAGCTCAGGGATCTAGATACATGCCTAGCACAAACACGTGCTGAGCTGGGGACCCTTGCTTCGATGCAAACACTCCCTGTTGGTATCGGGTTCATCACATTCACACCAGTGGGATTCGAAGACAATGCTGTTGCAATCCTGGAGAAGCACCGAGTTGCCGCGGTCTGGCTAGCATTCCCCAAATCTGGCGCAGACCACAAGAGTCTTATAGAGGCAATTCGCAAGGCACAGACGAAGAGTGATTGGGATGTTAAGATCTTTGTTCAAGTGGGTACTGTACATGCAGCCAGACAGGCCTTGGAGCAGGGTGCAGATGTTCTCGTTGTTCAGGGTGTGGATGCCGGAGGGCACCAGTGGGCTCAAGGAGCTAGTCTGATCTCGCTTTTGCCCGAGGTGCGAAATGCTGTGGCGGAGAGTGCAAGAGCAAAACAAACTGCGATTCTGGCCGCTGGTGGTATTGCAGACGGCCGAGGATGTGTGGCTGCTCTCGGATTAGGTGGGTGGCATACCCCCAGAACCATGACGGTGACGAACTGACGAAGTACTCAACAGGCGCCGATGGGATTGTCATGGGCACGAGGGTAAGACCATTCTGGAATCGACTCTGAATAGAAAGCTGATATTCTTTTAGTTTATTAATACATTGGAATGCCCGGCTCCCCTATCCATGAAAGAGTCGATCATCGCTGCCAGCGACGGTGGGGTTTCGACCATTAAGTCAACTAGCCACGACGTCTTCCAGTCTACCGATGTCTTTCCTCGACAGTATGACGGACGGGCTGTGATTGGGATTAGCTATCATGAGTCCCAGAGTGGTGCTAGCGATGAAGAGGTTATTCGAAGATATAATGAGGCCAAGGATAAGGGAGAAGATCATAGACGCACGGTGTGGGCGTAAGTGTTTATCCCCTTTGTTTGAAATTTTGTATGAAATACAGACTGACGAATGCTACGAATTCTACAGAGGCGCCAGTGTGGGTATTATTGACAACGTTGTGTCGGTTGATGTATTGCTCAAAAGCATCCGTCATGAGGCCAAACTGGCCATTGAAAGTGTCATGGAACGGATCTAGATTGATAACTCATGCAATTCAGATCAGCAACGGCAGTGGTAAGCTTTCTTGGCAGAGGTACAGAGTTGAAGATTTATTTCATCCTTATAATCTCTGCTTTACTACTAGATTTTTGACTTGTTGTCCTCGTAAGTGTAAGGCGAGAGCTTTTGAAGGATGTTGTAAATTCCAGTAATAAGCACGCTATTGAAATTCCCGACAAACACAGCATATACCAAGGGCTCGAGCAACAAGATTGAAGAAAAGAATCGGACTATTCGCAGGCTTGGAATTCAGAATGAATCCTAGAATTTGAACAAATCAGAGGCGCAGCCTGACGAAGTTATCGGCAGCCACTGCGGAGGCCCCAATCAGGCAAGGTCCCCCCCCCTCCCCTTCCACACCCCCCCCTCTCTTTACCTCATTCCCAAAACTAGCAGCTCCTCCCCCTTCGACACTGCTCCCTTCGTTTCCGTGCTCCGTGGGAACCCCGTTTCACTCGGGGCATTCACAATTAGCAGACGCGTCTGGCTCTCCACCCCAACACTGGGGGTTTGGTGTTCGCTTGCGAGGCGCCGGCCGCAACCCACTCCGCACCGCTGGAGAATTTCCCCAGCAGGTCGGCCGCGATTCAGTCTCGACTGTCCCATCGTTAGACCCTACCCCTCGATCGCTACGCCCTTCAATACCCCGAAAATACCATACTCGACTGCCTCCGAGCACCGGTCCACCTCGATGAACGAGACCACGCCTTCACCCAGCCCGGCCCCCGGGCCGAAAGCGTCCCCTCGCTCGAAGCCGTCGCCCTCGCCGACCGCCGGCACCAAGCGCAAGAGAACCACCGGTACCAAATTCTATGCCGTTAAGAAGGGGACCAAGCCTGGCATTTACTACAGCTGGAATGACTGCCTGGCTCAAATCACGGGTTTCAAGGGAGCTATCTGTGAGTGGCCAGCAACCCGTGAACCGCGAGCTCTGCGACGTGTCCTGCTTGTGGCTCGAGGCTAATATCGCATGTCTGCTATATAGTTCAATCGTTCCTCACCTTCGAAGATGCCAGCGCATTTGTATCCGGCGTCAAGCTCCCGTCTGCGGGCGCTTCCGCACAAGGCGTAGAGAACACACGCTTTTACGGAATCCAACGAGGTCGCGTCCCGGGCGTGTATACAGACTGGACTACAGCACAAGAGCAGATCCGCGGCTTCACACGACCCCGGTACCGGAAGTTCCCGACGCGCGAAGAAGCGGAAGAATTTGTGAATGCAGGAAAGGAAGGAGGGCTACCTCCTGTTGGATTTGGAGCTCCTGGGATGACTACCGAGAACCCCAAGGATGCAGATGGTGTCGAATTCGCACCTGGTGATGGGCCGCTACCGCAAGGCGTGGAGGACGGCTTCGATCCAAATGTTATGTTAGATCCGGCCACGGGCAAGGTGGTGTACAAGACAAGTACCAAAAAGGCGGCCACTAAAACACAGCCTTCCGGGATTCCGGGCATGCTGCGGATATACACAGACGGCAGTTCATTGCGAAATGGTACCAAGCTGGCCTCGGCTGGGGTCGGTGTATATTTTGGACCCGGAGACTCAAGGTTTGTTTGCCCTTCCATGCCCTCTCAACTGAAACCTGGCTAGTCCGTCTGACTCACGTTTGGCTACCCTAGTAGGAATGTTTCGGAGCCATTGAAGGGAAGCCGGCAGACCAACCAGCGCGCCGAATTGACCGCCATTCTGCGAGCCATCGATATTGCGCCTCGCCATCGCGATGTTACAATCTTCACCGACAGCCGCTATGCGATTGACTGCGTGACTGTGTGGTTCGTCAATTGGCGCCGCAATGACTGGATGACGAAGGACAATAAGCCGGTTGAGAACCGCGATTTGATCGAGTCGATTTTGGTGAAGATTGAGGAACGCCAAGAACTCAAAGTGAAGACATTGTTCCAGTGGATCAAGGGACACAATCGCGATCCTGGCAATGAGGCAGCCGATCGTCTAGCGGTCAATGGAGCCCACGAAGGCGTAAAGCAAAAGGCGGAGGCATTGGAAGTTAGTCGGAGGGTGCCCGCACAGGTATTCGACGAAGATTTTTGATCATCTCCAATTGATTAAGCTATGATAAACATGAATAATGCCCGGGATTCATTGTAGCTAGTCCATGGTTGTTTATGGGTGTTTTATTCACAAAAGCCTTCTACCTGGGCTCCTATTTTGAGCATTCCTCCAGTTCCTCTTCCGAAATGTCCTTTTAGATCCTTGCTCAGGCGAGTAGACCAGATGCCAATTCACAATCCCTGGATAGTATGCAAACCACGACCGACTGTAACCATCCGGGATGGAGCGGCGCGGGCCAAGACCGCCCGAAGCGCCCTCCGACTCCGCGGCGAATTTCTCCCTCCTCCACACCTGCAATCGGCACCCTCGACCTCCATCTCCGACCTCCAGTTCGACGTAATTCACAAGCTTGATAGTACAAAACAACAGGCGAACCCTCACCGTGGCTCTCTCTTCTTGGCAGTTTCTTCTATCTTTCCACATGATCGCCTTGCGTCGCATTCAGGATATCAAGACTATGATTGCCTAACATTCGCTTTCACCCCCACTGTCACAATTTTTCCCGTTGAGGCAGTTTGAAGCAGGCCAAGCACGGATCATTCTCGACCTGCCGTCATTATCATTATTGTTGACTCGGGCGATTCATATCGACCGATTCGATCCCCAAATCTCGATTAATCTCGCCGCTTCCAGTGGCTGCTAATCGTGGGGACCCCCGCTGCCGAGCATAAGCCAAGAGCGAGATGCCGACCCTCGCACTGATCAACTTCAACATCGTCTGTGCGACACTCGGAGGCTTTGTTTCCCTCTTTGGCCTGGTATCCTACCTGTGCAAGGAGCGGTTTTATCTGTCCGAAGCCCGTAAGTGATTGATTTGATCTGAATTGTCGTATCTGTTTATCTCGCGATTGGCGGGTTCTGACTCACGCTTAGTGATCTCGCTGCTGGCGGGAGTTGCCTTCTCCCCCCACGCCGCCAATTTCATACGCCCGGATGACTATGCCTTGCACTCGGAGCAGAATCTGGAGGCCATCACCCTGCACTTCACCCGCCTAGTTCTGGGTGTGCAGCTGGTTCTAGCAGGCGTGCAGCTCCCCAAGCGCTATCTCCAGATCGAATGGCGGAGCTTGGCGCTTCTGCTGGGACCGGGGATGGCTGCGATGTGGCTATGTAGTAGTCTGATCATTTGGGCTATGGTGCCCAACTTTAAGTTCCTGCATGCGCTGATCGTGGCCGCCTGTGTGACGCCTACCGACCCTGTTCTGTCCAACTCTATCGTTAAGGGCAAGTTTGCGGACAAGCATGTCCCGCGCCCGCTACAGCGGATCATTGTGGCCGAGTCTGGTGCCAATGATGGCCTGGGATATCCCTTCCTCTTCTTTGGCATTTATCTGCTCAAGTATGTGGGAATGCACGGCGAAGGCTACAGTGGATGGGCAGGGAAGGCTATGGGGCAGTGGTTCCTTGAGACCTGGCTGTATACCATCGTTTTGAGTGTTATTTACGGCACTGTGGTCGGTTACCTGTCGCGGAAGCTCCTACACTGGGCAGAAGAGAAGCGTTATGTTGACCGCGAGAGTTTCCTGGTGTTCGCTATTGCGCTTGCGGTAAGATTTTGCATTTGCATTTGGTGCTATATGTTCTGACTGATCCTGAAAATAGCTCTTTATCGTGGGGACTTGCGGTCTTATCGGTACTGATGACCTTCTCGCATGCTTTATTGCGGGAAATGTATTTACGCAGGAGTAAGTTACTCCTACAGAGATGAGGAGTGGAAAGAGCTGACAAACCTAGTGACTGGTTCCGCCTTGAAACCATGGACGACTCGCTTCAGCCGACTATTGATATGCTTCTCAACCTGGCTGTCTTTATGTGGTTTGGCGCCGTCTGCCCATGGTCATCCTTCCTCAATAACGACATCATCCCGATATACCGCCTCATTTTCCTGGGAGTTCTCATTCTGTTGGTTCGCCGGATGCCTATCATTTTTGCAATGCACAAGTACATCCATCAAATCGAGCATATCTCCCATGCAGCATTCGTCGGATTCTTTGGTCCAATTGGTGTTGGTGCCATTTTCTACCTTTCTATCAGCCGAGAATTTCTCCGAGAGATTACGGTCGACGGCAAGGTGCGAGAGGATGCACAGCAAGTCATGGACGCGGTCAATGTCATAGTGTGGTTCTTGGTGATCTGTAGTATTGTGAGTTCTCAAAACAGATCATATCCTCCGGAATGACCTTCTGACACGCCCTAGGTTGTACACGGACTGTCAGTCCCCGTTGGCAAGGCCGGCTATAACCTTCCACGCACTATCTCCAGTGTCATCAGCACTAGTACTGTTAATGAGCCTGAGCCGGTGCCCATCTCGAGCATTCGCCACACACACAGCACCGCGACTCCTCATGGAGATTCTGCAGGCCCAAGCCACCGGTCTCGCAAGCGTGGTGCGCAGCGTGGATCGCCACGTCCGCCATTGTTCCGCGTTGGCCGTACGGTCATTCGCCCGCGTTCGCCTAACAGCCAGCCCGGTATGGGTTCCACTGACGAGCCTGAACGACCCGTCAACCTGGTTCTTCAAGAGAGAGACGTTGGTGTAAATGAAAATGGCGAGAACTCATCCAGCGCCTGATTACTCAAGGTGCCAGTACGGGGGTAGGAATACCCTACACAACGTTCTCCGGCTTGGGTTTAATGCTCTCTCTATCTACGTACCTGGTAGCATGAGAAGACCACCCTTCTACCTTCTTGCATAGAGCGAACCTTTCCTTCTCTTCTCAGTCATCATATTTTCTCCTCTCAGTATCATTTTGCGGGGCTGTGGATGGTTTGGTGACTCGGGATACCCGTAGATATACTGCCTATCGTCTCTGTGAATACAACATAGCATTGTTTCTTTCCCGTGCTTTCAAGACTATGCATTCTACCCAGTCTGTACATAGATACATATAGGTACATGCAGAAAAGACGGTCCAGGACTTCTTAATCAAGTCCACAATGACCTTGCCGTAATGTTGCCCACTCGGGAAACAGTGGTTAGCATCTTTGAGATATCTGAAACAGGAAGTTTTTGCATCAAGTTGAGGCTTTAGGGTTTCAGTTTCGATCGTAGCATTCACATCTTCGAGTTTGTGTTGACCCTCCACTACGATTGGCCTAACAATTTAAAATTCTGTGGGCTCTGTTTGATTGCAAAAAAGGATTTCCAAAGTGGCCTGTAGTAGATATATGGAATCAATGAGATGGCTGCTGCCACATTATGTTTAGAATCTAGCCTTATTCCCCTCTACCCATTGCTGGAACGGCATCGGAGGCTTGCCGGTATACTTCTGGACGTTACCAGCAGCCTCCCCTGCAGCCGCATATCTAAATTCATAGCCCGCATCGTCCGTGATATATTTAATATACCAGTTTGCAAAGGCCTCTGGGTTTGTGCTCTTCATGTTTGCCAAAGCCTCCTCTCGTGGAATCTTGGTCACCTTGATATTCTTCCCCAAGACACCGGAGACCGTAGCTATAGCATTCTGAAGTGTCATCTGCTCTGCGCCCAGCAGCCAAACTGGGTTTTCCTTTACACCATGTGCCAGGATCATTCCACACACTCCGCCGATGTCCTCTGGTGCGATCCAATCGTACTCGGCACCTGGATTAGGATGGTGGACTTCTCCCGCTTGAATGCCCTGCTTAAGCCATACGATGTTACTCGCAAAATATGCTGGCCTCACAGCAGCAAATCGGTCTTTGCCAAAGACCTTCTCGAGCGAGATCTCGACCTGAGAAGGGAACCACGCGGCGTATTCCTCCGGTGTCCTATCGTGAGGGCTGTCACCCACTGTGTAGCTGCTTAGCAGCACAACCGATTCGATGCCCGCTTCCTTCAGAGCCACGATGCTATCATGCATGCCAGTACCGCCGGCTTCACCAAAAAGTGCGTAGATAAATGCGACCTTGGCGCTGCTCTGGTGAACTGCGGCGGAGATAGTGTCGGGTTTCGAGAGGTCCGCTTGAATCCTTTCCGCAGAGATACCGCTTAATCGAGGAATAGGCTTTGAGGGGTCGCGCATGGCAAGGGTGACCTTTGCACCCTGTTGATAGGCTGTTAATGCAGCGGCGGAGGCAACATCTCCGGTTGGGCCGAACACGATCACGTTAGCAGGCGCTGACATCGTGGGAGAGGGGCTTTGAGACTGAATTTGAGCGAGAGCGATAGAACTGTAGGGTTGTTTTTCACTGTTCAGCTGGAAGATCGATGAGGGATGCGTTTTTGCTCGGAGGTCTAGAGTGGTGAGCAGCTGGGAAGCTAGAAGAGGAAAGTCAGTGAAGTGGGCTGCTCGTACGTTACACAGCAGCTCGGTTGTAGCTCCCTCCGAGCCAGTCGATGTGCCACCAGAAATGGCGCATAATACACATCTGTCTTTAGACTGGAAGGCAATGATAGCTTAGCTATATTTGGGGGATAGAAAGACTCATGACTTTTTCTCATGGGAAAGCAAGTACGAACAATTGCTGTTGTAAAAACCTACAAGCGGGGCAGCTTCACTGAGGGGCCCGAGCCAGCAGTGTACATACAGCGTCAACCCGCTAGATCGGCTTGAAAAACAACCCGGGATTTGTGAGGTTGGGCGGTAGTAGTTACGATCATACTCTGGCTGTCGATGATCGGACTGTTTCTTCAGACTTCGTGGCACTAGCTAGAAGTGAAAATTAGCACGTCTGGTACACATTCTGTGTTCGTTGTATTGATTATTCGTTCCTTTCGCATTATTACATAACTAATAAGCTATAGACAGCTCGAGGAGGAGAAAGTGAGCAAGCATCGCAGTTCTTTTCAAGTTGACCCTGGTTTTGGTAAATACGACTGAGATGTACGATATCGCTCAGAGCCAGTTTAATTGCCCTCTTCATGAGGCTGTGAGGTAAGTGGGAAATGCCTATATTTGTAGATTCACATAATACAAATCGCAATCTGTAGGGATAGGCTTGGACTTGAGCAGGATATGTCGAATTGGAGATAATAGGTGAATACCTGGTTGGAAAGTAGAAGTGAACGAGCATGCTTTGTGTTCATACGCGCGGATTAGAAATATAGATAGAATAAAGTGAAAGATAACGCCAGTGTTCCTTTAAGAGACTCTCTGCAAGACTACGCCGTGATGATGGATATTACATCTAAGTTGCTACAAATTTTTGGTCGATTTATTCACATACCAGCTATTTTACGGCAAGACAAGAGAGAAATAGGTGTTTAAAATTGAGGTCTATCTTATACAGATATCGAACTAACCGTCCGGAAGATCCCGAAACGCCCCAAAAATTATCATCAAGTCTCCACTACAGCTCAAAAGTACTAGTCGGCCTTAATTTTAGCCCAGCCTTCTTGTAGGTTCGATCGATAGCCTCCATCTGCGCAATACTCTCCGCCCCATCCACCCACACGCCGGAGCCCTCACGACCCTTCACCCGATTCACAAACTCTTCCAATTGACAGCGATATGTGGTCCACCAGTCTTGATATATTGAAGCGCGTTTGTCACCCTCGGGCCAATTATACGCCGTCTTATAATTCGTTTCGCTCCAAGTCTTAGCAATGTCATTCTCCTGACGCAGAGTGTGCTGATCACAGATATCGATACGATGGTAGAAAGTTGGAATTATAGGGTTCCAGAGAGTCACAGTCCGCTGCACAAAGTGCTGGAGCGGACTCTTGTTCTCGCGAACCAACGTGTCGACGAGAACAGGCTCGAAAGTGACAGAGCTCTTTGGCCACCGCAAAGACGGCATGTTCCGCGTCCAGGATGCTGGCAGGAAAGAGGGCCGGCCACCTTTGGTCATTTCGTCTCCACTTATGTGGACATTGATCGAGTCTGCCGTGCGGTATTTTGCTTCGATTGCTTCATCAATTTGCAGACTCTCAGATTTCCCGTCTGACCCATGAGCTATTCCACGATATTTTACGTCAATAGGCTCAAGGATTGCCTCACGTCCGATAATCTGGCGAACGCAGGAAAGAGGGTAGGTCCCAACATCCATCATACATCCCCCAGCGAGAGAATACTGGAATCGAATATCATCGACACCCACTATACCCGCCGGAAGAAAGAACCCGGCATAGACATCTTTGATAGCCCCAGGGAACCTGCGGACTTCAGAGAGAAATGTCTGCCAGGCTGGGTGAAATTGATAGTGAAAAGCTTCCAAGAGAACAGGCGCATTCTGAGCAGTCACTAATGGGTGGTTGAACAGCTTTCTGGCCTCAATAGCATTTGAGCACGAAGGCTTTTCTATAAGAACGTGCTTTCCTGCACGGATCGAGCGAAGGGCCCATTCATAGTGCAGGCCATTTGGCAGAGCCACGTAGATCGCGTCAATTGACGGGTCGTTTACAAGAGCTGTTCAGATTAGCATTGCATGCTATCTAGTTGATTAATGGAGGGAAAAGAACCTTGGTAAGAAGAGTGCACGATAGGAATGCCGTGCGTCTTGGCATATTGTTTCGCGCGCTCGCTATCTCGAGCAGCCACGGCGGCCACGATGACATCCGGATGCGACTTAGCCGGATTCACCACCACGACTGGTCTATCACAGATACAAATTGTGAGTAAATTAGATGATTCAAAGGGAACAAATCTGGGGTATATGAAGATACGAACGCGATTTTGGAAGCACCTAGCAAGCCAATCCGGATAGCATCATCATTCTTAGATGCAGTTGGGGGAAATATAGCTGTGTAGGTTCGCTGGATAATATCGAAGAGAAACATCTCAACGTCACATGAGGCAGCCGTTTGAGTAGCCACTGACTGTGTTCGAAATCTGCTGCCTAGTCGGTTTATGTAAAGTTCAAAGTTCAACTGACACAATTCAACGGCGCCGGATAGTCATCTCCCCGCCCGAAAGTCTACGTCCGTAGAGACAGCCAATGACAGCTGCCGCATGACGTACTCGATGCGTAGACAAAACGGTAATTACTCCTTCAATCAACCAGAAAAAGGCAGAATTGGACGAATAATACGATCCTTGCCTCGAACCTGCTCATTTTTCCTGTCAACCTACATAAAGCTGATTTTACAAATAGCTTGCGAGAACCTATGACGGCGGAAGCAACTACCTCTGAGAGACTAAAATTAGTGGATGTTATGTTTTGCATAATAGCTAGCTATGGGTTCATGATTAATACCTCTATCTGTAAGGAATCCACTGCATAGGTCCGTTCAGGACAGCTTGGCAGATGAATTCGGATAAACTTTCTGTAAAGCTCGTATAGCTTCAACCCCACCCTGATTTCAAAGCAGGCCGACAAAGGCGATGAGCAACTGGTAACCAAATACATATCTTGTTTCTTTCTTGAAGCCAAGCCCAGTCGGGTGATGTCAGACCGCAAGCAGATACATGTAGTTACTCAGCACGCGGAACCTAATCGTGTAGGTAGAATCGGATGTGTAAACTCCGAGGACCTACATCGGCCTCCGACATACCGATGGCCGATCTATAAATACAGGAAATCAGCGCCCCCTTATACTCGTAGTTCTGCATCTATACAGTCATCCATCTATCTACCTTCAAGTCTTCCGAAGCTTCCGAAATGACCTCTACAAAGACCATCATCTTCGGCCCTACAGGCCACGTCGGCTCTGCTACGGCGCGCACTGCGCATCAGCTCGGTGCTAAAGTGGTGCTTGCCATGCGTGACGTTGAAAAGCCCATTCCAGGTCTAAACTCATATCAAGAGAACTCAGGAGGTTTCATCAGAGTCCAGGCAGATCTCACCAAGCCCGAAACTGTCCGGGCAGCCGTGAGCGCGACTGGAGCAAAGCATGCATTTATATATATCGCTCACGGCACGACTGACCACATGAGACAAACAATCGAAGCACTTAAGGCCTCTGGTATTGTGTTTGTGGTCTTTCTGAGCAGCTTCGGCGTGCAAGGGGATGCCAGGAGTATTCCACCGACAGACATCATAGCGTATGTCCACGCGCAGGTCGAGAACAATCTTGAAGACGTCTTTGGCACCGATGGCTACATCGCACTTCGACCCGCATTCTTCAATACCAATGCGCTTTGGTGGGCGAGTATGATCCGCGAGGGCGAGGTCAGAGCGGCCTATCCGGACGGCAAATTCGACTGGATCTCTCCGGGGGATATTGGCAGTGTGGCGGGCTCACTGCTCGTTAAAGGAATACAGGCAACCGAAGGTGCAGAAGAACGCAATGTTATTCCCCTCTGTGGACCAAAGTTGGTATCCCTAAGAGACGCCATGGCAATATTCGGCAAAGCGCTTGGCAAAGATATCAAGGTTACGGAGGTAGATGAGGATGAAGGTGTGAAGATCATGATCCAAAATGGAGTACCTGACTTCGTGGCAGGGCCACTGGTCAAGTCTTTGGGTACCGGAGACAACAGCGAGGATGGCTCCGGCCGGTTCTATGGGGACGCGTACAAGAAGGCATCCGCAAATCTCAGAAAGTATGCCGGGCAGGTCACCAGCTTGGAAGAGTGGGCTGAGGCCAATAAGGAGATATTCGACGTCTAAGAGCATCGCGTTATGGTTGTTGTAATTGATTCCCATTTTCATATTTGAGGTGCTATCTTTAGTCTAATGGAAGCTCTCCATTCAATTTAAACTACCAAATATGTATATTCGCCGCCGCTGCCTAAGCCGCTAGCTTCGTCGTGATAGAGGAGCTACTCGCTTCCTCTATAAATTCGATGCTATAAGAGATATAGCACCCTCTACTACTACTATAGAAGTAGCACCCTAATCTATATCGTAGTTAAATAGCTACTCCTCCTCCTCTAGCGCTATTTATTCCGAGTAGACCTTGCCAAGGACCGCTTTAAGACCGGACTAGACCGGGGACCGTGGCGCGGTCCTAACTATATTGGAAAAGACCAAGGACTGGAGGGCCGGTCCTGACGAGAGTGGGCCCAAGAGCAATCTTACACCACAACAAAGTAGGACTGGTGGGTAACCTTGGAAGCTTCAAAGGGTAGAATTGCCACCTTAATATCCTAGATCTTGGCTATCTCCCTTGCTACTATCATGAACCTCCCATTACCATATGGACTTGTAAACGGCAGAACTGTGAATCACACTATACTTTTAGTTTTCCCTTTCTGGGTTAAGCGCCCCAATACAACGATCTGTATGCCCCGTCTTCTATTGCTTTAGTATAGCTGTTCGTATTAACAGGGCCCTACTTTTTGACAGCTAATAGTCGGGTTAAAACGGGCAATCAAGGCAGTAGGTTTGGATTCCAATATCAAATCCTGACCACATCAGTTTTTCACGTTCCCCTGAGATCCGGCTATATGTTGACCCCAGTCCGCAATAATCGTCCTGATCGACATTGCAGGCAACTTCGCATCTAGCTGCACCAATGGACATTTCCACGCATCCGCTACCCGTTGATCCGGTCGATAGAGGGAATAAAGCAGCCACTCTGCCTTCCCAGACGAGCCATGGGGCTTAAATTCAAATCGGAAGTTAGGGGTATGTGCGAGACGATATTGCATGTACCTCAAAAATGGCATATGACGAGCCGCATGGCCTAGGGAAATGAGAGTTCGGTGGAAATGTTCGCGATCGAAAATCGGCCGCGAAACATTGCCTTCTTCGTAGTCACAGATAATCATCTCCCAGTCTTCGACTTCGTCGATTTCGATTTGGTCCTCGGGTGTTGGATGAGCAACCCACTGGCCTATATAATAAGATTGTCAGTAAGATCAAGGAGGTGATGTCTCTTGCCTGACTAGAAACTGGATTGCAAACAAAGGGGGCACGGTCGAAAAGTTGATGGCGAGTTGATGAACGCACCTGATGGAAGCCTTGGGGGTACCCCAATCAGCTCCACCACTTCCAATGAAGGCCAGTAGAGAGATTGAGTAGTCGGCAAGGGATGGCTCTCTGTATCTAAAGGGAACAGAAAATCTGGTGTGAGCGATAGCTGGTTGATCTTTAATTCTCTGAGTGATAGACTCAAATACAGAATGTTCTGAGAAAGAAAGTCGTTATCTGAAAGTAGAACATTCAATCCGGCCATCATTTGCTTCCAAGGGCTCTCCATCTCGTTAAGGAGCCTAAATACCCTCAAGCTATGTGGCATCGTCAAAAGACCATCAGCCACAGCTACCGGAGTGTCAGCCTTTCGGCTCTCAAATGTAATGCTGTCCTATTTCATGTAGTTAACCTCTTACCTTGACGCCTTGCTTGAATGTATTCAATGTGATCTGGGCGAATATACTCATCTAGGCCCAGTATCATCTCGGTAAGGGTTATACAGCGCTGAGCAATTTGCATGGCAGATCCGGCCCAAATCTGATGAGAAGGGAAATCGTCATTAAAGCAAAGACGATCGATGCACGCGACATCCGGAAGAAGGGAGGCCCCGTTGTCTAGGAAATGTGCCCGATAGACAGGAACTGACTTCGTTCTTCCCTTCTTATAATCATAGCGGTATTCGCCTGCGATGTCCCAATCAGATGTGTGAGGCTCCTTCCCCGCTTCGCGACCCAGCAGCGCCAACTCGATTGAAAGGCGCAAATTGGGATCCCAATGTGTGAGAGTATTGAAGAGATCAACTATTGCTGACTGAAAGGCAATATCATTATTATGACGGACATTGTTCTCAAGGTTGTATCCTTTCTGCTTGCGGGTTTGCCAATCCGGAAGGTCAACAGGGACCACAATGTGGTAGCTCAAATGACGGATCAGAGGTCGTCGTGCCAGCCCCTTCCCAGAAGTCACCTCTTGAAAGTGACTCAATGACATTGCCCTTCGACAGCCCTCTTTGCTGACACCATCGGCACTGAAGACGTGAATCAGTTTGGAGTAAATGAAGGGCTCAAAGCCGACCTGCCATTCACGGCATACTCGAGTGCAGGGGACCAGAGAGGCTTCTGCGTCCTGCAGATGAGTCGCGATCAAATACAATATTTCCTGGGGAAGATGTGTCCCCATACTGGGATTAGGGAGACAGTGTGCCCGTGGTAAGTCCTGAGAGGTTGACGGGTAAGCGAATTGGGTTGGAACATGTTAGCGGTCGCGGGTTTGCCAGGATCACAACGGCCTGGGGCCGCCCTACCCATGGAGGCCTTGGCATAACAACAATAGGGAGAAGCGAAAGATTCCTACTAATAGGGGTAAACAGTGAAAACTTTTTGATCACATTACCAGTGGAATCTTTTTAGCTCGCAATTCGCTTCCTGTTCGAGAAGAACAACCTGAAATACAACAGATCCTTCCGAGTGTATGATATCCGTAGTCTATGGATATACTTCTTGGTCTCAGCAGATCGACCTGATATCAAGATCTTGATGTCGATCAGAAACCCTCATGGGACAACAATCTGAGCGCAAAACCTCTAAATTGTTCTTGGGAAGCAACGAATGTACAAGCACGTAACCTAGTTCCATGGCTAAACTGTCTGTCTTGCCTCTCTTTACATTGTTTGTCTCAGTCCCATCTAAAGACCAGTATGATATTGTAAATTCTAGACAGATACGATGGTAAGCTTGGTATTGTAGATTCCTAGCCTCGGATGTGTAAAACCCGGTAATAACCTGGGTATAGATCGACACCGTCTTATCTGTGATGAATGGGGGACTTGAGCAGGGGAAACAAGGCTATTCACGAGGCTCGAATGGGGCAGATTTGGGACCGAAAATTGCATCGTACTTCCGGACTATATGTGCAAAGACGCTACCTAGCTTAGCTCCAAAGCAAGGCTGTTGACCGACGCCAGACGAATTTCAGATTCAGATCCACTAGTCGTCGGATACGCCCAAGCTAGGTACCCGAAAAGTCCATTGATTTTCTCGCCTCGCGTAATCGAGTCACAGTCCGAAAGTCGCCGATGTGTATAGTTCTTTTTGTGCCAGGATAGTGCCTCAGTAAGAAAATTTTAATGTGTAGTCACGTATTAAGTAAAAGCGAGGATAATATTGATAACTAACCGCTTTGGATGCTAATCATTGTAATCTGTGTAGACGAGGCGTTTCGTTTTGCGTAGATATGCCGAAGAGCCAGCAAGCATGGTGATATATCATATCCCTAGTGCAAGAAATCGTCAAAGGATTGCCACAAGAGGTTTGGAAAACCACGAAAGTCACAATTCAAAATGGCTATGGACACAACTTCATGTGCACTGAAAGGGTCACCCTCGATGGAGTCAAGTGACCCAGTACTGGAGTTCAAAGTCTTATAAAATGGAATGCCACCAAAAACCCAACGCCCCATGCATTGATACAGGTATCAAGAACTACCGCAGCGGCAATGATACAGAAAAACAAAAAAGAAAAAGGAAACTAGGTAAATAAATCCCAAGACACTTCCATGAAGTACTTGCAGGCCCTATGACCAGCGCCGGTCCATATCAAACGCAAAAATAGGCTCGACTTGGTCGCCTGGTATTATGGATTAACATGAGAGTGCTTGGCGCCTGGGAGCTCGAGCTCGAACTCAAGCTCCCGATTAGACCAAGCATCATGGTGAGCACAGCTCTCCATCGTTGCACTTCATATTCATGTCCATTCCTGAGCATATCGTCTCCATTCATCCCAGTGACTTAAGGTGTTTCATGCATCGGATATCGTTACACATCATGCAGAAAGGTTAAGTTGACTCCGGTAATGCGCGCGCAAGACGTGACAGTAAAGAATAATGTAAATACTTCTGGTTAAAACTAAGCAGCCCTGCTGTAGTCGCCATGCAGCTTACGCGTGAAGTGCATAAGGCGGACTGCCCGCGATGCGAGCTCCTGCTTCTGTGGGCTCGGGTGCTGCTGGTTGTCTTGCATGGCAGTCACATAGAGGCCGTGCAGACGCTGGCCGAGTTTGTCCATGGTGATGGGAACGACTTGGCGCAGGTCTTCATTCATGACGAGTGACATACCCAGGCCGGTGTTCTAGAGACAGTTAGGTCAGAACAAAGAGTAGCGAGAAAAAAAGAAAAAAAAAAGGTAAAACTGACCTGGTGAGCTTCTGGATCAACGCTGGTGAGGACAGTCTCCAGCCACTTGAGACGTCTAGCAATATTGGTTTCCAGAGAAACGGTAACGGCCACGGCAACCGAGAGGTTAAGCATCACGTTTAGCTTGGTCATGTATTCCGGGTCAATACGGACGAAGAGGAGGTCGAATAGATCAGCTTGTCGGCTTGATTCGATCCACTAGAGGACAGTGTTAGATGTAACATTCAGACATAACAGAAGCCAGAAAGGAACCTCGCGGAAACATACCTTCAACGAAGCGGCTTCATATTTACCCTCCTCGAAGAAGAGTTTCATAATCGCATCTTTCTCTGCGTCACTCGGGGCAGTCTTCGCAGGCATGTGTACAGACAAAGACACAACCTTGGACGAGAGATCACGCAGAACAGCCGACATCTCATCAATCTTAGCATGGTCGCTCTGGCGCTGAGCCTCATAATGCTTCATCTGCGAGCGGAAGAATCGATCAAGATCAGCCTCAACCTTCTGAGTGCTGCGGGTGGCATTTTCCACCAAAGGAGCAATGGCGCCCTGGACGACAGCATCAAGACGCGGCGACAATTTCTGAGCGACCGAGTCCGAGACAGCCTTCATCACAGCAGGCTGCTGCAGGGCAGTGGTAACAGCCTTTGGAAGGGCTTGGCGGAGTTCATCGCTGAGGGCGCTGCCGAGCTGCTCAGAGATGGCGGCGCTAATTTGCTTGCCCACAGCGGCAGAGGTGGTGTTGCTGATAGCGGGGACAACCTCAGTCTGGATGCTGTTTGACACGATGCGAGTCAGGTTCTTCTCCACGTTGTCGGACAGCGTGCTAGAGACCAGACGGAGCACTTGGTCTTGTTTCGCGGACGACGCAGCATCCCAGCTGCGGCGCTCATCGTCAAAGCGACGGTAAAGTGATTCGAACTCGCGACCAAGGCTCTTGTTGAACTCGTTAGAGACGCTGCTCTGAAGACTCTCCAGATGCTTGTTCAAAGCCTCGTCCGAGATACTAGGGACAACGCGCTGGACAGGGTGAATTGCGTGCATAGGGGCGGCAGACGGGGTGAGGATCTCGCTCTCCCTGGTGGGTTTGTCGGAGGTAGGCAGAGGTTCGACACCAACAGTGGCGGTAGGTTCCCTAGCTTTAACAGTTGTCTCAGAGGCAGCAGTGGAAGGCTTCTTTTTCTTCTTCTTATCGGCCTTTTCCGCGCCATTAGGAGCCTCGGCCTGATCATCGACAAGCTTCTTCTTAGCGGGAGCCTTAGCAGGCGACGCGTTGCGTGACGGGACCACACCAGCAGTCGACTCAACGAGGTCCGTTTTCTTGACTGCTTCCTTCGCAGTGCGGGACGGAGTCGATGCGGCATCGCCGTTGACGGAAGGGTCATCGGTGACGTAGCTGGGGAAGGTCTGGAGCTCAGAGATCTCAATGGACCCAGCTTCTAGGCCATCAATGGCACGAACGACCTTGTTGTCATCAGTCCATCCCAAATCCTCCTTCTTGATGTTCAGGCAGGTAACACCGCGAGAGTGCATAACATATAGCTCGAACAGGCCAGTCTCTTCGGTGCCACGCTTATCAGTGGCAGACTTGGTAATAGGCAGAAGCTCCAGGCTTCTCAGCTGGCCCTTGGAACCAAGAGAGATCTCCCGGATCCCACTCAGGCAGGCAGTCGACTCGGGCTTGGGGAGGGTGCTGTCCTTGTCGGTCGCGGCCTTGACGAACGCCGCCTGCGACATGACGGGCAGGTTATAGCGAGGTGCAGACAGATGCACAAAATAAATCGAGTTGCGGGTGGGGTGGCCGATCACAATGATGCCCGACGCCGGGTGGTACGCAACGCTGCAGATGGCGTCCGACTCGTTCTCGTGGGGGAACTTCAGCTCCTCCACAGCCTTGCCCAGCCCAATATCCCAGAGCTGCAAGGTGTGGTTCTGCTTCAGACCGACCAGAACATACCGCAGCGCCATGGAGCGCGAGTACGCGCGAAGCTTGTCAAGGAACAGCACCGAGGTTGGCCAAGACTTTTCAGCAGGCGAGCCGGTCACGAACGTGTTCAGTGGCACCCGGACTTCCGTCGGGGCAGGACCATCGAGGAAGGCAGGGTTATCCAGGATATCACTGATATCCCAGAAACGCAGCCGCCCAGTCTTGTCCAGAGAGGCAATAACAGTGTCATCATCACTGAAGGCAAAGTCCTTTCCAGCCTTGCCAGTCGAGATCTTCAGCGCCCGCTCCTTGAAGAACTTCTCCGTGTTGACAGTGCGCTGGGAAGCAGCGACGCCGTAGGTGGCAGACATAGCCGCCTGGGGAGGAATCACGTAGATGTTCTTACCGCGACCAATGGCAAAGAGGTCGGGGTGACGAGAGCTCCGCTTGGCCCGCGTTTTCAGCTGGCCACCGGAGGTGTTCTCGTCAGAGGCAGGGAAAGGTGGGAAGATCAAGCTTTCGCTTTCCAAAGCATCCTGCTCAAACAGATCCTTCTCGGCACGAGAAATCAAAGCCCAGTATACAGCGCCGCTGACACCAATGCCGAGGATCGCCTGCACGTCGGACTGGCCATCCGCAGCGTGAGTTGTGCACAAGGTGACGTTGAATACACGGTCACGGGTAGACCGGAAGACTTGTCGGTCACTCCCGTCGTCTTGGCGAATAATTCTGATCCCCCCGGTCTTCGCAAGGGCATACACAATGTAATCAGAGGTAGCGGCGGTCAGCGAACGGTCCAGCTGATCAAAATCCTTCTTGAGACGCGCGATGTCCATGATCCCATCGTCACGGAAATCCACAAGCTTAGCAGCAGATGGCTTGACCGTGATGGAAATGAAGGGCCGCAGGGGAAAATTGTGAACAGAGACCACACGCTCCTCGTCCTTCTCCGCGCTGTCTTCGGCACTCTCCCAGCTATCAGCCAGGGCATCGGTATTTTCATTGCCGCTCTCGCCAGCGGGAATCGGGGCGGTGTCAGTTCCAGTTTGCTTGCCTTTGCCTAACTCAGTATTCGGGTTCACAGGCTGTGACATAGCGGCCTCCGCGGCAACCTCTTGGGCTTTAGAGATCGTATCGCGCAGGTGGCTAGCGATTGATGAGAGAAAAGCTTCAGGCTCCTCCGCCTTGGGAGCGGGGGACGGGATCTCCTCTTCCAACGTAGGCTGCTGGGGCTCACTGCCACTGAGGGAGCGTCCAATTTCGCCCACGAGGCGGCCGACAACATCATTCACGGCCTCGCGCTGCCCAGGTTCTAGAACAGGAGACTTGCTTCTCTTCGGCAACCGCACAATATCGGGGGCAGCGGGGACCTCAACATCAGCAGCGACGTTGATTTTCTCCTTAGTCAATTCAACAGCCGGGGACTCGTTATCGGACTTAGGCTGCGGAGACTTGTTACCAGGAGAAATAGCAGCCAATTGATCGAACGGGTTGATATAGGTAAACATGGACTCCTTGGAAGAAGGGGATGCGACCGTTTCCGGCTTCGCAGGTCCCCCGGGATTGGCGTCCACGACTTCCGTAAGGAGAGTATTGTTTCTCTGCTCTGTGGGCCCGTTGGAGGCTTGCTGGGGAGGAATTGACTTGGTAGTTGGAACCAAAGCGGGCGCTTCCACCACGCCCGGGCCAGGCTGGGACCGGTTGAGCAGACGGAGCAGCATGTCCTGGGTATTTTCACTGGGACCTTCGGGCTGAACGGAGGGTACTGGTGCGGGTGCAACAGCTGGGACGGCGGGGGACTCAGTAGGAACCGCCTTCTGACCTAAAAAGGACGCGACCAGGTCTGATGCGGAAATGTTTCGTCCGTGCGACGAGGCCGGCTCCTGGACCAGAGGAGATCGAGGCTGCTCAGGAGCCACAGCGGGGGCTGGCTGTGGAGCGGCAACCGGGCCCTGGCTGAATCTCAGGAGATTGAGCAGGCTCGCAGCGCTGTCCTGGTTGCCCTGCTGACGAGGAGGCGGCTGGGACGGATACGGCTGCTGCGGCTGCTGCCAGTCAGGGCGAGGAGTCGACACATTAGGGCTGAGGATGTCGGAGCCATGATGAGGCGGGGTGTGCACAGGAGAAGGACTCTGGATCGCCGAAGTAACCGAAGGATGGTGATAGCCGTGCGGCTGGGAATGAGGGAAGCTCTGACCATTATACGGCTGCTGCTGCTGGGGATGAGGAGGGAACAGGCCTGAGTGGTAGGGCTGCTGGGGTCGCTGGTGGTGAGGATTCTCCTGGCCGGGGACATTGGACGGCGAGGGCCGTGGACGAATGCTGGCCAGGAGGGCCTGGAGATCGTTTGGGGTGGACATTTCTGCCGCGCGCCGTGGATGACAGGCGACCTCCGCACGAAACCCAAGCTTTGCAAGCTCTCAGATAGCTCTCTTTCGAGAGAGAGGGAGAGATACAATCCAGCTGGAGTGTAGCAGTCGAAGAAAGTGGTAGGATTGGGGTAGTTACGAAAAGAAGGATAGAGTTCTGACAAGGATAAGAGTGAAGAGGATGGGTGTGTGAGATGAGAAGGATGTGACGGTCAAATTGGAGAAGCAAAATGCCGCAGTGGCTGGTGCGTGGCGGGGGGTGTTATTTACGGTAATTACCATACTGCTCCTACCGTGGCGGTCGCGGACAATTGGGGCCGATCCTCCGCAGCCTCGCCTCGAATCTTAAACACTTCGAGATTCACTTGATACTCGCTCCCCGTCACATCTGCCTCCCGCATGGCCCTTTGTCGATAACATCAAGTCCGGTTGGAGATTACCCTCTACATACATCATCGTCTCTTAAATACAAGTAAACCTCTCCACCAGCCCGTTCCCCGCCGTGGGCTGGCGTCATCGACCATGTTCTGTCTCCGCAGGTATGACGAGCCCGTTAACTCGCCATCAAAAACCACAAGACCGGGCATCTGGATCTGACCATCTCTGTCACTAACAACAGCTGGCTCCCTCTGCTTTTCATCCCGACCAACGCCTCCCCAATTTTCATAATCTCCTTCGTCGCCCTCACCTACATCATCCACCGACCATGCATTTATTGCTCGGCGCTTCTCCTCATCCTCTTTATATCCTCCTGCCACTGGTCTGACCGGTGCATCTTCGACCTCCGCAGCAACTGGTTTGCTCCGCGCTACAGCTCCGCGCCCGCCGACTACAGCTCCGTTTCAGGCAACGCCACCATGGCGGCTCCTCTACCCGGTGACAGCCTCGCGAGCTTCGTCTTCGACACCTTCAACTCAACCGCCAAAGCTTTGGCCGGCGCAGCAATGGAAAGCGCACAGCAACGGCTCGGCGTGGAATCACGACCGGAAGAGTGGACGGGCGTGGGCCTGGAATGGCTGCGGAGTCTCCTGGGGCGGCGCGAGTGGACGCTCCCTTGCGTGGACGTGAAAGTGCGGCTATAAAAGGATCAGTCGCAAACTTGCATTTGGCGCTGGGCTCGGATCATCCATTATTGCTCGTTTATTATTCTTTTGCTCAATCTTGTTCTCCATTGGTAAGAAATCATAACATGGTCATGGTCATACTCCCTTGCGCTGCTAGGTATGGAATCCGGGCAGGGCATTTACCCAAACAGGCACAAACATGCTGAGTATGATGGCTGCACGTCATGGTTTCTATAATCGGATCCGACTCGACTTTGGCTTCGAATTAATAGGTGTCCTTTTTCCCCCAAGATTGGCCCGATTTTGGCGATACGCACTGTACATATGACATTGGGTGCATTATGATTAGACGGCCTAGGCAATGCTGAAACAGTATACTTTTATTCCTATTCAACGCTCAAATAAGTATCTCATTCAACATGTCAAAGAACAGCTTTTCTTCGCGCAGTAAATGTTCCAGTCATTCAAAACGAATGTGATGGCGATGCCATATCTGCGAATATAGCTTAGAAGATATAGTTCGAATACTTCCTCAAACTATGCAGCCACAGAACGCTTCAACGGGGGTGATCGGTCTAAACGTGAACTGATCGAGTCACGGTCGTCCCACTATGGACACCTCCGTCCCGCGAAACAGCAGTAGCTGTCGCGAATGTGTTAAAGAACGGAGTGAGGGTAATGTTGCCCGGTGGCACCTGACCCGTGACGCAGACGCCGAGAGAATTGAGGATATTAGAAACCACAGGGACACAGGCGGCACAAGAGCAAATCTGTACATGTCGTATCAGCATTAGACAAACAATAATGCCTGACTTGTGCTTTGACACACGCCTAGGAAGAGAGCATACCTCAGCCAGCCCGTTCGTCAAGCACCGCTGCAACGCCGCCGTGTCTCCGACCCCTAGCGCGGATACAATGCATGAAAAGGTGCCGGTGAGACCGAGGCATGCGTTCAGGTTGCAAGTGGGTGGCAGTAGCTCTACGGCCAACCGGTTCTGTTCGAGCACTAAGTTTTGGTTAGCCTCGAGGCCGCGCTCAACCATACGATGTCACAGGCATAAAGACGACTCAATGCCAGGGAGAGCATAGGCTTCATACAAGTTGATGTTGTTGTTTGGCTCCGGTTTTGCAGTACATGACGAGATGGTTCCATGCTGGTAGCGCTAGAGGTCAAGCCTGTAACCAGGACGAGGGTGGCGGTATTGATACGCATGTTGGCGACGTATAGAACGGTAGGTAGCTTGGGCAATGGTTGATAGAATAACCAGTGTCAATTTCCTAGATGATGGTTTTGCCTCATTGTACACTTTCTTCTGCAGATGCAAGTGGGTAGGTTCAGAGAACTATTTATCTTCGCGTGCAAGCCTTCAGCCTTGCAGTTACGAGCTCTCGTCATTCAAGCGAGGGGAGACAGAAGAGCCAACGCGAGAAGGCACTCCGTGTTGAATGTCATACCCACAGCGCGGCTAGCTGAAGGCGTAAGGCAAACTGGCCGGGTTCAAGTGACACCGAGTCACATTCGGGAGGTCGAGCGTTGTTCTTGTCCCTGGCCTTGTGCGCTCAACCTAGGATCCAGGGTTGAGTAGGACCTTGAAGCAGAAGAGACATGCAATGTTCCATTCTTCACTGGCAGAGCTTCTTCCACCTCGATGTATGTAGTTTTCGTTATTTGCGTGATTGGTAAAGCGGATGTGTTGGGAATCAATGATGGGTCCTGAATTATAACTTAAGTACATGACGAGGAGGTATCTGACAAGTTAAAAACACACAAAACATGCCCCTGGCGCAGGTGACCGACCCGTTTACAGATCACAGCTCCCACCGGGAAGATTGGAGAGATTATCCCAAGAGAGAAAGATAAGACATGACGCCTGCCGCGGAGGCACGTAGAGACAAGAGAAAATAAAGGATAAATCATTGAAAAACGGACGGAGAGAGAATCGTGAAACATGACCCAGAGGAATGTGGTATCACAACGTCAAAGCTCCGTTCATCGTTGACGGGCACGGCACCAGGAAAGAACTGAATACCTTGGAGAAGTCTTCTGAATGAACAGATAAAGTTTTATGTATGTATCGGAAGAGGGGGCGTGACGCAAGGGGGAAATCAAAAGTCTGCACGCAGGAAGACGAGGCTGAAATCGAAATCAAAAACGGCAGCTGAATTAGTTGCTGTAGCCAGCGCCGACGGGCAGGGGCCAATCATCTTCGGTGATGCTGCTCCAGAAGCCCCAGATGACGATGACGGACAGGAGGGTAAAGAGGGTTTCGAATAAGGTGCCGTTGACTTTGCCATTTGAAGCAGAGCACAGGTGCACGCTGATCACGTACTGGAAGATCTGGCCAATGGCGAACAGCAGGGCGGCGCCGACCAGGTAGACTGTTACACGTGCAATTAGTAAACGCTGCTCATTGAACGGCTGCAGAAGTACATACGCAGGGGACGGAACTCGCCCAGCACCCGCAGCACCAGGAGCGCCTCGAGCACGAAGAACAAGAATAGGCACAGTAGCGGGAAGAGCTGGTACAACACATAGAGACCGATGTTGCGGTTGTTGCCCGCCAAGCTCGGGTCGAAGTGGCCGGTCCACGAGAACGCCGTGTCGAGGGCGATGTATCCAGTACCAATGAACAGCACGGCGGCGGACGCGGAAATGAGACCAATTGAGGCGGGGGTGCCATCGTCGAGTAGCTGGAAGCCGACCAGTGCGTTCAAGAGAAGGACCCAGCAGGTGGCGGCGATCGCCGCAACGTGGACCGCCGAAAATCCCTAGTCGAGCCCCAAAATCAGAACAACACCCTGCTAGCTCGTCGTGCATGTTTCAGTCCCTACCTTGCGCACTTTGTCATCAAGTGGAATGCCGCCCACGGTAAAAATCTCACAGATCTCGATCACGATGAAGCCCACCAAGAACATTTGCATCTCACTGTCCTGCACGTTAGCCAATCAATCCCAATCTCCCCGATCTTTATCTCCTGCGGGGAATGCGTACCGACGCCCGACGGCCGCATGCTTCTTGTCCGACCTCCATAGCAGCACGAGCGAGATTAGGATGGCGATGAACGCGAAGAGAATCGAGCCTGTTCTAAAATTAACCCCGCCGTTTCCATGTATTTCGATCCCGACAGAGCCCAAGGCCCAGAGCACGCATGCATACCTAGGTTAGCGAGGTTGCGATCTCCACTGAGATGAATGCCACGGAGCACACATCCACCGTAGTGAGAGCCGGGCGGCTGGTTGACCTTGAAAAGCTAGATGCGACGATAACATAGTCAGTTTAGAGCAAGCCCGGTGGCAGCAGAAAACAAGACAATACAAAGTACAGAGGAAGAAAGGGTCTTACGAACATTGCAGACGGGTAATGTCGAGTCGCGACAGAAGTCCTGTGATACCCCCGAAAGATGGGGGCACTGCGGTCAGTGTCTCGTCTTGTCTTTTGGTCTTTGTGTTGACCGGCGTGGACAGGCAGCCCAGCCAGGCCGCCGATTGGGCGGAGCGCAGCGCATTCCAAGGCGAAGATCGCAGGGCACTCACGTGGAAATTGCCGAATTGTGTCGAACCCATGGCTAATTGAGCGATTTGAAGCACTCACGACGCCGGAACGAGTGGACGAGAGAGCGAGAGCAAGACGCTCGGTCGGAGGAGGGATTTGGGGCTTGGGGGCGTTTCAATGAGTCCCCTGACCCGTGGCGGAGGGAGCGGTCACGATCGCGCAGCGGGTATGGCGGTGCGAGGAGATCGCGCAGGAGGCACAGCTGCGACGGCCGAGGGGGAAAATGAGGAGGAGCGCGAGTGGTGAGAAAGGTGGAGGTGGAGAGGTGGTGAGGTGAGAGAAGAGTGTTAGTGTTGATTGTGCTAGTGAGACCGGTTTAGCCCAGTTGAGCCCACTTCGTCTTAGTCCTCAGGCCAACGCGGGTCGCCAGGCACTCGAGCAGGGAATCGTCGACGCTAAGGCTGCTTAGCTTGGGGCTGGCGTATTGACTAAGGCCTGGAATTTGGGCCCTCCTCTTTTCTTGTCTTTGCTCCTGATACCATCCATCCTACCTCCCTATGGGGCCAGGGACTGCCGGCCAGTTCCATGGGCGGCGCTGGGGCAACGCCATGGGTGATCCTGGCTTGGGTCTGCTAAGAATAGAGGGGGATCTCGCATGCTGCACTAACTTCCTAGCGGACGGTATTTCCCGAGGCCATCGCAGGACACAGACCCGATCACCACTGGGGAGAGTGGACACCTGCAGGCGCGTCATCCCTTCCAGCCCGCATGGCAGACTCTCCGCTTCACCCAGCAACCGGGGAACGCCACTGCCACTGCCACAACCACTAAGCCCGGGAAGGATGGACCCCGTACTTCGACCACTAAACGCAGTAACCAACCGTAAAATTGCAACGCTGCTTCCAAGGTTCGCCCTTGCGCGGCGCATGGGGAAACTTCAATGGGGTCGCCATGCGGATGATATCGTGGAGAGCTCATTCGTGGGTTCGATCCTGGTTCTTGGTTCGGGTTTCTACATGATTCAAGTAGTTCTGAGGCGGTCGAGGTCATCCTCCACAGCGGTGTTGCTGCTTCATCACCACTACGTCTCTCCCCAATCCTTCTTCCCTTGAAACACCCACCCTGGCCAGCTTCGCAATCCCCCGTTGCCGGCCCCAAACGCCCACCAAATTCTGCCAGACAACCGGCCGTCCCCTATTTGTGTGCGCTGTTCTCCCCTGTCCTCCCCGACCCACCCTGGCCTCGGAACTCCAAGTCGGTCGGTAAGTCGGTAACTTAGAAGACACTGCGAACTGCGACGCGTGCCGACTTAGCAGACGTCCTCCACCACCAGCTTCTTGCCATCATGCTCGCCTAGATCCAGCTTCAGCGTGCGGCCGAACAGCTCCAGCAGCAGCTCGAAGCACGCCTTGGTGATGGCAGGGTCGTACCGGCCCTTGCTGAGCTCATCTCGGATAAAGGCATCTGCGTGCGCCGGGGTCAGCCTCGCATGTCCGCGGCACCGGGCCCGGAGTCGGCGTTGGTCAGGAACAAAGGAACAAAGGAACAAAACTCACGCTGCGCCCAAGCGACTTCGTAGAAACTGAAGAGAACGCCCTTGTCATGCAGGGTCTTGCGGATTAGGTCGCGGCCCTCGGGCGGGACGTGGTTGTCGTTTTTGCCGAAGATCTGCGATGAGTGTGTTAGTCTATCTATGGAGGCTGAAACCAGGCGGATATATATCCTCGCAGGGCTGCAACGACGCGCCCGCGGAGAAAAATCCCTTGCCTAAGCAAACCCCCTCCTGCAGGAAGAATCAATCGAGAAGAGATCACACCCACCATCAACAGTTCCCCCTTGATATCCTCCGCCCGCGCCAGACTATCATCATTCTTACCCTGCGCCAGGGTCTTGCTGTGGATGTCCGTCGCGAAGTAACACACAGCCGCCTTCACCCGGCTATCCAGCGCACATCGGTACGCCAGATGGCCGCCGAGACACATGCCTGTCGCGCCGACGCGGCCATTACACGTCGGCAGCGAGAGCAAGTAGTCCACAGACAAGCTGGCATCCTCATCGTAGGCAGCCAGTTTCTGTTTTTAACAGCGGGATCGTTAGTGAGGGACTCGTACTGGGTTAGCGATGCGCTGTTCCGGAACACAGCCCCATTACGAGATCTGACGGAAGGAGTGGAGCATATATTGAAGCACGCCATGACCTGGCATCGCGTGGCATGGCAGGATTGGACATGCACCGATAAGACTTGTATGGGTGATGGATAGTTCGACGCGATGACGCACCTTTCCGATCTTCCACGCGTTCCCCTTGTCCGTGTCTTCCGCATCGTACTTCAGAGGCTCCGGGCCTGTGAATTCGTGGTAGCTGGACGGCGCCGCGCAGATATAGCCCTGGCCAGCGATTTGGCGCGCGAAGCGTGCCACGGGGCCGGTCACTGTCGACGGAGAATCAGAATGATTAGCTGCCAAATATAGCGTTGGAGGTCATCCCACCTTGGTAGATCTCGCTAAATACAACCACTCCCGGAAACCTGGCGTTCGGGTAGCCTGGAATTGTGGGGTGGAAGACATAGATTCCTGAGAGATGGTTAGAGCTGATGACATAGTGGTGAGATGGAGGTGGCCTGGAGTGGAATGCATATTGGATACAAATCAGAGGGCGGGGGCTGCTCTTGCAGGGACGGGATGATACTTACTCATCGTCCCCTGGCCATCGACCGTGGTGGGGACATCGACATGGGACTCCTGGATCAGCATGGTGCTACTTCTGTTGAATATGGACTCCAAAGGGCTTTTCAGGGAGGGAATGAATCCAGTGGAGCGACGTCGTGGACATCGGCTTGTAAACGCAGTTTATCGATAAGGCCGCGGGGCCCCAGTCATCTGACCTGATCGGATGAGCGGGCCTACAACGCTGTCAGTAGAACAGCTACGAGACACCCCAAGCTAGAACCTGGACGACTACTCTAGCATGATACTAAAAACCCCGTAACGATGTAGAAAACTTCCTCGATGCTGATCTGGTACTACATGCATATTTTTCGACAGGAGTTTGAGAATTCATAGCGGACCGAACGGCGTCTACTAAAGACAACCTTATACATAATCATAAGAGCAGTTCGAAGGATACATTTTCAGACAATATCAGGAAACCATTATCATAAAGTCTGACTTAGTACCACAAGGTCAAAGGGTTAATTGAATAATATACATGGAACGGAAGGTTGAAATGTTACCTCGAAGCAGCCGCATTTAGGACAGCCGAAGCAACGGAACGATGACAAGCATTAAAGAAGATAACTTAATTCGTGTTCAAGTAGTCCCAAAGGAATAGTCATGGAAAGTTTTGGTGGGCTGTCAGGAAGCAGAATGACCCCGAAGCCCCTGTACAGAGATGATAGGGAGAAAGGGTGGGGGAAAATGACAAAAGGTGCCCAATTGGCAGGCGAATTAGAAGACGTACTGTCATTATGGCTGGTCAGCGACGGTTGCTCCAGGTCTCTGTTTGGGTATATATTCGGCTGATACTCACAGGAATGAACAGGTAGGGAACCTGCTTCTCATACTCGGTCCAGGTCTCGCCGTACTTGATGCGACACCGCTGGATATCGCGCAGAGCACGGTGCGAGATCATGCAGGCGAAGAAGATGGGGTAGAACCAGGGGAAGGGGCTGGAGAAGCCTGTGATCAGGCCCCAGTTCAGAGCAAAGTACAGATCGCAGGTGTAGTGAATCTTGCGAGCCTTGCCGTCTATCGAGAGAATTAGTGTCTAGTTTCACAACACAATCTGTTTATTTGTTGGGATGCACTTACACCACCCATCGACTAGAATCTTGGAACCATCGGGACCAGTCAGGGTCTTGGGGTTCTCCACGGTCTGCCACGGTAGCTGGGGGAAGGTGTTGCGCTTGACCATTGTGCCACGTTCCTGCTGGCGGAAGCGGTTCTTCTGGCTGTTGGTAGTGTCCCAGACCCAGTAGACGAAGAGGTAGGCGATGTACAGGAAGGCGAGGAAGAAGCGGTTCCAGTGGTACTCGGAGGGGTCGTGGTTGGCCAGGTAAATAGTGCAGTGGCAGTAGCTCAAGGGCACACCCGCCAGGTTCCAGAAGATGAGCATGAAGCCCCACTTCTCGTAGTACATATCCCTAATACCAGTGTTAGCTATATTCATTCAACCTCAATTGACGTAGGACAGTAGCTTACCAGGTAGACACAATGCACTCCTCACCCTTGGAGCAAGCATTGGCATACAGGAAGTGAGCCATGACAAGGAACATAACCTCGCCCGACACAAAGCCATAGTTCTCGTACTGACGAGCGGCAGCACCCATCGACAGGAACAGCAAGATGTACCAAGGTAGACGGACCTCGAAAAACATCTTGAAGTCAAGGATACCGAACATGCGCGGGTTAAGCTCCGCACCCATGAAGAAGTCATAGATCGGGGAGCCGGTCATACGGTGCTGTGCGCCGCGGTAGAGGGCCGAGAAATAGGCCGCAAAGGAGACCAGGAAGCCAGACAGAATCGCGACGCTCAGGAGAGGACCGAACTCATCAATGATGGTGTACAGCTTGAAGAGACCAGTCGCGTGGAGGAGCAAAACCAGCGCAATACTAGTGTAGAATGACCACACGGCCGAGCAGTAGTACTGTAGCTGCTTGCCACCCGAATGTGGCAGAGACCGTCCAGTGACAGTGACACCGGGGAGAAGAACGTAGCAGGCACCCTCGAAGATGAAGAAGACCCAGTAGATAGTCCACGCCTTTAACGAAGGGAATGCGCCAGTATAAACCAGGTTGGCCAGATGGGCGAAGAAATCCCCGTAGCTCTGGTCCCCCTCCGGACGGGGGAACTTGCCATCATAGTAAGTCGCGCCAATCCACATGTAGTACATCAGCATGGGGAAGCCAATCATCATGGCAAGGACACCCAGGGAGCCACCGAACTCATAGTGTCCGCTGTAGTCGACCTTGGGGTCCAACCCTTCCTCCCAGCCGTCGACAATGCGCGACTTGGGCTTGGACTTGCCAGCAGAGGCCTTGCCATTGGTCGCAGCCTTCACCGGGGTCTCATCCTCATCCTCAGACTTGACCTTGGCGGATGTGCGACGGCGCGTGGTGGACTTGGACCCGGTCGGGGCGGGCGTATCGGACACGTCTACGCTCATTTCGAAGGCGGCGCTCTTGCGACTGGAACGACGGCCAGGGGTCTCGATATAACCGGGGCGGTCCATCTTCCTGAGTTGACGCGAAAGCACACAGATTAGCGGAGAGGATTTCCAGGAGCGCAGGTAGCAGGAATCGGCAGGGGCGTTTGATTCATATAGCAGCCCTAGAAGGGGGGGGGGGGGAGCGCTCGGTGGATCGCAAGACGAATCCGGAGGGAACTACTTACTTGGGAGTTTTCCCCGTTTGGGAGCGGGTAAGTGTCATGATTGCCTGCTCGGAAGTCCGATATCCGACAGCAATTGAGGCTGGGGAGAGGGGGGAGGTGAGGTGGAAGCGAAGGATAGGGTGCCGAAGTAGAAGTGGGAAGGAGAAAAACAGCGGGATTGTTTACACAGGCGTACCTGGCGTGTACCGTCGGGCCCGCTGGAGTATGCGCGGGTACGGCAAAAATACTTCCAGTACCATTTCCCGTATGCAATTTACTTGCTGAATACGTCCGGCTCGCGCCTCTTCCGTCCAGCGTGGGCCTGTCTGTCTCCCCCACAGTTGCGGCCAATTGCTCCCGAAGTCACTGGCCACTATGCAGAGTATGGTCTAGCCATTGAAATGAACCCCGTCCCGCGGTTCTGTGTGGCTTTCATCGCAAATTAAGGAGGGCTCAAGTGCCGGCGCTGTGGGTTCCCTCGCTCTCTCCCTGCAGCGCCGATCCCAATGCCAAGCTTGTAGTTCCATGCGGGAAAACCCTGGGGCGTTTTTCTGAGGTGCTTACGGGGCAATGCACGAGCCGCAACACAGCGTCGTAGCTGAGTCGATGTTAAGAAGTGGCCCAGGAAGAGACACGTAAATGTCTATGCTGTTTAATTTCATGGAGATATTCGAATATCAAGTCAAAATGTTGGGACTGGAATGTGAGTCCTCAGTCGAGATGCGAAAGGCGGACAAAACTTGAACACTTGAGATAATCAAAATAATGTAACATACGGTGATGTGTGATGACGACGCAATGAGACATGTGGAGACAGAAAAAAGACAGCACTCCAAGCCACTTTATCTACGGGACTTCCACACTGCGGTTAGCAGATGAGTCTGATCGATCCTGCGAACCATCAGGGTCTATGCTCCTCGATGGCTATTAGTAGACATCAAGGTGATCTTGTTCTTCTTCTTCTTCTTGCCGCCACCTCCGCCAGCTCCACCGCCAGCTCCGCCGCCACCCCTATTGGTGGAGGATGTGCGCTCGGCGTATTGACTCTCAGCAGCAGTTTGTGCGATAAGCTCAGATTCCTGCTGGGTCAGCAGCTCGTCCTCCCAGCCCTGGAGCCAGCCATCATTGGGAGTTTCAGGTTGGGCCTCTAGAGTCGGAGACAGGGATGGTATCGCTGCTGTTCCCCAGACAGTACGAGAGCCCGGGGGACTGGCGGAGGGTGAGGCTAATGCTCCAAATTGAGAAGCGGCGCGAGGCGGGGAAGCAGAAGACATGCCAGTGTCAACTTGGGATGGGTCAACATTGTTGGCCAGCGGTTGAAAATCATGGGCAAAGAAGGGCACGTCACTAGCGCTGCCAATACTTGGTCGCTTGCGCCGTGCGGCAGCCCAGCGCTCATCGTCTTCTTTCTTCTCCGCACGAATGCGATCTTTCTCTTCGCGAGCTTCCTTATCCCGGTTACGTTTGCGCCTCCTCTCAGTCTCAGAGCGGAAACGACTCAGCACTTCGGGCACAACAACATCTCTCCAGTCACATTCAAGGAAGTTGACCTCGCACCCATAAGGTAGATGTCCCAAATATTTAACGCGCTTGCGAAGCTCATCGTCAACCATGTGACCGGTGGAGATATGTTCTACCCGAGGCAGAATGGTTGCAGGGAACAGAGCATATTCACCAAATGCCGCCTTGAGGATGCGAATGTCGAGAGGTGAAAGATAGAACTGGGGCAGGGCCTGATAAAAGTAATATGGCTGATCAGGTGGGTGAAACCCCTGTGCCTCTTTGCCTCTGCCCTTTGGTTGCGATTTGGCGTTGGGGTCAGGATTGATCTGAACTTTGTCCATAGCCTCAGATAGGTGATCTGCTTCATCCGATGTAGTTGGAGCTGATGCCGATTCCGCCGTACGATACGTGGTATCTGTGCCCGACCCAGGAACTGATTCAGTAGAAGATCCGTTGCCAGATGGGTTCATGCTATCGGATGAGGCGACTGCCGGGGTACTAGCTTCCACTGCTGATTCCTTGACCGGCCTCGGTGCTGCAGGCTGCCGAGAGACGTCTGGTGGGTTCCCAATCCCCTGTACTTTCTCTTTGGCCTCCATGACCGTACCAATCGCCTTTCGGGTCCAGGTGTTCTCGTCTCCAAACAAGAGCTCGTCCTCGATTTCCTGTCTGCGGAGATCTTCAATTTCAGCATCATACTGAGATATCATGTAGTCTTCTCCTCCCTTCATGATTCGAGAGTAGTCAGCAACCTCCGCCACATGGAACCATGGAATATCATCGCCAGCACTGAGGGTCTCAGCGCCGTCTCGTGGTAGGGCAAGAGTACTGCTGGGTTCTCGCTTGACCAATCTCAGTACGACATCTCCACCTTCCACGGGGAGATCACCCTCCTGGCCGCGGAACCACCGGACAGGACGAGTCTCTGACGAGTAAATCGAGTCCCAGCAAATGGGGCATTTCTTCCACCGAGGCTTCTTCTCAGGAACATGGTTGTCGTCATCGGACGAATGCATATACCGAATGAGGCAGGGTAGACAAAATATATGACCGCATCGAGCCATTCGCGGCGCAACTGGCGTAGACAAACAAATTGGACAACTGGCAGCCTGGGTCTGAGCAGAAACAAGCACTTGAAGAACCGAGGCCCAGTCCAAATGAACATCAGCATTGGCTGCCTGGGCATGGTAATTTCGGTCAGGTGAGACGATGAAACGATAGTTGGCATGGACATAGCGCGCCTTATCCACGGCATGATATCCAGATCCCGCTCCCCATGACGTATAGCGCCGAGTATTGCGCGGCGGCGGCTGATATTGTGGACGGGGCGGGAGAGAAAAGTTCATCAAATGGGTGATGGACGTCTGTCCCTTACGACTGTTTGTTGATCTCATCACGGCCTGAGCATAATGAAAATTGGTGTCAGTACGTTACACTCGGGTTCAATAAGTACCCTGACAACACCTACCGATTCACTATACTCGTCATCATCCAACAGTCGGGGTTTCCTCTGTCGCTTATGTTGATTCTTTCGAGCCTGGTTACTCCTTGCCGTAGCCGAGCTCCTCGAGGACAGGCCCGCCCCAAAACTCCCAGACCCCCCTACACGTCGTTGGGAACCGTTGTCGGTCGGGGCTGCCGAGTGGAATGTCGCAGGAGCGGCCGAGGTATTCGAGATATTTATCGCTTTGGAGGAAGCCGGGTTTTGTCCCGCGTTGGACGACATCTCCGAGCTGGATTGACGAGGTAGACAGGATTGTCCTCAAGCCAAGCACAAGAGACTCAACGAGGGGAACCGGCGGACCAGCGGGGAAGTGGACGAGGGGTTTTGCTAGGATCTGGATAGAGCCAGCCTGATAAGGTGGACCGTCAATCAGCTAGGACAAGCAATATCTGACACATCTACCACGGCTCTGAACAAGCAGAGAACGCTGTGCAAATGATAAGAATAGACAAAGCCTCGAGAGGCCATCTAAGAATAGACGAAGCGTCCAGGAATGGCACGCTGGTGCTTCGGAGAGTCGTTTTGAGGAGGGGCGGCGGGCATGACATCGCCAGCACGTGCCGGATGACTCAGTATTGCTGACTCAGCGCCCGCGGTTGGTCACTGCACTTCAGCTTCGCTTCGGAAGAAGGTCAATGAGGGACTGTCTGCCTCTTCCCCCAACCCCCTTTCACTTCTCAGACCGACGTGTCTGCTGGCCGGCTCTATCCACTTCCCCGTTCTTTGATGTGACTTTCAGGTATTTGATATCTCGCCTCCCGCTCCTTCTCCGGCGCATTGTGGTTAATCCTTGTATCTCCTGCTCATTCAGCACTTTCACCACATCCGAATTCCGCTATATTCTCTACGCTTCCACCTCCTTACCAACCTCCGGACGGGGCCAAAATGGCTGCATAATTGCGCCTGAGGCTTCAGGGTTTTTTGGGTTGTCTTCATTGTCTTGATTTCCATCGCGCATGGCTCCCATTGAGGCAACGCGTGTGGCTGAAGCATAAAAGGCAATATCTCCCTCCAAGCCTGATCAAGATGAACCACCACTTGCCCGCAATGCCCCATGGGCAGCCGCCTATGCCCCCATCTCGGAGGCAACAAGACTTCTACAATCCTGCCCCTCCCAACATGCGCGCTCCGGCGTACATGGGGTATCCTCCACATATGAACGGGCACATGCCTCCTGCGTATTCGCCGCAGCAGTACCCTCCTTGGTATCCGCCTTATGGGCATATGCAGATGCCCCCACGTCCTTTTCAACCCCAACCGCCGTATGGACCCATGATTGTATCCTCCTATCCTCAAGCGCAGCCAATCATGGCTCCCAACCATATTCCGCCTCACTCATTACCGATGCAACCAAGGACATCGACTCCGCTACAGCCGACCATGTCTCCGTCAATCCCGCCCCCGCCTCCTCAGCTTGAAATGCATGAGCCTCACCCTGTCCTTCCCATTCAGCAGCCGCCGCAGCCTTATCCCGTCGCTTCTCCACCCTCGCAATGGGAACCCAAGCCCGTTGTCCTAGACATCGAGCCTCTTTTCGCGGCACCTGTAAGTGGAAATCCGAAATCCGACTGCGGAGACACGATTTGAATGCTGACTATCATTAAAGGTGCCCTGGCTCTCTGTCCCTGAACTTCCCTTCCCTGCTGGACCCCCCTTCAGACGTCGAAACATTCGTCCGATGCCGGATTCTGTGGAATTTCCTAAGAAAGATGGACGCTGGATCATTGGAGATCGGAAGGGCGAAGTTGGGGAAGTCAAGCCTGCAAAGCCAGCTGCCCCAGTTACCCCAGAACCTCAAACGCCGACCACTTCCGTGCCCCACTCGGATGGTGGTGACTCTACACATCCTACCACACCTTCATCGACTGCCAAATCCCAGGATCAGCAAAAGAATACCAAGCCCGCCATTCCTATCATCCCAGTTGTTCCCAATGTCCCCGGAACCCCGCGTCGCCAAGCCAAGGATACAGCCAGTGCCGGCTCGAAGACGCCTAAGTCAAGTGCCGCCACTGCAGAGGCAGAGACCGAGTCAGCACCCGCTGTTGACGCTACATTGAAGCCAAGTTCACCTGTTCGTACCGCACCGAAGTCATGGGCTGATCTTGTTCGATCCAAGAATGCTGCTCGCCCAGCGAGCGCTTCTGCTGACCCAGAGTCAAACGCCCTGGCAGTGCAGAAGAGCGAATCCCTCGCAGAAGTTTTGAGCACCCTGGGTGAGGATGTCACCCAATACAGTGACAAGATAGCTTTCCTCGAACCCCGAGGATTGGTCAATACTGGGAACATGTGCTACATGAACTCCGTTCTGCAGATTTTGGTCTCCTGCGTCCCGTTCCACCAGTTCCTCGATCACGTTGGTCGACGAGCGGCTCACAGCTTCCACAGTGATATGCCCTTAATCGATGCCATGATCATGTTTATGCGGGAATTCAACGTCATTGATGCTGCAGCTTCGGAGGATCAGCTAAGACTCCGATTGAAGCCGAACGAGCTCGAGCAGTATGGCGAAGCTTTTGTTCCCGAGTTTGTGTATGAGATGATCCGTCAATTGCCACGTTTCCGCGACATGCGACGTGGCCATCAACAGGACGCTCAAGAGTTCCTCGGTTTCCTTCTTGAGGAGTTACACGAGGAGTGTGCCCGCGCTGCAAAGCACGTTTCAAAGCCCCAAGGCGCCCACGATGATAGTCATGCTGTCACCAATGTAGCTTCTAGTGGTGATGGATGGTTGGAAGTTGGCCACAAGCAGAAGGCGGCGGTGACGCAGTCATCTGGTGCCATCACCACGGAGTCGCCGGTCACCCGAATTTTTGGAGGCAAGCTTCGGTCAGAGTTCAAGGTGCCAGGCAACAAGACCTCGGTCACCATGGAACCTTATCAGCCCCTGCAGCTTGATATTGGCGCGCCTGATGTTCACAACATCGTTGATGCGCTGAAAGGCCTGACCAAGCCCGAGAGCATTCAAGGCGACTTCAACTCATCACGTGGGCCTAACGTGACAGCGACCAAGCAGATGTTTATCGAAACACTGCCTCCTGTTCTCATTTTGCACCTCAAGCGCTTCCATTATGACAACCTTACGGGGGCCACCCAAAAGATTTGGAAGAAGGTTGGCTATCCTCTTGACCTGGAGATCCCGCGTGAGGTTTTCCCAGCCCATCGACGCAACACTCTGACGGCCCAGGGCGGTCTTCCCAAGTACCGTCTCATGGGCGTCATCTACCACCATGGAAAGAATGCCAGCGGTGGCCACTATACTGTTGATGTGCGGCGCCAGGATGGCCGAGAGTGGATTCGTATGGATGACACTGTCATTCGTCGTGTTCGTAGTGAGGATGTTGCAGAGGCTGGTGGTGAGGAAGATCCCAAGGTGCTTGCGGCTGCTCTTGAGCAGCACAAGCAGGATACGATCCCTCGGTCCAACATCTTCGAGAACATTGATCAGGACGACTTGGAGTCGGTCGACAGCGAGAAGGGCTGGAGCCAAGTCAACGGAGCCGGTTCTACCGGGCACTCCAGCAAAAAGTCTATCAATGGGGTTGCTTCGTCCTCTGGGCCCTCGTCCGGCGTGCGCACCCCGCTCGGTAGATATGGCTCTCGGGACAACCGTGTCGCCTACCTCTTGTTTTACCAGCGGATTGTTTAAGTGACTTCATCCCTCAGCAGCATGAATTTGCGTGGCCTACAAATTCAACGATCGGCTCATGCTTGAGCCTCTACAGGCCTGGACGATATTTTCCCCCCTCATCATTATCATCCTTTTCGTGACAGCATCATACCCACCTGTTACTAGCACGCATTGCAATTGGTGCTATCATTATGGACCCCTAGCATTCTTACACCATTTACACCTGCAGGCCCCAAATACTTCCCTGCTTCAACCGGTTGTACATACCGCTTCCCGGCCGACTTGCGAACATACACTTTTGTGTCTACGGCCTGCCCCTGCACACGTGGGCGATGATTGGCATACTCGGGCAAGAGATCCATACAATCCTGGGCATGGCGGGCCCCTTGAGTATCTCAGATCTTTATACCCCGGTGATCACCAACTCAGCGCCCCAGGGCTATTATTGAACCTTGCGGTTCACGGTCTCATACTTTCAACACGGACTGGACACACCCACTACATATCCTTCACATCTCCGACTACCCTTGATCACATCCTTTCTGATATTGCCCCTGCGTTCTCCAATCATTTACCCATTTCTCACCCCCATCGTCTCCCCAACCACCCTTCGTATCTGCACTAGCCTGCGAGTCCTTTTTTGTTCCATTGTCTGGGCTGTATCTTATGGGATGTCGAATCTGGTTTATACCCCCTTTCCGTTCCGTTTCTTCTCATGGATACATTCCCGGTCATTTGCAATTTGGTTGTTTGCGCACCAATTGGAGAAAGAATTATTTTCTCTTACTCTGCGTTTGATATCTCCTGATATCTTTTTTTAGCCTCTCTCTTTTTTTGTACTTTGCCAAGTCATTGGAAGTGTGGTGTCACTGGGGGATCTATGACGACGTCATGAATTTCCTTGTTTGTTTCCCTTTGCCTTCCCATAGACTGCGGAGGTTGAGGAGTGAGGATGGTACCACGGTGGCGGCGGTGGCTGATGCACTCAGATCAGGCGCTCGCTTGCGTTGAACGGGGCGGTGGCGGCGATTCTGTACCGCAGCTTCCTTCCCTATTGGTGGTAGATGTTCTTATGGTGTGAAGAGAGGGTGACGGACGGTCGTTGCGATAACTGGCTGCGCCAAAGTGGGCATTCCCTGGCTTTGGAGAGGAGGGTAGGAGAGAGACTACAAGGTTCGAGGTGGAGTGCGGTGGGGAACGATGGAAAGGAGGCGGGAGATGGAGAACCTCCGAAAAGCATGTCTTTACAGAAGCTCAAAAAAATTTCAAAGGAAGTTTATCTTAATATCTTGTGTCTTGTGTAGTCTCTTTGCTAGAAGAGTGTAGGTGTAAGGCTAGAAGTACATCTTGGGTAATTTGATATCCGCAAATCCCTCACCAATAGGAATTAGTCAACAAACACTCATGCATGGAAGACCTGGTCCTCGCCATCGCCATGATCCGCCACAACCTCCGTCCAGTTCCCCTCCTCCTCGTCGCCCTCGAACTCCACGAACTCAAAGCCGAGCGCGCGCCAGTTCAATTCCTTGCGCCAGTGCAGCCCGTAGTACACGCGGTCCGCAGCAGTCTCATCACCCTTGCCGATGTTTTCTTTATTGTCGTCATCAGAATCATAATCAACAGGAGTCGGGCCAATAATGGGCTCGGACGCAATTCCGCCGCTCAGCATCCTTCCCGTGCGTGGGAAAATAACCGCCCGGAAGCGCGAGAGCAACATGCCCATTGAGCAGCACATGCACGGCTCGTGGGACAGGTAGATGTCCAGGTCGGTGCAGAGGTACCCGCCCTCGGCACGGGTGCGAATCCGAGAGGTTTGCGGCAGAGGAGTTGCATTTCTTTCGTCATTTGAGATTGGGTTCGTAGGATCAATGCTCGGGGTCGGAATAGTGGGGTCAGCCAGGGCCATAGACGAGGGCGGTGGAGCTGGGAGGGGCATAATGGATGGGGTATCCTGGATCGACGCCTCAGGATTGACGTTCAGTGATGCCATTCCAGTCTCCGGGTTCGGGTCTTCATGCTTGCGCTTTCTGGGTGACAAGGGGGCAACAGGATGGTCTAGGGCGGCAGTTGAATGCGTGCCGCAGACTTCGTACAGGAAGTATGACTCGAGGGGACTGAGCTTGTTGGACAGCTGCGGGTCAGATGCAATCACGGGCGTCAGTGAACTGGCGTATTGAGCCTGATGCTCGGTATCCTCTCGTCGCCGGCGAGCGACCAGCTCCGTCGCGCGCATCAGCGCATGAAGGTCTGGCCCTCCCTCCAGGTCGGCATGATAGCTTGTGCTTGCTGGGTTCGGGGCTACCCCGGGATGCTTATCGGCTTGGGAGGGCGCACCAGCTTCAGAGCGTCCATACCGAGCGTCGCCACCGACCGAAACGACGGCATCCATCCACCGCTCGTTGGCATTGCGGCATTGTTCCCAGGCCTTGGTCTCAATCTCAGCTTCGATGGCGGGGTCGACGACGACAGCGCCAACACCACGACCACGGCCAGACTGTTTCGATTCATCGGCGACCTTGCGCGCCAGAGAGAGATAATATCCTGCACGAGGCTTAATCGAGTCCAGCGCACGATTGAGGATCTGAGGGGGTGGAGCGACGGTGGAGCGGGGAGCGGCGGGATTGAAGACGACTGGCCACATCTTCCTCGTCCATTGCTCAGCTTGATTGGCATTGAAAGGCGCATAGATAGGGATCCTGGTCTTGAGGAGGCGGATTTTAGGAGGTTGTGGTTCCGGTGAAGCTGGGCTTGCGATGGGTGAAGACAGACCGGGAGAGTTGACGGGGGGTGTAGCGGAGCTGCGGCGGCGAGGTACGGGAGCATAGGGAGCGAGCAGGGTCTGTAATGTCTCGACTGCGGGCAAGGGGGGTGAAATCAAGACGAAGATGGTCTGTCCGTTGGTCGTTGGTGTTGTTGCACTGTCGGCTTCAAGGGCGGAGAGCAGATGCTGGGGGAGCATATTCCGTTTGGCGAAGCGGCGCAGATGTGACATAGGGAGAGACACATCGCGAGGGAAGGCGGCGTCAAGGGCCCTGGAAAGTTCCGTTAGATAATTATTCATGACCACTCTCTCCTGTTTGTTTGGGGACACTCACTTGATCACCTTAGAAGCAGCCTTCACATTGACCTCCGCAACATAAGCATCGTCTGTTTACTTGAGTTAGGCCCGCTGTCGCATGCGCTGGAGCTCGGAAATAAGCTGCAGAGTGAACGTCATACCGAATTTCTCAGGTGGCTGAGTCTCTTGGATGGTTCTGATCGGGACTACCTCTCCCTTCAGAGGTTGAATAGACTTGATTGTCTCTGCGAGGTCCATCGCCCCGAAGACTTGTCTTTGACGTGGTGCTCGGGTTGTGTAAGGTTGTCGTGAGGGGGCAGCCGGAGACCTTAGGTGAGAGAGGTGGGAAAGTTATCGCATGGCTGAAATCCCCGAAAAAGACCGCAAGGCAACGCGTCAGGCGCGCTGGATATCAACGGCGAGCCGCGGTGACGCAAAAGTAGTTCAAGATTTCCGATCCGCCGATGCCCTAGACCCCGCACCCTAAGCCCTAAGTGCTGAGATAGGAAACACCTACCGTCAAGTTCCCATTTAGCCAGGTACTGCTTGCTTAAGTGGTTTACAACACCACCTTGTGCTGACAGTAGAAAACATGAATATCCTTCTTGGCTCATTGGACTAAACGGGTAGACGGTGGGCTTTGGAGACAGTTTTCTCAGTGCGGATCGGAATGTTATTTTGAATGATCGCGCCAGGCAGCACAAAAAGAGGCGTGACAATGAGCAGAGACGAGTGATGGTTGTAGCTCCCGTCCTTATTTCACCACTGCTGCTAGACGAGACGCAAAGTTGCAGCCCACGACTGGCCTCGCTTAGACTGAATGACCATAGCCAGGTTAGGCACGGTGGTGAATTTGGTAGTCAAAAGGACTAAATCGAGGACCCTTGGGAAAAGTAGATCGACAGAAGGCAGGAGCAAGAAGTCTCGCAGTTTTACAATAGAGAAGATGAATTTTGTGATATTTGGTCATAGATAACACCTCACCATCCCACGAGATCATAACGCCAGAAAACCCCCGCTGTAAACGAACCGCTGAAAACATGATACAAATCACCGCCCGGCCGTGGTGTATGCTAAGATAGAACCCCTCTATTGATGACCGCGCCATGTGATGCGTGTAGCCTGATTAGCTGGACAGATCACGAGCATGGCGGGTTGGCTGTCAAACAACGCCCTCCGTGGATGCAAGAGAATAGGTTCATTAAGAACAGGCCGCAAATGGAAATCGGCATGAGGGGGAAGGGAGGAAGGGATGATAGTGTGTGGTGGATCGTAGGGTTGGCTCCGACATCGGCGGGCCCTCAAGACCAGCCCAAGGGTCCAATGCGGGAGTATGGAAAAATTGGAAGAAAGAGATACATTTGGGAGACCGGAGTCGTGTACTGCAAACGCAACACAACCTCCCCTTATGCTGATGGGGTACTGGCTGCTGTCGTAGTAGCTGTCGTAGTAGCGGGCGTAGTATCGGTCGTAGGGGCGACGCTGTGGACAGCACTGGTACGCTCGATGTCAAAGCCATCGCATCGCTCGATCAGACTCTGGTAATAATCCTCCAAAATTTCTGGTTGTGGCACAATCCGCCATTGAACCTTGAACAGGAACTCGAGCTCTAGCATGGCCAGCTCGTTGATGCTGATACCCCCTACACGCGCATATGTCTTGTTGGTCCAGAAACTGTCACTGAGACCCTTGCTGGCCACCGTCGCACTGACGATCAGGAAACGATGGATGGTCAGACTGGACACCGTGAAGGCTGGGTACAGGGCGCAGAGCCGATCGATGTAGTAGACCATGCTGAGCAGGATTGGGGGCGAGAGGGTGGCGTGGGTGGTAAGGCGCTGCAGGTAATCCCCACGGAGATCCGGGGTGGCGAGCGGGAGTGGAAGCGAGTTAAGCGCCCCTGATGCAGGGGAATCTTGTCATTGAAGCGGATCAGCTCCATCAGCATGCTGGAAATCAGCACCACCAAGTCATGGGGATCGACGTCCTCGTACTGCGCAGGCAAGACTTTGACTTCGGGCTTGGTGGAGGGCCGCAGGCGCTTAGACTGCGAGGCCTCCCCTCCTGAGCACCCAACCCCGCCGGTGTGGTCGCATCCGGCGGGTGATGGTCGCTTTCGCCGATGCGCTTGTTGGAGCCCGAACTGTCCGGAGCGAGCATCGAGGGAGCGGTGGCCGGGGCAGCAGCGGAGGCAGACGTTGCGGCAGCGGGGGACGGAATGTCCACGGGGGCAGTCGTGACTGCCGGCTCAGTAGGGACGGTCGAGGGAGTGGCGGCTGAAGGACCGAAAGAAAGGGCCAAGGCGGAGCTGGGGGCAAGTGTGTCAACGGACGCCGTGGTGGGTGCAATTGATACGGCTGATACGCGCCGGCGGCGGGAAGCAGGAGATTCAGGAGAGGCAGGATCGACGGTATGCCGATTCAGGGCCGAACGGAGTTCCTCAATGGCCACGCGCGACGAGCGAGGACTGTTGAATTGTGGAGCGGGCGAGGTATCATAGTGCGCCACTCCAGTTGGATGGGTGTGAGGGGAGCGCAAAGCCGCGGAGGAAGGCGAGGAGGAGGACGCCAACATGACTGGGGAATTTGCGCCAAGCGGGTTTGAGTTAGGACTTAGTTGGGAGCTCGACGGGGCAGAGGAATGCTGAAAATCGAATATCGACCGGTCGGATTGCACAACGGCACCACGTGGGCGCACGAGTCAACGGGGCGCTGACGCTGCGGGACTGGGTTGGCGCTGGCGCACGGCTCATCCTCGCTAGGATCGAAGGAGTAGAAAGGGGGCGGAGGGAGACCGTTCGGTGGAAGTGAAATCCGGGGTCTCTCGCTGGCCAAAGAAGGAAAGAAATGGGAATCACATCTAAAGTTAAGGGAAGGAGGAGAAGGAGGAGGAGAAAATAGGCCGTACTAGTCATGGGATCTCTGAAAATCCTGTTTTGCCGTAAGGTGATTTATTACGAGCGAATTTTATTACGACCAATACATGGGGATACAGTGGCAGTGCAAAAGTTTGAAACTATTTTCTACTTACCGCCTACTGTCCACCGCCTATACCACGTTCTTCCAACACTCGACGCATTATTAATGTTAGCTGATTTACTGGCTATAATGCCTCTCCGGGCAGGCCCGGCAATTATTGAGGCGGATAGGTAGTATAACTATCAAATATTTAAGTTATTGTGGTTTGATTCCAGCGACTTTAGTAGATTTTTATCCGGCAGAAAAGAATTGGCACTATGGAAAATAGTTTCAAACTTTTGCACTCCCACGTACTTGGGGTGGAGGGCTAGTTACGATGGAAGTTGTGTAAAAAGATGTCGACTTTGCCAGTTTGACCCCGTTTTGTTTAAGCTTCTACTTGGGGGCTGGGGGCATCGGCCAAAGTTCAACACAAAAATGACTGGACCGACAAGACATGACCATACAGAACGGTTGTCAGGTGATACAGAGATTGAAATACGGGCAAATTTCCCCAATTGCCCAGGCGGTGGGTGGCTTGACTTGGCGCCAATGAGGAGGGGGCTTATCGGAAGACGCCGGTGTCGCTGGGGTCCTAAATGAGATCATTGGTGGATAGGTGGGGCTAGCCTAGTACGGCAAAAGTAGCTCGAACCAGGGGCGGAGTCTTTCAACGGTTGGCTGCTGCCTGGATAATGTGGCACCGGTATGACTCGCGGGGGAGGCTATTGGTTTACCCAATCCGGCATATATAGTGGCGTTCCAGAAGTTTTCGACTACCTTCGCTCGACGGCCTAGCCTTCCGCTCTCAGATGGGGCTTTACACGTCTAGAAACTGCCGTTATGGTTATTTAAGGTTATTTAATCCTGACAAATTCTTCTTTGAGTGTGATTTCAGCTCGGACTACAAGCTTCCATAGATAGCTATATATCGAGTGCGTAATGTAGAAATTGGGGGAGTTTTTGACTGGCAGAAGATAAGGAACACCACTATAGTACAGTCAGAGTTCATTAGTATTTGGAGCATGGTACATGCTCCACTTATTTCTTCTATCAGTAGAACTCCTGAAGTCCTAGATAACCTCCTAATAACTAGCATGCCAGCCTTCCTATCTAAACACATCCTCTATGAGAGAGTCGACAGAGGGGTTTCAGGAAAAGCGATACTTCTGAATACGTCGTGCACCCCTTTTAAGGGTGAATTTGAGCTCACAAATGTGGTCACGTGTGTGGACGTCTAGCTCTTCACCGCGTGGGATATTAATGGGCGCGAATACAGCGTAATATTAAAGTACACGCGAGGTCGCCGGTAGATAATATACAGTGGCCTTTCATTAGTATTTGCACTATGGTACTTCCCCCATACACTGCCATTCTCTATTATCCTTACCTTACCTACTTTATCGATGAGATGAACCCACGATCCTCCTTTATTCTCTATCCTCTATCCAGTACCTACCACCTTACATTAGAGCGCAGGGTATTGGATACGAAAGCTAGCACCCTGTTATATAGACCTTCCTACGGGAGTTGATATGGAAGAACTCGAATGGCAGAAAAAAAAATAGCGGCCCCTTGGTATGCGAAGGTACTACAGTGCAAATAGTATGTAGGTAGGGCGGTGTTGAAAAGCGGTAGCGGGCAGAGGTACTGTGTTCTGAATAATAATGAACGGCCACTGTATGCAGGCCTCAGGTGTCAATTGCATCCAACCTTACGTAACCGCGAAGTCATCCCCGGCCGTTGCGGAGTCGGGAACATCCCAATCAATGCAGAGGAGCTGAAGCCCGGCAGCCCAACGACCTGCGATCAGAGCCTCTGTGACAGGCGTCTCCGTCGCCACTCAACTCAACACCCATCAGGGCCAACATCTCTGCCCCATCGTCCGACGCCCCCGTCGTTGGTACACGCGACCCCTCTCCCGACTGGCTAAATCCGGACACTGCCCGTCCCCCCCAGCTCTTTCGGTCTGCAACCCCGACGGCTTGCCACATAGAGTCACGCATCCTGCGGCGACAAGGCTTCGCAAACTAGCGCAGAAAATTGGCGCTTGACCTCCTCCCCCGTCACTGCCTAAACTGATATTTGACGAGGGGGCTTTGCGAACGCATCTCCCACCCCGGAAGGCGGTGGTCTTCGGACAATGACACGCGCTGCCACTGCGCCGCTTCTGCTACAGCTCCAGAGCTCGGATTCGGTTTCCTCACAGGTGGCCTCGCTGCGCACACTCAAAAACGAACTGATCGGCCATGACCAGCGCAAGGAAACCTATATCACCGCCGGCATCATTCCCGCTCTGGGGCAAGTGCTCAGTGCGCGGCGTCCAGGGAGAGATACGGCAGCAGAGTCGAACAGGGCGGGACTAAGCCAGGTTTCTCTGTATCATAATTCTGATGACTCTGAAGCCTGTCTCCAGGCCATCCTGATTGTTGGCAGCTTGGCCCAAGGTACGTCTTAACTCATAGCCATTCCCAGTTCAATGATCGCCGTATAGATCGGAAGCTTATGAGACTGAGCAGGCGGTCCAACATTCCTTGCTCCCATCTTCGCCAGCGACATTCTTCCTACACTTCTCGCCATTCTGTCTTCTCCAGATTGCCCTTCGTCGTTTTTACCTCCGATCCTGAGGGTTCTCAACACAATTGCAGATCGACTACCACTGCAAAGCCAGGACCAGTGGCCTCGAGACACCCGACTGGCGGATCTCGTCTTTGCCGGCGAGCACATTAGTGCGCTCAGACGAATTGTTGCACAAGACTACGCCTCCTCACGCAACCAAGCCTGTATCGAGCTAGTAGCCGCTTTGATCGGAAAGCTATGCACAGAGGAGATTCACAAGACGGCCTTGGCGGAAAGCGGAGTGCTGGATGCTCTGGCTGTCAAGGTTGCCTCTTTTGTAGTGGCCCAAGGTTTTGTTCTTCCTGGCGCTGAAGACCATCTACAAGAACCCGGCGCTTTGGGGGAATTCCCACCTCCAGCGCCTACATCCGCACGCCTTGCCCCCATTCTCCGTGCAGTCACGGTAATCATTGAACAGTCGAAATGGCGGGCAGAGCACTTCCTATCCTCCCCGGGAATTATGACCGTATTTCCAAAGCAGGTGCCTGGATTTGCACCATCGGACATCAAACGAGGTCCATGGGGAGCGGCTTACCTGTCCGGCTCTGCGGTCCCTCGCAGTACTGGCGCCAATCCAGTCGACACCCTGCTGCCTTCGGTTCCACTGGCACATGGAAAATCATCCCCGAATTCGGCCAATTTCCCGCCTCTTGGGAATAGTGGCTCCCAACGTCGCCATAGCCATTCTTTCCCAACGCCGTTTTCGCTGGCCGAGACACCAACTCCGGAAGAAGAAGAGAGCTCAATTGTCCCATGGCTGCTATGTATTCTCCGCTCAGAAGGAGGTATGGTCCGGCTGATGGCTGCCCGGCTGGTTACAGTCCTATTCCGTCTCGGCCTCGCAAAGAAGCAACGGGTCCCGATGTTTAGCTACTTGCTGGTGCCGATTCTCCTTCGCATGCTTGAGAAGGACTTCGAGTTGCCGGACGAACACGATCCCTGCGATGATGGCCTGATCACACCGACGCAACGTTTGAAAGAGGAAACCCCCGCAGTATTGGCCAACTTGGTCATGGACGACCAAGACCTTCAGAAACACGCAGTTGACGGCAATGCACTGAAACGGCTGTCTCAATTGCTCAAGGAGACTTATAACCCTGTTCCGGAGAGCCTACGACCAATGTGGTATGCGGAGGGTGATGTTCCAGCCCGGGACCCTGAGTCAATGTCTGCAGACTGCCGGCTCGGACCTCCTGGGTACTCGCCAACATTGTGCCATGTCATGCGATACCGTGAGAGCATTTTGAAAGCCCTGGCGGCACTGGTGCCTTTCAAAGACGAGTATCGTAAAGCCGTCTGCGAGAATGGCGTGGTTCCCTATATAATCGATTCTCTCAAGCCTCGGCCGAGCGATGCGCCGGCTGACGCAGCATCAATGCCCAAAAATTTAGCTGCGGACGGCAACCCGACGCCCACAATTTTGGCTGCTTGTGGTGCTGCTCGCATGTTAACAAGGTCGGTCAGTGTCTTGAGGACCAGCCTCATTGATGCTGGGGTTGCTCAGCCACTGTTCGTTTTGATTAAGCATCACGACCTCGAAATTCAAATCGCAGCTACGGCAGCAATTTGTAACCTGGCACTGGATTTCAGTCCTATGAAAGAGGTCAGCCATAGCCCATTATTTATCTACTGTGATTTAATTCTAACCTATTCCTCCAGGCAATAATCTCTGCTGATATCATTCCTATTCTCTGCGAGCATGCTCGCTCGTCCAACACCAAGTTAAGAATCGAATCATTATGGGCGCTCAAGCACGTGGTCTACAATACGGCAAATGACATCAAGATGAAAGTGATTGAGGCTCTCACTCCACTATGGATCCGACAAATCATTAGCCAAGACCAGGTCAGCGCTTTAGCGAGACGAGGAATGGAGGACGAGACGGACCAAAGCTCAGGCATTGCCATGGGCCGCGCGAACTCCTTCGGCGAACAGGTCGATATCCTGAACCCAATGGAAGACTCCGGCGAGCCAGCGGAAGACTTCAAGATGAACGACAGCATGCCGTCCTCTAAAATGAGTTTGGATATGTTCCTGCCCGATGCTAGGCGCCGCCGTCAGCTTGTCTGGAACGGAACTCTGGAGCAGTCCACCCAGTCTCGGCAGGATGATATTGCCGTCCAGGAGCAGACATTCGACCTGCTGCGCAACATCATCTGCGGTCCCGGTGCGGCCGAGATGATTGACTACTTACTCAAGGAGATCGGACAGGACGAGCTGTTGGACGCACTGGCCAACAATCTCCGTCCGCGCACTATTCAGCTCCCTCACCGCCGAGAACCGTCCAGTCGTTCTTTACATGTGCCTTCCGAGATTTTGAGCTCCGTCAGTGCGCTGATCATCCACATTGCGGCGGGTCTACCGCGCCACCGTCAGCTCCTTGTGACGCACAGCGATCTCCTGCACTCACTGACGAATTACTTCAACCATTCTAATCGTGACGTAAGGATCAATTGCGTATGGGTAGTCATCAATCTCGTCTACGAGGAGGACTCGAGTGACCGCGACGGGTGCCGGGAACGGGCTAGCCAGCTCAAGGCTCTTGGAATCACAGACCGCCTGGCTAGTCTCGAAGATGATTCGGACCTGGATGTCAAAGAACGCACGAAGACCGCAGTGCACCTTTTGAACTCGCTGGTTTAGGCCTGGGTATTCCATTTTTGTTTGGATGCTTCATCTGAAGGAAGAGTTGGACATGGGCGTTTTGTTTGTGAAGTGGCTGTGCATAAGCTTTTTGCGGATATATTCAAAATGTGCCTAGATCACCAAGTCTTTGTTGTATAGCCCTTGCCTTGCCAAGTTCTTATCTCTGAAGAGATCGCGGATATCCTTATCTTATCAATTTTTGTGGAGAACCGACGTCATATGTACCCTTTCAGCATCCTGTCGTGCTTCCATCCCCCAAATTATCGGCAGCATTCAGCAGCTCAATGTTTGACCTTGAATCCTCCTCCTCCTGATATTCGAGTATCGCACAACCCAGCAATCATGCGATCAGCTCCACCAGCCATCCTAAAAGCCCTCAATCTCCACACCGATCCCACGAAGTGCACACTCGACTCGTCCGGTCTAGGCTCAGGCTTCACAAGCACAGGCGCACTCCTTGCCACGATAACAAACGAAGATGGCACCGAAGAACAGCACAAATACTTCGTCAAAACCTCCAAAGATGGCGTCGCTGCCCAAGAAATGTTCCACGGCGAATATGAGTCTCTAAACGCAATCGCCAGCTCCGTGCCAGGCTTTTGTCCACGCGCACTAGCTTGGGGCCCACTAGATGATAAAAAGACCTACTTCCTCGCAACAGAGTTCCTCGAACTCGGAGGCGCAATGGGTCGAACCTCAAGTGACGAGACGAACCCCACGAGCCTTGCGTACAGGCTGGGCAAATTGCATACGACGCCTGCGCCGGCGGACCCTAAGACTGGTCGGCCGCGGTATGGGTTCCCTGTACCGACTTTCTGCGGCGATACGAAACAGCCGAATACATTTCACGATAGCTGGGCCGAGTTCTACGCCAATGAGCGGCTGTTGACTATCCTCGCGTCATCTGAGAAACGGAATGGTCGTGACGCCGATTTGCGCGCACTCGTTGAGCAGACTGCCCACGTCGTCGTACCGCGCCTGCTTGGTGATGACTATCTGGGGTATAATTCCCGGCGCGAGGGGCAGGGCATTCAGCCTGTGGTCGTGCACGGCGATTTGTGGAGCGGAAACGCTGATCGAGGCAAGATCGCGGGGACGGGCCGGGGGGAGCAGGTTGGAGATGTGGTGTATGACCCGTCTGCATGCTATGCGCATAATGAGTTTGAGCTGGGTATCATGCATATGTTTGGTGGTTTTGGGGCGCGGTTTTTCGAGCGATACCATCGCGTTGTGCCCAAGACTGAGCCGGTGGAGGAGTACGATGATCGGGTGAGGTTGTATGAGCTGTGAGTTATGTGGACTGCGGGTTCTACTTTAGTGTGTGTGCTAATTTTGTTACTTTCAGGTATCATCACTTGAACCACCATGCGATTTTTGGTGGTGGATATCGCTCAGGAGCCATGTCGATTATGAATAAGCTTGTTCGGAAGTACACCGATAGCCGCTAAATACTTGCGGGTCGCGCTGTGGAGGGGGCATCTTGGAAGTGGCGGTGTGTTAGATACCAGGTTCGTCTATAGCTAGAGAGCTGCTATGGTGAACATCTTTAATGAACCTGAGTCGTGTGGAGTACTCTACCGTAAAATTGATTGATAGTAGGGTGTATATCCATGCTATGACAAATTAACAAACGCTCCATCCGAGATAGAGTCCTCGACCTGAAAATCCCCAGTAGATCAATTTATTTTCCAAATCGCAGGCCTAGGTATCGACCCTCTCCAACCGCACCTCCCTTCTTCCAACGAGATAAGCACATCCACGTACATACTTGATCTGTCGACAACTGGTAGAGCGGTATACAAGTACCCATCGTTTAACCCGACACACAAGATTCCACAACAAGTCTGCACGAGCAATAAGGATTCCCCATATCGGCCCCAACCATTCCCCTACACAAGTCATGGAAGATGATGAGGGGCTCCCGCCAAGCCTGCTCCGCCCGGAGTACCCTCTTTGCCAAGCCCTAAAAATCGATGCGGCCTTGTGAGTTCTGGCATTCAGGAAGGTCTTTAGATTTTTTGAACTGGCAAACACAGGCCGTTGAATTGCAGAGACTCGAAAATTTGACGATAGCCAGTACCTCGACGCCATGAATTGCCCTTCCAGAACGGACGATACCCTACTGAATGACGAGTGGAACCAAAACCCGCCACTTCTCGCCCCCGATCTGACCACCTGCCAAGATCTCAATGGCATTGTGAACACTCGCGAGAACAAGGATGATGATCAGGGCCTTGCTGGGCCTCAGAGCCGTTCAAATTGGAGATCTTCCCCGCTCATGAAGGAACCAGATACAGGGGGTCACCCCGGCGTGGGGTGCGGGGTGTCACTGACATCGTCAGGCATGAACGGCATACTTCTGAAAACTGATTTTATTACTAATTCGCTCAGTAGGACATCTCGCCTCCCCTAAGGCTAGCTTTCAGGCTGGCCCAAAAGACCTAAATCTAATCAAAACTGCCCCATCGTACCAGAGTATCAAAGATTGGGCATTATGGCTCTTCTCCGTGCTCTGCGTATCGACACTGATCTCATCTAGCAGTTTGTGCGGGCATTCCACCTCCAAACAACTGTTGATTGTTGAAAGGCCTATTAAGAGACAACACACCGCACCGGTAAAGCGATCGCAGTGTGCCAATGGAGGTGTCCGCGGCGATGTGTATGATCTTCCACTGCACGTCGCAGCGCTCTTTATCATATGGGGAACCTCCACCATTGCTTGCGCGTTCCCTATTCTAGCGACACGATTCCCTCGTCTGCACATACCAGCCTCGTTGCTATTTTTCGTCAGTCATTTCGGAACCGGCGTTCTGATTGCTACTGCGTTTGTGCATCTTCTTCCTACGGCATTTACCTCGCTTGGAGACCCGTGCTTGACCAATTTCTGGACGACGGACTACCCGGCAATGCCAGGAGCCATTGCTCTGGGCGCCATATTTTTCGTGACCGTTGTAGAAATGATATTCAGTCCAGCTCAACACGTTTGTCGTGGAGGCAGCCAAAATGCAACCCAGCCGGCATCTTCGTCCCTTCGCGACGGGAGAGAAACCCCGACAGCTCCAACTCCAAGAATCACCAGGATCGGCGATCCTAGTCTGTCCCAGGAGCGAAGCCGTTACTGGTCGACTCTAGATGGACGACCTCATCTGCGTGATATGGGGCCGCTGAATGGAAGATCTTCGAGTTTTAGTAGAGCCATCCATCGCGTGGGTGAAGCCCCAGAAGATATCATCCGTGTTGCATCTGCGCCCGAGATTGAGAGTCACCACGAGAAGGAGAACAGGGCCATTCAGTCAGATGCTGATCGTCACGATCACCATTACGAACTGACCACGGACCAGAAGCGGAAGAAAGAAACGATGCAGGTATATCTTCTCGAGATGGGCATACTTTTCCATAGTGTTTTCATCGGCATGTCACTTAGTGTTTCAATCGGCAATGAGTTTATCATTCTCTTGATTGCCATTGTTTTTCATCGTACGTTGACCCGCTAGCAAAGCCCTACCCCAAAAACTGACAAGATTTTCACAGAAACCTTCGAAGGCCTTGCTTTGGGATCGCGCATTGCTTCACTTCCCTGGTCTGAAAGACAGCTTCAACCGTGGATCATGTCACTCGCATATGGCTGCACGTAAGTTCATTTTAAGCCCATTTGTTCAAAGCTGCACAATCGAGTATTGACAGTAGCTCAGAACACCTATCGGACAAGCGATCGGCCTTGCAACCCATACACTCTACAGTCCTGATTCGGAAGTTGGCCTACTCCTGGTTGGCGTTATGAATGCAATTTCGGCTGGGCTGTTAATCTTTGCTTCTCTCGTGGAACTGATGTCAGAGGATTTCCTCAGCGATGAGAGCTGGCGTATTCTGTATGGAAGACGAAGAGTTTACGCGTGCATTCTGGTGTTCCTCGGAGCATTCTGCATGAGTATCGTTGGCGCCTGGGCCTAATTAGCCAGAGCATTCAAGACCGGGGTTTGATACCTTTACTATATCTCTGGAAAGAGACCATCATCGACTGATGTTTGGTTGTGGGCAACATCTACACACATATACAGTAAGCTTGTTTTCATGAAACTCTGATGGTAAGGCAAGGTGTGCGTGTGGGTGTTGGTGGTGGTAAGGTAATGTAAGTGTACTGCTCGATGGAGAAGGGTAGTGTTTCGCGTTCTCGTGGTGGGGCTGTGTAGGCTTAAGCAAACCCCCCTAGCGCGAAAGTTCAAGCCAGAAGATGCCTTGTAGGCGTAGCAGCCCCACCCCCCAAAGTCCTAATTTTGCTTAAACAGATATCGCAGCAAGCTGATACTGTATGCATGCAAGACCAATGAGGTCAGCGGAACCAATTCGGATGAATAACATTGATTGATTGAAGGAAAATTATACGGGGGGGGAAATATGTTGAATATACCCCACGGTGCGTCCGATACTCGACAAAGACAAAGCCTGACTTCGGAACTGTACCCTAATTACATACAAATACTTAAAGAATGTGGGCCCATGTGTGGCCAATGACTTGCTAGCGGTAAGTTACCGCTTCCATGTTTCGACAATGGATACTCCAATGCAAGGAACCGAAAAAGGGGGATATTGACATACCCAAGGAGATGAGATGATAAAGAGACCATGGTACTACCTAAATTTAGCGTGTGAACCTCTATCCCCACTCTGCGCACGTTCATGTGATAAGGTTTGCAATGCACGACAACCAACTAGTCTGTGGGGGCCAAATCGAGTATGAAAGGAAAAATTGTCAAATGGAACATTGCTTTAGATGACCACAACCGCTATCACGAGATAGATAGATTGAAGCGTAATCCAAGTGCTGCCATAGACTCATCTTCAGTTGCTACTATGAACTTAGCGGGGCAAACACGCTCCCAAGAGAAGTCTCCTATAGCTGCCGCTGTGGAGTCATCGGGATCCAATGCAGCGCTACTGCCCTGGAGCACAGCACCTTGCATAGAGCAACACGTGTTCCAAGACAATCTAGCGTCTCAGGTTCCAAGAATACAAGGGGTACAACTGTACATTGTCCTGGGTTCAAGGTGTATATTATGTTAATCCCCCCCTCCCCCCGCCCAGGGTTTCACTTCAAATCATCGAAGTCAGGATGAGTTTCCCTCGATCTGATTTTAATTTTTCTGCCCCTGGTTCGTCTCCGAGAGCCAGAACCCTTTCGTTGTCTTCCTGGGATGAAAGTGAAACTCCACCTGCAAGTAACCGGCAGTCGCCAAGTGTACCACGATCACTCCCAAGGACTTCGCCGCCACCGATCTTTCAGTTCCAAGGTCTGAACATTGCGAATCAATCCCAGTTTACGACTGCTTCGGGGAGTTCTACGCGTGAAGCGTCTCTACTAACTCCTAGTCGGTCCACCTCAACTTATGCAGACCAGCACAATGCTTCCCCAAGCCCAACCCCTCCACGTGTCGGGACCTCTCGCATCAGTCAATCTCGCATCAGTCAATCTCGTATCAGTCAATCTCAAGGTCGGCAGAGCTCGATAGCTTCTATTTCCACTGTATTTACCGACGCACGTGAGCACCAAGCCGAGTCGTTGGCATCTACAACCCGCACTGAAAATATCCAAGTGCCTGGAGCGTACCCCGAAAGTTTGCACTGTTCAGATCGAAGCGTACCGCATGTTCCTAGGGAATCGAGAAATGGGAATCAAAGATCTATTCGCGAGGAGTCGCTTCCGAGAGTGCCAATCTATGACAGTCGCCTTCAAGCCCAACTCAAGGAGGTGAAGGGCAAATTGACCAGCCTTGCCACCAGCATACGTTCCTCGGCGCTAGTGCACGACCAATCCTCCATCTTATATGCTCACTACCAAAAGTTACAGAAAGCCAGCGAGTTTGAATATCCTGTTACTCGGACTGTGGGATTCATTGGCGACTCAGGAGTTGGTGAGTGCCTTCTTTACCGTCCTGTTGACTTTGCCTTTCCTGACTCTCGAACCAGGCAAAAGTTCTCTAATCAATTCACTCTTGGACCAAGGAGGTCTATCGCGCTCGGTATGTTACTTGTCTCCGCGATGAGAAAAATAGCTAAGGATTATCCTCAGGGCAGCGATGGAGCAGCGTGCACCTGTGTGGTCACAGAGTTCAGACACACAGACGACGCCCATACGGGCCCCTTTACCATTGAAGCGGAGTTTATGACTACCAAAGAAATGAAGGAGCTCTTGGAGGAACTCCTATTGAATTTCCGACAGTTCTACGTCCCTTCCGCTTATCGCGAGCTTCAAGGCGAAGAAGCACGACGGCAATGTCGAGATGCCGCTGAACGAGCTTGGGAAACGTTCCGGTCCTTGTTCAGGAGCCAGCCGAGACTAACTATAGAGTTTTTATCTGAGGATCAGGATGAAGCTTTTGATAAGATTCTCTCTGAGTTAGAGCGATGGGCATATGCAGGTTTAACTCATCGGCCTGGTGGAACTGATGCGCTGGATTATTCGGCTATTGCCGGCGATCTGAGGGAGTGTAAGGACTTGCTTGATATGCTCACGGCCGATCATCAAGGGGGTGGTAATCCCGCACTCTGGCCATTTATCAAGCTAATTAGGTCTGTATTATTGAGTGCTTGCCAAAAGTTGCCTATGCTGAAGATATCAGGGTTTATCTGAGTTCGCCTGTTTTGCGAACTGGCCTGGTGTTGGCTGATCTTCCTGGTACGCCTTGATGCTTGGAAGTAATACCCTCTCGGAGAAGCGTTGATTGATTTTTTCTAGGATTTCGAGACCTAAACTTTGCAAGGGTCAGAGCTACTGAAAGATATTTGAAGCACAAATGTGATGAGGTGTTCATCGTCGCAAATATTTCCCGTGTCTGTTCCGATCAGTCTGTACATGACATTGTCAAAAGATGCAAGCGTAACCAGCCGCGACGAATTGTTTGCACAAGATCAGAAGTATGGCCAATACCTTTACCCCAGGTCTTTTCCTTTTTAACATAGCTTTAGGAAGTATCGGCTGAAGAAGCTGCTCGCATCAAAGATCCAAACGGCCGGCGTGTTAAACAGATGAACGAGGATATCGAGAGAATCAGACAGAGTATCGACGAAACCGAGGTGGCTCGACAAAATGCGGATGAGCGTAATAAACCAGAGCTTGCTCTCAGGGAATCACAGCTGCGGTTGGTTAATGTTGTTCATTATCTCGTGCCCATCGCTAATTTCGGAATAGTGACCAAGAAAAGACGCTGAATTTTGAGTAAGCGCGGCCTCCTTGACGTCCCCTCTCGGTACTTTCTCATCATTTTGTCCAGGATCACACGATTTCTAATCACCCAAAGGAACACCAAAATATCGCAAGAACTTCTGGGAAGACATGAAGGTATCAGAGTATTTTGCGTCAGCAACACACTATACGCGAAACATCGTGCGAGTCGAACCCACCAAGCTGAAGCATATGTTAATTTGACCGGTATCCGTGAGCTTCGTCACTACCGTCAGCTTGTTCCTGCAGAGGCTCAACTGCATGCCACTCGCGCCTTTTTTGATCACGAAGTACCAGTACTGCTACTGTCCTTGCGACAGTGGGCCTTGTCTGGGGCCGATTCCGTGACGGCGGAGAGGGCTAAGACACTGCGCGGACTTCTAGGCAATGTGGAAGAAGTTCTTCGTCGGGTATGAAATTCCACAAATATGCCAAGTGAGCTGCAGAACTACCAACAATGGAAAGATTCCTGATGATAAACAGGGCTTTACCTCACCTCAAGCCTATGTGGCTCGAATGCAAGAGGGATTGAAAAGTCGTTATAATGCGTCGATTAATGATTGCGCAAGTAAGTCGAGCCATGTCATGAGCCGACATCTCCAATAACTCACCCTCTCTAGGAAGTCACCGAGATGAATGGAAAAATATGAGCATCGAGACCAGCTCTGAATGGGCTTCTGTAAGTTTTGCTATGGCTAAACTAGAACCCAAGATGTATCTAATTCGGCTATTAGTGGCACCACTCTACATACAAAGTGTTTTGCGCCAAGTTCGGGACTCACTCCACGCAACAACAGCGCGATCGCTCTTGGAATGATGAGCTGGTACTTCCGACTCGCGATCACTTAGATCCTCAATGGGAAGTGCTACTAGAATGGTTGGAATTACAGATAGGCAGTTCAGCTCAAGATACTGCTGCTATTTTCCAGAATGCTTCCAGACAACTTAGCCGTGAGTGGTTCTTTGTTCCAAAAATTTTAGCCTGGTTGCTCAGGATTTTCCCCCATGCAGCGCATATTCAACTTGCACCTCGCGCCCTTCAAAATCTTCTTCGCAGCATGCTCTCCAGACAGGGTTATATCAATCATCATATCGAGGTCTCGATTAGAGATCTCCTGTCTAACACCGAGTATGCCGATATCCGTCTTCAAGCTTTTGTGGGCCTGGAAACTAATCTTATAACTCAAGGGTCATCAAAACCGATATGCTCTACGGTCATGCCAGCTCATTCATCTCTGGCCTCATGCGGCCAGCTTATATTTCATGTCAAAGAGAATCAGGTATGGTCAATTATTGCCCTTAAATGTTTCCATAATCAAAGCACTTATTCTTACTCGCAACTTTAGGAGGCGGCAGTGATCAAAGGCGGAAGAACATCATGCACAACCATCTTCAACGTTCGAGCCTTTTTCATAATCTTTCTCGCGGTACGTTGGAGGAATACCGGAACAAACTGGCGGTTTGCTTCGGAACCTTGCAGGCCAATATAAATGAGGAGATTGAGAATATTGTGCGGGACTTTCATTCTGTAGTCGCAGAAGCAGGCCACATCCCTGAGGCACAGCAGGAGCCCGAATTAGCACGAGAACTGGAACTGGAGACTAATAGAGCAGAGGGGATTTTGGCTAATGCTCGAAATGTGATGGAAGTAGTGGCCTCAGAATATGCAATCGGTGCTAGCTCTTGAGTCTAGTTCAAGGTCGCCATGCCTAAGCAGTCACTACACAGGGCTCATGATCGCTTCATATGTTCTATGACAAGGTATTCTAGATAGCTTTTGCAGTATTCTAAATTGATTTTCTGTTGGTTCGAGTGTAATGGTATTTTACTTTGGTATCCAGGACTATTCGCAGACAGACCTCCATTACGCTAAGCCCCGATAGCCCTTTCTACGACATTTAATATGCTCTATCGAAACTTGGCTAATTGGGCTTGTGGGAGCACATGAAACAGATATTTTGACACGTTGCACATCAAAGATTGGATCCTAAGCTGAGTAGATGCCCTTTGTGTGACAAAATCGATGGAAAGCAACAAAGACCTGTAAAATGATTCATTCTGGCTGTCAGTTGCCGCGCACCTCCATTATATCGACCAAAACTTTGTGCCTAAAAGAAGATAATTTGATTGGAAAATAGACTGGGCTAGCCTATGCTAGGTCCTGCTTGGCCGGTTGATGCGGGTGCGGTGAACGGCTTGGGAGCATTGTTCGAGACTTCAACGTTCTACATAGGGATTCTTTGCGTTGTTACTTCTACGGAGCGATAGCCACGTGGAAATGGCAACCGGGCTCCATGTCAACGCGCTCTCTTTCAGACACTCTCGGCATGAGGTAAACCATCTATCTCATTTCAGTAGGCCGACGTGCAGCCTAGTACATTGATTCAACGACTAGATAAAGAGGCCAAACCCTATGCCACAACCCGCTATATAGGTAGAATACCATACGTCGTGTCAATAAGTTCTTGACTTCAATACATATAATAGTTGAACTGATACCAGAGCATAATATAACCAGCACTTGTAGGTTGGGGGAGAGTACCCTAGAAGACCTTGAAGCGCTGCTCGGTAAGCAATAGCCTCGCTCCTGAGATATACATGGGGGTCAGATTTGGTGCATGATTTCGCGCGTCATTATGGCGAAACCGCTAAGCCCTCAATACATGACCCAAGGAGCGGGGGTTAGATTCCTGTAATTACGTTGTAAAAGCGCTATTTTGAGCCGTACCGGGCACCATAGGGAATCAGGTACATAGCTTGGAGCCTATACACTAAACTTTCAGCTGTCCAGTTTCAGCTTCTTTCTACTTGGCAGAAATATTTGATTCAGACTCCCAACCAGAATCCCTTCAAAATGCCCGCCCACCCTGATTCAGATATCCACCCAGAGGCCACCGGCCCCGCCAAGGCGCTGGTTGAAAAACATCGGGCGGAACAGCCGCTGAAGTTGTATGCGGGGTGGTTCTGTCCGTAAGTAGCAAGTCGCCAACGCCGGGAATCGCACTTACTGATCGGCCACAGATTTGGTGCGTTCGTATATCACAGCAACTGAATCCGCGGAGTGAAGCTGATAAATTCCCAAGTTCAACGCGTCTGGCTTGCCCTCGAGGAGAAGCAGATCCCATACCAGTACATCGAAGTAAACCCATACAACAAACCTGATTCTCTTCTCACTCTCAATCCCCGCGGCCTCGTTCCAACCCTCTCGTGCCCCACTGACCCGCAGCCTCAACCGCTCTATGAGTCCACCGTGATCTTGGAGTACCTGGAGGAGGCATACCCGTCACACAAACCAAGCTTCCTTCCACAGGATCCGTACGAGCGCGCCCGTGAGCGTATCTGGATCGACTACGTCACGTCGCGCATCATTCCGTCCTTCCATCGCTTCCTGCAATACCAGCCCGCCGAGGGTGGTGGTGCGGAAGACGATGTGGGATTGGACAAGGCACGGCAAGACTTTCTGGGCCACCTCAAAGCCTGGACAAAGGAGATGCACCCCGAGGGGCCCTTCTTCCTTGGCTCCGAGGTGAGCTTGCCTGATCTTGTGCTAGCACCGTGGGCAGTGCGACTGTGGGTATTTGATGCTTTTAAGAGCGGTGGGTTGGGGGTTCCTGCTGAAGGACGCGGTGGTTCTGACGAGGTAGTATGGAGAAGGTGGAGAAAATGGGTATCTGCGCTTCAGAAACGGAAGAGTATTCAGGAGACAACAAGTGAGAAGGAGTATTATCTGCCTATCTACAAGCGGTATGCGGATAATACCGCGCAGAGTGAACTGGCAAAGGCCACTAGGGCTGGCCGGGGTGTTCCATAAACTTCACCAAATGTCCAGCACAATTTAACTTTGATTGTCTGATTCACTCTCCCTTCCTCTTTGCCATCTTCCATGAAGAACTCAAACATCCGCAACATTGTCACTGTCCCTTTTCGGCAATGCCCATACACCTCGGATAAACATTCCTCCCCACCTATCTTCACGTGACCTGTGGAATATCGGATCCATTTCGGGCTCGACAACCATCGACATCCAAGGCCATTGCTTGCTGTATCGCGATTCCGTTCACGAACGGCCTTTGTTCCGCATAATGGGATCCGATCACCGGGATGATCGGGCTCGCCCAGGCTCGGGGTCTGAGCCCAAGATGCCAGACCTCCCATCCATTCACCCGTCTTTTATCCAGGTAGCCAAGCCTTACATCTTCGAGGAGACGATCCAGGGTTGCATTGAAGCGATGGGAGTGAACCGGACACGTGAAGAATCGCTCCGCTTACAGGGTGTTTCGTGGATTGATAACGTGCGGAAGGTGCTTCACCTGTATGTTAAACGGTCTCGGATGCGCGTGATGAGATGAGGAATGCACCGAGATGCTGACTGAGTGCGCAGACCTGTGCGGACATTTAACACGGCCGTGATGTACTACCACCGGTTCCGGTTGGTGCATCCGGATAATGACTATAACTTTACAGTATGGTTATCGCATATCCCTTCCTCTATGCTCTCTATCCTGACCATTGTATAGGATGCCGCAGCTGCGGCTCTATTCACAGCATGCAAGATCGAAGACACACTGAAAAAATCTCGGGAAATTGTGTGTGCGGCCTACAACCTGAAGTTGTCCGCTTCAGAACATTTAGTCCCGGATGATCCTGTATGTCGACGTCCCTCGAAAGGAAGCCCAGGTGGTGAATCATACGCTGACCTTTCCTTCAGTTATTCGAAACACAAGCTCGTGGTGTCATTGGACTTGAAAGGCTTATGCTGGAATCGTCGGGCTTTGACTTCCGTACTCGGCACCCTCAGAAGACTCTGGCCAAGCTGGCCCGGCGTTACAATCTACCAAAGGACTCGGAAGTCTCCGATCTAGCTTATCGCATTTCGCTGGATCTGTATCGAACGTTTGCACCGGTCAAACAGACCACGCCAACCATGGCATTCACGTGTCTCGAGCTTGCGGGCCGGCTCTTGGATCAGCGGCTCCAGCCGGTGGAGTCTGGGGAGGACTATACACAGTGGAATACCAGCCGCGGAGAGGTCATGGGTAAGAGTTCTCTACCGATTTTGATGGGTCTCATCTTGGATAACTTATTGATATTCTCTCTAGAAACCCTCCTTGACATCTTAGAGCTCTACACTCACAACCGCGCTTCAACCTCGGTTGGCCCTCATTTCCCACCAGACCGATTCCTCACAGTACGCATTCCACTTAACCAAGAAGTAAAAGAACACCAGATCCCACGGCATGCAACGCCCACAGACCGATCGCACAATGTGGGTGAAAGCCCCACGCAGAACGGCACTAGTGCCAAACCAACGGACGTGTCTCAACGCCCCCATCACCCGCTGACGCCAATTGCCGCCAATGGTGACCGCCATGGGACGAGTGAGCGTGGCCGGGATGCGGCGGTGCGGTTTATGCTGGATCCGGCGTGTGCGGAAGATGAGAAGAGGCGGGTGGCTGAGTATTTCAAGGTGGAGATAGAGGAATATGAGGTTGAGGAGTGAAACCGGTGGCTGGCTCAGCCAGTTATACGATGAAAGATGGCTTCCCTGGTGCGCGAGAGCTTCGGTGGAGGGTCGCCGGTCGTTTCTATGATGGACTTTTATGATACCCCACTTTCAACACTTCATGACTTAAAAATAGATGATGCTACTTTGATCATCTTGTAAATATGCATCATTACTTTTCCTACCTACGTGTCTTTAAGCACCATTTCCACCTTGCTGTCTGTTATACCACAGTTTGGGAGGGGGACTATCAGCCAAGTGCAGGTCTACCATGAGGCTCGCAGTAATCATAAACCAACATCGAATTCTGCATTAACAAAACAAACGGAAATAGTGGTCAGGGTTCAAAGTAGCAAAAAGACAAATTGAGCAAAAGCAAACTGAAGTCCTTCATCCTCCACCGATCCCAACTCCAATGTCCCCGAAACTCATGAACAAGGCACTCTGGCCGACCTCGGTCGTGGCCTAGGTCGTGGCCTAGGCTTCACCTTCACCCAGTCTCTGAATCTCTTCCAAATCACTGCTTCCCTAAAAAAGACTCCCCGTTGGGATGGGTGGTGCCCTTAGCAATGGACTGCCGCCTCGCACCATTCGATACCATTTTATCTTTTGTGGGGCTGGTAGTTTCTTGATACATCTCTTGCTCAGCCAGCGCACATAGCCTTTCCTGTTTGATCAGCTTAATGACCCAGGTTCGAGGGTAGCGATGGTTGTCCCTTAGTAGCGAGATGCGCGGAACAACAGTGAGAAGATTGTCCACGGAGACCTCCGAGACGATTTCGCTGTGAGCATCATTGCCAGTTGGGAAATGGAACGGCCTGCACTCTTGATCTCCCCACTCGTGTGGATCAAAGTCTGACTCGTACTTGTTCTTGGAATGTTGGATGGGGATCCATATCTCGATCGCCCTCTCCACAATCTTTGCTAGAACTTGTCGCAGCTCGCTATATTGGGTTTCGGAGAGTAGCTCATAGAGGTGTGATGCAACTTTCCTCACCACAGCTTGCACCCTGGACTGAACGGAGCTCCGTTGAGTCTCGGTCTCGATAGAGAGAAGCATTGCTCGACAGAAAGATTCTTTCTCGCTATCTTCGCTAGCGAGCTGGCTCAGAATGTCCCGGATTTGACAATCCTCTGAAAGAAGATAGTTCGGCTGGAAGATGTGCTTGTTGATCTCTCGGGCAAGAATACCCAGGATCACGGCGAGGCGCATCCCTTTGGCGGGGACAGAATTCGAAGCAAGCAGAGGGGCATGATGTCGCACGGCATTCTCGCTTTCTCTTCGAAATTTGTTCCATTTTTCTTTATCCTGTGATTGTATCAGTAGAGACATCAATTAGTGAAATAGGGCATCACACACATTGAGAGCCTCGAGGGTGAGATTCTGGCCCAAGATTGTATACAGCTCGTCGGCGGCATAATCCCACAGAGCTGAAAATGCGTCGATCCTGAGGGAAGTGAATATTTATCCTAGTACAAGGTGCAGGGGAGACATACATGGATTCTTCGTTTTTTTCGGAAAATCGAATGGTAAAGCTCTCGAGCTTTTGAAGCTGCGTCCGGGACTTCTTCGCTTCTTCGTCGAGATGCTTCTTTTCCTCCTCGAGAGCGTCGTTTTTCTTTTTCTCGGACACAAGCAATTCCTTCAGGTTTGAACCAGCACCCTTCATTTTGTCAATCAGCTTATCCTTCTCCTTGATAGTAATCTGAAGGGACGTTATTTCTCGAGAAGCGCGTGTTACTTTCGCTGTCTCTTCCGTTTTTTCTGACGTCAACTGATTTATCTGGCTTTGAAGGCCTTCCATTAGCTGGGCGGATTTAGTTAGATCTGTATCCTTCTCTGCCAGAGATGTCTCAAGAGATGTAATCTTTGCCTGCGCTTCTGTTTTCTCGGCTGTCAAATGATGGTTCGCAGTACACATTTTGCTGACTGTGACTCTTGTGTGTTGTTCCTGGGTTTCGTGTTCTTCCTGAGCTTTGGCGAGCTCGCCTTCCAGGACCGCGATGCGTTCTTTCTGTTGATCGATTTCATCAAGAATGTGCGAGGTATCCTGCAGTTCCTTCCTCGAGGCGAGAATGGCAATGTGCTTCACGGCATTCTTCAGGACGTCGTTGTATAATTCAGGGGAAGAGGAGCCTTCCTGCCGTGCAGGCCGAGACTTGGCTTCTACAGACATGTTGATGCGGTGTTTGATAAGAGGAAAAGTAAAGAATCTCTGAACGATGTGAATTCATTCGGTGGTGAAAAATGCCCCAATTTATAACTTTCCCCCTCTGTACTTCCAGCGGACTTTGTCCATGTAGATGGGATGAATAAACCGCCCGGTATGAAAGCACCCTGGGGCTTCTAGCAGATGGTCCTTGAAAATTGGATATCGGCTTGACCACAATTCTAGCAGAGCCTCTCGCCACGGAATAGTAAGGAGATGAGTTGTCTTGTATGCATCTTGTATGCGCAGGAGACCGGCATATGTGGCGACGTGTTCTGGCTCGTACGGGTGCCCGCACTCATGCAGTACTTGTGCCCCGGGGTGCGAGTCATGCTATGCAGGCTACGCTCGGTCGACATTAAGATCGTTCGAATCACTGGCCGGCACAGGCGCCTCGGCCAGGCAATCTTGCATCTATCGAAGGATGCAGATCAATCTTCATGGTGCCCTGATAAGCCTTCTCGGGGCGACGAATCCCAACCCTCCCGCTCGATATAAACACCCCCGGTCCTCAAAAAGGGAGGGGATGTGGCTTGAGCAAGGTACGTGTCCCAACTAACAGATTTGTATCGCTTACGGCGGGTGCACAGAGCCAATGCCGGGTGAAAACCTGCCTTCAAGTGAGGCTGGAGATTGCGGCCAGCTGCACGATGCGAACATTGGGACCGTGCTGGACCCCGCACATTGGAGATTGATGGATCGCATTAATCACACAGCATGACTGCCTCTCGCATAGCCCGCTTCTCGTTCTTAAGTTCATTTTCTGGTTACACAAGTATACATTCTTGATCAATCAAAGATAGGTGCCACGACTCTGCTGGTCTTCTTTTTCTCCCTTTGCTCCTCTTCAAGATCCTTAGATTGATTGGCTCGGACACTATCTATAGCTCAAGACCGGCAAATTGCCCACCTTCGTCGCGAGTTCCGTCCTTACTCTCAGGATCGCGAGCCTACTTGCGGTATAGATAAGAGCTGGATTCCCTGATATTCCAAGGCCATCATCTCACGCCAAAAGATGGCGCAAAACGATCCTGACGAGAGGCTGGTTTACTTGGCCTGTCAGCATATTTTCCGCGGCTCGAACTCCCACGTGAGAAAATTGAAGGCCGTCAAAGGTTTGATTGAACAAAATCGCCTTGCCCTCAGCGATATTCTGCGGGAGCATGATATCGATCGCACCAGCACCGTGGCTAAAAAGCTGCTTGAGAACCGGGTGTTCAACTCCACGTTGAGGGCCCGGACTCGATTTCCCGAGTTGTTTGATGTGTCGCCTACTCAGAGCGCCGAGAGAGAAGCTTCAGAGGCGGAGGCAGCGAGAGATGAGGCAAACACGGTGCAGGAGATTTCCGAAAGGGAGGCCCCAGAGGAGATTGAAATTGTCTCTTACGCGGCATTCAATGATGAGCGGACGCCCTCTACCGATCGATTCACCTCGACGGCACTCCTAAAGAACAATCTGGGCACCATTGCAACGGTTCCGTCGCTATACCCGGTATACATTCAGTATCGAGGCCAGCATTTTCTTTTGACTACTATTCAAGGATTGCTTGAAGAAAGCTGCTTTAAGTTTGCGCAGCAGCAGTTCCCTCATGTCCTAGCAACAAATGGATGGGATTGCCCCGAAGCCGGAGAGCTCACCGAATGGACTAAGATTCTAGCCCAGCATCCAGCCGCGATGGTCAAAGATCTGAAAAGGCCCCTTCACGAGGTGCTCGGTCTGCTTCGCGAACTGCGCCACTCTGCAGTCCACCGGCTTCGAAAAACCGCGGCCGGGGTCGAGCGACTGGCGGAAAACGCACAGCTTTTCCTGGAGGCCCTCGACGATCCGGTTCGTTCGGAAAAGGTCGCCTGCATTCGGCGGGAGTTGCGATCTTCCACGGAGGAGCTCAAGCGCAACAAAAACCTCTTGGAGGGAAGGTTGCTCGCGCAGCTCAGAGAAATACAAACCAGGCGGATTGAATTAGAAGCGTGGGAAAAAAGCGCCAAGGAAACAATGATGAGTGAAAACTTGCAATGTTCGAATGATATTGCCGAAGGTCTGCAAAGATGTGTTCAGGCAATCAGAGCCGACGAGCCGGCGGGAGTGCAGGGAGAGAACACGCTGCTAGATGAGTACTCGGATTCATTGGATTCGGAAGACGAGGTTCTCGAGCCGGTTGTAGCGGCTCCGCAGTCCCACGGGCTGGTGAACAGTCTCGTGGAAGCGATTGCCGTTCGTTGGAGAAGCAATTTCTTCGTCGTTGCTTCCTAGTCAATACGCAGTAGCTGTTTCATGCATGCATCTCCACGTACTTGTTCGGACGTGACTATAAATTCAAGTCGTCCAGCTCAACATAGGCAGACCACATCACCTTTTGCGTCGATCCGTCCACAAAATCGAATGTCGCAGCCCAGTCCATTCGATGGGGTGGAGAGGAGTCGATGGAAAGAGCCAAAGTCAACGTCAAAGTCAACGTACGTTGGATTGAAAGCTATGTACAAATTATACATTCCATCTCCGGACCCACGGCCCACCAGGGAGAAACCACTGCAAGACTAGAAGAAAGCAAACCACTGTGTTCCTCCCGAAGCAGGCCTTGTCTTTTATGACCTGTTCGGGCTATGCATTAAGAAGGACCGTTGTTCATCCACGGTCGCAAAGTATACCAGCATCCATGAGACCCCAGCCCAAGCCATCGAAGTAAAATCATCAAAGAGGACCAACGCAGACCCCAGAGCGAGTCGGCAGAAAACGTAAAGGATAATAAAGCCAAGAAAAAAGTTAGACAAAAACAGCCATGAAGTAAATAAAAAGATCGTCCCCGTGCCTCGAGCGCGAACATAGTTTGCTGCCTCCCTTTGAAATGGAATCGAGTTCCTTGCCATTTAGCTCACTTGTTGAAATGTGGTAGATGCCGCGTTGAAAGACGAGTGGACGTGTGAATATGCTATGCATGCACGCAGGTGGAGCATGCAGGTCTCAACGGGACAACATAACAAACAGTATGCACGTTAAATCCCCGATAGAAGCAAGGATAGAGGGAGAAAGTTCGACACGACAGCAGCTAGTTGAAAGAACACTGAGACAGAAGCACGGGGCAGAAGGACGTCCTCGTCAAGGAGCAGGAAAAACACAAGGGAAAAAGAAGTCGTCATTTTTGATTGTTCAGGGGGTCGGCGGTGTCAAAGACTCTCATCGCCGCTTGAGCTCATTGGTGAGGCAGTCCAGGATCTATAAAACTTAGTGATTAAGAAAAGCAATGATATGGCGCGAGTACTTACCTTTTCCGAGACGGCCCCCTGGTTGTACAAATACTTGCCGAGGCCGCGGACAACATCAAGCTGCTCCTCAACAGTCAGACCGTTAATGGCGGTCTCAATGATATCGCCCACGCTCGCCTTGTAGATAGCAATGAAGCTGTGGTAGTACATGAAAGCGAAGAAACCCATGATGAACTGGCAGTCCATGCGGTCGGTGATACCACCGTGACCGGGGATCGATTCGCCGAAGTCCTTAATCTTGAAAGTACGCTTCAGGCCAGAGGCAAAGAAACCACCGAAGGGAGCAATGAGAGAAGCGAAAGTAGCAAAGCCCAGGATGTGGAACTGCATGGGCTCGATGTAGAAAGTCTTATCCATGCCAAACACCGCCATGGAGTAGGGCTGCGGAACGAAAGCCGGATTCGGGACGCACTCGAGGCCGGTCAAGACGTTCGCACCAAGATCATTGACAGGGCAGATAAAGTACTTGTACTGCATCAGCAGGTTGGTCATGAAGTAACCGAAGATGACCGTGCAGATCCAAGCTCCAATGAAACCCTCGACGGTCTTCTTGGGGGACAGCTGGATCAACTGAGTGCGGCCAAAGGTGATACCGCAGACGTAAGCGAAGATGTCGTTGGTAATAACCAAAGACGCGGGAAGGAAGAACCAGATCATGCCCTCGAAGATGTTGTTCATCACAAAGTGGGCCTGGACCACAATCAGGTACAGAGCCATATGAGTCCAAGCGAACTGGGTGAACTGGAATCGGTAGTGTCCCTTCTGCAGCGATCCAACGAAGAACACGAAGCCTAATAAGTCTCAGTACATACGGTCCAAATAAAGCCGAGGCGCACCAAACTCACCCATAACGTAGAGAGTAAAGCTAATGAACCGGTGATGCGTCGCCAGGGGCAGAAGAACCTTATCCACCAACAAGATATGCTTGAAGTAGTAGATCACGCTCTCTCCATACAGGAAATACATGGTCGTCGCGAGGAAATACCAATTGAGGGACTTGGTGAAGCGGAGGTTTTTCTGCTTGCTAGGGACATTGGCGATGGCGATAACTTCCTTGAACGAGACGATCTGGATGGCAGTGACTAAACCGATAATATAGATGTGACCGGAGAACAAGGCGACGAAGAAGCCCGCGATCATCACGAAAGACCATATCGTTCGAGTAATGAAGGTCTGTTTCTTTTTCTCGTACTCGGACTGCTGCGGCTTCTGCAGAAATGGGAGAAAAGGACAAGTTAGCCACGCCAAACATACAAGACAAGAAAAGACACGAAGTCTACCTCTTCAGGTATAGTCGTCGGGTGCGACACGCTGCCATTTTTGCCGGGGCTGGAGGGCTCCGAGGGTGCGTCGCTGACGTCGGACACGCTCAGCCGCCGCTCTCCGTTGGACCTGCGTTGAAACCGAACATTGCGGCGAGACTTGGACATGGTGGGCGAAAAAGGAAAAGGGGGGAGGAGGGGGAGGGAATGGAGGGATTATGACCAGATCAGAAAGAAAAGGAAGAGTGGAGTTGGCAAGTTCATGAGCTCATGTGAATCCGAAAGCGGTCAGCTCCGTCAACACAGCGCGAGTTTGGGGAAATTGGAAATCGAGGCAACAACAATTGTGGAGCTGCGCCTCATCCGCCGATTTCTCAACCCCAGCCTGGACCGGTCCTGACGAGCCCTAACCAGCCAAGCTCCCAGGATGATCACGACCCTGTGAAGCTCATTACCTCCAGCAGTCTCCCCTTTTGTCCTCCATTTCCTATTTTCCAAGGCTCGCCCAACGCTCCAGTAACACCATTCATGGCGGGGGCATGGAAGACATTGACGATGATTACTTCTCCGACGACTTCGATTCCCTGCCTCCAGGCACGCTTTACGAGCTCGAGCAGAATGCTTTCCAGGCGACCCAGGCTCCGGCAACGCACCACCAGCAACATGATGCGCCGCTAGCGCTGAACGAGGCCGCCCTCGCGCACACTAGACAGACAGCTGCCGGCTTGAAACTGCCGCCCCGTCTACACACCGGATTGACGAACGATTATGATACGCTGGAGGTGGGAGAATTGGAAGCAGAGGTCTATGACAATGTGGAGGGACAACAAGCAGTTCCACACGGTGCTCATGTACTTGTTAAAGAGAGCGGATGGGCTGTCAATGGCGCCCTAGGTGATATGATGGAGGTCGACGACCAGTATGGCCAAGCAAATGCATACGAGATGAACGCGCGCTTGGAACAAGTAAGTTCAAGCTCTACTGGGCCTTGTCCGAAATATCAAACTAAATATGCTTGTCTGCAGCTCGAACAGGAAAAGGAACAGATGCGCCGAGAGTTAACGGAAGCCAAAACCATGGCCGAAACAAAGGCTGGAGAAATCGCCATAATTCGCTCGAAGCAAACACGAATGGTCGAGGAGTATGACCGACAATTAGCGGCGCTACGTAAGGCCATGGCCGATCGGGAAACCACACACAAGGAAGCGGTCGATGCGGCGATGTCAGAGGGTAAAATGCTGGCGACGGAGAACCTCTTCCTCCAGCAGGATCTAGCCGAGGAGGTCCATCAGCTGCGCAACTATAAATCGAAGCAGCGCACCGAGGAGAAGCTTCCACCTGTTACTCCAAAAAAGTCTCGAGTACTCCCTTTCCGTGATGGGTTCGATGATGATGAGATCGCGGTGGTGTCTCCTAGCAAGTCAGCAGCACGGTCAAAACGAGGTACACCAACGGTTCCTGGGAAGCGAAAACGGCAGGCAAGCCATGACGGTCCCGCTCCGTTACAGCTCAGCCCCGCGGGAGAGCTCATGATGGTTGATCTCCCCACCGATACCACCGGAACTGTCTTTGACGACGAGCCCAAGCCACGGGATGTGGGCAACCATGATCCGCACCTTATGAAACGCCTTTTGAATCATAGAATGCTTCCTGGACAGCAGAGCGACCTTGAAGCGTTCGCCAGCCTCTATTTCCCGTCCGAGCCGCATAAGCCTCTATCGAGTATTGTCATGGACGGACTGGCTCAGTCAGATATGGGCAACTTCGTGTTGGAATACATGTATACCATTGGGCCGCTCTGGCGACGGGGACTAACAGAACGCTTCTATGAACCAGTGCCTCGATTCATGTCCATTGCGAGGTATGTCTTGATGACGGACGGTGCTCCGCTCTCGGATCTGATTACTCCCTTGGTCGGTGTACTTCAAGATTCGGTGGAGGTCAATGCTGTCCCCCGGTTCAAGTACTCCCCAGCAGCACGAGAAAAGGCACGGATACCCCGGTCAACCCCCCAATCGGACCTACATTTGGAAGTCGATTCGACCGAGGCCCTTCGCCTACTCTATCACATCTCATGCCAACTGCTACATGTAAAGGGGGCACTCGATAATTTCTGGGCACACATCCGGTACACCTTCATCTTGGTGATGCTGCATGGCTCTCAACCGCTCAAGGACATCATGATCATACTACCTCTGTTGTTAACCAGCATCCGTGTAGACTCGTTCGGCCCCATCATGTCCTCGGAGCAAGACCAGGCGGACGTGCAGAAATGGATCATCGACCGTCTCTCCTTCATGCTCAGCGAGGCGGTCATTCCAGATGAGGGCGTCGAGCCTTACACAGCCTACGACATTTGTGCTATGCGACTTGAGGTTCTCATCTTGCTCGAATCTCTAGCCTTCAACCCGGCCGCCCCGTCCCGAGAACATGGAAGTGCCATCATCGCAGCCCACCCAACTGCTTTGCCGCGTCTATTCCGATCGATGCATGACGAGCTGGATGCGCTCTACTCGTCACCTCCTGAACAGGACCTGCGCGTTGCAATGGTCAATGGTCTGATGCGCCTAATATTCGGAGTCATGCGTCGCCATGGGTCATCCATCAACATGCAGGAGAAATTGGCGTGTGTACCGGGGAGCAAACAGAAGCACCTGGTGGTGCTCACGCGTCTGGCATTCTGCGATGGGTCTGTCCTCGAGGCGGGCGTCGATGATGAGACGGTTGACATGGCACACGAACTGCTGGAAGAATGGACGAATCCGCAAGAAGCTGAGTCGCTAGCCGAAGCGTTCCCCAGTTCTCGGCGAGAGTGACGAAGGGAGGGCAAGGTAGGGAAGGTAGGGATGGCGTTTATACAAGGACAAAAAAGGGCTTGCAAATTTGACATGGCGCTGAGGATCTTGGTTAGGCTGCATGCATCTGCTTCTACGAGTTCTACGAGTCTGAGATACCAACATCTACTTAAATATAAGGCAATCAAATAACAAGGGCGTGGAAAGTAAGAGCTTCAATATTAGTCCAAGGGCGATAGGGATCATCCGGGAAAGGGTGAGAAACGGACACCTGAAAAGCGAGGTAATATTCTCAGAGCACCGTAAAACATGCCTTCATGCGACTCTGGCTTCCAGCAGTGTGCGCTTAGACACAAGCTAGCAGGGAGACGCGTTATGGCACAAGGGGGACATAATAACATCGGGGATAGGTAGGATTCTCTTCTCCAAGATCGAGTCATTGACTCGAGGCTTGATGAAAAGATGATCCACAGGGTGGAAGGTGCCAAAGAATACGCCTGTCAATGACCCGAAAGCCGTTGAACAGACTGTTCCGCCGCGCTGTGCAATGCAGGGACCAATCTGTGGTGGACCGCCTTCATGATCGCAGCCACCCAAACAAGGTAAGTATGAAGAAGAAAAGAAAAAGAAGAGGAAGAGCCGCGGGGGAAGGTGGGTATTTATACCCGCGGACCCCCGCTAGTGGCAAGCGAGTCAGGTGCCAGCCAATCACATGAGAGTTCAGTGTCGCCTGGTTAGTCGGGCAGTCAGGCAACACGGCAACAAGGCAACAATCCAATATACCAGTCACGTGCACTGCGGAAGTTTTGGGAGAAGAGCATCCACCACGCGGGCCCCGTCGAGGAAACAGCAACCACCACTTCCCCAGCGTCGTGTCTACGGAGTCGCCACCATGAGGAACAGGGCCAGCACCTCCTTATCTAAGGGGGTACGTCCAATTGCATACTCTGCCCCCGCCCCAGCCACACAAAATCTAACTGTCTCTTCCAGAAAATCCGTCAATCATGGAGCAAATACAACCTGTATAACCTGCAACGATTCCGCAACCCAGCCACTGCGAACCGCACATTTTTCCAGCAGAAATGGAGCGCTAAGGCAGTCTCGCGCGCCTACCACGGTGAGCAGGTCCGTGAGGGCCAGTGGAAGCGCATGTTCTCTCGCCGCATCCGCAGCGTCATCCCCATGAACACCTCCGATCTGGCAGCAGATGATGGGTCGAAGGTGTCTGCTGGTCGTGGCTCTGGACTGAAAGAGGGCGGCCCCACGCAACGGTCTCGTCTTATTCCTTACACACAGATGGCGTTCGCTCCCCTAGAGCGCCGGTTGGACGTTGCTATCTTCCGGTCTTTGTTCGCCAGCAGTACACGGCAGGCGAGGCAATTTGTTATTCACGGCGCGGTTACTGTCAATGGACAGAAGGTATGGCAGAGCTCAACTGGCTAAATTGGGATTCGCAGTGGACTTACATTATTTTCCCGCTAGATGAGACATCCCAGCTACCTCCTCAACCCCGGTGACCTCTTCCAGGTTGATCCGGACCGTGTTATGTACGCTACCGGTGCCCCAAAGACTGCCTTTGAGCGACGCGAGACCCGTCAGCTTAAGCAGAAGAGCGAAGACGCCGAGGGCGAAGCGGAGGGTGAAGAGGCCGAGGCCGTTGAGAAGCCGAAGGATGAGAAGGAGGGTATCCGCGACAGCCTCAAGGCGTTGATGGCTCAAGCTAAGACTATCATGTCAACGGATAAGGAGATCCTCCCCGCAAAGCGAAAGCAGGAACTACGCGGCTTCCAAAAGGCCGTGCGCCGTGTGCTGTCCCGCTCCGACACCAGCACCGTCCTGACAGACAGTCTGGAGACCCAGTTCTCTGAGTTGACCTTGCTCCTCAAGGCCAAGCGGGCCGAGAAGAAGCCTGCCAAAGAGTCCAAGAAGGACCCCAAGGGGGAAGATACCACCCCTTCCGCTGCCAAGAAATCAGAGGAAACCGCCAGCGGCGCGCTCTCCGAAGCCTTCCAGGCCGCCGCCGAGGGAGGCGAGGTCGACACCTCCGAGCTGACGGACGAGGAATTCGACATCCTCAAGCGTGCGCTCACCCAGATGCGCGACAACCCCATCGACAACTCCAAGCCCTACGCCACCCCCTGGCGGCCGCGCGACTACATGTCAGCTTTCGCCTTCATCCCGCGCTACCTCGAAGTGAACCAGAACATCTGCGCCGCCGTGTACCTGCGGCACCCGGTCGCGCGTCCCGGTTCCGCAGAGGTGCCCACTCCCTTCGGCGAGTCGATCAGCACACCGGCCTACGGCTGGTACCTGAAGAGACGGTGGTAGAGGGAAAAACTAGAGACTAGTCTTCCCCTTGCCTGCTGCTCTTCTGTGTCTTTATTATTGTCTACCCCCATTTCCTACGACTGTATTACTGGGCCTCTATTGGATCTGTCTTTTCTCCCGCCTCTGATTGCATATTTCCTCTGGTGCTCATAAGGGGACCCCTTTGATGGGATCATGTTGACCATGGTGTTGGTGCCTTATTTTTATCGTTATTGTTGTCGGGACTTCTGTGTCCCTGTGTATCACCATAGCCACAAATGAATTGTAAATGGAATATATCGATGTTGCTTGCATAATTCTTCAAAATTTAGGTCACTGCTAATAACTACCTGAACTACATATACTCAGAAAGAGATACCGCTGTTCCCTTTTTCAAGCATTTTTAGGAAGAATCGAATCCAAATCTCCCTCAATGCCTGCAACTGGTCGAAGACAGCCACCTGATAAGAATTATTTGCTTGCCAGGGCATCGCTAATGAGGCTTGGTGGGTTGCTTCAACGTGACTGGCTAAGCGCCCAGTTGGGCGGTAACATAGCCTCCTGCAGCTCAATCAGCCTCACCTCGACCAGCCCCGTCACTTCAATTCCCATTCTCTCCTTTGAACTCATTCCGCTGCTCAATAACCGCATATTATCTATAGCAATATGAGTTTTGGCTTTGGAGTCGGTGACTTTCTAGCAGTTCTCAAACTAGCCAATGACGTGAAGGACCGCTTTGCACAGGCGCCAAAGGCGTACATGGCCATCTACCAAGAGTAAGTCGGGGTCACTCGCCGGTTGTCTCATTGATGTTAGTGGTGTTGATAGCGAACTGCAGAGTCGAGCTCCTATCTACCATATTACATCGCATAGAGTGTCTGGACGAAAATGATTTCGAGGAACAAGCAAAAGATATGGAAAAGGTCTTGACCAACTGCCAGGATCTTCTTGGAGAGCTCAGGATCAAGCTGGACAATTTCGAAGTGCTGGCGAATGATTCGACCCCCGACTGGAACAAGAAAGCTCAGCGGGCCTGGAAGAGGATCAAATGGGATCAGAAGGAAATAAAAGACTTTCGATCTCGCATCGTGTCTAACATATCACTGTTCAATCTTTTAGTAGGCTGTAACAATCAGTATGCTCTACGCAGATCCTTTCTATTGTGCCTACACAGCTCCTTGCTAACCTGTGGTATAGAAGCTTGATGGTGGAAAGAACGCGCGGCATCGAGGCAAAGCAGGACTTCGTTATCCAAAGGCAAGACGAATGGGAACGAGAAAAAGTTCTATCCTGGATCAGTCGAAGCAGCCCAGCAGCAAGACAAAGCGAGGTTTTGAAATCTCGCCAAGAGGGAACAGGAACATGGGTGCTGGGAACCGCGGAATTTCAGCACTGGATGACTCGCGAGAAGCAAACTCTACTCTGTACCGGCATTCCAGGCGCAGGCAAAAACTGTCCTTGCATCTACCATCATCGACCATCTGGAACACTCCTTTTCCAATCAAGACAATGTCGGGGTAGCATACTACTTCTGCGACTATCGCCAGGAGCAGACACTACTTGGCATCTATTCTGCCATTCTTCGACAGCTTCTACAGCGACAGCCATCGATACCTGAGCACGTCAGCTCACTATACAAGAAGCTCACACAGCAAGATAGCCGCCCGTCGAAGGATGAAGTGTTCGAAGCATTACAAGTCACCATCTCGAAATACAACAGAACTTTCATTATCCTGGACGCGCTTGATGAATGTCCGTTATCTGATTCTCTAGAAGGCGCTCGCTTTTCATTCCTTCACAAGATTGTCAGTCTACCAGATCAGGCAAATGTCAGCCTCCTTTCAACATCTCGATTAGATCAAGAAGTTTTAGCCTGTTTCGAGAACGGGGCTTCTATGGAGATAGAAGCTGCACGGGAAGATATCCAAGAGTATATTAACGTGCGCATCAATGACCTTCGTCCTTTTGTTCGCCGCCGGCCAGGGCTTGTGCAGGACATCAAAGACGAAATCACAGATGCTGCTCGGGGAATGTAAGTATACATTCCAGATTACATTACAAGCATATCTTAATTCATCCTCAGGTTTCTCCTTGCCCGTCTTTATATCAATCTGCTCACAGATCAACCAAATGAGAAGGGAGTTCGAACAATGTTGGAGCATTTTCGCAGCGGTTCCCGCCCCAATGTTTACCAAGATGCCTATGACCAGACGGTGACAAGGATGGAGAGTCAAGGCGCAGATGCTCTTGAACTCTCAAAGAAAACGATAGGTTGGATCATGAACGCGAAAGAGCCGCTCACTGTTGACAAGATCGAGCATGCCCTTGCTATCGAAATTGGGTCCTCCGAATTTGATAAGACAAACATTACCGACATCAAACAGATAACTTCATATTGTTGTGGTCTAGTTGTGGTCGACACTGAAACGAATCATGTTAAGCTTGTCCATTATACTACACAGAAATACTTTGAAGGAACGATGGGATCGTGGTTCCCTCAGATCCATCAGATAATCACCGACAGTTGTCTCACGTACGTGTCATATGATTGCTTTGAGATGACTCCCTCTTCAGTAAGCAGCGCACGTGAAGAGCTATCTGGCAAATTCCCACTTTATAATTACTCGGCTCATTGTTGGGGAAATCATTATCGAGAGCATCCTGGGAGACATTCTATGGCCCTCGAGTTCCTTCAAAATCAGGACAAGGTCAAAATGACTAGCTTTGTCATCAGAGAGGCCGACGTACCCCTCTACGATGATATTCATCCCCTTGGCGATATTGGGACAAGGGGAATTCATCTTGCTAGTCATTTTGGCTTGCGAAGATTGATTGAAAGTCTCCTTGATGACGATCCCAGTGACATTGATCTTCCAGATTTCAAAGGAAGAACACCCTTCCTATGGCGGTGGCAGGGAATCAGGAAGCGACGCTAAAGTTCCTGTTAGATCACGGCGCCAACATTAGTTCTTGTGATGACTTCGGCAGGACTGCCTTGCACTCAGCCGCCCGGGGTGGCTATAAAGCAGCTGTCCAACTGCTTTTGGACAATGGAGCCAGCGTTGATTTTCAAAGGAACAACGGGGAAACCCCGTTGCACTCAGCCGCCCGGGGTGGCCATGAAGCAGTGATCCAACTGCTATTGAACAATGGGGCCAGCGTTGATTTCCAAAGTAACATTGGCGAGACCCCTTTACACTTAGCCGCCTTGTGGGGCTGTGAAGCAGTTGTCCAACTGCTATTGGACAATGGAGCCAGCATTGATTCTCAAAAGAAGGATGGCGAAGCCCCATTACACTCAGCCGCCTTGGGTGGTCATGAAGCAGTTGTCCAACTGCTATTGGACAATGGAGCCAGCATTGATTCTCAAAAGAAGGATGGCGAGGTCCCATTACACTCAGCCGCCCAGGGTGGCCATGAAGCAGTTGTTCAACTACTGTTGGACAATGGAGCCAGCGTTGATTCTCGAAGTAGTCATGACGAGACCCCTTTACTCTGGGCCGCCTTGGGTGGCCATGAAGCAGTTGTCCAACTGCTATTGGACAATGGAGCCAGCATTGATTCTCGAAGTAATTATGGCGGGACCCCACTGAACTTAGCCACCATGTGTGACCATGAAGCAGTGATCCAACTGCTATTGGACAATGGAGCCAGCGTTGATTCCAAGGAGAATTTTCCGGCCATGCACCGTTAAATATCACTGCACAGATGAGTTTTGGCTGTTCCCGCATGGTCAAATTGCTTGTGAATAAGGGATAAGGGGCAAGAGTCAGACATGTCAATTCCGAGAGCCTAGAATTTCACCCGTCATTATCTCGCGCAGCATAGAAAAGTCAGCAGAGTGTGGTGAAGCTATTCCTGGATAATGGAGCTTGCTCGAAGCCACCAATCCATGGTCCAGAACCATTAACCATCGGTTGTGAGCCTTCTGGGCATGCGCGCAGGGTCATGAGACGGTGGCCACAGTGCTGCTCGAAGTAGGGGTAGATCCTAATGTACCGGATCCATTCGGGAGAACACCTTGGTTTACCGCTGTGGGTGGCCGAGTGGCATGGTACGTCTAATGCTCGGCTTGCCGTACGTTGACGAATCTCATGCCGGCATCTGAGGGTTTGTGCCAATTCTTGAATCTCAAAAACGGCAGTATGATGAGATAAGGACTCTGTTTGAGAGAAACAGAGGAGCAACTCGAATCGAGTTCAGAGTTGTGGCCAGCACCTATCTTTGGTGGGGGGGAGGAGGGGGGGTGTGTGTGCTTCGTTCACCATGAAGAGTGTACAGTGGAGGGAGTTGGTATATTGTAGACAGCTTGATTTCTGCAAGTTCTGCCCAGGGGCAGACTTTGTCCAGCGAAAGGGGACAGTTGGACTCGAGAAGCTCCATGAATGGGATCTTGGCAGGGAAACGTCTTGGTGTAACTGATCTGGGTCCTCCTGGTCTTGTCCCACTTGGTCAAGATCTTGTTTTCGGGACATCCATTGCTTTGAAGGATATTTAGTGATTGGGAGGAATTGAAGCTAAGGTGGCCTGCAAAGAGGATTTATTTCTAGTCAATCACTTCTCACAGAGAGACCCAATTCTACCCACCGTCAGCTCTTCTCATATGTATTCCTCTCTCATCTCCCCTTGGCTCACTAGTTGATTCCCCTTTGTTGACTTCGTCTCATTTGGTAGTCTTTCGGAGTGACGGCGAGAAGATGTCGTATCCGAGGGCGGTGAGGGGTCGGGCGACGGTGACTGCGGCAACCTCATCGCAGAATAGACGGCGCCAACGCCGCGAGAGATCTGTGTTCCATGCCGATGCCGGTGGGGACTGCTCGAGCTGGCGAAGAGGGCGCACTTGTGTTCTCCGCGTCAAATGTGCGTGGCATGAAGCGCGCCCACGAGCTCGACGCTGACCAGGACGGGGACACGCCGCGGAAACATGGGAAGCGGCTCACAACAAAGGAGGAGGTCTCACTCTTCGAGATCTGTAATCGCCATGCGGACAGCTTCGGGAAACGCAGCGATATTTGCAATTGGTGGAAGACTGTCGCGACGGAATTCACTCACGCCCACGGTCGTCCGTATTCGTGGCATTCGGTGCGGCGAAAAGTGGAGGCGGTCACCAAGCAGCGCGTCAAGTTCCTCGCCGACCAGCGGCAGCGTCAACGAGAGTTGTCGGGGGCGAACCCAGTCCAGGACTTGATGCATCCGCAATGGTGTGCAGTCCTTGATATCTGGATCCCGACTTGGCAACGCTGGGAAGAGGCCGAGGCGCGGCGGATCGCCAAGCGGGACGAGATGAACCGCAGACGCTCGCAAAGTAAACCAGGCGATCAGTGGAGATCTCAACCCCAACCAGACTCGGCCTTGGGACATCTTGGCCTTGCGTCACCTGCCACTCCAGATGAGACTGGCATGGAGGCCAGTCATTCCTTCCACGAGGATGACCCAACGTCTGGAAATGACTTCGTTCCAATTACGCACTCTCCACCACCGTCCCGCGCTGCTGCTGCTGCTACTGCTATAGTGGCGCCTCCGTTTGAATCTTCTTCTATATCAATACCTACCGGGGGTGTCAGACTCCCTCCAGGATTCGAGACTATGTTTTCGAACAGCCATGCCCAAGCCAGCCGGCAGCCTCAACCATCTGCTCCAGTATCAGGAGGAGCAGCAGACCTATCAACCAATAACCGCATGTTCAGTGCTGTCCTCGAAACTCTAGGTAAACTGAACAAACACCTCGACGCAGCGTCAGGCAGCGGTGCCACAGACCCCCGGGCCTCGCCTGTAATTTCAGCCCTGGTCCAAGCAGCTTCCGAGTCCAGTGCCCAGAGCCAAGCTTTCTCCCAGGAATCACAACAATCTACCTCAGGCCATCTGCCATTTATCGATATTGAGCGAATCAAGGAGGAGCTACGTCAGGAGATGAAAGAGGAGCTGCGTCGAGAACGTGCTGCACTAGAAGAGAAGCTGGATGCTGTACAGAGAACACAGGACATGATTCTAGAAATGCTGAGGCAAGAGCCTGCCTGATGGGGGATTTACTGATTTTACTACCCCTTCGCTCAAGCGTTGTTTCTTTGGCCAGCCGGCGTGGTATATTGTTTCTTGTTGTTGTACCTTTATGTTGATATGATACCCAATCTACGCAAACTTTAGTGATCAATGTTTTCATCTTGGCTAATTCCACACTACTGGTCCAATTCAATGCCCCCTTATCTGCTCATACGGCACTTCGGATGTGTCTATTCAGCATCTGGGATTGGGCTACCGGGGCTGGACGAATAGGTGTGGCTACTGATCAAGGTTTAATGGAGAGGTGGCGAGAAAGAAAGGCCGACACTGCAGGTAGTATAATACGAAAGGTCTGCACAGTCAATGCCCAATCGGAGCTTGGGGTTGAAGAAACCCTGTCTCCGCTACTACGAAGATCGTGCGTGTGCAAACCACAAGAGTATACCAAAAGTTGATGGCGATTGCTCCACTCTAAAACGGCCGCAAATCAAGGACTAGAAACATAAGGAAGAGGTAGTACTCATCGGCTAAATTACAGATATGGTAGATAGGCACAGACAAGGGTGCACTGTTCGGGGATCTTCTCCCGCCATGGGACACAAAACACCGGCCCCACACCCAAACAACAGATAAGCTCTCTTTCAAGCACTTTCCCAGGCGCTCAAATTTTCACGTTCAAGGAACCCTCATACCGCTGAAACACATCTAGTAGTAGAAGGTCTCATCGACGGTACGGCCACGCATCCAGCGGGGCTCAGAGCCACGGACGTAGATGTCCTCGAAGAGGTTGCGGGGGGTGTTTTCGGGGGCAGGCATCTGCTCGGCCTCGGCAACCTCAGCGTCGACGTGAGCGCGGGCAGCCTTGTCGAGGCCCTTGAGTTCCTCCTCGGAGGTAACGCCCCACTCGAGCATCTTCTGCTTGAGGCCGGCGATGGGGTCATGGGTAGAGCGCATGCGCTGGATCTCCTCACGGCTGCGGTAGGTGGTGCCGGGGTCGGACATGGAGTGACCACCGTAGCGGTAGGTGACGTACTCCAAGACAAGAGGGCCCTTGCCGGAGACAGCGTAGTCTTTGCTGTACTGGACGGCGGCCTTGGTGGCCAGGACGTCCATGCCGTTGACCTTCAGACCGGGGATGTACTGGCCACGCTTGTAGTACTCGGTGAGCGCGGAAGAGCGGGCGGCGGAGGTACCCATGCCGTACTTGTTGTTCTCACAGCCGAACAGGACAGGCAGGTTCCACAGCTTGGCCATGTTGAAGGCCTCGAAGACCTGACCCTGGTTGGAGGCACCGTCACCGTACAGGACGATCGAGGTGTTGGGCTGCTCATTGTACTGCTGGGCGAAGGCCAGACCGGCGCCGACGGGCACCTGGGCACCGACAATACCGTTGCCACCGTAGAAGTTCTCGGCGAACATGTGCATGGAGCCACCCTTGCCGTAGGCAATACCCTCCCGGCGGCCAAGCAGCTCACCGATGATTGACTTGACGGTACCACCGCGCATCAGAGCGAAACCGTGGCAGCGGTAGGCGGTGATGATCTTGTCCTGACGGTTGATAGCGTGCTCAATACCAACAGCGACGGCTTCCTGGCCGACCGACAGATGGCAGAAACCGCGGATCTTCTTCTCCTTGTAGAGGCGATCGGCGGCCATCTCCATACGGCTATAACGGAAAAGCTAGCTGTTAGGAAGCTGCTTTGAGGGCAGTAGGGGAGAGCATAGGCACATACCGGACGGTGACCATGTCGTAATACATCTGCTTCAGCTCCTTCTTGGTGGTCTCCAGGGTGTAGGGAGGCGGGTCGAGCTCGTAGGTCTCGAAGCTCTCGTCGGAGAGGCGGACGGTGAACGGCTTGTCATCCTCCTATACAGCATGGTCGCCAGTATCAGCATTGAGGCATTCCGGAGCTCGCAAGACGTTTTTCCAGTTTTCCGAACGGGGTCTCAACAAACCTGCGGGATGTTCTCGGCGTGCGAGGAAGCGGCGTCAGTGGTGACGGAACGACGGGTCAGGGGGCAAAAGCCTGACGGCGCAGAGGCGCAGCCTGGCGGGCCGCAGTACGGAAGAGCATGATGTCTGACGGGAGGCCCAATTGAAGATGGGGGGAATGGAGGGAGATAGCGACACTTTTCCGTCAGATGTTGGGAAACGCAAACTTTCCCGATTACTTAAGCGCCTCCCGTTTCGGGTGCGGCCGGTGTGACCGCTGCAAACAGGCCAAACCGCGGAGCTTGCCTGTAGTACCGGAATCCATTCCAGTAGAGCTGTTGGTGAAGCTAAGCTGATAAACTGCTTCGTGGGATCGATTCGGAATGTGCTCCGGAGAACAGTAGAAGATTTTCAGGCATTTCGATCAGTACCGGGGAGGCGTGGTGAACATTGATGATCGCCCCGACCAGACCGAGTCGGACGGTTCTGTGATTGGGCCGCGCTCCGTCCCAACACGACTCAACCCAAATCCCCTATACCGACTGAACGTCGGAGAGGATAGAAAGAGCTCAAATGGACGTCGGTTGTATTTGAATCCATATCGGTCCATATTCCGATGGTTATGATGACTCTAAAAGGATCTCAAAAGGGTTGCTAGTTGCCCAGCTGGTGACGTAATTGGAACCTGTGTGCAAGTATACAACCCTACCTAGTATATATCAGGGGTGATATCCATATATAGGTATTTACGAACCACCGGCTAATAAGGGCACAAAGTGATTTTCTTTGAACAACCTGCGATAGCTGTTTCATCATGATACCGTCCACACATCTAGCGTCACAAGTCTTGAAAATAGAAGTTCCTCTGAATATGAGACATAGGTGCGCAATAGACCTATACCGCAAGGTTAGGACCAAACGCGACCGAAAGTATGGTAAGCAACAAATGGCCCTGGAATTGCAAAGGGCGCACCTTATCATCTCCGAGGCATAAGAAAGTCGTGACAAACGTGTTGGAAAATATGAAGGGGCATTGAGCCTCGTTTTCAGTAGTGTTTATACCCTTATCAAAAGTACAGCCCGCGTAACCCGCACTCTTCGCTCCGCCTATCTAGGTCAAGTACATAGAACCAGTTGCAACACACCTACTCATAGGACCAGTGCCTCATCCCAGTCTCAGGGAGGTACAGCCAAATAACCCAGTTCAAGCCAGCCCATGCACGCCCGTGGGCAGGGGCACAAAACACTCTGACTCGGAGCCGGAGGGGCCGCTGCCCTATCGATTAAGCCCAAAGTACTTTCTACCTCGCTAGTGTAGATCGGGCGTTGAGTTGAACAGAGACCAACCAGTAGCCAGACGTCGAGATAATTTTGCGTGAGTATAACACCACACCCCACACCCCCCCTCAAACACGGGTCTGTATCCAATCCGTCAACAACAAAAATTTCATGTCACAGGGTGCTGTTCGCGATCAGCTTCGCGATACATGAGACATGTCAAAAATCGATACATCGGAGCAGACTGCACAACCAAACACAACTCTAAAGTAGTGACAGCGATTGATAAGTCCATTGTTTGCGTCGACCCCGCTATCGGCCGATTAGACAGGTCTCAATTCCTTAGGTTCAAAGCATAGACAGCGCCCAGCTGTACGAATTAGGGAAAGTGCATGGGCTCCGGCTGCAGGAAATGTCCCGAGCGTACAACAGCCTAGTTCTTGCGGAGACAAAGCGAGATGGAGCCAGCCCAGCGTGTTGACGTATTAAGTCGAGGCTTCCTGTTCATATACGGGGGTGTGTATGGGTACATACTTCGTACTTTCCAGAAACGGAAACCCCACTGACAAAACAAGATGACAATTAAAACATGGTTTCCTCTGCAAGAGCCGCACAGAAAAACGGTGTTCAGAGCGGGCCGGCTTGAAACACTGGTAGGGCCGGTGGGTTGCCGATCCACCCATCCCTATTTTACAAGTCTAGGGCTACTCTGTACCTAGTCAGAGCCTGGGCAGAGCGGGGGTGGCTGGCTATTTTCTCCGCTCTTAGAGGCTTGAAAGCCCGGAGTGGGCTTTCCCAGGGCCGGGAATGGCAGCTGATGCCGACATGTATGCTGTGGATACTGCCGAACCTTGATGGCGAGCAGTGTGTTTCAAGGCCGGTCTGGGCAGTCTCCTCCAGAGCCTTTCATGTTCTGAGAACGAGATTCAGCTTTTCTCGGAGGTGGATCTGAAAACTCATTAGGAATAAAGAGCGAAGGATTTTGAGTTCTGCAGGATATGTCGTTGGGCGGTTTCGCAAGCAATGCTACCCCATAATCGGACAACGGGCATCTACTCCACCCGGCTAGTCCACAGATCGGATATACTTACGGAATATGCAAGGCAATAACGGACCTCGAAACCTACGGCAGCACATCACCTCGCATCACCACCAGGTAACTCTAAGCTGGTTAGCTGTCTCTGAAACAGGGAACCTACCCTGTGACGACAGCTCGCAGCCTATCCCCGACTCATGCCACCGAAGTATCCAACGGACCCTGCCAGTCGACGTGTCCCACAGCTCAAACAAGGAACCCAGTCATCCCATCCACCTCGACATATCGCATCGTTACCAGGCCTCCCGTCACCGCGCCAGGGGATTCTCAACGGCCACCTGCCGTCCTCATAGGCCCACTCGGCAGCTCTTGCAGCACGCAGGCGAGGCCCGCCGGCCACCAATAGGGCCAGCTCTAGGCCAGCGCAGGGCGTTTCACGCGCAAACCTTATTGCAAGAGGAGGAGAGAGATGGCCACAGAGCTCGGGCAGCTAGTCATGTAGCTAGAGACTGCGGGCGTGTTTTCCTGGCAAGCGTAGCCCGATAACGGCCGAAACAGCCGAGATGGTCGTGGTTGTGAGTTCGCTGGTTGGTTAGTTCCGTAAGCGCTCCGTACGGAGTACTTGCACCCTGGATGGATAAGTATGTGCCGATCTCTCTTCGAAAAGTTAGTAGACAAGAGGCTGTGTCGTTCATAGCATGAAACACCGGCTCGCGATGCCTCAGCACGGATGCTTCGCCTATGGAGGCCAGCCCCTGGGAAAATGACCTGGGACTGCCTCGCAGAGACTACGGAGCATTGAGCACTAAGTTGACATATATCACTCTTCGGGCCAGGCCAAGTCTGCATTGCGCGAGTGGAGCTGCGAGGGGATGTGCGCTGGTCCCCACCCTGCAAGCTCCAACGGCGATGATCACAATGCAGGACCGGCTGTGGCGGAGCGCAATTTTGGGGCTTGGGATCTGCTCCTTCTCAAAAGGGTTTGTCTTGCGGTTGGACTGTACATTCGCATATGCCTTGTTTTTTGGGAGGAATTGAGATTGAGATTACCGTTGACTGCGTTGCGTATCGCACGGGTTTTCAGGGGGAGAGGCCGGGGGGATGGTTCTTGAGAACGCCCATGCCATTAGCTTTGCAATAGTGCTGGTGATCGTCGGAGGGCCGGCCGATGGGGCAATTTGTGTAGGGCCAGTTTGACAGCTGCCCAGGGGTCGGCATTTGCATTGTCATTCAGGAGTGATGTTGGCGCACGGTGGGAGTGTCCAGCGAGTCATTCACGCTGTCCCCTTCCTTACGAGTCATATCCCCACTGGCCGTGACCAGTCCACACGTGCGATCAATTCTCCGACCTGTCCATGCACTGCGACCGTCGATATGTCAAGTTGACTCGACCCAGCATGCCGCATTCGATCTGCAGCATAGTAGCCAGGGCCCGAAATCCCGTCCCTCACGATAGACGAGGCCTAGAATATAACAGGGACTGCGCCGATCAACACCCGAGCGGCACTATACCACATCGCCTATCGGATCCTGGACATCGCAGCTAGTGACCTACTTGTGCGTATACTGAACCTCGTCTTGCTGTAAGTCCATACAGTCCTAAATCCAAAAATACCGTAAAGACGGTCTCCGTCTAGTCCTGCGCCTTAAAGATCGGCAGCGACGATCAGCGCCCGCGATAATTGAGCAGTCCACCTACGCCGCCAGCGTGCGCGCGCAAGGCGGGCGGCGAGACGGACCATGTGCTGTGCCTCGCTATTTTGCCTAGTGCTGGGTGTGGTCCCCAACCGTCCTGATTTTCCGGTCGTGCTAGATAGCATTAGGGGGTGGGACGGGGGCACAGTGTGGGGAAGGATTGGCATAGCCATATGGCGGCGCTGGAGCGTGCCAGACGATGTCAGCTCGTGAAAGGGGGCAAATAGGACCAGGACCAGGACCAGGACCAGGACACGGAGCCGAGAAACCGGTCTTGCAGTGCCGGCTTAGAGTGCCGAGGAGGGAGGCGAGGATGCTGTGGCATTTGAACTGCACAATGGAGAATGGCCAGCCTGTCAACCCAATTCCCCGGCACGTTGCTGCGGAGAAGGGGTGGTGGTGGTTGACGCCACCGCCCTCGACGCGAGGATTATTGAGAATTGGAGACTAAGCTCGACGGTGGTTGTGGATGTGGTTCCAGGCACACATTTGCCGACCGCGCCAGCCCAGGCAAGTCCCCTGGTCAGGTGCAGCATCCAAGGCAGTGCGGGGATGACGTGCGGGATGGAAATTGAGCGACGGAGGCAAAAGCTTATAGCGGGTGAACCTGAAATTGAGCAGCTGGTTTGCTGGATCAGCAGTGTTCCGCGGGCGCTGGTGACAGAAAACGATGGAGAGGATCGACGCTGGGCAAGCGACAGCCAATGGGCTGGCCCACCCTCAGGGTCGGGCGAGGTACGGGCAGAAGTCCCGGCTGAGGTCAGCGGCAGATCGCGGTTCCAGGGTTGAGACGAAGATGAAGTTTCCATGGATAGCGATCATGCAGCAACCATGATGGCGGATCCAGAGGGCGGCAGGCGAGAATTGGAGGAGGGCGGGAAGGGAGGAGGGAAAGCGTTCGCGGCGAGTTCGCGAGCGGCGGAGGAAGGCTATGAGATCATTCCGTATAGAAATTTAGTTATTACGCCGGACGAGGTTATCCTCCGTGCCTGCTACGAGGTCACGGACACCGCGCCCTATTGGAGATTTGGTGACGACTGCGTCTACAGCGCCAATCTACATCGAATTGGAAGTGGACTCCTGGGCAAGCCTCTGTGCCCACCGCGCTCTGACCTCTCGGAAAACCGTTCATGCCCGTTGCGGCCACAAAGGTTGCATCGCGGACCGGCTGAAGTCCGGGGGTCTCGGTGTTTCCGGGTGGGCTTGAACCACGGTCCTAGAACCATGAGACATGATATGGGAAAAAGGTAAAATGATTGAATATTGATATGGAACACGTAGACCGAGACTAGCGGGTCGCTAAGAGCCTCGTGGGAATGGCCATGTTTCTGTGGATGGTAATTTGCATGCGTTTGATAGATTTCAATTTCCGCGCCATCGATGCAGCCCGAAGTGGTGGCAGCGTCCAGCTGAACGAGAGCGTTCGAAGCAGGGCTCCACGCAGGCCCGCCCAATCTAGGCCCGCACACCTTCCCGTTCCAGGGTGTGCTCTGTTCCCACTTGGGGCTTAGGCACGATGGCCGTCTTGGGCTGCTGCCCGGACACAATATGCAGCTAGCAGGCCAAGGACGCAACGGATGCAGGCTACTGTCGCTAAACAGCTCGCCAGGACGAGAAACACGGCCAGCGTAAGGGGGAGGACGAACCTGTCTGTCATCCGGCCACGTTTTTGGTCACGCGCGATGGAATCTTCCTTTTGTTTTCGACGTCGCCATGTGGTGGCCATACTCCATTCTCCATGCGCTGTACTGCTGCCATACGGGAACCGTTCTGGCCCAACCCCATCGTTTTATAGTTCCATAGTCCCATCGCTTCCCCCATGATCCTTCGGGAATTTTTCCTCAAATCTTGCGCGCTACTACGTAGTACTTGACCAACTCCGTACTGGTAGCCTGAACGAGTCGCTCACTAACGGAGTCAATCCTCATTCTCAGGGGCATCGCCCCCGACCCACGGTCGCACCGGCCAACTTCTGCGCATCCACTCGTTTCTCCGTATCCATGGCTCCTCCATTCGCTAGTGCTCCAGTTCGGCACGCCCAGTGGACCCGATCGCTCTCCGGAATACAAGCGTGGTGCCTGTCCACGATCGTCATTTCTTTAGCTCCCTGGCCTCTTTTATTTTAATTTTTTTTTCCCTTTTTTTTCCCTTTTTTCCCCCCTACTCTCTTTTTTCCGACGCGAACTAAGATGCCGCCAGCGTAATTAATCCGGGGCCCGCATCCAATCGTGATGATCTCTTCTCCTTTCTCACCCCCCTGTCCTTCATACATTCTTTCCTCCACTCACAGTAGTACAGTACCGACCTACTCGACTAGACTGTACAGAGGATAGAGTACACAATCTCCATTGTCGTACCCCGTGCAGTGCAGAGTGTATAGTATACTGTATATGCTGCTGTATTCGCTTTACCTTGCGCCTCCGGCCCCCGCCTCTTGCCCTTTACCAGTCGCCCACCTTTGACCATTCCCTGCCAGGACGCCGTTTCCCCTTCCACCTCCTCTCTGTTGTGATTAATTATTATTATTTTTGACTTATTTTTAAACTTTCGGGGCGTCTCGTTTTTCCCTCCTCTTGAAGTCGCCTCTTTCTCGTGGTTTCCTCTTCTTGCCCACCCCCCGCCCCCCCACCACCTTACCTCTGGTGTCTGGGAGAAATCCCCCATGTGGAAACCTCGCCTGTCGCCCAGATCGGAGTCTAAATCGGGGAGCGATTCGAATCATCTTCACCTACCTGAAATTGGCTTCCTGGGGCGAACCAGGAAGAAACACCTTGGCTCGGCTTCGTCCGGTGAGTTCTACTACACCTCTATCCTGCCACTCCAACACGGCGGGCCCATATTGGATCGATTTGGGCCTGGCATCGGAAATCCGAGACCAGAACACATGGTTCTGGATGCGCTTTTTTGCGTCTTGCTCTCCCCTTTGATATCTACCTAAAACCACCTGGCCAGCCTCTCTCTCCCTCCCTATTCCCTCCCCATTCACCCATCCTTCCCATCAGTGGCCCCCTCCCCTACGGCCTGGAGCCTAAAGAAAAGAGGCGCTCCCCTCCCTCCTCCCCCCTTCAGACCTCACATCATCTCATTCTCCGACCCCAATTGGTGGGCCCGACCAACATTCCGCCCTCGCAAGCGCGCAGCATCGTTGCATCGTGCTATGTCAGCTTGTCATTTTGGCCCCCCACATGGCTAACAGAAGCTGGTGGCGCCCAGAATTACAGTCGCGACCAGACTCCCCTTCTCGCTCCTCATTCCGCTCCTTTCGTTCCTTTCGCAACAAGTCGGGCCGTCCCCGGAGCAGCCTCTCCAACTATACCGACGCCTTGCAGACCACTACTCGCCCACGAGCCCCTTCAACGCTAGCCGACTCCATACACGCCCACCCCGAGCCCGCCTGGCAGTCGCCGCCCTCTAACCGTTCTCGCGCCTCGTTCAATTCTATGGCCGGGCTAATGGAGGTCGACCGCAGCCGGACCCGGAGGGACAGGACCTTCGTCGGCAGTGAATGTGCCGTCTGCGAGGAGCCGCTCGAGCATACCCTGCGCGGGGAGCGTGTCCTCCAGTTCTCGTGCAGCCATGTGTCCCACGAAGCATGCTTCTACGAGTATATCCGGGAATGCGAATCGCAATACTGCCCGACATGCAATGCTCCGTTAGGTTTGGACACGAGTCGAGGTGGAAATGTCTTGGATATTGGTTCGTGTTTTCCCACCTGTTTCTCCCCAGTGGGAACCTCTCAAACCCCCAAATCACCCTCGCAGAAATCACATGTCAAAAAGACAAGGGAGTTACTGACAGGAGGACCCACCAACCTACAGAGAAGATCAGCAATATCGTGCGCTCGGTGACTAGTGACACGGCCACCACACGGAGTGGGCTGACGACGCCGACGCCGTGGGAACAACCATCGAGCCGGCGCACGCCAAGCGATGCCGGTAGCCGTTACAACCCGCAATCCACCTATAGCCGACGGGACAGCCGCGACACCACTAACCAGCGTGAGCGGGTGGAACGGTTGACTGTTGGCTCTGCGGTCTCTGACCCTCGCCAACGCCAACCGCACTCCCGAAATGGCAGTGCGGCCGGCTCATCGGGCGACTACCACGATGGTCAACATACAAGCAGCGGCGGGCGTCGCCACGATTACGATGTGCAGGCCATGGAATCGGACTTGAGTCCCCGCCCCGGTGTCACCAAGAACCCGATCCCAGCGCCGATTGTGAGCGTGCGAAGCGAGTTCCCCACTATGAACCGATCCCGCCAACAGCAAACCCTGACCTGCCTGATTACCGTGGAGGTGCCCGAAGGCAATTGGCGCCCAGACGCGGATGACCTCAGACACACGCCTTCAGGCCAGTCGCAGCCTGATGAGCCGTATACGGGACGGTTCGGAGGCTCGCAGGATGCTCGGTCTCTTCAGTACGAGCCGGTAGAGAACCTGGATGAGATCGCGGAGGAGTTGCGGAACCGGGTCGACAACTGGCACGGCCTTGAGTTTCAACGGTATGTCTGAGAGCCGCGGTTTATCGTCTATTTTGGGTGGAGAGATGCTGATTTAGCCACAGGTTTGGAAAGCTGCGATTGCATGGGCAAATGCGCGTGGGCAAGGACCGAGAATCTTGGCAAGAGTTGGAATGCTACTTGTTTGCGGAGATGCTCATCTGCGTCAAGGAGAAGAAGGTCCCCGAGCATCACCAATACGATGAAAAGCGCAAGCCGGCCCGCTGCACCCTGAAGGGCTCCATCCTGATCAAGAAGCATTTGAAGTCCATCGATGCCGGATCGCACGAGCCCGTTCTCTCTCTCAATCTTTCCGTTAGCGAGCTGCCCTGCTTCTACCTGCGTTTCCAGAACCGCCAGCAGCTTGAGACATGGCGCCGTGCCTTGGTGGACCTGCACCCCGTGGAGAATCTGTCTCGGCAACGCGACTATGAATACGACAACTCAGGTGCTGAGGAGGAGGACTACCGGGCCAGCCGCATTCAGCGACAATCATCCATCAACTCGTCATACGGCGCGGGCAAGTCGAACAACACCGCCATCACCGATTACACGAATCCGGACGGCGAGAGGCAAGCCATCGATTCGTTCCACATTCCACTCGATCTCGTCGTGGTTATTCCCGTATCGTCATCGATGCAGGGCCTGAAAATCACGCTTCTGCGCGATGCCCTCAAGTTCCTGGTACAGAACCTGGGTCCTCGGGATCGAATGGGGTTGGTTACGTTTGGCTCGGGCGGTGGCGGCGTACCCATGGTGGGCATGACCACCAAGACGTGGAACGGGTGGAACAAGATTTTGGAGTCAATTCGTCCTGTCGGCCAGAAGAGCCTGCGTGCGGATGTGGTGGAGGGCGCCAATGTGGCCATGGATCTGCTGATGCAGCGCAAGGTCAACAACCCCGTCTCGACTATCCTCTTGATCAGCGATTCGTCTACTTCCGACCCTGAGAGTGTTGACTTCGTGGTGTCCCGCGCCGAGGCCGCCAAGGTCAGCATCCACTCGTTTGGACTGGGACTGACTCACAAGCCGGATACCATGATCGAGCTCTCCACTCGCACTAAGGGTTCTTATCTCTACGTGAAGGATTGGATGATGCTCCGCGAGTGTGTTGCTGGCTGCTTGGGTGCTATCCAGACGACTTCCCACCAGAACGTCAAGTTGAAGCTTCGGCTGCCGGAGGGTTCGCCGGCCAAATTTGTTAAGATTAGCGGTGCGCTTCACACTACAAAGCGTGCGACTGGCCGTGACGCGGAAGCTGCGCTAGGAGACCTCCGATTTGGTGACAAGCGGGATGTTTTGGTGCAGCTGGTCATTCAGCCGGATAATGCTACGCAAGATAACATGCCCCAGGACCCTTGGGAGAGCTTGGTTTCCGGGCTGGAAGCTCTTGGAGGAGGACTTGATGGCGATGAACAGCGGGTGTTGAGCGTCGAGGAGGTCCCGTTGATACAGGCCGACCTGACGTACGGTGACCTTCTTCGCGAGGGCCATCTAACCCACTCGCCTCGCCCATCGCTGCTTGCCATCACCATGCTCCCCCCGAATCCCAAGTCTCGGGGCCAACGACCTGCCACGCCGCCCATCCCCCCCCATCCATCCATCGTGCAGCGCCGCATGGAGCTGCTTACATCTGACATGCTGACCCGGGCCCTCACCCTCGTGTCTCGCGGTCAACACGACCGCGGCCAGCACCTGCTTCACGAAACCCGCAGTATCCTCAAGGGCCTGGGCAAGGGTGGGTTGCCTCCCTTGCCACCTGCCTCCCGAGGCTCGGGCACTAGCGATTCAGGGAGCCGAGGCGACACGCCAATTTCGAGCTCTCCCAAGTCCTCCACCTTTGGAGACAGTCACGCCTCCGCGGCATCCGACGCCGCCACCATCACGCCCGCATCTGCAGTCGATGCGCAGACCATGATCGCGCTCAACGCAGACCTCGACTCCGCCCTTGAGTGGATCAACCACCCCGCCGTCTTCGGCCGCGACTCCCGCAAGGCAGTACTCCAGAGCATCGGTGTGATCTCCTCGCAGCGCGCCTATACTTATCGTACGCCCTCAGAAGCGCACTGGGCCCAGCGGATCTCTGGCGTGCGCCGTCTGACAGATCGATCCAAGGACTGGCGTGAGATGGGTGACGATGCCTTGACCGAAGAATAACGGCCTCACTTTCAACTCGAACTTACCCCGCATCTTTCCCTATCCTGCATTCATCACATATTCTTCATATCCATATTTCGGGTTTATATCTCATCTCCTCGCGGAGTCGGCTCATGACCTTGGTTTGACTTATTCTGGATGTCCCCCTCCCCCTCCCCCCTCTTTTATACTTGCCATTGTTTTCATTTTCATCTCGTTTATTCCCCTATGATACCACTTTGTTCCCACCATGACTGTGCAGCATGATACCACGGGCTTTGTTTGCGATGTGTTTCTGCCTACGCCGATCCTGTCTTACGCTCTCGTCTGTCTGGATTTCTGGATTTGTGCCTTGTTGGACGTACATCTGATACATCTGTGTTTCTTTGCAATTGCTCGGCGGTCTCGGCTATGGTGTGCGGATGGGTTGGGTTGGCTTTTTGAGTCTTGGACTTTTGGACTGACTGAGTTTTATTTTGGCTTCTTTTTGGTTTTTTGGTTTTGTTTTTGGATCTGCCTTTGGGCCCATTTTGGCACTGACCAAGATTATCTGATGACCCCCTCCGGACGCGACTTGATTTGACCTTGACCCTGATCTGATTTTTGGACTTTGGACCTTTGCCATATTGATATAGCCTTTTACATAATTGTATTCACCCCCTTGTGGATAATGAAAATACACCTATTGCACTTACTGAGATCTGACTTAAAATTTATTATTGAGTGCTTTTCATCATGTGGAGGTGGGTTGTACATGGATGGAGTGGTTTGAGTTCGGGATTTAATGTGGTTGATTAAGCGGCCAATTTAAGGACTGTGCTATCGCCGAACGTGCCTGCTTATCGCCGTGTGGCTCGGCCGCAGCCAACGTTGACTTCATCCGGGACTCACCCCGACAACTCCCCTTCCTAGAGTGTTACCTCTCTCCTGATTGCACTGCATACGGCGCGCTCGGTCTACTTACCATGCTCCGTCAACCTCTCCTCGCCCTGCGCACCGCGCACCCACCCGTATCAGGACGATCACACCCACCGGCGCACCTCCATACCCTTTCACGCTCAGTCCGAAACCCGCCTCAAAACCCTCTACGATGGAAACCTACCCTGAAATTCCACCAAACACCCCTACGACCCCATCTTCAACATTCAACACTACCATACGCTCGCCACCCCTTCAGCACAACCCACCCCTGCGCGCGCAACACCTACAACCGCTTCAACCCGTCGTCCGGCCGAGCAAGCCTATTCCATACCCTCCTCGCCCGCTCAAAACCCCACCACTTCGTCCTCATCGGCCTCGGTCTCTCTGGCTTGTACCTTTACAACACAGACGTAGTTGAGATGACCGGCCGGCGGCGCTTCAACTGCGTCTCGCACGCCGCAGAGCTGAAAATGGGCGCGCAGAGTTACCGGGAGGTGCTAGCCCAGTCGCGCGGCCGCGTGCTGCCTGATGATCATCCACTGGCGCAGATGGTGGATCGGGTATTAAGGAGGCTGATCCCACAGGCGCCGATTGAAGGCGCCGATTGGAGGGTGCATGTTATTATGGATGACGGGAATGCGAATGCTTTTGTGCTTCCTGGGTGAGATTTATCCCTCTTCTCTCTCTATCCTGCATTCCGGACAATTCTGCTCTGTTTGGCTCTCTTCAGACTTTAGTGCATTTGTGTCTGGGATACTGACTAGGTCTACTCTGTATTGCTATAGTGGAAAAGTTTTCGTGTACACGGGCATCCTGCCCATATGCGAGGACGAGGATGGCCTTGCCGCAGTGCTGGGTCATGAGATTGCGCACGTTGTGGCGCGGCATCCGGCCGAGCGGATGAGTACGAGTATTTTGACGCTGGGCACGGTGTTCCTTATCTCGTTGCTGTTTGACGTGTCTGGGCAGCTGTCGAGCATGCTGGTAAATCTTATGTGGAGTTTGCCGAATTCGCGGACGCAGGAGGTAAGCTTAGTCTTGGGACGCTGTTCATTACCCTAGAGCTGTAGAGCCGGGATGTGGTGTGAGGTGCTAGGCCGCTGACTCGTATATCTAGGCTGAGGCAGATAATATTGGACTGAGTTAGTTATCTTGTTATGCGAGTGGATGTCTACAGACGCTGACTTGAGTCTAGTGATGATGGCTAAGGCTTGCTTCAATCCTGAGGCTGCTGTCAAACTGTAAGTTTTTGCAAGGGATCGGGTTTCTGCGCTGCGCAATCTCGACCCAGCTCGCAGAACAAGGGCACCAACTAGTATACTGACCATACACGAGATGGCACCGGATGCAACAACGGGAGAAATCTGCTCCGCCGCAATTCATGTCCACCCACCCTTCAGTATGACTCTTCCTACCAGGCCAATTGATCATTTGCTAACCTCTTTCCAGAGTTATAATCGCGAGGAAGCTATTCGAGGATGGTAAGGCACTCGTTGGAGGTTTCAGAAGATTTGGAATCTACCGTGCTAACGAGTTGCAGGCTCGATAAAGCCGAGACTATCTACGCAGATAGTGGATGCAGTACTTTTGGGCAATACAGTAAGTCAATACCTGCCCGGACAGATTCCGCGGGTAGATTCCACAGCTTGTTTGGTGAGTACTGACTTATTCGCGAATAGTGCCTAGCTTTAAGAAAGCGTATCGCTCGCAGAGCTCATATGGCTGGTGAACATATTCATCGCCAATCATATTCACTGTATAATACAATCATGACTGTTTCAAATACCCGTCTCCCATATTCACCGCTCAATGCTGCAATGTGTAGTTTGGCCAAGCAATGGGGCTTCCTCCGCTGTTAAGCTTTCTTCTGCTGCTGTTGACTCTGGCTCGACAGCCCCCTGTTGGCTATCGATCTGAACTCATTCAGATAATTTCGCTTCAAATCGGCCAGCCTGGTAGCACAAATACTCTCCCCATTCATCCAAACTTCCGAGCAAGCGTCAATGAAGCGCTGGGGGCGCCTTGTCTTTCTAATTCATGCTCTCGCCGTACATATAATTCAGCGTCCTCGCCAGGAATCTAAAACTACATCGGTAATGACTTCGGCGCTCGTAGCAGTATCCACACGTTGGGATGCCCAAGCCAGCGGATCGGCAGGGTGGTATGTTCTCTTCAGCCTCAACATACAACTCCCAATGCAGAAAACAGCGAATGCACAACTTTTGCGGTGGTGCTTCCTGGTTCGTGTCCTCGAAGAAGTTAGCAGGGTGCGGCTCTCAGGCGTCTTCAAGTTCCTGGTGAATAGATAATCTTCTGATAATCTGTCGCGTCAAAACGGCTTGTCCCCACTATTAGCAATCCTCAAGTGTAGTAGGCACTTAACTATCTAAGTGAAGCCGCCTCCGCTCTCCCACTGTAGGCTTTGGTCATTTGTTGACCGAAATTAATGTGTACGCCATCTCATTCACGGACCCAGCACCGGCATCTATGCCTCGCAGCGGGCCAGATGTCCTTATATTTATTTACCATGTCTCGGAAACCGTCACATTGATGGCAGCCATTATCCATAAAATTCCCCGCTGGACTTCATGCCCCATATCTGCATCGTAAACCATTGTTGAAAATGTGTAATGGCATAGAGGAACCAAACACAATAACCGACTCGTAAACGAAAACTATACAAAGGTCCCTCGTGAGCGGTCAGCCCCATTGTCGGCCAACTGGCGGGACCCCCTCGTGCAAACAACGCAAACCCACCGTCCCCCATCGAGCTCCAAAAATTCCCCGGCACAACTAAGAGAAGCCCATCGACTCCCTCCCTCCCATCCCTCATATCTAGTCGCATCTACCTCGGACGCGACCTCTCACAATGTCGCTATCCCTCCCCGGGCCCTCCCAGCAGGGCCTCTTCAAGGCCGGGTACCAGAGGTACGTTGAAGCAGCAACAAAGAGCGGCCATCCCACCGCATCGGAGACCTCCCACCTCCTTATCTGCTCGCCGCACCGTGAAGCAAAGACAACCCCCTAACAATCTCAATTTCCATTACAGCCACGACTCCGAAGATGGAGCCGTCATCCGCAACATCGAGGCCTGCCAGGCTATCTCGCAGACTGTCCAGACCTCCCTGGGCCCCTACGGCCGCAATAAGATCGTCATCAACCACCTGCAGAAGATGATTTTGACCTCCGACGCCGCGACTATCCTCCGCGAGTTGGATGTCGTTCACCCCGCTGCGAAGCTGCTGGTTATGGCCAGTCAACAGCAGGATGCTGAGATGGGTGACGGTACCAACTTGGTCATCGTCCTGGCGGGCGAGCTGCTGAAGAAGGCAGAGGAGCTGATCCGCCTCGGATTGAAGACGAGTGATATTGTCTCGGGCTACGAGAAGGCCCAGAACTTTGCCTTGAAGGTCCTTGAAGGTATGGTTATTGCATTGTTCCCCGGAGATGATGCCAGTGGGATTGTTCAGGAAAAGCTGGTATATCGGGGTCTACTGCCGTGCAATTGGTGCTGACTATATTCTTTTTTTACAGACCTCGAGGTCGACCGGCTTCAGGAAATGCGTTCAGTGCCAGAGCTCAGCAAGGCTCTCCGGACAGTCATTGCCAGCAAGCAGTCTGGTACAGAGGATACCCTGGCCGCTTTGGTCGCCGAGGCAGTGCTCGCCGTGCTGCCCAAGAACCCCCTCAACTTCAACGTGGACAACGTGCGTGTCGTTAAGATCATGGGTGGCAGCTTGGAACAGTCCAAGGTGGTGAAGGGTATGGTTTTCGGCCGTGAGCCGGATGGAATTGTCAAGCAGGCCCGTAGGGCCAAGGTTGGCGTGTTCAGCTGCCCCATTGACATCTCGCAGACTGAGACCAAGGGTACTGTTCTGCTGAAGAATGCCAAGGAGATGATGGACTTCACCAAGGGCGAGGAGGACCGCCTCGAGACTGCCATTAAGGAGCTGTACGACTCCGGCCTCCGCGTTGTAGTTGCCGGTTCTACTGTCGGCGACCTCGCCTTGCACTACCTCAACCGCTTCAACATCCTTGTGATCAAGATTCTTTCCAAGTTCGAGCTCCGCCGCCTCTGCCGCGTCGTCGGTGCTACCCCCCTCGCCCGCCTGGGCGCCCCCATGCCCGACGAGATGGGCCAGATCGACGTGGTCGAGACGACTGAGATTGGCGGCGACCGCGTCACCGTGTTCCGGCAAGAAGACGCCAACGCTGTGACCCGTACATCGACGATTGTCCTGCGCGGCGCCACCCAGAACCACCTGGACGATGTGGAGCGCGCGATCGACGACGGCGTGAACGTCGTCAAGGCGATTACCAAGGACCCGCGCCTGGTGCCCGGTGCCGGTGCCACTGAGATCCAGCTCGTCGAGCGCATCTCCAACTTCGCCGACAAGACCCCCGGCCTGCCGCAGTATGCCATCCGAAAGTACGCCGAGGCCTTCGAAGTGATCCCCCGCACCCTGGCCGAGTCCGCCGGCCTCGACGCCACCGAGGTCCTCTCCCGCCTGTACACCGCCCACCACCGCGCCAACACCGGCGAAGAGGAGGAGGGCAGCTCTGAAGAGGAGGAGCCCTACTGGACCACTGGCGTGGACTTGGAGGTCGGCAGCTCGGCCGGCACTCTGGACGCCGTGGAGGAGGGTATTCTCGACCTGATGGCCGCGAAGAGCTGGGCCATCCGTTTGGCTAGCGAGGCGGCGCGCACTGTGCTGAGCGTGGACCAGATCATTGTTGCCCGGCAAGCGGGCGGGCCGAAGCCTCCTGGTCCTAACCCTAACTGGGATGAGGATTAAAGCATTAACGGTGAACGGACTGATGTTGATGGTTCTTGGGGTTGCTGAGGCTTCGAGACCGGTTGCGTTGATAGAGCTCCGTACGATATCACGAAAAAAGTCGCCTTGTTGGTGTGTATAGCTGAGCATGATAATACATCCCTACATTTTGGTCTATCAATTCGAGCATCATTTGTAAAGAAAAATTACCAATGTTGTAAGAAGCAAAAAAATGTCTATTATTTACAGGGCAAAAAGGAAATGATGTGAAGTTGAAGTTGAAATCTTCTCAAATGCATTGCACATCGGAACGCTACCAGCCAAGATCCCTATACATACGGATGCTACATAGAAGCAGTAATTTGTTGAATATAGTCTAGTTCTACATTTTCCCCCCACACATTTCAAAAAAGGGTTATTTCCCACCTTATCTCAACTGGTTCAGACATGCCGGGCGCATTGTATACGCTTACATAACCCAATCCACGTGACACCTAGATTTTCCCCGAAACTCTTGCCATTCTTTTCGCTCGCTATAGCGGTCGAAGCTGTGCTATCATTCTTCCTTCCCCCCCCACGTTGTATTTCTTTTCTCTTATTCGCCGAGCCACCTGATATTCGCCCACCGCCATGTCCTTCCCCATCCAGGCCGCAGCTCGCAGCTGCCGACAGCTCTCCAGCTCCGTTCGCCCATCCTCCCTGCGCATCGCGACTACATACACAGCCCGCACTCCCAGCTGCCGGCGATGGGAGTCCACCGAGGCCGCTGCTGCTGCTCCGACCAACCCCAAGATCGCACAGATTGTTGACCAGATCTCCACGTTGACCCTTCTGGAGACCGCCGACCTCGTGTCCAGCTTGAAGGTGGGTGCTATTCGAACCATTGATTCGGCAATGCATCTCCGCAATGCGTCAATTGCATTGCTTTGCAAAGCCTTCCCCTAGAAAATGTGCTCCGGTTATAGAAACTGACAGTTTGTCTCGTCCAGACCCGCCTGAACATCCCCGACCTCCCCGTTGGCGGCTTCGCTATGGCCGGTGGTGCCGGTGCTCCTGGCGCCGCCGCTCCCGCCGCTGAAGAAGAAGAAGCCGCTCCCGCTGCTGCCGAGAAGACCCTGTTCAACCTGAAGCTCGAGTCATTCGAGGCCACCTCCAAGCCCAAGGTCATCAAGGAGATCAAGAACATGCTCGGCCTGTCGCTGGTGGACAGCAAGAAGTTCGTCGAGTCCGTGCCCAAGATCATGAAGGAGTCTGTGCCCAAGGAGGAGGCGGAGAAGATCATCGAGACCCTCAAGGGTCTGGGTGCGAAGGTCATCATGGAGTAAGGGAAGCGAAACAAAAAACTTGAAAATACCTGGGCGAACGTGGATAGAGCTTGTTCTTTTTCTTGCGCTCTATCCTCCTTTTCTCTTGTTGTTTAACTTGCACGGCTTGCGCTGGTAGGGAGATTTTGGGCTTCGAGGGTGTTGTTCTACTTCTTGAGCGTTGTTGGCCTGGTCGTGTGGGGGCAAATAAATGTACATTATACGCATTGTGTTATGAACCCGTCTGGTACAGAGGGCTCGGTTTGGTTAATTGATGCATTGAGCATGTTATAAAATTGTATTTCTATATGTAACCCTCGAACTATTGGGCATTGTAGACTGGAAGGTGCTGTGTTGATGTTTACGGGACGGTTTCGTCGCCCGTAAAGCGGACCGCACGCCGACCTCCGCTTTTCTCCAATTCCAGGGCGACTCCAATTGCAACTTCGCCTTCAACCACCACGTTTGCATTGCGCCCTCACAAATCTCCTCGTACGAGACACTCCATGCCTAGGCCAACAGCTGCATTGCAGCAGTGGCTTAACCTTCGCCAAAATCTCTCTCCAAAATTCCCCGCCACGCTGAGCCCACGCGCGAACAACCTCCTCACGCCGCCAAAATGTCTCGCCCTCACCATCTCCCCCAATGCCACCTTCACGTCGCATCGGCCGTTTCACAGCACTCAGTATAAATCTGCTAAGCCCGGTCGCGGCTCTGCCAGACCAGCGCCTGCGCTAAGAATGAAGAAGAGGAATGAAGCTGCTCAACAGGCGCTAGCTCAGGCAAATGGTGGCCCTGCAAACCCCAAGGGCCTGAATATGCGCGCTATAGCGGGAGATTATGAGTCAAAGTTCGGATGGTTCTGCACAGTGGCGGGGTCTGTTTACGATGCGGCTGTTGCTGCTGGCCATCTTCCGAACATCAGTTTCCGCACATTCGAGGACGTTTCTATCAAGCTCTTCAAGGCGTCCTTGGAGGGTCGACCGAATGCACAGGCAATCCGGTCAATTTCGACAGGTCAGTGACTGACCTGTTCCCTACTGCGCCCGAGGGCACAACCGCACCCCCTTGGGTTGGAATTCAGACTAACATATCTGCCCCAGATGTTGACGCCGTTTATCGCATTGGATTTATCTCCGCCGTTAATGATTACACATTATCCGAGTGGGTCATTTCATCATGTGCGTTGGCAAAATCACGCCATGCGGTTGTTCTCACTCAGGGACGACTGATCAATTGGGCGAAGGTCCCTCCAACGACCGAATGGACGACCTTGGTAAAGCAATTTTCAGATGAAGGGTTTCCCCCTGCGATGGTCCTCCAAGCAAAGATCCTCGGACTGCATGGGCAATATAAAGAGGCTTTCAAGCTGATGGAGGAGAGGGTCCTGCCGTATCTCAAGCCAACACGCCGCAAGCCCGGTCTCTACACAGACATCACTATGACTCCGCTCATTGAATCTCCATGGAGAGTATATGCGCTGCTCCATGCATCATATGACGACAAATTCGACTCCCAGGACAGTCGACAGAAAGCAGACGAGGCAACCCGCATCGCGGCGCTCGAGTACAATGACAGCGCGGCATTGGTCGAGTATGCCTCTATCATGTTGAACGAGAAAAACTACGATAAGTACGAGGAGTGCATGTCCAAAGCTGCTACGCTCGGCAACCTAGATGCCATTCTGTACATTGCCAACTTCTACTATCTGACATTCCATGGCAAATACCCCACGCAAGCGGAGAGAGTTGCCCTCTCCAAGGCCGACGCGAAGGGCCCGAAGTCACATTCGACCCCGCCAGAACTTTCCTCCACTCCCGACACCAAACCCGACACCAAACCCAACGGCAACGTTCTCTCTTCAGCTATTCATTGGATGTCTTCCTTTTTCAATCAATCTATGTCCCGCGAGGAGTACCGCAAACTCGCGTTGGAGTGGTACAACCTGGGCAATCACTTCCACATCAAACCATCGATGTTTATGTTGGCCTTGATGGCTCGGGAGCAAGGAGAGGATTTTGCTAGCGCCATGGTGCTAGAAATGGCAAAGCTGGATGAAGATCCGGAATATGCCGCGAAGATCGAGGAGCTAAAGGAGAACTGGCAGGATCCCAATTATGTGCCTAAGCTGTCCAGTAAGATGCTGGCGGTGCGGTAGTAGGAATGATGGGAAACAGGTATATACTCTTGTATCTATTGCTTTATTTGTAAATATATTCCTCCAAGGGACGTTGAAATTATCTTCTCTTCATTAAGCCTGGGATTGGAATGTAATCTAGATTCGAGAATGGGTGCCTGCCTTGCCTTCCAGCGGTGATGCCAAGGCGTGGATTTTGACTAACATCATCTTTGCAGACCACACTTGAAATGCGAACCCTTTGAAAACCTAAATCCCACGCTAGGTATTCTTAAACACTTTCCCCTTGGTAACTGCATTAGTCCACGATCTTGAGATCGTTCGGCGTTTTGTGGGCGTGATCTTCATAGCCCGATAAGCCCATGCAGCTGTCCCAGGGACTGCAGCTCTTATGTTCTGTCACGGGTACAAAATTTTGGCTGGAACCTGATCCTGATTTTTGCGTTTTCGAGTCTCGAATGTTGAAGCTGTCTAAGATGTTATCGTGTTCTGTAATCTAAGTAATAAAAGGAGACTATGTCCCCTCCACTATCCCAGTAAAAATAGCATCCGTTCATTACTTGCTCCTAAAGTCAACTCCTTCTCAAAGACTGCTCTTCGCCTTTCATGAGCTAACAATCAATACCGGGCTATGGCTCAAAAAGCTTTTTTCTCAAGGCGTGATGAGAAGGCCAAAGAAAGGCGCCGTCTCTTACGGTAGAGAAATGGCTATGTTCCCGGAGCCCACAAGGAGGAAGATGCTGTTCGAAATAAGCTATTAAACGCCTCTTTAACTCTGCGCGAATTGTTTATCACTATCGTCGATGCTCCCTAAGGTCTAAATGATCCAGGAACTTATAATGTATAGATATACAACCTATTATAAAGTCGTGGACGAAAATGTTGCTCTAAAAAAGGAGTATGTCTTGAGCAGAGAGATTAAGGCAGATCGCGAAGAGAAGAACCCTTAGTTACTATAGGAGATTAGTCCAATCAGTGACAAGGAGTAGGATAATATAGTGACTACCTAGGAGCAGCCTGCTACTCAAGAGCCTTATCAGGACGCAGCTCTATCTAATGATGAAGCTAACCCCTTGCCAGAGACTCAGCAACGGATTTAGGGGAAGAATCAGAAGCGTGCAAGACGCGATAATGATTAGTTTATAGAGTATTAGCTGTAAATTAGAATCAACTCATCTTTATTCAACCGTATTCCATCCTCGTTTCTATCTAAAGAGTAATCGACATATAAGCTAAATACTCAAAAATACAGCTCGAAACAGCATAAAATATGCAAATCACGAGGTTCCACATGGTTGCACTGTTTATATACCCACGGGTCTTATCTAGCTACCCACTACCCAAGCGCGGGTAGGGAATCCCTACACATTACCCGCCAAGAAATGGGTAATGGGTTACCCAAATGGGTAGACCCGTGGGTAATAGCGAGGTCTAGTTGAGCAGAATGACATTCCCACTCTAATTAGATTCTTTAATGAGGGGAATCGACCTGACCTTTACCAACCAGACGCCTTTATCTATGCATGATTTTCTTTCTTCACCACCTCTGATGATGGAGGGGACCTCCATATTCTTCTTCACGCTAACAGCGTTGACCGGTCAGTATCCTTCGCAACCCCTATAAGGAACGAACCTGAAACAGTCTAGCCACCTGGGCGACCAAGACGATACAGATTCATATTTTATGCACTGCCCCGAAGCGGCTCAACCTATTGTAACCCTACTCGCTGTCATTCTTGAACGCGGTGGTTAGCTAAACGGTGGTTCAACTATAGTACACTACCATCTCGAGTCCACAATGTACAGTAGTTGGTCTGAACTCACCACACCTTCCCTATCACCGCATACTTCAAGAATGGGCAACGCCGGGCGAACTTTGCGCATCTTAGCGTAAACACCCGCATTTTTTGACTAGCCGGGTCTTCGGCGTCACTAAAGAAAATTGCCAATTAGCTATGATTACGGACTAGATACAGCTCCTTCCACCCCTAACACAAAGACCATGTGCACGATATTATTTTAGAGCTGTGTAAGATCCCGGCTACACGAGAGGAGGGCGAATGAATTTCAGAAGCGACTATATAGCGAGTTTAAAAGGTTTTCCGTATTCACAATATTAGTTATTGCCACAAAATATCATTTAGAATATTTGCTGAATTTAGAACCCCGCTAGTTGGCTTCTAGCACATGGTAGCCAAACAAAACAAAGCTCCCGTCGAACAAGGCTACACTTAGACACCATGCCCGCTTTACTATGCTCACCATTAAAGTTTATCATCGTTCTATACTGTAGATCTCCCATTAGCCAGAGGCTCTCGCTCAGCCGCATGGCTGACCTCCTTCGCCTCAAGCGATTGTCGTTCTGGACCCCCGGGAGAGTCTAGCTTCACTCGATACTCTTCGTACTGGATAATGAAGCGACACATCACCGCCGACGCAGCGTACCGAATGATCACGGGCACTGCATCCTCGACCATCAAGAACATCAAGCTCGAAAAAACAAGCGTCCCGTACATGACATGGCCCACTGAAAACCCCACGGCCACTGAGTTCAGAATCAGAGTCCAGGAGGTTGGGGGCCTGGGTAGTGATGATTCTCGGTGCTTTGGACGCGAGGCCGTCTAGTCCCTCAGCTTCATCAGCACATCCGACCGTCTTGGGCGTCATCCAGAAGGAAATGGTGCCAATGGCGTGGATGAGGCCGAGTATCAGCACCCAGGTTAGAGGGAACCACCAGCTCTCACAATACCAGGTCGATACGGAGCGGAATTCCAGATCTAGGCTGACATGGATGATGTTCGCAATAGCGGCCAATGCGAAGACGTACTCGACGATGTTAATGAGCCATCTATACCTGCGCGTGCGGCCGATGGCAAAATGGTCGAGAAGCTTGGAGCTGTTCCGTCGCGAGGCGATGGTGTTATAGGGGTCATCGTAGGTCCAGATGCGGCACATCATGACGGCAGGGGCGCCGAAGGAGAGCAGCCACGAGAGCAACGGGCGCTGCGATGAGAGCGTGGAGGACTCGGCGATGGTGGGACCTAGGTTGGACAGCAGGGTGGGTGTCAGGCCAAGGATGACGAGGGACGTGGAGAGCATCTGCTGAGATGCTGGGCTCGTGTTGCTAAGAACGCAGTCGACGGCGCCGTGCACTTGTAAGGGGCCGTGTCGTTGGGGTTCCAGTAGGCCTAGGCGACTGCCGCACACGACCCGTGGTCACCAGCTCGCTACTCCCATGACTCCACCCCCATATGTAGTAAAACTCCTGAAACTTCAGGGGACCCAAAGCAGAGACCGGCCTAGTCGCATGGACGAGGGTTATGAGGCCAGCGAATAACGTTCTGCGTAGCGCCATCCCGCATACTTTGGGTCAAAAGAGTATTCAAGACTATCGGGGTCAAAAAAGTGAAGAAGAGGAAGACAAAGACAAAGACGACAAAGACGAAGGTTGACCTTTATGGCCCCCAACCACTAGGGGCTCGGATTCGCGCGAGTTGTTCAGCCGCTAGCTCCACGGCCCGTACCTTAGTGAGCAAGATTAATGCGAGGCCCATTTTCCCCTGCTGACGATTATTTTTGTACGTATAGGAATTCTACATAAATACTTTTGTCGTTCAGCTGAAGTTTGCGTTGTGCTGAAGCGGCCAACTACGTGTGGGCGGGATGTGATATGGGGCTCCCCAGCTCACGGTGAACCTAGCGTGTCGCGTTTTATTGAGCTTATTGGGCACCCAGCTGAGCGATACTCAGAAAAAGTTGAACAGTACTCAGAAGAATTATGACCAATCCTGAGTACTGCTTAGCTCCCACACCGAACTTATTTACTTAGGTCACTCCTCTCTAGACAAGATTAGTAAGCAACCCGCAATAGTTATCCAGGTCAGGGTCAGGGATCAGATCGTAATGCTCGGGTCAGGCTCAGGGAGTGAATCAGGTTGATTCTATAATGATCATTAACCAGCTCAGGTTGATCGGGGGCGTGCTCAATTCTACCAGTGAGCAGAAGTAGCGAGAGGTGAACTGGAACGGAAGGGGATCCGCCAAGAATTGCCAGACATTATCGGTATACATGTAGTAATATAGAACCCTGAGTTCCGCTCAGGTGTGGGAACTGAGCGGTACTCAGGATTAGTCATAATACTTCTGAGTACTGTTCAACTTGAGGAATAGAAAAACATAGATTATATCCTTAAAATATGACAAGAGCCAGAAGATAATGAGATTGGAACCTAGGATGTTCTTACCTCCCACCTAGGGCCGGGTTCCAGCTGAGCGGTACTCAGGATTAGTCATAATACTTCTGAGTACTGTTCAACTTTTCCTTAAGTAACGCTCGGCTGGAACCCGGCCCTAGGTGGGAGGTAAGAACATCCTAGGTTCCAATCTCATTATCTTCTGGCTCATGTCATATTTTGAGGATATAATCTATGTTTTTCTATTCCTCAAGTTGAACAGTACTCAGAAGTATTATGACTAATCCTGAGTACCGCTCAGCTGGAACCCGGCCCTAGGTGGGAGGTAAGAACATCCTAGGTTCCAATCTCATTATCTTCTGGCTCTTGTTATAACCTGAAGACTGGGGTGGGACTAATTCCGCATGACACGTAAGCACAAAAAAATGTGAGGGCTGCCAGATTTGAACTGACGACCTTGTGGACTGGAATCACACGCGCTACCGCTGCGCCAAGCCCCCCAATTGATGAATGTTTATTGCTGGTAGGAAGTTAAGTCCTTGCCAGACAATCCTGGACAACCTTGGTGTTAAGGTTTGGTCCGGCATAAAGTCTTCTCTTCGACCGCAGTCTAGCAGCGAATCGCAACCGAGCGGTACATAAAACCACGATTGCAGTTCTTTCTGTAGTACTGCCCTGCAGTTGGGACTCTCCTGTCTTGTTTGGGCCCGCGGTCTCTAATTGCTGCCCCTCAACTTCCTCCTTCGGGACAACTCGTGCGCATATATATATATACTACCCTCTCGCCGACAGTGGTGGATTAGATACCGCCTGGAGCCTTGATCGGTGAATTTCTACCACTTAGGTAGGTAGTCTCGATCTCCTGGTCTTGAGTATTATCCAGCAAGAATCGTCAAACAGTGATCTGAAGTCATTTTTAGTTAGGTTGCCGTGCGAATTGACATCCGGAGCCTCGGCCCTGGGATGGTATGCTTAGTCTTATCATCGACTTGTTTATCGCGCAAACGATATCCTTTAGATCTACGGGTTCGCAACCTTGTTGGTAACGTTGGATTAGGACATTATTGTCAGGCATTCGGTCTATCAGGCTAACGATGGAGACTAGTGCGGAAAACCCATGAAGGAGGAAGAGCAGGGAGATTATGCATCCTTGTTTAATTCGAGTTGCAGAACCCGGTTGTGGAAAGAGTGATGGAAATTGTGCAGGTGTACTTGATTGTTGGGTCGACAACCCATCCATCCCTCGAAAGGTTTACATACTTCCTAACAGAGTCTGCTAGCATTTACCCTTTCTATTTATTCTATCGATGGAATCCGCCTTTAATCCCAAGCGCCCTTACTACGTACGATACCAAGTCCAGCCTGACGGCCCCAAATAGCACATCGAGTTTTGCCGCAAGTTCGGAAATTCAGTCTCGAGCAGCAATCTCAAGGCTTATTTATCCCCACCATGTCAAGGATCTTGCTCAACAGACCATGTCCCATGTACTGACTGCGCTGGCGGATGGCACAGGAGATCTACACTAATTTGATTATCGAGTATGGGACAACCGTCAGTCAGGCGCTATCCTGGTTCGTTCTCCAAAAATAGCGGATGTCCCACGTCAAAAAATAATAATGAAGCCAGAGCGACTTGAACGCCCAACTTTCAGGACTGGAATCTGACACTCTACCAATTGAGTTATGGCTCCTAATTGGACAGATTAAATCTCCGAATGTGATATCAATCCCAGTACTTTCTAGTGCCTTTAGGTCAGATCTACAAGAGCAAACGGCCGGAGAAATGCACGACATGGGTCCCTTATACACAGTGGTTTTAAGATCCTAGGTAAGATGGCCATTGAAAAAACCTAACTTGCTTTGTGCTTGCTATCTTACGGGGTGATTTCCCAGCTTGCCTTTCGCTCCGAAATAGAATGGGCCCGAATGGAATCGCAATCACCGTCAACTCACCATGAGGAATAAGTGTCATTACTAATGTGAATGGCAGAGTGGCAACGAAAACGTAGTAAAGGTCTCTCTGAAGTCGCTAAGCTGTTACATTTACCTTTCTCGCGAACCCTACATGAACCTGTTGGTTTTTCAACGTGACTCCTGCAAAATTGCGCCCCGTTAAACGCCTTGGTGTTGGGGCGGCCACGAAGTTCCAAGGGTAGTAGCCTTAGATACCGAAAGACATGGGCGTATTGTGAATGACCCTATTTCATAATATGAGCGGCAAGGCTCGGTGGAGCTTGTGCAAATGTTAATAAACTTTAGCTGCTGGTGACACGATGAAGGTAGTCAACGCAGAATAAAAGCCAGTGCTCAAAAGACTCGATAAGATATTGAATCGTTGAATACATTCTTAATACTGGCGTTGAAAATACTAAAAGTGCATGAGGTCTAACAACCTGGTCAAAGGGGGTCCGCAGATCGCCAACCCTGGGAAATAGATATTTTAGACCTGAGGCTCCAAACAACATCACCTATAGATCACTCGCAACCAGTAAGGCTTGAATCCACCTTTCTATATGCATCATTCAACTGTCTACCTGTCAATCTTATTCGAAACCCAGACCCAAACCTTGCACAGCACACCCAAACAACCACGATGCATATAACCCGCAAGGAAGCAAACATTTGAGCGCCACAAAATGGTCAGACACAACCAAAGGCCAAAAGAGAAAAGCACGTCATCATCTCGGCTCATGATTCATATCTCATATCAAGCGCAGGAACAAAAGCAGTCGAGAGAGAAAAATGGAATGACAAATGTGACATGAATAGGAAGACGAATCGAAACTCCTCGCCCAGTTCATCAATGCTTCCATTGTACCCCCAACCCCAAGTGAAGCTTCCAAGAAGCAAGAAACTAGATCCGAACACACAGAAACTCACCCGAAGTAAAGCATAGTAGCTCCAAAATAGCTCAAGCAAAAGAAGCCCAAACTCAAAGCCCGTAACAAGAGCGCAACTGGATCAACCAATGCGGAATAGAGACGAAAATGAAGGGTCAAAAGCCGAGACATGCGATGCCAACACTAAATCATCAAACCCTCTTCCTTCCCTTGCCCTTGCCCTTCCCCCTCGTTTTCAACTCCACAAAACCAAGCTCCTTCAAACCCTCGGCCAGAATAGATGAATCCCGCATTCCAGGAAAATCCTTTGCCGGATAGACCCGAAACGGATCAGACCACGCCTCCGCCAGAATAGGCATCGACTGACCCGTATCCTCAACAGAGCCCCAATTCATCAGCCGGAACTGGAGTCTATACAGTCCTGCTGAACGAATAGACAGATCCGCAAAGATGAAGAACGTCGCAGGCTGGTTGAGTTTCGAGGCGTTGCGGAGGGCTTGGGGAGCGCGGGATGGGGAGCGAGGGCTGCTTAGTGGGTACAGTTCTTCGGCGGAGGGATGGTTGGGCGCGGAGTTGGGGTCTGGGTCTGCGTCGACGAAGAAGGGGGACATGAACGCTTTGCCGGATAGGAGGGGTGTGGAGAAGGAGTCGTCTGCGCGGGCGACGCCGTCGGGTTCGCGTTCTCGCTCTCGTTCGCGTTCGGCGGGCTGGCTGGGCTCGGCTTCTGCCTGGCTCCAGCCTGTTGAGTCGGAGACAGGGAAGAGCAGGCAGCCTACTGTGAAGCGCGGGTCTTGTAAGATGTCACTGTCGTCTTGGGACTCTGGGTCGAAGTCTGTGAGGAGGATCTGGACTATTGGGGGTGGGTCGACGGGGCGTCTATCTCTGTCACCGGCGCCGCAGGCGCGTGCTGCGATGGGCTGCTGGCGTACGTGAAGGTGGTACCGAGATTGGGTGGATGTGCGGCGTGGTGGGGGGTCTGGTGACGACTCTGGTTCGTGGTGCAGAAGCTTGTCGAAGCCGTGGGGCATGCTATAGCTCGGATTCCGTGGAGCCTGGCGTGCTTCTGGCTGGGTGCTACTGCCCATTGGCGGCGGATTCCCGACGAAGGCAACTGGGCTCTTCTCAGAGTGGACTGGGCTCGCCATGGCTGTGGAGCTACTGCTATGACTGGGTATAGTCCTCGAGTATTAGCACAATTGTCTAAATCTTGGATCCGTGCTATTTACAAGCCATGGCGTACTGGGCTGCTTGGGCATCAATAGCACACCGCACGAGGACGGACGGACTGACAGGTAGACAGACGGGTGGTTCAATCGACAGAAACGAAAAAGAAGGAACTTTACTGGGACTCCAGGTCGTGTGTCCGCACCCGATGGCGAGCGTAATCGCCGCCATGGCTCAACATAGGACTCGATAGTTCTCCATACGACGCAGGGCTAGGGCCAGGTCCAGGATACCCGCGGGGATCGCCGACGGTAGGGCTGTGGTGATGCATTCGCAACGGGAGCGCCTGTGGCATCAACGGCCGGTTCATGTAACCATGATCTGAGGATACCATATATCTCGGGTCCACGCTGCTTTCAGGTAGCTGTCCCAGCGATGGAAGCCGAGGAGGACCCGGTGGTGTGGTCAGCGTGGGTCGTTCGTAGTGCAGTTCCGGCGGGAGGAAGTGTCGGGGTTCATGCCGCGGGTACGGCTGATGATATGCCACAGGCATCGGGTCAGGGTGGTGTGGGCGAGATACTGAGTTGATGTTGACGTAGGGCCTGTCTGGTGGTGTGGTGTGCCCACATTGCTGCGACGGCGTCCTCGACATCTAGTGACGGAATCGCGCTGGCGCCGGAGGGCGGGCCGTGGCGCAGCTTTTATAGGAATTCCGTATTCGGATGCAGCCTTCTTTTAATTCTTATTTGTTTTTTTCAGCCCTCTTTTTTCAGCTGGGGCGTAGACATTGAATGCGACCCACGGAGCGGTCAGGTCAGCCACACCCGCACGGGAGGGGTGGGGGACTCAAATGTCTCAGACGTAGATGCGATTTCTGTTGGTACCTATCTTGGTTATATAAGTATATCTCAGTGCAGATGAATGAGGGGAAATATTATGTCAATCGGCTTCCCTCCAGTGCATATCCTGGATATGTCTGCAGGCGAGGAAAGGCATCGGACAAACAGCATGTGGGTATGCAGCCCGTCAAGAAAACGGCGCCATGGGGAAGGGAGTCAGAAGTAAGGAGTAGAATATCAAGAATTAGCGTGGATTCAAGCTTGACGGTGATCGTAGTCGGTGCCCTGTGAGAGTTTCTGGAGGGATTTTGGTTCCAAGAGTGGTAGCTTCGCCTGGACCCAAAGGTTTGGCTAGCGGAATTCAGCTTCAGCCTCAGGATAGTTGAAAAAGCCCTCGACGCACATCGAATTTTCTCTCTTTTCCCGATCTCCCGGGGCTGTCCAATCACCTCAAGCCCCGGTGACAGAGGCCAATTGGGGATGGAGAGTGGATTGGCACGTATTTGGATTTTTATTATTATAAATTTTCCAGGCTGGCTGGGGTGTGGAAGTGATGACGGTCACAGAGAGTGTCAGGTAGGCCCGGTCGGGTCAAGCTAGGGATCCAGTTTGGGTCCGGTAGGGGGCGATTGGTCGCAATGAAGAGGGAGGAGCCGGGGAACGGGCCGAGCGGGTTTCGCCACGAGCGAAGGGGGTGTGTGCGGGTTTTGCAGCGAAGTGGATTGGAGGTGTGGATGTGCGAACCGTCAATATCACTGGGCGAGCGCCGGGAGTGCTAGGGTGGGTTATGATGAGGGGAGGGGGCAAGAGGCTAGGCTGTGGCCCCGTCCCTGGAGGACGCCGACGAACAGCTGTGCGGTTCCTGACAGAAACTGACGCCCGAGGGTCTCCGAATCTCGCGACAAGAGACGGTCAAGCAGAATTTGGATTTGGAGCCGTTACTGCTGCCGTGGCAGGGGTGGCTCCACCCCCGGCGGTTTCCTGGGACTCGGGATGCTGGGATGTCGCGGTTGAGATCGAGGTCGAGACCGGGGCACGCATCTAGACATGTACCAGGGTCTGCCTTGCCTAGTCGTCCGAGGACTGGCTCATTATTTCCGTGTTATCATGGAAGTGGGGTGTGAAGGAGAGGGATGGATGTTTGAGAAAGAAGAGAGGGGGCCCAGGAGTCAAACTAGCAGGAGGACGAAACAGCGAGCAAATACTAAACACCCAATCTCTCACCACGGTCCCTACAATCGCACAACTATACACTCCATCCGAGGATCCATGCAGCGCACAGGGACAATGGCGTTGCTGCGGCCGAAAGCCACAACCCACAATGCGACCAAAGGAGTTATTTCGGCCTCCTGTACGAAATACGGAGTACAGTAGTCTCCACCTGTAACCAAGCGACTGCTGCCCTAAGATTAGGGCGCAAGCGATGGCAGGCAACCCAAATTACCAGTCTACACCATATACCGGCTCTATGGTAGCAGTAACCAAGCAAACTATAGGCCAGGAACCCTGATCCATGGAACGGTGCAAGCGGGCCACCCCCAAATTGCAGAACCACCCAGACTCCGATCTCCGCTTTATAGAGTGAGCGCACAAGCGACCACTACCCACTGAGACCGTCGCGAACGGGGAACACCAATCGATCGGATGCTGACTGACGGGCTGGGCCCTCCTCCAGTGGGTGGGTAAACCCGCCCGCCAGTGGAACGACCCATCCGACCGGCGTCAAGCGCTCGGGTTCGAATCACAACGACCTCCGCATGGAACCCGCTAGCCCGGCATGATTGGCGTGCGAGCCAGGGCTTGGCAATAGTCATTCCAACTACTGAGAAGATCGTCTGTGACCCCACAAAGGGGATCTGGCTCTGCGTCAGTGGCACCTGGCTCACCGTGATAGTGGGCTCTGATGTTCGGGTCCCGTCTGGGCTCTGTGCGGGACATGGTGAGGTGAATTGGGGCCATTGGGAGCGAGGACGACGAGATCCTCCGTACGGGCTGCCTGGTGGCGAGCCCTGCGGGAGGTCAAACCAGCTAGCCAAACCCCATCCAGTAGAGCGAGAGAGGCAGACCAGCGAAGCACCGAAGAAGCTGGGAACCTAGCGACACGGGGGCACTATACGGAGTACTGTCGGTTGAATCGAACGCATGTATTCCCGGAAATCAAAGTAAAATAGTGTTTCACGGCAGCGCACCTCCGGTCATCCCTCGCATGACAGCCCGGCATGGCATGGCTGGTTCGTTGGCCGGCCGTTTGGCGCTGCGCTGTCGTGTAGTCGTGCAGTTGTGCAGCCTCCGGGAGGTCCCCCATCGAGGGGCACGGAATACGTGGTATGTACGGCGTACAATCGTCGTCGGATACGATCGACACAAAGAGGCAGCCATCGTGGAGGGGAAAAAAAGCGGACCACTTTGGCGGCAGCGCTTTGCGACTGATGCGTCGGATGGGCCCAAGCGCCGAGGCAACGTAGGCAAATTCGTAACGGCGCGAGTTCGTTTCGTCCCAGCCCGCTGCTCGCTGCTCATTGGCCCTGCCGTCTGAACGGTCAGAAGCCGCACTCATTCTCGGGGACTCCCACGATCGATCACGGAACGTTTAATTTGTCAGATCGGAACTGCCTCCACGCCACGTCCGGAGCACTCGGGGTCTACATACACCATGTAGGCGTGGAAACAGAGACACCAACTTCCTTCCTAGAGGGGATCTGCAACGGCTGGGGCAGCTTTTCACATTCCCGCTGGCACTCCCATCACGTCGGCAAACCATTGGCAATAGTCATGGAGCCACTCGGTCAGGACTCGGTCATATCCCCACAGCTGATGCACCTGGAGCTTGCGTAGATGTGCCAACCGTTGACAACCCCGTCGTGGCTAGACACGGGGAGGGGAGGTGGCAGACTTCAGTGGCCACAGGAGTATCACAAGCGCATGCGAAAAGCATATGGTTCGGATGGCCCCTCAATAGAGAGCCTTGTGGAGGAGGCATCCACTGCTGCAGGCTACTGCTGCAAGACGTGCAAATGGCGTGTGGTGATTTGATGGGGTCCTAGGATTAGTGCGGAGGTCGGACAAGAGAGGACCTGAAGAGATGAGGCGAAGGCACGGGTACCAACGAGAACGTTACTGTTCATGGCGAGGCACAGTTCACTCAGCTCACCACTCACCACTCACCACTCAGCCTCGGTTCAGGCAACCCCACGCGAGACCCTTCCAGGTGTCAGATGTCAAGTGGCTTGGCTACCCTTACCGTCGATCCTACCCGTGGCCTTGCCCAAGTGCCATCTGTGGCAAAGCCCGAGAGTGCGTGGTATGGTGGCTTGGTGGCTGTGTGATAGGAACAGGTCGTGTGGGGGGGAAGGGCCAACTAAGCAGGGATTCGCGTCGGGATACTTGTCGGCGCTGATTACGGAGTAGGGCCACCACCAACTCCACGACGGTGCTGATTGGAGGCTGTCACCAGGGATATCCCCGCTTGGCCGACGAGTTGGCCGCACAAAGTCAAAACTTCGATTGCTTCTGCATTTGCTGGAGGAAGTGGTACGTGGATATGCGAAAGAAATCCGACTACTACACTACAAGTCAATGTGGACAAGACTGCTCTCTTCACAATCACATTCTTCATGTGCTCCGAGGATTGAACTGCGATGTTTTACATGTGAGACGTGCCTTTACGCCACATTCAGGATTTCCCAATGGGGGTCCCCTGTCGGGACGTGCAGTGGGTTCGCAGAAGACGCTATCATATGCACGACGATATGTCTTCGGGCCGCCCTATCGAAAGCCCAGATCTGGGCTCGGATCGATGTCCAGGTAGTACGACCTCGCTGGAATCCGACGAGGACGATCACAAGGCCAAGGCTCCTGGCCGGGCATATGCGTGGGCCGGATGAGCATGCCGGCGCCAAAGGGGGCGTCTGGTGGCGTGGGGCCACGGTCCCTGATTCCGTCGCCTTTCCCCACGTACAGGGCGATCATCTCGCCAAACTGTCGATCCCAGGCCACAATGTACGCCGACGGTAGCCAGGAGTCGCCTTCGCCGAACCGCTGGTCAAGGGTCCCCAGCTGGATCAGATGCTGGCATTTGTTGTTATCCTGGGGCACACCGTTGACCGTACCGCGAGCTCGGAGTAATCCCAGCATGGCTGGCGTCCAATTTTCAGACCAGTTTGACAGCGCAGGAAGCGGAGAGTCTGTGAACTCGAGGGGTGAATGTTCGGGGCACCACTGGAACTCGAGGGATGAAAAGTCGGTTTGAAATATCTCCTGCATGCCCGGGTCCAGAGGCCAAACCTCCACTCGCTGTGCCATGCCATCATGCTCATTTAACAAGTCCACGATCTGTCGCAGGTCGCTTCGAGATTTGGAGCAGCCGTGGGCTTGGATTTCCGAGTAAAGTCGTACTGGATCCTCGTAGCCAGCGCAGTCGCCGTCAATTGTGAGCAAAGGCTGGTCTTTAAAGACGGCCCATGGCGAACCTGGCATGACCCCGACATGGGCTTTGTTCTTGCCTTGCCCGTTGACCCCTTCCCATCGGATTCCCAATCGAGCTTCCATATTCTGGAGACGCGTTTCGAGTAGCTCTTCATACTGGTGACCTTGGATCAAGTCTGGTAGTGCTTCACTGACCGCAGGATCATCGAGTAAAACCTGCAAATTGTGTAATGTAGCGATGTGGGGCAGATTGTCTCTGCTGCGCTGGGAGATGTCTTCTAAGAGTATTGCGGCTTCCTCTGACCGTCCGGACCGCACCAAAGCTAGTACAACGTTGTAGGCCAAGTGGCAGGCATCTCGACGAGAGCTATCGAACTCTGCCATATAGAGTTTCCATGATTTGATCAATGCATGTCGACTGTGAATCCTGGCAAGAACGCAGAGGTAAGTACTCCAGTTCCGCCGGTCTTGTTCGCGTGCTTCATGTAGAACATCGTGAAGGGTAGGCCGAGTCCGCCGAGACTCATCTCCTTCACCCGTGAGACCAGCAAGCAAGAATTTTGTGTCGTAATCTGGCCTCTCGAAAAGAACCGAATCAATTGACTCGGACAGCGCGTTAATGACAGAACCGCCGTTGGCAAAACTCAGGCGGTAGTACCGTGCTTCTTGGCGGGTATACAAAAATTGCTGGAATGCAGGCATTGCTAGATCGAGAGCTGCATAATATAGGCCATCATTGGTCGTCAGCTTAGGCAGATCCAGGCGTTTGAGTCGAGTGTTGATATCGCTCAGCGCAGACACAATCTCCGTGTATGTGTTGTACTCTTCACATCGATGCATGACCTCAGTTGCTCTGATTTGATAGTTGAAAAGCTTTGCTCCTTGCCGATCCACTGCCAGTCTCTCTATGACAGTTTTTAGAGATGACAGGTTATTGACTGAACTAAGACGTTCTGCTTCTTCTTTTCGATTCGTAGGGTGGATACCCTTGAGGGCACACCATAAGGCCGGCGGTGGATTGCCCGACACCCACTCGGTATCAATGAGAAAGAGTGCATGTTTTCGCAAGGTTGAATTGCTCCCACTCTCATTACCGAGATGATTTGAGCTCGTGAGAATAAAGCGGAGTAATTGCGATGGCGACAGATCTTGCAATTGAGCATCGGCATCGAGAGCAGCAGGTGAGAGACGACGAGTCACTCGTTCCCCAGACAGACCGCACATTATATGCCGCCGTGATCCAATTAGAATCTGTGACGACAGGCTCCCCATATTGGGCAAAGAGTCAACACGCGTGCTCCAAGGAAATGCGGAGAGGCCACGACCCACGGGTGGAGATGGAAGATAAACACAGATAAGCGGCGGTAGTCTGGGGTGGCAGATCAAGGCGGTATTATCAGGCGGTGAACTTGCCTGTCATCTTGTCGCCAGACTCTGCGGTTCGACATCCACCCAACTTCCTCAATACACCACGAACCGATCCCGCCTTGCTGGTTGTACTTGCATACGGATAATAATGCCTAAGACACGGCAGGCCGAGTCCTCTGCGATGGATGAATTGAACGTCGAGCAGCCTGAGCAGATCGAGACTGCTCCCATGGAGACTCCGAGCTCGTCAGAGCCACCCGCGGCGAACAAAGAGGACGATGCTGCGGCTAAAGCGCGCGAAAGGAAGGATAGATTCAAGGCTCTCCAGGCCCGAGCTGTAAGTAAACCATTTCACCGGCGGATGTGAGGTTCTGATCCCATCCGCCTATCTATCAATGGGAAGACTGACCCGAGTCCAGAAATCTGCCACGGAGCGCAACTTGAAAGAAACAGCGGCGGAGACTCAGCGCCTGGCCACGGATCCAGGACTACTTAACTCGATCTCCCGCAAGCATGCCTTTGCCTCGCACAACCTACTCAAAGCAGACACCGAAGCGGCCGGTGAAGATTTCGAACGCAAACGCGCTTGGGACTGGACCGTCGAGGAGTCAGAGAAATGGGACCGGCGCATGGGAAAGAAACAGCGCCACCGTGAGGATGTGGCATTCCAAGACTACACACAAGATGCCCGAAAAGTGTACAAGCGCCAGTTGCGCGAACTCGCACCCGATCTCGAAGCATATGAAAAGGAGAAGATGGCCGCTATCGAGAAGGCAGCTGCGAACGGCGACCTTGAGATTGTCGAGACGAGCGACGGCGAGATGATCGCAATCGACAAGAATGGCAGCTTCTACTCTACTGCGGACAGCGTGGGCTTTGCTGATAACAAACCGAATCGCGCGAATGTCGATAAGCTGGTCAATGATATTCGAAAGGCCGAGGAGGTGCGCTTGAAGAAGCGCAAGGAGCGTCGTGGTGATGAGGAGGCCGATGTCACGTACATCAACGAGAAGAACAAGCAGTTCAACCAGAAGCTGGCCCGTTTCTACAACAAGGTACGTGTTGCACCCACGCCTTCGCTTTCGGGTTATCTAGATGCTAACTCTCTTCTAGTACACAACCGAGATCCGGGACAGTTTCGAACGTGGTACAATGATCTAATGCGATATGAAATAGCGGTATAATACATGCGGGGAAGATTCGGCGTCACGCCTGGAGCATGACAATTCATCCACCAACGGGAATCTCCTGCTTTTTTATGTTATTGTGACCCGCGGAGTCTCCCAGCAAAACGTCAAGGAGGCCCAAATAAGAGCCTAGTGGCCCTAGAGCATCGTCTTCCTCCAGGCCTTTGTTGCCAACGCCTCAATCTGCTTTGTTCCAACGGCCCCTCTTGTCGACTCGTCCTCCAATGCCTCAACCACTGCCTCGCCCACCACATCAACTTTGAGCGGCTTCTCCGCCATGGCCCCGAGGAACCCAAGCTTGTTTCCGAGGAGGGTATTGAACTCAGAGGCAACGAAGCCACCGAGTGCAATTGGCAGTGTGAACTTCCTGCTTGAATCGTACATGAAGCCCGGACGAATAAAGATACTTCGCAGCTCTGGGAGGGAGGATGTGATCGTGGCCTCGGCCTCCCGCTTGGTGGTGATATATCGGGCTGGAAGGACTGGGGCTCCGGCCGCGGCGGAGATGTACACGAAGGCGGGGACATGTTCGTTTGAGGATTCCTGGGCAAGCGCGATGGCTGTATTGGAAAATAGTGTTAGCATCCCACTCCAGAGCTTTCTAGCTGAGAGTAAATACAATGCAACCAAGACGTACCGGAATCCCTGTTCATAAGTTCGTAAGTCAATTGTCCATCCTTCTCCTTGGGTTCGAGCGCCTCGCCCTCTTTCCTGAGCAGCGGATTCTGGCTCCCCAGCTTCGACGAGCTAAATGCCCGCTGAAGACCACCGATAATCGGTTCCCGCCCTTGCACCACGCCCTTGTAGTCGGCTTCGAGGAGAATGCCCATAGAATGAACGACAGCAGACGCCCCATGCAGGAATGGCTTGTAGCTCTCCGGTTTCAGGAGATCAGCCTTGGCCCATTCCACAGAGCTAGCCCAGCTTGGGCGCTCCGAGGAGTCTGTGACTGTGTCCCACCGCGGCTCGCCAGATCGACTAGAGGAAGTTTAGCATGTCGTGCATGCCGGAGGGCGTTCGGTCCGAGTGCGAGGACAAGCGTACCTTAATGAGGTTACCTCCCAGCCCCGGGAGGCAGCTGATTTGCAAATTCGGGACCCTGTAGCATCCACTTAGCATGGGCATCTTCAGCGGGCTGGGTGACGCGAACCTAAGAAGCCACTGCCTCCGGCGACAACAAGCCTCTTGGCAGCCATGGCACTGGTCAAAATTTGGTTTAATATCAGAAACTGGATATTCAAGCGCGAAGCAATAGTCAGGGAGGCAAAAATCACGATCAATCAAGCTCGCAAGAAATCCAGCTACTGGCAGCTCTGGCATGCCGTCACCGTGTCACGTGCGTTACATCTGCCCTTTTCCCGTCGCGCCATTTGGTTGCCGCCGCCCTGCGTGACCTGCTCTTCTTATCACAAAGTTTCCAACTCGTTGACCATGCCTTCAGCAACGGGTAACAAGCGCGTCAAAGTCAGTATCCACCTCTCCACACCCTTTCCTTCCCAAGACCCAGACTAACCACTCCCCCATGCACAGGGCGTCTCAGTCTTCCGCCCATTCATCTTCGGCAGCGAAGCCCAGCCGTTCGACCCCGAGAAGCGGCCCGCGAACGCGCCACCTGATCACACGCACCAATGGCGCATCTTCGTAAAAGGCGTCAACGACGAAGACATTTCCTACTGGCTGAAGAAGGTGCAATTCAAGCTGCACGAGACCTATGCGCAAGCGGTGCGCACAATTGAAACGCCCCCCTTTGAAGTCGTCGAGACAGGCTGGGGCGAGTTCGAGATCCAGATCAAGCTGTACTTCCTCCCCGAGTCCGGCGAGAAGCCGCAGACGCTGTGGCACAGCCTGAAGCTGCATCCATACGGCCCGGACGCGGAGGGCATGAAGGAGCGGCGCGAGGTGGTTGTGAGCCAGAACTACGAAGAGGTTATTTTCAATGAGCCTGTTGAGCCGTTCTATGAAATGCTGACGGGGGAGCGCCCATTGGCGCGCCGCCGGCACCGAGGGGGAAAGGCAAGAATGCGAAGATGAATGGTCGGACAGCGGAGATCCCGTTGGGTGATTCGCCGAAGAATCCGTATAGTCGGGCGACCGAGGGGAAGGAGTTGGATCGGATGGCGGAGGCGACGAAGACTGTCGAGCAGATGATCAAGGAGGAAAAGGAGAAGCTGATTGAGCGGGAGAAGTATCTGGCGGAACTGCGGGAGACGGAGGGCGTGCCTGCTTCCACGAAGAAGAGATGATCGTGGCCTTTATCATTCGATTATTTTCTGGGTTTGTGATGCAAAGGGAGGGCATCCTCCCTCGCGGTGCGGTATGCACCTGGACTCATGAGCTACTGGCACTCAACACTATCTAATCGCGAACGGCATGGACTTTCACGAACCGCTCAGACTGAAGCTTTTCGACATGCTTTCCCTCTAAGTGCGCCTACAAGCATGGCCCTGCGCACGAGACATGCCATTTTGTGAGAGCTACAGCTGGTGATCGGGGAGGGGGATATGGGCTCTCTGTTGGCCCGCCTACCGACATTACCGGTCTATCCCCGGAGGCGATGCCTCCGAACCCTAGATCACCCAAGCTGAGGCTGCGATTGACGCGCCAAGACCTGGGGCAGCGTGAGGACCGTGCCCTGTTTAGCCGTGACATACTTGGACCAAGAGAGCAGAATGAAGCTTTAGGTCTGGTAATTCAAGCCAATACGGCGCTGTCACCTCGGCATCGATGGCATCAACGCAATCACAACAATAATACTTCTCAATAATATACTTTTAAACCGTTGCAGAGTCTCGGTCTACTGTGTATATTTGATCGTCCCAAGATTTGGCCGTGCACCCAATGTCTAGAAGAGAATGTTCCAAGGGTGACATTCATGGCGTGCCATGCCTCTCATCTAGGTAGTTAGATGGCCGGCAACCAGATGGACTGCGTTTGTTCGACTTGAATTTTTTTATTACTTGGCTTATTTTGGGGTGTAGGCACCAGCAAGCGGCATTCGGGTTTGGCCCCAAGCGCCGGTCCCTGTGGCGCCGAACCCTAGCGTAGATATTGCACGCCAAGCAAGATTTGGCCCCCACCACCCAACCATTCAGGGGCCATTCAGACTCATCACAGCGGACTTCCGGAACCCCCAATGCAGGAGTCCCCGAGCAATTAGCGGTGATCAGAGGAGGCGCAGGGGGCAACCATAGCCTCCGTGAGACGGGGGCCACGCTAGGCCCTCCAGATAGGGCTGGAATGCGGGTATGGCGGGTCCCTGCGGCCCTGTTATTCGACCAGGGCCTTCAGACCCTTTGGCTCCCCCAGGCACTAATAAATGCGAGGTTGACTTGCTAGTCGTTCTCGTCGCTAGTGCGGTGGCATGGTAGCACGCAGAGATTGCGGCTTAAAAAGAAGCAGCGCCCATGTCCACAATGGCGGCCTTAAAAGAAGCGTCGCTGCCCCCTTTTCCCTGCTCCCATCTCGCCATATATTCCATACATCCCATACACCAGTGCACCTGTACATACAAAGCACAAAGCACCACCATTGAGCGCTACTTGAAGTCGGAACTCCAGTATTCGGGACTTAATCAACACTATGTACACCTCAACTCTTCTCCTCTCAACCCTCGCGGCCCTCGCCGCCGCCGAGACTAGTGCCAGCTCCACGGTGATCAGCTACTTCGGCGCCTCCTACACCTTCTCGGACGTCCCCGTCCGCACCTCCACCAGCTACGCCGGCAGCGTGATCGGCATCGACGCCGTCGCCACAACCTACGAAATCAACTGTCTCAGCGGCGCCCCCACGACCGACTGCAGCCTGTCCAAGCCGCTAACGCTCATCGCCGGCCCCAGCACCTTCAGCTTCTCGGAGCCGTTCTACGCGAGCGTCGAAGTTGACGGCGTGACGGTCACTGAGAAGGGCGGCGAGGATCTTGCTTGCACCTTCACCCACTCTTCTGAGTCGGCGAAATGCACCGTCCGTATGGATATCACGGCCGAGGGCGCTGGCGTCACGACTACGACGAGTTTTTCTACTGTCGAGACTGTTCCCAGCAGCGATGTCTTGTATCAGACGCTGACTGTGACGGGTGGTTTGGCGTCGTTTACGGCGGCTGCGGCGACGTCGACGCCTAACGCGGCTGCGGCGATGGTTACCGCCGCGCCCATGGGCGCTGCTGCGGTCGTTGCGGTCATCGCGCTGCTGTAAGCGGAGGTTTCAAGTACAGTGTCTCGCATCGATGACTTTGTTTGATAATCCCCCCCGGTCCAAGACCGGTCTTAGGATTAATATCATGAATAACGGCCGGATATTTGATCTCTCTACATTTATCTAAATCATCACGTAGAAATGTAGATCTTGACATATTCTGTGAACGCGGAGTTCATTTAAATTAGGCCTATCTATCACCTATATCACCTATCACGTATCACTCTAACAAGACCCGAAGTTGATACCCTCTCAAGAATTGGTTCGCAACCCTCAACCGAATAAAGTCTCAACGCCGAACGCTCTATCGCACCGCTATGTATCGAGATAGTAAAACGAAAAACAAAACAAAACAAAACCAAACAGCGCCTCCTAGATCTAGATCTAGATCTAGCTCTAGCATGTAGCAGACTTAGTCGTGTCCCGGGTCTGTTTCAGAAAGGGTATCAAGTTCGTGCCACCCGTCCCATAGAGCCCGGTGGGATTAGCCTCGCTAAGCCCCTTCACCTGGGTGCTTGCCGTGGCTAGATTGACCTTTTCCCGCAAGGGCTGTTCCACAGGCGCGTTGCTGCGGGCTGGCATGATGATGTAGCGCGAGACGATCTGGATGTGGGTGTCGCGGAAGGAGCTGAGCGAGAGAACGGCGGCGTTGAATGCTTCCTTGAGGGGCGAGTCGGCCTGAGTGGAGGCTACGTAGGGACGGACGTTGGAGAGGGCGGAGAGCGTCTCCAGGAAGCGCTTGTGCGGGGCTGGCATGTAGTTTCTCATATCCTGTTTCAAGTTTAGTATACGAGGTCTTCTTGCATATTGTATATGGTGCTGGAGCGTGGAGGGAGATGCCGGACCTGAATGTAGCTAAACCCCGAGGGATTCAAGCTCCCTGTCGCGGAGTGATTTACCCCCAAGAAGATATCAAAGGTCTGAATGAGCGAGCTCTGCGCGTTGCTGCCGCCGCTATACTGATGCCACTCGCCTTGGCCGGCGCCCAAATCATAGAACACGCCAGACGGCAAGCCGGCCGCAGCCATGTTCTTGCTTCCGGCCAGGAAGGGCCGCAGCTGGTGGAAGAAGACGTGCGGCGCATTTTTCTCGCACATCCGCGCGAGAGTGCCTCTGAGGTCTTGCAGGCCATCTGTGAAGCGGCACAGCAGCGCGGTCAGGCGTGGCACGTCGTGGGCTGCAGCTGCAGCAATGGCATCGAGCATCAGCGGGACCAGCCGGGCACCCTTGGCTTCGATGGCGACGGAGAGGACCATGAACCATTCTTCATCCTTTGTGCCGGTGAATGAGGTGAGCACAGATAGGTGGTCGGGCTCGGTGATGTCGAGCTCTGCGGTTGTGGTGTAGTTCCAGAGGGTAAGGGCTGCGTAGGTGGCGCAGGGAGGGAGCTCGAGGTGCTTCGAGATTTTGAGAAAGGGCTTTGCAATACAAGGAGGCAAAGTCTGGGGTAAATGTGCAGATTAGTATTGCATGATACCAGAGAGAACATAAGACGAAAGGGCTTATAGGAGAGCAAAGGCTCGGAGGTTGCTTACATCCTTGGGCTTCTCGCCCCCCCAGATGTAGGCGTGCGTGAGGAATCCCAGGATCGAGTACGCACGACGCCACTCCGGCTCGGTTTGTAACCACGTCGTCGTCAGAACAGGCAAGGCATTGACTGATCCTCTGATCTGGCCGGTTTTGATCAGATCCGGCAGCCGGACGGCGAGGTTTTCCCATTCCGCGTAGTACGCATGGGGCAGCTTCTGAAGCGGGAGACCGTTCGGGAGGAAGCCGTGAAGAGGGGAGACGGCATAGTCGTCGAGATTGATCTCGGGGGAGGGGATCATAGTGGGCGATTGATATCAATGAGTCGCAAAGGGATGGTGAGACAAGAACGGTGAGATGAAGACAGGCAAGTTGGCAGGCGCCCAGGAAGTTTAAATGGTGCTGGGGAATCACCGGCCTGCCTTGATAACAGTGGGCTCCTAATTATATGGCCATAATACGACGCAATATCGATTATGGATGCGATCCGGCTTGCAGCGGCCACTTGCCAACTTCAAAACTATACAAGGCGGATCGCGGGCGGATCGACATCCGTGTTCCGGGTGACGTCGAGAAGCGGTCATCGTTGTCCGGCCCGACATTTATTTGGTGCTAGTTTATTCCCAGGGACCAGGAACCAAGCTGGAAGCTCAATAAATCCGAGTTCTACAAGCAAAGTGAGCAATGTGCGGCCTGAGGACTCGAGCAAAAGCAAACCTGCGGAGGTGGATACTCTCGTAAAGAACCTTGTAGACACCCTTGTACAACGTGCATCGCGATGGCGCTGATCGCCTATCACACCAAGCTTGGGCGTCCATTTCTCCTTCACTCTACTTCATTTCACAAGCAGGCCGGTCATCGGGTTGGTCCGAACAATAATTGAGTTCTGCAATCACGAAGATTGCAACGACGGAGACTCCACCTCGGCAACGCAGCCACAGACGGGCCAACAGAAGGTGGGGACGGATCGCGGAGGTGGATGCGGATGCGCCCGTCCGGATTGCACTCTTCCCTCGTCTCCGATTGATCAGTCAATTATAAAATGCAGCTGGAGCGTGCGTTGCGTCTTGTCTGCATTCCAGTCGTGCCCCTCGATTTACACCGACCAGTTCTGGGTGTTGTGCGCTGCCAACGTCGCCATTGTCACCATAGTTACCTCCCCACCCCCACATACACTCCCAGATCAACATGACAGGCACAAACGGTCTCAACGGTGTCAACGGCGTCAATGGCATCAAGGCGCCCAAGCCTGTTTTTCCCGCCGAGGCGGCCACACAGGAGTATGCCGCTTCTCTCGATAAGGCTGATCCAGTGCGCCAGATGCGCGACGAGTTTATTATCCCGTCCAAGGCCAATCTCGCCAGCAAAAAGCTGGCCAAGCCAGGTACGAGCGAGAGCTATGGTGGCGCGGTGTTGCCAGGTTGCTGACTCCTGATAACAGGCCTTTCATCTGAGCCTAGTATCTACTTCTGCGGCAACTCACTGGGCATTCAGCCCAAGGTGACAGCTAAGTACATGGAGGCGCAGCTCGACACATGGGCGTCCATCGGCGTCTGCGGCCACTTCACCGACATTGAAGATTCCCCGCTGTCGCAGTGGCAGCTGCTCTCCGAGCAGGCGTCAGCTTCCATGTGCAAGATTGTAGGCGCCGCGCCAGAAGAGGTCGCTGCGATGGGCACGTTGACGACCAACCTGCATCTTCTGCTGGCGAGCTTCTACAAGCCCACAGAGACCAAGAAGAAGATTTTGATGGACTGGAAAGCGTTCCCCAGTGACCATGTAAGCGTTCACAAAGACCCAGACGCTGCAAACAAGCAACTAACTCGACCACTAGTACGCTATTGAATCACACCTTGCCTGGCACGGTCTGGACGCCAAGCAGAACATGGTCCTCATCGGCCCCGACGAGGGCACGTACGAGATCGCCACTGAGAAAATCCTCTCATACATCGACCAACATGCCCATGACGCTGCTCTGCTTCTCCTCCCAGGCATTCAGTACTACACTGGCCAGCTCTTCGACATCCCCACGATCACCAAGTACGCGCAGGACCGCGGGCTCACCGTGGGCTGGGACCTGGCTCACGCCTACGGCAACGTCGAGATCAAGCTGCACGAGTGGAACGTCGACTTCGCCGTCTGGTGCACGTATAAGTACGGCAATTCCGGGCCCGGCGCGATGGGCGGCCTCTTCGTGCACGAGCGGCACGGCCAAGTCGACTACAGCGAGGGCGAGGATTCGCCCAAGTTCCGGCACCGTCTGACCGGCTGGTACGGCGGCGACCGATCCGTGCGTTTCAAGATGGACAACAGTAAGTGCCGAATTGTTCCCTTGAGCAACCCCTTGAGACGCAACGGGACGGAACGGCGGCAGCTGCTAACATTCTCCAGAATTCAAGCCCATCCCCGGCGCTAACGGCTTCGTCATCTCCAACCCCTCCGTCATCGACCTGACCACGCTCTGCGCCTCGCTCTCCGTTTTCGACAAAACCACCATGGCAGACCTGCGCCAGAAATCCTTCAAGTTAACCGCGTACCTGGAGTACCTCCTCCTGAAGGATACCACCGACGCAGACCGCCAATTCACTATTATCACCCCGTCAGACCCGCACGCCCGTGGCGCACAGCTTAGTGTCCTACTCAAGCCGGGGCTCTTGCATAAGGTGGCCCAGCGACTGCAGGACGCGGGCATTATTTGCGATAAGCGCGAGCCGGATGTTGTGCGCGTGGCGCCGGTGCCGTTGTACAACACGTTTTTAGAGGTGTTTACGTTTGTACAGGTTTTCAAGGGCGCTTTGTCGTCATGATTATGGCATCTAGGGCATATTCTGTCTTTCTGTTTTGTTTTGTTTTGTTTTGTTCTTGGGAAATACCCTAGATGAAACATATTGCATAGGCTGGATAGGAAGCGTTTTTAGGAAATTCTACAAAGTTGATGTATTGCAGTATCTCCAGCTCTTCAAGGCTGAAAGTACAGCATGGACTATGTAGTCTGAATAGCTCACAGCCTCAAGCGCCCCTTGCTAAAAGCTAAAAGTTCCCAATATTATCCCAAGTATCCCCACCACGCAGGAACTCCTGTCCCTGCGAAAAGAAGTTCGTTGCAAGAATCGAAAAGTCGTCGTTTGTCAAAGTCAGCTGCTGTGGAGAGACCAGCGAGTTGGCCGAGTAGTCCGCAAATGCCGCATTGGAACCAAAGCGCGGCGACTGGAGACTCGCCGGCCTCTCCTCGCCAATGCGCGTTGGCGCAGGCAGTGGAGAAGTCTGTGACACTTCCGCATTTGCAGGGGAGGGACCTGTGTACAGTGAGTCGCCGAAAAGACGGCGGGCAGAGTTTGCGTCACTGTTCGATGAGTACTCGAGGATTTCCCAGAATCGGGAGAGGTCGATCAGGAGGCTTTGGTTCTGCGCGTCGGGGTCGGATTGGTAGGTGGCGGAGACGGCGTCTTCGAGGTGCTGCAGTCGTTGAGCGAGGCGGGCCATGTGAGGCCATTGCTCGCCGATCTGCTGGACGAACTTGACGCATTTGGTGAAGCGGTCGCGCTTCTGGTTGCGGATGGTGGGGTTCTCGGTGAAGCTGAGCTGCAGCTCGATGGTGGCGACGACGGCGGCGCTATAGCCCAGTAGTGGGTCGGAAATGAAGAAGGATTTCTCTTCGAAGTAGTTGATGAAGTGGATGATCCAGGTGGTATGGGAAGAGATCAGGTCGGAGGTATGCTGGAGGAATATCTCGGGGATAGTGCTCCGGAAAGTGCGCAGGCTCAGGGATAGCAAAAGCGGATGATTGAGCAGGCACAGCATGGTATGGTACATGAATTGGTTCAAGAACCAAGGTCCCCAGTATTCTCGGTGAGCTTGTAGCTCCTCCAAGGATCTGTCGCTGAGGTTGGCCGGTTTGAATCGATGTGTGAGAGGCATGCGCGTCTCGAGGTCCATCTGTAGTGCAATGATCTTCGAATAATCGGAGTGCGGTGACCACGGCGGGACATTGCTCGGTCGTCCTCGGAGCCGTACATATCGTGCAGTCCGTGCAAAGGCCTCGCTCAGCATGATGACATAGGCAATGATGCCTTGATCTTGGATATCGCTTCTCCGCGTTTCGGGGGGTGTAGGACCTGGGGAGAGCATTCGTGGTGGTCTAGGTGGACTCTGAGGATAAGCAGGGCCCCCTACTTCCGGAAGATCTACTGAAAAGTCGCCACCGTGTAGTCGCTTCAGCAGACAGATGCTCCAGAAACAGCGTCTGCGCTCTTCGCGGTGGATCTCGCTGATTGGGGCGCGGGGCTCTAGGCCGAGATTTGCGCATTGAGCCAGGTTCATGGCAAGGCTGCTGTGAATGCTGGAGCGATGCGTATTCCCATCTATAAGGCACAAACATTAACCAAGTTGGTTTCACAAAGATTGGTCAGCATGCTCACTTGTAAAATCCACCAAGCTCAGTAGACAAAGACATTGGAGTGTTGAGACCTCAACTGGCCCTTCCGAGACCCGCTTCATCACAAGGCCGCGCGCTACTTCAGCATAGCTATTTACCTGTTCGGTTAAATTGTGAGAATCCCGGTGCGAATCTGAAAACCTTAGGCTCAAGGCTAAGATGGCGTAGATGACTTCGATATCCCGTGTTTGCAGGCTGTTGATGAAACTGCTCCTGTGAAACAGGGGCAGAGGCTGCGATTCGCAATATAACAAGTACAGCTCCGCTATGGGACCGATCGCCGTCCAAGGAGGTAGAACAACCGTTGCACTTGTGCCGGACGTGGTCATTCCACTGGGCAAGTGAGTGTCATTTGCCACGGAAGTGTTTGCTTTCGAGCTGGCACTGATATCAAGTTCAGCAATTCCTAATCTTGAATAAGCAAGGAATATTCATGCTCATACCCTAAATGGTCGATGACCTCTCCTAGCTTGCCTTCTAAGCTCCGCAACCTGTCTTCCTGTAAGGAGGCGCTGTCAACATCTGCCACCCTCATTATACTACCAGAGAGACATACCAGCGTCTGCGGGGCTGGTAGGCTTGCTGCATGAAACCTTGAAGCTTCCTCTAAAGCCTGTAGCCGTCGCCGTTCCTCTGCATATACGCATTCCTGACGCAGCCTAGCACATAGAGAGCAGACCGGCTGCTCTCCAGGACATTTAGCCTTCTTCCGCCTGAAATTCTTGTTAGTAGGGCATTTCACCACTAGGGGTATACCTTGTACCCACCTGCATGGCTCACAGGCTTGCCGGACCCTTTTGTGGGTCTTTCTGAGTAGTGGGGGTCGGTATTCTCCATATCAATGGTACGATTCTTATATGCCAGTGCGCATTGTGCCAAAGTGGGCGTGGTTGCACGAGAGGATTCTAAGTTCGAGAGGTGAATATTTATACTGGGAAATCCGAATGGTTAGGACGGTGCATATCGCGAATGTAGAGCAAGAGCCAACCATTAGAGGCAATCAGGCTATAGAACTTGGAATAAAATCCATCCGAGCTGCTGTTGGCAGATGCACGGTGGGCAACACCATCGCGTTGAAATAGCTGACTAAGCATTTTCAGTGACCCGATGCGGCCGGCCGGGCTAACTATAGAAGCCATCCTGGGATTGCTGTTCAAAAAACATCCTGGTAGCCCGACCTTTGACCTGACCAGCAAGCCATAGAAGCCATTGGAAATGTCACACGACATTCAAGCACTGTTAAAATCGTTGCTTAAACTGCTTTTGTAAGCCCTGGACTCGGGCGGTATAGGTTATATCAAGGTGGCACGGTCATCTTTTCAAGGATTTGGGTTTGATACTGGTATTTTGGGTGCATGAGCGTTGAAAGAGAAACATAGAAGGAGTGAGCTTTGACGTATAGCTCTTGGAACAAACACCCTGGTACGCCGCGCGAAAGCCGCTCTAACAATGGCGTCCAATCAGATGCCATTGAAATAAGCCGGTATGATACTCGCTGTACTGGGCGGAGGTAGTAGCATATTACAAGGCTGACATAGCCAAGGCGTAGGAAGGCAACTATTCGTGGATTGGCGCTTGAATCGGTTTTATGTACAGCCCCAAATCTTCAGTGTGCCTGCGAACGCATCTAAACCATCACCGGAGTAGAAATACACCGCCCGAATCGAGTCAACCTCAACACTGCATCTTCAACTACCAAAAAGGGGAAGGTTGGCGTCATTTATTTGTCGCCGAACCAGGTCTTCTTGCCCTATAAGATAGTTAGTATATGTCCTGAAACTTCCCATAATGGGCCCTCTCTGATGGTGTCGAGAGGAAAAAGGGCCAGGTGTGAACTAACGAAGACCATGCGGCACATGGCGTAGGTGGTGGCTAGTATCAAGTTAGTCCGTTGTCCACGATATCTACCAGTTTGATCGAGGTTCCACTTACCAGCACCAAGGCCGTAGACGGAAAGAAGGTAGGGGTACATGATGTAACCGCTACGGGAGGTCTGTCGAACATAGATCGATGTCAGAATGTTGCCAATGGCTGGTGTACAGGGCGATGTATCGGGATCCAACTGACCTTCCACCATTGACGCTTGCCGTCGTGGTTCTGGAACAGACGCTGGTAGTAGGGGACACGGTTCTCGCGGTAAACGAAACTATGAAAGAATAACAGGAATTAGCAGTGATCGCTACTTGAGTAGAGACAGGCAATGCCCGTGGCGGTGTCAATGGCAATTGACGCAATCGCGAACACCCCCAAGGGACTGCGAAATGAATTTCGGTCGGGCTTGGGCGCGACAAGGTGAAGCTGAAGGTAGCGGTGTAGGACGGGAGCTTGACGTACCCGGCCATGCGAGGCACAGTGCGGAACATTTTGGCGGTTGGAGGCACGAAGTGAGGACTGGGTGGGAGGAGAGAAGGGCAATGGCACGATGTCGTGGAGTTGGGAGAGCTGCAGGTTAGTCATGTGACGTCCCTCTTTCTTCCGCCCACTCACACGGTGTGTGCTTAGTCAGTAATGCTGAGTCAGGGTCCTCAAAAGGGGAAAGCGTCATCGGCGGCTTCTGGCGCGGAAGAGCAAGCTTGACGATTTATTCGCGCTGGCCTTGATTTCCTCCAAGTTGAGAGAGAAGGATGGTGGACAAGAACTCCGTTGCCATCCTTCCCTGCATGACCAATGCGACCGGCTCTTCTTCGACTTCTGAAGAGGCCGTCCGCCATCTCGGTCCTCGGCACCCTCGCAGCAACACCGACCGGAATCGAGCAGCTGGAGTCAAGATACGCGCGTCTACGATGCCAATCGCGATGTGCTCACCAAAATGCACCCAATGAAGATGATGCTAGGAATGGCTCCACGGCGCAGGATCTGGACACAAAACCGCAGATCGCAGACGACAGACGGTCCTTCAATTTTACCATCTATGACATTGAACCGCCGGAGGAAGAGCGAACGCCGAGTTCCACATCCCTTACGACAGGACTGAGAGAGAAGAGCACGCCAAAACTCCTCACTAAATCCTTACGGTTCCAACCGGAGAGATTGGAATTCGAGTCAGACATCGGTCACAACAAGGATATTGGAACACGCCTGGTCGATCGCCCTGAGAACAGGAATGATTTCGAGCTTTGGGAGGAGCTTTTAAAGTTCCGCCAGCGGCGCTACGGTGACAAAGGGACACAAGATATCTGGGAAGGGTTGACAGTTCGCTTGGACGGAGTTCGGCTACCGGTGACCGGAGAACAGGCCGATTTCTTTTGGCAAAGCTTTATGAAACTGGGGTTGAGGCGGGAACTTTTCTTGAAGGAAGTGGTGGAATATGCCTTGGATCTACACAAGCATGAAGGTGAATCTTGGCCACAGCTCTACGAGAGCGTTGTGGGTGGCCTTCTCGACCGGGGCTACACGAAACGGGCTATACGATGGAACAAGATATTTCAGCAATCCGGTTTGGCCTCTCCAAACGATGTGCTCCAAGTCCTCCGGCCAGTTATCAGACCAAGCTCGCTCGTGGACCGTGCCTACGAGCTGCATCTGAAAAACGCCGAAAGACCGTCATCTCTATTGCGGACCTTTCGACTGTTGTGTCGCTCGGCCGAGGGTCACCAGATATATGGACCAGTTATGTCGACACTACTTCAACATGGCTATGGGGAGGGTGCCATCTCGATACACAAGTTCCTGGTCGCGCGTAATGATCATCCACGGACTCGCAGCGAAATCCAACCACTATTGGATTATGCCCGAATGTATGGTTTCGCGGACGAAAACCACACACTTCAGGCGTATGCCCGGGGAAGATTTGGAACCGAGGCTAAGAAGGCATACCAGGGTGCCGTGGGAAATGCACCAGATGGCACGCCAGACGGGAAGCCCTTCAAAGATGATATCGGGGCCCGATTGTTCGCCACTCGAGCCCTTAATTTCGACATGGTCCTCGGCGGTCTGAAGATTCTTGGCGTATCCGCAATTGGCCCAAGGAGCTTACGTGAATTGGCCGTCAGAGCGCATGGGAGCCAGGACATTCTGGAGAAGCTCAAGATGCTGCGGCAGTCCGGCATCTCGATCGGAGACTCCCTCTTCGCCCGACTAGTCCAGAAACTGGCAGCGCAAAGCCGCGATATCCTCCTTTCCGACCTGCTGTCGAGTGACCAGCACCCCGATGTCCTTGAAGACAAGAAAACCCAGGAATCACTGCTCGTCTCGTACTACACGGCTCGTGATTCGCGGCAGTACAATGTATCTCTCGCCGTGCTCGCAGAACTTTACCCAGATGATCCAGATCTGTTGGATATCCATTTCCGCAAACATATTGCTGCCGGAGATCTCAAGGCAGCCGCTAAAATTGTGGACGAGATGACGCTGCGCGGCCAGCCTCTGACTGAAGACAGTATGGATTTCATGGCGGAAAAAGTTCTGACACCCCGTCGGCCCGCCCATTTGCCGCAACTGTCGCCTGGGAAGCGATTGAATACCAAGCGTGAGGTGATGTTTATCCTCAGGGTTCTTCAGCGCTCAGTGCCCTTGGGGGGTTATGTCAGTCCAGCCTTCTGGCAAGAGTTGCTCAAGCGCCTGGGTATGGAGGACTACTGGAGTGAGCTCCGAGAGTGCTGCCTCTGGCTCGTCCGTCAGTATGCAACACGGAGTAAAGACCTGTGGCCAACCGCCCCTTCCAAAGCACCAACAGGAAGCTTGCAGGATGACCGAATGCTGAAGCTCATCTTTGCGCCGGAAATGCAAACAGCTGTAGTGGCCTGGGGGTTCAAGGATGTTGTCAACCGCGCAACTGCCTCCCAAAAGGTGTGTCTACATCCTACCACATCCGAGCCACTCATCCCTTGGGTCCGCGGGCTTCTTCTGCTCGGAGAGCTGGAGCAAGCCGGCCTCTTCCTCCACACGCGTGTCATACGCGATGCTACTCGGACACGCTTGGCCATCCTGTATGGTCGATTCTGCCTTTCCCGTTCTCCCCGGAACCGGACCCTGCGACGAGTGAACCCGTACCGGTGGCAGCAAGTAGTAAGAGATATCTTGTGTGCCTGGGGTGACCCGTCCTTTTTTGGTGGACAGGAGGAAACAAATCCAACGCGGCTGATGAATCCCTATCGAACCCCCGGCTCGCGGCGGCGCTCTGCACGGACGGTGTGGCCTCGGAAACGCCAACGATGATGTACAAACTAGCGGTCCTCCACGTGTGTTCATAGATATACCAGTATATACCCCGTCCTAATATCAACGACAATTTCCGTACCAGATGTCGTATGCATTATCCAATGTCCAAAATTCAATCTGGGATTGCACCAGCTAGTTTTTGGCAGTGATCGTCACTGCGCAGCGGTAGGCTAGTCCCTCGCGTCTGGTGGAACGAGCATACGAATATCTTCGGCTGTGCCACGGCGGTCGGTCAGCGCTTCTCACAGCCGCAGCCCAGGCTTGCGGCCTGAACTTGGCTACTTGGCGCGATTGCAACGAGACAAATCAAAATCAATCAAAAGTCATGACTTCCACCCAATCAAGTCGGCTGCGTGGCGAAGATCCACCGCCATCTAAGAATAGTTGAGACGGCAACGCGGCCTGGACCCGCTATGGATCGTCACTAAACATTGCATTCCATGACAGGCCCCGTCCTTTATTATTCACCCATCCCTCCTCTTCCTTTCATCTGATCACTTCAGCGATTACTGGCGGCATCAATATTTAATATCTTGACTTTCAGATCGCTTTCTGCTCTATATTGTCCGGTACCATGCGATTGCTCAACTACTTGCCGTGGCTGCTGCCGGCGGCGCTCGCGAACCCTCTTAACGTCCGGTCCACCGCCTGCAACAACTCGCCCGACCTCTGCGACAAGTCGTACGGCGAAATCACCCATTTGGGTGCCCACGACAGTCCCTTCGTGCGCACGTCGGATAGCACATTGGCTGGTGATCAGTAGGTTCCGCTTGTCCTGCACGCCTCGCACACGTTCCAAGATAGCGACGTCTAACCGTCTCTCCTTCTTGCCCAGGTACTACGACACCCCTACCCAGCTGAGCGCTGGTGTCCGCCTCGTTACAGCCCAGGTACACAAGGATAACAACGAATGGCACCTGTGCCATTCATACTGCTCCCTGCTGGATGCAGGGTTGTTGAGCGACTGGCTGGCCACGATCAAGTCATGGCTCGATGAGCATCCCAATGAAGGTGCGTCGCCTGCTCCCATCCACCGCACCGAACACCCAGGACCATGATCTGCGAATGCAAATACTTACCCCGTCCCTCTGCACAGTTGTCACCGTCCTCCTCGTCAACTCGGACAGCGCCTCGGCCGCCGAGCTCGGCGCCGAATTCACGACGGCCAACATCACCTCGTATGCCTACGAGCCCTCCTCGCTCACGTCCGCGCCCTCCTCCTGGCCCACCCTCCAAACGATGATCGACTCCGGCAAGCGGCTCGTCGTCTTCGCGACTCCGCTCACCACCAGCACGGACTATCCCTACCTCATGTCCGAATTCGACTTCATCTGGGAGAACAACTACGATGTGACCTCGCCGTCCAACTTCACCTGCGAGCCGGACCGGCCAAGCTCCCTCTCCGGCTCCATCTCCACCGCGCTATCCTCCAACCGCCTCCCCTTCATGAACCACTTCCTCTACTCGACCGACCTGGCGCTGCTGGATATCGAGTACCCCAACGCCAGCTACGTGTCGACCACGAACGCGCCCTCTGGCGGCACCGGCAACCTCGGCAGCACTGCGACGAAGTGCAAGACGGCGTACGGCGGCCGCCAGCCGACTTTCGTCCTGGTGGACTTCTTTAACAAGGGGCCTGCGCTGGACACGGTCGATAGCCTGAACAATGTCACTAACGCGGTGGGGCGGACGTCCGTGTCATCGTCGTCATCGTCATCGTCATCGTCGTCAAGCGACGGGTCCACGGTCAATAACGTGTTTAAGGGGCTGGTTGAGCTGGCTAGCTCGGCGAAATCCGGCGCTAGCACGAGTATGGGCGATTGGGTCTGGGCTGGTGGGAATTGGGATAGCATCCTCGGCGGGGGGATCTCCCTCTAGGCTGCGCGTGCCCCCCTTTTTCCCCCCCTCGGTCTTGGACCCTTTTTACTTTTTTTCTTGGTACTTTTCTCTTCTGGCTTCAGTATTTCGTGTTCAGTGTTTGCAGCGTTCTGTTGTTCTCGGACATTCTGGAGAGCCGCCGGCCATGGACGTGAGTTTCGAGGGCTTTGCATCTTGCCCTGGTGGCCCCGGTACATACAGCATGGATATGGAGGATTCGGCTACGATCGATTTGATTTGTTTTGGGAGTTTGGGCGGTGTTAGTGCATTGCATTGCAGATGGCAGATGGCAGATGGCAGATTGCAGATTGCACCCTCACCAGAGGACGGCGTTTATTATGGGATGAATGGGATATTGGGCCTGGCAATGGACTGGAACGACTCGTGATCTATGGGCGGTTGCATGCTTGCTTTTCGTCGGGATGCGGGCCCCTTAGTACTAGATCGAAATGAAAAATGACATTCAAAGCAACCACCGAACCCGGCTCGAATCAGCCGTTCTGGCAGGGCTAGAGCCGTGTTCGAAGCTCTTGCCTGCTTGCCCCAGTCTATTGATCCTTGCCCAGCAACTGCCGCACCTTGTTCACCTTATCCTCAAACGACTGCTCCTTATCCGTCCTGTCAAACAAACCAGTCGTCAGTCGGATGATGATACGTCATTTGCTGGCCCACAGGCCGAATCGAATGAAGGACGGCATGACTGAATGGATAGAATCCAGGGTGCGAGGGGTAGGTGTAGGGATGAACGAAACACACCTTGATCCGACGCGGATATCCGTCTGAATCCGCACAATGCCCTGCTGGTGCAGCAGCGTATGCGCCTGCCCAATCACCTGGTGCACTCGGTCCCAGGATCCTTCTAGCAGAGTAGGAGAGAAACACGGTTAGCTGGAGGGTCCACAGTGGTATGGCATGTGAGGACGCATTGGACCCGGGGGTGCCGTGGTTGGCTGGTTTGGGGTGGATGGGTTGCAACAGGAGATAATCCGGAAGCTTGCAGCTGCAAGGAGATACGTACCAAGTGTGGTGCCCGCGGAGTGCATGGAGTATGTCAGGCCGGATTGCTCGATCAGCCTCTGGACGTCGGCGATCTGGGCCGAGACGGAGGCGGAGGCCGTCCCGATCTAGAGGGTCAGTGCGACGGCGGTAATGGAGTGGGAGGAGAGCAGCGTACGGGGATCAGACAAAAGTCGGCGATGCAGCGGGCCGGGGTTGGCAGGGTGGTGGTGTCCATCGTGAGGGTGGTTGGAGATGTTGGCCGAGTGGAGGGGGGGGGGGGAGTTGGCAGATAACTGGAGCTACTAGCTAGTGGACCGCAGGGAGTGATCGAGGATTCCGCGTGAGGGATAGTTTAGTACGATAGGTCATCGATGGTGGAATCTCCGGAACTATTCGTTATGATACAATGATATAGATATACCGGTCAATCTGACTTTGTCGCAGTGTTCGGACGGCATGGTCTCGACGGGCGGTCGAAGGCACTGCGTCATTGCGGATTGCGCTGTCAGAGCTTCGCGGATGATCCCCGCTGACCGCCCGTCATTTGCGAACCCCTTACGCTTCTTGCAATCTGCTTAATACCCAGTGAAGTCCCCCAGTCTCGGTGTTTCCCGTGGTATACACCTACCTCGACTTCTGGAGGACAGACAGCCAGATCGCAGGGGGCCATGATCGACTTCCTGGGGCAAGCGCCAATGCCGAGCTGAACCCCCACCGCGCGAACTAATCCCTGCACGCCATCCGCTGCTCCCCGGGTTTACGGGCTGGCCTCGCGAGGCTGGTTGGTCTACTAGCAGAACGTCGGCTCTTTTCTTTTTTTTTCTTTCTTTTCTTCTTTTCTGGTGCGCGAAAATCTACTGGTGGACGGGGCTACTCCACCTACCTATCGGCCGTACATACAGCCAGTCTTCTCGATCATCTCCCAGCCCACAAGCCGCTAGCTCGCCCAGCACATTTGGCGACCGAGTCCCTGACGCAACGGTTCTCTGCGACGAACTAGCCTAACGACCCCATTCTGGATCCGTTTTAGCTCCAGATTCGCACGCACCCACAAGCGATCGACCCAGTAGTTTGTCTCGCGTGACCAATCGAGAACGCCCCTTCCAAAACCCCCCGGTCCCGGGCTGCCTCGACCGCTGTTCTACAAATCCACCGACGCCTTCGCAATCCCTGCTGGGAAAAGCGAGGAGAGGCCTTCTATCTGGCTTTCCATTTTCCCTCCGATCGAGTCATGCTCCTTGCCGCCTCCTCTGTTTCCAATTCACTTTCATTCGCCGCGAATGACCAAGCCCAGTCTCCTCGAGCTCCCGCCGGGGGTTCAGCTCGTCTATCTGGCCGAGGGCGGTGCCAATGTGATCTATCGCTTTGTTCAGGCAAAATCCCCCATCGCACCCAAGAGACTCTCCGTGGGCCCGGTGGCCCCGACCTGTGAAGGGGCCGAGGAATACGCAGTGCCTTCGCTCTTCATGGGGAAATTGCTTCGTCTGCGCAAGGACACAGCTGCTGGTGTCTCGTACAAGGAGATTGCGCAAAACTTCAATACCATCGTGCGCCCGCTCTTCAGGCCCGAAGAGCTGGTCGACCAGACGCTCATCCGACTACCGGATGGTCTGACCTACCGCTGCAACGAGCTGCTCCGCATCGCTGAGCTCAATGGCAGGCGGCCCAAGAAGCGGCATGGCGGTTACCTGTGTCTGACCGAGCCATTTGGGCTTCTCATCACCGATATGACGACCTTTGACGAACCGGGGGCGACACTGGCGGAGCTGAAGCCGAAATGGCTCACCCAGTCTCCATCGGCACCTGCGACAGCCCACAGATGTCGGACTTGTGCGTTGAGGGAAATGAAGAACCACGATGCGCGAAGCTTGGGACAGAAAGAGCAGCGCTCCTTCTGCCCTCTCGATCTTGTATCAGAGCGCGTGGACAACGTCTTCCGGGCTACCACTTTCATTCAAGGGTGTAGCGACCGAGCACGGTTAGCGCGTATCTTGTTCCGCAATCCCACGCTCCTGAAACTGCAATCACAACAGAAGACCTGGCGCGGAGTTGGCCTCCTTGGACCCTCGGCACAGTCTCACGAGACCTCCCTCGACATGACGCTCCGAGACTGCACCATGTTCATCAAGGTGTGCACCATCTGGATATCTCTCCACCCAGTTTTTCACTGACATGAGCCGCTAGATTCCCCGAGACGAAAAATCCCCCGTCGAGATCCGTCTTGGAGACCTGGACCTGAAAACCGGTGCTGGCGGGAAAGCCAAGTACTGGCGAGACGTCGAGATGCACTTGATCGAAGGAGGCTGGTACCGCGGCGCCAACCGCACCCAGCATCCAAGCGAATGTGCAATGCAGCACCCACGTGCTCATCACCCTGCCGCGACTTGATTCGTCGCCTCCAACCTACATGACCACGCTTACCTTTCTTATTGTTCTTTCTGATCTCACCATTTGAATAAGCCTGCAGACCTGGAGAAGACACGTAGCTTTGCATAGGCGGCCTTTTTGATTTTGTATATTATTGCCCGCTCGTTTCTCTTTTCGGTCTTTGGGGATCTTTATGCGTGTTATGACCCATATTTACGGGATTGGGATGGCTATCTGATAATTTTCAGCAACTATAGAACTACAACACCGGATATTTACTTTTTTTTCTTTTCCCTTTTCTCCCTTGCTCATCCACCCTGAGGTACGATCAAATAAATCTAATAGAACACTGACAATAATCATACATGGGATCAAACCGACCAACCCCCGAGAAGATGATCATATCACCGCCTTCCCCTCTCATATCATCCATATCATATCGATCAAGCCACTGAGCTCAACCTCAGCCGGCTTCAAGGCTGCTCACTTTTGAGGGGGACGCCGCAGATTGCCGAGGATGTTTGAGTTCTCCGAGCCACTGGAGGGGGTACTGGGAACCGTGGCAGTGCGGAAGCCCGAAGACGAAGCGGCGGGTGAGGAGCTGGGGCCCGATGAACCGCCGGAAGAAGATGAGCCACTGGCCATAGATGGACGAGCCATAGATGGACGGGCCGGGGAAGGCATAGACATGTCAGAGTGGAAAGCAGGCACCGACAGGGAGGGTGTCTGTGTGGGCAGGTTCATGCCGGGCTGACTTTGGGCTGTGGCTGTGACTGTGACTGTGACTGTACCACCGAGGAGAGCCAGGCAGGCGGCTATCAAGATGGTCGTGAACTGCATCGTGACAATGTGTATTCAAGAAGCGATAAAAATCCCTTGTCTGAAGAAAAGACAAAAGACGTGACGATGGATATGCAATAGCGACCCAGGAGCCGAAAAGAGTCAATCAATTCTCAATCCTCAAGACCTTTCTTCTTGGACCAAAAAAAGCTTTTAATATAGGGCAGCGTCGAGCCCCTGACTCCTTGCGTATGGCAGTGTATTCTGATCAGCGGGAGCGATGCAAGGTTCTTTACCAACTGATCTCATATATCGATCATAGCCGGAGCTGAACGGCCGGTCGAGTACATAATTCGTCGTAGTGCGGATGATCTGGTGATCTCAATTACTCATGCTACACGCCTGCGACTAACAACGAAAAACAGGGAAACATCGCAGGAAAGGGTTTACCCGCGTGTTTAGAATGGCAAAGCCTGACTCCACATCGTGAAAGTGCCTCCGTTTTGAAAGCACGGAGAGATGTCGCTCCTTTTTATTTTGATTCACTGTCCTGCCAATCCTATCGTTGATCCATAGCTGGCGTAGCCACTGGTCTCTCGTGTACTGCGGCAGCGGCTGGTGTTGGTAGACTCTCCCGAAGAGGTTCATATATTGGTTTTGATGAGAGGCAGGCTGTGGTTGACAAGATCGTCGAGAAGATGGGTTTGAGCTACTGCGCCCAAGAGAGCCAGGTGGTCGGACATCGACGTCGCATTCAGTAATATCGCCGGTGTGAAGCAACTTTCTTAAGTCTCAGAGGTTGCTTACTCTTTGTGTGTGCCGGTGCCGTATGTCAGAGGGCAATGGTAATCCAAGATTCTATACCGCGTAAGGTGCTCTGTTCGCCCAATTAGATGTGTATATATTCTCGGTTGTAGGTTTACAAAAGTTGGATACAAGTATAACTCGGCTTGAATTGAACGACAAGAAACCCGGAAGGAACAAAACGAGAATATCAGCGCCGGGCATTAGAGCTGATCAAACAAGCCATCTTCAGTTTCATGACCTCCAACGTAGAATCCTTTAGGTCGTCCTGAATCAGATTGCATTGCATCCAAGCCTATTCAATTCGATGTTAGATCTGCGCAGTTTCGGTGGTTGATTCCCCAATCCTTCCACGGAGCGCTAGTTCTGTGAACGGAACAAAAATTCGGCATCATCAACTCCCCAGACACTTTCCATCACGAAAAATCAGAAAATCGTGATTTATCCACTGAAATGATTTGAGTCGGTCTGGTCGCGGTCTATTTGTCTAATATCCAATTCTTTCTAAAATTATGTACCTCGGGGCCGGTAGCACTTTTTGTGAAGTGTAATTTTCATTCAGATGTATGAGTTATATCGGAAATGTGTAAGGGACTACGAGGACTTGAAGATGCAGGCTAATTCCCATCTCCACCTAGGCTACTAGACTAGACATCAAAGAATATCTCCAATCTCAGGCGACCGAACATAATGCGTCTGCCAGTCATCGATATCACGCAAGTGCCCGAAACCCGGCAAATCCGTAATCCGCCAATACATCTTCATCCAACCAACATCATGTTCCGTGCAACCCTCGAGCGGTTCCTCAGGAGGGTCGACATCGTCATTCGCAATATCCTCTTCATCATATTCCTGCGGCTCCCATTCAGCATGGACCATGCGAACAAACGCCACCTCCTCATCAAAGTCCTCGGGGGCGTTCAGAACAGATTCCAAAGCTTCGTGGTCCACCGTGATGAAAAACCGATAGCGCCCTGTACGGGCACGATAGTCTTCATTAACGCCCTGTTCCTCTTTCCTTGCAGTTCGTCCACTTATTGAAGTGCTCGCGGAGAGTGACTACCGTCGCACCCTCGAAGGAGGGGTCTTCGAAGACCGTTAGGGCAGGATAGAGTAGAGGATAGAGTAAAGGGTAGAGTAGAGGGTAGAGCAAAAGACAGAGCGGATAAAGCGTAAAAAGGTAGTAGTAGTAGAAGCGAAGCGCGAAGAGGTAGTAGTAGTAGAAGCGTAAAGTAGATATAGTAATAGTAGAGGTAGGGATTTAGGGAGATAGTAGAATAAATAAGGATAGGAATTTGATAAGATACAGAAGTAGTCTATTATAGTAACTAGAGTAAGCTACCTATAGCTACTAGCTAGCGTTTCATGAACTTGATATTTCTTTTTGCTCTATATCTGATGACGCAGGCTTCTCTCAATCATACCACTGCAAACCGGTCCGTTTACACACGGAAATCAGGTCGCTGTTGAAGCAGACTGAGCAGCGGCAGAAATAGCTGTTTCCCAGTAGACGCGGAGCCTGAACTTATTTGTGACTCCCCAGCCGCTCGGAGCTCATCCCACGAGGTCCACTCCCATGCCGAGCACTTCTCGGGCTCCATGAGCTTGAGCGACGTCAGCCAGGCACAATCCAGGGGTCAACAATAGCAAATATGCAATAACACGTACCTGCGGCTGAGCCGAGTCATCACTGGCAACCGAGCCCATGTAGATCGTGACATAGTGTTTGCCTTCCGCCTCGAAGACGCTGTTCGTGGCCGTTAGGAACTGGATATCGCGAATCTGGAGGCCGGTTTCTTCGAGGATTTCGCGTTCCGCGCAGGTCTCGAACGACTCGCCGTACTCAAGGTGTCCGCCTGGCAAAGCCCACGTATCTGAAGCTCCATGTTATTGGTCAGAGACGCCGTGGCTTGCTTGTTTATGGTAGGATGCCTCGATGCAGGGGACGGGTATCATAAGTTGTCAATGCTCGCAGTGGACTCACTTGCGCCGTGACTCCCCTTCCGCTTTCCCAGGACAAATTTTCCTTCGGCATTTACGACAAAGACGGCAACGCCAATTCTGGGCTCCATTGTGGAATTTGTAATGGGCTGTGTTCTTGGTCGATAGCAAAGCCCAAGCGAATTTTGATCGGCAAGGGGCGTGTGGGGCGCGGAGAGCGGGGTATCACGATGGGCCAGAAGAGAAAAAGGAAAATACCTGCACCACTCGCAAGCGATAGATATATGTTGACGATGGGCTAGTGGCTGTGCTGGGAAAGGCAGCACCAGCACGGCCACAACGGGGCAAAAGAGTGGCACAGATACTTCGGGGCGGAGTGGAATGAGACAAGAACTACAAATCCAATCTCAATGGGGACACCGGAATAGCCTGTTTTGTCGCTGCTGTCGACTGCTAGAAAATTACAAGACGAGAAGGAAGCGTAGAACATGCCGCCCTGCGCCTGTTGGTGCCGCGGCATGTTGGAGCCTAGAAGCCTCCGCACAAGGCACACACGCCGTCGCGTTTTACACAGCAGGTCATTGGTGTACAGCCGATCGTCGATTCACCTTTCCTCCTTGCACCCGGGACAGCATGATAATCCCAATCGCCGCCATCTATGCCCGTCAGTGGAGAGGGTTCGCGAACATGGTCGCGGTACTCACGAGCGAGGAATCTACGCCACGACCACCAAATCCATGGCAGGCCGAATATGTCGGGAACTGGGCAGCAACACCGTGTCATTGTCGTGAATACTCTCGTACACCCCCGCAATCCTCCTGTCTCCGTCGATAGTATCGTATCGTGCCATGACATCGCCATACTGGGCTACAGATAGTGTAAGGTTCTTCTCCGCGTCCCCCTTGGTCTCGTTCGCAGCCCGGCGGAATGAGAACTTCATCTCTTGCTGCCTGCCCATCGCGGTTCTCCTTCCGCGACTTTCACGCCACTACCTCCCGGCGTGGTGATAAACCACTGAGAGGGGACACCGAATGGCCTCTTCGTATGAAGCTTAAATAAGGATAGACCTGTGGCGTCGTGGAACTCTCGGCATGAGCGATCGCCATACTTGCGACCGGGAACGGTGTACATGGGCGTGCCATCTTCAGTCGTGATTCTATATGCAACCGCGGACTTGGCATCTCCCTTCGATTTGAGCACGAACGTCGTGTAGGGGAATGATAGATTCTCTTCGGAATGCGACCTCGCGCTCCGGCGGTTTCATCGGCCTGCGGGACTGGCGCGTAGACGCTCTGGGGTGAAGCGATATCCACGCATCGACGTAGGAGGTGTATGACATGATGGCGTTGGCTGTGGGCTGTGATTACAAGTGACTCTTGAGTCGTCCCGGGCTGCGACAAGATGACGGTGATATTATGACGGGCGTGGAATGCCTTTGCTGGCTGACGTATTTCCAAGGCTGCGCCCCGTTAACTTACTGAATTCTTGTGATTCGTGCCCTCCCCGGCGCAAGAAAGGCTAGCAAGGCCCTCGTCCCGGGCGCATGGTGGTGCTTAAGCAGTGGCGACGTCTGAGAGGGCCAAGAAGAGGCTCAGCCCTGGACGATCATTAAAATGTGCCTGTGAGCAATAATGACGGGTTGAGACGATCCTTGTAGATCTACTTGGACAACGTCCGAGCAATTCAATTACGACCGCTCTCTCTTATCCATAAACTAAATAGATATTCTGATTCGAGTCTCAACTCTTCCCATGTCATTACTGTCTACCTCTGCGAGCGAGGTCTTGCTTCTATCAAAGCAGGTCGCCGCTCTCGGTTATTGCGAGGCAAAGTTGGCGCGTGGAGGGACCGATGAGTAATGCGCGCTGTATCAACCCGACTCCCGCGGGTGGAAGCTTGCCCTGCCCAGCTCCGCAACACTCATCGAGTATATATTTACTATCATGGCAGCCAAATTCACAGTCAAGTCTCTGGACCACTTGGTCCTAACAGTGCGCTCCATTCCAGAGACGGTAGCCTTCTATACGACCCACCTGGGTATGCGGCACGAAGTCTTTAGTTCACCAGCCAACCCGGCGGTGCAAAGGTCAAATCAATCTGAAAGTGTGTATTGGAATGAAACTAAGAAACTGATTTCTTCAGAAATGCTCTCATCTTTGGAAACCAGAAGATCAATCTTCACCAGTCAGGAAAAGAGTTCGAGCCCAAGGCCCAGCACGTCATGCCCGGAAGCGCGGACCTGTGCTTTTTGACGGATGAGAATGTCGAGACAGTTCTACAAGCTTTCCAGAATGCCAAGATTGAGGTACCAAAATCAGGCTCACTTGATCGACTCCTTGTACTAACATCCTCTAGGTTCTGGAGGGTGCCAAGGTCGTAGAGAGAACCGGGGCCGTGGGGCGAATCCGGAGCGTCTATGTGAGAGACCCCGATGGAAATCTGATCGAGTACGTAACATTCATTCAATATTGCAGACTGTTCCACTCTGACCCTAAAGCAGGGTCTCAAACTATGCTTGATTATGTCAAGTGCAGCTCGTTATCGAACAACATATATCTCAAAGCCATTATTGATTCATTCCACTCCGTCTAACCATCATAACTCTCTGTGGAGCTGCCCTTCCGAGACGCACCCAGATTTATGCCGCCACAGTCCAAGCCAAAAGCCCCATCATGATAGGTAACCCTGCATTTTGCTCAATGGTAGATGCAGCACCCGTTGTAGCAGCCGCGGACGATGCCGTAGTCTATAACGACCCATCAGCGACAACAATATTCGCATATTAATTTTTAGCAGGGTAGTCAACACATACCGTTCCTGACGCTGTTGTATTCCCGGCGGCAGTCGAGATACCAGTAGCAGTGGTTGATGATGAGCTTGTCCCACGGGTGGTGGCCGTAGCCACAGCTGCCGAAGTCGCAGATGAAGGGCTAGGAGTCGCGTCGTCATTGCATCCGTCGGCAGCTGACTTGACCTCCGAGCCATAGTATTTCCAAATGTTGTAAGAGAGGGCACATTTGAGACAAGACTTCAGGTCAGAGGTAAACGTAGAGTTGTCACAGTAGTTGCCAGCCCTGGAGATGAGTATGACCTCACCTAGAATTCACGACATCAGATGTGGGGGAATAAACGAGGAGTCCAGTAGAGGACCTACCGCATGATTCGTGGCAGTTATACAGCGGAGACCCGGGGGTAATATCCGCGCGTTTGTCAAGAAGCGAGGTTGGCAACTGCGACGCCAGGGACACAGAGGCCATGACAGTCAGAAGTCCTGCCAAGGACAGCGGAAAATGCATTTTGAGGAAGTGACGAATAATATTGTAGGATACGGCTGGATCAAGTCAGGTATTCAATTAATGATGCTCTGAGGAAAGCTAATTGGGCTGGCAGCTGCATTTTATAGCTGTTGTGTAGCCGACCGGAGTTTGGGTCTATCCGTGATCTTGTCACTTTCTCCGATTCCTCATGTCGGTGCCAGAGCCAAGAAATCTGCCAGCCACTTAGCCCGAGTGTCCAGCGGCATAGCTTGTGAATCCTCCACCACACGATTCCGAGCAGCCGGAAAACCTCGCGTCGGCCAGCCATTCATTTGACTCAAAATTCAGAAATCTTATGCGTACGGCAAAAAAAAGAGTCGATTGGTCTGTTTCATTTCTTTTGCTTTTGCGCTCGCTGTGTAAGTATTGTGGCAGTTGAAGATGCAGCGATTAGGAAAAGGACAAAAGCAAACAAAAGCGGCTCACCAACAAATCGCTTACATGGCACAGAAAAGGAATGATTTTCTACGTCTGGTTCTGAGATAATGCCTTCCACTAGCAATCTTGACGAGTTTTTCACTGGCCCTCGATCGGGCCAAGCCAACAAGTTGAGCAAGCGAGGAGGGGTCAACATCTAGCGCCATTCAATGGGGCCACTTAATCTTATCAATCTAATCTCCTCACTCCGGCGAGTGCCTTTCCGGCCGCCATGTGCGCCAAATCCTTGCAATATCCCTGTCCAGAATGCCAGAACAACGTTAGAGCATGAGACTAAGGGCTCACTAATGCTGCCGCGGGACCCAAGACCCTTTTCATGCATGAAGCATGACCAATGGAGGCCATTCCCGGTCTCCGCTGCCAAGCAACTGCCACACCGTGAAGTCGGCCAGCCGCTTTTCGTTTCCCACTTTGGGGCACGGTAGTAAGCTATGTGATATCACATGTCTTCTGGAGCAACAGCTCTCCAGTCGTTAGGCAGCATTCGGTTCTCTCAAACTATAATATTGGCCAACATCCGAAGACCAAGGAATTGGGGGACGACCCCACCTCTCTTCTTGGATCGCTTGCTGGTAGACTCGGCGCATCCTGCCGACATCGTCGGTCACATCGGAGGAATGCAATGCCTGCGGAACCATGGTTTTCTATGTGACTATATAATGGCTGTCGAACTTACCCCTGGACATCATATGGTGTCCAGCTCTTCTGTCGTCGAGTTCTTCATGTGTTTGAATTTCAAATCCTCTGAAAAAGCCGGCCATTATGAAGCAACCCACAGCTCTTCTGGCCCTTGTCGGCCTCTATTTCTCCTGCGCTAATGCAGCAGAGGCGACAGACATGGGCCCTGCGGCCTTTCTCTGGCCTCCCGACCGGGCATGGGGAGCTGCGCAAGATAACACCGCACCTTGCGGTTCATCTGCCGGAGTGACAAACCGTACGGACTTCCCTTTGAGTAGGTGACATGTCTCTCCTCTCTGGATTATATATGCTGATGTTTCTAGCGAATGGCAAGGTATCTCTAGTGCTTCAGGACGAGTCCTACAGTGTAAATCTAGCTGTTTCTTACCACAATGGTGAGCTCACGGCCATTACATTACACCCAAAGATGGGAACTGTGCTAAGCACCCGCTCCATTGATAGACCCAACATTTAGCAATGACTTTACGACCGTGGTCGCGTCCAGCAACTTCCCAGACCTTGATCCAGGTCATGAATGCTACGCCGTGCCTAATCCCCCCTCCAATATCACCTCCGGCTCCAACGCCACACTGCAACTGTCCTACTTGTCCACGTTTGACGCAGACACAAACAACACATACTATGCTTGCGCCGATATCACCTATGTTCCGCTCGCTTCTTTCACCACAAACGTCCTATGCTTTAACGTATCTGAGTCATCAACTTCGACTTCGAGCTCTACTAGCACCAGCACTTCCACGGATACGTCTTCTTCCCAGTCTTCATCTTCACACAGTGGACTGTCTGGCGGTCAGATTGCAGGCATTGTGGTGGGATGTGTCGCCGGTGCCGCTTTGATTGCAGTGGCTCTCTTCCTCTTGTGGGGCCGTCATCAGCGCCAAGTCCAGCGAGACAAAGTAGTTGCAGTTCGGATGAGTGATTGGACAAATAATCCCCAGAAGACAGTGTCTGGCAACTCTACTCAGGCAAATCAGGTGTAGAATCGGTGCTGCTTACCTTGACCTGGGCCAAGATGGGTCGCTCGGAAAGGCACAGCCCCCGAACTTGATGGACTGTCAGTAGTGGACCGTTAGGAATGAATCGCCTGGTTGTCCCTAAGTTTCCTGGTCGTAGCATTCATTACCATCGCGAGAAAACACATACAGCTCCCCGCGCATTCTGGGCATTTCAAAGCCTTTTCGACAGTAAATATTTTACAAGTGACATTTGTTCTAAGTGCCATGAGCCCGATAGGCTATGAATGTTGCTGTATTCTTGGTTGGTTCGACCGGAAATTCGTTTATGATCTGATCATCCACAGGCAGAAGCCGGCTGTCTTTCCCCGCCGGCACACTTTCAAGCTAATATACGACTGGAAGATGATCATTGCATACCTCATACTCCTACCGAATTTCAATTGTTTCTTTAGAAAAGGATGATCTGCGGTGTATTTGTTCCTATGGCACAGAAGCATCGTGAATTGCCGACAAGCCTCCAAATGTGAGCCTCGCCGGCGTACGGTGTGGTAGTATTAATTGTATCCAATTTCTTAGTCGGCCGTTGTTGCTACTGTTTCCTCCATTTCGATATCCTCAAACATCTCTGCCAACTCTCGCCCATTGACCCAGTCATCTACTGCATTTGCAAACCACTGTGGCTCTTGAGCACACCACGCATGCCAAATCCGACGACACTGCACCACACGACTCCCATTCTCGCGTCCACCCACCACCGCGCGAAACAGCTGCCGCGCACTCTCGATCTTATCCTTGGGAAGCCATGTCTCTCTCGTGGCCGCAACGACCAGTGAACGTACATGGATATCCTTCAACGTCCGCCCATCAGTCAATGTGTGCACAACCTCCTCACATAGAGCCAGTGTGCCCTCCCCCTTCCTGAGACGGGTCCACTCCGTCACTGGCGCAGATATCATTCCAGTTGTCCGCTGCAGAGTATATATGAGCGGTGGAAAGAATGCCGCTACGGCCCTCCGTGGCAAAAACGTATTGAATCCTGACCCAAAGGCTGAAGAGATATGCTCTGGCCCGCCGAGCGCTGCGAGACTCGCTGCTACATGTGCACCCAGACTCATGCCGACGATATGCGCCTTGCCGTTGTGTGCTTGTGTTTTGATCAATGGCAGCAACAGCTCTGCTGCGAGGTCCACGTTGAATGGCTGGATTGCCAGCGAGTCGCCATGGCCGGGTAGGTCAGGGACAAGCAGGTGGTAGTTTTTCGCTGTTAGGAGTGGCACAACGAGATCCCAGTCCGTGCGATTGCTAAATCCGCCATGGATTAGAAGGATGGTCTCGAGGCCTTCTGGATTATGGACTGCGAAGGAGAGCGCCGCGCCTGAGGGGCTCGGTTCGACTGGGGGGCCATTGGCATAAATAGGCAATCGGAATGCTTGGAACACCCAGTTAGCTTATTGAGGGATCCAGGTTTTGATGGAGCCTGGCAACGGATGAAAAGTCGCAATAGGTAACAGAAGCCATGGAAATAGAGGACTGTCTTTGCCTACCAGGGTTGGCTTCCTATAGCATAAGCACAGCCTACGTATTATGACTTGGCGGGCGTAATACGGAGGCTACGACATAGGAAAAGAATGAGGGGGGAAAGATAGAATAGGATAGGCGGGACAAGGCGGACGACCATGCCAGATCGCCAGAACTACTAACTGATTCCGCATGATTCCCTAGGCCATTATAGTATTAGGACGATGACTTATCGATTGGTTACGGCCATTACGATCACAATTCTGCTAGTACTAAAAAGGGGTGGCCTAAAGTAGATTAGCGCTTTATGGATTTATTTTCTACGAAGGGAACCCACAGCTCCCAGAGGACTAGAGGTTCCTGTGAACGTGATATATGTGTCTCCAGGACCAAAGTAAGAGAGGCCAGGAACGATCTGGCTCGTTCCCGGGAGTGATAGGTATATTTCCTGGAGGACGCTGGCTCCTAGAAGCCGATAGCATAGATCCTAGAAGCGATAATTGAAAAAATAGACGTTGAAGTCTTGCTGGTGCATACTCTAGAGAAGGTTCCCTCACTCAGCATATTGCGTGTTGACCAGAGAAATAGCTAGCTGGGTTCAGATCAGCACAAGACAGGTAAACGCATTTAAGTAGGGTGGTGTTGAGAGATGGAGGGGCCGCTTATTTTCGATGGTCTTGGGCCCGATTTTACGTGTTTGAGCTCCTGTCTTGGTTGTGTGAGGAAACAATTGCTCTTTACGAAATGATTTTGTGTGGAAATCGGGTGGGCTTTAACATCCTGGATATGCGTTGACTATTGCACACGATGGATTCGATAAACGCTAAGTACACAAGAAGGTAATAATTGTTGATAGGTACTATACTATTAGTGATATCATGGTTATTGTGAATAGTAGACGTGCCATTTCCGGAGTGATTCTTTGTTGAATCCTCCCTTGAGAAAGAGAACGTGCCATTCCCACTCAGCTACCGTTCCTGGCGCGCGAAGTGCGATTGGAGCGACTAGATTAACAATCGCCTCTCAAACTCCACTGAGCTACCTACAGAGACAAAATGATCAATCCGAGTCACATATGCAAGTCACATATGCAAGTCTGCACCATAGATCCGTGACCCAGCGCCGTGCACCCCCACTGGCGGCAGCCCTCCGATTGGTTCAGGTACGAACCACCCCTGTTGCCCACAACTCCCGATCTACCACAGCTGGGATGATGACCTCAACTTCCATGACTTTGAAAGAATCATTGGAGAAACTTTGTACACCTTTTACTATGTTTCAAGATGGGTCTCTGAGTTGCTTGCTCCATAGTACCTGTACCGTGGGCTAACGGTGATGAAGTGACGAGGCAATTCGGAAGATATTCTGCTTCGATTATCCTTGGATATTGCTGGAGATTAGAATGATGCTTCGATCCAGTGATACACACGATCGCTCGAGGTTTTCTTTCATTCATACCGGGGGAGTTGGTCGGAATCTATTCCCAGTTCCCAACTGAGGATCCGAAGCCACGCGGGGCACAGACGGGAAGCAACTGGCGAGCTAAGCGACCGACAGGCCCGAGGAGCACAGAACGTGGGTCTGGAGTACCTATGCCAATCTAGAAGTTTATACTGGATGTGGAAGATGCGGATTGCTCGCATTTCGCCAATTATGCCCCAAGAATCATCGAGCAGTCTATCATTTAAGTGAGGAATATTGCACTTACATGATGGCCAAGCGTGTCGTATCTTGAGGTGCCACGTATCTCACTAGTGAAAACTCCAGCCGCCGTATCCATAGATTACAATTACTCTATCACTTGTGCCGCTAATCCTGCGCTGTATATATTTCTCCGATCGTCCTTGCAATAGCTTGGGCCCACTCCTTGTACATCGCCCATTCCAGACTATGGTTACAATGGAGACGGCTCGTCTGCGATTCGAGCCAATCGACCTCGCCTACCTCGATGGTTTTCACAGGATCTGGTCGGACCACCAGACGACTCAATGGAGGTGAGTACCAATATCTACTCGGGCGATGCTCTCCGTACAGGATCTAACAAAGGACATCAGTTCGCGAGGGGTCTGTAAGACAATTGAGGAGACCAAGGGCAGGATATCCGGGATCTTACCTGATGCGAATCGCCCTGGCATCGACAATTACGGCGTCTTCATTCGCCCGTGGACGACTGAGAGCACCACAGAGATGGGGCCCGAAGACAGCCAGGTGATTGGCATCGTGGGTGTGCACAAGGATGATCCTATCCCCGAGCTGGGATATATTTTCCATCCCTCGGCGTGGGGTAAAGGGTACGCGACAGAAGCGGTATCGGCATTTGTCCAGCATTATTTCACCATCAGGCCTGACGCTCAACTCATCGAGGCGAAGGTGGATTCAAAGAATCTTCCCTCGATCCGCGTGCTCCAGAAGTGCGGCTTTGATCAGATGGAAATACTTGTAGGCGGAGCGGAACAGCCGTGGCTAGATCCTCCCGTCAGAGATCTTGTCGTGTTTCGGACCACGAGAAAGCCTCGTGGAGATTGATTGATATCCTAGCATCGACGGGTCTGTCGTTCATCGCTTCGCTCTCTCTTCTTCCCGGTCCCTGCTTGCTCTTACGATATCATCATGTGCGGATAATGGGAATTTGGGTGGAAATAAACATCTTTCTAGAAAACAGTAATTATTTACAGATGATTTCTCATCTGCGGGTATGGCCATATATACGTAGTTCCTGCATTGCGGTATCAAAAATCTAATTTTCAACCTCAGTCCACTCTAGAGGGCCAAAGCCAGGCCGAGAATACCGGCAACACCAGCCAGGCTCATGGCAACACCACCAGTCGGGACAGACGCGCCACCGGTCGAAGTTGAGGAGGCATGAGCAGAGGAAGAAGCCACAGACGAAGCGGAGCTGGAGCGAGCAGCCGAGGAGGAGGCGGCAGGGGTGCTCACGGCAGCACTGGAGCCAGTCGCGGTGGTGGAGTCGGTCGCAGTAGCAACACCGGCCGCGGTGGCAGTAGCGGTGGCAGTAGCGGCGACAGTAGCGTCGTCAGTAGTGGTGGCTGAGTCACCAAAAAAGTTGAAGCCATCCTCAGCAGCGCTGGTAGCCCAGGCCTTGACACTGTTGGGCAGGCTGTTGTACCAGGCCGGGTAGGTTCCAGCCTCAATGTCGCTGAAAATCGAGGAGCGCGAAGCCGGATCCATGATCTCGTCGTACCAGGTGGCCGGGATGGCGGTCTCAATCACGCTCAGGATGGAGCTGGGGATCGAGTCGAGGAGGGCGGATTCGTCGCTGTCAGTGCTCTCGGAGGAGGCAGTAGCATAGCTGGTGGCATCGGGCGCTGGGGCAGCCACGGCCGCGGCCGAGAAGAGAAGAGCGACAAGAAGCTTGGACTGCATTTTGATGATTATCGAAAAGATAGACGTATAGAACTGGAACGAGTGGATAATGCAGGAATAAAGGATTGACTAGAAAACGAGTGTATGGGTGGACGAAAAGGACAAGAGAAGTCGCGAAAGGCTCGCGACGAGATCAAAGGCTTAAGTATGCTCGCGAGGGGGTTAGGCTGAACTTGAGCCTCTTTGCCCCCCACGGACCTCGAAGGGGTCCTATTTTCGGCTTCCTGCCGGTCTGGAGTGGTTGGCCAGGAACACCCTTGCCGGTCTCCAAGCGCCCCAATTCCGTGTGTGACTGCCCGAAAACGTGGTTCTGACCATCGTTAGCTAGTTGACTAGCTCCGACTGGGTCCGCGTCTGGCCCAATCGCGGGGGCGCTCGCCAATTCTAGCCTCTTTGCTGGCTGCACGGAACCTTCAATCTCGTTTGGAAATTAGGGTCAGCAGCCACATCGCACACCCCCTGGGACCAAATCTCGCTCTGGGGTGGAAGCTTTCCGTGGTCAGCCCCCTTTTTCAACAGGACTTCGGCCAAATTTTCACCGATGAACCCCCTATTAAGTTAATGGTCAGACAAGCTCTTTTTGGCACCGCATGCCAAGTCTTCGTGGAAGAACGGCGCATAGAAACACACGTGGACTAACTATAGCTACTTGCGGCGCCTTGTGGGCACTAAGACCAGGATACATGAAGAAATGGATTGTGAGAAACGACATGCATCCTAGGGAACTCTGGAATAATGGAATAATATCGGTCGGCGGAATAATCTCAAAAACGGGTATGTTAGCCTTGTAGCGTCTGCAGACATCTCGCCGATCAAAGCTTGGCAGTCGGATATAGAGTCAGAAAGGCCATTTGGACATGGTTATCTCAGGGGACGAATCATGGGAATCTTCGCATGATAAGCCCAAAGAGTTTATCAATGTTGAAGAAGTTCGTCGCTATTATTAAGCAGGAAGACCCGTAATTCCGCGTTTTCGCGATGCGCCGAGGGTGACGGATATAAGTTCACCCTAGCGTCTCGTGCGATAAGCTCACCTTATACTCCTGACGCCTATTAGCAACCCTATGGCCGAGACTGTCACTATTTAAGACGAAGCATCACCGAGGAACTCCCTTGAACTCGCCATTATTGAATCCGCAAAGCATCTGACGTATAAAAGCCCTCCCCTTAACGTTAGCACAACATATCTCAAGCAAGATGGCGTACCGCGCAATTCGACCGGCTTCCAATCTCTACTCTATTTGCCGCTCCCTAGGCTCTAACGCGCCGCGGACTCAAGGACTATTAGCACAAATCTCGGCATTGCAGACAATGAGCAACCAGTCCCTGTTCCTCCAACGACGAACCTTTGCATCTTCAACTCCGAATTCCACACCAGCAACCATATCCACCACCGATGCCCTCGTCCAGGCCGCCCAGGACCGCCGCACGATCTATAATCTCGGTAAAAACAGCCCCGTCACCGACTCCAAGATCGAGGAGTTGGTCAATGCCGCCATCCTGCACGTCCCCAGCTCGTTCAACACCCAGTCCACCCGCCTAGTGGTCCTGCTGCGCGAGGAGCACGAAAAGCTGTGGGATATCACCATCGAGACCTTCAAGGGCCTCGTCCGCTCTGGAAAGGTGCCTGATGCGGTATTCCAGAACCAGACTCTGCCTAAACTGCAGGGCTTCCAGGCCGCCTACGGCACTGTATGTCTGCTTCGCCCCCCCCCCCGGGTCCGAATTGGCGTTTTGAATTCAGATTCAATCAGGAGAGCCCGAAAAGGAGTAAATTGCACACTATAGTGACTATACTGACCATATCTCCAAGGTCCTTTTCTACGAAGACCCCGCCCATATCAAGCCCTTCCAGGAGAAGTTCGCCCTCTACAAGGACCACTTCGAGCTCTGGGCCGAGCACTCGAACGCCATGCACCAGTACTTCCGTAAGGGCCCTTGCTCTTGAAATGCCCCTTCTCACTCCCCCAACCACAGCAATCCAATCCTGACTAATAACCTCTCAGTCTGGACGGGCCTTGAAACTCTCGGCTTCAGCGCCAACCTGCAGCACTACAACCCGCTCATCAACGCCCCCGTCGCACAGCACTGGAACCTGCCGTCCGAGTGGCGCTTGACCTCACAGCTGGTCTTCGGCAGCCCTGAGGCGGCGGCCGGCGAGAAGGACCAGAAGCCGGTTGAGGAGCGTGTCAAGATCTTCGGCAAGCAGTAAGCGGGCCTCCTGCCGATGCCGTGCTATGCTTTGGGCTTTTTATGCACACCCTTTAGGTCATGATGAATACTTTATGTTAATCTGGCGCTGCGCTGCGTCTAGAGCATTATAGAGGCTAGAGCATTCTAGATAGATTTTGATTGTGAACAGATTCGTTGTCTAGATGATGAGACCATAGGGAGCTGTGCTGGGGCAGTGTTAGTAGGGCGTTGAAGATCTTGTATTTGGGTCCTTACGGAATCCTCCCAGTCCATGAACTCTGAGTAATCCAGTCTGGACTACTCGACTCATAACCCTGGCCCAGGCATGGATCTGGAGGAAATGTATACTCCTTGCCCAGGCTCTGGGGTGGCATCAGGACAGCCCATCCAGGTAGGCAGGCTCGAACAGCATGGAAAGGAGCAGAAAAGATATTTCATGAGCATCGCGCCGCAGAATGACATCGGTTACAATTTTGACTGATCCTTTGGGCGCTTTACAGGAGAGAACTGTTGAAGAAATCAACGCTCAATAACGGTAGTGACGTAGTCCGCGAGACGGGTGCTCTCAGCTTCCTAGCTCCATTGTATACGTCTGATTGTGCGCATGCCATCATCTCAATTCTAATAATACTATACACAAAGAACGCACTGTAGTCCTTCTCCCGAGGGGGATCGATTTAATCAACCTCGCAATCCCAACATCGCCCAAGCCCTTCCTAGACTACTGCCCCGATCGATACCAAAGCGCCGACGGATGCCCAAGACACTCGCCAACAGTCACAGCTACGCTAAGCATCAGCATCCGCACACTACCACATTTCAAAAGAACATACCCTGCAAGCCCCTCGCCCGAACCTCTTCCAGCATCCTAGGCACCAGAATGCCCGCCGTATTCTCCTGGGAATCATGTGCAAGCACAATGCTCCCTCCATTCCCCAACTCCGTCCTAAACTTCTCGAAACTGCGCCAGCTCCGGGCCGGGTGGTCATGCTGTTTGTCGTCGGTTACGATGCTGGCCCCGATCACATGGTAGCCTAGGTCTGCCATTGCGGAGAGCACGATGTCGTTGACATGTAGCCAGGGGGTGCGCATGTAGGTAGGCATGAAGCCGAGTATGCGGAGGAAGGCGTCTTCGAGTTGGATCATTTCGGATACTATGGCGGGGTGGGTGAGTGTTGTGAGGTTTGGGTGGCTCCAGCTGGAGGAAGGATTAGTTCGGGGTGGTTTGAAGCAGGATGGGAGATGGGTAAGGAGGCTGTTTAGCCGCGTACGTGTGAGAGCCGATCTGGTGTCCTTCTGCCAGTATACGCTGTACGACATGGGCGAGAGCGTGGATGTTGCCTTTCCACGCTCCGTTGAGGAAGAAAGTTGCGCGGACGCCGTGGGCGGCGAGGGCGTCGAGGACCTGTTCTGTGTAGATATATGGGCCGTCGTCGAAGGCGAGGGCGATTGTTCCCGGCACAGTACAGTGGTTTATGACTGCTCCCCAGGGGAGTTGAGGGGCGTTTGTGTTGGCCTTGGAGGTCTGGATTGGTAGTCTTGGCTGCGAGTCGGGGGATCGGGGAACGGCAGCCGCGGATGATCGGGCTATGATGGAAAGGAGGACTGCTGCCAGAAAACTGAACGAATGCATGATAGGTATGAGCCCTTGTAGGGGATCGAGTTCGTAAGAATAGAATGATTCAAGAAGCGCGTGTGAGCTGGATGCCGAGGGACATCACCACTCAATCGGAGGGTTACCACATATACAGCAGGGCAGGCACGGCCTCGCTACTGCGCGCCGGGGCAAGAAGCATGCCCCCAATCTTTGAAAAGAACACAGTGAAGTCAAAAAACATTCCCATTGAAAATAGACCATTCACATCAGTTGCAAAAAGAACAACCAACACCAACCACCGGATCTGTCGACAAATATCACGTATGAATACATCTAGGGGCCGCAAAGGTATCAAAAGGTAAGGCAGAGTAAGACAATTCCCCTCGCTTTTCCGCCTACTGTCTTTGATGAAATCTTCAGAGTCGAAACGAGCGGGAAAAAGAAGGTGAACGTTTCCCCAAATCCCAATCCCCATCTCCAATCCTATCACAACCCAACCCAGCTGAGCCGAGCCCAGCCGATGGGCTCAACCGTTCAGGGATGGCAAGCTTAACCCTTGCGAGTGCTCTTCTTCATCGAGCGGCGCTGGCCCTTCTGGCTCTCGCGCTCCAAGAACTTACGCTGCTCCTCGGCAGTCATGCCGCGGAGCAGGCGCTCACGCTCCTCCTTCTTGATCTTCTCAGCGGCCAGCTTGCGCTCTTCGGCCTTCTCTTCCTCCTCGACGCGGCGCAGTTTCTTGATTTCCTCCTCGCGAACGTTACGGATCTTACGCATAACCTCGCTGCGCCAGTGGGCGACGGAGACGAGCTTGTCGGCGAGGCGCAAATACTGGTTGAAGAGGGGGAGGGTCGAAGAGTAGTCGGAGGAGAGGTTGACGGAAAGCTGGATGCGCTTCTTGGGAACTGTCTCGTCGATCCTGAATAGCTGTCAGCAGGAGGCCGTAGTAGTTGTCTTCTGGGACGGAGGTCTTACTTGGTGGGCTTGTCAATGGGCTGGTCAGTCACGATCAGGAACTCAAAGTCATGGCCGGCCTGCTCAATGGCCTGGATGAGCTCCGGGGTGAGCAGGGCATCAGTGACCTCGGCGCTCTCGCTCATCACAGTGACCCAAGACGGGAGCTTCGGGTGATCCTTGGAGAACGTGATGGAGGCGTCGTAGCGGTCAGTACGGAACTTGCGCATGTGGCTCTTGTGCACAACGGCCCAGATGAAGCCATCATAGGTCGAGTTGGGAACCTTCACAGACGAAGTATCCTTGCCGAGAACAGGAACCAGATCCTTCTCCTTGCCATCGAACGCGTACATCAATGCCTCATACTTCTCCGCGGGCGCCTCCCAGCTCTCGAAGAAGAAGCTGAAGAGGTACTCCACGACGTAGGTGATGGGGTTGTAGCGCTTGGGCATGGTGAGAGCAATATCCAGGAACGCCACGTTCTGGCGGCCAGTCGCATACGCGGCGAACTCGTGGGCCGACTTCTCCTTCAGCGACTGCTCTGGGTTGGCCAGTTCCACGGAGACCTCCTGGGGGCCCGAGCGGGAGATACCGTCGAACCCGACGACAGCAAACTCCTTCTGCAGAGCGGGGATGTGAGCCTTAGCCCAGTCCCGCGCCTTGCGACGGTTCTTGCGCGTGCCCCAGAGATGGAAGAGGAAGACCACCAGGATGAAGGGCATGATCATGGCCTCCTGCTTGAAGTCGCTGGGCGAGGTGCGCTCCCAGATCCGATACCATTTGGTGTAAGGGACGGTGCCCTCCGTACTGAAGGCTGGGATTGTAGTCGAGTCGGCGACGAGCGACACAGGAGATGGGTTCGGAGCCTCGACGAAGTCGGCGAAGTCTATGGAAGCAAGTGGTCAGAAGTGCATCACCATTGGGGTTGGAGGGAGGGCAATTGCGCCCAAACAACCTACCATCGTCAGGGTTGGCAGCCCTCGAGGGCTGGGAGCCGAACACGTTCTTGAACATGCCCGCCATGGTTTGGATGGTGACACGATGGTGGGTGGAAGGGAAAGGAGGTGGAAAGAAACGAGGGTCGAAGCTAAGCTGGGCGGGCTCTTAGCGGCCCCACGAAATCTCCGGGGGGCAGTTTTTGGCGGTGCTTACGAACCCCCCGACGGCAGACCCAGAGTATGCCAAGGTTTGGGTCAACTGGCAGCTGTCAAAGTGTCCCCATATCAGATACAGCAGAAGATGAAATAGTAATGAAAAATCCAAGGTCCATGTTCCAATCCTATATCAGTATATCCCACCTTGTATCCCCAAAATCCAAGATAATACACAAAGCACTTAAGTATGGTATACCGCGAACAAGCACAAAAAAAAGACACGCCAAAACTTCACAAGAACCCAATTTTCTGTACAATCCCGCTTCCAAGCAATGACTAAGGAAAAAAAAAAAATTGAACAAATAAAAGTCGTAGCGATCATCAAACGTTCGAGGCCTTGCTCGAGAACAGAAGAGAGAAAAATCGAAATGATCATTGGCAAGTCGCGTGGCGCCTGGGGTTTAATGGCCGTAGGCCGGGGGAGGGGCGTCATCCTGGGCACGAGACCAGAAGTTGCTGCAGGCGTTGCTCGCCATCAACTTCTCATCGCGCATGCGACGGGCGATCTCACCGGCTAGTCGCTCGACCAGGAGGGGATCGACAGAGTCGCCGGCAGCATCATCTTCCTTCGTGAATGGAAGAGCCATCGCGGGCAACGGGGTCCGAGCGGGGCCCGATGAAGGACCCGCCTCGGCCTTCTCGTTGTGATAACCACCACCCATCGGGGCACGAGGGGTTGCCTCTACATCTTTGGCCTTGGGGGGACGAATCGTCTCGACGGAGTAGGACGGATCCTCTCTGTCCCGAGTCAAGGTGCTGCCCCGATGGGTTGGGTTCGAAAGGCTGGTCCGATGTCGCTCGGGGATCATTGGCAACTGCGAGTCGCTCTCGGGGAACCAAGGCGGGGTCACCGGATCGTCGGACTGCTCGTTCACCACGGGCAGAGGTGCAGAGTAGATAGATGGAGGAGTGGAGGATTCTGTCATCGCGCTGTCGTCGCTCACGCTCATCGCATCGTCGGTCGTCTTGGGACGACGTAGATCCACCACACGCTTCTTGCGCCTCCGAGAGTGAGCCTTGGAATGGCGTCCCGCTCCTAAGCTCAAGCCGTAACTGCTAAACGAGTGCGATGATGCGAGCGATGGCCGGCTATGCGAAGAGACGACACTGGCGGTCTCGTGGAGAGACGAAGCCATGCTGCCGATTTGCGAATGTGTTCGGGAAAGGGCCGGGCTCAGAGGTGAAGCAATGCTGGCGGCGACTTCGCTGGGGTCGGGAGGCGATGTCCAGGCGCGATATACCACTTCCTGGATGGAGGGGGTGAACAGCGATAGGGTTCGTTGGGAGGCTGTCAGGGCGGCCAGGCGGAGGAGGTTTTTCTGCGAGAAGAGGGAATGGGTCTCAACAGAGGAGTCCAGAGAGAGTGAGGCAATTTCGGACTCGTTCAAGGCGTTTCCTAGCGAATCCACGGGGTCCTGTGGGGGGCTTGCCAAAGGATCTTGGCCCGGGCCCTCGCTGGTGGACATGTCCGTGTTGTCCGTCTGATCCTTCACGTCCTCTCCGGCGCGATACTCTGGCACCCATAGGCGAAGCGACAGCCGATGAATAATGGCCGGTAGCTCGTCCATAAATAGGATGCGTAGTTGGGCTTCGATTTCTTTCTGTAGGAAGTCGCGCACAAATGGGATCGAATCGAACGTCGATGAGACCTTGAGCGACTCAAGGGGGTCATTTCGAAATACAACGGTGATGCCCTTCTGCTTGGAGAAGACAAGAATCACAAAGCCGGAGAGCTTAAAATCAGAGAGAGTAATTTGGAGAGGGATGGTGAGTGGAGTTCTAAAGACGCCGCCATGGTTAGCCAGAGGCCACAAAAACAAAAACAAAATTGTTGCGCTCGACTGAGAAGGCCTTACGCTGCAGCTAGAGGCTTCGGTGATGCGAAAGCAGGCCTGGTGAGCAAGTAGGTGTTGAGTGGGTTGGCTTGGACGCGGGTCTTGAGGGTTAAAAAGGCGTCGCCGGAATAAGACATCTTGAAGATTCCGCGAAAGCGATCCTCCGCCAGATCGCCTATCTCCAGGATCTCCAGATCAGGGGGCATCGATCCCAAGTTCAGTTCGGTGACGATAATATCATCGACGATGATGGGGGGCTTGGGGGATTTATTCAGCGCGGCAGTAAGCAGCTCTTGGGCGCGTGTGTAAAAACCCGCGTCCGCCATCAATGGCGACCAGTTGAAGTTGAACGCCATGCCCGCGCATTGAGAGAGAAGAAAAGCGAACCGCGTCAAACGAAGAGAAAAGCACGAAAGGTAGCGTCGAAGGGGGAGAGGGAGGGCGGATGGGCGGGAGGCAAAGTCGAAACAGGAGCAAAGCGGATGTGAAAAAAGGGCAGAGCCTTCCCGAGGTCACCGGCCCTCGCGTGCCCCGGCCACATTCACCACTGGACACTCGACGTGACTACCCCGACACCCCCGCCTGATGCGGTTTCACTGTTGCTGTGTGTTCTTGCTACGAGTTTCTGAGAGGAACTGGATTTACAATAGGCTTCTCTTTGTCCCGGTCGCAACCCATCTGTGGTGCGGTTGCGCAAGAAAGACCTGGGTACGTCACACCTCGCGACTTTGCAGGGCCGGCCCACCCTTTCCGACCAGCCCCGAAGGCTTTCCCACTTAGGGCCTTGGCCATGCACCCTCCATCCACCGGCTTCTGGTGTACGGAGTATAAGCCCTTCCGCTGGCCACTGCTAGTCACTTGAGACGGGGAAGCCCACTTGCAGCCTGGGGAAAAGGGGCATACTGGACGCGACGCAAGAAAGGCCGCGGCCAGGCCACCCTACCTCGTCGACCGCGGGCCAGAAAGGGCCAAGTGCCGTGCCGATCGGCTTGCACGTCCTGAGTCCTGTGTCCAGCCGCCCACGCTCGGGCGCGTCGTGGATGAATCAAGCCCTTTTGTTGGTCTTAGAAATGACTGCCGACGGGGAGCGTAAGGGGGAGGTGCGCGAGAGGATACCGTGAGGCACGTCTTCACGCTCTCCTTCTCCCGCGCGCATCAAGCTCCGCGAGAATGGTAATCAACAAAGCAAGCTCGGTGCGACGTGTTTTTCTCGTGCGTCTTAGCTTCTCTCCGACGATGCAGGTTTCGAGAATAGACATCTTGAGGCATTTTGGTGGCGCCTGTCCTTTCCTGATTGACTTGACGGATTCTGGAACACCGGTTCTATATGGTGGATCAATAGATCAATATTGCGGGTGGCGGTCGGAGGTTGCTACCGTTGCAAGGCGATTACCGTTAGAGGTAGAAAGCCCCGTTAAAGGTAGAGAGCACACAGACCCGGTGCACAATGTACGGTCGGAAATGGTTCAAGATGGATATAGCTGGGAGAATGTACTCATATGTAAAGGATTCATAGGAACCTTACTATGACCTATTAACTTACGATGCTCATGGATGTCTCGAAGGGTTCTTCCGACACCCACGAGTGACGCAAGTATAGGGTGGCCTCGTGATTGGTCACATGGGAAGGAATGCCTTTCCAGGGCAACGTGCCACTAAGCCGCTTTTGGCTAAACATCAATACTGCCCTTTCTCAATTGAATGAATGCATGATCGCTTCAGCTTGCGACCTCTCCCCAGTTTCAACCCCCACACCTCGACAAGCTGCATCACATAAATATATCTCAAATACAAAGGCTCTCCACACCCCAGGGACCCCGTTGACCTGATCTTCCCCGTCATATGCGGGTCACGCGACACCATGGATTCCCGAAAGCCCACAACCAGAACGGTCGCGCAAAGAAAAGTCTATGGCAAACGACGCACCAATGCACCCAGAGCGGTGTTTGAGCAGAAGAGTCCAGCAAGAATGATCCCAGTCCCCAAGGACATGAATGACAGTATAGAGGCTATCCAGACGAAACTGGCCGAAGTGTCAATCAAGGACGAACCGGTCTCTCTGCAGCAGGAACCCGACACCAAGCTCCAACAGGATAAGACAGAGCAAGAAACCAACTCCACAGCTGCTTTATCAGTCGACGAACCACCCAGCCCTGCGGCCACACAAAATGTTCTCGACTTTGCGAGCGAACAATCCTCCTCTTCAGCGCCGCCTGCGAAACCGAAAAATTATGAGACAATGCTGGAGGTCCGGATCTGCACAAAGCCGGCAAAGAAGACACCTTCACAAATTCAGCAGCCAACGGATCCTACTCCCTCTACGGAAACAGGAACATCAAACAAGAAGACCCTCCTCACCGGGCGAAGGTCATCCGGTTTCATCCACGACGTTAAAGCCAACACCTACGTCCGCCCCATCCTCAACGAAGCCCTATCCCCCATAGCATCCCAAAGCATCCAAAGATTTAGCACTTGGGCTTCCCGCTCCGCAACAATGTTTCACGTCACAAAACTCGCCGAAGGCTCCTACGGCGAAGTCTACAAACTCTACCTCCGCGACGAAGCCTCCCGGCCCATAGTCTCCAAGTCCAAGCTCGCCAAGCTCCGCGCCTATGGCGACGGCGTGTTCAAAGTCGTCCCGCTCCGTGCGCAGAGCGGACCCGGCTCCAAGAAGTTCACGACCGTCGAGGAAATCGCCTCCGAGGCCAAGATGCTCAAGTACCTGGACCCGATTCCTGGCTTTGCACGGTTCCGGGAGATTCATGTCGTGCAGGGCCGGTTTCCGGAGTCATTTCAGAGTGCATGGGATCATTATAAGAAAACCAAGGATGATTGTTTAAATCCGAACCCGGCGAGTAAGAAGGCGTACCCGGACTCGCAGTTGTGGGCGATTATCGAGATGGACGATGCAGGGCATGAGTTGGAGAAGTGTTCCTGGTCGTCCGTCTTCCAGATATATGATATCTTCTGGGGTGTGGCGATGGCTTTGGCACGGGCGGAGGAGTATGCTATGTTTGAGGTGAGCTCATGCTGAAATTGGTGTTGGCCATGAGCATTTGCTAACTGTTGTCTAGCATCGTGATCTTCATTTGGGCAATGTTTGTATCCGTTCTGTCAAGCCAGATGGAAATATGGAACCCCCAACGGACCTTGACGTTGCACGTCAATCTTCTCCTAGCGGATTCGGATCCAGCTCTCTGGAGACCACTATCATCGACTATTCACTCTCCCGCGCTGAACTCCGCCTTGCCGATCTACCGGATGATCCAGAAGGTATTGTCGAGATTGCATCATCGGATCTGGACAAAAGGCAGATCTTCGATGCAATCGGCCAAGATGAAGATGAGGCTTTGCTGAGGGATACATACCGATATATGCGCGCAACCGTCTACACTGGGATTCCTACGGACACCGAGAAACCGCCATGCGTCCCCGGTATCTGGGCTGAATATGCTCCGCGGACGAACCTCGTCTGGCTTCTTTTCCTGCTCAAGAATCTCCTGAAGAATCGCAAGCCCGAAGTCCCGCAGACCATTGCCCAGCCACAGCGCAATGCCCTTGCGCCCTGCTCTCCGAATAGGGCGATGACGAGTTTGCAGCCTGCGAACGGCAAGCCACTTGCAGCGAAACATACCAGTGTGGGAGGCGCTCTTGTCAAGGAGCGACAAACCAAGGACCTCCAAGCTCGAATTGCGCAGCTCAAACAAACGCTCGAGGGTCGATTAAAGTCTGTCCTTGACCTCTTGGATCTCGAACATGGACACGAGGATATGTGCTGCGCGGCCGATCTGGTTGCTTACGCGATGGATTCGCAATGGTTGGCTGAGCAAGACTTCTTCTGAGGATCTGGTATGGATCCCAGATCATATTTCACGCGATACCTTTGCATTTTGTTAGGCATGTTTATGGTGTTTCGATCTTATGTTCCTATCAGGTTTGCATGGAGTCATAAGGTGCATTGTTTTGGTAAGAATAGACATAGCGGACCGCACAGATGATGCATTGGAAGAGTGTTACCAATTGGACATTTATCATTTCAATGAGCTATCCTTGTAAGGAAGACCAGTTGTACATTTGGACAGAGGGTCGGCTGTACATTTTCGAAAGGGATCTGCGGTCCTATTCTGCCCAATAATGGCTTCTTGGCGGGTAAGTTTGTTAGCCATTGCACAAGTCTCATATAGCCCTGTCATGGTGCCCAGTACGAGCGATGCCAGGCGCTTGGGCAATCCCGTTTGGATTAATCGTGAAGGGAAAACTAAGTACAATTTTGTACCGGCCGCCGTTGGTCCTAGGTGGATCCTGGTGCAAGGGCCCACCAGAGTAACCACCCGGGTGTTTGCTTTGTTTGTACTAAGCTATCTCCGTCGGTGTCTTCTGCTGAAACATATCACTTTCATTGTAGACCTTCAAATCCATTACACGACCTGAAGACTAAATTCAATGACTTGACAGGTAGCTTTAATAATTTTGATCATACTGGATCCTGAGGCTGATTCAATGAATAGGTTTCAGAGCTGCAGCTCAAGAATAGCAACCTATACCAGGCATCTGAACAGGTGCCACCGGCCTCACTTAAGACCAGGTTCAGCCGCGAAGTAATTCATTGGCCATTTTCAAAACGGAGACAATATATTCTATCTCGAGTGGTCTATTCAAATTGCCTATGTTTTAGCATAGTGATCTCTTCGCATCTTCAATATCTGAACCTTCATTCGAATCAAGCGCACTATCATCACCCTCCTGCGCTCTAGACACCCTGCGCATGCACCAGGCCACTCCAAAATGCCAGTCACCGGGTATACCTCTCTCACGTCGAATTAAACCTCTCCAAACCCAGTACTAACATCACCAAGCGTCTACTTCATCCCCTCGCACCCCAACGCCTCGACAGCCCTCTCAACCCTAACAGAGCGCCTGCGCTCCTCCTTCACAGATGAAGACTTCATACCACTCGGCCGCTGGGCCCTCGACCATAAACTCATGCGTGACACACCAGGCCTGCTCCCCGCCTCCGCAAACCCAGGCCAACGCCCCAGCAAGCCGCGCTACATGCAGCTCCTCTCGCTAACGCACTATCCCTCCCACGGCTTCATCTACACCTCCGAGCCAACCGAAAAGCCCTTCCACCCACCAAGCGCAGCCTCATCCGCGCCCTCCGCAACGCCAGCCAACGGTGCTGTATCCCCGGGCCAGGGCGGTCCTGCCCCAGCCCCAACCGCGGCTGCGTCGCATACGTCCGCGACGTCGCAGGGCGGCGCGAGCGCGGCCGAGACACAGATGCTCATGACGACCGTGCCGCCGTCGTCGTACAAGACTCTCTTCCAGCACTTCACGTACGCGTGCCAGCCATTCTGGTGCCACCGGCTGACGGTCACCGTGCCGAACGGCGTCGTCTACGACATCGGCGACTTCCGCGTGCGACTGGGTGACGTGCGGCAAACGTGGCCGACTGCGCGGGTACGCGGGACAATCGTCGAGATTGAATGGCGCGGCCCGTCGGTCGTGGACTCGCTTGCTGCTGCATCACAGGCGCGGAGGTCTGGTAGCGCCGATGATGTGGACTCTGGGGTCGATTTGTCGTTCTCTGTGCTCGAGGAGGCGGATATCGATGCCGAGTATGAGGCGACTGCGTCGCTGATTCGCGAGTTTTGGGCCCGGTTGGGGGTCCAGGGGGCCAGGGAAGCGATTCTTGTTCCCGGCATTGGAAAGGAGATTAAGGAGAAGCTGGGGCGGGTGAGGGGGGCGGGGAGGGATGTTGGTGGGAGGAGTTTGAAGGATGAGGCTACGTTGGCTGGGCTGGGAGGTGTGCCGTTTGAGGATGATATAGATCCCGCGGCAGGGACGGATGTTGCGAGGCAGTATATGGAGGTTTTGAGGTTTAATCGTTAAGACTGGAGGCATGTAGACATTTCTTTTTGTTTACTTTACCCCGAATAGGCGCGGGAAATCAATGTCAGGGCAATACTACGGCCCTCGGCTGAATCTACGCGAATGCCCCAAGCCCATGGCCAGGATAGCCATATTGGGACGAATGGGAATGTCGAAAGAAAAGAATCAAGTTCATAGCCCTACAATATGAACATGCAGCCCAGAGCACCGACCCAGTAAAAATCCACCATATCCAAGACTTGTTATCTGCATTTCAAAAGAGCACGCTTGATCATGGTTCATCCAAGCCGCAGTATAGAACCAGATCGACCATAGGACTACAAAGATCGGCATCAGGGATGGAGAATAGAAGACATATAAGAGAAAAACATCCTCATTTGTGAGAAACCCGCGACTTCAGCTAAAGATGAAAAACAAGGCGAAAGAGGGTCGTTTATTTTTGCATCATAAGCTGGACGAACTCGTTGTCTAGAAGGGGCAAGTCAGTATGTGGAATTCCGCAAAAGAGGAGCCCGATCCGATCCCAATCCTCCAATAGATAGGGAAGTGTAGGAAAGAGAAAGGGAAGAGAGAGAGAGAGAGAGGTAGTTGATGAACGTACAGTCAATTCGACCGTCACCGTCCTGGTCCGCCTCGCGGATCATTTCGTCCACCTCGTCATCGGTCAGCTTCTCGCCGATGGAGGTCATGACGTGGCGCAGCTCGGCAGCGGAGATGAAACCGTTGTTGTCGCGATCGAACACCTTGAAGGCCTCCCGGATCTCCTCCTCGGAGTCGGTGTCCTTCATCTTGCGGGCCATCATGGTAAGGAACTCTGCGAGCGCACGGGAACGATCAGTCTTGGCTCGTAATCAGGTGGAACGTTGGATATTGCGTACCGGGGAAGTCAATGGTGCCGTTGTTGTCGGCATCAACCTCGTTGATCATATCCTGCAGCTCCGACTCGGAGGGGTTCTGGCCGAGCGAGCGCATGACTGTACCTAGCTCCTTGGTGGTGATCTGGCCTAGGAATCGTACGCGTCTCAGTTATGCTGGTTTGAAAAATTTCCCGGTACTTCCAATCGCCAGTGACAGCATCCTTGGGCGGAACGCCCGAGCTATCCGGGAAGATTGCACTCACCATCGCCATCCTTGTCCTAAACACAAGTGAAAAAAAGCGGGCCGGTCAGTAAACTGTTATCCGACCGGAGATCCTGGATCCACGTCTCATCGGGTACTCACAAACAGGGAGAAGGCCTCCTTGTACTCGGAGACTTGCTCTTCGGTCAGAGAATCGGCCTATATGCGGATGCGTGTCAGTCACGGAGTCCCAAATACCAGGATCGCTGCCCCGCAAAGCGGGGAGTTTCAAGCCCAACTGGTTCGAGCAGGAGAATACGCAGGCAGGGTGGTCTCTGGATGAGGGGCATATACCATGGTTAAGGAGGATCGGTGGGGGTGAAGAAAGTGGAGGAGTAAACAGAAGTGCGAGGGTGAGAATGAGGGGAGTGGGATGATGATGGTGGGGAGCGAAGTTAAGGGGAAAGCCAACGAGCCAGCCTTACACTCTTGGCCTTATTGCCTGACAGTAGCAGAGCAACACACGCAGCCACAGTTTACCCTGTACAGTTGATGTTCCACCGTTAGAAACAGCGCGACTGTGCCTGGCAAAGCCCCCCGATCGGCCAGTCAGAGCATTCTATTTAAAAGGCGGTCAGTCCGTCCGAAGGAAAGAGTGGCGGCTGTAAGGAAAATTGGTATTTACATTACCTAGGCGGACAGGTCGATTGGCCAGCAGGGCTATCGAACTCAAACCTCTGCACTCTGCACTCCTCAGCTGAAAGGTGGGACCCTGACTGCTGCAGGCGCATCATGGGCTCAGTTCAATCTCTCTGCCTAGCATTTTGCCGCCATTTTGCATGCTATGGCCTTGATTTGGGCGCTAGGCTGTGCTCCATCATGGCTCCGCTGCTGACGACGCCGGCCGGAGCGCAAAAAGCGTGGGGTCGTGGAGCTCCCCCTTCGAATAGCTCCCAAAGGCTACTCGAGCCTTTCTCGACCCTTGTGCCCTCAATATGATGTTATTTGACCCCGCGTCTGGCGGCCCCAGTTTCCAACATGCGAGTTTCATGCATGCGGTCTCTACCCAACCAACCTAGGTTACGGTATCTATTTAGTCTTGTCGGGCAGAATCAGCCTCAGCACCACGTGCAACTGGTCGGATGGGGGCCAGAAGAATTTTACCCTTGTTTGACAAGCGTGAGTTTGTGAAGGTACTCAAGCAGAATTCCCTTCCAAGAAAGAAATTGTTCCTGGCATATTCCACCATAAACAAGGCAAACGCGCTTTTCTGTGATCCATGAGCTGTTGCTTCTTTAGCAGCTCAGTCATATATCTGGGTCAACCATGAAGAATCCAGAACGATTTCAAGTAACTTGTATTCGCTGAAACAGATAGGGAATATTCCTGTGAAACAGAGATGGAAGGGATAGTTGGAGATTAGGTTTGAATAAGAACTGAAAACGGAGACAAAGGAATCTATATTCAGAATTCGCCCAAGCCCCGACATATGACTACATCTCGCAACGCACGTCAGTCATTCCTCCTGTCTGGATGCCGTCAAAGTAATCGCCAGACTAAATGGATGAATGATCATGAGACATAGATCAAGGGCCTCATATAGTTCATATTACAGAAGAGATCCCGAGCTATTGATATGGCCGTATATACAGCCTCTTTGAATGATGAAGCAGCCACGTCGAGGAGCAACACATTGAAAAGGACAGAGGGGTATCTAAAAGCAGGAAATGGCGGCGCCAATATTTCCATATCTCTTGGTAAAGATGCAGCGCGCACGTAACGTTACACACATTTTATCCAGGACATAGCTTGTCAGAATATGACTTGGCCTTTGACTAAAGCGTCTATTGTGCCAGGAATCAACTCTGAACCATCATGGATGAGTTGATCATTATGGCGAGTCCCATAGCCAGTGAATGATCATAGCGATACTTTTGATCAAGCATCGACGAGCGGTAGAGCAAAATACATTATGTGGTCCTGCAGGACTTATCCCAGTAGACACAAACGACTGAGAGGGGCTTGGTTGTTTGGCTAGCCTCCGTATAAATACCAGGATAAATAGGATGTTGAGTGGAGGGGCAATACCTGACCCCTGGAACCATCGTCCAAACAGGATCATAATGTGACCCTGAGTGCCCAAAGTGGCACAAAAGAATAGCTCATTGCCTTGTCCTTCTTCTGTTATGACAGTGAAGGCTAGCGAGATGCAAACCGAGTGGAATGGAGGTGAGTCGAAAGAGCGCTGAACTGCAATATTGATTCGTTCAAAATACTGAAACCAGCCGCTGCGCGTGGATCTTCCACTAGCTTCAAATGCACCAGCCACGGATATGTCTGCAAAGATTACAGTGAGGTATATTTCCACAGAAAGGAAGTCTCTACACACCTGAGCAAGGGCCACGGTAATTAACTTGGCCAAAGCCGTTGATTATCATTTTGGTACTCTCTAAGAGCAATGCCAGCTTCTCGGATAACGGATGAAAACTACGAATGAACAACAGCGCTGGGGGTTCTCATTATTGATCGGGTTCCCATATTATCCCAAGTCTTTGTACGTAGCCCTGAGAATTACTTTTACAGCATCGAGGCGCTTCAACAGCGATTCTGGTACTTCTTTAACGTCATTCGTATACACTCTTTGGCATATCACAGATCAGTTCAATTCAGTTGGATATCCTCAAGCCCTCTACAGAAATCCCAAAGTCAATTAATTCTGTTGGGTGAATGCTGATAATGGCGAGTTTGACTCTCTCTAGTATCCGTGTTTTCGTTGGTATTGGGGAACCAAAACCAGTGCATCTACAGTAGCAGGGAATACTTATTTTAATTTTACTGTTTATGTATTAGCACACGGCCTCTACAGCTAGACAGTACAAGCTATACATATTAGTACCAAATATACCATATTACGTGTGGGTGGGGTAGAAATGAATGCATAATTACTGTGTTATTACCGTACCTTTCGCTGCCCCTGCGGAGCGGAGAGAGCTTCCCGGGATGATTCAACTCCGCTGAGATCAGCTTCATCATTCAACTCGACAACCCCCATACTTCCCCCGGGACCCTGACTCAACGCCTCCGACGTCAGTCAATAATGAAATCTGCAGAGGCAACAATACTCCCTCGATAAGGCTCGCGCGCATACCCTTCTACCCTCTTTGGCCACGATGTGGCGGGATCGCACCAACCTGTACGGATACCCCAGTAGCTGCTACCTACTACCTGCGCTGGCCCTCACTAGCGTCCGGGCAGATATACTTACTGATTTTGCCTACCCACAGCTACATATCCTACCGCCAGTCATTCGCACACCACCCGGCAAAAAAGCCACGTTTCGGCGCCTCCAATGGCTTCGACGGCCCCTCCAAGCCGGAGGAAAGCCGGCGACTCATCTCGGAGACGGGTGGCTTCGAGGAAGATGGTGACATGGTGATTGAGATGGACCTGCTTCCACCACGCTGGGTCGATGTACAGGAGGAAGTCTCAGAGCTGCTGGCGGATATTGCGCAGAAGTCCTCGGAGCTAGATAAGCTGCACCAGAAACACCTGCTCCCTGGGTTCGGCGACGAAGATCTTCGACGACAGGATGAGGGTGCTATCGAGCGCCTGACGCAGGAAATCACTCGCAGTTTCCACGACTGCCAGAAAGCTATCAAGCGCATCGACATCATGGTGCGCGAGTCCAAGCAGCAAGGCGGAGTCAGCAACGGCGAGGAGACCATGGCCAAAAACATACAGATATCTCTTGCGGCCAGGGTACAGGAATCAAGCGCTCGTTTCCGCAAGAAACAAAGCACCTACCTAAGGAGTAAGGCTACTCATTCTTCTCTAGTCGCCGATCGCGTTCGCATGACCTTGCGGAGGGTATTTAACTGCAAGCTAACCGATGATGTCCCGTTTAGAACTTAGAGGCCTGGAAGGCCTGACGACGCCGTTTGATCGATCCCCAACACCGGTTCAAAATCCCTTTACAGATCCCTCCTTGATGGAATCGGAAGTGGATAAATCATTTTCGCAGACAATGTTGATGCAGACTCAACAACGCGCGACGGGCCAACACGATGCTGCCATCGCGCAGCGAGAACGTGAGATCAATGACATTGCGAAGGGTATCATTGAACTTTCCGATATCTTCCGCGAGCTACAATCTATGATTATCGACCAAGGGACCATGCTGGACCGCATCGACTATAACGTCGAGAGAATGGGCACCGAGGTCAAAGCTGCAGACAAAGAACTCAAAGTGGTAGGCTTCAGCCCCTTCTTCCACCCATATAATCACTCTTCTTTTAACTTTGGATGAATATTGACGTGGGATCGACCAGGCTACAAACTACCAACGACGTTCCATGAAGCGAAAGGTTATGCTCCTCCTAGCCCTCGTGGTTATAGGATTAATTATCGTCCTTGTGGTAAAACCCAAAAACCACAGCTCTCCATCGCCGCCGCCTGAAGACGAATCCTCCAACAACATCCGGTCTGTGCTTGCCTCAGTTGACAGAGCGAGGAGACACCCTACATCCAAACGGTTCACCCGGGGCCGGTGGAGGGACCCGGATATATTTCGGTGAATTTTTTTTCGAGCGAACATGTTTGCAAATACTTAATAAGAATGGGAGAAAGAGCTTCACCCATCTACTATTCGAACAAGCCATGTGATACCAGTAGATTTCACCTAGCATACAAAGTGCTAAATTAACATGAATTCAATCAATCCATCTGGATACAGTCTTATTCGTCAAGTAGACAGCTTCTTTCGAGATTCGAGTTTAAGTAGTAATTCATTATGCAATAAAGACATGTCTCGAAAGACGAAGAGCGAATGTTCCATAATACAAAATAAGGGGAAATACATCAGATGACGAGAATGCAAGCTGTTGCAAATCACTGCCCTCCTTCCCGCGCAATCATTTCTGCTACATCAGCATCCAGATCTCCGCCGGCATACTGTGCATAGTCTTCCTCATGCGCCACCTTGCGCCTCTTCGCTGCTGCTCCGTTCGCGCCGAGGTCGAAGTCATTTCCACCACCAGGGGAAATATTGGACGGGTCGAATGCAATGCCATGGTCAACCTGCTCAAGACTTTGCAGGCTGAGGCCATGTGGGAGGTTTATCGGGGCCTCTTCTGTGAACGGGCCGTGGCTGTCATCAGGCTGCTCGGGCTTTGGTGATCCAACAGGTGTAATAGCCTCGACGGGGGGAGGAGTCAATGCCTCAACCTGGGGACGAGCAGGTTCCTCGCCGCCCGCGTTACCCTGTTCAGTTCCAGTAACAGAAGAATCGTCTTGATAACCACGCATAATTGCATCCTCAACCTCGCGTCGCTTTGTGTCTGTTTCCGCTTTTTTCTCTCCAAACTGTGCCACGAGAGACTCCTCTTTCTCAAGCTCGGATCGATTGGTCGCGAGGAGCTTTTCGAGTCCGTCAATCAGGGCGCGCCGCGACTTGATGACCTCTGAAACAGAATTCTCGGCGTGTGCAAGCGCCTTCAGCAGCGTGCCGAGGCGTGCAGCGTGCACTGGAGGGGTGATCTTGGGGGCTTGGGGGTCATTCAGCTTGCTGTACTCGGTATTGGCGGTTACAGCCGAGCTGTTGGAGGCCATGGCGGCTTTGGTGACGGCGACTTGTAGAGGGGCTAGCGGCTGGAGTTCGGACGGTGTAGACCCCGTCGAAGAGTCCTTGAAGAACGAGCCGCCGAGAGGCTGCTTCTTGGATGTGGAACGGGTCTTGTCAATGTCTAGTGATGGGGTCGAGTCAGACGTCCGCCACAAGTCGTTGAAATGGGCAAGGTATATTTGGCTTACCATTCACGCGAGCTTCCACGGCATCCAGGATCGGCCCTTCAAACACATTGCGCTGCCTCCACACCTCCACAACCCGGCGAATCTTCTGCTGGATATCATTTGAAGAGCCCTTGTATGCCACTGCTGCGGCTTCCGCAACAATCTAGTTCAGACATTAGCCATGCGTCTGGCGCATTGAGCACAAGGTAACGAACCGGTGAGAATGCGATGAGAAAGTCTTCTTTTCCACGCGCTTTGGACTGCTGCGCGACCTCTGTGATCTGGTTAGGCGATGACACGAGGCTTGTTTGGGGGTATTTATATACCATTTGCGAGGTAGATGAGGTTGAGTCGCTTGGGAGGCGGCGAGTCACGAATCTTTTGGAGCCAGATCTGTGCAGTCCGTTCGGCATGGCGCCTGCGTAAAGCAATCATAAATACATGTAAGCGTGTCTTCTTGCATCCCGTAGCGTATTTAGGCATACCTATGAAACATGACCCATTGCGCGACAGTCACGATGCTCTCCTGGGTCTCATTCAGAGCTGACAGCTTCGCCTTGACAGCATCGTCTGTGTAAGCCATGGGGAAATAATCGCCAAGCAGCCCGATAGCGACTTTCGGAGGAATGGAGTGCGATCAGGGCGGAGGAAGAACACTCCAGAAAGATAACCAGTCTGATGAAGGTTGAAAGGAAACTGGTAGCAATTGAAGCTTGCTGGGAAGGCAGGCCGGCAAAGAGAGACCAAAGAAGCGATATCGATGGTAAACCCAGCGAGAATCCTGCAAACAAGACAGGTTAATATGAGGCCGAGCAGCTGTTGACGTTGGAAAGTAATGCGAAGCTGTCCTCCCCCATCACTTGAAACCAGAAGCTGTTCACCGCCCTGAGTGGCAGTATACGGGGCTCCGAGCGTCTCGCCGGCAACAACTGTCAACTACCTACTACTCTTAGCTCTCATCTCCTCTCCGTTCATCATTTCGTGCCTCTACCGGATCTACAGTCAGACCACATATCGCCAACCGAGAACTACGACCACCCCACACATACAGCATGGCTGATCGTTTCCCCTCCCTGGAGGACTTCTCTGAAGGTACACTCCACCCACCTGCATCCGTACCGCCCTCACCGTGCAATCACCACTCACACAATGTTTCTAGGCCAGACCGAGGTCATCGAGAGCAACGGTGCATCTGAGGACGACTTCCTGGCCCGCGAGCGAGCTGTACTCGGTGAAGATGCCGACCAATTCGCAACCCCTCAAGATCACGTTGCGGCCCACGAGGGTGTAGATGGCGGAGATGACCTACTGGGTGACGGAGGCGACTATACACCCGCGGAAGAGATTGGACAATTCGAGTCCTCTTTCCCTTCAGTGGAGACTCAGGCACAGAACGAGGTACAGATTGTCTCTGGTATATGTTTGGAGGTGCGGATTACGCTGACTTATCGGTGTCCCTGTATAGAGAGTTGCCCCTGGTGGAACAATCACCGGAAGTGGCTCCCCCTTCCCTGCCACTGGATATAGCTCTCTGGAGCCCGAAGAGGAGGCAGAACCCATCCGGTAAGTGGAAAAAAACCATTGATCCCCACAATGACGCAGGCGCATGTCGTCTGCGGCTGCCTCGGGGTTCCCTCTTGATCCTTGTCATCTTACTGACAATCGCGTTCGACATACGCAGGGAATGGCGTGAGAAGCGCGATGCTGAGATCACCCATCGCGCAAAAATCTCGGAAGAGAAGAAGCAAGCCACCGAGAAGAAGGCCCAGGAGGACGTCGACGACTTCTACGTTTCGTACAATAACAAACTAGAGAAGCAAAAGGCCCAGACCCGCTCCGAGGCCGAACAGTTCCTGGCTAGCCGTGAGGACACCTCGGCCGGTGGAACCTCCTGGGAGCGCATCGCCAAGCTAGTTGACGTTTCGGGCAAGGGCTCCGCCGGCGGTGCCAGCGGCTCGGGTAAGGAGCGCTTCCGTGAACTGTTGATCGATCTGAGGAAAGACCAGGAGGCCCCGGGCTCTAGCGGTATCTAAATATGCTTGAGGTTTGAAGATTTTTGGAGGCTTAGGGCTTCAAGGATGCGAGAAGCTATTTTTTTCCATTGAAACTCAGGCGAATGAGTGCGCATACTCCCATTTCCCTTACGACCTTGCTCTTTAGCTTCCTAAGCCATGCGTCAGTCGCCGGTTTTTAGAGAGGTGTTTTTTGTCCTACTCCGTTTTCCTATTCTTTTTCACTTCATGAAGCGAAGTCGCCAGGGGGATTTGTGTAATTTAAGTATTTCAGACTGATGGCATCGTTAATACCAAGGATTTCCATTCTGTAACTTTGTTACGCATTATTGCTGGAAATTGTGCAAGCGCAACTAAAACTGGATTGTTAACGGAAATGCGGGCAAAGAGGCAAGAACATGTCAAAGCATTCGTTCCTCAACGCAGTAAATTTCATGGCATTTTGGGTATACTTGGTTTAGTCCAACTCGGTCACATCACCGCCAGGCTCACCAACGTCCTGCTTGGCCTCTGCCTCAATTTCCGCAAGCTTCTTTTGGCCCTCTTCCGTGGTGCCATCAATGATGCCCTCCTCCAAACTGAGCATACCGCCGTTGCCCAGCTGCTCAACGACCACTTCCGCGTCCTCAACGGACATCTTGCCAAGGACCTTGTTGACCTCGTCCAGGGACTCGGATGCCAATGCTTTCTGGAGGTCCGGGGAGAAACTCTCGAAGATCTTGCGAGCTTCGATCTCAGTAGGATCCTCGCTGTCAGCCGCGGGGATGTTGATAGTGATTTTGGTGTTGGGGTCGACTGCGTGCAGCTGGATCTGCTCAACGCCGGCAGGGTCGTTAGAGGCGGAGTTTTCTTTGCTGAGCTCCGCTGCACGGGTCTTGATGCGGTTATAAGTATCGTTAACGTCGTTGGAGAACAAAGCTGCAGCGCGGTGTTCCTTGGTTGTGATACTGCAGTATACTACGTCAGCTGGGCTCCAGAGCTTAGTTGGTGGTAATACATACCGGCTGAAGAAGAGCTTGATGCCGTCAGGGCCAAGAGAGCGGCAGTATTGCAAGAGCAGACCTTGATGAACGCATTGGCGAGCGTACGCATCCTCACCCTTGAGTTGGCTGTTGAAGGCTTCGACAAGCAAGCCATCCGTCTCCTTCTCAGCAACAATTTCAGGATGCTCGGAGATGAATCTCTGATAGGCGGCGTAGTCATTGGGCTTGAGTTTCGCGAACCTTTTGGCCAGTGGGCTGATCTCAATGTTTGCGGGATCATCGTCGTCGTCATCCTCAGCTTGGGCAGCGGAGGAGCTCCCCGCGCCGGGATTCAGGAGCTCAACCTCAGATTGCTTAACTGGTGCAGCAGCTTTGGCCTTGTGCTCAGCCTTTGCTACATGCGAAGTGCTGAATCCTTCGTGGAGGCCGTCACTAGTGATTTTGCTGCTCTCTTCCTTCTCCAGCTCGGCCAATCTCGTCAACAATTCCTTCTGTAGACCCTGCACCTTGTCCTTGTGTCCCTGCACACCCGTAATGTACGCCTTGAACATGTTGTCGGGCTTGGAATCACCAAACTCTTTCTTGACTTGATCCACCAGAGCGCTCATCATCTGGGAGTATTTTGGTTGTTCCTTCTCATGGGTGTGAACACCCTCTGGGGGAGGCGGGGCTTGGTCTTCGGCGGGGTTGCTGGCGAACTCCATGATAGTTTGGAAAATGAACTGCTCAGGGGAAGCTGAGGAGTCTTCATGCTGCTTCAACGCATCCAAAAGCTTATCGATGCGCGAGAGCAGGCCATCATTGATAATGCGCTCATACTTGAAGGTCTTGATATCATGGCGGCGTTGCTCACGCTGCTGGTGAATCTGGGCCTGCTTAGCCCGGATGAAAGAGCGCTTGTCGACATTGGGGTGCACTTCGATATCCGAGTCATCGGAAAGCTCCAGTGCATCCCACTTGCTGTAGTCAAGCACCATCTTCACGTGGGGGGGGGAAATCACGAGATGTTTAGGTGAGGCGGGGTATCGGCCGAGGACAAGATTGTATGGTGGTCGTTATAGAGGGCCGTCTCGGATGGGCAAATCAGCCACGGAGAAGTTCAGACAAAATCTTAAACCGTTGAAATAAAACACCAGCAGCAGAAAGCGGCTCTAGCAAGAAGCTCAAAACAAGTAGCATCGAGAGCTCTCGACCAGCTTCTATGGGCGGTGAACTATGGCAGAATCGGAACCCGATTTGCCGACGGAGAACGGGGACTTGCGATCTCGCATCTCCACATGCTTTGGGGAGCTGAACTGAGAATCGTGGATCATGCGGCATCGCTAATTTTCACTCCTTGAGATAATGGCCTTCTTCGAAACTTTTCCGTGATACCATCCGACCCCTCCTATTTGACCGCCCGATCTAATTTCAAAGATGCGCGGTGTCCGGCTGCCGGCCTGGACTCCCGGCGTCAGCCCTCGGCTGGTTTTGAGACCGCAGAGCGCCGTGCTCTGCAACATCTTGCCTGTGGCAAACCGAAGCATCTCTCGGTCTGGCGCGTGCAATGTCTCAAATCGACTGTATAACACCGCCTCTGGGGCTCTTGGCGACAGAGCCGGTGGTTCCATCCGACCAGCCGAGATGACGTTCCTGCTTCGCCAACCTACCTCCCAATATACCCTGTCTACCTCTCGCATCGTTCCTCAAACGCGTTTTCTGAGTTCTACGTCGTGTCTCCTCCAAGCGAAGCCGCCCTCACTGCCATTGAATCCCTCCCAGGCCAACAGCCGCCCAGTTCCGGAAAAAGAGGCTGAAGATGCCGAAGAAGATAAAGGGTTCGAACTTTCGGAAAGAGCTGCTCAAGCTGCGCAGGTCAACCTCCGGGCTAAGCTGGCTAAGGATGGTGCGTCGGGCAAGAACTCCGGCTTCGCGGAAATCTGGCGGTTGTTCAAGATTGCGCGACCTGAAGCGAAGGCGCTCGGTTTCGCCTTCTTCTTCCTGTTGATTTCGTCGTCCATCACCATGTCGATCCCCTTCTCAATCGGTAAGATCATGGACACGGCTACGAAGAGTGAAGAGGAAGGCGGAAGCCAGCTGTTTGGCCTAAGCATCCCAATGTTCTACACTGCTCTCGGTGGAGTTCTGCTCGTGGGTGCCGCTGCCAACTACGGCCGTATCATCATCCTCCGAATTGTCGGCGAACGAATTGTCGCCAGACTGCGCTCTAAGCTCTTCCGCCAGACGTTTGTCCAGGATGCCGAGTTCTTTGATGCGAATCGGGTTGGTGATTTGATCTCCCGGCTTAGCTCTGACACCATTATTGTTGGCAAAAGCATTACGCAGAACTTGTCTGATGGACTCCGTGCGGGTGTCAGCGGTGTGGCTGGGTTTACTCTGATGGCCTATACCAGTCTGAAGCTGTCCAGCATCTTGGTTCTCTTGCTTCCCCCCATTGGTTTGGGTGCCCTCTTCTATGGACGAGCTATCCGTAATCTGAGTCGCAAAATTCAGAAGAACCTGGGTACATTGACTAAGATTGCTGAGGAGCGTCTGGGTAACGTGAAGACTAGTCAGTCATTTGCAGGTGAAATTCTGGAAGTCAACCGATACAATACACAAGTACGCAAGATCTTCGACCTGGGTAAACGGGAGTCTTTGATTAGTGCGACCTTTTTCAGCTCGGTGAGTCCTTTTTAATCGGTCATATCACTGTACCCATTTGCTGACTGCCTTTAGACCGGATTGATGGGTAACATGACCATTTTGTCTTTGCTTTACGTTGGAGGCGGCATGGTTCAATCAGGCGCTATCAGCATCGGAGAGTTGACTTCGTTCTTGATGTACACTGCATATGCTGGGTCTAGCATGTTTGGTTTGTCAAGCTTCTACTCCGAGCTTATGAAGGGTGTCGGTGCTGCAAGCCGGCTTTTCGAGCTGCAAGATCGCCAACCGACTATCCATCCCACCAAGGGCATCAAGGTTGAGTCCGCTCGAGGACCTATTCGATTTGAGAATGTCTCCTTCAGCTATCCCACCCGTCCTGCTGTGACAATCTTCAAGGACTTGAACTTTGAGATCCCACAGGGAACCAATGTCGCCATTGTCGGTCCTTCTGGAGGTGGCAAGTCGACTATTGCATCGATTCTGCTTCGCTTTTATAGCCCAACTGCAGGCAAGGTTATTATCAACGGAAAGGACATCAGTACTATGAACGCCAAGTCGCTCCGGAGAAAGATTGGTGTGGTCGCCCAGGAGCCTGTTCTCTTCTCTGGAACCATCGCCGAGAACATTTCTTATGGTCGGCCTCGTGCTACACGATCTGAGATTGTCGCTGCGGCCCGGAAGGCCAACTGCCAATTTATCAGTGACTTCGTAAGTCTGCCCACACACCAAAACACCATTCACCATGCTGACTGGAAACCCAGCCCGATGGACTTGATACCCCTGTGGGAGCTCGCGGTGCGCAGCTGTCCGGTGGACAGAAACAGCGCATTGCCATTGCCCGTGCACTGATCAAGGAGCCAGATATTTTGATTCTCGACGAAGCCACCTCTGCCCTTGATGCTGAATCGGAGACATTGGTCAACAGTGCCTTGGCCGCTCTTCTCCGCGGCAATAACACCACCATCAGCATCGCCCATCGCCTCTCCACCATCAAGCGCTCCGACACAATCATCGTGCTCGGGCCCAACGGCACGGTGGCCGAACAAGGCACATACGAAGAGCTCAGCTCTCGTCCTGACGGAGCCTTCACCAAGCTCATGGAGTGGCAGATGAGCGGCGGAGACGCCATCCCGGCTCCGCCGGCGCGGGTAGTCCCGCCAGAGGACCTCTACAAGCTCGAGAAGGAAACGGAGGAGCAAGATCTAGAAGAGGACGAGGTGGAGGAATCCAAGTCCCAGAAAAAGGAATAGATCGGGGCCTTTATGTTTAAATGTCGGATGTTTACATGTCGATATGCCCCAGTGCCCAAATACAGATGGTGGTGCTCGTGGGGGCTCATACGTTTCACCACTCAGCTCTTTGCGGTCCGATCTCTTCTCATACACCTTTTTGCATTTATGTCGGAATTTTGGCGATAGGGTTTAAATGGAGCTACAGATATATTGTATAGACAATGAATGCAATACACTCAATCTCATTTTCTGTTTCTCTTCTCTCTTAGGCTCTTCATAACTAGTTCGCATTGTCCGTAATTAGTCACGCGGACCCGCCCTGGGCGAGCCGACCTCCCCGCTGATTCATCCGGGCTGCATAGGACTTCACTTGAGCTCCTTGCCGCTCTCGGGGAGAGCATCACTTCCTCACAACTTGGGTTCCCTTCCGTCGAAAGGGACTCATATACCATTCTCTGGTCATGGACCGTGTACGGAGGCTTCTTGCCGACCCCGTGGCGTACGAGCCGCTGGAAGACTCGGCGGAGGATGATGCTGGCGAACATGGCCAGGGCCAGCAAAGACCGCTGTCTCGCTTCTCGCGGTTGGAATACAGCGTCTTTTTCCTCCTCGGAGTGGCCATGCTATGGGCATGGTGAGTTTCCCCGTCGGTGTAGTCTTCATGACTGCCGAATCCGGAGTGTATCAGACAGTCGTGAAATCTAATCCCTCGGTTTTACTCTAGGAATATGTTCTTAGCCGCCGCGCCCTACTTTTACAGCCGCTTTGAGTCGAATGACTGGACTGCAACACATTATCAATCCTCGATCCTCTCAGTCTCAACCGTCACCAACCTCGGGACCGTGTACATTCTTGCAACCATTCAGAAACAAGTCTCCTACCCGTGGCGCATCACGCTCTCGCTGCTGATGAATTGCTTTATCTTCACCCTCCTGGCATTCTCGACCATCGTCATGAAGGACATCTCGGCGCAGGCGTACTTTGGTTTCCTGATGGTAATGGTGTTTGGCGCAAGCTTTGCCACAGGTCTAAATCAGAACGGGGTCTTTGCATATGTCTCCGGGTACGGCAGGGAAGAGTATACACAAGCGATCATGGGTGGACAGGGCGTCGCGGGTGTCCTTCCGTGCATTGTTCAGATCTTCTCTGTATTGGCAGTACCGAGGAAGAACGGCGACGGGCAAGGTCAGGATGGCTCGCAGGGATCGTCATCGAAATCAGCCTTCATATATTTCCTGACTGCCACGGGGGTCTCGGTACTCACGCTACTAACATTCCTCTATCTCCTCAGGAACCGACCCAACCCGAAGCTGAAAGCGACAGATGAGGACGAGGGTGCTTCTCTCGTTGACCGTACGCCTGACAAAGCGGTCAGTTTGTGGACGTTGTTTAAGAAACTGCGCTATCTATCGCTTTCTGTCTTTGTGTGCTTCCTGGTCACAATGATGTTCTTCCCAGTCTTTACCTCCGAGATCCAGTCAGTCCATTTCCCCGGAGGGCCTCGGATGTCCGAACCGACTGTCTTCATTCCCCTTGCTTTCTTGTTTTGGAACATCGGCGATCTTGGGGGGCGTCTTGCGGTAGCTATCCCGAAGTTGTCTCTAGCGCATCGCCCTTGGATGGCCTTCGTCCTCGCCGTGGCGCGTGTCATCTTCGTGCCCCTGTACGTCTTCTGCAATATCAACGGCAACGGAGCCGTTGTGAAGAGTGACTTCTTCTACCTCTTCATCGTGCAATTGTTCTTCGGTGCAACCAATGGGTACCTGGCGTCGAGTTGCATGATGGGCGCTAGCCACTGGGTGACTGCCGATGAACGTGAAGCTGCAGGAGGGTTTATGAGCATGATGCTCGTGGGAGGATTGGCTGCCGGTAGTTTATTGAGCTTTCTCGTCGTCAGCTGATCACTCGGTCTAGGGATGCTTGGTTCTTATAGACTGCTTTGACGAGTGATGACTGACGGATCTCGGGGTTGGTATACTTTGACCATATTTGCACATACCACATATAAATAAATTCCCTTTTTTTGTATTGATCTTACGCGTATGCGATCGGGGACTCTGGGTTGTCGCCTAGGTGAGACCAGACGGGGATAGTGGGCGGCATGTTCCCGTTATCTTTCTACTACATCGGCCTTGAGGACATACGTCAATTTCTCGGTCATCCTGAAGTTCTCTCAGTTATGTACGGAGTAGACCAACTCAAATGGCCCTAACTTGAAGTTAGCTCCCTCATCCCCCAGCGCCAGCATTCTGGCTCCGAGTAGAAAGAGGCGCTCCGCCGTTCTCACAGGGATCACGCAGCTGTCTCGGTCCGCAGTAAGTGAAGCCCCATCTATCATCATACAGTTTTCTCTTTGCTCTGGACTTCGAGTAATGCTGAAGCACCCCTTCGATGGCCCATTGCCAAAGTTGATGCTTATTTACAAACCTTATTTTAACGGTTCATCTTTGATCTAATGCCACATGTTTCCTCTCCTTCCCGTTCTTTCGGAATTTTTCCACTTGCTAACAATGGTAGTTGCCTCTTCAATATTTGTTTCATCACCTGCAGCCACATCAAGTTACTATCCACCTTCCTTTCGATTGCCTGAGAAACCTGGCCAAGGGACGGCTGGTGAACACTACGCCGGCCTGCGTCGGACCCATCTTGGCACTGATCAACAAGATACCGTGTAACGGTACCACTTCTCCAGGAGGTTATGACGAGTCATCTCAATATCAACCAAGTTGGCAGCATCCGCTGGTTTTCCTCCGCCCCTGGTTGAATCTCAAAAGCACCATGCTATGGAAAAAGTCAAGCTTTAACAACCAAAATCCCGACAAAGATCCCAGACCCGCAACACCAACGGACTTCGCCACAATATTTATCATAAAAATGGCCTTTGCATGCGACCGCATGCGACCGCCTGGTGCATCTAGCCTGATCGAGGCAAGTTCAGGGGATGGTGGAGAACTGTCTCTGATGGGGCGGGCGGTACACGGTACACTCCCGCCCGCCAGAACCGCTGCGGCCACGCGGGTACCGAGTACTTGTCAGGCCTAGAACCACTGCAAATACAGCTTGGACCCTGAGCGCCCTCGCCCTTACTTGGACGGGCAATACATCGTTTGTTTTTCTTAGCGGAGTGCCACATTGCGGCCCCTTGCATGCCAGATCTCTCCAATCATGACCTATCCACTCGGATTTCGCATCCAGCTCTCCCCACGGACGCGTGTCGAAGGTTATCAGAGGCTCCCCCATCGATCGACGGGGTCTTGCGACTCTGCTTTGGCGGTGACGCAAAAGGTTTCTGACGCGATTTTCCCACATGGTGACTCTTCTTCTCCTCAGCCATTCCTGGCTGTTGTGACATCTCCTTTAAATTCTCTGCACAGGAAGGGTGGATGCTTCATTCATGAAGCGCGATCGCTCATCCGTCTTTCTTTCGTTACTTGATCTTTTTTTTCTCGCTTTCTCAGCTGGCAATGATCTAGCCTTTCCTTGACTACTTTCCTCCTCGATGAGCGTCATTCGTTTAGAAATTCATTGAATTGTTTTCTGGTTTAACGGCCTCTCTTTCCACGGCAACACCTTCATTATGATCTCCAATCGCAAGGGACGCTCGCTTACAACAATCCTCTTTCTACTTATTACCGCATATCTCTTCCTAGTTTGGTTACCACTCAGCCGCCTTCATGCCTGGCAGCACAAGCACCCAAAGCCGGTCCCGGCAGCCACTATCTTCTTGCCAGATACGATCCATCTAAACGCAGCTACGGAGAGGTTCCCCGTTACCTCGTACATTCCTTTACCAACATCTCCATCTGCAATCCCCCAAATCCAGCATAATTTTCCACCTGAATCTAGAGCTGAGCGCAAGGGCAGAATTAAGAAACAAAATGCCGTGAAGGAAGCTTTTATGCACTCATGGAATGGCTACAAAGACCATGCGTGGCTGCGAGATGAAGTCTCGCCACAGACCGGTGGATATCAAGACTCCTTCAGCGGGTGGGGTGCGACTCTGGTGGATTCGCTCGACGCGTTGATTATCATGGGGCTGGATGACGAGCTCGATCTAGCCATAGAGGCTTTGGATCAAATCGACTTCACCACTACCCGGAGCGCGCAAGTGAATGTGTTTGAAATTATCATCAGATACATGGGCGGCTTCCTTGCTGCTCACGATCTGACCAACGGCAAACACCCGATCTTCCTCAAGAAAGCTGCAGAGCTCGGTGACATGATCTTCAATGCATTTGACACGCACAACCGAATGCCACAAATGCGGTGGGACTGGTCCAAGTATGTCAAGGTCCGAATGCCGAATCGGCAACAGCCTGCAGAAATGATGACCAGAAAACTAACGAGCCACCTACAGATCCGCCCAGGGCGAAGAAATTGAACCGTCAGAGCGCACAAGCTTAGCCGAGTTAGGTTCTCTAACCGTTGAATTCACTCGACTGTCTCAACTGACGGGCGACCTGAAATATTTCGATGCCGTCCAGCGGATCACGAACGAGCTGGAACGGGGCCAATCAAAGTCCAAAATTCCCGGGTTGTGGCCAGTGTTCGTCAACGCAAAGGATCTGAAATTTGACTGGTCGCAGTTTTCTCTCGGCGGTTCTGCTGATTCGACTTACGAGTACTTACCCAAGGAACATATCCTCCTTGGTGCGCAGACGGACCAGTACCGCCATATGTACGAGAAGGCCATCGAGGCGATCAAGAAGAAACTACTCTTCCGTGCGATGACGAAGGATGAGGATAAACAGTTCCTTTTCACTTCGAATGTCCGTGGGCTGAAGGGAGGTTCCCTTCACGGCATCGAGTATGTTCAGGACCACCTGAAGTGTTTCTTGGGTGGCACCGTTGGCTTGGCGTCCAAGATCTTCAACCGGACAGAAGACCTTTCTATTGCACGAGGTCTTACGGATGGATGTATCTGGGCCTATGACTCCATGCCAACGGGAATCATGCCCGAGACGATGACAGTCAGCCCCTGCAAAGAGATGGAGAAATGCCCGTGGGATGAGGGCAAGTGGTACGAAGATGTCCTCGGCCAGCCAATCCACTCGATGGGGCATCTCGAAAGAGCACAGGAACAGGTCGAGTATGATGGACTCCCTCCCGGTGTCGTCGGAATCTCGGATCCGACATACAAGCTCAGGTAAGATGCCGATTCCCGGCAGTGCGCGCGTTAGTCCTGTTATACTAATGAACTTTTGGATCCAGACCGGAAGCTATCGAGTCCATCTTCATCATGTATCGGATCACGGGCGACAAGACGCTCCAGGATGCTGCATGGCGTATATTCCAGAGAATCGACAAGGTAACGCGCACAAAGTATGGTCACTCTGCCATCGAGGATGTGCGCAACCCGCTTTCGAAAATGAGCGACAAAATGGAAAGCTTCTGGCTTGCCGAAACGCTCAAGTACCTGTACCTGATCTTTTCCGAGCCTGGCTATATCAGCTTGGATGAATATGTTCTGTAAGCGGTTGCTGTCACCCGCATCATTCCGTGCTAGGCTAATACGTTTCTCAGGAGTACCGAGGCACATCCATTCAAGCGACCAGCCGGGCCTGTATGAACAACAGGCCAACGCCCTTTCCTTCGAGCTGATTAGCGTTATTTAGATAGACTGCTGGAGGGTATACGGCGTTATGGGATTATTTGATGGGATGGCGTTGGGGATCTTTTGAAACCTGTGCATGCATACACTCTCGCTAATCGAACGCCCGGGGAATGTGGAAACTTTATGCAAGATTAAATTCATATTATCTCCGCTGTATATTTTACACATAGGCCACCTCATCGTGAGAAGTCCTCTTCGACGAACCTTGTCCCCTTCGCTGCGCCTCATCATACTCGTACTCGACCGAGTATTGCACCTCCTTGCGGATAATCATCTGATCTAGATCTTCTCCTGCAAAGCGTTCCTGGTTTTCCTGCCGTGCATGCTGCCGATGTAATTGAGGCATGAGCTCAATGGCATCGCAGTCCAACAGAGATGGATCTGTTGTTTGTCCTCGGCTCTTTCCTTGTGCTCCGTCTGTCTTCTTGAAGGTCGGCTGGCTAGACACGCCAAGTGGAAACATTGACCGACGAAGTGGGGCTCGAATAGGAGTATCAGCCGCCGCATGCACAGCCTGTTTCTTCTTCTGTCGGTCATATTCTCTGTTCTCGCCAAGAAGCTTTGGCTCGTCCTGGTAAATTCGTTCCTTCGACACGGAGCGGGGGATCTCGATCCTCGATTTTGACCTTGACACGGTTCCGGCCCGTTTCCTTTGTACGCGAGAAAGCGATCTTGATCTCGAGGCGGAGTTCGAGCCCGAAGCAGAATTTGAATTCGACCCCGACTTCGAGCTTCCCTTCGTGCCCCGTGATCGCGAGGCACTGCTTTCCAAGTTCGAGTCACCAGCTGTTCCATAGTTTGTGCTGACGGCTGCCATGAACGGACGGAGGCAAAATACGCTGCAGGCGACGAGGGCATAGTGTACTTCGACCTGGAGCCAGAGGGTGGGTTCGGCGGCTGCAAGCGTGACGTCCGGGTCGTTGAGGGCGGAGTGAAGGTTTGAAATGTGGAGGAGGGTGAAGATGATGAGGCTGCAAAGATTGTTCCGGATTAGACATGTATGCTTCGACTTGCCATGGCAGGAACTCACGGAAATCGAAAGATAAATGCAAAGCCAATGGCGAGCTTGCGCTTCACCGACATGAACAGGCCCTTGAGAAGAGCGACTGCTAGAAGGAATATAATGAGCTCAGTGACTATGTCCAGTGCTGCGATGAATTGCCATCGTTTATACTAAACAAATTGGTCCATAATCAGCAAAGTCGATCTGTGGCCGGTCACCATCTCCATCAATGCTAAACCTACCAAATTCCGGCATTGGCCTCCCTGGGTTCTCCAAGGCTTGTTCAGTTCGCAGTTGACCAGCAATATGAATACGGCAGGAATAAGCCATGCGGTGCACAGAGCCATTGTGGCCCACGAGGCGAGGTTGTGTGATTTCTGAGGGGTGAGGCGCAGATAAATGGCGACAACACAGCACTTGGAGAGGTAAATAATAATCAAAGCGAAGATATCGCTTGTTGCAATTAACTGACTGATTAGCCTTGGCGAACAAAAAATAAACATAAATGGCCAACTTACTGCCTGGATCTGGTTAAGTCGGCTATCGTCCAGCAAGGTAATCGAGCTCCCGAATCCGCGTGAACAGGCGTAGAAGATTAATATCGATTGTACAATTGCCACTGTCTGCGCCGCCCCCAATTGTCTCGGTTAGTTGCCATTCGACTGCAGAATTGGGCTTGAGACGAAGACTGCTCGATCTTACCGTCGCTCCCAACAAAACAAAGTCATCGCGCGAAAACGGCGGAATCAGCATGAGCCGGACATAAAGCCGAATCAAAAAGCAAACCAGTGAGATCACCAGTCCCAAAGCAACTGTAATGATTATCCATGCCCCATGGTGGTAGTCATCAACCACCTCGAACGGCGGTGACTGGCCCGGGGGGACATAGGGGCCGCCCATGGCAAGAACACAGAGTGACAGACGAGTGGGTGGCGTTTTCTAACATGAGGAAACAGGTTCCCTGTGTTCCCAACGGGGCTAATTGGATTTATGAGAGAGTGTGGATAAGGAGAGGAAAGGACATGAGTGCGAGGCAGAACAGCCTCTCCAGGAAAGGAGGGCAAGAAGGAGCACGATCCAGGTATATACGCTTCGGCGGTTATCTCGCGGCATGCGACCAAAAAGCCGGGATAACAGAGGAGACTATGATTCAATGATTGCAGAGCAGCTTGTGTCGGCAGCCGAATATAGCGCATATCTCGGCGGACCCAAGTACAGGGTATACCTAGATTGGCCTCGGACTCAGTTCCCGGCCGAATCTCAAGCTTCCAGGTTCGTGGTCTAGCTCCAGCTCCCAGGCAGCTATTGTGCTCTCCGAGTGACGAAAAAGTAAGTTTTCGTGGCGGATTATTGTGTCACCCTTCAATAGACGAGAATGAACAGTGGGATAAAACCCAATGCACCCAATATACTGTGTGTTGTTGTTATTTTGTGCAGCACAAGTCTGATATCACACTCCCAAGACCTCCGCAACATTGGCTAGCGGCACCTCCCCTCACGTCAGGGCCCCAATAACTCAGTCATGGACGGGACCAACCGGTCCGCTACCATTCTTGCATTAGGCGTTGATCAGCATGCGAGCTACGGTGTTGCCCGCGGATCGCAGAGGGCAGCTTTCCGATAGGGCAGCCCATGTGGTTTCCGTGTTGCGGCCTTGGGACAAACATGCGAGGGGGTAAATGCATTCAACCGGCGCTCACCGTCGGTTTAGGGCATTGTGGCGTTTGGCGAGTTAAATTCGTTAAATTCTGGGGAACAGCATTAAGGGATGGTCCTGATCTGCACCGGCATTAGGGATTAGGGGGTGTTAGTGGTGGTGTGAGGGTATGAGGTGTCACATCGCGTTCGAGGATCTGCCGCCCATCCGGCACTGTAACCATCGCGATCCTGTGGAAGTATAGTACGCGATGAGGCAAATGCCACACTCTCAATAATAATCTAACGCCGCAGAAGAAGAATCAAGAAGCCAACAAAGAAGGAATTCTCCCCAAGCAGAAGGAAAGCAAAGCCTGGAAAAAGATGATTCCACCAAAGTTCGCCAAATGCCTGCTGGCAAGGAGAACCCTGCGCCCAACCCCCCTGGCATGCAAGGCGCCGATGGCTTCATCGCCCATTCTTAAACGCCCTCATTTCGAATTCAAGGGATAACGCCGAAAGTCCGAGTCTCGCAAGGTAATCGGCTTGGGCCATCCACCAAGCAAATCCCCCAAAAAATTGAGTTCCCAGGGCCCAAGCTCACTGCTAACGCCCGCATTTCTCCCTTTATCAATGGAATATCAGATGTGTCATTCAGGCGCTGTGTCTGGCTCGTCAGGCTCGGGGGAAACAATTGCCCACATGGCCTGGGGTGCGAGAATTCTCCCTAGCCATGCCTTGCTCCCACGTCAACTCCACGCCTTCGCCTGCGAGTGACGCCTCAAGCCCTGATATGACCCCCGCTAGCTGGAACCTCTTCTCCTGCTACCTGCTTCTTTCGGTCACGGCGTGGTACTAGCCGGCATTTCCCTTCCGATGTGTGAGCTCGGTCCTTCGAACCTTTATCTACTTATAATCTTCCACGGGTCGACGACCCGCGTGGTTTGCGTTGCATGAATCGAGAACAGCTGCGACAGTTCCTTGGGCTTGTTGCGTGGTGATTTGAGCTCTTGAGGCGCCACCTGAATTCTCTGCGACGATGGTGATACTCCGCCGCACGAGGAGCGAGTCACAGTTGGCTTTCAGCGTAACTGATGATGTCGAAGATTATCCCCAGAAGGGTCTCGTTGCGCGCCGATATATGGGGACGGTGGCGGATCAGCGGGATATGAGTGCACTGGGCCGAGTACAGGTGCTACGGGTAAGTAAAGCAGCAGAGACTTCGAAAACATGGTGCCACAAGCTGACACGGCGAAGAGAAACTTCCGATTTATTTCAATTGTCGGATTTGGTTGCACGCTGATTTGTACTTGGGAGGTTATCTTAACGTGTGTCTCCCCATCTCCATGCCGCGCGTCTCCAAGGTGTAATGGTCATAGCGGAGACTGACTTGCAGTATCAGATTATTGTCCGCCGGATTAACTGATGGCGGCACCGCAGGTCTGATCTGGGGCTTTATTGGTGTGTCGTTGGGCTTTACGCTCGTGTATGCCAGTATCGCTGAGATGGCATCGATGTAAGTTGGGATCTGTGGGCCTCGGCACTAGTTGCTCAGCGCTGATGCATGGTGTTTAGGGCTCCAACTGCTGGCGGACAGTACCATTGGGTATCAGAGTTTGCGCCTCGGAGAGGACAGAAGTTTCTGAGCTACATCACAGGTAGAGAACACCATGTTCCTGTGCAAGACTTTGCATACTGATCATCAATCCTAGGTTGGCTCTCTGCAATGGGTTGGCAATGCGCCATCGTCTCCATCGCTTATCTAGCTGGCACCATCATCCAGGGCCTAGTGGTTCTCAATCAACCAGACTACAACTTCCAACGATGGCATGGCACTATGTTGGTAATCGCCATCTCCACATTCTCGATTCTGTTCAACACGTTTCTCGCCAAGAACCTGCCCTTTGTGGAAGGATTGATCTTGATCATCCATGTCATCGGCCTCTTTTCGATTGTCATCCCGCTGTGGGTGCTGGCGCCGCGTAACAATGTCCGTGATGTCTTCACGCATTTCAACAATGGTGGCGGCTGGGATAGTTCCGGGACGGCAACCTTGGTTGGTTTGTCGACGACGATTACTTCCATGCTAGGCTACGACTGCTCTGTCCACATGTGTACGTGAGATTTGTTGTTCGTGGCAGACGAGAACGGAATACGGTTTGCTAACATCTCGCAGCTGAGGAAATCAAAGATGCATCAGAAACACTGCCCAAAGCGATGATGTCCTCTGTGGCAGTCAATGGGGTCTTGGGGTTCATCATGTTAGTGACGTTATGCTTCACCCTGGGAGACGTCGAAACAGTACTGGAGAGTTCCACGGGGTTCCCGTTTATCCAAATATTCTACAACACGACCGGCAGCATCGCCGCGACCAACGCGATGACCGCCGTGCTGGTAGTCACCCTAACCGCCAGTACAATCACAGAAGTCGCGACCGCATCCCGGCAGCTATGGTCATTTGCGCGAGACGAAGGCCTTCCATTCTCATCGTTCTTTGCATACGTAGGCAACCCCCACCTCTTCTTCCTCATCCATTCCGGAGTACTATCCATACTTTCCAACTCACCCATGCTGACTGTGCTGGCAGGTTACACCAGGCTGGAACATTCCGCTCAACTCCGTGATGGTCTCGCTCTTTGTAACCATCCTGCTCTCCATGATCAACATCGGCAGCACCGTCGCTCTCAACGCCGTGATCTCGCTGACAATCACATCCCTGATGTCCGCGTACATTGTGTCCATCGGCTGCGTGCTGCTGAAGCGCCTGCGCGGCGAGCCCCTACCCCACCATCGCTGGACGCTGGGCCGGTATGGCATGGCAGTCAACATCGGTGCGCTGGCCTTCCTGCTGCCAGTGTTTATCTTCGCCTTCTTCCCGCTGTCGACGCCTGTGACTCGCGAGACGATGAACTGGAGCGTAGTCATGTACGCTGGCGTCATCGGATCGGCGTCGGTATATTATTGGGTCCGCGGGCGGCATCATTTCATTCCGCCCGTGGCTCTGGTGAAGCGGGAGGAGGCTGGGTTCTAGCCGAGGCGTGACCTGGAGCTGTTCACTCTTTTCTACTCTTCTTATTCATTTTGTTGCCTTATATTCTTTGGGATGCGCGTATGTAATGTGCGTGGTTCTGTGATGACTGGATGTAGAATATCAAATGTGTCAAGACGGCTGTATAGCCTCAATTGAATGGTTTCCGGTGCCTTGGCCAACAAACGTACTAGGTCGTTATTGAACTGTATACTCACCACCTCTCTTTTCTGGCTCGGCCTAATCGGGCCTGATTAGACGCAGATGGCCATCTACCCCCTGAACCTCTCTCTATTCTTCCTTCACCCCTGTAAGATGACGTGGTGATCCACGGGGCTGGTTACTCGAAGCAGCGTGCAACGTGCAGGAGGCAGGATGCCCAACCGCCCCGTCCTGAACACTAAATCTAAATTTAAAATTATCAGATTGAAGTTATCAGATGGAACCATTTGCATGTGCCGCGCACTTCCTGAGGCGGGAAGGTGTCACAGCCCGATTTTACTTCCCGTTCCTCCTGTCTCGCCCTCCTTTTAATTCCGGCACCCCTTTACTTCGTACATAACCCCCTGGCTTCCTTGGCCTACCTGTCTTGGCTTTACACAACCCATGGTCAAGATGCCGAGGACCCGACGCTCAGGCGATCAGGCGATAAGAGGCGGGCCTCACCTCAAAAACATAAAAGAACTTCTCCATGGGGAGTACTCCGTGATCGACTATCGATCTGTGATACCAGCTCAGCCCAGCCTCCGATGATATCACCTCCTTGGGAGCCTTGCGAAAAGACCATCTTCAGTCTTCGGTCTCCATTGTCCCGTTTCTTTGCGGGACTAGCAGCGTCGATGGGGACTTCTAGAATGACCCACCGGTTGGAAACCACACCCCGAACGGGCCCTAAGCCCCTCCCACTGGCTGGAACTCACCGTCCCGAAGCCCAGGCGGCAGGGACGCGACTGGGTCGAGCAGGTGGTGCCCGGGCTGGTCGGAAAGTGGGCCGGAGGAGCTCCGTCCTGGCTGTGCTTTCAGCTCCCAAAAACCGGTGTTTGTTGAGGCCCCGAGTAGTCCAGGGGACACATTAATTTGGTTAGCGAGCAGCGTTGTCCAATCGCTTCTCAGCGTGCCTTTCTTTTGTCTGGGCGAATGAGAGCGGGTAAAGGGGCCCTGTGGTGCGGGGTGTCTCTGGCGCGGTTTGTCACTGGCGCTATCTGATTGATTGATTGACCAGATTGATTGATAACGCAGGATCGCGGTAATCAGATTACACCATCCGGCGTCGGCCCACTCCGGAACTCGCACCCTTTATGGGATTGGGATTTTTCGGGCTATCGTTCCAATTGATACTGATCGTTCCTAATTCTTACGAGGGGTCCCTGCGGCACATTGCATTTCCCTACTCGCTTAGAAAAATGAGAAGCCTCAGACCACTCCACTCCGATATCCTCGGCATTAGCGGTTCAGTACCGGTACAGTTCCAGCCGGGAACCCGGCAGCAAAATTCATACGTAATACCCAGTCAGGACGACGTACTTCGTACGTAGTTGGAGTAATCTGGAAGATAATGAGTGTCTCCCCATTTGCCAGCTGCAATGCACTGTCGATCTGGGGGATGGGTACGATGTCTGAACCCGGGTCAGCACCATATCCAGTAGTTAATTCCACCCCGCGGCCACCCAGCCGAGATGCCCGCCGTGCAGCCGCGCTCTTGTACCACCGTGAAGACGGTACTTGGTAAACCACCAGCACTTGAGAGTAGATAGAAGTACCCAGTACCTGCGGGAGCTGTCACGGCCTCGCGTGTGGCGTTGAGGCGCCCGAGCGCTGTAAGTAATTGTTCCCGGTGACGAAGAATGTGGCAAAATCAGATAATTCCTTGCCCGAATCTGGGCTCCCAACCCACGCTCCACAGCCGACAGCCGTAATTTTCCCTTTCCCCATTTCACCACGGATTCAAGTAGACGGGACACTGGCCATTGGGACATTCAATTTCGTGGACTTACCCCCGCCCCGATCCCTTCAGATCGTCTCTCATGTCCATTTCTCGGGCCCACGCTTTCCTTTCTCATCCCACTCTCCCCCTTCGATTAAAAGGAGCCGGTCCTGTGCGTGGTTCTGCTTGCTTGTCACTATCTTTCGCCTCCCTCCTCCAAGCGGCACTCCCCGATTCCCCCCCCACTGTCCTCGGCTCCTCTTTCTCGTCTGCTCCCCATGGGTACGTTTAACAAAAGTCTTACAAACTACCACTCCCACACCTGAGAACCTGCCAAACTCACTCCCTTGCCCGTTGAACAGTTCACGCCGTCGATCCAGTCATGCCGTCGGCAGCCATCGCCTCTTCGGGGTCCCGCCCCCGCAAGGGCACTTTTCAAGAGATCCCCGTCTCTTCGACCTCACACCCCGACAATCCGATCCCCGAAGAGCCGCGCGGCGTGCGATCGCTCTCCGTGACCGATACCAACTTCAACGGCTCACCCGCTTCCCAAGGGACCGACTCGACCGGTTCCAATTCCCCTACCACCCCGATCACACCCCCAAGCGAGACCCAGAGCGAGGAGGAGCTCGCTCACAAGCCCAATGGCCGTCAACGCCGAGCTTCGACCATTCTGATCTCGCAGAACTCGGAGGACATGCGCCGGGTGTTGGAGAATGTGGGTACAGGTGGTACACAGAAGATTCAATCGATGTGCTGCGGCGGAGGTTGCTGCCGAGGTCGGCCACTGCAGCTGCTGGACGGGCCCATTTCCGGCTTCAATTCGATCACGGCGCCCGATAATAAGGCTTTTGCCAGCCTGAAGTTGAACTTGGATCTCCTCACCTTGGACAGCCATCTCTCCAATATCGCCCCGCTGCCGGAGAAGACCGTGTCGTTCAAGCCGGCCCCCGCACATGCGGCCGATATCCAGCTTGGCCCCGCGGATCACCCCCCGCAATTCGTGCAACCGCATCCTCCTTACGAGGTGTATCGGGCTCCACTTCACCATGCCCGGGAGCTGACCAAGGGCGGTGCGGAGAAGCGCACATATCACTTCGACATTGATGTCACCGATTACCCCGCCGAGAGCGGGATGGTGGATTTCGTCGTGGGCGGCGCCATCGGCGTGTGCCCCAAGAACAAAGACGAGGAGGTGGAGGATATCCTCAATCTCTTGGGTGTGCCGAAATCTAGGCGGGACAAGAAAGTGTGCATGCGCACGACCAAAGGTCGCTGGCCGACGATTTGGGGCGACGACAAGCCGCGCGAAGTGATCACCACCCGCCGCGAAGTCCTGAGCTGGTGCTCCGATATCCAGAGTTATCCCCCGACCAAGCCGCTCTTCCGTCTGCTGGCTGAGTACACAGCCGAGCAGAACGAGAAGAAGATCCTCGAGTACCTGTCCTCCGCTCAGGGCCAAGGCGCGTTCTGCGACCTCCGCACAACCTCGCACATCAGCCTGTCCCAGCTCCTATACGCCTTCCCCTCCTCCCAACCCCCCCTCGACCACCTCCTCTCCGTGCTAAACACCCTCATGCCGCGCTTCTACTCGCTCTCCCAAGACCCTATGATCTCTTGCCAGTTCAAGGGCACCGAGTGCCGCCGCCTCATCGAAGTCGCCGTCACCGTCGCCGAGTCCAACGACTGGCGCGGCGGCGACCGCACCGGCGTGAGCTCCGGCTACCTGGAGCGCCTGGCGCAGCAAGCGATCAAGGCCGAGGCCGCCGGCGAGAAACATGACCTCCACATCCCCATGTTCCGCGGCTTGATGGCCAACCCGCTGGCGAAGCGTTTCGCGTCCGACGGCCCTATGCTGCTGATCGGCGCGGGCGTGGGTATCGCCCCGTTCCGCGGCTTCGTCCAGCGCCGCCTGCAGTCTGCCAACTGCGCCAACAAGGTCTGGGTGCTCCAGGGCGTACGCGACTCCCTGCTCGATGAGTTGTACAGCGGCGAGTGGGGCGTGCACGAGGACAAGGTCCGCACAGTGGTACAGAGCCGTCGCGGCGAGAGCCGCTATGTCCAGGAAGAGGTGCGCCACCAGGCAGATCTGGTCTGGTACGTGATCAACGCGCTAGACGGCCGAGTCTTTGTCTGCGGCAGCGGCAAGGGCATGGGCGAGGGCGTCGAGGCCGCGCTTGTCGAGGTCGCCATGGCCAAGGGTAACCTGAACGCCAAGGAGGCGGAGCTGTTCTGGCAGCGCAAGAAGGAGGCGGGACAGTACATTGCTGTAAGTTGAAACCGGACCCACGTTTAACGGAAACCGATTACTTGTTGCGGGGCCATGTTCTAACTTCAGATCAGGAAACGTGGTAAATCTATCTGCGACTTGCAAGTCCCTGGCGCTTCGGAGAAGGTTCGCCCTACTTTCTGCACAACTTATCAACCAATCATCCTCGAAAACGACACGAAATTCGATCCCACCAATTAGCATCTTCGATTGTACATATTATCGACATTTTTGCATAGTCCACCATTTGCATATCTTTTTCTCGCAATACTTGCTGGGATCGGCAAGTGAGTCAAGGCCGCCCTGGTCCACAGTGTTCATTGGACTGCTTGGACTGGACCGATGACCATCCATCCCTCAAGGTCTTTTTGTTTTGATGTATTTTAGCGGGTGGCTCTCTTGTTTTTGTTTACTCGGTCAACTTTGCACTACACGGCTTTTGGCTCCATTTTGGGTTCACGGTTCGATCATTCTACGATTTCTCCTTCCGTCCTTTTCACTTGGATGGACTTTCTTTTTTCATGTCTGAACTAGTCTAGATTTAGAGTGAGTCAATTAAAAAGGAAGATCTTTATTAGATGGTTGTGTATTCAGAGCAGTAAACCTAGTTTGGCGCGCATTAAATTAGCTGATATAAAACTAACCGTTCACTGCAAGCTTAAGATTTCTGCTTGTACTTCATTTGCTAAAGATTACCAACCCGGGTTTATACCCAGGATATCGAACTTCGTGAAATCGAATCGATTCCCTAGCTACTCGTTCCTTCTTCCACACATCTTTTTTCCACCCGTCGCCCATCTATTTATCTATGGATATCTATTCCACGCCATGCTTATGCATATGTCCAAGCCATGAGCTTGTATACTCAATCCCTATAATAGAAACTGCAACCGCTAGAAGTTTCAAGGTAAGCCACAGCAGGCTGCTGGTGGGGGCGAACCTCGTCACTTAGCCACTTGTTGGACTAGACGCGGAAGATGAAGCCACGCCTAGGCCGGCTTAAGCCCCACCATACCATAATAGCTTTTTGAAGTGGCGTAGGTCAGTAGACCGGGTAAGTACACCGTCTAGGTAAGCCGATAGTACAGGGTCCAGGGGGCTGCGGCCGGTTCTCGGGTCTCTCGTGGGGAATCGGTCCGAAGCAATCTAAGAGCACACCATAGAACAGTTGCGGAGAACTGCATAAGATAGAGATGCATGAAATCTATGACGCTTTTCGAACGGCATTTATCGTAGGTTTTTCGCCGACAATAGGGTATCAACGGACGTAGGAATCTTCTTCTTTTCCCCCAGTGTAAATGTTCCTCGGTGAGGCTAAGTTCGTGGATCTGCTTCTCGCACCTTGCGAAAAGCTGACATTAACCGAGCGTCCCGATGAGCAGAATCCTGGCAAGATGGCAAGATCATTCACGAGATTTTGCGCTGGTTCTAGCAGCAGATTGTCGAGGCTTCTCTCTTCGTGTATACTCCCCGAGATTTGACGGTGATGTCTCTGCATATCTATCTTGCGAGAAACCTGGAGTCGTCCATTGCGCAAAATCGCGAGTGCCCTCTGCACACATAAGTGTAGAGCCATCGGGTGTAAGAATACCGATAGGTGGGAATTGGAATATCAAAAGGTGTCCAAAACCAAGGCGCATGAAAGGTAGCCCAAATTGTCTTTATTGATAGGCACTGGCGCTTGTCCCGTCCCGTTGCCGATATATATACATCTAAGGGGTTGGATATTCTGCAAAGGTCAGACTTGCATGACCACGGGGACATCGCCTAAGAGTCGTTCTTGCTGATAAGAACTCTGGACTTCCACGCAGCTATTCATGAGTGCGTACTTACCTCGTTCCGTCTATAAAAGGCCGGGAATTATTACTTGTGTCCGCTATCTACTGAGAACTCTAGGTGCCTCGCATCCTTTTCAAATAGGATTTCACTAAGTCAAAAAGACGCTGCTCCAAAGTCACCTTTAATATTCGTAGGTAGCAGTTGTGGGGTTTTTTTTTGTATGTCGCCGACGACGAGTTTTGGTGATACTGCGCCAGAAGTTTAGGATTCACGCTACGCTGTTCATAGAGCCAATAAATACTGAAGTGATTACTAAGGGCAAGATGGCCGAGTTGGTCTATGGCGCACGGTTCAGGTTTACCTGATCCAAACTTCCGTGTCTCGAAAGGGGCGTGGGTTCGAATCCCACTCTTGTCATTTACTTTTATTTTTGGTGGTTTTTTTCCCTGTAGGACATAATTCTGATGAAGTTTCTATCAAACAACGAACAAGTGGATTGGTAGAGCAATGTGAGTGAAGCTTGAAGCGATCAGATCATAAAGTCCATCTTTCAAGCTGAAATCCCTTATGTATTTTGTATAGAAATACTGAGCTGATTTCTAGAGATCAGTTAGTAGTCAGTCAAACATACTTAAATGAGGTGATTTGAACAGTAACAACTCATTATACAAGTCAATTAGTATGAACAGCATAACCTTCATATAACCATAGCACGTGCACTATAAGAAGATATTATAACATCAAGGGGATTCTTGTATATATATTGCAGGAGCCTGTGCTAGGCGAGTTGAAACCAGATCTGGGTGAATAGCTCGTCGGTAGTGGTCCCCTCTTGCTGAAAGCGATTGTCCGCGAAGCAGGTGGCTGTTGAGGCTGGCTCAAAGATAAGCCCAATGTGTGATCGAAGCAAAGAGCCAAGGAGACATTCCAATCCTCGTAAATTCGCGGAGCGAATATTCGAAAGGTATAAGCGTAAGAAGAAAGATGGAGGAAGGCGGCGAGCGTCATGCTCCGCCAAATAATAGCACTTTCCGAGATGTCTATGCCCTCATGACATGCGTGAGCTGGCACCGCTGCAACCAACGCGGCCACTATGTGAGCGAATGGAATTGCAAGCTAAAAAGCTACAAATAGATGATTGAGTGCTGTTATTTCTGGAGGCTGGTTCCCATTGGAATCTATACCCTTCCTGGATATTTTCCGTCTTCGTCTTATTGTTCGCCTGCTCACACACAAAGCTTCAAAGTAGTCCGAACATTGGTTTTCTTCGTCTTTCGAAAAGGAGCTAAAAAAATAAGCTGCAGCTTCCCATCAAATGCATACCACACACATGCCCCATGGGGCGGTGATTGAGGCAGGAATTCCGGCTAACCGGGCCGGCTACAAGAAATTGGAGACGGCAGGGAATGAGCTTAGGCGGTCCCCGAGAAGCCTTTATAAATCTCAAGGCATAGAATATTTTCTTTCCGCCTTCAGTACCCAGCGAACTTAGCCCTTGACCTTTGTCCTGCATATATTGCGCGCCCCTCCATTGTGAGAACCACTGTTTCCATAGCCGACATCGGGCGGTCTGGCTGTTTTTACGTGCCCCACCAACGTTAAACCGTCAAAGTGGGGGATTCGGCCAACATCAAGAAACTCAACATCCTCCAAGACAAACTAACGCGACAATGCCATCCCTCCAAGAGAGCAAGCTCGCCTTCATCGGCGGAGGCAACATGGCCTCCGCGATCATTGGCGGCCTGGTGAGCACGGGCGTCGACAAGCAGAACATCTACGTCTCGGAGCCCTGGGACGTCAACCGGGAGAAGCTTGCTGCCGTTGGCGTGCGGACCACGACTGTCAATACCGAAGCTGGCGCTGATGCAGATATCGTGATCATCGCTGTTAAGCCCCAGGTCACCAAGAGCGTGTGTGAGGAGCTCGGCGCTTCCTGGTCGCAGCGCCAGACTCTCCCCGTCGTTGTTAGCATTGCGGCGGGCATCACTCTCAACAGTCTGCAGGAGTGGTCTCGGACTAGCGATGGACGGACTGCCCACGTTGTCCGTGTGATGCCGAACACACCTGCGCTTGTGGGCGAAGGTGCTTCGGGTGCGTTTGCCAGTGCCGATGTGACCGCTGCCGAGAAGGAGCTGGTCAACTCCCTGCTCAGCAGTGTGAGCAAGGCCACCGAGTGGGTAGACAAGGAGGAGCTGCTCGATGTTGTGACTGGTCTCTCTGGTGAGTATATATGGGTTTAAATAGTCGACTCACAAAACGTTAGAATCGCCCCCAACTAACATCTAACCAGGCTCCGGCCCCGCCTATTTCTTCGCCATGGTGGAGCACCTCATTTCCAGCGCTACTGCTCTGGGTCTGTCCCAAGAACAGGCTACTCGCCTGGCCACGCAAACCTGCCTTGGCGCCGGCAAGATGCTCGTCGATTCATCCGACGAGCCCGGCCAGCTGCGCAAGAACGTCACCAGCCCCAATGGCACCACATACGCTGCCTTGCAGACTTTCGAGGCCCTGGGCTTCAAGGAGACTGTCGACAAGGCTGTCAAGGCAGCCACCTCTCGAGCTGCTGAGCTGGGCAACACTCTTGCGAAATAGACATGTTTTGGTTTACGGGGAAAGTTAGGTTAGTCGGTAACTCGGACAACTTATTTCGTGTATGCTACTCCTGGAATAAAAGCAAACTATCATAATACTTGACAGTGATTAGATGCATTTCTTCCTCTGTTTGTAAGTATAGAAAGCACGCTGGAGCTTTGTGTACACAGCTCTTATGCTCCATGCAACAGCGAACTCCGTGAATGCAAGCTAGAGCGCCACCTTACTCAGACTAAATGGAATATCACAGTTATCAGGTGATAAAGCGATATACGGGATGGAGTTTCTTGGAGAGTTGCAATACCACCCCCCTGCGCGCCGCGGTGTTCCCGCAGTTCAGGACCCGACGTCGAATTTGGAATGGGGCTAGTTGATATCTTTGCCATAAGCGACAACAGGCGTCTGGGCAGCCGAGGTATACTAAGTAGAGGGACGTGTGCAGGATGTCATGGAAGCTCGGAGATTGTCGACGTTGCTATTGGCGAGAGCCATAGGCTCAGTGGGGATCGCAACAGAGGCGTTCCTTATGGAATCGGGGTCTAAGCTGGTATGATGAATCTCAATGTGTTTGTGAATGTGTGACGCTGGCCTTCGCCTATACCGTGACACGTTGGAGCACCTTGAGCGAGGCGAAGATGTGATAATTAGGGAATACTTGTAGGCAACCGATTGTGTCTGTCACGAGCAAGAGTGGTCGGATAAGACAGAATAAGATGGCAAAGAGATGCCACGGCAATCAAGAAGAAGAATTTCAGAGGGAATTTGCCGAAGATTGATAGCTTCTGGGGGAATATTGTACTACCTACCTCATCTACAGATGATTCGCAGAATGCTGAAACTGCCAATATTGCATGGTCTCGTCTTTTACTGCGACGATTACCAGACTTGCAAACTGCAAGCCACATTCCAGTCTCCTGCCCCTCGCGATAATATTGATATTCGAGAAAATACAATACAATATTATGATCACATCCCACATTGCAGGGGCCTAAATACATCAGTAAAATGTGGACTGGCCCGGGTATGCGAGCACTTGTGTGCCTCATGATTTGGTACCGCGAGACGAACAACTTCTGTGGTGTGACGCTCGGGCACCTGGAACAGTTCTAGCCTGAAGTGATACATGACCTTTTACTGACCTATCATATACCTGAAACAAGGAGGGATTAGTTGTGGTACAATGCCTTACGTATGATCTGAGGCCACAGGGTTGCAGGCACATTAACCTGTACCGTCACAAAGCCGAGTACATTAGATTGTAGTAGGCGAACAGGGATCATGGAGGGAGCGACGGAGAGCCTGAGAGCCACTCCTTGATCTATCACAGCCTCGGCAGCTACCGATGTCTATATAGACTTTCAGAACGTACAGTAGAGTTGTTTGTGGACCTAAAACATGGGGTTCGTGTGTACAACCGACAAAGAAGGCTTATTTGGGCAGACCGGTAAGATGTCAATTTTCCCAGAACCCAGGAAGTTGGGTACGCCTTAGATCCAACGCAAAGGTGACAGGCGCCGGGCGACAGACGAATGCCTACTTGTCCGACAGCGGATTTTCCTTGCATCTCACTGGGTGCCGTGCGTGGGCGGCGCCACTCCTCACATTCCAAACTGATATGTGCAGGGCGACCGATCGATCCAGCCTAGATTTCAATCTGGCCTCACTAAAAGGAAAATCACATCCACAGACTAGAGAAACTCAGAGATTGGGTGTTGCGGCACACTACTGAAAGCCGGCGATACTCTTAATCAAAAATTTTCCAATCGAGTATGATGCTGGGGTTGGGCGGACGACTCCATAGTTCGACAAATCGGAATAGGAAGGCCCGTCTTCGCCAGAAAGGCCTGGCCTGACCCCCGGACCCATGTAAGATCGACCGGATTGACCGCAAGTGAATAATGACAGGACCGTCATTTTGACAAGGGGGGATGGCGGGCGCCTGCGCCCGCTCTATCCCGGCAGGGAGAGAACCTTATTTCCCGGTCTTGGGCCCAACATGAGGAGAACTGCGATCGCCCATAGCCAGCTACCGACTACCGGGACAGCTGGGTTGCATGATGACAAATTCCTGCATGGCGCATTGCGCTACATATTCCCGTGGCTACGGCGTAATTCCTCCGTCCATTCCCCGGGCCCCCCGACAGGCGACCTCCCCGGCCCATCATGGACCGCGTACATCCCTGGTGCAAGATCCGATGATCTGCATCCCTGCTCTAATTTATGCACGATCTCGGATCTTGCGAATGACAGGGCGTGTGAGGACGATCCCGCCAGCATTCCAATTATTTTTGGGATTTTTCTTTTTGCCGTGCTTGGGGGGTGGCAGGGGGTGACGGGATCTATCTATTGGTGGAGTAGTTCCTTCGGCCCCTACCGTGGTGGCGAGAACGACTTGGGTTGATTTTAGCTGGCCTATTTCACCCCTCTCTTTCTTTCCTTTACCCAAGATTGGATATTCTGTATCCATCCTTGCCTTGGCCGGTAGTAATATCACATAACGCAAAAGAAAAGATCAGCAGAAAGATGAAATCAGATAAATGTAGCGAATCTTGAGTAAGGGGATGGTTGACCGCAAATTCCACACGACCTAGATCTGCTGCCTTTTTGGATCTATCGCCCTTGAGCGATGGGCGAATCACGAAGAGGCCCGATCCAGATCCTCCACGAGGCTGGATCGGGAATTTCATAATGGCATTTGCTCCAGTTCCGACCAGGAAAATACAACAGGATCATGCCCGTAGAAAGGGGGGCAGATTGGTTCGGATGGGTAGTCGCAGACAAATCCTAGCCACTGCTTGCCGCTGGTTTATTTCGCATGTGTGATGCGAGCGAAAAAACTGAGTTGTTCAAGCGTCGGGGTTGACTGCCTTGTTTAGCGTAGACAGACATGTTCTGAAGGGGCCACTTTGAACTTAGAATCACATTTAGCGAGGCTATAGCGCCGGGATGCGAGTATGTCGTGCGGAGAGCGGCCGAGGATTGGCCCGAGAGACCGTGCTTACTCTCGAAAGTCAGGAGCTGAACAAAAACTGAACGTTAGTGTCATGGCATCCTCCCGCGGGAGGTGATAGGTGTCACATTGATGAACGTGACAGGGTCGCTTTAACTTCCAAACCATCGCGAAACCAAGGCTGCTACTAAAGGCCGGCAGTTAGCCTCTCCATCGGCCCTGTATGGATGAACTATTAATAGAATGTCCGTGTGGATGTATACTCCGTACAGCTACTCCGTATAGCTACTCCGTATAGCTACTCCGTATAGCTACTCCGTATACTGGGTATCAACAACTCCAGCTTGAATCTTCGCGGCACCATAAGGGCCCAAGAGCCAGGAACGTCGCCAATGTTTCGGAGTTGAGAGGGGACGAGTAGACAGCTCGCGGTTCAATGCCTAGCAAGGCAAGTGGGTACCCCCGGTGGTTTTGACTCTTGGGCGTGATTGGAGCCAAGGTTGACTCGTGGGTCGCAGTGCCCTGGGGTGCGATGGATTCGTCCTAGCCTGCATGTAGACCGGACATCATTAGTGTCCAGCTGTGCATCGTGCGAGGCCCCACTCAGGATGATCTCCGATGGCATTCTCCTTCAGCCTGAGAGGCGGGGACCCTCCTGCTGCGCCATTATGATGTGCCCGCTCCGTAGACTGCCGGGATCCCCCTCAGGACGGCCTTATGCTCATCTCCCGGTCAATTCACATAGGGACTCCGGGACGGAAATATGGCCCGTCAAAAGGTGTACCACCCGAAACCGAAAGGATCCACCTCGACGTGGTTTGGCGTGGCCGGAATGGGGGCTAGTCAGTTAGTTTCAAGAGCTGAACCGCGCCAACGCACGGAAGGCAGATGTACGCGATACGCGAGCCGCATGCCATAGCATGGTGATCGAAGCGGGCCAGGGGCGAAACGAGGAGAAAAAAGCAAGTGACGCTAGAACGAGTAGCCGAGTATGTGTGTAGGCAGTCTCATGGAAAGTCGAGGTTAATCAAATCCCGGGCCCTCCTCCACGTCAGTCTTGCTTTTTTCCCACTCAACCACCAAACACGCTCTCCCCCCACCCCCAACCACGAACCATATCACTTCCACATCCACCTTCCACCTCCAGCAAACTCAGCCAACTAGGAGCGAGGAGGAGGCTACGTGAGATATCATATGCATGAGATCCTTGGACACCGAGATCTCCTTTCTCAGCAACCAATAGCCCCGCAAATCATCTCACCGGCTCGTTCAGCTCACAATGTGGCCAGCCACGCCCCCGACACTATCGTCTTCAAGCGAGGCCGAGTTGGGGAAATACGGCGAAAAAGACAGCCCGGCGCGTCATGGATGGAGCCGTGCGGATTCTCCGTGTGGGTGATCTGACGTACGGAGCGCGACCGCAGCGTGGATCCGGACTCCTCCTACGCCACAGGCTGGGTGGCTCATCTGGAAGGAAGTGGAGATCATTGATGAACCCCTAGGCGATCTGCCCATCCCTGTCCTAGGCATCGATGTGCCAAGCCCACCACACCACGGATCCCACCTCCGAAGGCCCCTCGCCCTTTGCTTTCGCCGGTCGATCGATCTCCGAGTTCACCGATCAGAGAGGCTCGCGGCTGGGATCGAGTCGTGTCCATGTCCAGTCTCTCCCAACTACTCTTCCTCTCCTCCAGCCCTGGCACTTTTGCGATGCTGAAGTCAAGGAAACCCAGACTCTCTAGGCTCCAGATCGCGCTCTCGCGGGTTTCCACCAACGCGCATGCTTGCGCGCTAGCTCCCTGTCCTGTCCCCTCTCCAATCCGAGGCTAGTTCACTAGCATGGATGGTCCATGGTTCAATCGTCCTATCCGGGCTCTGGGACTTCTTAACCCTTCAAACCCACCATCCGGGATAAGCTCCTCGGGACGCCTCGCGATCAAACTGGTAGCCAGTCGCAACCCGCCATGGCCCTTCTGTCACAACCTGCAATGTGGAACCCCGGGCCCAGCGAGGGGGCTTGCCCGGCGATCTTTCCCTTGGATTTGGAGACCGCTTTCTGGGTTGGCGATCCACCTCCCACATCGGTGATTTGATTAGTTTGACTTTTTTACGAGGCGCTGTTCCATTCAATCGCATCGCGGCCGAACAAGAAATCGAGGCTGATCGTGAACCTGCTCGGACCGGCGTACGCGTAAAAAGTCCCTCCTTCCCCCCCCCCCCCCCCCCCCCCCCTTCTTTCTCCGCTTGTGCGGAATTGTGGTTCCCACTAAAAAAGCAATCCATGTCTGTCTGGGTCGACTCTAGTATTTGGATTAATTAACTTCAGCCGACTCAGGTACATCGTGAATGGCAGAATGCCGCTCTCCACTTTTCTTTACGGGGCTCTCTCCTTCCCTTTCTGCCACCCCCTGCTCTCCTTCCCTGCCTGACCCATTCACGCCCAATGCCCGGCGCCGCTGCGGCTGTTACTGCCGGCATCCCCTCCTGCCTGCTGCTGCTCTCCGCTTTTTTCCAACTTTCGCGGTATGCGTCAATGACATTCGTCGGAGACGCCTAGTATTTTTGTCCTTTTCCATGCCTTGGTAAGCAACTTCCTTTCGGACCTTACCGGTTACCTTTTTCGAAATCATTTCTCAAAATTGTATTTCCTTTTATGAGATCGAATCTCTTATGCCGCGGCTTGAGAAGGGGATCTTCATATGCTTGCCTTTCTCTGTCCTCGTCACCACCATGACGCCAACCTACCTATACGGGCGCCAAACAATGTAATCCCAGGTTCCGCCCGTGGATTATTTTGAGTCCAAAAGGAAACATCCTCAGAACCATCACCTATTTTAGTAGTTTACACATTTTTTTTTGGTTTGTGAATAGTAGGTGGTTCTCTAGGAAACCGTCCGATCTGAAAGCATCTCCCTCAAACCCCGAAGGAATAATACATTGAATGCCAAAAAAAGAAATGTGCCAAAAAAAGAGATCAATAGCGCGGGACCGGGGGGGGGGACAGGAGTTCCTGAAGGCCCGCCACCTGATAGATCCTGGCGCTAGCACGACGGACGATTCCCAGGTTGACAGGAACCAGAAGAGATCCTTGGCGCTATCTGTCAAGGACAACCTTAAGGACGCTCCATCGGGTTCTTGATTTGCACCCCTCTTCTCCGCTCTGCATGCCTCGAGGACACGGAGCACCACCAGGGCTCCGTAGTTTGTGGCTCCCAGTACCCACTCGTGCCCACGATCGTCATTTTTCTGGGACCCCCCCCCCCCCTGTTCTTGCTTTTCCATGGACATGTAACAGCTGGGTCTTGCGTCGGAACATGTCTTTTTTAATTAATATTTTAGTTAATATTTTTATTTTAAAATTAAATGAAATGTACAAGGGCCCTGCATTATTTGGAGTCCCCAAATCCGCAGTCCCCTCGTCTCGCCCTCATTCCCCAACCTTGCATAATCTTGGCCTTTCGCTCTGCGACTGCGATGTCAACGTAAAATCAGCCTAGTTTCCCACGGTGAGTGCCTCTCAGCTTCGCCCCATCCTATCCACTTTACACTCCGACTGCCTCATACCCCCCTGCCTCCTTCTTCCACCCTCCTTCCCGATCTCCCCTCACGCCTTCCCGCCCTCCTTCATTCCACCTTGACGAAGTTTGGGATAGGTTTCGTGGAAGAAACTCGACCTATACAGCGACGTTGACGATCTATACTGCCATCTCGGACTTCTAACCGCAAACCTGCGCCTCATATAGTTTGGCTGTTCTGTGTCCCGCATCGAATTAATATCTACTTCTCATCCCCTCCCCCGCGCTATCAGCTTCGTCTATGTCACAATCCCGTGAGCTGGACGAAGATACCGACATGGCCATTTCGTATGCAAGCAGGGCCTCGGCCGGTCCCCCTCAAACGCTTCCATCATTTCGCGAGGTGAGCCCGGAATTTTGCAGTGATGCGCTAGGCCGCTATTCTGGCAGCCCGCTAACGTACACTTTGGCTGATAGCTCCTTCCGCCGCACCTCCACGATGAGATCGACTCTTCCACTTCACACTATAGCTCCCGCCACCAATTGCAGGAGCGCCCTCCATCCGGACACGAGATGGCAGCCGACCCCCGATCTATTCCCGGCTACTCAAGTGCGTCCTCGAAAATGCCGTACGGCGAGCACCCCCGCGAATACACAACCCGCCCCGGCGAGCACCCGCCCCGGCCAATGGGCGATCATCTATCTATGAGACTCGGTGATAATGCTTCGCGAGGCCCTAGCCCAATCCTCCCGCCGATTCGGGACCTCCAATCGATGTCAGACCGGAAAGGATACCCAGACAACAGAATGGCTGCCCCGCGGTCCGACCCCTTCGTACAGGAATACCGTCCCGGCCAACCAAGCCCCATGCCAGGACTGATGGGAGACCGACGGAGTGCGGAGACGTACGGAGCTCCTGTGATGCATGCCCAGCCGCCATATGGGCACCCGGGGATGCCGTACCAGGGCGACGCGGACCAGATGTCGCCCGGAATGATGACGCACCCGCAGCAGGCCAATTTCGGCATTATGGGCGACCCGATTGATCCTAAGACGAAGCGCCGACGGGGTAACCTGCCTAAGCCAGTGACGGATATTTTGCGCGCCTGGTTCCATGAGCATCTGGATCACCCGTACCCCAGTGAGGAGGATAAGCAGATGTTCATGACTCGGACTGGCCTGTCCATCAGCCAGGTAAGATCGCTTTCATACCTACAACTGGGTGTGGTGAGGAATACTGATCATTCGGATACAGATCAGCAATTGGTTCATTAACGCCCGGCGACGGCAGCTTCCTGCTCTGCGGAACCAGATGCGAAGCGGAGGTGACGATTCTTCCAGGCACTCTCCGTTTAGCGACGTGGACCAAGAGCCTATGCCATCTCCTCGCCATTAGACTCTTGATCGAATCTAGAAGTACTTATTTGTTTTGGTTGCATGGGCTCTACAACGCCTGCGCAACAGCCTCCCCGCCTTGATGGCATGGAGAGCACCGGCATCAGTTTACGACTTCATCGATTACGGCCTGGATTTTCTTATTTGATCGCCCTATCTTCAAACCTTATACGGCATCACAGCGTCAGCGTTCATTCGGTTTACGACCGGGAGAGTTTTCTTCCATCCCTTATTAATTGCTTTTTTTTTTTAACGCGTCATGGGGTTTGGTATATGGCTAAGGTGGATAGACTGGCATTGGGCTTTTTTTCATTCCTCATTTTTCCTTTCTCCTATGTCATTTTCCCCCATTATGTTTCAGATTGCTTCATTTATGTTCTTGTTTTACAGGATCTCCCCCTGCTATGTGCACAGGCAAGGAGGAGGGTCCGGTTCCCTCAGATCTCCTGTTTTTGATACCCTATTTTTACTCTGGATTTATGTACCAAGCGGGCTTGTGAACGGGAAAAAGGGTTGGGACTTTTACGGTACGGGAAATCATATTATCGGATAACATTCTTGTCACATTTTCACCTTATCTTGAAGTGGTCGCACTGCACTGGGCGCTTGTCGCATCGCATTGCATCTCACGCATCGTGTGCCTTGTATCGTGGGCCAGGGCCTCCGAACCGGCGAAATTACTCTGCATTACCCGGTGTTATTTGATTGGCCTTTTATTTTTTATTTTATTTTTTACTTTTCTATTCGTTACAATATAAACCAAACTCCACATGGCACAAACCCGCTCTTTCATGTCATGTTTCATATCATTTATGAGTTTGGAGCGCGGAGGAGGGGCGCAATATCCCATACCAGTTTGACGGACGAAACACGAACTCTCCCCAGACCCTCATGAGCAGTTTCGTTCCCTCAGACATTGGGGGATGATAGAATACACCTCACGTCCCCCACTCTGGACCACTTGGCGATCCCGTATTATTGCACGCATGACGGGAAACGTGGATCATGCCTTACGACTAATGGACACAGGGGATCACCCTTTTTGAGCCAACCCGGCGATCTTCGCGGTCCCCCTCGACCTGAGCACTGGATACGCTCTTGTTTCTCGGCTATAGGGCGCTCGATGTATTTATTTCCCTGAGTCGTCAACTTGTGACTGCCCAAGTCGAGATCACTGAACCCCCGAATTGCATTGTTCTTAATGGAGTGGGCTTGGTCGGGAAATACTTGCCCGCCGACCACCCATGCCCCCTAACACGCCCTAACTCTCTGTCGTCGTGGCGGTCCTATCAGCGAGCCTTTTTTCCCGAACAAACTTCAGGATCAGCCGTGGCATAAGGTCGTCTCAATATTGGGATCGCAGTATTTTTCAGGCCATGGATTCATGTCTCTAATCGTCTCCCGGGGCTCTACCTCAACTCTCAATATTGGAGTTTTCCGTCCACTTTTTCCTCCACCCATCCAATCCACTTGACCTGCCATTCGTGGACCCACAGGACCCATAGATGTCCGCTCGAAAAATCAAAATTCAATCGAGATTCGCCCGATTGATGGGCCCCGACACATGACGTCGTCTCCCACCCTCTCCCTCGGGATGGCTACCCCTTTTGACAGCGCTTAAACTTCGGTTCGTCCGCGCGGTTAAGCGGACGGAAACCCTCTACCGATGTTCTTGGACACAGACCCGGCGGTCAACTCTAACCCGCGTCCCCACCCGGTGCTATTACGCAAAGGGAGATTGCAGATGCTCTACCGTGGTATGCGCCAGACGGACACAGTTTGTGCCCGTGATCGGATGGATCGGCTCCTTGGAGATGTCATCTCCGCGGCCCTTGGGATGACAGGCGGCATATGGGACGGTACGACGTCAACACGGGGGTTAAAGTTTAGGCGGCCAGGCTGCTCTCGCGACCGATTTGTGCTTTTCTGGCTCCGCAAGTTGAGCCCGCCCCAGCCCAGGCCCAGGGTTGAGCCCAGACACGTGAAGCCTCCGGATATTCAAAAACCTTTGAAGCTGATCCGCTGCCATAAGGAGAAACCTCGGGCCCTCTGGGGAATGAGTTAGCTTAGCTGGCGCCCCCTGAATGGCGTGCTATCCAAGTTCTTCTGGAATTTTGGAGACTCGATGGATGGGCCCGTTCTCGACGGTGATACGCCGAGCCACACTTTCATTTCGATTCTTTTGCCCACCCTTTACCCGAGACAACCTCACACGGGGCGAGATTGTGGCTGCGGCCCTAATAGAGGGAAAAGGAAGGAGACCATGAAAGAAGTAAAAAAAAATGTGGGGATATTGAAAATGCTCGACGGTCTGCTTTTGGATCAATATGTCCGATGGGACCAAAAAGCATATGCAAATCGATCGCGGACTCCGGACTGAATGCCGACCAGGAGGATCATTAAGAACACATATTGGCGGTCCAAGAAAGCATCCTATGGATGATCTCCGAGTTGGAGACGGACTCTAGGGTGCCAATTATGTGCGTCCAGTGCGCGCTTGCATGCTTCCAGGACGAAAAGCAAAGGAAAGAGATGCGTACATGTGGCTGGTGGAAGCAAAGGTACCAAATCTGTATTCTCTGTAGTCTGTAGAGTTACTCCGTACAGAGCACAAATACTGACCCGCTAGCGGGTGCCCAGCATCGCATCGGGCGCGGTTATGCACGTCTGCATCACGAAGCCTGACCCCGAGGACCATAGGTAATCCCGATCGCCCCTAGGGACAAGAATCCTAGCGCGCAGCACGATCGTGGCACCCGAATTATGCAGAACGGAAGTATACAACCATCCAACCAGCCCCCTGTCTTCCCCAGCCCTGCGCCCGAGGGCCACCAACGCATGGGATGGACACCCTACCTGTCCGATGCATCACATGGCGGTGAGTCTAGGCCATGATGTCGTCGCGCACGATGGGGTGTCACAGCCGCTGCATGTCTGCGAGGGAGCGTCACGGGCGAATCGGCCAAGGCGACGGACTGCGTTTCTTCCCAGGTGCTGAGAGGATAGTATGTGTGTTGTTGGGCCTGTCACCTGGCCGAACGTGAGCTGTCTCATGTCAGTGCCGTGGGCCGCCCACGCCGATCGCGCCGATCGATGGGGAGTTCGTGAGGGGAGTTCGTCGGTGAGTTAGGTATAGGCCAATGAGCGCCGCGCCTGCTGCGAGCTTTCCCTTTTGTGGCGACGGAGTACACGGAGAAAACATGATATGTCGCGAACACCTTGCAGGGGTCCCCCTCCGCCTTCTCCGGCCTGCACTCCGTATCATGTCCTATTTGGGGTGTCGATCCGTGCAATCAGTGTGATTGCAATGCAACCATGACTCGAGCATTAACGGTCTCCTTCCTCATACAGTCACTCCGTATGGTACTTCTCATCGGGGCGTAGGCATCGGGTGCGGCATTGATGTACCATTGTGGTGATAGTCACGGCGCTACCGCGTGTGCATCTGTCGAGAACGACGGTTCAGGGAGAGGCGTTGGATTGCACTATTGAATTTTAGGGTTCGTGGTTTCGGCTTTTGTTTTGAGTCAGGAATTTTTTTTAAGGCCAGGATCGACGCGGACCCACCGTTCTACACGTAGCCGAAATCAATAGTGTCGAGTAGTCTTTTGCAGAGTCTGCATGGGCACGGCGCATTCCGGGTGGCGCATGTGCTTCTGGAATCTCTGACCGAAGGATCGTAGTGAATCCGCTTCGATCCATTAGATCCATTCGTTAGTGCTATTCTCAATTTACAATGCGGAGAGGGTCTTAAGCACACGGGGATTTCCCGTTTCGAGTTTAGCTGCCGGGGGTGCCTCAGTTGTGTGCTGTATGGGCTCTGCTGCACTGCGCTACGTAAGGTACCGGATTAGCTGGGGCTGCCAATCTCGGTCAGCATGGGAGCTACTGTATCTCGCACCGGCATCATGACCAGTTGGAAACAAAGCTGATCTCTCTCATGTAAGCGATTGACGAAGCAAGAATCTTCCCGATACTTGGCTTGGCTGCATTTCTGAAGAATGTTGCTGAGTGCATTGCGGGGCAGTCGCGTATAGCTGCATCTTTAATCCAAGTACGGAGTAGTCGCACGAGCTTGACTGCAGCTTCACGGTGGTGGTGGAACATGACGTATCAGGGTATCTTGGTGTCTTTCCTGGAGAGCGATTCCTACCCCACCGACATTTGAAGTTGTATACGACCCCGAAACAGGCGATGTAAGGACTCAAGAAAAGACAACACAAAATCAAGTTTTGGAGCATATCATATGCACATTGTAGTAGCTAATGATTTCCCTCTTGACCGCATTCCGTCGGCACCGTAGGGTTACACATCCCCAGCGCTTCCCAAAATAGGGACGGCTCATGTCTGTAGTTCCCGTTGTCCCTGCAGAGTTCACAAATTGAAAGCCGACACAGCATGCTGCTGATCATGGAACCGGCTACAGGGTTCTTCTCAAACACCGGCGGCTAACGTGATATCTGACATATTTCTAGAAAGATGTGACTTTTAGTGGATTTCCGGTTCGGATTAGCTTTCTTGAACAGACTGTGTTGGGGCCTGAAACGCAAAGTCGGCATCAAGAGCATTAGATCTATATTTTCCAACGATGCTTAGCTGACACTTCGGTAAGAGACGGCTGTTGATTAGGGTTTCAAAAGACCTGCAAGGAAAAAACTACCTGGCCTTTTCTGGTGATCGTATGTATTGCTTCGAAGAGTGTCTATGCAGGCAGATAGCATCCGGGCACCGCTGTGGAGAGTTCATGTTCTGCCACATCCTGGTATGCTGAAGTTAGGTTTCGAGAAACTAGTCTTTCGCTGAAAAGACTCTTCTATTTTACCACTATGTGCTTCTAGAAGATCTTGAATTAGGCTACATTGCTGGCAATGGACTGCCGACTTGGTTCGTCTTCTGCTGCCAAACACTTTACGATAAGAGACCAATTCTCCATGAACCCAACGCGCACGTCTTGTGTGAGGTTAGAGCTTACAAAGTCTTGCCTTGTGTCCCTACAATGCCCAAGAGACAAATGCTGACCGATTGAGTGATATCCCTCTAGCTTTGCTGGCTGGGCTACCTTGGAGTTTCGTGGTAATCAACGGAAATATCTAGCAGCTACCAGTATGAAAACTGCCGGCCCTGAATCACTCGCTTACTGGCTCTTATTGTCAACCCACCGGGATGGTATCTCCTGGTTCTATGCGAGAAGTACTCGTTGCTTCTATCTTGTACAAGAGTGACTCGTATTCGAAAGAACGGCACCGTGTGTTTTGCCACACTGCAAAGAGGAGCTTGCCCCTGTGTGCTCAGTATAAACTCCCAGCCTATGATCTTCGAAAGATTACCTTGCTCTGTACTATGAGAAAAACAGATAGGAGTTGGTGCAAGTGGTTGGTGCAGGATGGAGGTCGTTGGCGCCTGCTCTCACGAAGGAAGTAGGAACGAGGTTATCTTGAATCGGGTTGATATTCCGGAATCTTTGAGTTACTCGGTCATACGCGGCCTTTTCACACGCTATCAACGTTGCTTTCTTCGACAACTCCCGCGCTGCAAGGCTTCTGATGGTCTTATTGACCGGCCTTGGAGGAGACAGCCTGCATATTCCAGAGGGTCTTATGGGTAGCATGTTATGCGAACAAGCTCTACCTACATACTACGTTCTGGTTTCAGCTCTGGGTAACCTCACCGATCGAACATCATCTCCTGGTTGAAAAGCTCTACCAGGCACGCCAAATAAGCCCTCGACAGGGAGCTATTCTACTTTACGCTTTCCAGCACATCTGCGTGAACGGATCTTCTCCACGAAAGCTTCCTTCACGCGGCGCAATATTCCAAACCGTTGTTCTTTGGAGGGATATGTTGTCTACCGAGATGATCAGGCACCTTAGAAAAAGGTGGAGAGGAAGGGGCCGTCAACACCATCACGCTTGATTTTATATGTTTCAGCGAATATGTCCCGTACGACGATCCGACAGTGGCCATGATGCTGGATGAGCAGATCCTTTCCAACTTTTCGAAGGCTTTGGGAGTGAGTGGTGCAGACCATTGTTTGAAGCGGTTATTCATCGCACAGTCTCCAGCGTTACGTCGTGCTCAAGGGGCGCTGTCAGAAGCCTTTGAAGAAGGTCCGGTCTAAATCCAAAAATGCAGGTGATAGGCGATAGATCACTCTTCATCCAGAATCCTGGCAGCCTGAGAGGACGGTAGCTGACAGCACTTGGTCGGCTCACCACTTACCGCAGCGAACAAAATGCAACAGTAGATCCGGTCTGGAGATCAAGAATGGAAAATACTACATCAGTCCCTGGGCTTCCGGCGCCAACCGCTTCATTTACCCGGTAAAGGAGAGTATGTCACGAACGTCTCTCTATGGAGCTGGAAGATTAGATGAGGTTAATACACAGTGTTACTTGAGCTTACAAGAATTCATTCCTGAAACATTTGTCTTACTATCACTTTATTACACAGTAGTGTAGCCAGCATCGTCCCTGGTTAGTTCATACAGCCCCGCTTTGGAGTTTGCGGATCAAAATTGCAGTAGTCATGATTGGAAATTAAGGCGGCATCATAAGATTTAGAATAATATCTGAGTAGCTACAGTCCCATATGGTGATATTGCCATGGATATGATGATCACTCTAGGCGTGTTAGTATTTGGCCTGGGGTCAGGGAACCCCGTCGGGAACCAACCCAAAAGTGGCGTAACGGCCATCAGTTCTTATCTTTGAGACATTTAAAATATAAGCCGGCTGGGCCCGCCCCTCACCCAATTCCCTTATCATTTAGTAAGTGAATCGCTTCCCTATGACGGCGATGCGGGGCGACTTATCCTGGAGCATTTTGGGAAATATGTTAGCAATTATGAAGTGTCGCCACCTGACGGGAGGTGGACGGACGTGCAGTGAATACCCCTGCACGTTCGGCTCCCAAACCCAAGGTCGATGACCGGGATTGGAGTATAATAGAGTACTATCTTATCCTGCCAATGGCACGGCCTAAGCATATAACCTCATCCAACAAACGGCGGGTTGTGACTCCATGGAGATCATGATTGGAAAGGACCCTGGGATCAGCGCAGGTCTTGGTCCGATCAGCCTGGACTAAAGCTTGGCTGTAACATTGTGCGGGTTCTAAAGTGCTGGCTGCATAAGCGCGTCGCCCTGCGGTAAGAATCCTGGAACGTTGCCCAATGTTCCAACGCTCTTGTGAACTTCCGGTCCCACCTGACAACAGATGATTCTCCGAGGCTCAGAGTTCCGGACCTCGTATCCACCGTTTCGGGGAGTGGACCGTGCGTGTAGGCTGCAGCGGGAAGCCAATTCTTCAAAGGCACAAAGGAGCCGCGGGGCGCAATATCAGGGTCCCTGGGCATTGCTTGACATCACTCAAGCCATGGCATTCATCCTTGGCGCGACCATGGCCAGTCGATTCGATCACCCTTTCATGTGTGATGCGGGGGGAGCCATAGTGGTTTGAAATGGAATATGGGGTAACAATCGCCGCCACAGTACGAATGCACCTTCGATCCTTCATGACCGGATTGTCTCCGTCCGATGCATGCCAATGGGCTATTTATTTTTTGACGGGGTCACACCTCCCTTTCCCCGTCCAGGCGGGCTGGACAATCCCCCGGAAGCGCCCAGAAATAGGCCAAAAAAACAGGAAACCCAGATAAGCCATCGGCATACCGTGGGCTTTGGGGGACGAGGGCTCGGAGGGTTTGACCGCTTCTTTTTATTCGCGCTCCCGCGTTCGAACCGACCGCACGCTACTCCCTGAAGTGGAAGGCACTAATCTGTCTGCAGAAATTATAACATTACCTCTGGGATAAAGTGGAGTCCATGGTGGAGAAGCCAAACGAACCTCGGATGATGGCTCAACACTTGTCTTGCGCCAGCACCACTCAGCGGCGCGGGATTTGAAAAGAGACTTTGCGATAAATGGGGGTTGGGCGTTTGGTATAGACAAGCGAGCTCGGTGGATGATCCGGCGATCCACGAGATCCCTAGCTTTGGCGTGGGCTGATTCTGGGGGTGGACGGGTCTGATCTAGCCCAGCCCCGAGACGGACCAGTGCGAGACGAGTTGCCACATATAGGGTTGAGGGTTGATTTTGACGCGGACAGGACGCGACGGGGAAGTCGGACGTTGGACAAGACCGTCACGTTGGGCGTGGATAGGTGTTCAATTGTTGCGCCGCGGGATTCTCCAGCAGCTCGCTAAAGGATAAGGCTAGCAGGGGGTCATGCAGGAGCCGGCAGAGATCCGGCGTTAACCGGGAGGAGAAAGTTACAGAGTCGCATTGCTTGCGCCCCCCTCGGACCAATGCCCGATTAGCCTGGCACGGCCACGGGACCAACCAGAAGGGTGAGCCACCGTTGCACATGCTTGCGAGCTCCTCCCGATCCTATCCACGTAAATAGCTCCCAGCTTCACCATGATATGATATCAACCCCACTTTGCATCACTATGCACGAGGATGGAATAAGAATTAACCGAATAATTACGCGATAGGTCCTTTTTTCCCCCCTGGAAAACGAGCATCCGTCGCAATTTCCGCTACGTAGACAGGCCCTGTCGGAGTTCCCCGCCCCTGAAAAAAGAACCGTCCAGAAGGAATCTAGATAAGAGTGGCAAGCGGGAAAAGCAAAAAGAGGCTGAGGATCCGCGATAAGGCCTATTCGGCCAACTGGCCCAACTAGTCCCAACCGACACTAGGACCCGTGGACAACACTTGCCTAAATCCACCAACTAAAATTAAACTAGCCCAACACATCCAGAACCCATCCCACTCAACCCTGGCGAGAGTTCTCACGACACGACCGATTCAGCATGGTGCTACTCGACCCCCTCCCGTCCGTCGTTTCTAGACGGCTCACCACGGGCATCGCAGGGTGACCGAGCCAATGCGCACCCCCTCTCGGGCTCGCGAAGTCTCGCATGCAGCGCAACCCGGTCCTCCTACCTTTCTAGAAGCTGTGCCGAGCCTCCAGATTGGTGGATGCCCTTGGTGCTTTACCCCAGGTCCGCCACAAAGTGGATACGTACCTGCGCACTTTGGCGGAGTCGATATCGTCAATCACCGGGCGCTTGTCGCAATTGGCTACGCCCACACGGTCTGCTATCGCAAAAGCCTCTAGCTCTCCTTCTCCACCCGGACGTTCAACGATTTAATGATCGCCATCGCCGTCAAACTTGGCTCCGAAGGGTCCAATTGCTGATCCTTTCGCCTTTCGCCTTTCGCCTTTCGCCTTTCGCCTTTCTCCCCCCCTCATTTCTGCTACTCCGTCTCCGAGTACTGCCCGGTCTTTGTTTACGATCCTCGCTTGCCTCATGGTGCCCACCCTTCAATGAACACTCGCTTTCCAAAGCTATGACGCGAACGGGGCCTGCCATTAGCACCACGTCCTGGGAGACGAAAAGTATTGCTGCGACGGACGATGGCCACCGAATGGACTCCGTCGGCCACGACCCCCGCCCCCGAGGGCGGATCCGCCGCTCGATGACGGCGTGCAATACATGCCGCAAGCTGAAAACCCGGTGCGATGTGGATCCCCGGGGGCATGCTTGTCGCCGCTGTCTTTCTCTGAGGTTCGTGCTCGTGTCTTGTGCTGGTTCGCTTCACGACTGTGCCATCGCTCGTTCCTGGATTCCCCGGACTCGTCCAGAGTGCCGAGCCCTGCATACCGACCCCGACCCCGACCCCGACCCCGACCCACCATACATCATGGGGATCTACAAGCTGACCCAATGCTTATCAGACTCGATTGTGAATTGCCAGAAACACAGGATCGATTTCAGGATAATGCGTCGACCTGGTCGGATGCGAACATGACCATTCCTTCCATTGAAGAGCGACTGGTCTCCCTGGAACGCGGCATGGGCGAGATGATCCATCTGATGCGTCAGATGGTCAACCAGCCATCTACCATTTCCGACAGCCCGCACTCCCAGGCTGGGCGAAGTGTGGATGAGGCACATCTGGATAAATGGTCGCCATCATTCACTCTAAAACCGGTTCAGTTCATCCGGGATCTGCAAATTGAATACTTCCGAGACCAGTTTTCTTCCGAAGCAGACCTCTTGGGCGACGTTGTTTCCCAGGGAATTATAGATGCGAAGCTTTCTCTGAAACTGATCGAACTGTAAGGGCTATCCGCCCCCTCCCCCCCCCTCGACCCGCTAACCCAAACCTGTCCATGATCGCTAATTGCCTTCACAGCTTCGGGGAATATTATAGTCCTTGGGTCTCTCTTGATCTCTCTTCCAGCATCCAGAGATCAGATACCCTCCTTTTCAATACGGCTTGCCTGCTGGCTTCTCGATATCTGCCAGGCATGCCCGCCAATACGATTCATGAGATCTCACTTCAAGTGCAGCATGGTGTCACCAAGACCCTCTGGAGAAGGTCTCCATTGACAATTGACTTGCTTCAAGCATTAGCATTGCTCTGTCTCTACCCTACTTCGGGGCATAAAGAGGGATTCATGGATGGCTGGTTACTGAGCGGGATCTCAATCAACCATGCCTTAATTTCTTTCCGTCTATTCAATAATTTACCTAACAAAAATGTTGTGACCGATGAGACGCTCTGTCAGATGCGTCTCTGGAATACCTTCTGCCTCACACATCTGCAGTATGTTCCCTTTCGGATGCATCTCTTCCTCCGGCTAACAAGGACACAGCTCTGCTCTCGGTTACGGCCGTGCCGTGAATGTTCAGCAGCACCATCTTGACTACTGTGCCTGGATCCTAGAGCACCCCAGAGCCACTTCGGAGGATGGGAGAATTGTCGCAGAAATCAAACTATACCGTATTGCTCTCAAGATTCAGAGCAATCTTCAGCGTCTCCGCTTCGCCGAGGGTGAGTACGACGAGATTGAACGATGGAAAATGGAATGGTCACATCTTATTAGTAAGTGAATCTCTTCCTGGAAGGTTTCACGTCTAAGTTTTGCTAACGGTCCCAACAGCGAATGAAGGCCAATCCACCCTCGAGCTCAGCACCTGGTTCTGCCAGTTGCTTCTCCACAGAACTGCCGCGCGGCTTCAACCGGATTCGGACAAGCTGGTTCCTGAAATATGCAGCGACGCGCGCCTGATCATCTCTCGCTCACTCCAGACCCGCTTTTCAGCGGCCCCCGGATTAATCGACAACGTATATTACATCCTCGGCTATGCCGCTCTCACCCTGTGCGATTACAATCCCTCGGATCCACAGATTGATCAGGTGCGGGCCTTCCTGCTCCACCTCGCTCCAAGCAGCGACCACTTGGCGTACCGGATTGCCTGTATTGTCGGGGAGGTCCAGCGTCGGTATTCCGAAGCAGCCAGCGCAGACCATGCCTCCCCGGGCGCAGATGTTCTTAAGAACTCTATATTTGCAGTGCCGTCACACCCTCGAACAGAGAGCATCGACCTGACGCAACTCATCCCTGCGTCGGGCATGGAGCCTCTCGTTGATGGGTATGCGTGCTTTGACCAGCTCATCCCGACTGGCTATGTACCCGCGCAACCGGCATTCTCCGCGCCTACTATGTTTCAACAGCATCCCACACCAGTCCTTGGTGGTGCAATGCCGAGCCTGGTGCCGCGGGCGCTTCATGATTTGTGAGAGGGTTTTTCAACAGTCTGGGACTCTGGGCCTTCTGGCGGTAGTTAATATTCGTAGGATTTGGGATAATGAGTTACGGCGAATCGGGTTATGATTCAGGCTTTCTAGTTGCTTCAACGTGCATATTTTTTTTTATTATCTGAGGAGCGGTTCAAAATATACGCACAGTATTTACCTCGGAAAATCCATCGGGATACGATATCTGCAGTGACAAGACCCAAGTTCCGTACTGATCACACGAGGCACACAAGTCGTACGCCATCTTCCTATTCTTTCCGATGATATTCCTCACACAACCTTAGTAGAGAGCATAGTGATGTGATTGGAGGAAAAATTGCCGCGCAAAAGGACTTTCGACAACGAAGAAACACTAAACACTAAACACCACTCAAGAACAAATGCTCGACCCCTTCATCTCCGAAGTAGGATACAAGATTCTTGGCTCCCCACTCGCCATCGGTACAGGCACATTGCCACTACTATCAACAGTAACACTTGCACAGGTAATGATCTCCGTCAGAACCGTCCCAGCCCCATAGCCGGTATTACCTAACGAGAGCGTATACTGGCTTCCACTTGCCCCCAGATTCGAAAGAATGGTAATCGTCTGTGTGCCATCGTATCCCTTGCGCATAGCCAGGGTGGTCCCATCTTGGTAGATCGGATAGTTTTTGTACATACTATAGTCACCGCTCTGGCTGAAGGCATGAGACCGGATGGCGTTCGCTTTGGCGATGAGTTGATACAACTCGCTGTCAGTGCTGTAGCCGGAAAGCCAGACCGCTTCGCGGTTTGCGGTATCGCTGCCGCCGCTGTAGTGCTGTTCTTGGCCGGCGTAGATGATCGGAATGCCGTCGGCCATGATGGTGAAGGCCGCGGCGTTCTTGGCCAGGGACATGTCATTGGTGTATCTGAGATAAGTTAATAGCTGGTGACTTCTCCATGCTCCATGCTCCATGCTCCATGCTCCAGCGGGGGTTAGACATACGACGCAAACCGAGGATTATCATGGTTCTCCGTGAAGGTGCCGAGAAGAGTCGAATCGGAGCAGGTGGATTTCACCGTGTTGATCATATTATAGAGATCGCTCATGCTTCCACTGGTGGATTGAAAGGCTCGGAGCAGCGGATAGTACCTATTCAGTTAGATACATCGCGATTCGAGCGACCAGGAAATGAGCGGATCTCACATTGGGTAGTTCAGCACGCCATCGATAACCTCCTGGTAGGGGCAAGTGTAGTCCGCGTCGCCGTCGAAGACTTCACCCACACAATAGACACCTGCGGCCTTGTTGTAGCCAGGCCAGAAGTCTTTTTGAACATGCTTGACGGTATCCACGCGCAACCCGTCAACTTTGGTACCATGGTCAGCTGCAAGATCATCCCAAGGCTTGGATAGGAATCCATAGCTTACTCGAATAGTTGGAAACTAAGGAGCCAACCCAGCTGTACCACTTGGTTTGGACACTCTCTGACTCGGTGTTGAGATCAGGCAGAGAGACGGTGGTGTCTCCAAGCCAGCAATCTTCCACGTTCGACTGGTTGCTGTAGTCCGTGACCTCGCAGTAGGAGTGAAAATCGTCCGGCGAGTTGAAGGGGTCAAAAACACTGTAGTCGACGGTATTACCAGCACCATTATAGCCCTGGTTTGATTCATTAGTATTTGTACTTCCAATCATCGTCGAAGCTGGAACATACCATATGATTAGCCACAACATCCACCATGAGGTACATGCCGCGGTCATGGAGAGCTGAAGCCAGCGACTTGAGATCATCCGCTGTGCCATAGTTTGAATTCAAAGCGTATCTAGTGCTTAGTTAGATGAGTTCAACGCGACAGAACATTTCTCGTCGCGGCAACTTACATGTCTTGTTGCCAGTATCCATGATATGATGTGCCATCCCCGGTATCCTGGGTCAGTTGGCCCGTGACAGGAGTAATCCAGATGGCGGTAAATCCCATTCCCTGGATGTAATCCAGCTATAAGAGCGGTTAGGCTGGATATCAAATACATGAGATAGAAGTGGAGTTACTTTGTTGATGATACCCTGCCAGGTACCACCGCAATATACCTAGGTAGAATGAATCAGCCGAGAGTCCTCTTTCTAGAAACCATGATAGATCTTACTCTATCGCTGGTATCGCAAGTAGCAGTCGTTGAGCCATCCGTCCTTGCAAACCGATCGGTGAGCATGAAGTAGATTGACTGCGAGCGCCATTGAGCCGGAGTCGCGGCAATGGCTGAGCCGACCAAGCCTGCAAGAAATGAATTGCGCCAGAGAGACACCATGTTCCTATGCGACAGAGGAAGATCTCGATGAAGCCGGAGTAGAGGACTGCGCCGTTTTATATCAATCAGGCCGGTCCTGGCTTCCTCCCTAGTCGTTTACTAGAAGAATCCTAGACGAAGCCACTGTCAATTTCCCCATACCCCAGGAATGAAACCCCGGATTCCCCCGTACCGGTAAACACAAATGCACAGCTGCAGAAAGCAAGACGGTCAGAAGCGATCGTCATACAATCTCCAGTGAATGTCCGTCCCCAGTAACGTCAGTGCAACGGATTGGTGCAAGAAACAGCAACCAACAAAATAGCCAACTACCCAAGACGAAAGAAGAGGGGGAACCCGACCAACCCTCTAAAAGGAAGGACCCTTTCTCTCAAAGCAGCAAGAAAAGTAAGTCGATCGTAGGGCGCCTCCTGAACCGAATCAACTGCACCCAGCCCAGTGCCACGATCCAATTCGTCCAGATCCCGATCTATTCTCCCAGTCCGGGGTCAGGTTTCCAGACGCAGTACAGGACTCCGATGGGTGCCCCTATGGAGTGCACTTAAACCAGAGTGCACTGCGCTGCAATACCACAGCGGACGGGGGGACCAGGGGGCGCCGCTAGTACATGCAACAAGGGGGTGAGTGCCATGACATGCCTGCAATCACAGTCCTAGGCACTGATAGGATCGTCGGTCGGGCAGGGGTCGGGGCAATCAGCGTCTAGGAACGCGAGGACCTTAAATTTCTAGGGTCGCGCTGGGTTGCAACGGGGGCGGGAGGGGAGGTGATTGGTGAGCGGCGGGAGTTAGGGGCTGTGGTCGATCGCTTTGCTGATGGCGTTCCGCCGGGGGCTGGCTGAGAAAGAATTTGTATAACTACTTGCCAGGTGACAGGAGACGATGATGGTATTACGGGGGAGGAGCCGTTCTATTGAAGGAGAGAGTGTTTACTACTTCTAGAATTGATCTATCCAAGCTTCGACGGCCCCTGTTTTGGTTGCCGAAGAGGGTTCGGATGTATCAGCCATCGGCCATAGCATTATATGGGTGAAGATACATGCTACTTGGTTGCAAGTTCCAAGAGCAAGCAAAAAAAATTTGGAATATGAACGATAGGAGTATTCAGGCCACAGGTCATAGGTCTTAGACATAAAATCATCTACTTATCAAAGAGCCCGGGCTTCGGATTGCGGCGACCTCTCGTTATTCGGTCTGAAACTGCCTTGCGAACATAGTGGATCGGGATCGTGGGCCTTTGAACGGGCGTTTTGGAAATGGGACCGACACACTGCTTGCATTCACACTTCGTATTCCTGAAGCTAGAAATAGCCTGGAATTCAAGTAGTATATGAAGTGTGCATTCACATCTTTTCACAATGCGAAGTCAACGGGCGGAATCCGCAGCCCCGACGACATGGCTTGTCATAATATCTGGCATCGCACTGAGGAAGATTCTCTATACAAAGCGACCAAGCAAATTAAGCGGGACCAGCCATCACCACCATGCCACACTCCTCGCGCGTGGCCTTCTACCACTTCAGGACCCAGCTATTCGCAAAGGCTCCATTCGATGTCAGGTCTTGTAGATCAGTGACTGACAAGACGTGCGAAGTAGTATTGTACTGAACAGACGCGGCCGGGACGGTCTTGCCGTTGAGAGTCACGGCTCCCGGCTTATGAGCCACGCCCAGCACATTCACATTGCCAAGCGGGTTCTTCTCTTTCCAGTTTCCACTGGGCTGGGCGCTGAGGCTGGACTTGCTGGCCTTGAAGGTGACGGTCAGCGTAGAGTTGGGCTCGATGCTTTCCCCGTCGTCAAGGTACAGATTGCCAGAGGCAGTCCCCGTCTCGCTGAGGGCAGCAATGAGGGTCCACGGAGTTTTACGCGCATCGCGGGTGGTCAAGGCGGGCTCCTGCATGGGGAGCACGGTGTCGCCGCGCACAAACACGGGGATGTGACCCAGTGGAGCGGGGATGGTCGTGTTAACGTGTGGCTTCGCGTCGACGGCGGTTTGGGTGTACCAGTCATACCAGACCTCGCCCTCCTTAACGCCCGGGAACACACCCTTGACGGTGTCCACCTGCGGCTCAAGGACGGGGACGACCATAATCGAGGGCCCGAGGAGGAATTGTGTGTCCACGGCAGCTAGGGAGGGATCGTTCGGGAACTCCCAAGTCAAAGCGCGCATCACCGTCGACCCGGTGGTGTGTGCTTCGTGGAACAGGGTGTAGATGTACGGCAGGATGGCGTAACGGATCTTCATGGCGGACTTGGAGGCATCGATGACGGAGGCCCACCGGTATGGTTCCTGGTCAAGGGCAGAGAGCTCATTGTGGTTGCGATAGAAGGGGAAGAAGGCCGACAGTTGCATCCACCGGTTGCACAGCTCCTCGTCGGTGTTTCCATTAAACCCGCACGTGTCTACGCCAAACATGGGAATACCAAAGAGCGAGAACTGAAGAGCCTGAGGGATAGACCAGAACATGTATGCCCACTTGGAGAAGTTATCACCGCCCCAATGACCGGCCCATTTGCCTGAGCCCGCAAAGGTCGAGCGGCCAATGATGAATGGACGCTTCTCAGGGAAGACCTCTCGGAGACCATTGTAGGTCGCACGAAGGATGGAGTGGCCGAAAAGACTGTGCACGTCATACTCCTGGACACCATCAGAGTGAGTTGCGTTCGGAGAAACAGCATGCACAGCAAGATCATGACCAGTTTGAGCGTGGTTGATCACGTATGGGGGATGGTTGATGTCGCGAATTCCTGGAGTCGGGGTGGTGCGCAGGTAAGGAGTGGTACTAGAAGATTCGGCAGTGCTCGCAGCCGCGGAAGCTTGACTCGCGGAAGCCGCGAACGCTGATGCAGCCTCTGTAGAGTTCGTAATATTGAAGCCTTCCGGGTAATCGTAAATGACGTTGCCAGGCTCCCCGGGCAGCGAGAATGGAGGGTGAACTGGGTTCTGGCTAATCTTTCCGGACCCGCAGCTTCCGACACAGAAGGAAGAGACTTCGCTCATATCAATCCAGATACCGTCAAAGGCAACTTTCTTGTGCCAGGTCAGAAGCTCGTTCGCCCAGAAGTCGCCGGCCTTGGGGTGGTGCCAGTCAGGGAAGACGGTATACCCAGGCCAAACAGCGCCAATGTAGGTGCTTCCGTCGGGGTTCTTCAAGAAGACATCCGCCTCTGCACCACGTGTATATATATCGTACCTGGATCACTGTGAGTAGATCTGTCTTAGCTGAGGATCATAGTGGACTCACGCATCGGATTTGTTGTTGGGATCCGGGATGTAAAGAGCAGAGTCAACAATAGGGATATAGTGACGGCCACTCTTATGCAGCTTGTTCAAGAACACTGCACCATCTTCATAAGAATAACGGTTCTGGTCGTTGTCGAAATCACGGTAGCCATGCATGTAGTCAATGTCGTTCCTAGTGACACATTAGGTGGGTCCTTTCCGCATTGAGCTGGTTGCTCGGCATGAACCTACCACATGTTCTCCAAAGGAATCCCGAACTTTTCGAAATTAGCAACGACATCCTCCACTTCAGACCAGTTAGCGTACCCCCAGCGGCACTGGTGGTATCCAAAGGTGAAGTACTGCTGCATTGCGGGCAGTCCAATGGTGCTAATCTGGTAGTCCTTGGTTACCTCCGCCTGCGTTGGGCCCGCATAGATGGTCAAGTCAATGCTGCCACCTAGAGTACGCCATGTGAGGTTTTCAGTCCCAGTGAGAATTTCCTGCCCGTGGGCATTACGCAAGAAAACACCGTGTGAGTAAGACACATAGTCCTTGGAGGCATCGGCCTTATCAGTTGCGACTAGAGTGTGCGAGCCTTTGGCATTGACTTCGTAGTAGCGTGTATCCAGGTAGAACGAGTGGGATCCGTACGTATTGCTATGGTGATTGAACGGTCAGTTCTGGCCAGAGAAATCGTGTTGCGGTTGAGACAGTTCCCAGTATAACTCACAGATCGACTGGATCGGCTGTATCCGCAGCATAGAAAGTGAAGGTCGAGTTCTTCAGCAGACGTAGCTGCTGAATGTGCTCGCCAAGTCCATACAGGTTGTAGTCATTGGGAAGAGTTGTGACAAACTCGATGAATTGATTCTCATACACCAGCTTGGAGCCTGTGGTGTCAAAGAGAACATCGCCAGTAGCCTTGCGGACCACTTTGAAGCCGAAAGTAGGCTCATTGGACCAAGAGACCTCGAAATGACTATCTTTGGAAGATGCCCGGCTGTCGGCCTTGGGCCGCGGCACAATATCTTCGGAAAGCTGATACCAAGATGCGTTCGAGGAATCCACATGGGTCGGAGTGATGTAAATGTTAACACGCGTGGACGACAGATACTCGAGCGAGAAATTCAGCGACTCCACATCCGTTCCGTATGCATTGCATGATTTTCCAGCCAATGTCAAGGTCGCCGTCCATCCACGGGAAGTATTCTGGACATTCGATGCCCGATAGCCAGGGCAAGCAGACTGCGCATTGATAGCCTCGGGATCATCGATATTGGCGATGAGGTTCGCCCCAACATCTACGCCTGCAGGCAGAGTGGTCTGTGAATAGGCTGCACTTGAAGTCTGCGTGGCGCCGTAAACAGCTGGCAGCAGCCAGGCGCTAGCCACAAGGCTCGTAAGATTAACCATCGCGACCGATTGTTCCACCGCGAAGATATCGTAGAGGAAGGTCGCGCTGCGCTCTGGGTCAAATTCAAGACTGGGATTCAGGTCTCTCCCGCGTCGCAGTCCGTCTCGCACCGGTCCTGTTTATATATAGTGTGCGATGGGGTCAACAAAGCAATCCACCGGCATCGATCGTGGTACTGCAGCGCGACACAAACACCAGCATCCGGATTCCCCGAGTATAACCCTTCGATGGAGCGCTTCAATGAGATGGCGTAAAATTTCCGTTGAATGTCCGCGCACAGCGGGGGCATAGTGGAATCCTAGCTGCGCGTAGCGTCGAGCCAGCATTCCTACGGCGCGGGTGCGCGAATGCTTTTGCGGGGTTGCAGCTGGCCTGAGCGACCGCACTGCCAATTGCGGGGATGGGATCGTCATTATTGCCCTTGCGTGCCTGTACGAGGGCAGAACCAGGGCTAGACGGGCTAGATGGGCGCGCTAGACGGAACCGGCGTATTTTGCGTGCCGAGAAAATGCGGCTGGAGCATTGCTTGAATTTCTTAGACCCATAGTCGGTCTCTGTGAAGTATGGAGGTTTACTCACTCCACTCTGGAGTGCGTTGCGGCTGGGTGAGTGTGATTGGCCAGTCGCCCGATAATTGCCCGAGCCCGCCCTGGTGCAATGGCAGGTTGTATAAAAGAGGGTCCTCTTTCTGGTCGAAGAGCATAACGATCATAGTTCGCAAGGGATCCAGGGCTTTCGGGATCTTAGTCAATTATGACATCCTCATTGAATGGTGCATTTCTGGTGTGAGGGAAGAATATTTAGTGGTGTCCGTAAATGTGTGGCACCACAGCCATGCCACGGGCGGGACGGAATGAAACACTGGTGGAAGCAAAACCCGGGGAAAGCGGAGAACCCAGAGGACATGAAATCAAGAATAAAATTTAATGTTGGTCATATTCACATGGTGATTCATAATCCGAAGTAGTATCTAGCCCAGGGGTAGGGCTCAGCCCAAGCAGGGTCCTGACCGGTGAGTGTTTTCATTCTAGCGGCACCGAAATGAAGGGCCCCGGCGATGCCAATGATGAAATGCTAGTACGATGAGGCAATCCGGGGCCGTCCAACCCCGAGAGTTTCTGGGGGATTGCGCTCGCAGGAACCTCGGGGGCTTGCTGGTCCGTCAACGTTGACCGGGACTTGAGCAGTTGTTGCGCGGGACTTGCCGACGTGAGTCCCACCAACTAGTGCCGACAGGTGGACTGACCCAGTGGTGCTGTGGAAGTGTCTGTTCAACTCCTCTTCGGCTTCCCGAGGAAGTGCAATCTCGGCATCTTAGCCCACAACTTGACTGGAAAGCAGACAGGAAGCCTCCAGCGTCCGGATGCTCGACACGATTGGGTCGGCTGGACTGACAGGCTCCGAGCGCACGCAGCAACCCAGAAATTCAGAGGAGCCACCCGTTGAAGACTGCGGAGACGCGGGCTCATCGTGGCCTAGGTGGTAACTGGGTGGTACGCGCTACTGCGGCCGGGATTAACTGGATTAGCTGGGATTGAATCCAGTTGAGAAAATCGCGCATGGCCCCGCCCAAACTCTCCCAAATGTGCCCTGGATACCTTGTTCTCGGTGGCTTCGAGGGTTCTGTCGTGCAGCCGAGTGCCTGGCAGCCTGCTCGACCCTATTAGCTCATTTGCTCGGCCGGGCTGGGATCAGGTCTTACGTCGTCCCTGCTTGGCAAGGCGCTCACTGATGGACCGGCGATCTGATGGGTCTTCGCTTAGGTGCCGGCGACGTGAGCATCGTATGCATTAGTCCTAGTCCTGGACGAGTAGGATGGTGGTTCTGGAAAGATCCAACTCGGGCCGCTCGTGTCAATTGGGGATAGAGTGAACTTAACCCCATCTAGGCCAGTAGGAACCGAGTAAATCCCCGGAAGCGTTAGTTCCTCCAGGATGAGTGTACTCCGTAGGGAAGGGCCGTATGTAGACGTCAGGCACAAATCTGACGTGGTGCAGGCTAGCCCTCAAGCATCACCAGTCAGCACCGCAGGAGGTGGAGGTGGAGGTGGAGGTGAAGGAGGAGGCTATAGAAAGCCACGAGAATCAGTGCCTCGCCGTGCAGGGACCTTTGCGGGGTTTGGATGGTGGCCCCGCGCTTCCCCAGATGCTCGTTTTTTATTTTGGCTTTTAAATTTGGTCCTTTCTCAACTACTTGCCTTCCGTGCAATTCATTCTTGTTCGGGGAACTGCTTCACCTAATATGCAACCTGCTGCACCATTGCCCTGATCTGCATCGCGTCTTTCCTTCCTGGCCCGCCAGCCAGCAAGTAACATGGATCTAGCTTCGCCGTCCAAAGCATCCTCCAAACAGGCATGTGACAATTGTCGCCGACGCAAGATTAAATGCTCGCGCGAGCTACCCTGCGATAAATGCCAGCGCCTGCTTCTATCTTGCTCCTATAGCGACGTCCTATGTCGCAAGGGACCGAAGTTTCGGACACTCTATCCTCTGGCCCCCATACATCCGCTATCGGCCCGCAACGAGGCGACGCAAGAGCAACTCTATGCCGACAAAGACGGGTTTGCCGATCCATCGCCTTATAGACTGAGTTCGCCAACATCACCAGCCTTCGCGGTGAACGATGCGCAGTATGTGCCGCATGATTTCTCAGATACACTCTCCCAACTGCCGCCGCCAGAGCTAGTATCGTCGCCAGACTCGACGGACTCGACGATCGAATCGATCCGTGGCCAAAGCTGGGCTCTTCCGCATGCACGCCGCCTCTCGCCGCAAATTCTCCTGGCACATGTCAACGTCTACTTGAAATACTTGTTCCCGATCATGCCCGTCGTGCGTGGAGACCAGCTACGTCTGGATAGTCAGCAACCAGAACGGCTCCCTCCGCAGAGATACGCCTTTTTGGCTTCACTATGTGCGGCTACACACATTCAGCTGAAGTTAGATGGAGATACCCCAGTCCCGGATCCGGCTCGTCTACAGAGCTTAGGCGATGGCCACTCCCTAGTGTCGGGAGAGAAGCTTTTGTCTGAGGCGGTGCGGGCACAGCGGGAATGCGACATCGTGGAAGATATTAGCATCGAGGCCCTTCTAACCTCGTTCTTCTTGTTCGCCTCATATGGGAACCTTGACAAGCAAAGCCATGCCTGGTTTTATCTGTGCCAAGCCACCTCCATGGCATTCACTTTGGGCCTGCATCGAGAATCCACGTATGTGGAGTTCAATGTGGAGGAAGCGGAAGAGAGGCGGCGAGTTTTCTGGTTGCTCTTTATCACAGAAAGGTCAGACATTCCGATATCCTTTTCCCAGTTCCTCTTCCCTGACTGAAAGAAAAACAGAGGGTATGCTCTCCAGCAAGCTAAGCCAGTCATGCTCCGAAGTTCCATCCACAAGCCACAGGTCCTCTGCTCTGAGGACCCCATCTTAGCATACGGCTTCATCAACTTGATCGGGATTTTTGAAAAGCTCACGGCGAGCCTCTATGATTGGGTCTCTGCTGGTGGCGGCGACGGACTCTTGGACAGGCCGCCCACATCTGCCATACAGTCTAGCCTATGCAAACCGATCACACTCGATGGGGTCCTGGAGATCCAGCAAGTCGACATCCTCATCACACAGCAGTGGCTGCAGGCGATGATGTGGAAATTATCTATGAGCCATGCGACACAACCCGGTGCCCGGGACGAAGGGGTACTGCCATTCCACCTGCCAGTATTAGTAGGCAAGGCTGTGATGGGTGTGATCGGATCAGCATCACAAGGTGCGGTGGATGCTCATGGCATTGGAATGGTAGGTTGGCCCTGAACCCACCATGTGGTAATGATCCGCTGATGATTTTAGGAGCAAAAACTCTTCGACATGGGCTCGTCGGTCGCCGATGTCACTCGGTCCCTTGGCTCGAAATCTGTCCATCGGCTTGCAGAATGGACAATTGATCCTCGGGAGCTCCTCTGGGGTATACTGCACACCTTGTCGCAGATCCGAGGCTCGCCATCGTACCTCTTCCCTGCCCTCTTGGAACGCTGCAAGGCTGTACTGGGCCTGGATTGCACCATCACTATCGGCAATTTCCTGCCGGCACTTAGTACCACTGTGCCTGGTCAATGGGCTGGTGAGCAGAACTGGGATTTGTTAGCTGCCTGCCGGGATCCGCATGAGAGCCGCGTGGAAGGAGACCACCAGGCTGAGCAAGTCCCTCCTCACCTCTCGGCCGTTTCGCAGGGAGCTGAGCTGGGATTTGAAGACTGTCTCTTACCTTGAATCACTTTGGAAATTCTGTGTTTCCCTGGACTTCGGGACTTTTGGTCGGGTTTGAATTGATGATACCACATAGGCGTTTAGTTACAGCTATATAGATCGGACTCTTTATGTTGCGATGCGTTGTACACATCCGGTGATGAAACGGGGACTGGAAGATACCGGGATATGATAGAGATTTGCAAAGTACAGTACTGCCTTTGTGAATACATAGACTCATGTCTTGGATTGAAATGGCTACGTAGGGATATTTCCAAATGCAGGGGATGGTGTTGTGTTGCTTGGGATCGTTCCGTCAAACGGTCTTGGCTTGGCATGTTTGTCTCGGTCGTCGGAGTTTCTCCAAGTCGAACACGGATAGCTCCAACTTTCTTCGTCCCCGCCTGCAATTGACTTGACAGCCACTGGAATAATGTGCTGACCTCAAGAGTATGTTGAATTCGCAGATATTGGATATCTTATTGGAAGATTGCCCAGCTAACTGGCATATACTGTAGCCTTGTCCTTAGAGACGTGATTTCGCAGAGCTCAACCGAGCAACCCAAACCTTGGTCAAGAGCCTATACATTTATGATCTCAACTCTAAGGAGGTAGCTCTTCTTGAATTGCAATATGGCATCCATTCGCCCCCAATCCATCCCTCTCCGCGCCCTCCGCACCCTCCGCACGGCGCCAACAGCAACGCGACCATCGTGCCAACTCCACATCTCCCCTCTTCTCCCCGCCGTCTCCTGCAGAACTGCCACCATCCGCAAGCACTCTACATCTTCCGTCTCTCCTGATGAGCTGTCGCACTTCTCCGCCCTCGCGAGCTCCTGGTGGGACCCAATGGGCCCATCCCGCATCCTGCACCTGATGAACCCCCTCCGCCACGAGTTCATCGCATCCTGCCTGGCTGAGAGCCCTCCACCTTCCACTGACTCCCAATCTCCAAATGCCTCGAGCGCCGCAAATTTACATTACATGGATATTGGCTGCGGCGGCGGAATCTTCGCAGAATCGCTCGCGCGCACGATCCCACTAGACCCCTCCGCACCAGCGCCGACAGCCACGCGCGCAGCCTCAATGACAGCAATCGATCCGTCGACGACGCTCATTCAAATCGCCCGCGAGCACGCCCGAATGGATCCCACTGTGAACGCGCACCTGCGCAGCGGAAAGTTCAAGTACCTGAACACCACGCTAGAAGACGTGCTCGCATCTTCGTCCCCGTCCTCCGACTCTACACTGTCCGCGACCACAGCACACCCCCAATTCGACATGGTGACACTATTCGAGGTCATCGAGCATATCGACCCAACAACCACAACGCCCCAAGCCTTCCTCTCCAACTGCCTTCGCGCCCTCAAGCCCGGCGGCTGGCTCGTCGGCTCCACTATCTCCCGCACCTTCCCTTCCTTCCTACTTAACCAGGTTATCGCCGAAGCACCCTGGCCCATTGGTGTCGTTCCGCGCGGCACGCACGAATGGAGCAAGTTTGTTAACCCGCCGGAGCTGCATGCATGGGCGCAGGAGGGTCTGATGCGAGCTGCAGACACGGGAGTGACCCGTGGCGGCCCGAGTGCTCTGGAGGGCATGAGGTGGAAGTGCATGGGGACCATTTACGTCCCCGGACTCGGATGGAAGATGGTACCAGGCTCGGAGAGTTGGGGCAATTATTTCTGGGCTGTGAAGAAGGGTCTTTGATTGCTTGGTATACGGAGATTCCATTTGCGGGATTGTAAGAATAAGCTGCTTGGGTTGTATAAATAGACGTTTGCTTAGATACATGTGTGGATGGAATGCTCATATCCTGATTTCTTCCAAAATATGGGTGCTTTCTACCCTGGCCGCCGAATCCATCAGCACCGTATTCTATCAAGAGCTGAGCAATAACTTTGGAATTGGTACTGTCCACATGGCTTGTCGCATTCAAGATTGCCCAGTAGTACCCCTTTCCCCGGTGACATCACACCGGCTTTTAGTAACAACACATGGACCACAGAATAGTATCTAGTACAAGGCCTTTTAAGAGGCGAGAAGGAGGCCATAAGGAAATCATCTGGCCGTCATTTCGATGTCAATTACAGCGGTCTTCATATATTGTTTAAAATACCCCCGACTACCTCTACCTATATCTTTATTGCAGCGGTGGAGAGCTGGGTAGAAACATATGCAAGTCATAGGTAGCCAGCTAGATAATTATCATTCAATCATTAATACTCATACAATGCAACCCAATGCTCTTATTACTCCACCCACTGATCTTCTCGCCTACTTCCTCCCCTTCCCCCGATTCCTCTTCTTTTTCGCCGTCTCCGCCGGCGGCTCCGGCACACTGACAGTCCCCTGCTCAACATCCTCTCCAGCGCCCTGCAACTTCTGACTTCCACTAATAAAGAAGGTAAGATCGCGATTCTGCTCCTGCAAATCCCCAACCTGCGCTTTCAAAGCCTCAACTTCGTCCTTCAGCGCCGCCCTCTCAGCAGACATGTGCTCCAGCCTCTCCATCAGACTGGTATTTATAGTTTTTTCCTCGCGATAATCTTTCTCCAGGCGGCGTGCCAGAGTCTCGAATTTCTCGGCGCGCTTCTCGAGCCGTTCACGATCGCGCTCCATGCCGGGGAGAGACTCGGACGAGAGCGCAGAGTATTCCGCCTGCAGCTCCGCGAGACGGGCCGTCGCCGTGGTGGCGGCTTGTTCTGCGGCCGCAGCCGCAGCACTAGCCTGCGACGCCTTGTCGGCAGCGCGCTCGACAATCTCCTCGAAGTAGGCGCGCTGGCTTTCCAGCTGAGAGGTGAGCAGATGGGTGTACTCGACGCTCATATTTTCGAGTTTCTCGCGGGGCACGGCGTCGGCCCAGTCAGGCGGGTCGAGCGCCGAGTGGTCGGCTGCTGGGAGCTCGACAAGCTTGCCGTCCGTTTTACTCTGAATAATGCGGTGCACGTATGCATCGCCGACATAGTCCCAGACGCGTTGGGAGTTGAGGTCCATGGCGAAGGCGTGGGCAGTCTGTTTCCAGTGGTCGAAGGCGTGGGCACCATCGTACCGGCCGCAGCCTAAACTACCGCAAATTAGGCAAGCCCAGAGGTTTAGCTCCGAGTGGCAGATGCTGCACTCGGTGGGCTCTTCGTCGGCGTCTGGGGCTACGAGGCCCTTGCGGAAGTCATCTTGCGTGTATCGACAAACAGGGCAGCCGCTGCCCTTCCATTTTTGGAGACATGTGCAGTGGAAAACGTGTTGGCAGATGATTGTGAGCAGACCTGTTGTTTCATCCATCCGTTCAAGACAGACTGGGCAAGTAGGAAGTTCGATTAGGGCTGGCGTGGGTGGTGCGAGGGGTTTTGTGGAGAGTGTGGCCTGGCCAGCAGATGCCACTGGGTGTTTATGAGTTGGTGAAAGCGCCCCGAGTTCAGTAGATGATGAATCAGGCTCGACAATCTGGATCTCGACCGACTTCACGAATACCACATGGCACGTTTCAGGCTGGGAAGGAAGTTAGCAACAAGACACCACGCCATTCCAATACACTCCTCTCGTCAATAGAGTCCAGTCCGGACGACATACCTCCATACTGTTGAAAACCTTTCCATTCCACTCTTTCTGCCACACCGTCGCCTTCCTCCCACTTCGAAACTTCATCAAAACCATATACCGATTCGCGCGCGGCGTCCGTATCATCCGGAAATGGCTCACATCATCCATAGTCTTCTCACCGACAAATCCCAGAAAGTCCGACGGCGATAAATAACTCGGCACAGCCAAGATACAAAGCGTCGAGCACGCATCCTCCTCCCGACCCGACCCCGGCGCCGCCGTAACAGGAAACGGGTACGCCCCCAAATCTGCAGAGCCCTTCCCGCGAGTGTGAGAGTGCGCGCGACTCGCCCCGCCAGCTTGTACCACGCCCCCGGCCTGCTGCTGTTGCTCGCTCGGGCGCCGCGCCGCGGCCGCCGAGCCTTTCAGGTAGGTTGGATAATCGTCGTCGCTCCCAGCAAGGTACGGCGTCTCCTGCACATCGCGGTATAGATGCACGATGCCCCAGATGCTGTCGCCAACTGCCTGGTCCAGCGGAATATACCGGCCCTTCGTGCGCAGGCCGCCTAGGATATCAGTGCCAATGCCCGCAGCTACGAGATTGTCTGCGGTGCCTGCGGCGGGGGCACTGCCGCTGCGCTTTTGGGCCTGTTTGCCGGGCCCGTCGTCTGGTGCCACCATGTCGATGCACTCGATGAGAATGGGGCCGGCGCGGACGTCGTTTTCGAGGTCGGTGGGACTGTTTGGGGAGATTGAGGGGTGCGCGGCGGGGAGCGAAGAGGGATGCGTTGAGGCGTGGTGCGGTGAAGAGTCGGACGAGGAAGCGGCAGGAGCGTGTTTAGGCCGTCGGTTAAGAGTAAATTCTCGGACTGGAGTGTGCGACTGGGTACGTAGATTATCTGGATTGCCACTGCTGGAGGAGGGACTTGAGCTCGAAGGCCGGGACCGCTTCTGGAACGGGAGCAGAGCTTCCCATGCGGACTCTAGGGCCAGCGACAAGTCGGCGGCCGTGGATTTGGATGGTTGAGAGCTGCGCAGGACTTCGAAGCTCAGGTGGTAGAAGTATGCGGGCATCCCGGGCGACGGCTCACATGGTGGTGTGGAGAGCCCTCGATTCGAAGGTTCCCAGATGCAAGTTCCCAACACCAGCGATAGGGGATGACATAAGCACCCCGAATAACTAATTTTAACTAGTTATTATTTAGTAAACCAATGTCTTTACTAACTACTGCCCGAGGTTGAGGTACGGGATGGGTGGCGAAAGAGGCAAAAACACCGTGTCCCCTGATCGGCTCAGCCGGTTGAGCCCGATTTTTTTCTGTAGCCACAGGCGTGGCAAACTGGCGCTTTCTTGAGGGCGATAGCGCGCGAGTAGTTACGGGAACGCCGTCAGCGACAGATTCTACAAAGATTACAAGTTAAACATAAAGCTAGTGAAGAACGGCAATGGAGCCAATTTCAATTCATAGATAATAGAAGATGCCCGTTGAACCGTAGTAAAAAAGAAACAAAAGAAGCCTCAGCTTCGAAGCCGACCAAACGCCATGCAGGTCATGGAGAACCCATCGCAGTCGAAGAATCGTTAGGTAGAAGGAGAAAGGAGCGAAGCGAAGCATCCCCCTATTGGCCACCACGAAGACGCAGCACCAGGTGGAGGGTAGACTCCTTCTGGATGTTGTAATCCGACAGGGTCCGACCGTCTTCGAGCTGCTTACCAGCGAAGATCAGACGCTGCTGGTCAGGGGGAATGCCCTCCTTATCTTGAATCTTAGACTTGACATTGTCGATGGTGTCCGACGACTCAACCTCCAGGGTGATAGTCTTGCCGGTCAGGGTCTTCACGAAGATCTGCATACCACCACGCAGGCGGAGCACCAAGTGAAGAGTGGATTCCTTCTGGATATTGTAGTCAGAGAGTGTGCGGCCGTCCTCAAGCTGCTTGCCAGCGAAGATCAGGCGCTGTTGGTCGGGCGGGATGCCCTCCTTATCTTGGATCTTGCTCTTCACATTGTCGATAGTGTCCGAAGACTCCACCTCCAGGGTAATGGTCTTGCCAGTGAGGGTCTTAACAAAGATCTGCATACCACCACGGAGACGCAGAACCAAGTGCAGGGTGGATTCCTTTTGAATGTTGTAGTCGGAGAGGGTGCGGCCATCCTCCAGCTGCTTGCCAGCGAAGATCAGGCGCTGCTGGTCGGGCGGGATGCCCTCCTTGTCCTGAATCTTCGACTTGACATTATCGATGGTATCGGAAGACTCAACCTCGAGGGTAATGGTCTTGCCAGTCAGAGTCTTGACGACTTGTGGCGAGTTAGCAAACGGGTTTCCATAAAACCAACGTCTCCAAAGCCGGTGGCGCGGGTAGAAAGTGAGGGGGAAAGGAAGAGACGTACAGATCTGCATGCCACCACGGAGGCGCAGAACCAAATGGAGGGTGGACTCCTTCTGGATGTTATAGTCAGAGAGGGTACGGCCATCCTCCAGCTGCTTGCCAGCGAAGATCAGGCGCTGCTGGTCGGGCGGGATGCCCTCCTTATCCTGAATCTTCGACTTGACATTATCGATGGTATCAGAAGACTCAACCTCGAGGGTGATAGTCTTGCCGGTAACTGCAAAAACAAGAAAGCGTTAGAAGAGGCGGTCAGGTGGCGATAGGCGAGCGCGACCAGGGATCGGCGACTCAACCCTTCAGAATGGGGAGAGAAAAACGCAAGGGGAACTCACGGGTTTTCACGAAGATCTGCATGATGAGAGCGGTTCAACGATGATGGTAGGTTTAATGGCGTAGTGATTGGAGATGAGAAAGGCAAGACGCGGAAGATCGCGAAGAGGTTGAGGGAGGGAGAAGGAGAGAGAGAGGGGGCGAGGCAGAAGAGGGGGTGAGGTTTAAGTAGCGATGGAGAGGGGGCGAAGCGCCTTAGTCAGAAAACGGGCGTGACATGCGAAACTGCTAGAAAGAAGAAGGGGCTGGCGCGACGCTTGGAACCTTAGGGAAGACGGGAATATGCCGGGTACCGGATGAGTCAAGGATGCCTAGATACGGCGACTGGCTCGGGTTCGGGCAACGGATTACGACTGGTAGGAACAGGCCGTTGACGCCACCAGTGGGCGAAAACTGGTTACTGCAACTGGTCTGGTTCCTGCGCTAAGGAAAAACCTTGATGGCTGGCTAAACTTATGGAGGGAGTATGTGGAAAGATTTGTGCCGCCCTTTGCCCCGGGAGTCCGTATCTTTCTGCGATACTGGTGTCAGCCCATGGGCGGATGGCTGGAGCAACGATGACGTGGGAGGGTGTCGCAAAAAGAGGGGGTGGACCCGCGATCACCTGAATGGAGCCCGCTAGCGCCATCAAGTATACAATTGTATGGATGCAGTGCAGCCGGGATGTATCGGGTACAAGGCGGTGCACTGTGCATTAGCACCGCCCCCGTGTATTCTATACTTAGATAAGGTCATGTGACCCAATAGGATCAGGTGATGCTCGTTCCGGCATCGGCAGTATGGCTATCAAGTGCCGAATGCGGCAACGATCAACACCGCTATTGACCGGATACACTTCGGTAAGTACCTTGCGAGTTCAACGCGTCTACACCGCATCCAGGGCCCTCGGCTCAAATTGGCAAGTTTCAACACCGGTACGAGTGATCGCCAGCGTTCAGTATTGGGATAGAGTTAAAAAAAGGGTGTGAAATAGATATATAGACACGATCCCGCTGAGGCAAGACGGAGAATTCCACCCTTGTCGGACGCCGTTTCCCTCGGCACTCCGGATCCAAAAAAAGAAGAACAAAACATGCGAGAAGATTAAGCACAAAGAATGCGACACACAGTCGCGCTGTCTGCGGCCTTGCTTTTACAGTACCGGGCCCATTCCATCCGACAGTACCTACATGATATAGAATACTGTTGGGGTGGGGGACGGCCCCGGCCTGCTGCCACAATAATCGGAAACACACAACACACAGTCGGCCGTACACGGTTCATAACGTTCGTGATCCTCGTTCATCGATGGAAGCTATGCGAGAAAGGTATACCACAAAGACATGTCAAAATCAAGGGGCAGTAAAAATCACAACTGGACAGAAAAGGAAAAAGGAAGCAAGGGAAAAAATAGAAAATGAAATGAAGGGCGGTCCCCAGGAACCACAATGCAAAACACAAAAGGCACAACACACACAGGCTAGTAAGCAACCGACTCACTAGGAGCGGGGATAAAACAGATCGGATTGTAGATAGACAAATCGTTAAAAGAGCGGGACGACGCGCTCGCGCATCGATCACGACTAGCGTAATTTTGGGAGTAGTTTGAGTCATCCAGGTCATGGGAGGCGCCAGGGCTGGAAATACGCAATAATCATTGGGCTGAAAACTCGCTGTTGGCAAAGCAAAGCAGTCATCGTGGAAAACATTCATCGTTCGTTCATCATGCGCATACGCATGGTTTCGGGGGTTGGGAGTGTCGTCTCTAGTTGGCACGGATCACGAGGCGGGACACGAATTTGTTCGACAGGCAGTCAAAGTCCCCGCGGTTGAACTTGGTGCCGGTGCGGCCGCGCAAGTAGCTCTCTGGGAGTGGAGTTAGCATTGCCGGTCTGTGGATGAAGTGGCATTTCGGCATGTGGATGGGGTTCTTACCGTGCTGCTCAACGTGTTGGCGCACTTCGGTCATCGTATTGCACACATCAGGGTTGGAGTACAGCAGCTGGTGGTGCTTCTGCGAGTCCCACTCGGTGAAGGGGGGCAGCTTCTGCGAGATAGCCTGGAACAAACCGACGATGACACCGACGGGGGTCGTTTCCATGTCATTGCAGAATTTATCGACGGCGGCCTGGTCGGGCGTCCGGTAATGGCAGTCAAACTGCATCTCCTCCCAGACGGCCAACAGAATCGAGGCCAGCACGAAGATGGTGGGCCAGTTTTTCAACTTATCACCGCTATACACGCTGGAGTACAGTGCCGACAGCTCCTCTAGCACATCCTTCTGCAGCTCGCGCCACATACTCGCCATAGCGCACTTGATTTGGAAGTTGATCATCACCGGGGCCATGGTCTTGCCGCGGAACTTGGAGCCCGGCTCGTTGATCCGGCCCAGGAAGCCGCCCTCATCACCCAGCCCCTCGACCATAGTGACATGTAGGGTCAAGTTGTAGGCAATAATCAGCTTGAGGGCCTTGCGGATCACGGGCAGCTTAGTGCGGTAGTAGTACCGGAAGGCAGTCTTGAGCATCTGGGTCAAGAACGGCGTGCCCTCGAAGTAGTCATCCACGAACTTCTCAAAGGTGCCGTTACCATCGATATGGCGGTCCAGGTAGTCTGACAGCATGGCATGCGAGATACCCTCCATGCCAGCGGAGAGCTTAGCGGTCTCGACCTCGTACTCCGTCGGCTCGCGGTGCATCGACTCGACCCAGTCAATGGTGAAGCACTGCTCGTCCCGGACAAAGACCTCGCGCGCGGCAATGGGCAGGATCTGCCCATACCCGTGGGTGATGTACAGCGTGCGCTCCTGGTCCGAAAACCCCTTGATATTCCCGACCGAGAATCCCATCGAGATATGTCGCTCATAGTCCGCCTTCCAGTCCTTCATGAAATACCCAATCTCTTTGATGTCAATGCGAGTGCACGGCACCTGCCATAAGCGGGCGTGCGATGGCTGGCAGCCGGCACAGGGTTCGCCCTTATCGCAAGTCTTCTTGAGGAATTTGCAACGCAGGCAGGCACGCAACTTCCGGATCTCGCTGGCCTGCTTACGCTGGTCGGGCTTGAGAGGACCCTTTCGTTTGCCGACACGCTTCTCGGTCTCGGGCTTGCCGGTTTGAGACTGCTTGCGAACCTTGGTCTCGGACGTCTTGGCCGCAATGGGGCTCTTGCGGGATGGTTTCCTGCTCGGGGGTGAGGCTGAAGAGTGAGAGCCAGATGACCGGGAGGGCGATGTTGACTTCTTGATGGGGACTGGGATTGGGCGGACCATGGCACTGGGGCTGACAGCTGACGGGGATCGAGAACCAGCACCAGGGGAAGAAGATTGCTCCTCCGTTACGCGACGGACCATAGAGGTACTGGTGGGCGAGGTAGCCAGGCTCAACGCAGCACTGGGGTTATGGTACGGGAGATCCATGTTTCCGTCCGAACCTGGAGAACCGATCGGGTGGGCAATGTCGACGAAGCTGCCGTAAGACGTCGAGTAGGATGATTCTGAGAGACTGCGGTCGTGCAGGGTCTGGGTAGGGTTGACGAAGATACCTTGCTCGGGAAACCCAAAGTCCAGCGAGCGGCGGTGATCCACTGTGCTCCAGCCGTTGTCGCTACTGGACAGGGAACGGACCTCCAGATAGGTGTCTGTCGGGGAACTGCTCTCCAGAAGTGGATGTGGGGCGCCATACGGAACCTCGGGCAGTCCACTGAATGTCATCAAATCTGCCTGGAAGTCGTGATAGGTGAAGGGCACCATGTCGACGGGAGCCGAGAGTGGTAGATGGTAGGAACCATCGAGGAGACCAGCACTCATTTGGCCTTGCGGGCCGGCCGACATGAGATCCACTGGGGACGACTGGATAGCCATGCCGTAGCTGGCGGTGGTGAACTGGGGTGCTGACGACGGGTCCTCGGGCGAGTATGGTAATTGGGGGTGCTGGTGAGGGGTCTGTTGAAGGTGTTGGTGGAAGTGCCAGTCGACCATCAGGTTGGGATCCTGGGCCACCGACTGTTCCAGTGGGTGACCGCTGGTTTGGAGAGGTGAGAGGTCATGGGTGTTCTCGGAGCGCGGAGGGTTCTGGTCGACCGCCACGGGCCATGATTGCGGGAGATAGCCTCTTGAATCGTAGTCGACGATGAGGCCATCGCTCGGTAGATCGACATTTGACATGGCGTCGTTATTGTGTTTTTAGTAGACCACGGAACGTGGTATGAACGGTCGTTGAAGGGAGGGGAGCAGAAGGGAAAGGGCCAGCCTGGATGAAAAGGCCTTCTTCAGAGAGGCCGAAAGTCACACACAGCCATGGGGCGACTGACGGCGAGTGAGGCGGTGGGGGGGACAAAGCAGCGGTGAGCGCAAGATGCGCTAGGGGAGGTTAGTGCACTTGGAAGTGGCCGACGGTGCACGGTGGGGACTGGAAAGGCTGGGGCCGTGGTGGGAGCAGTGGAGGAGTATACCCAGCGGCTACTGCCACGCCACGCCTGCCATTCCTCGAATCTCGCGAGCGTCTCCATCTCTCGTGGTGACTCTGCTCACTTCGGGTTTAGTGCGCCTCGGAAGTCTCGCGCGATCGCAAGTCCCATGATCTCCGTGCATTATTACGGGCAGCGATGTAGGAGAAAAAAAAGGAAAGAGAAACGGGGTAATTGAATCAAAGAATGCGGACTGGGCAGCCTGTTCCGGTTCCGAGGTGATAAGATGCTCAGATTCTTGTTTTTATCGTTCTTATGCTTGTGATTATGCTTATGGTGTTCACCACCACCTTTGGCCCCTTCTATCTAGGGTTATTGCGTCGACCGTGGGAATTCTCACGCTCTGGAGTTCTATTGCCCATAGTGCCCAGTCTAGTCTCAATATTGAGGACCGTGGGACCCGAGCAGACATCCATGGGCGAGATACACGGGACGGGAGATCAGTGGAGCCCAGGCAGGAAGAAGGAAAGCAGATAGAGTGAAGGAAACAGAGGCCGAGAAGAGGGAATCTGTGCGAGCGTGGCAATAGCGTGTTCTCCAACACTGCTAACCACCGAAGGACCGTGCTCGGGGACGATCTGACACCCGATCGTGATGCCATGAGGAGCCAGGATAGGTCCTTCCTAATCGGAACCAATCACTGTGCCACGTCCTTCGTATCTTGCCAGACCAAACCCTGGCCCAGCAGACGCTCATGGCCGTGGTGGGGGCTGACCATGCAGTGAACTCGCGAGGGGGCATGGATCCTGTTGGTGGCCATAGCCAATCGCTCGTCAAGTGGCCCATCGCTGGCTTGGATGCGCGGCATCTCCTGTGCAAAGCGAAAATCCTTGGATGGGGAACTCTGTTCCCAGCCCAAGAGCCTAGGATTCCCCAGGAAACAGGACGTGACAGATCCAACCCAGTGCCAAAGACCCTTTCTTCGCACGGAGGCTTAGGGCTTGGGTGCACATGCAGCCAGCAGCAAGGGAGGGAGAGCGACAAGCCACTCTGCACGATGAGCAGGAATGAGCAGGAGGAGGAGATGATAGATGAACATGCACAGCTCACCAGCCACCGTCGCGTGCAGACAAACCCGGTGGATGGATCACATCACAGTACATCGTGGCCTGGCGCGAGAGCAGGCGGAGACTGATGAAGACTGGTTGAGACGAAAGTGGGGGAGCTCTCCGTCTTGCTTTGCCTCTCTGACATGCAGGCGCGGAGGATTCAATAGCCCCTCTGTACGCTGTCAGAGCATGATGCAGGCTGTCGCCACGAGAACGGCCAAAACCGCCCGTTTGGTTCTTCTTTGTGTTGACTGGACCGACTGGCGCACTAGCCCCGTTTGGGAGAGCGCATTTCCATCTGAAACAGCACCCCAATAGAGGAGGAATAGAGAAACGGAGTAATGCACATCATGGGGGAGCCACAAAGCATTTGCACTGCGCCCGCAGATACTTGGATTTGGGTTGATGAAGGATTATGAATGATTATGAATGATTGGGAGTGATTGGGAATGATTGGGGATGAGAAGTGGTTTGGGTCCCACCAAAATGGAAAGTGGGGAGAGAACAATCGCAACGTCCATCTTTGGCTCATTCATTGCGGCGCGAACAATACCCGCATCTGCCCCCGACCCAGCGCCAGGACAATGGACTCGACGTGAATGAGGCCTTGCCTTCTTTCATCGCAGTCGATCGCCGTCTCTACCAGTACCATAAAGAAGGCGGCCGTCCATGCCACCCATCATCGCAGGGCGACCCCGACGCAAAGTTCGCTTCCCAGCCGCTGCCAGCGCCAACCCACCGCCCCAGCAGAAAATCATATCGACGCCGCTCGCCACCGCGCCGCACCAGCAGAGGTCCCAGCAGAGGCCCCAGCAGAAGCGCCCGGGGGAGACCCAACCTTCTTCTCCGAGACCCAAGGGCAAATCCTCCGGGATGGCCAGCCAAGACGAGCCCCGGCCGGGGATCCCAGCCTTATTCACGCAGCCGCCTCTCATCCGCGACCCGCTCGTGACGGAGACGACTGATCTGCAGGACGCAACCCTGGAGAAATGCCTGCCGTTCCTCAAGGGCCTCCATACCAGTCAAAAGGGCCCCTTCAATGCATGCGGCGTGCCTGCGCTCCAGCGTGACGATCATGTCGCCTACCTCTACGATTCCCTGGAAGATTACCCCGCCGGCTTTGTCGCCATGGATGCCAGTCGCCCATGGATGGTTTACTGGGCGCTGGCTGGCTTGACGCTGTTGGGCGAGGACCCGACGCGCTTTCGTGAGCGGTAAGTGTGTGCGCTTATACTATTATGATCCCATCGCTCGATATCCGATCTGATATGCCCTCTCTCTTTGCTTCTTTACGATCAAAAATTATTTGCCTGTTTAAGTGTATCATCTCAACTCGGTGGTTTTTTATTTGTTTTTTGGTTTATTTTTTTTTTATTACTGGCCCCTCTGGAGGCTGGTCCGTCGGTCGACTGTTGCCGCCAGGAGTAGACTCTGCCATGCACCGCGGCTTCCTCGGGGACCTCGGGCCAACCTATCACCGGCATGATATGAGAACAGGTGCTCATGCTATTGATGCATTCATATTCATAGAGAGCAAACAGACTAACTTTGATTTTTTTTTTCGCTTACTCGCAGGGTGCTGGGAACACTTCGTCCCATGCAGAACCCCACCGGCGGCTTCGGTGGCGGGCATGGCCAAATATCACACCTTGCCGGAAGCTATGCGGCCGTTCTCGCACTCGCCTTAGTTGGGGGCGAGGACTCCTTTGCATTGATCGATCGCCAAGCGATGTGAGTTGTTCCTCTACGCCAAACAGGATCTTCGTTTAGCGCGTCTGACCAAGGTCCTTGCTAGGTGGCGCTGGTTGGGCCGATTAAAGCAAGCAGATGGAGGCTTCAGTGTCACGGAAGGCGGGGAAGAAGACGTGCGGTAAGTCAGCACATATCATGAGATTATTCCAATGTCCCCCCGAGGAAATGCGAGATCTGGGTCTCTAATCTCTGCCGTCATACAGCGGTGCATACTGCGCGGCAACTATTATCTCACTCCTCGATCTGCCCCTGACTCTGCCGCCTGATGCAGAGAAAGCCCGAGCAGTAGGTCTCGAGACTCTGACGGACGGACTGGCAGAATATCTGTCACGCTGTATGGTCCTAATTTCTATTTCCTTTTGGTGGTACCAGTAGCTTGCTAACAGATCTCGTTGTACTTCCCAGGTCAATCCTTCGAGGGTGGCATCTCCGGGAGTCCCGGGGTCGAGGCGCATGGAGCATATGCCTTCTGTGCACTCGCTTGTTTGTCTATTCTGGGACCACCTGAAGAGACCATTCCCAGGTATGAAAGATGCCGGATCATCCCGAGGTATTCACGCTGGGAGCCTGTCACACTGACTGCGTTTGAAGGCACATGAATGTACCCCTGCTGCTGTCATGGCTGTCTGCTCGGCAGTATGCCCCTGAGGGTGGCTTTTCCGGCCGAACGAACAAGTTAGTCGACGGTTGCTACAGCCATTGGGTCGGTGGGTGCTGGCCCCTGCTGCAGTCTGCTTTGGATGGGAAGCCACAATCGCCTGGTGCTCCCCAAACAACAGTCGGAAATCTTTTCAGTCGCGAGGGACTGGACCGATATATCCTCGGATGCTGTCAAAACCCCAGGGGCGGGCTTCGAGACAAACCGGGCAAGTAAGTAGCTGCTGCTCCCGCCCCATCCTGCTGCGAGGGATTGTCTTGCCTGTGCAGCTGTCACTAACCGTGGGACCCAGGCATGCGGATTCTTATCACACCTGCTACGTTCTGACAGGCTTGAGCGCAACGCAACACTACCACTATCGCACGGACTTGAGTCCCTCGTCCAGCGAGAACTTTGCCTCGGCGTTCTCCTGGCAGTCGTCGCCTGTACGTTCAGACGACAACGTGTACGAGAAGAGCGACTGTCTAGTCGCCTTTCACCCGCTCTATGTCATCCCGCACCAGGCGGCCGCGAACATGCGGGTCTGGTGTGAAGGCCAGCCCATTGCGACCTAACGGACAGAGAGGGATGTAAGCCGATGGAGTGTCATCTGGAGGAAACCAAGAGTGAAACGCCACGGCAGCCGATGGTATCCCCGCAAGAGTTGAACGGACGGTAGTGAAACGAAAGCCCAGGACCTCAGGGCGGTAGACTCGTGCATCCCAGGTTCTCCATGCCAGCGAAGGGAAGGGACGGGCTCTAGATGACCAGAGGCTCTGAACGATATCTGACATGCAGGACTCGAGCATGGGATGAACCTGGCTTTCTTGGGAGGGCCTGTGGGACCTGTCACTTCTATTACTGGGGGCTATGTCATCGCATGGCCATCTCGTTGGTCTCTCATTGGGGCCCAGAGACTCTTTCGGGGGTTTCCCGTGGGAGCCACGCGGATGAATTGGCCCAATGCATAGCGAGCCGAACTTGGGAGCGTGCGAAGACGCAAGGGAGCACTTCGGTCAGGGCGGCTGAAAGAGTCTGCCGATGGACGCGAGTGCAACGTCGGACTCCGAGACTCTGCTCGGGTGAGAACGAGCTAGGGGCCAATTCGTCACCGGTGTCTTGTGCTGTATCTTGTAAGCTCGCAAGCGACTGTTACTAGAAGAATACCTCCGGATTACTATGGAAATAGGACTCCGTCCCTATTGTTGCCGTCCAGCCATGTAGACTCTCTCGACTACGAGCCTAGGCCGCGAGAGTTTCTCGGTACGGCGTATCTCCGTAGCAGCACTAGTTAGTTATTACACTGCAGTGAGTTGAATATCCGAGATCACCATCCTCCTCCAGAACTCATTCTACCGCCATCGCAGTGACGATCCCTCGATTGTTTGCCATCGCGCGGACAGACCGGCCCCGTCTCGCTGCAGGTGACCCTTTCCGGCAAACGTCCTCGTCAATGCCCGGCAACACGGGGCGCAGATAAATCAACGCCCTCCCCACCGCACATGTTGCCAACTCATCACTGCGTCCGACGCCTGTCGAGTAACTTTGGCATGGAACTGCCACTTCAAATTGTTCCGGCCTGGCCAGAAAGGAGGGGTCTACCCTTGAGCGTCGGGCCTATTACAGACGGCCATACCGATTGCGCGGGGGTGCGTGCATCATCATCCCTCCTCCCGCATCAATCAGATCCATTTCGCCTTCGGAGGATCAGAGTTGTCCCTCGTCGCCAACTGTCTTCGGCCATGGCTCCCTTGTGCCTCCAGAGCCCACCCGTCCCAAACGCGTTCTGCACAACATGAACGGCCCTAGCCCCGCTTGGCGCCAATCATTGCAGCTCGCCGGTGGATTCCTGCAGCGCGCCTCCGGGAAAAGATCCAGCAGCGGCAAAGGAGGACCATCATTCCTGTCTGCTTTTCATTGAACAGCTGCTGCGTCTACTGCGGGGCACGAAAGAGAAAGTAATGGACCCAGCGCGAAACTCAAAACCGGCCATTGCGATCGGCCGACGGTGATGATGCAAACCCACTTTCCAGGGCTACCGTCGTGAGCTAGGCTCTCTTCTCGCTGGGCCCCATCCGGAGGCCGGGCATGATCTAGCTCCATTGAAGTCTGATTCTGCAAGCGATTGCAGCAGCCGGAGCTAAGCTAGCCAGCTGTTAGTTGTCAATGCCCCTCTCGTCTCTCTCGCCCCCCTCCTCGCCTGTCGCCCGCTAGGTACCAGGCCTATCGAGCACTCCACTGTGCCTCTCGGTCTAGTCTCCGCGGCCTGGTCAGTTTTCTGGATCGGCGAATTGCGGGCGGGGGTACCCTAACCCCCCGGGGCTCTTTCCCCCCAAGGACCAGGACCCAGGACCGGGCCCCGGAGGTGTGTCCCTCCATTCGGCTTGATTCTACTGGCAAGCAGCCATGCCAGCGCATCAGTACCGGGCTTAAAAATAATCCGCCGGAAACACGCAGAAAACAGAACCAAGCAGAACAGCACTTTGTCTTGAGAGACGTCAAGAGGCAATTGCGGGCTTTTTGCCTCGAGTCTCGCGACCCAGGGGTGGACATTGCGGTCCCGTGCATCCGTGGCATCAACTGCCCTGTCTCTCGGGCTACTGTATGTTGCTCTTTGCTTCGCTGTCGAGGCGTTGCGTTTCATGTACATCCAATACGACCCAGTTTTCCATCCTGCTGGCTGTCGCGTATACCCGGACCCATACCCACACTCATACCTCGTCCCCCGAGAGTTTTCTAACGGTAGGTTTCGGAATTGGCGCAATACTGAAATTTCGAAATTTAAAAACTTTACTTTGCTGGGATTGCGATGTGTGGTGTTCTCTGGCCCTGGTCCTGTAGGGTATGGACTGTTGTCCGTCCTATCTTTTCCCTCTTCAGGTTTCTGCGCCAGCTGAGACGACCATATCCGATCCTTCCACGAAAACAAAATGTTTTTGTGGCTGTTTCTGTTCCTGTTTCTTACAAACTTACGCTAGGTACAACTCTTATTTATTTTTATTTTTAATTTTAACTCTTTGTGCGCTGTCGTAATTGCAGCCGTCCATTCCCCATTGCCCATTCCCCCTCCTAGGCCTGAACCTAGGATGCTCCGTACTTGGCCTGCTGCTGGACCGGTAGAAGGTACACTGTGGACAACTCATAGTATGATTCTTCTGGATCAATGCATTGCAATGCCCCACCTGTTTCCATAGAAAGTAATCAAGTATAGCTTGGAGGCAGCCGCCATCCGGCCTTCTCCCGTCTCAGTGGATCTTATTCCAATTTTTTGGGATTTCCATTTTAATTTACCCAATTTTCTTTTCTGCTTTGGTGGTACGGGGCACTGTGTCTTTTGTATGTGTGTATATGTGTGGCGTGGCATCTTCCAATGTCTCCTTCGAGGCCTTTAGTTCTTTAGTTCTTTAGTCCTCGTTCTCTTTCATCTTCTACCCTCGCGCCTCCCTCGCTTTCTCCATTAACGCCTAACCAAACCCTAGAAACCAGCCGCGTTGGTTGTGTCAGTCGTGTCTAGAACTTGCCCCTCTCCTCCCACGCAACACAAAGGCACCAGGCATTTCACGCTAGCCTCGCCTTGCCAGCAAACAACAGATCCCCCAACACGCCCGAGTTTAGGGTCGGCGGCGTTGTCGGCCCCGTCTATGAGAGCAGTCGACGACGTTGGGCATCACTATCCGCATACCTAGGCCTAGGTCTCTTGTGTAGCTGCATCGGCCAGCAGCTCAGCCTCAGCCCTACCCGCTACCCGTCGCGCCGACAACCAATCCATTCAATGCTGTCGGGGTAGCCGCCTCATTTTTTTTCGTTGCGAAGTCGACAGTGGGCAACGCCGCTTCCCGATCTGCCTTCCGTTTCTGCTTTCACTTGGGCATCCAGTCCGATCCCATCGCGCTGAGATGTACTATATCCTTTATCTGGCAAGTACGTGGCTAGCCTCTGCGCGACATTGTACCTTGTTTCCCATCGCGCATTGCATTGTCCTGCCCCGAGCCAGGCACGTCGGAATCGAGGCAAACGGCCGTTCCACTTGCCAATTCCAATGGCCGCTCTTTCTTCCCCCCTGATTTGCCCCCTCCAAGCCAATCAGAAAACCAAGATCAAAGAAATAACCGTCTAACATTTTTCTCCAGGCCTCTGCCGGCGCCGCCGCTGGCCAGAGCCTTCGTACGAAGCATACGCCACCACATCAGGCTACACCTGCGTGGTCCGCGTGCACAACCGGGAGTACCAAACAGATACTATTTACAAGTCGGAAGTGCTCGCCCGCGAAAGTGCCGCTATGCGCGCATACCTGATTTGCCGCAATTTCTCCGTCAATGACGGCATGTACCCGGCAGGTCACGACCACGGCGGCGTCGTGCAGGGAATCCCAGTTGCTATCGGCACGGGGCGCAAGGCTAGCCGCGATGATGACACGGATACCTCCGTCAGCAGCAGGGGGGCAGCTGGAGCGGGGGCAGTAGTCCGGAGCGGATGATGAGGATGGAGCATGGCAGCGAGGTAGTCTATGTTCCTGCATCCGAGGAGCTTGGTTATGCGAGGCGGGAAATGTGATGTGATGGTTCACTGCGAGCCGGCCTGCTTCTTAGAGGAGTGTGGGGGCAAGATCGGGGATTCCTTTCGACTCGGATGAGGAAGGAAATGGTGGGGATGTGGGGTTGGTTTACGATGTTATGACTTATGACGATAGCTCTTTGCATACTCTGCATTTCTTTGAAGCATGGAACTCTGCTCTTGATAGATGGAAAAGCTGCGGCTCTGTTGGGTTACGAATGCTCATTATGACTCTTTATCATGACTGTTCTTTGCGGCCCACAACGACTGGATCCGGGCTAATGGTCCATAGAGATGGTGGGTTGGGATCAATATTCCATATTGTTGCCTTCGCGATGGAAAATAACCGGTGGTCAGTGGCTGACTTATTTCCGAGATTGAGTGGGTGGGTTCATCTTAACCTTAAGATGTCGCGGGAGTATCTTACTCTCAGATATATCAATGCCTGCCGCACCAATCAGGGTCGTGCTGGCGCTTATGCCGAATCCCCCACTGAAGAAAAAAGGAATTACCTATATTTGCTTTTTAACAAGAAGCATGTCAGGAATTCCCCACCAAGCTACCTAGTGGAGCGTATCTTTCGATCCATGCCATTGGTGGCACAGGTCACCCTTGTTATGGCGTCACGTATGAGAGGATCATCATGCTCATGTTAAGGAATGAAAGATATGTACTAAGACACGTGATGCATTTGAATGATGAATGTGATTCGAGATACGAGATCTCCATCCCATTTACCGTCGTACCATGTCCAAAGTCAAGATATCTCGTCAACTGTCTCACCACCACTTCCGTTGTGGAAAAACTTGATCTCGAATCATTCCGCTACTTTGATATCGACACCATTGTCAAGAAACTCGGGAATTTCGAGCCATTCAACTATCATGGAGATCCCGATTTCAAGCCGTTGCCCCCAAAATGAATGGCCTGAACAGGTTTTATCCCCCATCGCTGCCGTAGCAAAACTTTCAATCAGTGGTCGCTCCCGAAGTTGGATAATATTCTTGTGCCTCTGACAGTACACTGGATCATACCGGCCGAAGCTGGAAGGTGTGCAAATGGATTTCCAATCACAACTAGACATCTCCCCTATGTAAACTGAAGCTGCGGAGATTAAAATATCGTTGTATTTTGGCTGATGCGTAGCTGTCTTTGGTTGGACGAGGAGGCTGTAGTTGGAGACTCATTCCCAGGTTCACACCCAGGGCCAATGGCCGGCGTCAAGATCTCGTATCCCTATAATCTGAGTTTTTGACAAGGCTTCCCAGTAGTCCTCGTCCTCCATAATCATCGTATAAGCCCAGGGGAAAGTCAGTAACGTCTAGCGGTAAATTAGCACCCTGGATCCTCAAGAGGCGAAGTGACAAATTTGCCCACTTGCCTGAACTTTTATCGAGACTTCCAAATACTCCAATGCGAGCCCACCCCGTGGGTAAAAGGAACCGTAATCGGGTGCAAGGCTGAGTTCTAACGAGATCGGGCGCAGGTCAGTGTATCGCGACTGATTAACCCTCCTAACTGCTGCCGCTACAGATGCTGTTTTACAGAAAGGAGTCGAGATGTTCAAGATGACTCTTTGCACATGCAATAGCGAAATGAAGTTGACTTTCACAGCGAGAGAGAGTGCCATATCGTACGCGCAGGGGAAATAAAGGAAGCAAACGGATCAAGGCCAACTGTGGTGGGTAAGAATATCATTTAACAGCAGAAGGGGAGAAAAAAGGATCACAGCGTAGAAGGAAAGGAACACAGCATCAGCGCGAGGGCTGGAGTTAGCCTGTCCTGTGGCGTGACTCCCACAATCAGATGTAGGCAATTATGTCGCTTGTGGAGATTATATAGTGCATTAGGATGAGTGAAGAATTCGTGACCATTGTGAGATTGATAGGATATTACCGGAAGATATGTCTAGTGTCGAGGGATAGTCTCGAAATGATCAGGAGTAAAAATGCTAAGACTTCATTCGTCTGAAAGAATAGACAGAGTTGGATTCACAGTATATGCACAAAATGAGTTGAATAAGATGACCTCGAAGCCTTCTTCATATCAGTAGAAGAGGCCGCAGGAGTTTATAACTCTATCCATTACACTGCCATTTCTCGAAGTACCTCGGCAGAGCTCCAAAAGTCGCATCTTTTAGCCAGTTCTTCATAGGAATCCTTGTCATGCCCAATGGCTTTGAGGCCTTCGTTTGGACCACCAACTACTCGAAGGTTGTATTGACCCAGTGAAATTTGATCCATGGCGTCATCCCAGTTAGTTATTGTCCCATGTCTTCGAGATGGATCTCCAAATGCAGCGAAGGAAGCCCAGCTACTACTCATTTCCGTGGACAACTTTATGTCCGATGGCGAAGCCAGGAAAGAGTATCTGGTCTTCGCCAGATTAAAGACATAGGGAATATCACTGAAATGTGAGATACCGAGGTAAGAGGTCCCCATCTCGGCAAATAGCGGAGAAAATAGGGTCTGGTTCAAGACGTAGAGATAGTTCGAAGTCTTCCCGTCGGAGTATTTATGATTCATTTGCACCATATGCAGACTTGGGCAAGCATATTGGGCGTCTCGAAGCATTCGGCTTGCACGGAAGTACTGGGCTGAAATGTTCTCTGAGGACATGTCCGAGAAGGATGTAACAGAGTATAGAGAAAGAACTCTCTGGACGTTTCTCTTCGAAAAGGCTGGAAACTGGGAGTAAATGAACTGGACAAGATCCGTGGTTGAGTTGAGTGTGGATGGTGCAAAGAAAGACTGATCGTCTTCAGTCCAGCCAGCAATAATGTCAATGTCGTGAGCGAATCGACCAGTTGTCAATAGCGTTGAAGGGCTGTCAGGAATAAAGGTCGACGGAGATGTCGGCTCAAAGACATCAAACCCAAAATTGCTAACGCTAAACTCGTATTCAACCGCAGCTGACAGCAGTCTGTCAAGCGGCAGTTCCCGCAGGCAAGCAAACTCGGCCTCGCTGCTGGAGGATGTGCAGTTGATTTTCTTTATCAGCTCACTCGTATGTACTGCTGATATGTTGCTAGCAGTGCCTGAGTCTGCAGAGGCGCTGCCTGATTGCATGATAGCCCTTTTGAATGGGGTCTTCGGTATATCTCCGCCATAGGCGGTGATCTGAAGGCCGACTCCAGTAGCACCATCACTTTCTCCAAAGATAGTGACATTATCAGGGTCTCCACCGAAAGCTGATATGTGCTGCTGCACCCAAGAGAGACCGAGTCGCTGGTCAAGGAGGCCCGCATTAAGAGAGCCCGTTGCGTTCAAAGCTGGGGATGCAGCAAAGCCAAATACACCGACTCGGTAGTTCATAGCCACATACATTACAGGGAAGCCCTGTTGAACGGCGTTGGAGATCAAGGACCCTGGCTCGTAGATTGGATCATAAATCTGGCCGATGGAATCTCCGCCGCCATAGATGTATACCATGACAGGAAGCTTGGATGTCCTTGATGTGTTGGCTGGTCGATCGACACGTAGAGTTAGACAATCTTCTGAGATGTGGGTTACATTGTCAAAAACTGCAAGCCCCTGGATAGGAACCTTCTGCTGTGGGCAAGCTGCACCTGGCTGAGTGGCATTTACCACTGAGCCATACGGATAGCTGTAGGGCTTGGGTGCCGCAAAACGATTACTGCCACCGGTATTCTGACCGAAGCGTATGTTAATGAACGACTCGATATTGCTGGCCGATGATCCGTGAAAGCGAACACGATTTTCTATGTCCACAATGGCATGCTGTTTATGAAGAGCACTTGCGTGACCGCAAGCTGAAAATAGACAGAGAAAGATGGCTGCAACGGATTTAAACGCCATGGTTTAGGGACGGATTCTCGAAGTCTCCGAGGGTTTGGCTGTCTCTGGATTCTGAACTGATTGTGAAGGGTTCTGCAGTGGAGCGTTATATATGTTGGACCAGAGTTCAGAGCGCTATCTGAAAGTGTTTCGCAACTAATACTGAAGTAAGATGTTTTAGATTTACACTAACCCAAAAGAGCAACCATCGCGAAAGATCCTCCAAATTTCAAAGCTTAGATCCGGCGGGAGGCTTACATTTGCACTAAATCTTACTTTGAAATATTTAGCCCCACAATGCACTAGGCAGCCCTATAGTCAGCGTCTTGCATGCCATTTTGGGAGACTGGTCTCTCAAAAAAAAGAAATGAAACACCCGTTTCTTCAAAGTTATCTACGATACGACTGAGTCGGGCTAGATTTTCAACTATTTGAGGGTTGTTCTTATTACCACCCTGTAAGCAGCAACCCATCGGCTCTATGCATGGCCATCAGGCCCCCGACGTATGACAATTCTAGAAGTTCATGAGCTTAGTCAAGGGTTGCCATCATAACCTCTGCAGGCATTGCCGCTTCCAAAAGTTGCTTGCGAGCACTTATTATGAATCATCATTACCCGGGTAGCCCTTGCGGATGCTAGTGAAATTCCCCCATTGCGTATTTGGAACCCGGAAAAGCGCCGGGATTTTGCCAGAACGCTATCTAATTGAATGACTCTGAAAGTTTCTTTATATTGGAGAATGACCTCTTGTTCGTTCCACTTTTGCCAACAGCATCTTGGTCGAAGTGTATCGACTCAACGTGGAGAGGAGCCAAAACTAGACCAATCAGCAGCATCACGCACAAGCTCCGAACCCTACTTCATAGAATCTTGGGCACTGCAGATATTCTTAGTGAATTGCCATAAATACCCACCCCTAGGTAAGCAACACCTCCGGCCTTGACTAAGCTCTCGTGTCTAGCCGGCTCAACGAACGTATTAGATCAAGCCCGCTCAGAGGCTTGCCGAGTGTTCTGTCATTTCTGACACTCAGCCAGAGACAGAGTAGGGCAAAGATCGCCCTTAACGTAAAGAACACCGATTAGATTTGAAGGCATGTAAAGGCTGTGTTCGCTCCCTTCATTTAAAGGGCTCGTTTATAGCTGGGAGTGGGATTAGGCTAACCATAGCTCATTAGATAGTTCAGACTCTCAGTAGCTCGATTAAATTTGTGGTAACTAACTTACTACCTAACTAGTTAGTTAAATAAGTTACCAAGAATGGCTGATTCACCAAGAGTGGGAATCGAGCAAGTACCAAAACCTTATCCAGCCACATCCGGTCATAGCACAGCCACATATCCCAGTGCCGCACTGACGTCACCAGATCAGCACTTGGCCAAGGCAATGAGACGAAGGCCAGCTGTTGGCAATGGCCGATGTTCCTGGATCGCCCTCGCTTGTTGTCGACAAGCCCACTGTGCTGACTGGGGCCAGTCGTATACTCTCCAGTTTTCTCCACAATTCCTGCGCAACGCCTCTGCGTCATGCTCACAACTTGGGCGCGTGCTGCCTTACCTCCTTCCGTTCCCCTTCCTTGAACTATGAATTCAAGCTTCAACACCCCGAATTGACGCCTAACGGACCATACCGAGTGAGGAATAGACGGGAACATACTGTGAAACATGCTGCCAGCAACGCGGAGCTGTTCACCCTCCATCTCGTCGGCGAGACGTCAACTATGGTGGCTTGGTGGTAGAGCACGCTCGCTATCCGCGAGATCGGTGTCAATTGCGCTGAGCAACTGCCGACAGGGGATATCAGGACAGCGAATAAATTTGCTATCCGGAAAAGGAACCGGGACAAGAGCTTCGCATAGTTCTTATCTGTTCACTGCCCCGCGAGCCCTCGCTGGGCAAAGCCAGGAGCGGGCTTTCCGAAGGGCCAACTACATTGAGAAAATCGGCGACAACGAACAGACGGAGGAAAGGATGGAAAAAGAAAAACTTGAAACCAGGGTTGATGAGCAACATGACCGGCCTCGGCGGCAGGTATTAGATGAGGAGGGCAAAAAGAACCCACCACCGAAAACGCAGTCAGAAAAGTGGTCAGAGGACATGACCAAAGGTAAGAGTGGGAGGATTCTCCTAAGAAATATTATGGGCATTAACAGGCTATTTTAGGAAAAATGTTGACGACGCCGTCGCGACTTTTCAAATTGATCATTCCACTGACCACGACGGACCAGGGTCATGACAAGGGTGATTTAGTCCTGAATGCAGCACCAATGACCTTCATGTGACTGACATTGCGAGCAGGCGTCGAACCCATTGCTCTCCTAGTTCATCCCCAACAGCCTCTGTCATACATAGAGCGCTTAATACAGTCAGAGTTGCCGCCTATTGATGGTGAATGCGAGAAGCGCCCACCAGCCATATCTTTCATTGCCCTTCAACACGAAGACAACGCGATCAAGCCTAGAAAGAAGATCGAAGATGACATCGACATGGATGCAATCTACAATGACACCCATGGCCAAGAAAACGGCCAAAAGTCCGGGGGTGGCGCACCAATTGAGCGACGGCGACGATCGCGAGAAGAGGACGCGGAGACATACAGCTATCCCCGGAAGACAGACTCTAGTCTCGACCCCCTGAATGGAGAGCCCGAGCGATTCGTGCGGTGGTCTCAGGCTACCGAGGTTGGGGATTTCCTCCGAGATGCTGCTCGTACCCGTGAGTTCATTGTCACCATCGAAGGCGCACCAGCGGGACTGGGTCAGATCAGAATTACTGTGCCATCGTTCAACGAGCGCACATACTTCTTGCGCATGAGGCTGCGGAAGCTCTCACGGCAGATCCAGGGAATTGCCGAGGTCAAGCATGAATGTGATGTGATGGCTCTTCGCGGAGCACAGCGTGTCGCTATTGGAGGCTTTGGAATCCTCGCTACATGGTGGTTTACAGTGTACAAATTAACCTTCGAAACCGATTTGGGCTGGGACACGATGGAGCCGGTGACATACCTGGTCAGTTTGTCTACCCTGATGGGCGGTTATCTATGGTTCCTATACCACAATCGGGAGATTTCGTACAAATCCGCGCTCGACTTCACCGTCAGTGCCCGCCAGCGAAAGCTCTACCAGCTTCACAACGTCGATCTGCAATTATGGGAATCTCTCATCGACGAGGGGAAGGCTCTACGGCGGGAAATCAAAAGCATTGCAGCTGAGTATGATGCTGAATGGGACGAGCGCGTCGAAGAGCAAGACGAGCGAGTTACTCAGGCCCTGAAGTCCCACCGAAACAAGGAAGGTGAGAAAAAGAGCCGCGGCGATAAAGACGGCGCGGATGACGACTGAAGAGAAGGGGGCTTTCGCGGTGGGTATCATTTTGGTTCATTTGTGTCTTCGATACCAAGTCTCACAGCGCCTGCGTCCTTTGCATTCCTCTCATTACCTACTACACTGTCCATAGTTTCCTTCGGGTCTGTTACACCGGCGAACGCTTCATATCTCGGAGAAAATATGCAAATAATAGAGAAACAGATCATATGCCCATCGAGGTCACAAACAAACAATTAAACCAAATTACAGAACCCAAAGGACCCTAGAGCGTCCCATTCCGCACAGGATCATAGTATCCTTTCTTCGGCGACGCCGTCTCTTCCACCTGCTTAGCCCGCTTGTCTAGCACACCCAGCAAACCCAACAAATTAGCCCAGTAATACACGCGAAAGCCCATATCCCTAGCGCGAAAGTCTTACCAGAATCAGGCACAGCCACGTTACTCTCCCCCTTCCGCCGATTCCGATTATTGCGCACATCACGCGAGCGGAACACGCTGTACAGCAACCACCCAGCGACCCAGTTGGGTCCGTATTCGCCATTAGTGCCGCCGTGGTCGAACAATGGGCGCGTGAGGGGGGCTGCGTTGCGCCAGATCTCCATGATTGCCCAGCGCTGGTGGTCTGGTCGGATATGGTGCCAGAAGAATGGGGGGCGGGTGGTGGGATCGGCGCGCACGCTGTCGAGGAGGTGGGAAGTATCTTGGTTCATGCGGTTGTAGACCATGATCGCTTCATCCTAGATTGCGTTGGCTTTTTCCAGCTTTTTCATTGTTTGGCGGAGAGTGGCTTTCAGGGCCAAGGTTGGGGATAGATGTACATTTGAGATGACGGGGGTTTGGGGGACTACTTACCCGCATGGCGCGGTAATACTGTTCATGCTGTGGATCATGCGGGCTCAGGCCCAGGGCGTGCATGAATTCCTCCTTCGAGACTCGTGGGCCGACGGGTGTCATGATTATGACTTGATCCGATTATTCGGGCAAATTTGGTAGGAATTAGGGGGTGAGCTTGTGCAAGGTGATGCTGTGCTAGGTAACCAAGTATTGGTTGTATAGAACCGACGAGAGACAAGTATCACACTCTTTAAAGACCAAAGAACAAGTCAAGTCGAACTAAAAAGCAGAAAGAAGATGCTGCTTGCGCCGAGAAATCCGTATCCGAACATGCAAAGGAAAAGGCTAAAGCTTTATATGGAAATCGAGTTTTGCTCGCGGCACTTCTTCTCAACGTTCGGTAGTGTCCCCAACTTGCACAGAGCCGTTGCCCAATCCAAGGGCTCGCCTCGATGCAATCAGATACTTCCTGACGGCGGGTTGAGACAGGGGACAGCGAACGACCTCGGACGAAAAGCCAGGCAAGCAGGCAAAGCGCAATCGACGCGGTGGGTAAGGGACGCCTCGAGCCCCGCAGGGATTGGAGTCGAGGCAGAGGACAAGAAACAATGATTCAAGTCTATCGCATGCTCTGTTCGTAGGACGCATGAGACACCGAAACCCGAAGCCTGACGGGGAGGTGGTATACCTACCCGAGCGGAGCCAACAGAATAAGAGAGAAAAGAGGAATAATCCAAAAGAAATCATGCCAAAAATTGGTTGGTAGGAGAAAAATAAAATAGAATAAGAAAGGGCTAGGAACTTGCCCTCGCTCTCCGTATTTCCTGGTTTCAAAGAATTTGAATTTCCCCAGGACCTATACGCGCTGGTGCATCTGCAAGATTTTTGGCTGCGTTGCGGCTGAGTGGGACAATGTGCCTATTCTTCAACTCACACCCGTTGACATCCAACCCCGGACTAGGTCAAATCTTAACTCGGCCCGGGTAGAGGGGAGGGAAATTGCTTCGTGTGCTGTGGTGGTATCACCTAGATAGGCCAGGATATGATTCAGAGATGCCTTGCTAACTCTGGACTGTCAAGCCCAAGACCTGAAAACAGTGCATGTAAGGGGGATGGGATGGAGGCGTCGGGTGAGCAAACGAGGTAGATGGTTTACGCGAGACAAGAGTGTGGTAGTACACTTTCGCCCTTGTTGAAGGTATGGCGAGACTCGCGGTTGGAGCCCGCAAAGATGGGTACGCGAGGCAAGCAAGCTGGGCTCGACGACTGAGCGTCCTAGACAGCGGAGCGCTGACGGACCTCAAGGGAGGCCCCCCGAGCTCGAGTATACTATCCGAGACAGACAGACGGGTGGTTTATGTAGATGTGCATGTAGCAGGTGGGGGGCTCGGACATCGGTTTGTATAGGCTTATTTGATAATCTAGGCTTTTCGAGACGGAAGGCATAGTCGAAGCGGGGAACAGGCCTATGCTTAGCCCGAGGCTTTGAAACATGTTCGTAACCGTGGAATAGTGGCTAGCAAGCAGCCTTAGGTGGATAACTACCTACAGCGCTATTATCTCCCTCGACGTGACCCGTATACTTGAGACCCGCTCGTCACGGTGGAGAATCAGTAAAATCCAAACTGCATACTTAAGCTGACGTCCAAACATTCATCTACCGTCTAGCCCATCACATCAGCATCACATCCCAAATTGTTGACAATTACTCCCAAAAAAAGACAAGACCCGGCCCTATCCCGCATCCGCAGCAAAAGAAAAGAACTCGTTGGCCATGCCGTGCAACCTACCAAGCCGCCTTCCAGCCCTGTGCCCAATAATGCAATCTCAGGATAAAGAAAACGGCCAGCCTGCTTGCATCTGCACCGGAAGAGCACCCGCGGCAACAGTCTTGCATCCTGTCAAAGCGTACATGCGCTGATTGCGGGGAGAAAAAGAGCGGGGGATAATAAAACAAAGAATAAAAAAAATAAGCCGTAGATTTGGAATAAGGGGCCGTCTCGACTTGATGTCGACTTCTCCGCCCCGTGCGTACCTATGCTACACCTTCACCCTTCCGAGGACGAGGGAAGATACAAACGGACGGACTGGCAGGAAGCCACACCCAGGTATGTACACAGGTATATACCTCGACCCTCCACTCAAAAGGCTAACATAGGTACCCTCATTAAACCACACTTATCCGACAAATCAAATAATGTGGTAGTTGTATAGGCGCTGGAGACTAATCCAGATCTGTCTACATCATCCCGATCTATATATCTGTCATCAAATCCCGGGTCCAGCGTGCAACAGACGCGTTTCAGGTTCTTCCGCTCCCTATTCTGGAAACACAAGGCTCCATATGTTCTAAAGTCAGTTGGAATAGCCGGGCAAATGAAAAGCAATAAGATGGGATGGGATAGGATTGAAGGAAGGGCAGCGCGGCTCAGTTCGGCTGGGCTGGGCTGGCTTGAACTGGATTCAATTTGGGAGGGAATAGGCAGGGGGAAGGGAAGGATAAGGGGGGACCGTTGCATTGGTAACGCAGACGCAGGTGTCTCCTGTCCCCATCCCGGCTTATCTCATGCTGCATCTGTCGGAGCTTTTTGTTGCTGGCTGGTCTGCTTTGGGGCTGTTGGTTGCTCTCGCAAGGATGCGGATGTTACCTGGAAGTGCACGAGGCGAGAATGCGTCGAGGCACCTTATTTGCGCGCCCCGTGGTTTCTGATTCTGCGGGCTACCGTGGCTGGTGTAACCTTTGGCTTGGTCTGCAGAGTCGTGTTGATCTTGAATGTTGTGAGCTTCATAGGCAAAAGAAGGGGATCCAAGTATAGGTAGAAAGTTTGGGCTTGGGAGAGAAAGCTGCGGATGGTAGTGGGTTTACGAATGAGGTTAGGCGTCTTCCCGGCTCATTTTCTTTACAACTGGGTATTCTCGAGAAGAAAGGGGGGGCAAAAGTACAAAGAGGAGGGGATTGTCCTGGATTTCCCTTCCCCCCCCCCCCCCCCCCCCCCCCCCCAGGCCCCTGATAGGTGCTTGTCGCACGGCCGCCATCAACAACCAACTCGAAGATGCAGGTTTCCGCGGACCGTTCGCCCTAAGCCCGTTTGCAATCCCCCTAGCCGTCCTGCAGCCCCGGATGCAAAGGTGGATAAGCCTGCAGGATTCCTCGGAAGGTGGGTAAAGGTGACAACACCGGCCTGCCAGCTGTGAATTATCGCTTGTCAATACACTCGAGGGAAGGAAGAGAGGTTGTTGGGGAGGAGGCTGGGTGCTGCTGGCGTTTGTTGTTCGTTGTGATGGGGCTCGAGCGGCATGAGGAATAATAGCATACCACAGTCGGGGAAAAATTGACACGTTGACAATTGATCGGTGAGCTATACTATTGATGATTGTGAGTGGACATTTCAAAGTGGGTAATTGAGAGAGGACACCGCGGGAGAATGAAGCACTTGCTTAGAGCTATGTAGACAGGAAGTACATCACGATAAGCCAATGACAACTAAACAAACACATGGACCCATCCATCCTACACAACAATCAGGTCAACGCTACTAATGCCTATGATCGACCGGTCGATCAACCTCGACTTATCCGCCATGTTTATGTCGATCCACAGCATGCGCCACCCCAGACCGGGGCAGTCGATACAAGCTTATCCACAGTGTCTAGTCCCACGCAAGTGGCTGGAAGGAAGCTTTGAGGGCGCCAATGGCCAACGCAGATGCATGGGGGTAGTGGATCAGGCTGGTGGGAGGTGCATCTTTAGTACAGTATACTATACTACGTAGTGTATACCCTGGGGCGGGCCTGTGCAGTCCTACGTCCGGGCTTAGCTTATGATGGTGGTGCTTCACGGCATACCATGAGAGTAAGGTACGCATGCATGCAGAAGATTTTATGTGAAGAGGCCTGACTCATACAGACGAAAGCAAAGCGAAGCAAGCACACAGTGTGTAGGGCAGGTGCGCGGCTCTCGCCCTGCTCGTCTTCATTCTCTTCTCTTCTCTTCTCGCCTCTGCTCGTTTCTATCCATCGTCGTCTTCTCCTTTCCCGGCGTATACTGATCCACAAGCATTGCAAGCAACATATCCAGGAGGAGCTCTCGGATTCGGTATCTCGATATTCGAGGCTACTCTTCCTTCTGACCCCTTGGCGGAGGGGAATCCACTATCGCGAATATCCCGCCTGCGCCCACAAACAGACAGGACTTGAGGGTAAGATCGGGACCTGTGATCTGCTTTGATAGATACTGAAACCGATACGACACCAGATCAGAAACCACATCCTCCCGTCCCTTCGTCCCTCCCTCTCACCCATCCATCAGCACAAGTGCTCAGCCCTGCTCAGGGAATCTGCGGCGGGGGAGGGGTTTGGTATGTACGTCAAGAAACCAGAAGCCAACAACGACAGAATAAAATCAAGAGGCACGGGTGGAGGGGAAGAATGAAAGGGATTGGTGGGGGAAAAAAAGGGTAAAGGGCCATTTGCTATGCTCCATCCGTCGCTAAAAAAAAAAGTGGGGGGAATTTCAATATAGAGTAAATGAAACGAAACGAAAGAAAAAAGCAAGCCACCCTCTGTAACCCACTTATTTCTTCGAGTCGTCTGCCTTGGGCTTTCCCTGAGTGTCGGCCTCCTTGGTCGTGGACGCCTTATCGGCGGAGGGCGGCTTTTCTTCCTTGGGGGCGGCCGGGGCCTCGGGCTCGGGCTCGGGCTCGTCCTTGACTTCCTCGCCGTAGAAGAGGCGCAGGAACTTCTCGACTTTGGCGTACTCGACCTCAACCTCCTTGAGAGTCTTCTCTATGTTCTTGAGGCACACATCCTCGGATTCTTTGCCGGAGCCGTTCTCGTCGAGCCCGTTGCCGAAGTGCTGGATCTTTTCGCAGCCGTCCCGGACATGGTTAAGGCCCAGTGTGGCGGAGGAGCCCTTGAGAAAGTGTCCGAGGGAAGAGAGCTCCTTGAGGTCCTTCTTCTCACTGTGCGGGTGGTTAGAGCTTGCTCTGATTGCTTTGGCTGCTTCGGTTGGGATGAAGCCATGTGTTGTTTGTTTGTTTTTTTTGGCGTGGGGGGATAGCCTACTACTTACAGCGCGGTCTGGATGTTGATGAAAGTGCTCTTAGCCTGGTCAAAGAAGCCGTATACTATGCCTTTGCTGAAATCGCGGTCATCGTCGTCGTCCATCTCTAGGATCTGCTCGAATGTGCTCTCATCGATGAGTTCCTTGACATCGGAGAGCTTAGGCGGGCCCGACTGGGGTTGTTGATACAGGTCAGTCTGCAAGCTCTCGAAGAACCAGGGAATGTTATGTCATAGAAGTACTCACGGGCTCCTTCTTGTTGGCTGGTGCCATGTCTGGTGATGCGGAGAGAATGAGGGAGAGAGAGAGACGGGCCTCCCAGAGGGGTAGTCGGATCAACCTTTCCTACCACGTGGATCGTCAACGGTGGTTGGATCAACTGCGGCTGCCCGATCTAGAAATCCAAGATCGAGGACGAACGGATCTGCAGTATACATCCCAGTCAGCCAGTGTTTCTTGTATACATCATATTTTGTGAATGCGAATGCGAATCATGATCAAAAGCAGAGTGAACTGTGATGCTGACACCACGGGATGATAGGCAGTCTGTCGTTCCTGAGGGGCCAACACATATGCCATCAGGGCATGCAGTCTTACATAGCCAAGGGGATGTATATTACAAACGGTGGGCTTGATGGCTAGGTAGCGGGAGATGGGCGAGAACAAGAGACTTGATGTCTGAAGACAGGGCGCCAGCACCGATGAGGTTCTGTGGTCTCAGGTCTAGGCCACAAGCAGAGCCTGTCAGGGATGGGTGACCGCCACAATTTCACGTCAAGTCCAAGGCAGGCTTTTGTTCCGCGGTGGCTGAAGGGCTGAAGAAGCGGGTATTGGGAAGCGGGCCAAACAGGATGCAGCGCACACGAGGAATGTGGACGCGGACAAGGGAGGGGGGGAGCAGAGCGGTAAGTAAGAACAAGGGCAGCTTACTGTGCGATACCGCAAGCCGAGCGAGGGTGACAGGACGGGGACAGGACAGGGTTGAGGGGAGAAAACAGAGAGATCAGAGAGAATCTGAGAGAGATCAGAGGGGCAAGGCAGGGCAGCGCCAGGTAGGTAAAGGTAAATTGGCAGATGTGGAGAGTCGAGCCCAGGTGAACAGCACGGCCAGCCCTGACTCGGTCTGAACAAGCCAAAAGAAACGAAAAAAGGAAAAAAAAGTCCTAGGACTAGGACCGCAGTTAGCCCATTCACACGCGCCGCATATACTCGAGCGCCGTCACGGCGGGGCTTGAAGCACACACCAGCTGCAGCTACTAGGGTCGAGTCCCACCCTGGCCAACACGAGGAGAGAAAAGAGCAGAAAAATGAGAAAACACCAATTAGAACCACGGGCCGTTCAATCGGGTATGGCGTGTAAGTAGAGGGAGTTATATCCCCTGGCTAGATTGGGGGATGGGAAAGAAAAAGGAGGGGCAGAATAATCACTGCCGGTAGGCTCGGATAATTGGGCAAAGGGGAGCTGTCTGGTTCATCCCACCTTTTGGTAAATTTTTTTAAAATTAATGTTGAAGAGTTAAAGAAGCGCGTGGGAACCAACCCAGTGCGAGGAAGGAGCAATATCACAGGCGGTCGCGCGCGGGAAGGAGAGAAATCAAAGTTACGAGCCGAAGAAAAGAGAAGATTGAGGGAAGTTAGCGAGAGGCGGAGAAGGTGGTGGTTAGTGGTGGGTAACGGGTAACTAATTAATCGCGGAAGGAACCAGTGGAGGAGAGCTGGTAAATTCGTAAACCGGTAAACTGGTACGTGTACGCTTGGTAAATGCTGGTAACTGGTAACTACGGGTAACGGTCTCCGATGAACCAATATTCTGACAGCCGCACGGCAGCTTTCGCACGACATAGTTAGCATGGCAGGTCGCGCTAGCTGCTCTAGTCCATTCCATTTTAATGTTTTGAATCTATCCTTCTCATTCTCATCGGGAAGGCCAAATTTGGCACGAGACGGGCTTATCGCGCTACTCGTCGACTCTGGATTGTTTTGGTTGTTCGGAGTCGGGGAAGATGACGACTTATTAGAAAAAAGCAAAACCCACAATACTGGCCCGCCTCTTCACGCCGACCCAGCATCCCTCCTATACAATAGAAATATCCTCACAGATATCCGGAACCCCAGAAGTCTAGAACCCTCGAATCTCTAGAATTCTATTTTTTTGTTGTTCCGATATGAACTGTACAAGAAAGTCCCAAAGAGATCAGGCAGATTAAGTTATCATCCTGGTCTGGACCGCGCTACTGGCACCGTCTCCCTTCACAAAACAGGCAGGTATTCTACCCTTGCTCTCCTCGACTCCCGGCCACATGCACCCCATTAGGCCTGTTTAGATTGGCCTGCCCCTTGCCCAGCCTCATGGAACATGGTCACCCGGACTCCGGCCACTGTGCGCAAGCAGTGGAGATTTGGACAGACCCCCGGGCCTGCGCTCCACCGCGAGCCAAGCACGGGCGTGAGATCATCGGCTCCCCTCCCTCACGACCGTTCAACAGTGGATTCGATGTGACCACTGTACATGTACCAAAAGGTATATTCTGGACTCTAGTATGGGGGGTTCTCACAATAAATGGGCCGAAAATGACAGGAGGGGGCCCTGTAGAGCACCCTCCTACAGTCTAGCCGACCGCGTTCCCAGCTACCTAGACAGAACGCGACGGATCTAACCCTACGAAGGACCGGGCCAGCAAGGTCTATCCGACCAGGGGAAGAGCAAAGGGAGGGGTGCCAGCGCCGCAAAACGACATCATCGAGACGTCGATCCCCGCGCTGTGCACGTCATGTCTCGTGATTATCCTTGTGCCCCCGAGCCATCGTCGCCCAACCTCCCAGTCGTACATGGTACCACTGGTCTCCATCTGCGGGCAGGGTTTCTGCGCGAGACTGCACTCCAAGTTCAACACCGACGGCGTGGTCATCTCCACTTGGTTCCAGCATCAGCAGGATAAGGGGAATACAGCATTGGCTATCACGAAAGATAGGGAAAGAACAAGGTGCGATGCCACGCATTCCCCTAAACGCCCCCTTCCCAACCCTCCCACGAGTGAGATTCGGGATCTCTCAGTAGCCGCAGACCCCGGAGGGGAGATAGCCCGCGCAGTGCCCCCAAGCAAGATCGGGCCTGGTCAAAGAAAGCCGTGGACCGCAACCAGGGGAAACAGAGCAGGTCGGACCCAGTGCGACGGCCGGTCTGGGCCCTTCAAGGACCGCGGACCACCAGCGCGCATCGCAAGCGCAGGGCCAAATCCACTGTCCGGCCACCCCCCTTTTCACCCGCCACTCCGGGCCCGGTGTCATGTTGCATGGATTCGGTTCTTCTGACGTCCGGTGCGATCAGCTGCGACTCTCCCACAACTCGTTCTTGGGAAAGGGTTCCGGTCAGGGAGGGGGAAAGTTAGGGGGTCCGGTCAGCGGGCTCAGACCAGACCAGACCAGACGCGAGCGATTATGCTGTCACCGATGACGATGTAAGGGTGCGAAAAAAAAAGAGGACCTTTGCTTTCGGCCGCGGCTGTCTGAGCTTGAGACCCCACATGGCGGCTGGGTGATACTTTAATCACTCAATCCGGCGGTGCAGTTATTCTGGATGACCCCAATTGCCAGAAACGAGGGCCGACTTCGCGCGCAGTGGAAGCCATCTGTTTTGTTTATATAGCAGGTAGGCGCATTTGTGCTTTTCATGGACGTCGCCTGTTTTTGTGAGGTGGTTGGCCCCCAGTTCGGACCGCCAATCAGCGTGGGAAATGGCCGCTATGACATCACAGCGGAGCAGGTGGCCGGCTGGCTCAGCCTCTGATGTCATTTGCCTATTAAAGTATGGTTCATACGGAATATAGTGTATAGTATGTATTGCCGTACGTCGACTGTATCATGCCGTTTGGCAGAATTGTGTACATGTACGGAGGTGCATTTCAAAAGTTCGGCGTCGCGCACCGACCACCACCTACTACACTAGGCGATTTTTAGCTAGATTATATTGTATTGTATTGTATTGCCTATAGCCTACCCTCTTTATATTCGTTACCACCATCTAATTCGATGATCTTTTTGATATGCGTAGGGATACGCTCAATCCAACGCTGGATCTTCTCCTGCGGCATCTCTCGCCATGCAGCTTGCCAAGCAATATAGGCCTCCTGCCTACTCTTTGGTGCGCCTTTCTTGGTTGTAACACGTTTCAACCAAGGCCAGGCAGGCTCAATTGGATTTAGATCAGGCGAATTGCCACACCAAATTAGCCGATTAACCTTAGCTGCATCAAAAACACGTTGTTGGATATAGTGGCTATGTGCCGGTGCTTTATCCTCTTGAACAAGCGTATTCGGCCGTTGAATAGCGCATTCCTTTGCAAAAGGTAATAGCTTTGGTATCAAAATCAGTTTTTGATATCGATACCAATCAATTCCACCCTTACGACCACGACCAAGCTTGCCAGTTTTCTGGTTAAATTTCCATATAGGCCTTTTACCAGCAGGTTGTCGTCGAAGATTCACACGACGCATCTGCGTTTCAAGCTCCCAATCAGCTTTTAAAATAGGCTCAATCTCGCAATTTAATTGCTCAATCTCTTGCTCAGATTCACGTTTCTCTTGCGCAGTTTCAGGTTTCCAACAATGATAAGGGCCTTTTTTATCATAGGTAAAGCAGCCCCAAAACATGAATTCACAAGCGCCTTTCCAACGCTCACGAATACAAGATCGAACAAAAGCTTCATCCTTAGAACGCCAAACTCGATAGCTACCACGTCGATGTAGTAGAATAACCGAAGTTTCATCGGACCAAATCACATTCTTCCAATCATCAAGTGTCCAAGCTTGGTGTTCAAGACACCAAGCAAGCCGATCAGCTTTCATCTTCTTCGTCAACCCAGGCTTCCGAGTTGGCTTCGTCTTGCGTAGGCCGGCGTTCTTGAGGATACGCCAAATAGTAGCAGCAGAGATAATGATTCCTTCCTTGCTAAGCTCACCAGCAAGATCAGCACAAGATTTCTCTCGGCCATAACGATCCAGACGCACCTTAGATAGGATAGTCGTCGTTGTTGGTTGGTCTTGCTTAGTTGGCCGGCCAGTACGTTGGGCGTCTTGTACAAAAGCATCTTGAATATTATTATGATTAACCTCAAAGCCTCGCTCGATTGCGCGTGCGTAGATCTTGTTGACAGCTGAGATAGATAGATTGGTAATCGTAGCAATCTCATGCGAAGATTTGCTAGTGTAAGCCTTTAAAGCAACCACGGTTGCTCTTGTGGCGATATCTGGCTGTTTTGGCATATTTTGAATAGCTCGTAGGTTGGTAGGTAGGTAGGCAGGTAGGTAGGTAGGTAGGTAGGTAGGTAGGTAGGTAGGTAGGTCGGTCGGTCGGTCGGTCGGTCGGTTGGTGGTAGGTAGGTGGCTATGGGAAGATAGAAAATAATATTATTAGGGGTAGTTCGACGTTACTGTGTGTATTCGTCTGTTCGATATGACTAGTGGTAAATATGGTGGTCGGTGCGCGACGCCGAACTTTTGAAATGCACCTCCGTACAGTATGTACAGTATCGGTGGATGCCCCATAATACCACGCGGCCTTCTAAGGGAAGAACGGAAATGCCGAGCCCGCTCTTGGCTCAGATCTTAGAGAGAGCCGAGTTGGCGTAGTATGATATTGTGCACGTCGCGGATACCCTTATACTTCGAGCGCTATCCTCCACCCAAGTTCACCGATTACCCATTACATTCCCGGTAATGTACCCGGCCGCTCGCATCGAGCCAGTAGGCCGCCCTAGTCACGAACTAACATGCAATGCGACATCATCGGTTGGGTCCATGATGTCAGGGTGCATAGTCCCCATGCGACGCAGGACGAGGAAAACCATCGGAGGGGGTGTGCGAGGTGAGATTTGACCAACGCCGTACTGTCTCTATACACCGCTGCGGGCTGGGGGACTCTAAATTTCTTCCTGTGCTCTTTTTGAGCAACTGACGACTTTTCAATCTCGTCGGACTCGGTCGAGTTCCCATTGTGCCACGGAGTCCGTTCCTCCACTTGTCCTGTTTATACGGATGTCTATACGGACTTAACACTGTTGCCGCCGAACAGGGCAGATCCCAGAGCCGCCGTCCGCAAAAGTGCGCTGTTCTCCGCGAACACGACACATCACGGCCCAATACCAAGTGGTAAGAGGGTAGGGTACGACTCACGACAGAATCGGGCTAGTGACTGACTTGGCCAGCCCGTGGCGCCATGCTTATACCCAGTCAAAGCCATCAACACCACGGCTGTGCACTTAACTCCCCCGTTTTCGCCAAGCGACTGCCTCTCCCCAGACCCACCCATGCTTGTTCGACTCATACGGGTGTGACAGGCGCCAAGGGCGGCCCCGATGCCGGCAACCCTAGTGGCCCTGGGGACTAGATCGTGCAGCCGGATGGTACACACCAGGCGTGATGAGGCAGGGTCGATAGGCTTGTGCACTGAAAGTTAGCGCCGACTGGAGTAGCCGCTGTTGGTTTCGGGGGGGAAGCCTTCCGTTTGGTTACGAGCGGCCCAGCCGAACACACTAAGATTTCCGGTGGCAGTCAAGAGGGCCAAATCAGAATGGCCGCTATTGTGAAGCCTGGGTGCAGAGGAGAATAGCGTTAAGCCAAAACTGACGCCGACATGCAGGAAGCGCTGTATAGATGGAGCGGGAGGAAACGTCGGGCGCGAAAGCACCTACACGGGTTCTGGTTTAGGGGGAGCAGAACCTGAGTAATAGTAGATGCCAGAATGACAGATGCCAGATGCCAGATCTGACAGCTGAATCGCCCTAATGGTAGACTGACTAAACCGAGTCGACCCGGAAGGAACGGGCTAACTACAGGAACAACCCCAGAAACGTCCATCCCCACAGTTTCGAGGGATCTTCTGGAATTCTTATGTAATCACAGCCGAGGTCCCTTTTTCGAGCTCAACCAGGCCCAACATTTCCCAGCGCACCTGCCCTCACCACCGTCTCCTCTCTACCAGTCAATTCGTGCAGCGATTGACGCTTCCACCGACACTGCAAGTCCAGAGCTGCCTCAATTCAGTTCTCACGACTCACAACTCACACCATCATGCCGGCAACCAAAACCACCACCCCACGCCCGTCAGGGCCGTCCGGCCTCACACGCGGCTACCTTTTCACGTACAACACCGCCAATCTCCTCGCCTGGGGCACCTGCATTGCTTATACTGCAAGCCTGCTCCCTGCTGCCCTAGCATCCAACAGCCTCCCCACAGTTTTCAACCAAACCTTCAACCCGCTCCTGCTCGCGACGCAGTCCCTCGCCCTCTTGGAGGTCGTGCACAGCCTGGTGCGGCTCGTGCGCGCACCTTTCATCACAACTGCTATGCAAGTTGCGTCACGTCTGCTGGTAGTGTGGGGGATTTTGGCGCCGTTTGGCGGAGAGATTGTTGGCGCGAAGGGAGCGCAGGCGGGCGATTATGCGTATATGGGGTGCGTCGCGGCCTGGGGCATTACCGAGGTGATTCGGTACGGGTTCTTCGCTATTACGCTTTCTGGCGGCAGTGTGCCGGCGTGGTGGACCTGGTTGAGGTAAGTTGACGCGAATACAAGATTGTCCCGGGTGCAGTTTGTGATTTCACTCTGGGGCGTTGCTGATGTTGGTGGCTGTAGGTATAACACTTTCTACGTGCTCTACCCGATTGGTATCTCCAGCGAGTGCACGCTCATTTTCAAGGCGCTGGGCCCTGCGGGCGAGCTGAACCCGCTCTATCGGTACTTCCTGATTGCTGTGCTTGTGATCTATGTGCCTGGTATGTCTGGCCTCGACTGGATATTTTGAATATCAGAAAGTACGTTCGTGACTAATTCTCTCTAGGCTCCTACGTCCTGTACACGCACATGATCGCCCAGCGCCGTAAGGTGCTTCGAGGCAAGAGGCGCGCGGATTAAGTGGTTTACTGGGCTTTTCCGTGCAATGGGGCTTTCTGGCAGTGGGACGATGCCGGGGGCAGTTTTCTAAGAAGCTTGGTGAATGGGCATCTTTCGGGTTCCAAAATCTTTGTAATTGTATCGTGTATAAAACTAGATCCAGGGTCAATCGATCCGAAAATACAAACGAGAAATTCAACTAATGAGCATTGAATGTAGTTAGATTAGACGCACTCGTAAACTGTTAGGGATAACGCCCGTGTAGCTAATAAACAAGCTGTACTCCAAGAACGGTGGCGCCATTTACTCTATACGAGGTGATTCTTGGCGAAGCTTAAATTCCCGGGTGACAATGCAGAGGTACCTACCATTGAAGCAACAACAAGAATATGTCCCCAGTCTATGAATATACCAAAACCGACCCACCGCGACCAACACAGAGTATATAGCCTATAATTCCCGCATAATATCCGACACGGCCTTTGCAGCAAACTTCCTGCGTTCCCCCTCGGGTAGGTCCGAGCCCATATCTGGAGCGCTATCAGCATCTGTACACTTAATGATGCACTACCGACCCCCAACATACCTCGTACGGCCTGCATCCGCATCATGAGCGTCTCAATAGACTCAACTTTGAGCTCCTCGTCTCCTTCATCCCCGCCACTCTCCTCGCCGTTACTCTCATCGCCGTCACCACCACCGCGCTCAATAGCCATGCGCAGACCAAGCATCTCGCGCTCAAGTTCTTGAACCTCGTGCCCGAAGCCGCGCGTGTGCGACGACCTGCCGAATCCAAGAAGCTCTTCCTCAAGATCGTCACTAAAATCGAGGCCTGCGTCGTCGGCATCATGCAACCCACTGGATGCGCTCCAGTCGTGCGTCTCCAGGACTTCTTGGATGCGCGGCATGCCTTCGTATTCTGTTTCTCGAATGAGTTCCCCACCAAACAACAGATCATCTAAGACCGGAAAAAAAAAGCAAACGGTGATAGGTTAGCGATTGTCTTACCTCCAAACTTATTCCGCGTCTTCTCAGCACCCTGCTCCGTCGGATCCCACTCAACTACCTCCCACCCAAATAGACCCATATCAAACAACTGGTCCTCCCACCAACCCACCGAGAACGGCACATCCCCAGCACTGTCTCCCAAATCCGCATCGTCAACGCCCAAGTCTAATCCCGCGTCCTCCTCCTGCGACGTAGATGGTGCAGCTGCCCGCGCAGCATCATTGCGACTACCCACCAAAACGAACACTCCAGGCACATCGCTCATCCCACCCCGCTCCTCATCAATGCAGCTCTTGACAGCCCCGATATCGCGCAGCAGATCCCGCACCACGCAAACGTCAGCGCGCTGCGCGGGGTCGTCTGCCTGTGCGCCGGGGGCAGCGGTCTGCTCCGGATTACGCACGCAGACGACTAGAGCGCCCACGGCATCGCGCACGATCTCTGCTTCCTCGCCGAGGAACTCTGTGCACCATTGGCCCTGGCTAGGTGTGTCTGCTGTAGCTTGGGATGTCTTGGTTGAGAGTGGTATCTCGTCAACCCATACTGGGACCTCCGCGGAGTAGTATTTCGTATCTAGACGGAGCGGGCTATGCGTGGTATACCCGGCGAACGAGGTTGTGGTTATGGGCGCTGGCGCGGCGAGTGGTGAAGGGGGGTTATGGGAGGTGGTTGGCGGGGTTTGGGATTGAGGATCTGGAGTGGTCTCGTGCTGTGGAGGGTCGACGACGGGTACGCCAGTGAGAGAGTGGAGGAAAGGCGGGATGATGAAGAGCGATTGCGAGGTTGGGGTGAGAATGAGTAGGCGCCGTGGGTTGGCGATGTGTTTGGCTGCCTGCTTGGAGGGGTCCGCGGGCGTTGCGGCGGAGGATGTGGAGGTCATGGTGAGATATTGCGGGGTGGTGGCTATTGGCTAGAGACAATGTCCACAGAGCGCTGGTTCCTCTTGGTGAGTTTCGCTGTGGTACATGGGTACACGGTGTTTACGAGGACAAGATGTGGTGTGTGGGCAGGGAACTTTGTCCCCGCATCGCCAGAAAAAGTTGCGGAGATGCGTGGTGGCTGATACGCAATCGCTATCCAAACTTAACCTGTCACTGCAGATCATCTATACAGGGAACAGGACGCGTCCTTATTGTGTACATCTGCTCATTTGAATCCATTGGCATTGTGATCTATTTTTGAACCCATTCGCTAGAAATTCAGGCAATGGGTGCAAGGCCCTCCTTCCGATACAAACTCGGCCCAGCTCCCCGGCTCCATAATCCAAAGCCAGCCTCCCGAGAACAGCCAAGTCCCAGATTTGTACCGGGTTTTCATTCCTGGCCAGGAGGGGTGGGGGGAAAGGATAACCTGGGGCTGAATTTCTCTGAAGCCCAGCAAGACGAGAAGAAGCCCGAGAAATTTCCCCTGTAAAGAAACCAAAGAAAAAAACACAAATGACGAACGCCAACCACGAGGTAGAATCTGCCAGGCCATAAATTGCGCTCTCGTCCAGTCCCACGTACCACACTCAACCCCTCCGCTGGCCCCGTGCACGCTGCACGGTGGCCTTACCACGCGCCAGACCGACACCGCGTCCACGCTGGCCTCGTGAGCGGAACATGGGGGCGTTCCTGTAGAAAAAATGTATGGATTAGCAAGTGGTCGGCCAGGATATCACGGCTCGAGTCGATGACAGGGCAGCATAGTGGGCATATGTCCGGATTTCGCATACCTCAGCATGTCCGGCACGATGAAGAATCGCACGTGGCTTCCGCGAATATAAACCTGATCAAGATGCGAGACACGACCATCGCGAGCGGTGACGGTGATATCCTTAAGTTGGACGTTCATGTTGTCCTCGGCTATTTAAAGAAGAATAAGGTCAGCGAACAATCCAACTGCTATGTTGACGCGAGCCAACTCGGGCGTTCTTGTAGAGCGCCCAATTCCAGGCTTCGATCTATGGTAGAGAAGCGCCATATTGAACATACCTTCCAGCAGCTTCCCCCGGTAGACAACACCAGATGTGATCTCAAGCGTCACGACATGGCCCTGCAAGGACGAAGTTAGCGGTCTGCCCGCGCAATCCAACCAAGTCTCTCCCTGGCTCCTGTTCCTTCATATCCAATATCCATAGAAGATTAACCAGCTATCAGGGATTCATCACGCACCTGCGCTTCGTTCAGGAGCTTGATCGGGATGCCGATCGTGCTGGTGAGCTTGCCCATTTCGACGGTGAAATGTGCGATAAGGGAGGGTGTTCGATTCGAGAAAGCGAGCAGAATATATCAATGGCGATCACACGAGGATGCTCGTTCGCGTAGAAACCGGGAAGATGTCGAGCAGGGCGGAGTTGGGTGGTGGGTGGGACAAGCGGTGATGGGAGGATGGCGGAGGTCGCGAGACAGCGAGTTTTGCGGCTAAGCTCCTCCTTTCCGCTTTGGGCCAAGAACGTCGGGGAAATCCAGAACCACCGCAACTTTTGCAACTCGCGCAAACCATCGCGCACCCCGGGATAACGCCAAGGACGATACGATCGAAACTGCACTCTCGGGGATCATTTGGTACCTACTGTTTGCTATGGCCGGATCCCCAAATTCCAACCTGCGCGGCTTCAACCACGCCGTGCAGACCCTCCTCAAACAACCCTCTCAGTTCCTCCCACACCTAACCATCCCGACATTCACGCACCTCCCCGAGGACTTAGGCCCGCATCTAGTTGGTGCAGCGGGCAAAGGGCCCGCTGGAACCCCCCAGCTGACCTCCCCCGAGAAGCCCAGGACGCCGCGGATACCTAAAATCTGCGCGCTCGTCCTAGACAAAGACAACACCCTCTGCCCACCAAAAACCACCACCTTCCCACCGCAAATCCTCACTAAGCTGGCCGAACTCCGCAACTCCCCTACGTCGCCCTTCTACCACGCCACGAACCCACACTCGATTCTTATCGTATCCAATCGAGCCGGCAGCCACCCGAACTTCGACGGCGAGGTGCGCGAGCTAGAAGACCAACTCGCGCACCTGCGCATCCCGGTGTTCCGGTTGCCGGCCGACACGGAGAAGAAGCCTTTCTGCGGAGACGAGGTGGTGCAGTGGTTCCGCGAGCGCAAAGTGATCCAGTCGCCGAATGAGATTGCGGTTGTGGGGGATCGCTTGGGAACAGATGTCCTTATGGCGGGGATGATGGGATCGTGGAGTGTTTGGTGTAAAGAGGGTGTGTTCGAGCCCGGTGAGGAGGGGAAGCCGGAGAGGAATATTTTGGAGAAGATGGAGGTTTGGATTGAAAAATATCTACGGGAGAAGAGAGGGTTTACGGCGCCGGCGCCGAAGGGGTGGGAGGAGTGATGAGCAATGAGGTCAATGATGGAAAACTGGGAGGCAATTAGGGACTTGGGAGCGAGTCGAGGGCTGTACATTACGATTATCTTTTGCTTGCATCGTGGTGGGATGATATCCCCTTGTACGATACATTGTTTCGACTCTACTCTATACCACAGCCGAGCGACGGCACAGCGGAAGTATCTCAATTGACTGAAACTTGGATGGCACAAAAAGAATTCGATTCGAAGTCTAGCGTCAGCCTCCCGCCTCCCACGCTCGTTTACCGTCAACACAAGCACCCATCCTCTGGCTTCAGGGCCCTGTCTTGCGCAAAGAATGTCTCAGCCCTGCGCAAGAGCAACTAGAAGAAACGCTGCTTCCATATCCACACCCAAACAGGTGCCAACAGGACCAGAGCGCGCGGAAAGGTCGGTTCCAAATCCAAGGATGAGGAGAAAGGCCATCGTGACCACGAGGGAAGATGTGAGACTCAGACATGATGTATCCGTCTGAATCCATTGCCCTCGATCAAAACCAAAAACTCAGGACTAATAGAAAAAGAAAAGAAAATGATATTCAGGGGGCAAGGACTCGCCGTCCAAATGTCGGTCTGTTTGGCATAACCACGTAAAAAAGCACCCCTGACCAGCAAATCGAAAAGGCGAAAATGCAGATCGCAGGTCAGGGTAAGAAAAAGAAGATCAAAGAAGTAATCAGGATTCAACCGGAACATCCGGGAAGTCCATAGAGGATGAGAAGAAATCAGAAACAAAATGATAACAAAGGCAGCAAAACGCTTCAGGACCGGCCCCAGAATCGAAAGGGTATTAATAAAAACACACAACAAAGAAGGGATATACGTCACGCAATCAACAGAAACAGCAACTAGCCAAATCGGATTTGCTTTCCCGGCCTTCGCCAGCGAGACACGAAGTTGTCCAGCGGGAGCCCGCACATCCCTCGAGCGGGAACAGCGACGGCTCAGGAGCCGGGCAACAAGGAATCCTCCGAGATGGAATCAATAATCCATCAACACAAGCGCCGCACGCACTCCCAAGGCCGTGAAACATCAAAAAAAGCAAGGAAAAGAGGATCACTCCCTGAGTATCAAGACACTCAGGACCCAGAGGGCAGGCCATGTGAGTTGATCTCGTCAAGGTTGGCCATCCCATGGGAGTAGTCGCCTAGCGCCGGAGACGCGTGGCCAGACATGCCATGCATCGGTAGCTCGAAGCTAGGAGCGTCGTGCGAGACAGCATAATTTACGTTATGCTTGGGGAACATCTCGTTCATCGAAAGCCCATCCTCGACGAAGCCGGACTGCTGATCGTGCGCGAAACCATACATATCTGACGAGGCGTGAGACATGTTGGACAGAGGAGGGGAGTGATTGGCAATCATAGGGTCAGCAGGACTAACGCCAGAGTAGGGCGACGCCGCATGCGATCCGACCGTCGAGGTGTCGGCAGGTCCTGCAGTAAATGGAATGTTGAACTGAGGAGCCATGCTAGCAACTGGAGTAGATTCGCCCTGGGCTGCGCTGCTGAACATTGACGGGCTGGCAAAATCAGATGGCGATGCTGTAGTCGTTGCAGACATGGGGTTGGTCCGGAAGTCAAGGCCATAGCTTTCTGTATCGATGCGAAGATCCGTAGGGAGAGCATGTGCTGACTGGGGAACCGGCGCATAAATGCCAGACTCGTTGTGGTTGAATGGAGCCGGGCTCTGAGGCATATGATGGAACGAGTGCATGGGCATGGGTGCCTGCAGCGCCGAGATATCAATCGGTGCGGGCACAGAGCGACTTCGTTGCCGCTTGTGTCCGCGCACAGCTTGCGTGTGAAAGCCCAAGTGGTTGTGGTCATGGTAGAGGTTCATATAGGCAGCAGGAGGAAAGTGGTTGGGCTGAGAAGCAGGACGTTGGATGAAGGGAGGCGACATAGCAGCAGGGGCGGCGGGTACAGCAAAGCTGTTATTGTTGTAGGCCAGACGATTCTGGAAGGATTCCAGGGATACAAGCTTCGCCAGCTGGACACTCAAGACCTTAGGATGGCCTCCCAAATGGTGGACCATGATCTGGCTTGCTTGTTGCTCCTCAGTGAAATCGCCACACTGGTAGAAGCCTCCGGAGTTGGAGGAATCCATGTAGAATAGCGGAGGACGGTTAAGTTCCACCACCAGACCGCCAGGTCGGGGCGGGGCGCCGCCTGGCCCAGGATTCGGATCTCCACTTTCCAGGGTGATGTTCTTGATATAGGCGAAGGGGTACTCGATCTTGTAGCCGGCAGAATCATTGTTGATATAATATGTCATGCTGGCCTTGTCGGGAGAGTAAAAAACCACAAGATCCATGGCATTCTGACCGATGCGCCGCCAGCTACCGATCGTCAGAGAGCGGCAGGTGAAATGCGAAATGACTGCTATGTTTGTCAGCGAACTAGCTTGTATGAAAATAATCTGCAATCTCATGTGTACATACCGACTTTGCCAGACGGGTTGACCTCGTTCGCGTACATGCCAGGAGCTCCATATCCTGCTGCGCGTCCAAAAGGATCACGGGTTCCAGGTTTGCTGGGGTCGAATTGCATCGCAAGATAGTGGCGCATTGACTCTGGGATAGAATCGCAGCCCTCACCAGTTTCAATGCTCTTCTTGGCGAGCATCTTGATTTTGGCGCGACTATCCGAAGTCAGTATAATGAAACACTCACACTAACGCCCCCAAACCACGCCAGAGGGGTTCAAACTTACCGATTCTGGAACCAGATTTGTACAGATCGCTCAGTCATGTTGATGTCCGAAGCGATGCGCTCCCGGGTCGCAGCAGTCGGCGTGGGGTTCTTGTTGAATTCGACTTCGAGGGTCACAAGTTGATCCTGGGTTGCCCGTTGGCGTTTGTTGTTCTTCTGCTGCTGCGTCAAAGTGCTCTTGCGGGGCGGCCGGCGTGTCGCAGCGCTACTCGAATGGGCCGTCGTGGCACTCGAAGTCGAAGGGGAAGGGGTGGAGGCGGGAGGCGAAGACGAAGCCGTGGTGGCGGTGCCTGCGCCCATGGAGGAGTCGGTTGTTTCTGTCAACGAAGACATGCTTGCAATAGTGTCCAAAGACGACATCTTCGGCGAAATGTGACCTTTGAAGCACCGGCGGTGTATGAGAAGGGAAGTTGAAATGCTTTTTTGCGGATACGCTTCTTCAAAAGAGAAGTCGATGCGTGACGATCCGGCCGACAAGTAGAGATGCGGGTACAGAAAATGACAGGATAGTCTTCGAAATCCTATTCTCTCGAAGCAGCGTCAAGCGCGAGAGGATAGATCAAATGAATGAAAGCGCACTGGCGGGGGGAGATCGGATCGAATCGCGTTCGATTAGATGATGTCCTCGTCAGAAACGGGGGTGGTTGGGTGGGCAGGGCGCGTCGCAGAGGCGTCCCGGGGGAAAGGAAGGTATAAAAAAAGGCTGGCCTATGCAGCTCAAATAGAAGGGCAATCAATAACCCCCTGGATCGATCGATCGAGTCCGAGATGACTGGAAAAGGTCGATGATGGTGGAATCGCAATACCCGAGTTGAATCGATCAACAGGTGGTACGGTCGGCTTCGGGGGGTGATTCGGAGGGGAACCGTCCTAGGAATTGAAAGAGTGGGCAGAAGGAGCGGTACGGTCGTCGTGAAAGAGTGAAACGAGCAACCTGGCAGTTCAAAAGAAACGAATGGGGAGGGGGGTAGAGAAAAAGGGAATGAAGACACACACGAAGACAGAAGGAGAAGGGAAGAGAGTCGCGAGCCGTCAGGTGGAGGAGGAGCGGATCAGGAGATGCTGACTACGCAGGATGGGGAGAACCCGCCCAACGACAGAACCGCCTTCTCCAGTTGGCCAGCAACATTGTCCGGCGGTTCTAGCTGCTGCTACTATTGGCACCTCGTGGGGCCCGCATCGCTTCCGACCGTCCAAACACCCCGGGCCTCAAATGTCTAGCCTCATCACTAGTTGCTCCCGGCTAGTCCTGACTATGGGCCTCCCCTAATCTCTCCAGGGCTGCGATGAACCCGACCTCGAACCCAGATCTCCCGGATGTCGCTCGCTCCCAGCCCGGCTACGCGGCCTGCGTGTCTCCGACTTGATTTTGTTTTGGCCCCTGCGTTGGCCTGCATACTCCCAATCCGCATTGCGACGAACGGAGCCATGCCCATTGGAGTCTAAGCCTCTCCGCCAGAAGAGGGGTTTCGCATGTACTCTCCTTGCTCGACTCGGTGCTTGGGGCTGCGGATCGCACAGAAAAGGAACATGTCCCACAATGGTCGCGACCACTGTACCACTATCCAGGGGACGCCTAAAGGGTAACTCGCCGTCCAGCTGGTGCGACAGCCACCGTGGCGCTCCGTGAACCAGAGAAAAAAACCCCCGATTCTACTCCATAGCCTGGCCCGCCCTCCCGATCTCATGCACATTGTCGCGACCACCAGCAACCGCCTGATCGTCACCAAGTGCCGCCGAACGGCAACTTCCACGTGAGATCCGCGGGGATTTGAAACACTGGGCGCTCGTGACCGTCGACACGTCGGTTTTGCTCCCCTGCTCATGACAGGTGCAATGGCAGGTTTCCTGCCTGCCTGACGAGGTGTACGGAGTACTGGCTGCACGGAGTAGCAGTAAACAGCATCTTCCCCCACTCCGGGCCCATTGTATTCCTGCCGTAGCAGTGCAGTGCGCATTGTGCAGAGCTTTTCTTGGACCCTCGGGAAACCGCCTGCCCCTGATTCGCGAACATCTAAGCCACGGCTCCGGTGGGCGCCACTGGTGGACTCCCACGGTTCCAGGGGCTGATTCAGTGGGTGCAGGCCAATGAGCGTACAGACAGGCTCTGGTCCACAATGCCCTGAGCCTGCGGACAGAGCGCAACAACATTCAGGTACCCGCCCCAGGAATAGTTATGATTGGCTGGGCGGTTGCAAATGACAGGTCGTTCCAAACCAACACGGTCCGTGTTGCACAGGCTCAGTCCCGGGTTGCAAATTCAGGGTAACCTGCTAGACTGGCCTGGCCAGTCTGAACCCCAGTCTGGAAAATGTTCCGTGCGCTTCTGCGCAGTGCCCCATTGGCCCGATCGAACCGAGCCGGTCAGGACAAGGTGGATTGGGTTCCCTGCCTGCAGCGCACGTCACACTCCTGACTCCGTGCGCCGTCTTCCGTGGCATCCGATGTTTCGAACGGCAATGGATTGACGACTGCCGAGACTTGTTGACTTGCCTGATGCTATCGGTAAAAGTTAGGGAGGTAGATACTGGCTAGGAATCCGAGAGGACGAAAGGGAAGATAGAAGCCAGAACCGGTGCCACTACAAACAGGCGCAAGGATCCCAATTGGGGGCAGCGAACCCACATTTCCGAGCAGGCGATACGAGTGGATTCAGTTTGCCTATTGAAGTCCCTGCTTCTGGTCGACTGCCTAACTAGGACTAGTGCTGGCTTCGCTCGTGTCTCCATCGGCATCCCCACGAGAGTCGTGCATCGTGCACACACCATTTCGTACGAGTCGTACAGGTGGGTTGCTGTTGGCTGAAGATGAATACAACGCGTGTGTGCAGGTTACCATGAAATCGATTCAAGCTTCAAGCTTCATGCTTCTCGTCACCTCCGCATGAGCAAGTCATTGTAGGTTCTACTTCGCCAGCCCCGAGATATCTATATTTAGATACATCACAACACAGGATCAGAAAATGAACAAACAAGACCTTCGGTCTAGCGACTTAATCTGTCCATCTGCATCGGTTGTTAAACCATTATTCTGTTGGTCCTCAATCTCCCAAAGCCTTTCCGTCATTTGCATTGCCATGTTGCGCTGCTGTTCACGATAGTAGTTGGTCATGGACTCGTGCTTCTGCCGTACCCACGCCCGATCCTCGCAAGTGATTGCTTCTCGAGCAGCGAGGTAAAAGGGCTGTGGTAGAGACGAGTCTGGACCGCAGCCAGTAGTTAATTGGTCCATGAGTTCAAAACACGTGCGTGCCAGGTGTTGCACCCGTGAAGACCGAGTGTTATCTCGAAACACGCGACGCGCCAGTAGGAGGTGCGCAGTCCAGTAGAAGCACTCAGTAAGGATGTCTAGAGGCGCGCGCACACAGCCCTCCAGGATAGCCCCAGGATAATGAGAGCCCCATGCACGGAGCTCGTTCTCAAGGCTGTACCCCTGGCTGAGAATATCACCAACGGGCGCATAACATTCCAATCGATCGTCCACATCGCATGCAAGATGCGAGATACGCACTAGGAAGCACATCAGCGGCTGAGGACAACCGGTCATCTCGTGAAACGACGGCTCCGTCTTGTCCCATTGCTCAGCATCTGGCAGATGCAGCACAAAATCCTTGGGCGACAAGGGACGCCGTTGCCGGGAGATGGCAAGCATCACGTCGACCATGGCAAATCGTTGCACTGTCATTCGCCCAAGTGCATTATGTGGCACGCGGCGAAAATGATGTAGAGTCTCCATGAGGAATGCGGCACATCGAACGTGAGGTTCTAGAACTCCATCGGCCGACTGGGCCACTACGACGCCTTGAAGGATGACAGCGGCGAAAAGTGCCTCGTGGTCAGAATGGTTTGTTGTTGCAATTACTCCTGTTTCACAGGTACGTCCTGATTCAATCAGCCGGAGGCTCTGGCCAATGGTCCTGAGCATTCTCTGCTGGTGCTGTGCTGCCGTCGACACATCACCTAAGCCAAAGTTGAGCATGTGCTCCGTGGCTATGCACACAATGGTATCAAGTAGGACCGGAGATGATAGAGCGATGAAAGACAGCTGCCGGTAGGGATTATTTGGGCCATCGAGGGCTGGGACATTTGGTGATACGAGCCTCATATCTAGGACGGTTCCCCCGTTAGCTTGCTTTAATAGAAGACTCTGAGGTTAGTAAGAACGTACAATATTCCCATGCAAGCCTGTCCTCATCAGATTGAAAGAGATCGTTTACGAAGAGCGATGGGAGCCTGCTAAGTAGCCCCCCGCCGTCTCTGTGGCTAGCATTGTTTCTACGCCGGGCCCGATGTCTCGACAGCAACGGTTGCTGTTGACGCACCCATTTCAGCCCAGAGGGGTACTGGCAGTCAAAATCTCGTCGTGAACAAAAGGAACAGACAGGCCGCTTCTCGTCGCATTTGTTATGCTTCTTGCGACACTCGAGACAGCCTGTAGCCCATAGAATTAGCATCTGCAAATTATAAGCCCAGGTGAGTTCGAATACCAACCAGTCCGCGATCGCGAATTTCGCTCCTCCGGGGGCATCCCTGGAAAGTAGTTACCCAGTCACACTGTACTGATGACCACGAACGCACCTGATGATTGCCATGAGAAGGTTAGCTCACCAGCGTCACCAATATTGCCCCGCTTAACACGACAATCAGATCACATGATACAGAGCTATCCAATCGAACGAGGGCACTTGCGTTTCCTCCTTGGAGAGAAGAATTTATGGGCGACCTGTATGAAATAGTAATCAATACTTACTCATGTTGTGAATAATGCTATTCTCCATTTTAGTTTGGTGGAAAACTCCCGGGTCATCTTTCTCTGCGTTCGTTGGGCACATCACCTCCGGGAGAGAAGAATTCCCCTCTATTTAGCTTATTCGCCACAGAAAAATGATAGTAATGTGAAATATCATCATATAATCATACTCTGAGGAGCTGTAAATGGATGGATATCCAAGGCCGAAACTCAGAGTTCTGCCGCTGCCCATGTGATGACATTTTTCCTCCTCCCAATACTGGAATGTACAATCATGAAGGAATTTTTCTAGTTTCTATCAGACATTCCAATTTGTTCAATACACAGCGATGCAGAACCTTAATTTTTCTCACATAGTAGAAATAACAGTCAAATGGGTCCACTGAATTACCACAGACTTCCCTAGCAGGCTTCCCTAGCAGACTTCCATAGGTCTGGTTCTCATTTATAGCGACCTCACAGTAATGAGGACCAGTTCCTGTAAAATATACATGAAGTCAGGAGAAGAGAAATCTTTTATGCCGATCGCTAATATGAATGAAGAGGTTCTATATGTATGTCTTGCCTAAAAGCCACGATGAAAAGACATACGATTGACGAGGAGGAATGAACCTCAACAACGACAAATGAGCAGATGGAAACATCTAGGCAGCAGATGCAAGGACACTGATTTCAATTTTCCTAATCCTCCCTTGCTGCCTTCATTGTACCGGAGAGAAGAGGGGCCATTGCTTAGCTTATTCGCATCTAAAAAGTGGTAAGGATGGCCAATGATGTCACCTATCAGCATGAAGCTCTTCGGTTATAAGTTATAGAGCAAACAATATTGCTGATTACCATCACGAAGTTACATTAGAGAACATGGCACAACTGTCGTTATCGAGACATTGCGACTGTTTAAATTTCACCAGCCATGTCGAGCACCCGTTCATCAACTTAACCACGGCTTTATCTGCCATGTTGATTCTTTTAATCCTGTCCGTGCAAGGCTCCCGCTGGACATAAATACTTGTCGAAAGGTATATTTAATCTGCCAAATTGCGTCGAATTCACCTCCGCATATATATACAAACCCCATAAAATTTCATGTCAGTGTATATAGTGCCGCATCCGCTCCGAGCTTTGAGAATCTCTTACTTTCGAATGGCACGAATGGATAGTGAGACTTAGGGAGTTCACGGTGAAAGGACTTTTCCGAGCCCAGGTTGAGTTTGCTTCGAAGTTCATTCTTGAACGAAGACTGTTCAGAACGCCGGTGCACTATCCGCCGGGAAATATTCCATTCAAAAAATGCGGTAATGTCGCCCGTGTCGGCTGAATACCAGCGCCCCAACTGGTAATTCAGTCTGCTTCTGTCGTACATCAACAATTTGGAAGCCATCTTTCTCGTTCGACGAGTCTGCTTCATTCAGTTTTGCCTTTGGATCCATCTACTCGGTCAACAGGGGCGAGTAAAAACCTGCGAAACTAGGCTTCCGACTATGGTCGTCAGGGCGGCTAAAAGACTATGTTTCGAATATTTCTAGTTTTTTCTGCGAAGTAGAGAATTCAAACCGAGCGAGCTTGCGCAAACCAATTCCCGGTGCTTGAAGTAGCACTATCCAATTTACGCTCCAGGGTACAGGTTTTCAGAACATGGGCTATGCCATCGGTTTTGGATTTTGGCCCCCGGTAGCTCTCCATCAAGTGAATGGAATGAAAGGAAATGTTTATATCTAGCTTCTCCCATTATGAGACTATGTACCACTCGTAAAGTAGAATAGTTAGAGAAATGTGGAAAATAATCCAAATAATCTTCATCCCAGCACTTCCTGAATAACCCGAGAGGCGCGGTCAACGATCATCTCGATCTCGGCCCTGGTGCTGTTATACGGGGGTGCAAGGCAAATATGATCGCCACTGATACCATCTATACCACCATTTCCGGGCATCAACGAGATGGAATATTCTGGCTTGAGACCAGTTTTGTGAACTGTCCAAGCGATAGCCTCAGATGGAGGGTAAGGCTCTTTTGTTTCCTTATTTTGTACGAACTCAAGCTAAAATATTGTCAATAGTCATCGCACATTATCGAAAGATATAACTTACTGCCCAGAACAGCCCTCTTCCACGAATGTCCCCAACGTGAGGATTGGCTTCAAATGTTTCATGGAGAAGCTGACCGAGATATTCGCCCATTTCGCGAACATTGACGAGCAAGTTGTCCTCTTGAATAATTTTTTGGACCCTGCAGGCTGCAGCACATGAGACAGGGTGACCCTGATAGGTCTGGCTATGAGAGAAAGCCCCCGTGCCTCGCGTCAAAGTGTCTACAACATGCTGATTCACGAGAAGGGCGGCAATTGGAGCGTAGCCAGCCCCAAGGCCTTTAGCCATGGTCTGCAGGTCAGGAACTACACCTTCTTGCTCCCATGCATGGAGGGTGCCCGATCGACCGATGCCACACATCACCTCATCTAATATCAATAAGGCGCCGTGTCTCTCGCAGACTTCTTTCATGGCTTTCAAGTACCCTGGAAGAGGAGGTACACATCCCAATGTCTATTTCGACCAGATCAGTGAGTGCATCTCGATCATAGGTGCAACTATACTCACAGTGCCAGTCATTGTCTCTGCTACGAATGCACACACAGTATCTGGACCCAGCTGCTGAAACTTATCCTCTAATTCTTGAGCAAGTCTGGCAACGTAGGCTTCAACCGTTTCCCCATCTTTCATTTCGCGGTAAGGATAACACTGCGACACGTGGTGGACATTCTTCGCCAAGACCTTCTCATAGAGCGCCCTGCGTCCCACATGGTGACCCACAGAGAGCGACCCAAGGGTATTGCCGTGGTATGACTGCTTGCGTGCAATGAAATTACATCGCTGTGGCTGTGGAACAGGGAGCTCCATGTAATATTGCACTGCCATCTTGAGAGAAGCCTCCACTGCCTCGGTTCCTAGTGTAGGTGATGGCGAACATTAGTTATAGTGATCAATCAAGACCGAATTGCTGTAATTCACCTGAGCTCACAATGAAGGCACGAGACAACTTTCCTCCTGTTGAGTCCACCAGAATTTGGGAAAGCTCTTCGGCCGCGCTATTAGTGAAGTAGAGAGAGTAACAGTAAGGCACTTTCTGCAACTGCTCCATAATAGCTTCATGCACACGGCTGTCACCGTAGCCCAGACAGGCAACAGCGGCACCGCAGGTCGCATCGAGGATTTCTTGACCTGAATCGGTTACAAGGTAACTTCCCCGGCCTCCAACTATGTTGAGTGGCTTCTGACGAAGCTGATGATAAAGAACGGAACTGTGGTTTTGAGGAGTATCCTTCTGCGTCGGATCTCCGATCGTTGCCGGTACCGGGGAAATAACTGCATCTGGCTTGTAGTCTCCCATGGTATATGGCAGGTTAGGGGAACGGAAAAGTCAGGTGAATGGGAAATGGCTTGAATTTGGGCCTTTACTCAAGACGACTGGAGTCTAGGTAAGAACAAGGTCTTGGATTGGGAGGAGGGAAGACCGAATTATATACTCAAGGAGTCTGCAAACTCAAAAACTAAAACTCTCCCCATTGAATAATGAAAATAGAACAATACAACACGAAGCCGATGAATATGGACATTCGAACTCGGCTTATCAGTCAAGAAGCTAAACCCGAAGAGGAAAACTTTGTCGGACCCACACAGCACAAGGTTCCGCGCAAATCGGGCGGGGTGATAAGACGGTTTTCGCCATTCCTTTAAAGGCAACATGATAAGTGTTCAAGTGCGCTCTCCGCATTCTAGAGATAAACCGGACTGAAGTCAAAACTAACTGCATCGGATTGGCCGTAAAGTCCGAGTGGGCAAACGTTGTACCGATAGAAACTCCGCTTGGAATGGGTCGAGATTGCCTTTGATGTGCACTTGGAAAGCACTCCCTGATCCCTTGATGTCTGATCAATGATTGGGCCCACACGCTTATTTCGCTCTGGAAATACCTCCCTGCTCTATGTGCCACTGGATTGTCTTGCGCAATCCCTCTCGCAGTTGAACAGTTGGCCTCCAACGAAGTGTTTCCCGTGCTAACGTGATTTGCGGCCGTCGCACTGTTGGGTCGTCTACAACTGGAGGACGATGAACGATTGTGACCTTGGGCTTCCCCGTCATCTCCACAACAAGCTCCACGACAATTTCAGCAAGCTGTTGGATCGTAAACTCTTCATCATTGCCAATGTTCATAGGCCCGTTATTGTAGTCGCTGTTCATGAGCGCAACGAGTCCCTCGACACAGTCCGTGACGTATTGGAAGGATCGAGTGGATGTGCCGTCGCCAGTGATTTCTAACTCCTTGCCCTCCAACGCAGCAGCAATGAAACTCGAAACTACTCGACCATCGCTGCTACTCATACGCGGCCCGTACGTATTGAATATACGGGCAATTCGAATATCGATGCCGTGCTGCTCTCGGTAGGCGTAACAGAGTGCCTCTGCCACTCGCTTTCCTTCATCATAGCAAGATCGGGGACCGAATGGATTAACGTTTCCCCAATAACTCTCAGGCTGTGGGTTAATATGAGGGTCGCCGTAGACCTCTGGTGTACAAGAACTCCGTTAGCGACAGGATGATCGAGCCTATCACCGATAATATCCATACGTACCGGATGTACTAGTGTGAAGAATTCGAATGCCTCTGGACTGTGCAAGATTCAAAAGATTGTCCACACCAATAAAGCATGTTCTCAAGGTCGACACGGGATTCTTTTGATACTGAATTGGACTTGCTGGACATGCCAGGTTATAAATCTGGTCGATTTCCCCTACAAAATCCAGAGGAGACTGTATGTCATGCCTGAAAGCCAGTAATCGGTCATTAGTAACCGCAAATCAAAAAGTGCAAAATGGACGATCTACTTCACGAAATTAAATCTCGGATGATCTGCGACGTAATCCAAATTTTGCGGCGATACATTTTCGAAATTATCAATACCGACCACCTCGTGTCCTTGCGCAAGGAGATACTCGATCAAATTGGATCCTAAAAAGCCGGCACCCTTGATATTTTGGTCAGTAATGAGTAGGATTTACCATGAGAGTGGCAACAACGGTAAACTCACCCCAGTAACGAGTATTCTCAAAGACTTCACTGTTTGCTCCATATCTGAAGATCATGCAATCATTGACACGCTCTTTTGTTCTCGCGACGGGAGACGAGGCTTCGAATTCAACTGAAGATGGAAGGCTGGCTGAACGGTTGAACGGTTATGGATCCTTTCCAGGGGGATAATGCTTGCGTCACGATATAATCACTATGCCATGCTCTACGGAATTTCTCTGCTGTTATATATGGTGGTCTCTTGGTGTGGGATGGATTACTTTCGAAATCTTGTGCCCTGTGGTGGAGCTGAACCGAGCCCCTCGTATGCACAAAGGTGGAGCAAATGCCCCAGAAGAGGTTATGATAGTCGATCATCGTCCACGGGAATCACGAGACTGTCTATGCCCTGGCTGACACGTCACTTTTGATCTCTGCTATTACTTTGTCAGGCGACTGAAGAGTGCTATGTCTCCGCTTTATCACGCCAGACGCAAGATTTGCTTCTTTTTTAAGCCACGTCGTAGCTTGGTCTGAAATGCTTACAGAGTAGGAGGCTCATATCCAAGGAACTTAAGACAGTGAATTGCAGATGAGGGAGGCCAGTCCTTGGGTATTAGGATTTCATTCCAACGATAGTCGTGCATTAGATCTGCGTCGTGTGATATTTTACCCTGTTCCGACCCAGATCCTCCGTTGAACCAGTTTCAGTGGACCCAACCCAAACACTGTATCGATACACTGCATTGTTCGTGAAGTATTTCTTCTGCCAAGGATAGGACCATCTCTCCGGAAGGCCAGAAACTCGGCTCTTCAATTATCCATTCGCGAATTGTACTTTGCAGTCACGGACGTTTGAATACTGCACCTCTTCCAGGTGGATATAGTTCCAATTCCACAGTGGGGCGTCATGAGCCTCAGGTATATACATTAACTGGTGGTTCACACTTCGTCTTAGTATTTGTCAAGTGACCGGCTGTCGGAAGGCCTCCCGGTTGCCTTTCGGGAAAATTGCGGATTAAGGGTTATCTCCGCATACCCGCGAGGTTCTACGTCAGACAGTGCCTTTTTGAGATAGCCCGACCGAAGAAGCGATTCCCGCCACCCCCGCTTCTTTGCCTTCATTTAACTTAATCGAAGCAGCCCCGCAATGCATTCTTTTGTGTTTACCTCGCCAGATACCTTATATTTCCTTTTCGGTGCTTTGAGACTTGGACACTTTCCGAGCTAAAAACACTCATGACGATCATTAATAGAGTACCTGCAGAGACCTTGGATGTTCCACCGACGAGGCATTCTCCTAACTCAAAGCTTCCTGTCATCGTATACAGAAATGCATTAATAAGCATGACCATCGAGGGTGCTCTAGAAGCCGTGGAGACAACTGAGTGGCCGAAGGGAGGTCACTGGAAGATCTCGACAGAAAGACTAGCGGCCACTCCCCATTACCACTCAGTCACGCATGAAGCCTACACTGTCTTGCATGGGAGTGGCTCCTATCTCCTTGGGAAGTCGCCACTCGATCCTGAGGCTGATAGTGATGGAAATATGGTCGGAGTCAAGTTCACTGCACATGCTGGAGATGTGTTTGTGTTTCCTGTGAGCTAGCCTCAAAGAAGAGAGATCAAGCTTTACGCTCATGAGGCCTAGGCTGGTGTTACACATTTTGTAACCGATACCGAGGGCGGATACGAAATCCTTGGGTTCTATTTACTAGTTAGTCCCTCGCGGATATTATGCACACACTAATCTTACTCACTGAATATCATAGAATGATCAAAATTCAATTGATGAGCCGTATGATATGGAGTATGCGCTGGATTCACCCGAGGATACTGAAAAGAAGCGCCGGAAGTGTGAACTGGTACCAGTTCCTGTCCATGACCCCATATACGGGAAGGAAGGGCCGATGCAAGAAATTTGGGCCGCTAGATAATGGAGTGAAGGAATGTGTATTCTGCGAGCTCGATTGCCGATCAAAAAAATGATACAGGATAAAGTCTAAATCCAAATGTGATCTGTCCAGCATAAAGAAATGTTATATCAAGATCAAATGCGTTGATGAATAAGATCGCGGCGACGATTGAGTAGTATGCTTTTAGAGAACAACCACAGTTTGGTTCAGTGCTTCTAAGAAAGGGAATGGTCCAGCCTTATGTTAAGGTTAGCTTATTGGAAGTCAATACATAGTTACAACAGTCCGACTTACCCCGATCAAGGTAGCATGCGCAACATTAATCTGAGCATTACCAGGAGCAAAGCCGGAAGGAAGGCTGACAGTAAAGTTCTGATAGGGCGGCCGTGAGGTTTCATGGTACACAGGCTTGAATGGCCCATTATAGAGTATGCTGCCCATGACTTCATCCGCGGGATTGCAAGCCTGAGATGCGCAGGAGGAGATGCCGATGGCAACAGCCATTTCCGTGGATCCGGTGAGGCTATTCTAGGCGAATGTTAATATTCTTGTCTTTTCCTTTCACTTCTTTTGTGAAGAGAAGGAAGATCACATACAGGACGCTGAACCTGGACAGTCACCTTGCTGCCGCTGGCGAGCTTCTGACCGGCAGTAGGAAGTCCGATTTGAGCGCTCTGGGCCAGAGCAACACCGGCGAACATGGCAAGGGAAATGATAGACAGCATATTGTTGGATTAATTAGAATAGATAGGAAATGTGCACTATTGTATGAGGCAATGTACAATTTTGTATGTTATAGAATCAAAACAGCATTGAGGCGATGGCCCGCTATTTATCCCCCGGAACTTCTCCAGCTACCCAAGTAACTTGATTTTTTTTGAAAAGCGTTGTCGGTTTCAAGGTAACCATGGCTCATTGGCCAAGTCTCAACCACAGCTTACTGAGATCTGTAGGTGGTTCACCTTCAACGGCAACGATCTTCAGCAGATGTGGAGCCTCCCTTCCACTTTGCCCAATCAGGTCCTATTGGCGGTCGCCGCAAACTCCCCTGGATCCATTTATTGAATCCGCACGCTAGGATGGCGATTTCTTTTTTGGACCCAGCTCGATTCGTTCAAAGCAGGGGGATCTTTGTGCTGGGGTGGATATCAGTTGCCGAACATCAAGGCTGGTGGCAACGCCTCTGAGCCAGCATGCCACCAGTTGAAGCTTGAGCTGCGCTCATCAATGCTTACTGGATTTCGCCCACGGGCGCCGAGGCCACCCGGACACTCATGTTGCGACTACTGCAACGTGATGGCTGAGGCTCAACCCGTCGCATGCTGTTAAAAGTTCTCAAGTGACCAGTCAAGCTCACTCAGCTGTGAGGTACTTGCTGATTATTAGCCGATTCTTAGCCCCTAGTTTCTAACTGGTAGGAGCAACTAAAACATTTCAGGTCTCTTGGCTCGTTATGGCTTGATATTCAAGGTCCCACCGTTCGCATGCAACGGTGTCACTGACCACAGCTGACAATCCCAAGAATAGGATCATTGCCCAAGACACCCGGTAACTGAAGCTCACGGCAGGAGGCAAAGTCGTCAGCAGATCGCTCGGATAGGCGTGGGCGCATCAGCCGCAGAAGCCTCAGGCCAAATTTCACAGCCCCAGGAAAATGAGAGCGACGAGAGCAGCTTATATGTTTCGTCCAGTCAAGCCACAAATTCAGCATCCACTACTGGCTTGGCCTCAACGCAACCATGGGAGGCATTCCTGTGGCGGGGCGCTAGTGCTAGACTCATCTCGATGATGGATACATGTATTCATCTGTGTCCGGAGCCAAGCTTGCTAAATCTCCCAAATTCATCTACAAAATGGGTATATGAAGGAATGAGAGATGTTCAGCTCTGCGGCCTGAGGTATCAAGCAGCTCTCTTAGATGTATTCAGGACAGAGAGCTGTTAACTGCTAAGTACCTGCATTCCCGTATCCCCCGAAAAATATTCAAATGTTGCTCTTTCGAATTTGTTACATTCAATCCCGTTATTTCATCATCACTAATGATGGCAACTTCAGTCTGGCGGTTGACTAAGACACGTGGCCAGGTACCGCAGCGATTGAGCTTTTGCCAATTGACTTAGTGTTTGAGCGACCCGGATGGCATTATTTGATGGTATAACAGATTGGTTGCGCTACCATGTCCATCTATCGAAGTCTTCGTGTTAGAGGAGCAAAGAAATCTCGCTAAAGAATTTGGCAATGGGCATCCAGACTACAAGTGATGATACAGATATGACAACGGAAGTTTCCGTCTCGGGTATCTCAGGGGGCATTAATGCTCGCAGCGCCGGGCACTTAATACTTTTACGAAACGTGCAGATTCAAAGCAGCGATGGGGTACAGATTATTATATGAAAATCTCATGTAACTAGTTATGCTAGGCTCCAGGAAGTGATGCACAGGTAGGTAACTAAGCCTACCTACAAGCCTAACATACGATGGATATAGTTAGGGCTTGCAGGTAACCAGACTAGATACAGAAAGTAGACATTGATCAAGATTTGCGGCATCACAATTTCAACTATAAAAGAACATGTTTATGCCCAGGTATCAGCATCTCATATTCTTTGATGGCCTGTATGAAAAGTGACAGCCATTGAGGTCATTCACGAATAAGTTTTCTCGATGCGTTCCTTCTCTCGCCGCAAGAACTGCGGGAAAGTGCCCAACTCAATGTTCCACTCCTTCACCTTCTCCATATCAACAAACTGTGCCATATCGCGCATAATAAGCTGACCATGAATGAAAAGATCTTGTGGAACTTTTTCCATAATTTCTTGTTCTGAAAGAAAGATCACCTGCAAGTCCTTTCTCGCAGCTTGGGATAAATCACTCATCACTGCTTCGATCCCCATCATCTGAGATGCAATTTCGATTTCCTTCTGATTGAACTTGACAGGGTCAAGCACCACCGCCGCAGCAAATTTGCCAATATCGTTGGGGTCGACCATAGGCAGGATTGTCTCCCGTGTGAAGGCAGTCGTAAATATTCCCTTGTCGACAAGACCCTGGTACATGGAGACAAAAGGGTACAAGAAATTGGTCATGAAGTTTCCGGGCCGCAGAATAGTCCAAGTTTGGAACCCTCCATTTCGAACTTCTTTCTCGATGACTTGCTTCCCCAAAACAGCTGTACCGATCAAGCTGCGGGGGTCCCAGTTCTTGAGCCCTTCAGGGTTGTTGGTCCCAAGAGCACTAGTGTAGACGATATGCTGAATATTGACTTCTTTAGCGATGGCAAGAACTTGCTTGGCGTGCTCGGCCTCCGCTGGGAGCCTTTTGAGGTTGGGCGATGCATTCAGGAAAAGCGTTGTGCAGCCGGACATGCTTTTTCTCAGGCTTTCTTGGTTGTCAAAATCGCCTTCCATGAGAGAGACACCTTGAGATTGCAGATTTAGAGCGGCGGGAGAGGTGAGATCCCGGGTAATGGCGTGGACTTTGACTCCATGTTCGAGGACATGCTGAATGAGGGCGCCTCCTTGATTACCTGTGGCTCCACAAACAAAAACGATGGGAGGAGACATGGTATTCGAATCCGAGTCGAGGATGGAGTTTTGAATATGAGTAGTAATGACTGTAGATAGTCCTTGTTCCAAAGTCGACGGTAGGTCTCCCATCTTCTTATATGCTTTTCTGGCACTCTTAAGTTGATTCCAGTCTAGTCTAGTTGTACACTGCGGTTGTCCGTCAAAGCGTCCACCGCCCAGTCCATGCCGATTGGCCAGCTAGCGTTAGCGTGGCGGAACTCCGCTGACGACTGAAAAAAGACCCCACTTCGACGAGCTTGGCCCTGTTCTTTCTCTGCATCTGTTCATTCGCAAGTGGAAACTCTTTTTCAACAAATGATCATGGCGCGGAACACCGCAGCTCCGCCGCGATCGAAGGCCTGTGAATCATGCAAGTGTGCGAAACGACGTTGTGATCTGGCCTTTCCCTCCTGCTCTCGATGCGCCGCACGGGGGGTGTCCTGCATCTATCGAGGGAGGCAGCCAGCAGCCAATGGGGCATTTGCTCTCGAGATACCACCGTTAACGGGCTTTCCAGAAGCTCCTTGGCCAAATCTCGCTGTGGCACCCCCAATTACTACTTATGATTATATATTTTCTCAACCGAACTTCTCCGACATCATGGAGTCAGTGCCTATTGATCTGAATTGCTCCAACTGTATACCAGCCAACATACATATGAAGTCTTCTTGGGAGCTACCCGCCTCAGCAAACTTGGAATTGGTCATGCCGAAAACAAAACCCTTGAGGCCGCTCTCGGAAATCGTCGCTTCGCGTCTTCAATTTGCAATTGATATTATGAAGAAAGCACCCAGCATGATGGTCCTCGAAAATCAAACCCCGTGGTGCCATCCACAGCTCTATAAGAAGTGTATGCCACGAGTGATGCAAGGCAAGTCTGTTCCCAGACGACACCCGATGAGCACCTCTCCGATTCTAACTAGCCTCATTTATAGATGCTTATGCTTGCTGCTCTTTATACATGTCCAAAAATGAAACCAATACCCCCCTTATAATGTCATTATTTGACGCACGAGTTCAAGAACTTTTATCATCTCCACAGCCGACAGACCTTTTGGAACTTCTCGCTCGCACACACGCTCTAATTCTCTATCAAATAATGCGATTATTTGCTGGTGATATTCGCTCGCATGCAACCGCCAGTGCTCTTTGGGGAACATTGGAATCTACAGTTGTCGCACTTTTTGATCACCTATATTTTCCTGAATCTTCGGAGTCTAACGACCTGCTTCCTATAGCGATGGACCCGATCATTCAATTTTGGGAATGGTGGATCTTGCAGGAGTCGGCACGACGAACCGTCCTACTCACCTTCTATTTCATTCAGATATCTAAAGTGCTACAAGGAGATATTCCCGTGCACTGTGATGGGAAGCTTGGGCTTAAGCATGCCTGGTACATGTCAGCACATCTATGGAACTCTCAAAGTGCGTTTGACTTCGCAGTGGCATGGGCGGAGAAAGAGCATTTTGTTATCCGAGATATCGATTTTACGGTAGCCCTAGAGGAGGCCCGTCCAGATGATGTAGATATCTTTGCTCGGATGCTCATGGTCACCATAGTTGGTATCGATGCTGCGAAGGCATGGTTCTATGCAAGAGGCGCTATCATGTAAATATTATTGTTATTCATCATATCGATTAGTAGATATATCCTATCATCCTACTGGGTTTGCAACTAACAAAGTCATCTGATCCGATATCTGATAACTCTCAAAACGAGGAGTGGTCGGTAGACTGCACACTGGAGATATCACGGTGCCGCCGACCAGGCTCTGGCCAATGCCGGCGAGATGAAGCTGCCCAGCCTGTCGCCGAAGGAGGGCGACGACAGCTCGCTCAAGATCAAGATTAGACTGGACCTTCACGCCAAGGTCCGCCTGGAACTGGACGCGCAGATATACGGTGATATCACGATTAGCCTGCTGCAAATTCCACCAGCTATGATTTGCTAAACAACCCGGTATGTTGGATGTTGTCCTAACGCTCTGGTTTAGGTCGAAATAAACTGCTTCCCCTCATACCTATCGAGCCCGGCTAAGAGGACATATCAGTGCACGCTGATACTGTCCTCATTTTTAATAAAACGGCTATTCATGGTCTTTGGATTAACATATTATCTCATTAAAGTATTCTTAAATGAAGACGCTTGTATTTGTAGTACAGTAGTACTACTACCAGTTATATGCTTATCTGTCTAGATTACTATAGTGAGAGGGTGTAAACCTCACTCCTACATAGCTGGACTGCCGTGCTTCTTCGCCCACTCCTCGACCTGGCCATTCAGCCCCCTTAGCACGAAAAAATACACAACTGGCATGAACCAGCCCATGATTGTGTCAACAACCCAATTATTCCTCGGCGAGCCGCCAACAGCTCCCCAGCGCATCAGGTGCCCCAAGAAGGACGTTGTCACCAGGTACTGGCCGCCCTCCAGCCCTTGAATCGCCTTGCGCGCCACCTCCTGCGCCGTCTGCGGCTTATCATGCTCCTCCATCTCTAGCGACACGGCGTGCTTGGTGCGGTTCTCGGCCTCGAACCCGGCCGTCGTGATCGTGGCCGGGCACACGACGTGGATCTTGACTGGATTGTCCAGGTAGAGCTTCACCTCCATAGCCAATGTGTCCGCGAGCCCCCGGAGCGCCCACTTGCTCGGCGTGTAAGGTGCATATCCCACCAGGCCGAAGAGCCCCAGGACGGACGCCGTCATGATGAAGTGCTTGGGCTGCTTGTTCCGGCCGCCTTTCTGTTCTGGCGAAAACCACTCGCGCAGGATGGCCCGCGACATCTCGGCCGTGCCAAAGTAGTTGACGTCCATGTTGCGCCGGGCGGCCTCGAGCGAGCCCTCGTCGGTCCACAGCATCGGCGTCGAGAGCCCGGCTACGCACCACACGATGTCGGGCGGGTGTCCGCCGTTCCAGGCCGCGACCGAGGCGACGACTCCAGCCGCGTAGTTGGGCTCGCTGACGTCGGCGGATATATAGAAGAAGCGTTGAGAGCTGGGATGCTTGGCTGCGGCCTGCCAAAGTACAGCTGTCAGTTTCTCTCATCTTAACCCTGGCGTGTTGGTATCTGCGCTCACCTTGATCTCGACCAGCGCATCCTCAAGTTTCTCAAGGCTCCGGGCGACGATGCAAATGTTTGCGCCTTTGGCGGAGAGCTGGCACGCTGCACTACGACCCGTACCTTCAGACGCTCCCGTCAAGAGGACGGTCTGGCCCAACAGTCAGCACGAAGACAGAGTGTTGAAGTCACTGCTCTAACGCAGGATAACTCACCAGTCCGTCGACGGGCATATGGCTTTTGCCAAACCAGCCCATTGCACCATCAATATGGGTTTGAAACTGCGTGATTATTGTGCAAGGGCCTCTATCATTGCACGGTGCTGTCAAAAAGACGCCTATGTTGGCGACTTCCGCAATTGACAGCACCGCCGCTCGGCCGGCCACTATACTGTCATCGCAGGCTCATCTTTTGCCGAGCTAGTCAATTGATTTCACCTTATTGGTTGCTTTTTGTCTGCAAGTTTCACTAGGATCGTGTATACGCTCGCTGCAAGGCCGTTGCTGCCGCTGGGCGCGGCCCCCGGCCCCCGGCCCCGTCATTTCGGAGCACGGAACCCGTGTTGTTGGGCGGGCCATACCAGCAAACCGAGCCAGAGTCCAGACTGTGGGCATTGGTCCGCTGTAACTCTCACACACATGCGCAACCTGCTTGTTTCAAGAACCAAGTGACAGGAGAGAAATCTGCGGACGGGAGAATACTGCTCGCCCCTCTCCGGTCTCCTCTGTCTTGGATCACTGTTGAACAATGGCTACAATGGCCCAAAAAAAGCCGGGACGCGAGCAGAATGTACGCGTCAAGGACGCCAGTTCCCCGTTCGAATCGCTGGATGATACTGCTGCCGGTCCCAAGCAGGAAGGGCAGGCAATAATTGAGTCTTCGGGTGTCGAGCAACCAAAGAGTAAGACTAAGAAACCCCTGGCCTTCTATCTCGCTTTCTTCGCCATCAACATCATCGTCTTTGTCTTTTCCCTCGATGCCACCTCTCTCGCCGTCGCTATCCCGGTAAGACTTCGCCACGAACTTTCAATCGCCATTCGTTTAGACTGATACTGACCCCCTGCTCGACTAGTCTATTGCTGACCAGCTTCACGGCACGACCCTGCAGTCCTTTTGGGCCGGCATCTCCTTCCTACTGGCGGTCGTCATCACGCAGCCTCTCTACACGAGTCTCTCAGACATTTACGGCCGCAAGCCTCTGCTCCAAGTGGCCTTTGTCTTCTTCGCCGTGGGGTCTGTCGTTTTCGCGCTCGCCCACAGCATGGCGGGCATCATCGCTGGCAGAGTACTCCAAGGCTTTGGTGGCGGCGGATTGGATGTCCTCGGCGAGATTATTGTCGCCGATATGACCACGTTGAAGGATTGTGCGGTTTACTTGGGCATTATGGCTATACCTACTGCTGCGGGAAGCATCCTGGGCCCATCTGTTGGTGCCATTTTTAGCCAATACGTGAGCTGGAGATGGATTGGGTGGGTAAACCTACCTTTTCTCGGTGTTGGTTACCCCCTCGTCCTCTTTTTCCTTCACCTAAGGCGTCTTGAATCGTCACTGTTAGAAAAGACACGACAGCTCGATTGGACCGGCATGCTGCTCTTTTCCATTGGCTGCATAACTTTCGTGCTGCCTCTAAGTTGGGCAGGCACGCTATACATGTGGAGCTCATGGCGGACGATTCTCCCTCTGCTCATTGGCGTCTTGCTCCTCGGCGCCTTTGCCTTCTACGAGGCGAGGCCCGAAATGCCCATAATGCCGCATCGCCTCTTTGGCAGGACCGCGTCGGCGACTCTCCTAGGGGCCTTTCTGCATGGCATGATGCTGTTCAGCCTCATGCAGTATCTGCCCTTCTTCTACCAGGCTGCCCTGCGCAAGACCCTCGTCCAATCCGCCCTGACGTTGCTTCCGACGAGCATTGCCAGCGTTCTCACTGCCGGGTTCTCGGTGACGGCGGTCGGCCTTATGCGCTCGTATCGCTGGGTCGTCTGGTTGTCCTGGGTTCTCATCACAGTGGGGGCTGGTCTTCTCGCCGTCATGAGCGATTCCTCCGGTGCGGGCATGGCTTACGGTGTTCCTGTCATCTGCGGCGGGGGAATAGGAGCACTTCTCCGGGTCCTTCATCTTCCTCTGCAGGCAAGCGTTCCGCACGTTGATGATACCGGGTTAGCAATCGGGCTCCTGATGTTCTCCCGCCTTCTTGGCGGCCTCATCGGGTTGGCTGTCAGCTCTACGATATTCAGTAGCGTGTTCCAGCGCAAGATTGCCGCCGTTGCCCTGCCGGATTCGTTAGTCGTACTGCGGGATGCCAACGAGGCCATTAGGTTTATACCGCAGTTGAGGACGCTGGACCCGTCCCAGGTGCCCATAGTCCCTGTGGTGCATGCCTATTTGTCGGCTTTTCGGGTCATATTCTACGCCATGGCGGGCTTTGGTATGCTGGGCTGTTTGACTTCGCTGTTTACTGAGGAGTTGAGTATTCAGAAGGAGGAGTTGGGTAGACAGCAGTTTGAGACGCCATAGATCGTCAATCTGATTACCATCCTAGAGGTTGGGGTTGGATTTGGATTGATTATTCTAAACCTAGATGATGTATAAGAGACATAGTCAAGCTCGCCCTCTGGTCTTAGTGGTACCATTAGACCTCTCTACACCAGTAGCTAAATCTGCCTCGCTCCGGTGTTCGCTCTTGCGTGGCACTGCGCCGCTCGATATGTTCGGGCCCTGCAGGGCCCGTTCACCTTTATAGGTCGTGCCCATGATACGATCCCACCAGGTAAAGTATGGGGAATAGTTCGTCTACACCTGCACGTCAGCACCGCTAAGGATATCCCAGGACACGAGCGCCCAGCTCACCTTGATACCCCAACTCTGGTGGTGGATGTTGTGATAGGTGGGCGAACAACCCGTGAAACGCCCGAGGATCGTGAAGGGACTCCATGGCAATTGGTAGGCAGCGTGATCCTCGACAATTTTAAACGTCGCCAAGGCGAGGAAGAAGGTCTGCTCGGCGGCCGTCATGTTGGTCAGTGAAATACCGAGGAGCCCCGCGATGTTGTCGCCAAATAGGCTGTCTGCCCAGTGGTTGTACAGCGCGCCGTACGAGAACGGCACGTACAGTCGGTGGTGGACCGCATGGATGTTTCCTGAATCAATTGTCAATTAATGATTAGTACATACGATAATAACCCTAAAACCTCGAAGGCCTAGACGCCACTTACGGTACAGCCAGGTATTCTTGTGCGTGAGGTAATGCCACCAAAATACCCATGTGTCCGTGATGGCCAGGGCCAGGAACTGCCGGCCCGCGAGCCAGGTCAATCTAGCCGCCCAAGAGAGTGTCAAGGTTGTCGCATCGCTCCCTTTGATGAGTGATGCAAACAATGACTGCCAGAATAAGCGTGAGCCGAGGCAGCCCTCACACTCAACCGGGGAGGCAACAGTTCAGCAAAGGCCAAAGCCCCAGCCGTTAAAACGATGTGGTATATCACGACGTGCTGCAGGACGACGCTCCGTGAAACTCTGTTCGCCTTAGATTCGCTTTCGATGGGCAGAATGCGGTACTTTGCCAAGATGCCGAGCGCGTCTAGCGCCTCGAAGATGATAGTGGAAATGATGTAACTCAAGGCGGGGGTGAGCGCTGCCCACTGCGCAGGCGTAATGGCCAACATCTCTGTACTTGCTGTTGGCGCACACGTTGTGTTCTGTCGATAGATGGCTTATAATGTCTACAAATTGAGTGAAAGAACTAGAACTGGCTTGTGGCAGCGGCTGCTCCGCGTTGTAGGCCTGGTCGGGGACACGGAACCCGGCTGTCGCGCCCAGCATGGTCATCATGTCAGGACAGCAGGTCCCAATAAATCTCTTCTCCATCACGTGCTCATCCTCGTTTTCCTCATTGAATGGATAGACTTAGAGATTTGTGAGGAAAATGTGAATAGCATGATAATATGAAGGTTTTTTGGTGAGCCGTGGCTCATACCACTGCATAAATGCAGCGAGCGGTTCGCTAATTATAGGACACTCCTTCTACCGCAGCTAGTATCCTGGGAGGACTCTATCTTGGGGTAATTTTATAACGGAAGTGTTAAACGTGAATGATATTTGGGGAAACTATTTGAGGGACAGTAGAGAGTTGAGTTTCACCCTGAGACTGCCGAGTGTTTTCCTTCATATACATACCACGTGTGTACTCTTTAGTGTAACGCTGTCGTGATCCCGCGTTGGTCCGCTACAACCTGTACTTCATCTGAAATTGGATGGCCATTGCTATCCGCGGATACCTTGCGGCCATTGGTGCCGTTGGTTCCATCATGACCATTAGTGTCATTATGGCCGTCATGGTTGTTAACACCCTTGACACCCTTGGTTCCACTAGTACCCTTGGTGCCATTGTGGCAGTTGACACCGTTTGTACCGTTGGCGCCATTTTCGCCCTCCATTGCCATGAATGCGTAGACCTTGGCCGTCGCGCTCGGCACCGGCATCTTTGACTTCCCGCTCTCAATATCCAGCATCTCCTGCGACCACGTCGACATGGCGCGCACCAGCCCGTCCACCTCGGCCATGGTATTGGTGGCGTGAAAGCACAGCCTGACGCGGCTTTGGCCCTTGGGCACTACGGGGAAGTCGATGGGGAACGCGCAGAACTTGGCTAGCTGCAGGTGGAAGATGAGGAAGAAGTTGTACCTAGTGTTAGCCCGAGTTACGACAGGGCAGATCTGCGTCTGGAACGGGCGCGACTCCCACCCGTTGTAGACCGGCAGCCTGATGATGCCTGTCGCCAGGGCTTGCTGTATGGCAGGGTCCGCCGTGATGAGCTTGAAGAAGTGCGTTACGAGGTTCTGGATGTGGGATCGAGACTACACGGCGCACTGTCAGCAGGCTACGGCAAAAGATGAGCTGCGTGGAAGAGCATGCAACGAACCTCGCTGGCATTCTCGGATGCAATGAGCTTGTATGAGGCACGAATCGTGGCCAGCGTCACAAATGACGGGGCGGTGGTGAAGATGAGAGACCGCGCATTGTTGATCAGCATCAGCTTGATGGTCTCGCTTCCCAAAATCGCGGCTGTCAACAATTGTTAGCTCTAATGCCCGTCCAAAGGTGAGTATAGAGGAACCTACCGCCGGTGGAAGCCATCGTCTTTCCAAACGTGTACATGCGCACCGCAATCTCCTTCTCCAGACCAAGCTGGGTAACCAGCCCCTCGCCCTTGGGGCCCAAAATGCCCGTCGCATGCGCCTCGTCGACGATGAACTGTGCGTTTCCGACAGGGAAGAGCTCCTTGGCGATCTGGATGAGCTCGACCAGCGGCGCGACGTCGCCGTCCATGCTGTAGATGGACTCGACGGCAATGAGAACGCACCGCTCGCCGTCCCGGATGAGCTGCTGAGAATCACGGACTACCGTGAGCGTGTTCCTGAACGACTCTAGGTCGTTGTGGCGGAAGGGGAGTCGCAGCTCTGCCTTGGCCTTGGCCATGCCAACGTGGGTACTCGCGTGCACCAACGCGTCGTAGACAATGGCGTCTCCCTGCCTTGGAATGGCCTCGAAGATGGCCACATTGCCTTCGAACCCAGAGTTGACGATAATGGCCGACTCGGCGCCATGGAACTCGGCAATCTCCCTCTCCACCTGCTCGATGTAGTCGTTGTTCCCGTCAAACAGGCGAGGGCCTTTGCTCCCAATCTCGAAGTCGGGGTGCTGAGCGAGCTCCTCGAACAGGGCGTTCCGCAGCTCTCCCGTGGTAGCGAGGGAAAGGAAGTCGTTGGAGGAGAAGTCAATCTCCCCGCCACGCTTGCGAAAGGTGTAGAGGCTCTGCTTTGCGCGGCGGCTGTTGAGGACGTCCTCGAGGTTGCGGTAAAAGACGGAGGAAGCTGCCCGATCTGCGCTGGACTGACTCTGTTTCTGAGTCTGCAGCCAGTGAGACAGCATGGAAGCAGCCATTTTGCTTTATATGTAGGGCTGGGTGATCCCAGAGTTCGAGTGTTGCCGGGTTGTGTTCGCAGAGGAGCTCTTAATGCCGCCGCGAGGGCTTAACAGGAGTAAAAGCGCTTTTATATACCGGCCTTGACAATTGAGATGTATTTGAATTGCCGAATTTGACATTTTCCCGACTTTCCTGCCTGTTCTAGGTTTCCGTGACACGGAACCCGTGTGTCGGGGACTATAGCAGTGCGGGTTCCGGAATCCGGACCTGCTTTCTGTCGGCTGGTGGCGGCTACTCCGCGAAGGTAGGTTCTGTAGGTAACTAAAACGTCTGCTGTTTCTCATTAGTCCACCTTCCATGAGAGCTCTCTGCAAAGGGTCTATATTTCGTTGCATCATGGGTTCTTCTATCTTGAGCCTCCTGGGCACCGCGGCCTTCCGGTCTCGAGGCGTACGCCATCACTAACCTCTATCCAGGCGGGCCATTCCCAAAGCTGCAGTGGCAGCCATGCAACGTCTCGAGTACAGTCGCAACAATATTGGCGGTTTTTGCGCTGAACTATGTGATCCTATTTGCGTATTTCGACGTGGTATATCCCTCGTTCATCAGCCCACTGCGGCATATCCCTCGACCAAAGGTAGGTGGCCACTACCACACCACCCATGACGCTCATTCCTGAATACGTTGCAGTGGTGGCGGGCCCGAATAATTTACCGGCGATTCACAAAGACGCAAGGGGAAGCTCTCTCCGACCTGTTTTACGACACTCCGAACAATGGCATTTTGGCCGTCCGAGAACTCACAACTACTCGCCTGCTGGTGACGGCCCCGTCTCTACTGGCAGATCTACTGGTGCATCGATCATATGACTTCACAAAGGCTGAGAACACCCGCAACTTCCTCCGCGAGATCTGGGAAACGGGCTCGTCGTCGTTGAGGGAGACCAACACAAGTTTCTCCGTAAAAACACCCTGCCTGCGTTCGGATTCCGCCACATCAAAGATCTATACCCAATGATGTGGAAGAAGGCTCTCCTATGCACAGATGAAATCGAATCGGCCGCCGGATTGCATGGCGGGAATCCCGAAATCACAACAGACATGGCCGACTGGGCCAACAAGGTCACCCTCGACATCATCGGCATCGCCGGTCTGGGCCGCGACTTCAACGTGCTCCAAAACGGACATGACCAGATCGCGGACGACTACGAGGCCATCTTTGAGCCGAGCGTTGAGAAGATCCTGTACATCCTGCTGGCGGCGTGGTTCTCGTTCCCCATGGTGCGAATGCTGCCGTGGAAGATGAACGACCTGTTCAGGTCGAGGACGACGTCTCTGCGGGCGACGTGCAAGCAGCTGATTGAGTCTAAGATGGAGGGTATTCGGAAGCAGGAGCAGGACAACTTTGACATCTTGTCGGTGCTGATCCAGACTGACAATTTCTCTGTTGAAGAGCAGTCTGATCAACTGTTGACGTTCTTGGCAGCAGGGTACGTTCAGTTTGTTTACATCGACACTGGTCCATATCACCCGTCCCATCGTATCAAACACGTTGGCTAACTGTTTCATTCACTTGATAGACACGACACAACTGCGCCGGCACTGACTTGGTCGTGCTATCTGCTGGCTGTTGATCAAGCGCGACAAGAAACCCTTCGACGAGAGATTCAAGCTGCTTTGGCAGGAGCACAGCTAGGTCCCGACAACGCCGATATTGGTAGCATCTTGGAGCGCCTACCATTCTTAAATGCCGTCCTCAATGAAACCCTGCGCCTGTATCCCAGCGTCCCAGTCACCATTCGCGTGGCCATTCGCGACACCCGTCTCGGAGAGCAGTACATCCCCCAGGGCACGGAGATCCTCGTCTCCCCTTGGGTAATAAACAGATCCAAGCACGTCTGGGGAGCCAGCGCCGAAACATTCAAGCCAGAGCGCTGGATCGAGAACGGCCAGTCAGACAAGGCCAGTAGCAACTACGACTTCATGACCTTCTTGCACGGTCCCCGGAGCTGCATCGGGCAGAACTTTGCAAAGGCCGAGCTGAGGTGCCTGCTGGCGGCCATGGCGCTCCGCTTCTCCTGGACACTGGACATGGATGAGGCGGAGGTGGTGCCTGCTGGTGCCATAACGATAAAGCCTGCCAAGGGTCTGCGGTTGCGGTTGAAGACGGTCCAAAACTGACAATGATAGTATTAAGCGGTCCACTTGAATGGGTTTAGCTCTATAGAATTGTATTGCAGAAAGATCTTCGTCTAGAACAAGTCCGAGCCAAAGAGGTCCCCGTGGTTCACTCTGCTCTCCAGTTGGCTCACATCCACAAACAAGTCGCCGCCAGCATCTGGTACGTTAGAGAGCTTCGAGTCCGCGTAGATTTCCCCGAGATGGCACTGATGTATGGTGTCCAACGAGCCAATTGTTGTGCTGGCCATGCCACCCGCATCACCAGGCACATTAACTGCATCAATTTGCTCCCCTACATACCATTAGACAATATTCAAGCATCGTGGCAACACCTCACTCACACGTACTCTCGTACCATTGGTCCTGCATACTGACTGTACGTGCCTCTGAGTCCCCCCGAGCAAGCGAAACGGCAAAGTCAGTCAAGAGTTTGACGAAACAATGGAGTCTCGCGAGGTACGATTCTGGCGCGGACATGTCTGATGCTGCGGCGACCAATTTCAAGAATGACTGTAGTAGATGCAAGTCTTCCGCCTCAGCAATGCCCTCTCTGGTTACGATATGGCGGAAGAGCTGGAGGAAGGCTACTGGTGGGTAAGACGTAAGCAACCTGTGGGGGTCAAATTCCACTGATTAGCCGATACGTCTCTCAATCTCAGGGTCCTCTATCATAGAAATGGTTTATATCCTACCACAACAGAACTGTGTATCTCTCCGGCCCAGTTGCGTTTGAGGCATACCGAGCCAGGAGCCCTAGGCAGGCTCGGGACTGGTTGGTGATGCTGTCCTGATCCACATAGTCGCAGGCAGTCGGCATGGCTGCCAAGATGCTTATATAGTGGAACGAAATGGCTCGTGCGAGTTTTGTGCTATCCGCATCCCCAATTGACTTGCCTCGCTCCTGAACTCCTCCAGAATCGATGCGTTGTTGCCCGCGCCACCTCTCGAGCTCTTGTCTGATGGTGCTGACACCGCGCTGGAATGTGCGGACATCTTTTGTTCGAGGATCGCGTGAGTATAGAAGGCTAAAGACTTTTTCTTCGATCCTGGACAGCTCTAACCCATGACACCCGGTAGCCCCTGAATTAGCTGTCATCAAGCCCATGGCTGGGGCAGTCCCTATTATTAAAGACTCAGCCGGTGACTGACAAGGATGGGATCCGGTGGTCCAGCAAGTGGTTCTCTCCAATACACTCAGGCAATGGAGGATATTCCTCTTTTCTGCTCCCAACTCGGAGCCAGGCTGCTGTTCCGGGGGCTTTGAGTGATCTAGTCCGATGGACCGCGCCAAGTAAACAGCCAAGCTAAACGTGAGTCGCACCATATCATCCGTTAGATGCAGCTGCGCAACTCGACACTGCAGGGTCCCGTTAGCCAGTCCGATCATGATGCAGCTCTCGGTTTAAAAAACCAAAGACAAAAGTGCTTGAATATTTTCGATGCGCGGATGAACCAGTAGCTCGAGGTTATTAATGGCGCGCCGAGCATTCGTCACGAACGTTCTTGAGAAATCACCTTCCATGGGCGATGAAGCATTACAATTTGGAGAACGCGAGCGTGAGCGTCTCTCAGACTCTGCCTGGAGCGATTTGGTGGTCAATGTCAGGAGAATCATGTTGCTGGCACTGACAGCGTAGACCCGTTTCAGCCCAGGGTGTTGCTGAGCTTCACACGAGGAAGCGAGCTTATTAAACCCTTCGCGAGTCCATAGCGGGAGTATTGGGTTGAAAGACTCAAAGTAGCAACTCATCATGGCCTCCAGAATAGACTGGGGCGGTTTGACTGGCTGGCCGTCGGCTAAGAGTTTCGTTGGCTGATCCCAAGAGTCCATGAGCTGGACCAATTTCCTCGACGCAGAGATAGCCTCGAGTGTCCTGGACACGTCATTGCGTAGTCCGTCGAGAACGTTCTCCTTAACATCAAGGGCCAAGGCTCTCAGCGAGGTTGGTCCCATTAATCTCTCGGTGCGATCTTTGGCGAGGTATACTCGGTGGCGCAGTCCCATGGTATTCGACGATATCTCTAGTGAGTTTGGCTTGAAGTCAGAGTCTGCTCTGTGCGAAGACTCCAAAGCCGTGTTCGGTCGACATGGAGAGTGTGAACAGCTGGTGGCCGACGACGGCCTAAGGTCCATGTCCTCTAGTAGTCTCTGAATAGTGGCTATGGCGCCCTCGACTCTGTCGAAGCGATTGCTGAGCTCACTGATGTCCTTCTGCCTTTAAGGTCCGTAAGTAAAACGGGCATTTACATGCTCTCGGGGCTCTCAATTCCGGCAACCACGTCAACGGATGTACTTACAGGGCAAGTGTTTGGTTAGGCTTTTTACCTTGACCAGACAACGAGCATTCTTGGCCGAGGCGCGTGCAGTTGAAGCAGTGGGGACGCTCCCTCCCGCAACGAATCTTTTTTATGCGACATGGATCGCAGACTTTGACGTCAAGGATAAATTGTCAGCCTAGGTCAGCATGTAGATTGGGAATTGTTGGCGCCGTACCTATGTGGTGGTCCTTTGAAAGAGTCTGAGTGTCTGAGGTGTCAGATACGACCTAGAACTTTTTAATAACGGAGATGCTAGAACCACATTCGGACGTCTATTAAGTAGCCTACCTCCTCAGAAGTCAAACGGGATCGCTTTGCAGGATTCATGTCGTACCGAGCCGTGCTACACATCGAACGGCGGGACGACAAGTTTCACACCAAGTATGCGCAGACCAGTTCGTAGAACCCGTCCATCAGTACATTTTTATCCCTTTCCCTATGTGGAGATTGCGAAGAAGAAAAGGAAGGGAACGGTTCAGCTGATCCCCTCTTTTTTCCCTATCTGTGTCAGTACTATCTTTATCCAACCGGCTCGCTTCATCCCTCCCAGGTAGCTTGAGATTTGCGCCCGTAACTGCGCAACAATTTTGACAGGGGTCTGTATATGTCCTGTCTCCATCCTAATGCATGCAGCGTACAGGTACGCGGCGATGACGACTCACAGGGCGCATACAGTGGCGTTCCATTAGTTTCAAACTCCGTTCTTGACCGCCTTTACCTACCGCCCACTACATTCGGCTGACCGCTCCTGACCGCGCTACAACACACTCAGTATACGTATATTCCTCTATTGTTTTATGTTATTTAAAGCTATTTAAAGCTATTTACAGTAGACACTAAAAATGCCTCTATGTAGTAGTGTTTGGTGTAGAATACGAGGTTTTAACTAGCAGAAAATGTGGCAGAAAGTTAGGCGGTCAAAAACGGGGTTTCAAACTAATGGAACGCCACTGTACACACACGGACGGTCTGCCCTGTATGCCCTGTATTAAATGACAAATTGTCCCGTTTAACAACATTCAGTAACGTATCATTTTGCCTACTAACTGCGACCAGTCGGCTGTGCGTAACATCAGGGTGCGGGACGGGATTGTATTAGGAATCGACAGAACGGATTACTACAGTCCGGCTATCTCAGAATTATAGACGAGACGTAGCTCGAAGAGCTACAACAAGATCAACATCGGGCTAGCAGAAATACAGAGTTTAGGTCACCTGACCAAAGGATCTTCTTTATCCGGACTTCCGATAAGCATCCGCAGACCAGGACCTGCGGGTCTCGCACCGTGACAAACCTGAGAACCTCAGGGTCAGGTTCGAGGTTCCAACCTTTGGAACCTGAGTTGGACCATTTCGAGGCCTACCCTCTACAACGCTCGACCCTTTCTTAGTGCCCTTCGTTTGATTGAATCTTCGGTCGCTCAGAAATTGGGCAAAATAACCGCTAGACTAAAAATGCACCATGGGCAACATGCTTAGTCTATACCGTCATTTTCCATCTCGACATCTTTAGTAGGGCCCATCAAGTGACTAGGGTCTTGAGGGATTTTAGGGGCTCTGGTTCATATTCAATGAATTCCGAGATTCTAGTGCCTCTGCCAGTGAGCTCGGAGATGCCTAAAAAGCATAGTCCCCCGGGGCCTCCATAGTCGGCTGAGTGCCCCTCCCAACGCTGAAGTCATGATTCAGGTCCCTTTAGAAAATAAATGGTATTTTGTTGATATTAAATGAGTTACGAATTTCGTAGCCCCTCTAGGCAAGTTTAGGGGATGACCAAAAATAAGAAAAAAATATCAGTCCCTCTTGGCCGCAGTCAAGCCGTCGGACAAAAGCTTAGCAAGAACTACGTGTATGCACTAACATGTTCGGTTAGTTAGCGGCCCCCGTTGTGTGCCAACAATGTAACCCTATTAGCAGTATTGCTAACTGGATTGAGGACTTCGGTGATCTCCAGTTAAACCCCTTTACTGAGGGTCATCTCCCGGCAGTCGGAACACCACGCGATTTTTCTTTCGAATGCTAAAAGAATTAAATCTAATGAAACTCTAAATATTGGATACCCTACACGGAAGACTTTCCAGGGCTTCGACCATCATTCCTACATTTTGGCCCCCTGCTGCACAGTGTATACACACCTAGGTTCAAAAGGCAATGTTGTGTAATACGGATACTAGCAAGAATACTAGTTCATTCATTTTCTCTGTGATAATAGACTAGTCATGGTAATGAAAGTGGTAATGCAACTCCGTCGTATTGGAGGAACTCTCGCGATCATAGGTGTACATGGGTATATGTACATAGACCCGCCTGTCTCAGGTGATCAGATCCTTCGAGCTGCCCCGATGACATTTGGCGTCCAACTAAACCCAGATGGCACTAGATCCCCGCGCCCGGCCCGAGCCACGGCTTTCGTATCTTGCTTACGTCCCGCGACTACATTGGCCATTTTTTATTCATTTGCCATTCTGCGAGATGAGGTGGAATATTCACCAACACCGTCCCTTTCAGATACACATCGGTTAAAGTGTACGTCACCCACTCGCCGCATTGGTCCCACCCCTGGGCATAGTGGGGACGAGATTAATATTTTATTTGGGCATGGCTATGTAATTCCTACACGTGACGCCGATTTAGGTCCGATGCTGGCTTAATCGTCCCCCAAAAAATACGGGACACGTGATCATTGTCGGCTACGGGGGCAAAGTGTTCTTAGTCAATGACAGAATGCGGAAGAATTGTATCGCCTAGTAACGTGTAGGCCAATGAAGCCAGAGAGTGTGTATTGTAGAAAGCTAAGCTGCGCGTATAGAAATAGGGGGAAATGTGCCAAGGAGCTAATCAAAACAGGTTAGTAGCTAGCTGAATGATACTGGTGAAGGCCATATTTCGACAGTCAACAATATTTTCTTGTTTAACTTACGTTAACTAACTAGTTAACTACTGATCGGCCCAGTTCTCGTACTTCTCCTATAGTCAAAATGACATAATGCCGCATGCGGTGCAAAATGATCACACCCAACACAATGCAACATGTTTTATAGCCTATGATTTGGGCACGACGGCAATCTCCTATTCCAACGCACGATCCGTTCGTAGTGAAAAGTGTCACCGCACCTGAAATCTCACGGCGCTAATTCCGACGGCCCCGAACTAAATCCAGCCGGCAAGGCCGTGAGGGATCCATAGACCTCAGCGTGGTCCGGTCCTTGGTCTTTTTTCAATACAGTTGGGACCGGACCGTGGTCCCCCATGGTCCCGGAATACTGCCAAGAATACATAACGGGGAATAGGTAGAGCGTAATGCAAGACAGAGTTGAGAATAAATCAGGAGAATAAAGATGTACAATTCAAGGTATCTTAGGATATGTCCGTTCGGTCTCACGCCGACTTGAGCCTTTTAGGAAAAGGGGAAGACAATGTCAATTGATCGGCTCGACGCTTCTGCAGCATCTATACGATCTTGTCGTGTCCTCCAGAACAAGCAGCCTGTAGCGCATTTCCGTATAGCCCACCCTAGGAGTTGATATCAGCTTCCCTGTCGAGTAGTATCTATACGATCTTGTTGTATCCTCTATAATAAGCAGCCTAGAGCGTATTTCTGTATCGACCACCCTTAGTGTTAATATTAGCTTCCCTGTCGAGCAGTATCTATACGATCTTGTTATATCCTCTAGAATAAGCAGCCTAGAGCGTATTTCCGAGAAGCCTACCCTAGGCGTTAATATTAGCTTCCCTATCGAGTAGCATCTATACGATCTTATTATATCCTATAGAATAAGTAGCCTAGAGCGTATTTCCGTAATCCCTACCCTAGGCGTTAACATCAGCTCCTTTATCGAGCAGTATCTGTACTACCGTACTATATCTATTCAATAACGCCTATATAATAGGGTATATTAATATACCATCCGCGATATTCATATTATTTTCATCTACCTTAAGTAGATATTTAACCTCCTACTTCTAACTATTAAAGGCTGCTATATATAAAGTATTTAGCGTAGGCGTCCTATAGTATAGCCTAAATACCTTCTAAAAAATTAGAAACCACAGTAACTATAATTTTGCCCTTATATTATATAATTAATACAGTCGATAGATGATTCGTAGCCCGGAATTCAAAGCCATCATTCGTACATAATCCGGCTAATATACTACGGAATATTCTAAGAAAGCTCGAGTATCAGAGGGCTCTTCGTCCTTTTCTAAATCTTCTATTAATAGGTATCGTAAATAAATAGAACCTATTTAATCCTTAGCTTTACGGAGGCTCTATAGGTATACAGAATTAATAGTAATAGAAACAGTCTCTGCGATAAGGAATTCCCTTGCTATTTGATAAATAAGATAGATCTTTGAGTTATTAATAAAAATAAAAAGACTGTATAATCGTCGGAGCTTCTTACTAATCTACGACGAATCTAATCTCGACTTTAATATAGTCCGCGACTCTGGTAAGTGTTACGATTATGGAAAGAGCTAACTGGAAAAGTAACTAGGTACATTCACGAAATAATAAAGGTGAAGAAGGAAGAAACTATAGAGGCTCTAGTAACTATCTTATAGAGGGCTTATATAAATAGGCCCTATTAGTAGACTTCCGTAAAACCCAACTTGGGTCGAAGATCTCGACCCAGAACCCAACCTAGACTAGGTCCGTGTGAAGGATTACGTATTGGTCTGATA